GTTTGGAACAACAGTTGCTAGTTCCATTTCTCGGAGGGGGGAAGTGGGAATGGCGACGTATAGGTGGATACCAGATAGGTAGATGAAGTCCATCGAGATGGGAGATCGAGGGCAGGTAGGTGGTTGATTGAGATCGTTTCTTCGGCCGAGAAAGCGGGTCACTCTATGTCACTCGCGAATCACAGCCTGTGGTATGTCGGCGGTGCTTGCTTTAGGCAGAGTTCGACGTTGGAAATACCAAAGTAGGTACTTTTGAATCGTTTTCGTTGATTTCCGATGAAGCGCGTCGTCGTCGCTATCGTTGGCGGGGGAGAGAATGTGGTGGTGGAGGAGGATAGAATCTTGTTCGTCCGGTGGCCAGCGGATGCCGGAGAAATCGATCATCGCTGTGCATTGCAGTATCTGCAGACTTTCCAGTGGGGAGACGGGATGCAGACATCTACATATATGGTGACGGAGAGGTAGTTATGAGGTATGTAAATCATGATACGTGTGCAGAGACAAGACTTCCAGTAACATGACTGATTTGTCGCAGCGCCGAGCCACGAGGAGCAAGGTCGAGTGAGGTTTCAGCGAATTCACCGGTTCCTTGATTTCCAAACTTTCCGAGGATGCGGGGCGCTGCATGGTTGACTGGCTGGTTGGCCGTATGCTCGCTCGTGGTTCACGGGAAAGTCTGCGGGGTGACCAAGTATACTCCGAGAAGTAAGTATCTGCGGTTTGGTTGGCGGCGAAGAGTTCCGCTGCTGCGGAGCAAGAGACGTGCATGTCATATCACTCGGAAAGTATTCCCCTCCAGTCCTTTTGCTGCAACATGCATGCGCAGATACCAGCAGATGGGTGGTGGGTGAGCGTGCTTCAACCCATTCGATCTGCTTTCTACTCCCGGTGCGATCCCCCACGCCCCCTTCCCCCTACGCCATGACTTCCCTTGTGGCAGGCATCATTGGCGCCATGTTTGTCTGATAAGCTACGCGCGAGCTAGGGGAGTGAAGAAGATAGGAGTGGGTCTCGACGGGAAACACCGAGCCGTGTTGGCAGAGTCTGTAGTATGCGTGCATGTACTTTCCCGACCGAAGCCACCACCCCCTGCGGGCCGGTCGACGACAAGCTGAGCACGGTCTCTGACACGAGTGATATCCGATGTACATGAGCAGGCATGCAGGTCACAGAATTAGACAACCCTCTCGGGCCTTGTGTGTAGAATACTGCAAGCCACAAGAATCTTCTCCGTTAGGTTGATCCGGCACGAGTGCACAGCAAACCCACGTTTCGCAATGCGATGGGTGGATGAATTTAGCGATATCATTCGTGGTTTGTTCGGATCCTTGCTGATTGCCGCCGTGGTTAATGGCTTGGGTGCACCGTATGTGGAATGCCAGGTATATGCCTGGCGGATCGCATCGCAATCAAACTTTGTTTCTCTTTTTACACAGGCTCACCCCAGCCATAAACTGTTCTTTGAGGCGCTTCAACTTCGACTGCGGCTTCGAAACGCCACCACTTCACCAGGGCTTGATTGGATTTGTATCCCGTCTGTGGCTTTCTCTATGTGTTTGTTTTAGTATCCTTTTCCCTCCCGTGATCTCTCGTCGGAAGGGCCTCAGACTCTGCGCAGGGCTGCTAATAGATCTCAGTATGTAGTAGGTATGGTCATTGGTCAATAGTCATTGATATGCCAATATTCCGCTTATTGTCGCCTGTATAGAGTATCTCGCCTCTCGTAGTTGTCCCGCTTGAAGATAACCGCACTTTCCCACTCTATTATGCATAGATCTCAGTTCTCACAAGGTTTATCCCCGCGGGGATTTCTGTCCTTCCCCGGTAAAGGAGTAACCCCGAGTCCTACTCACGTAGTTTCTCTCGAGCTGGGTGGTCTTGCAGCTTGTTTGCCATGATGTAACCACGTTGATTGCATGCATCATCCCGTCCTGACTCCTGTGGAAACACCGGATCGACCAGCTTACGAAAGAGATGCAAACTCCACAGGTTAGGGAGTAGGTATCGCCAGGTATCTGGGCCCAAACCCACTCCACTTTGCCCAGGAACGAATTTGGCGTCCTGACTCCTGAGTGATCGCGAGATTCAGAACTTTCGTCGTTCTTGGAGACAAACTTGCTGGCGCCGAAGCATCGGACCTGAATACCGACGACGCCACTGAATGAGAACAACCGTACGTATGTAGGCGCTCTTCGTTATCTCTATGTACATGGTGACAACATCTCGAAGCGAGAGTCCCGACTAGCTAGAGGTCTTGCAGGAATGAAAATATCGCCAAAGGAGGGTCCCAGGCGCAAATGATCAACTGGACCGGCCGGAGTGCGCGAAGGGCGGGAGTCAAAATTGACATCTGGACTCTGGACTCTGTGTCCGAGAATGCGAAGAAGACAGGCACCTTTCGTCCGACGGCTGGCGAGAGAGCACGATCTGCTGCAATCTTGACCAGCAAGTCCCGTAGATGCCAGTGGATCTCTTGGGCAAAACATTCTAACCAGCCGGCAGTTTCTTAGTGTTGTCTTCAGCAGTTGACGAGTGGCCCTGTCTTTCAGCTGGAAAAATCTCTCGATCCCTCACAGCGGCTTCTGCTGTCTGAAGCTATCCACTACAGTAGTAATCCGTGTGGTATGATGCAGCAACTGCTGGTACATATGTACCTTCGGCTTCAGGGCATGATATGCAGCCAGAACAGCGCAGCCTTCTGGGCTTCTCCGACGAGATACTGTGAGGAGCATTGCAGCATCACAGCCTTCAGGCATTGCTTTTGGATTCGAGATGAAGGAGATGCCCGTCGGTTCGCCTATGCCCTCCTCTGGAGAGGCAAGCGGTGGTGAAGGAAGTTCTTTTTTCTCTCGGCAACCTCACATAGATGTAGCTTAAGCCGTTGAATGGCGTAGAAACCAACAAAGCCACCAAGTGGAAACCCGGTTACTCAATCTTGAGAACATAGGCGTTGAGACGGCAGCCCTGCCAGGGAGAACCCCCCCACAGCTCCACTTTCCAGCACTCTTCGAGTTGCAGCTGAGCGTAAAGCATAACCGATAGACTATTTCCCTCACCGCTATCTAGTATACTAGTAGTAGCGATAGGGAGCCCGACACGTTCCGAAGGAAGGGGAAGGGAAGACTGGAGGACTCCGACGATGCAATAGTTCGGCGTTCACGGGTGTTCATGGCATAGTAGAGTGCTTCTACTACTGTAGATACCAATAGTAGTGAGACACTGACACTTCAACGGTAAGTTGAGACAAAGCCGAAGCAGAAGCGGAGAGCCATCTGGATCCGAACTAGCTGGCAGAGATAACCGTCCAGATCAAGCCACCGCCCACCCAGTAATCTGGCACAGGAGTCTGGGTGCTCGTCAAAGGGAGACTGATTCGGCGGGAGCATTAGAGTCGGACCCGACGGGGGCAACTAATCTACCAGTATGGAGAGTGCTGGCTATCAAGTTGCAATCATGCATCCACTGCCAACAGCCTCGCCCAGGCTGGGACACGGGTGGATTGTTGGTTTCCAGTATGTACATATGTAGGTGCTGTAGGTTTCGTCCCTACTACACACATGCTTGGCCGCGCGAGCGAGAGGTCTGCTCTCGTTTTCTCAACACCTCCGCCACGAAATCGTCTGCATCCCGAGTAAACTCGGACCCTGAGAGGCACCGTTGTGCTAAGTACGCACACAGCGATCACGATCTTAGGGGGGCCATCCGCCCAGACGTAGGGTTAAGGTTGGAGAGTGAACGCCTCTCCCGAGCACTAAACCACAGTAGTAAGCAATCGACAATCGCGAATCTTTAACGTGGAGTACATGCGGCTGAGGGATCCGCGCCAGCACGCGTTCAGCAGGCGCACGCGGTTGTTGTCGTGGGGTGTTGTTTGTCACGGCAGCCATAACCACAGCAAAACGTGTTGGGCGGTGGATCTGAGACCACGGCCGGAGTAGTGTCCGAAAAAACCGACTTTATTGGAGCCCCTTGCTAGCCTTCCCATTCTGCTGGCAAGTTCGGCAATCCGAGGCTTGGTACCACTGCAGACACGCTCTCCGCATCTAGCGCTGATCGAGAATCCGGGCCTACGCTCTATCCACGGTGCGATCGGCGGCAGAAGGTCCATTTCCCTCCTCGCGTCCGGGCCGTCAGCGAGAGACAAAGCGCAAAATCCAGTGGACGAGGCCGGGAGAGAGAGAGCTTTTCGAGTTCCCGCGCCCGGTGCGTATCGCCAGGGATATCCAGTGGCTGGGAGCGGGCGAGATGGCAGACCACGCTATCACTCTTTCCACAGCCAACTCCGACGTCGGCCGCCTGACCGCGGCGGCCAGCGGCCAGGGACGCCGAGACACGGGACTGAGTCACAGATTGTCACTCCTCCCACCATCACCCGTGGCGAACCCACCAGCCTGGCTACGGGGGGGACTGCCAACACGCGCCCGCACAGCATGTTGCAGGACGCATCGCAACACGGGGCATCGTGGGCATCGTGGGCATTTTTCGACCCAGGCTTCGGATGAGCGCTCAAACGTCGAAATGTTACCGTTGCACGATCCTGGCATGGCAATCAGTTAGGCATGTACATATCTGCTTGGACGGCGAGACGTGCAAGAATCCATCGCTTATGGAAAAGTAAGCATTCATCGGCGGATCGATGATGTATCCCGGCCACTGGTTTGCAGGAGATCGGCCCAGGTTACTATCTTAGTACATAGCAGACACGGGATTTCGCTAGTCATCATCAGGATTCAGTACAGCAAAGCAAGTGGAACTCGCAAGGAAGTACCTAAGCAGCGCCGTCTGCTTGGCCTGGGTCCAGTTGTGGCCAATTGTGACTTTTTAGCGATCTTATGCAGAGTCGGATTCTAACATGCTTCCGCACCAATGGTTGCTGCAGGGCGTAACCTTTGTCTCGGGCTGGGATGCGTGCGAGGGAGTGAGGTGGGCGGGCACCCGCGCTGTCTGTACAGCAGCACCTTTTTATTCTTGGGGCAAACAATGGGTTGGTATAAATTCTATCCAGCCCGCTCGACCCAGTACCTGCCCTCTATAACACAGCAGCTCCCCAACGACCTCCGAGCACCTCATTCGTTTTTGCGACCAACAACCACTCTTTTCGTTGTTGCTCCGCTGCCTCTTTAATACATCCATACCAACATACACCTAATACCTAATTGCAGAGATGTCGACGCCGTTTGCAGAGCGGGACGAGTCGGTTCTCAACAGTGACTACTTTCGCGCTCAGAAGGAAATCGAGCTGTCGACCGCGGCATTGAGAGCGAAAGCGCAGGGCCGAGCATACACACCGGCGACTATTAGCGATATGTCGTCGACTTCCACACCATTGGACTCGTTGTTTGGAACACGAGCAAACACACCGAGAGCATCTGTGTCGAATGCTTCCAGTCGGACAGATCTTTCTGAGCACGACAACAAGCTTCCTAGGGGAGTCATAGTGCTCCCGGAGGACCGGGAGAAGATTGATGTAAGCGAGCATTCCTCCGGTTCGTTTGGGGGCTTGAACAGGAATTGACCCGTTTCTTCTTCTTTGTTTGATACAGATTGTCGTCAATCGGTCAGGAAAACACCGGGCGGAAGAACCACGAAGTTCGATTGAGGAGTCCGAGGATGAGGAAGTCATCAAGAGACCCGAGGCAGCAGTTACAGTCAGCCGGCCCGTTAGCACTTTCGAGCGCGATGATGATGCGGTTGCTCCGGTTACTATTCCTTCGTTTGGAACAACCGAGTCTCCGGCGAGAGATCTCATTGTGAGTCAATCAGTCGCGATGGCTACCAAGGATAGATGAATTCCAGCTAACACGATATAGCTCCCGTCACCAATTGCCGGACCGGCTGGTGGAGAGGCTCAGAAGGCCGAGATTGGAGATGAAGAGCAGGTGGCTGAGGCCCACGTGCCTCAGGTGGACGAGAAGAAAGCACCAGAGCAGACTCCTGCGGCTGCGGCCGCGGGAACTTCGGATGGAGCGGATGCAGAGCTCGGCTTCTTCGGACGACAGATGGCAACCATGAAACGGAAGTACAACCCTACCGAGGATCCTCCGCTCGTGCTTCCTTCAGGACCTACGGACGAGGAGAAGTACTGCTACCTGAACACTCGGAGAGTACCACTGTACATCTTTGGTGTCTTCTCTTTTCTCAGTTTGTCGGCTGGTATGTGGCTGTTCACCATCTCGGCTCCGATCTTCTACTGGTTCGGCGCATTCGTCGGTCTCCTTCAGATTTACTTGGTCATCTCCTACATGGTCGGTATCGTCGGAAAGGACTACGACTTCGAGGCACACAAGGTGGTCATCGCAGAGCACGCAATCACGCCTGACAGCGCCCCCACGGTCGACATCTACCTGCCCTGCTGCAAAGAGCCCCTCGAGATCCTGGAGAACACCTATAAGCACATCACCGCCCTGGAATACCCGGAGGGGAAGATGAAAGTCTATGTTCTGGACGATGGTGACATGGCCGAGGTCAAGGCTATGGCGGAATCCTACGGCTTCAACTACTTCTCGCGTGACGACAAGCCTCGTCTGAAGAAGGCTGGTAATCTCCGATGGGCATTTGCCCGTACAGACGGTGACTTCTTTACCATCTACGACGCCGACTTCTGCCCCCGCTCCGATTTCCTGATGGAGCTCATCCCCCACATGAAGAACGACCCCAAGCTCGCCATCGTCCAGACCCCGCAATTCTTCCGCACCACGGAAGACCAGACCTGGGTCGAACAAGGAGCCGGATCCGTGCAGGAGCTCTTCTACCGCATCGTCCAACAGAACCGTGACCGCTGGGGTGCTTCCATCTGTGTCGGCAGCAATGCCGTATACCGTCGCGAGGCCTTGGTCGAGACTGGAGGAACTGCTGAGATTGGGTTTTCCGAGGACGTGCACACCGGCTTCTACGCTGTCAACCGTGGATGGAAATTGCGATATGTTCCCTTGTGTCTCGCCTGCGGAGTCTGCCCGGACACTCCTAGAGCCTTTTTCTCTCAGCAGATGCGATGGTGCCTGGGTTCCACTACGCTTTTGACCAACCCCGACTTCTGGACCTCCAACCTTACCTTCATCCAGAAGGTGTGCTACCTGTCTGGTATGATGTACTACTCGGCCACTGCCCTCGGCATCTTCATCAACCCGCTCCCCGGTATCCTCCTGATGTGGTTCCGTCCGGAGTTCCTGATGTACTACAACCTGGCGTTCGCTATTCCGTCGCTACTGTACTCGTTCATCGCGATCCGGATGTGGGCCAAAGCCAAGTACTCGATCCACGTGCAATACATCATGGCCATCCAGCAGTACGCCTACCTCACCGCCATCAAGGACCGACTCTTCGGCACTGCCCTCGCTTGGGTCCCGTCCGGAGACGCGAAGGCCCACAAGAACAACAAGTACAGGAACATGCGGATCCTGGCTTGGTGCTGGACCATCACCTTCGAGGGCTTCCTGATATCTGGAGTTGCTTACTGCATCCTCGGCGGTTGGGCTTGGTACAACTTCTTGCCCATCATTCTTCTTAATGCGTTCAATCTTTTCATTACTCATCGTTTCTTGTTCTGCCCTTGATTTGGGGGCTTGGGATTTGGAATTTGGGAGGAAGGTTTTGTTTCTGTTGATTCATGAAGGATTGTAATTGTATGAAGGAGGGTTAATTTTGGCATCAAGGAATGGAGGAGGAAGGCAAGGGGACTCGGGATGGAGGGAGGGGCAAAAGGATTGGGAGGAAGGCCGGAGGAGGAAGTACGATACGCCAGGGAAGGAGCCACGGGATTCATGACTTTTTCGTTTTTTTCTTTCATCTTTCATATTTTTCCCTTTTTTCATGGGTTTCATGCGGGTTGCATCTTGGTTTTCTTTTCTCACATACTTCTATACACTTTACGTACAATAATGAACGAACCTCGGGCGACCGAGGGGGGGGCAGCCTCGTTGGCTGATGATGGACGATTTCAATTGATGGCAATACCATTCTCAACTGCGCTGATTCCTCCGTTTTTCTCTCTCCTTCTCTTTCGGACACACAGGTACGCGGCCTGTTTGCTCCCATCGAAATTGATTCGCCGCCCCTCTCTCTCTCTCGAGTCGGGACGGCTGGCTGGCGAACAACATACCATGGACAGCTCTACTCTACATACTTGCCGCAGCAATATTTCATCGGCTTTCATTGGGTCGTGGTTCTGCAGGCGTCGTGGTTCGGTATGCATGCCGGCAGAGAATCCAGCACCTTGGTAGAGGCATGACGTTGCGCGCTGTTCCTTCTACTAAACCACATGCGGCCAGTGCGGCAGATGGGGGAGGGGACTTAGGGGAGTCTTTTCGGCCTCCGGTGGCTGGAGACCTGGGTGGGTTCCGGCGTGCCGAACTTGGAGTAGAAAAGATCGCAACCGACCGCAATCGCACCGGTTGAGGCCTGTTGCTTCGACTACTATCGGATGTATGATCGTGGGCCACACTGATGACTACTCTATACTCGCGCGGATCTAGCCGATCCCCTTGTGGGGGTGCGGGGTACCTCGCACCAGCGCACATCTGATAAGGGCGTTTAGTGACGAATTAGCGCATCTATTAAACTCGGGCCGACCCCACAAAATCAGCTAGCTGTGGAGCTGGCAGATCACATGCTGGGCTTGGGGGGAGCAAGGAAGCAACCTGTTCGGCAATCCACGGCATAGAAAAGCAACACGGAACTCGCCCGATCCGTACCCTCCGTCCTGAAGCCGTTAAACCCAGTTGACCGCACAGGCAAGATGCTTCCCAATCGATCGACGTATCCCTAGACCGGCCTGAAACCTCGTGGCTTCTTCCCTTTCTCCGTTCCTCATAGCCGAACCCTCCATCTCCCTTTTAATCGAATTGTGTCCGTCCCCTCAATCGAAGCAGTAGCAGAAGCATATTGTCTGTGCATCACTATCTCTTGATACCCTTCTAGACCCCATCATGGCGTCCAACGTTTCGATCCGGAGCTGCAGCAGAGCCCTGAGGGCCGCCAAAGTCAGTTTTACCTCACTGCCCCTCCACCCCTCCACCTCTCCACGTTACCCCACATCACCGTCCCGCAATGCTGGGAGCGACAGACAGGGCCCAATGACTTACTCAATGTTTCGTAAATAGTTCCGACCCGCAACAATCTCGTATGTAGCCAAGCGGAACGCCTCGACGAGCTCGCAGAAAGACCTGAAGGAGACGCTGAAGGAGGTCATTCCAGCGAAGCGCGAGCAGCTCAAGCAGCTGAAGGCCGTGCACGGTCAGAAGGTTCTGGGCGAGATCACAGTCGAGAATGCCATCGGGGGCATGCGGTATGTTTTACTTCCGGTCGTCGGCCCGCATGGCGTCTGACGTTGTGGCAGTGGGTTGAAGGGAATGCTCTGGGAGGGATCGGTCCTCGACGCCAACGAGGGCATCCGCTTCCACGGAAAAACCATCAAGGATTGCCAGGAGGTTCTGCCGAAGGGGCTCTCGGGACAGGAGATGCTGCCCGAGGGAATGTTCTGGCTTCTGTTGACTGGCCAGGTCCCGAGCACGGAGCAGGTTCGTGGGTTGAGTCGGACGCTGGCTGAGAATGCCGGCATTCCGGAGTTTATCGAGAAGCTGCTCGATAACTTGCCCACCACTTTGCACCCCATGACGCAGTGTATGCTTTCCTCCCCCATGCTCGGCGTTGCCATTCAGCTCACAGCTGAGACTTCCAGTTGCGATCGCCGTTTCTGCGCTGAACCACGATTCCAAATTCGCAAAACTGTACGAGTCCGGAACACTCAAGAAGGCGGATTACTGGGAGCCCACATTCGACGACTCGATCCAGCTGCTCGCCAAACTGCCCACCATTGCCGCCAAGATCTACCAGAACACCTACCTCGGCGGTGGAGCTTTGCCGCCGATTGACCTGAACCAGGACTGGTCGCACAACTACGCAGCCATGCTCGGAAAAGCCGACAATGAGGGCTTCGTCGACCTTCTCCGATTGTACCTCGCTCTCCACGGTGACCACGAGGGAGGAAACGTCTCGGCGCATGCTACCCACCTCGTTGGTTCCGCACTCAGCGACCCCTTCCTGTCCTACTCCGCTGGTCTCCAGGGACTTGCTGGCCCGCTCCACGGACTCGCTGCACAGGAGGTCTTGCGCTTCGTCCAGAAGATGCAGAAGAAGGTCGGCAACAACGCCACGTCGGCCGACGTCGAAGAGTACTTGTGGAGCCTCCTCAAGTCGGGTCAGGTGATCCCGGGCTACGGCCACGCCGTCCTCCGCAAGCCGGACCCCCGCTTCGACGCACTCATGGCCTTTGCCGAGTCGCGACCCGAGGTCAAGAAGAGCGATGTGTTCAAGCTCGTCAAGAAGACCAGCGAGGTGGCGACCAAGGTGCTGACCGAGCACGGCAAGACGAAGAACCCGCATCCCAACGTCGACTCCGCCTCGGGATGTCTGTTCCACCACTACGGAATCAACCACGATCTGTACTACACTGTCACCTTCGGCGTGAGTCGTGGACTGGGACCGCTGGCGCAGTTGGTCTGGGACCGCGCGCTGGGTCTGCCCATTGAGAGGCCGAAGAGTTTGAGCATGGATGCGATTGTTAAGGCAGTTGGAAAGTAGGAGGGTTGGGCTGCTGGCAGTGGACTGTGGGATCAAAAGTGTACTTGGTATATTCCCAGTAACAGATCGTACTCTTGAGCATTGCATTTACATAACTATCTCTTTGAGCTCATATACCTGCTGCTATGCCTTCCGCTGTCGTTGATCGAAGATAGTTCTTGTAGATAGCCATAATCTTTCCACTGCCCCAAGTATGTCCATCTTCCTCCTCTAAGGCTGCGCCACTACGGTGGCTCATGCAGCGGCCTGTGTCGTCATTACGGGCATTCAGCCCTCGGGGGGAGGTAGAGTATGTAGTGAATTTTGGGACCTTCCCCGTCCGAGAAGGAGTCCCGAGAGGTACAAAACCAGTGCGCTCATCGAAGTCAACCGAATCAGCCACACGAGCGAAAGCTACCGTAGTAAAGCCCGCAAAGGTTTCTTCCCCTTTCGGAGGATCGAACGCCACTATCTACAGCACACAGAGCCGAATTGGGACTTGAGCATGAAGTGGGAGCGCTAAGCACCAGTTGCGCTCGCTTACTGGATAGATCCTCTGATCCCCCACCACCACCAACCTTAACAGGAACAACCAGGACAACCAGAACAACCACAACTAAACCACAACAACGCGGATTTCCCACGTCATCCCCCGTACGGGATTGCCATTCGCTTCCGGGGATCTACTCTAAGAGACTACCAGACTACAAGTTGTACGATTTGCTAGATTTGCTAGATTTGCTATTGGTGCTATACATAGCTCAGACACGGCACGGATGGGAACGGCAGCTGCTGCCGTTTCTTTGTGTGCGTAGAGTTCTGCGCTCTGCGTTTTACGTCTCAATTGCTGCTGCCGATCTCTTCCTTCTCTTCCGTCTCTCTTCTCTTCTTTCCTTCCATGATTCTTCGTATGTAAGGAGCCTGGACTCTGGAGGACAACAATTCCTGCGCTTTCCCATCATTTGTGCGCTTTTGCCGGTATTTGAGTATGCCTATCACGGACTCCAACCCGCTGCAGCATATCTAGCATATCTAGATTCTACACATGTCTCGGATTTATTTTGCGACCAAGGTTGGGTGGGTCGGATTTTAGGGCCACGGTACGGTATTTGTCTGGGTTCGACTCGTTGAGGCCGTCGTGCTCATCGCTTGGGACACAAGGATGGGGGCGGGGCGACGAGTGAGCTGGCGAGTCGAGGCCTTGGGGCGCTCATTGGGGGAAATGGTGCTTGCATCATACCTACTCTACTGGTGGTCAGTGGCTAGTGGTGTATGTATGAATCATGATAGGTGTGAGTCCCCATTCATTCTATGTACTAGTAGGCCCTTCTTGCTATTGGGTCTAGCTTCAGATACATGTGTTCGTGCTGGTGGAAGGGTTATCCGTCTGTACGCACAGTAGGAATGCGGTGGCGTCGCTGTGAGATCTGGGTTGCAGCGTTGCTCCAGTAGAATTCGACTGCTTGTTGACTCCTGAACTCACACCACATACACTCGTTTTTTTCCTTCTTCTTATTTCGATGATGGCGATAGAAGAGTGCGTCGGCGGAGGTACAGGTGGAGGTACAGGTGGATGCAGTGGCTGTGACTGCGAGGAAATATTGCTCGGCGTGAGTACTATTTTCACTCGTACTCCCCTTTCCTCAAGTTGTTGCTGTACTAAACTGTCCACAGGGCTCATCGAGAGTGAGTTCACCATCGCGACGATATATACCAAGGTCACCACCACGGCCACGGCCATCGGCATCGTCATGGCGACGATCTTTACAGAGCAAGAAGGTCCCTACCACTACAGCATGGATTTTCACCCTCATTACGCTCACCCTCGCGCTCCTCCTCTCCCCCGCCGCCGCAGCAGAAGTAGTAACCTTCCGCAACTGCACGTACACTGGCAAACTCCTCCCAGCATCCAAAGCGGTGACCTTCGCCGACCTGACCAGCACAACCGGTAGCATATCATGGGGGGCCTCGCTCGACACAAAGTCTATGACAACAGACGACTACGTGCTCTCCCTCGGCGAGAACCGCGCGCCGACGATCCTGAACGTGTATTTCGACGCCGCACATCTCGAAGGCGGGCTGAACGAGCCACTGAACTGCCAGATCGCGGCGGCGAAGGCCGCCGGCGCTATCCTGATGCTCACCATCGAGCCGTGGGACGGGCTGCACAAGATCGACAGCGTGGTGACCACGTACCTGGCCCGGCTCTGCCGCGACATCAACGATGCCGGCGTCGGCGTCTTTGTGCGCTTCGCACACGAGATGAACGGCGACTGGTATCCGTGGGGCGCGCGGCCGGGCGAGTACAGAGACACCTACCGCGCCGTCGCCGCGGCGGTCAAGGCCGCCGCGGAGAACACGGCTATGGTGTGGGCGCCGAATACGGGTGTGGGATACCCGTACGACGGCGCGGGGAAGTATCTTCCCACCGATACCGAGGGCAGCAGGTTCAAGCAGATGGATACCAACCGCGATGGCGTCCTTGACGAGCACGATGATCCGTTCGGTCCGTACTATCCCGGCGACGACGTGGTGGACTGGATCGGCATCTCGCTGTACAGCAAGCGCGATAACCGAGAGTCCGACGACAGGGCGAATAAAATGGATAAGCGCGGCCCGCTGAATATGTACATCAACAACCCCGGCACCAAGTTCAACATCTACGAGATCTACGCGAAGGGGAAAAACAAGCCGTTCATGATCGCCGAGACAGCGTCCGCGTACTACCCCGACTTCCCCGAAGGCGACGGCGAGGTCGAGGTCAAGCGCCAGTGGTGGCGCCAGTTCTGGAGCCCGGAAACACTGAAAGACTACCCGCTGCTCAAAGTACTTCCTCTCTCCCCCCTTTCCTCCCCTCCCCTCCAATCCCGTCAGCTGACCCACCCCGTAAGGCAACCGTCTGGTTCGAATTCTCCAAAACCGCGGACACGGGCGAAGTGCGCGACTACACGATCACGCGGAAGCAGGCGGTGCTGAACGCATTCCTGGAAGACGCCGGGGCCACCAACGCGATCAACTTTCTGGACCGCGTGAAGCAGGACCTGTCGGGCGGCACGGGCGGGTGCGCGTGCACACAGCCGGGCGACCTCGATGGTGATGGGAAGCCAGATAAGAAGAAGGGCGTCGCCGCGGGGGTCATGGTTGATCGCCGATTGCTGTTGCTGGGAATGAGCGGTGTGATGGCGGTGGTTGGGGGTGGGTTTTAGGGAGTGTGAAGTAGGTAGGTAGGCATGGCGCACACGAGGTATATGTGTGGGAATTCGGCATTTGCGTAAGTGCTTGGTTTTACATATAATTTGGGCCTACTTTACCTGTATTCTCGGCGGTCTCTGGGTGCGCATTTGGATAGGACGCACTGGGTTAGTTTAATGGTAATGGTACTTCTACTCTCTACTCGGGGATTCTTCGATTCAGAGAAATTGAGTCATGGCGATCACTCGTAAATTAATGGACCACCTCCGCTTTGTCGGCCCGTTCGGGCACCGGTCCGGCTGTCCAACTACTCTAGCTGGGCAATTGCTTAGTCTAAGCATAGTATACCGGTTGCTCTATTGTCGCCAGTTATCGTAGCAGACGGGGTGAACCTGCGATTTTTGCAATGCCACAGGGAACAACCGGCGACAAAACATGATACCTACCTGATATCACTCAACGCTTCTAGGCAGGCAGGCAGGCAGGCAGACAGGCAGACAGGCATGACAAGTACCATGTAGTAGTGGGGGGGGATCCACAGCAGCGCGGGTGAGTCGTGACTCGGGCTGGATAATTCATTCCCTTCCACATCATAGAGTCCTGGAAGTTAGGTATTCGAGACTGTCCTCTGGAGCCCCAATCCAGTGTTCGACACAGTCCAGTCCAGTCCGTCCAGTCCGTCCTGAGCCTCGGACTGGGCTGGACTGGACTGGACTGGACTGGACTGGACTGTATCTTGGCAGACCGCCCGGGAGCGGTGTTCGGACGGACTACCTACCTACCTAGTCCAAAACAAATCGATGGCAGGACGGACTGGACTGCAGTCGACTGCAGTCCGCACCCAGTCTACACCCAGTCCACGAAATCCATGGACTGGACGGACTACTTTTACAGATCTTGGGCAGTCCGTCCAGTTCAGACTGCAGTCGGGACCGGACTATGTCGAACACTGCCCGGAGCCCGATCATTCCTCTGCCCCCAGCAGAGGACAACGTAAAGTGGCGCTTCGGCATCAAGCAGTGCCTCCGATAGTCCAGTCTCGTCCGTCTTTTTGGCAAAAGTCGGACTGGACTGAGAGATTCAGTCCGGCAGGAGGCGTGGACTGGACTGGGCAGTCGGCGCAACTAGTAGGGGCTGGACGGACTGCAATCGACTGGACGGACTGCAGTCGACTGGACGGACTGGCACTTTGAATGGAAAATGTTTGAAATCAGTAATGAGCTTTCTGTACACGTCTATAGTAAAGCTATTGCAGATCCTCCTCGCACAGTGCATTGAGGACAGTCTCCATCTCCTTGATATCGCCCTTTGTAGCAGCTATGTACAAGACCATCTCGCTGCCAGCTTTGAGACATTCCAGGGCCTTCAGTGCGTCGTCACCCATGCTGCAGCGACGATGAGAGAGTGTGACTTTAGTCCCATTAAAAACTCGTTCTGGCTCTGCTCTCATGACGGGAATGCCCAAACACTCGAGGGCCATTATATTCTGGCGAGATCTTTCCAGCGAGGTCCATGTGACTTAATATTCGCCCAGTACTGTATCACATTATCAATAGAATCGTATGGATCATGGATGTGGTTCCTGCTGGGAACCCCCCATCGTATCTTTATTCAGACGACGGTGGAGTAAGAGATAGAGAGCTGGCATGATATGAAAAGAGAACATGTGATACATCGAAAGAGTGATGCCCGCTAGCCCTATTGTTCGACCCAAAAATTTCAGAAAGTATCAGTCTGTCAGTCGACTGCAGTCCGAGGCGGCAAATCTTGAGGACGGACTGAATTTAAACCGCCCTCCAATTTTATGGACTGGGCTGGACTGGACTACCGGGAGCACTGAACCAGGGACACGATAGATAACTCCTTCAATCCCGCGGTATCCAGCTACTTACCTAGTAAGTGGTGCAACGGCGCTACGGTCCGGTCCAGTGCTGTGGATATCGATCTGGATAGTGAGAGGTACCTAGGCGTATCCCATCGGCCGGAGCCGACGTATATGTAGATTACGGAACAGATATAGGAGTGGGTAAGTGCTCTATTCCTATCTACAGGAGGAAGCCAAAGTCGAGATTTAGACGGCTATCTAGCGGCCAACTTTCCAAGCGCATCTATGATCTGACACCGACATTGGTCCTGTATTCGGGAAAGCTGGCAGAACCGGTTGTGCATCTTTCCATGAACCGATGGCAACGATGGCAACGATTGCTGCGATTGCAGCGATTGCGGCCGCTCCTTCTACTCGATCCCTTAACACAACACAACACAACTTCACTAAGTATATCAGCCCTTAGAGGGCATTGCCTGTGCGTACCGTGACAGCAACGCGGTGGCGGCCGACCAATCCTTCCGTATGATCGCCGAGAATGTGCTATGCAGGAACATCGATCACTCGCCCTCGTATTGCCGTAAAGACGGTCAGTGTCATAGGATGGAATGTCTTTGAGTCATCAATCCATCTTCGTGGCTAGAGATACGGTAGGTAATCGAGCACTGTCGGTTTTGTATAGCCGTATGCAGCATGAAATGCCGAAGAACTGTGGGCGATTAGTTAGCACACAGCTGAGGATACTTGAGCGGAATGACTTCATTGAAATGTTCAGAGGACCCACCGTTCAATTTCCTTCCGCCAGCTCTCAAATATATCATAGGTTATGCATGTGATGCGTTGCACGGCCAGGCTTGTGAACCATCTTATGTAACCCCGCCGTTAGCCAAACACCTGGCTGGCGGCTAACCCAGCCTAAACCAGACCCGCGGCACAACATTCTCCGTGTTTTGCAGATGCGAGGTGACACCGCAGATGTTTAGGACCCTTGATCTGTGCGCGGCGGTTTAGGTATCAGACGACGAGGTTAGGTATCAGACGACGAGGTACCTAAATGACTAAGTAGGTGTGTGACAGAGGGGACCTCTTGCTAGGTACTTCTTCCCTCACTTCCCTTCCTTCCAGCTATATACTCCACACACTCTGCTCGGGAACAGCTGAAGTCGAAGTTGCAGTCGTCGCCAGCTGGACTGTATCGCCAGGTCTACTACTCTACTATAGTACCTGCATACATACTGCTAGTTAGCTCCACACTCCACAATCCTTAGCTCTCCGTCTGCCTGCATTTCCCTATATGACCGAGCTGCCTCTTGAGCTTTCAACTCCACAACTACAAGCCAGACAGCGAATTACTACCTCGAAGCTATGGAGCAGGAGAAGATTCGTTTGCAGGACCCCTTACTCAAGTCTTGCGACGGTCAGCGCTGTCCCCATCTTTACGTCCGGAAATATCATACTAACTCCGCTCCAGAACCAAGCGACGCAATGCAGCAGCGACGGAGCACACAGGCGATCACACATCGCGGGTATGCACCCACAGCTGATCGGGAAAGCGGGGCGGCTGGTTAACCGCGCCCAGGGATCAAACAAAGTACCCCGAAAACACGATGCTGGCGTTCGAAGCCGCTTTCGAAGCCGGGTCGGACGCGATTGAGACGGGTATGACTATGGCTACCCTCCATTCCAGTTCGGCCGGCCGGCGGAGACTGAACCTGCATACCTAGATCTACACCTCACGCGCGACGGCGTTGTGGTTATGTCACATGTAATCCGGCTCCTGTCACTTGGCACTTCTCGGTGGGGTGCTAACCAGAAGCACCAAAGGATGCAACATTGAAACGCTGCTTCGGCGTCGAGAAGAAAATCATCGACTGCGACTACTCGTACATACAGACGCTGCGCACACTGAAGGAGCCGCATCTGCCGCTACCCTCCCTGAAGGAGGTCGTCGAGTATGTGCGTGACAAGGATATATGGTTGCTGCTCGATATCAAGGTCGACAACGTCGCGGACGATGTTATGAGATTGACTGCCGAGACAATAAAGTCTGTCCATGATGGCGGCGCGGAATACTGGCGAGAGAAGATTGTTTTGGGGTGTTGGACGTTGAAGTTTTTACCTGTATGTTCGGTGGACCTCCGGGACATGGGCGTATGCGATGCTAATGGCGAGAAGCTGTGCGAGAAGTATCTTCCAGGATTTCCGATTGTCGTGAGTTGCCACCGATCACCGGGTGGTGAGTAATGTTGACGGAAAGGTATAGCATATCGGTTTCTCGACCACGTACGCCCGTGAGTTCCTGGAGCACACCAACGTCGGCTTCAACCTATTCTGGCCAATACTGCAAACCACGGCAGGTAAAGACCTTGCCAAAGAAGCCAAGGACGCGGGAAGGAAGGTGTATGTCTGGACCGTCAACGAGGAGGAAACCATGAAGTATGTCTCCCGTTCCTGCTAGATCGAATACCTACTAGCAAATGTTAATCGGCATCCATAGATGGGCAATAGAAAACGACTCAATAGACGGCGTTTGCACTGACGATCCCGTGAAATTCCTAGAGCTGACTGACGGCTATGGCGAGATCTGGCTCGACGCCCCGCGGTCCATGCAGGTAGCTTGCTACACCTTTGTTTGGAATTGGATTGCGACTGTTGTCTTTATTATTTATCAGTGGCGGTACGGAAAGAATCTAGCGGGCCTGGGAGTTATCTCGTAGATATCATACTATATAGAATAGATACCGACGACGACCAAAGAATAGAGTTTGCAGAAGGTTAGCCACGCTGACTTTCACGGTTCAGCGATGATTAGTTATTGCATCAGTTCGTTTTGCTAGGACCTCGGGAAAGATCAGGGATCTAGGGCTCAGTATATGTAGGGTTTAGTACATGATCAACGTAGTTACCCGTTGTGCATGTTGCTACGTGTTGATGTTCGGGACTGTTGTGAAGCCTGTCGACAGCGTCCCTAGCAGCCCGTCCTGTCCCGTCCGTCAGTCTTTCCGGAGCTCAGGCTCCTCCACCATTCCGTCCTGTCTCTTCCGTCCGTTCAAAAGCGGGCATTTATACCGATGACGGCAGAGACCACCCCTCAATAAATCGAAATACCATTCGTACGATACCAAGCGCACGTCCACATACGACCGCGAAATCGAGCGTCGCTTGAAGTGAAGCGAGTGATCCACTATGAACCCCGCAAAGCCACGCTAAGAATTGTGGCATCTGGGAACGTTACACGGGGTCTACGCTATTTACAACGTGTCCAACCAATCCACACACAGTGCGCACCAACATCAACCTTCCCTCCACGCCCACGACCGAAGCTCGCAGCTACAGTGTAGCTCCCCGCCCGCAAAGACAGCAAAAACCATGGACGACCTTCTCAACCAACTCGGCCTCTCGGAGCTCCGCCGCCTCAAGCCCCGCCAGATCCTCTCGCAGGTCCTGAACTTCGCACTGATCCTGGGCTCCGCGTTCATGATCTGGAAGGGCCTCAGCGTCGCCGCGGACTCGCCCAGTCCCATTGTCGTCGTGCTGTCGGGGAGGTACCTATCCCCCCTCTCTCCCTCCCCTCCCACCATTCTCTGTGTGCGCGAGCTAAGTTGTTCCGGCGTGTAGTATGGAGCCAGCCTTCCAGCGCGGCGACCTGCTGTTCCTCTGGAATCGCAACCTGGGAATGAACCAGTACGCGGGTCCGCCTGCGCACGAGCACTCGCCCGGCACACAGGTCGGCGAGATCGTCGTCTACAACGTTGTCGGAAAGGATATTCCCATCGTGCACAGAGTCGTCAGGCGCCATAAGGGAGAGTATGTATCCCCCCACCGTCCCCCACCACCCGCCCCCAGGTGCATATCCGGCATGTGGAAACTGATAGATGGATGTACTATAGGACTACGCCCCTGAACCTCCTCACGAAGGGCGACAACAACCATGCGGACGATACCGAGCTGTACGCACGCAACCAGTTCTATCTCGACCGGGAGAAGGAGGTGATTGGCAGCGTGGTTGGGTACATTCCGTTTGTGGGATACGTTACCATCCTGCTGAGTGAGCATCCGTGGGCAAAGAGTGTTTTGCTTGGAATCATGGGGTTGCTGGTCATTTTGGAGAGGGAGTAGGGCAGACGAAATCAATGGGCGTTTGTGGAACTGGAACTGGAGCGATATCCGATGTATTATTACCTATCATGGGAATGCATGAATTTACAAGCAAAGGCGCACGAACTTTTCGTGCTAGTGAAAACATGTAGCATCTCACCTCAATACAATCCAATTCGTTGCTCCGTTCTATGATATCCCTTCATCGCTTACAGGCTCTTCCCCATAAACCGTCTCTTGCTAAAGCTCAACCACCACTTACTTGGCTTGCCAGTTCCATCCGCATACAACCTAACCACCAGCCTCGCGGCCAGCTCCTGCCTCATCTGCCCGATGTATCCACGCAGGGTATCGGCCTCATTCCTATCCTTGGGCGGCTGGTAGAGCGCATTGAGGGGGAAAGCCGGATCACCAGGCAAGGCGAAGTGATCGAGAGCCGCCGCCTGCAGTGCCTATTTGTCCCCATGCGTCGCATCAGTCCCCAGTACAACATTCCCTCCCTCCCTCCCTCTTCCTCTCCCTCTCGCATCCATCCAGAGGAGCTAGCTTACCTTCTCAGCATCGCGCATGCTCATGGCTGGCTTGACCCGCCCCAGACACTCAGAGATCCACAGGATTCCATAGATCAGCACGCGGTCGGCGGGGCCCTTGATCTCAAAGTTGCGGAAGAGAGTGTTTGCGCGGAACAGCGTCAGCGTCTCGTCCAGGATGTCGTACGCTTCGCTGTCCGGGTCGATGTCTAGGTCGCTCGTGCCCGCGGGAAGCGCTGGCAGCGTGTAGGCGGGTCCGCGCGTTTTCGTGCGCAGCGCGGGGAGGCCGAAGTTACCTGGGGGAGGAGGGGTTAGACGAGATGTGGATGCGAGCGTGCACGCTGAATAGGAATGGGAATGCGGAATGGTGAATAGGGGAGGTACCGATTACGCGCGATTCGGTGTCGCGGAGGAACGAGGAGTGGTAGGCCTGCGGTGTGAGCCTGGAAGTAGTGGTTGATGGCGGAGGAGCAGAAGGAAGCTTACCGGCATGATTAGATGAGGTAGACGAGTTGATTGGGGTGAAGATGAGCTGCGTGGTGATGATGGACGGAGGTGGGGGGAGGTGTTGTTGCGGGTGTCACCTAGTTGTACGGCTTGGCGTGGAGCTCTCCAACCACTCTAGAGTAATTAGCGGCCGCGGGTTCTCTTCTAGCCGTCATTAATCTTCGCCAGTTTCCCCAGACTCTCGATTGGATTCACTCGCGCGACACAATGGCTTTCGGGAGGATACGGTGCCAAGAGGCAAGAGGATTATGAATTTCCCCTCAGTTCGACGTGCAACAGCTATCCCGACTCGATGTTGGCCGGCTGACTAGGGTAGCGACTCACAATCTGACTTCACTAGTGGAGTTCCCCCGTCCCGTCTCATCCACCCCACCATCACCACCTCGAAACGCACGAATACCTCCACCTCGAAACGCACCACGCTCCTACCCTCACGGCTACGACGGCGCCCCCACGATGTCCACCGCCAGCTACACCCCCGCCGCGCAAGCGGCGCACACCCACCTCGTAACGATCGTGCACCGACACCTCGAGTCGTCCGCGCTATGGACCAGCCTCAGCACACACCCTGCCTCTTCCACCCTCCCGCGGCCCCTCCTAACGGGCGTCCCACCCTCCCCGGTATACACCGACCCAGACGCGGACCCGCACGCGCCTCCGTCAGCCGAAGCGAAGCAGCAGGTGGAGTGGGTTCTCCCCGTGGACCTGCGCGAGAAGTGGAGTCCGCGGAAGATGGCGGAGGTGTTTGATGCGATGCCGGCGGGCGTGTGGGGGAGCGATGCGAAGGGCGCCACGAGGAAGAAGAGGCTGCTGCTCGCTGTTGTCGCGGAGGACTCCGCTGTGGCATACTATTTTGTTCATGATGGAGTTGTTAAACCGAGGCAGAATTAGTGGGGAGGTCTCCGGGAGAGCGGCCGGGAAGGAGGGAAAATGGAATACATAGACAGTCTTGTGGGTGGGGATGAGGCGTTCGGATGGCACAAAAGTTTGCTTTTTTGGGGCTCTAGGCTTTCATCACGGGATTCACGATCGAGTGAGATTCTGTGCTATGCAGATACATTGCAGGATTCTACTGTGGCAACAAAGACTCAATCGATCATGGACAGCCATGGATGTTTGTCCACAGAGTGTTGTTGCTTGTCGAGCCACCGCCCGATGAAAAAGAATGGTCCCGCAATGGAGGCTGCATTAGTGGCTCTCGCTTAAAAGCTTGTCCCCTGGCCTCCTTTACGAGACAGAAACACCTGAAGCCAGCCAGACTCAGCCAGACACCAGTTTGTAAATATACGGACGCATAACATGCGTCTCATCACACTTCTCAATAATTTAGGAAGAAAAAAACTCAGCTATGATACAATCGAGCACCCAACCAATCAATCAATCAAGTATAACCAATTAGCCCCATCCATTATCATGTCCGGTTCAAGCAAATGCATCCAACTCCTCCTTCATGCGCCTATAGGCCTCCTGCGCCTCGCGCTCACGCTTCTCGACAAATTCTGCTTCCTCCTTGAGACTCTCCAGTCTTCGAGGGATAGCGTCGGCCTCGCTAATTCGCAAAGTCCTGAAGCTATCCAGATCGATCTTGGTTTGTAGGATCGCCTCGGATACCTCCTGGACTTTTTGTATCAACGTACGTTCGCGGTTCATATACCCACCGAGCAGAATCGAGAGTTTCTTCTCCAGTTTGTTTCCTTGTGTGGCGTCTTGTGTGAGTTTATCTTGGATAGCCTAGATAGATAAGTTAGTTGTAGACTTAAGGGGAGATGAAACTATGGAGAGAAACGTACATCGAAGGCCTGGATCTTAAGCTGTTCCGTGTCAACCTCATCGTCAACGTAGTCTTCAAGTCCGGGCAGGGTCGTGCCACCATGAACCTTCAGCCACACTGCTTCAAACTCGGCACCTGCAGCCTTCGCCACCTCCTCGGGGAGCTCAAGCAACATTTCATCCCGGGCACGCGCAATGAAGTCATCATCGATCCGCTCCAACGGCTGCACTGTTCCAATGAGCTTGCCACCCTTGACGGGGTACCTAAGAGCATCCGTGCTGATAAGCGTCACCATCTCATTCGCAATCATGCCATGTATTCCAGTCTCGGCAGAAGCCCTCTGCAGAAGCATATTGACGTCCAAGACAGAAGGGCGTGGAAGGTCTCGCTGCACAGCCTGGGTTCGTCGCTTAAGCTCAGCAGCTGCCTCAGCCTCCTGCTTCTCGCGTATCCGACGGTCCCGCTCTGCTGCGTCTTCTTCTGTGAGCTCCTCCATCACTTCTTCCTCTTCGGGCTCATCGGGTGTCTCCAACTCAATCTCCTTGGGTTTCGGCAGAGACGAGAAACCGGCCCGAAGCTGTTGCCTGAGGGAGTTCTGATGTAGCTTCTGATCCCTTGGCGTCATGCTCACGAGCGATGATACGTCTCCGTTCGCATTGATGGCTAGTGTGTCTCTTGGGGTCCTCAGCGGTGTTTGGCCGATTCGTGGGGTTGCACCAATGCCTCCAGCTCCGGCGCCCCGGAACGGTGTGGCCATGGGATTGGGTGTAGAGATGGTTGATCGCTCAGGGTTGATTCCCTTGAACCCTGTGCTTCCGCCCTCATGCAATGGCGTGTTCTCACCTCCAAGAAGCGATGACTGCGTTTCCGTGAGAGCTCGAATATTCTTGATCTCATTGGCAACACGATCCTCGGTTGGCGGAGCGCGCGGTGTTCGGATCGGTTGGCCAGTGTTGACGCTGTTGTAGTTGCCTATTAAGCCCTTCGTGGACTCATTCTCTCCGGCAACCACCATCTGGTTGGCTTTCTCACCGACCATACCCATCTTGACAATATCCTCGAGCTCTGCCTCGCTCACTTGCGGTGCAGGGAGGTTGAGCGCTCTCCGCTTGCTGAGTTGCTCTGCCTCCCGGATCTTCTGAAGTTGTCCCGCCTTCGCAACCTGTGCCGCCGCGGCTGCAGAGCCAGACTTATCCTTATCACCCTTCCTCCTCTTTCCGTTGCCACTGTCGTCCTGGTCGCCCTGTCGCTTTTTGTGGGAAAGCGCTTTCCTCGGGTCAATCCCCTCACGCTGCCTCTCATTCCTGAGCGCCTCCTCAGCCGTATCGTAGAAACCGAGTGCTGGCGCCTTCTCGAAGGGAATATCCGCATTGTAGTCCATCTCTCCTTTCCGACGGTTCGACAACTTGATGTTGATTCCGGCATGTTTCAATTCTCGTCGCTTTTGGAGAAGCGCCAGACGTCGAGAGTCCTCGAGCTGTCGTTCTCGGGCCTTGCGCTTCGCTTTTTTACCCTGTGTGTTGGCGAGACGCGCTCGGGCTTCGCTAAGCATCTCTTTCTCGTCCTCGTCCATGTCGACGGCATCTGTTATACCACGAAATCACAATTAGCATACACCAATGGCGCAAAAAGGCAGGACACGATTGGGGCATACCAGGTCTCGCAGGCTTGGTCTCTGGGTCTGGATCCGTCTCCCCTGGCCTGAACTTCCTGATATCGTCCGCCGAAGGCGCCGCGGCCTCTTCACCAGGACCCGCAAGTCCCAACTCCTGACTATCTCTCGCCTCGGCCTCATCGAGTAGGCTGCAGCAATTGTTAGCCCACCTCTCTCGCACCTAAAGAAACAAACCCCCCCATAGCATCGAGAAACTCACGAGTTGTAACGGTCCAAACACTGCGTCGCTGTCCTGCCGACAATCGGCGCAATAGTCCTCCATTGCGTCGGCATCAACTTCGCGAGATGTAGCAACTTCTCATCCTCGTCGCGCGACCACTCAACCTTCCGAATACTCGGGTCGAGCCATTCGGACCATCGGGCTTTGCACTGTTTTGCGGATTTGCGCGCCAGCAGCGACGACACGCGCTGCCATTGGTTCAGTCCGTATTTACTGACTGACGCCTTTAGGATCTCGTCTTCGACGTTTGTCCAGACACCGCCTTTGACGACTGGCATGGTGGTAGTCGGGCGTGTAAGTCGTGGGTGGGTGGTGTTTGTAGTGTGGATTTCGGGTCGTGGAGAAGCTCGTGGTGGTTCCTGAGAAATTCGAGATGCAGGCGCGTCTTCGGTCTTCGCCAGCCAGCCGGCAAGGAAGGCAGAGCTTCAAATTAAAGGTCCATTACCCGGCTCGCAACCAGGAACTGGAACCAAGCCAGCCGTCGTCACTCCCCCGGCCCCCCAGCCAGCCAGCTCCAACAACTTACCTAACACCTCCACGTTCGACCTCATCTTTCCCCACCGCAATAAATAATGGTATCTCGACCTCTCCAAAGCTCCAAGGATGGCACTGAAGCTAACTGAGCGAAAATAGTCAGCCCAGAACTCCGCCGGAATCCAACGGCTCCTCGATGTACTCGCACCCCGCCATCTACCTATCTCGCGGAACGGCGCTTGCTCACGGATTTCTAGGCCGAGCGTGATGCTCAAAAGATCGTGCAGAAAGCGAGGACATGTTCGTAAACCGTATCGCTCGCTATCACTCGAGCTAACGGTTGGCAGACCGAACACAGAAAGTAAAGGAAGCCCGCAGCGAGGCACAGAAGGAGATCGAAGAGTACAAGAAGCAGAAGGAGGCCGAGTTCAAGAAATTCGAGGAGGAGGTGCTTATCCGCCCGCTCTCTCTCTCTCTCTCTCTCTAGACATCGCTGACGCTTTGGCAGCATTCCGGCGTAAATGCGCAAGCTGAGCAGGAGTCAACCCGTGAGGTCGAAGCGAAGCTACAAGAGATCAAGACCGTGGGCGAGGAAAAGTCACCCAAGGTCGCCGAGGAACTGGTCAATGCCGTTATCGATATTCACCCGAAGCCGCACCGTAATGCTGCGAAAGTAGCTTAAGTGGGGGGAGAGGAAGGAAGATGGTTAACGTCACGGATGGTGGTAGAGGGTATATCCTGTTGTTGATAGACAATCGCGGCCGATGATTCCTTGTCTGATATTCTTTCGTGGTGTTGTGTTGTTCTTAATTCAGTTTGATTACATCACTCGGTGTACGCCATGGAGAGCAGCAAGAGGTTCGGCCCATCGTGACATGGTCCTCCACGAGCTCTCTCATTATTCTTGATCCGCCCGTTTACTGGGAGCGCAAGTGAAAAAGGTAATGTTAAGCTACTTAGAGAAATAATCTTTATCGATCGATCACAACCATCGTCAAATGTTATTACAGTAATGAGCTTATTCGCCTTGAATTGGGTTAAAATTCCACGATTTCATTGCCTCTTAGAGTGGCCGAACGAGCTCTATGATTGTACGACTTGTACAAGTATTCCTAGTTTACACATTCCTCCCAACACATTTCCAAGCAAATACAAACCAAAATTCAGAAACAACGCTCAACGCCGACGACCTGTAACAACGAACACCAATGTTAACCTCGTCCGCAAGAGCTGATGATTGTATGTAACAGAAATCAATCTTTACCAGCTTCTACGTCGTTCTTGTCGCTAGACATCTCTGCAAGGTGCCGGTACATGCTCATTTCTTCTGCAAACTCCGTGAGTGCTCGCAGCTCTGGACATCGATTAGCTTGTTCCAAAACAGCTGAAAGGGAATACATACCACTGCCAGTGAAGATAAAGCCGATCAAACCATCCATAACACCGGTGACCGCAACCACCCATCCGAGGAGCATGATCAAGAACGACACGCCATTATGCGGACTCCACCATATAGCCACATGCAAAAGGATCAACACGGGTATCGAAGCCCAGAAATGGGCAATGCGCCAAAACTTCTCCTTCACCTCGCGAGCCGTGTACTCTCTCTGCACAGCGAATATTTTGTCGATGATGTCCATCGGCAAGTATTTCTCGCCAGATACCTCACCAGCTTGATGCGGCATCTCGGCCTCATGTGCTCGTGCAGAGCCGGCGATGTCTATGAGTGATTCGTTAGAGGTAGGATTCGGGTTCCTTGCCATGGCCAGTTCGCGTTGCTGCTCGTAATTCGGCGCGAGAGCTAGCTGCACTTCTACTGAGAAGTGGTCCGAGAGACTGCAGTTTCTCCCGGCTCCACCCTTGCCCCCAGTTTGTGATGGCATATCCATAGGTTCAATCATGCCGACCTTTACGCTGCGTATAGAAGAATTGGCCGGTGAATGGAAGACGTAGTCCAAACGTTTACCGCGCGGGTCAACAGTGTCTGATGGGGGCAACTTTAGCCCCGGCATCCTCCAGGTGTTGAGAACACTGTCACATGTCGCTCCCATGATCTCGATATTGAACTTAGCATTCGCACCCGGGGGGTGAATGTCAGGCGTTGTGGGGTACGCCGAAAGCCAACTGTCAGATACCATTCCATGGGTGGCGATGAGGCGGTGTGCGAGTGACGACGGGATCATGTTGAAGTCGCCTACTCCGATGGCTACATTGCCCTTCTGAACTGCACCCCGTAGGAGCTTGGCGATTTCCCAGGCTTGCGCGGTGCGGTGGCAGAGGTATGTGTCCTTCTCCTCGTATGGAGCGTGCAACTACCAGGACGCGTTAGCAACAGCTAGTTATGTGTGACGAGAGTTATCGTACGTGTGTGTTGAAGACCTCAATAGTCCGCCCACTCGGATGCCGAATCGCAGCGCAGGCCACACCCTTCCCCACGTAGAAATCACCTCGGAAAAACGCAGTAGGTCGCCCATTGAGGGGGTACCGGAACATGCTGCTCTGCTCGATCGGCCATTTGGATAAGATGACCAGACCGCCCCCGATTGAACCAGAGAAGTAGAACTTTCCGTAGGGGAGGATGTGCTTGGTCTTCTGGCGCAGATTAAGGTAATCGGCGTAGACCCAGAATTCTTGCAACGCGACGATATCGTGGGATGGCGACGCACGAGCTATTCGAAGCGATATCTCGTTGAGACGGGCGACGCGGTGTAAAGCAATGTACTTGAGCTGTCGTCATTGTCAGCGGAAGCTTCCAAGTGAGAATCGCTTAAACTTACTCCCCAGCAATTCATGCTGAAGACATTAACGACTGGAACATCTCCATTGACTCCTGGTTCTGCCATTCTCGCTGTCGATATGGTATTCAGAAGCACGTCGGTCATCAAAGTGCTGGTGTAGTTGTGAAGGGAAATAGCTCCTGAACCATGAAAGCTTGATATGTGCTCTAGTATACATTGCGCTAAGACGTGAGGACCCCTAACCCCCGTCGCACAGGACAACGTCACGGCATTTCTCCGGCGATCTGTGCTTTAAACCATAAACAACGCCGCAATTGTCACAATGAAAACGCCGGAGGAGCTGTACAAGCTTCGGAAAGAAGCTTTTGTTTCCAACCTTACGGGAGGATCAATCACTGAGATCAACCTTGTCACTGCCATAGCTCCTGTAAATTCACGCCCCTGCAAATGAGTGTGCTTCGGGAATGCTAACAATGGTCTCATAGGTCTCGTATGTCTTCTTCGCGGTTCTCCAATCCCGTCTGTGCCTCTTTACCTCCTACGGACCGGCACAATTGGCTATCGATTTCCTCATCAACTGTGTTCTCGTTCTTCTCGCGACGACCCTATACTCTGCCCAGCCGTTGCTCCTGAGCATACTTGTGCTGTCGCCAGCTGTCCTCATCTACTTCACCACTTCGAAACCACCCAAGACTGCAAGGCCCAACATTTCAAAGTCCAAGGATGTTGTCGAAGGCAGCGAGAAGAGTCAGGACCTGCTGCCAAAGAAAGCATTCCTCACTGTGTACCGCGGTAGCATGATGGTCATCACGTGCGTTGCCATCCTGGCGGTCGACTTCCACGTCTTCCCCCGGCGGTTCGCAAAGGTCGAGAACTGGGGTACATCATTGATGGACCTTGGTGTTGGATCATTCGTGTTTTCCTCGGGGCTTGTGTCGGCGCGTACAGTGGTCAAGCAATACCTCGCATCTTCTAGCCGTCCGGTGTCCTTTCTGGGAAGGATGAAGACTGCTATGCGCAGCTCTTTGCCACTTTTAGTTCTAGGCTTTGTGCGGCTAGCTATGGTCAAAGGCGTAGATTACGCCGAGCATGTGACGGAGTACGGAGTGCACTGGAATTTCTTCTTCACCCTCGGCTTCCTACCGCCGTTCGTTGCGCTGTTACAATCGATCCCCACCGGGAACCGGAACCCAACAGTCATCTACACGGTCCTCACTCTGCTCGTTGCGGTGGGTTACCAGATCGTTTTGAAGACGACAGGTCTAGAGGAATATGTCCTCGTTGGCGACCGCCACAAGTACGGTCTTCTAGGAATGAACAAAGAAGGTGCAAGCAGCTTTGCCGGCTATCTTGCTATATTCCTGGCTGGAATGTCATCCGGCACCTACGTACTCCCCCGAGACGATGCAGTTGATCCCAAGAAGTCGAAGATGTTGAAGACGATGTTGGGTTGGGCGGCGTTCTGGGTTTTTGCATTCATTGGCTGCAATGAATATCAGGGCCTAGGAATCGGTGTCTCGAGGAGACTAGCGAATCTTTCATATGTTCTTTGGGTTGCTGCTTTCAACACCACACAGTTGGTCGCATTTTACCTAGTTGAGAGACTACTCCTTTCGAAGCGGCAGACCGGAGTGGTCCATGAGAAGGAGGCATATAAATTCAATGTTCCTAGAGTGCTTAATGCATTCAATCGCAATGGATTGGCTGTGTTTTTAATGGTGAGTGACCCTTACACTTCTGCTAGAAAAGGTAACTGACGTGAGATAGGCGAATCTCCTAACAGGGCTTGTGAACGTTACGATCAAGACACTGGATATGGGACGGGTGGAAGCTATGGGCATATTGACGGCGTATCTCGCAGCGGTGGGAGCAGTCGCTTTGGCTCTTGATTATAAGGACATGAGCATCAAGCTATAAGTGGTGAGGAGTTAAAAGGGTCCAAAAGGCAATACCATTTATTTTCTGTTTATTTTACTAGAATTCTGTCTTCTATAAATTGGACTACCTATTCGAGTGATGATCAGTGACTAAAGTGCCAGGCCCTTAACCCTACACCAGTCACTTAGCGTGGTCCACAACACCCACAAATCTTCTTGAACTTTCACCTAGGAAAAGTCTAGCAAGTTCACAGCCGACAATCTTCAACGACAAATAACGACCAAATTTACCGGAGTACTTCCCCGACAACCCTTTAACCAACAACCAAACGGAAGTGCAGAGATGGGTATGCTTCTCCCGCCGGTTCCGCCATCTGTTTTTCTCACGTACTGACGATATGCGACAGCCCCCACCAAGAAGACCAAGAAGACCGGCTCCGACTCCATTAACTCGCGCTTGGCGCTTGTTATGAAGTCCGGAAAGTACGTGCTCGGATACAAGTCGACCCTGAAGGCTCTCCGTTCCGGCAAGGCCAAGCTCGTCATCATTGCTGGTACGTCTACAAACCACCCGCGATAAATCCCTCCAGAGCATACGCCTCGACCGCTACAGTTGATGGCGCCATCCGGATGAGGCACTATCGCGAGCATACATTGGAAGGTTTAATGTGCTGATGGTTGTTCTTAGGCAACACCCCTCCTCTCAGGAAGTCTGAGCTCGAGTACTACTCCATGTTGGGCAAGTGCAACGTCCACCACTTCGCTGGAAACAACGTACGAACCCCTCCCTATGTTTTTATTCTACCTCGACTCGTCCGTGAAGACCCAGTTTCCGAGAAGAAGCTTTCAATTGTCGCACCTGCTCCGTGGCAATTGAGTGGATCGGAAAGCCGGGTCTTCATCCCTGAGAAGAAGCAAGAAACTTCTGCTTTGGAGGGAACCCGCTTTGCTGACTCGTTCTGTCTGGGGATATAGATTGAGCTCGGTACCGCTTGCGGAAAGCTCTTCCGTTGCTCCACCATGGCCATTCTTGACCAGGGTGACTCTGACATCCTGTCTTCCAACGCTTAGAGGAAGAACACGGATGGGTTGGGGAAAGGTGGATACTCGTGTGGAGACACACTTCGGTAGTCACGAATAAAAAAAGAACAACCGAATATGAGAATTCAAATGTTCTACTGTGATGCGTTCTTGCTTTAGCCAAACTGTGACCTTTTCTAGAATTCTGTCCATTCCTAGCCGGACTTTCCATGTAGCCCACCATCTTCGCTCGAGGCTTCTGGTAGGATGTTTCCCTCCGTAGTCTTTCATGAAGTGTATTCCCTGTTAGCTTGTCTTTGAGTCCATGGCGATCCTTTATGCAGGTACAAATACAGATACACGTGATGTACTTCTCATAATCACCCAAACGTACAAATACCCACGCAGCCACGGGTTTTCTTGTGAACCTTCTTCCGGTGTGACGAAAGTCTATCACATGGTGAAAACCCTCCATGGACAAAACCGAGTGACAGACTGCAACTCTCGGCTCGGCAACCCTAGCCAGTTAGTTACCACAGCTCCCGTCTACGTCTTGCGGCTCCTTACTTGGAACTGCCAGGGTATCATTTACCGAAGTATTTACAGTTCCTACCAACCATTCCATCGCGGCCTTGGGCTCTGAACTATTCAATCCCTCCACCCTTCACTCACAAAACCAATCGGTCCGGCACTTACTGGCACGCACGCCCTAGCTAGCAAAATGTGGAGACCGGGCAACTGGTCCTCCTCCTCCCTCTCACAGCAGCAGCAGCAACCACCCCCACGTCCACCTTCACCCCCAAACAACAACAACCTCGCCCCACAGCTCCGAAACTATGCTCCCAGTCCACTCGGACGATGGCCCAACGCCTCTGCTGTGCGGCCCGCGCTGTCCCACAGATCCAGCATGATGAGCCTCGCCGGAGGGAACACACCCAACGCGTCGACGGTGTCCTTACCGATCAAGGGGAACCAACTGGGGTATCGAAAGGCAGTTTCGGCCCCGGCGCCGCCGGGAGTTAGGAATCCGCTGAATGTTCTGGAGGGGATACTCGGTGCGCCTCTGGTGACGGGGAAAGGCGAGGTGTGGATGCCGGAGGCGCGGGATGCGGAGAATGTAGCATTTGCTGGGCTGAGTCTGGACGAGTTTGTTATGAAGGCAGAGGAGGAGCTTGGGAGTGCGGTGGGGAGGAAGAGGGAGTATAATGAGCAATCGGTTGGGGAATGTTGGTTTCTCTCCCGGCGATTGTGGGGATGATGGCTGATGGGCGCAGATGAGAAAGAGAAGGATAAATTCCAGGACCTGCACCGCAGCATCACCGCGTGCGACGAGGTGCTGAAATCTGTCGAGTCGTATCTATCCGCGTTTCAGGTCGATCTAGGTACAGTCAGCGGCGAGATTGAGACTCTTCAGAACCGGTCGATGAGTCTCGACAGGCAACTTGGAAACCGGAAGGCGGTTGAAATGATGCTCGGGCCGATCGTGGATGATCTTATACTGCCGCCTAACGATGTTAGGCGGCTGGTCGAGGGCGATGTTAATGATACTTGGGTTAAGGCTCTACATGATACGGATAGGAGGATCAAGGCAATCGAATCCAAAGACCCGGCAAAAGTGAAAGCTGTGCAGGAGGTTCAGCCGGAGCTGGAGAAGATCACACATAAGGTGTTACCCATTGGCTGGCAGTATTATGCGATATGGGGACTAATTGGGGCCATCAGACTATTGAAAGAGTGCGAGATTTCTTCGTGTCTAGAATCAAGGCTTTGCGGATACCGGGTGCCAATTCGCAGCTCATCCAGCAGCAGGGTTTCCTACGATACCAAGAGCTATTCCAATTCATGGCGAACCATCATGCACAGCTAGCAGAGGAAATCGCTCAGGCGTATACAAACACCATGCGGTGGTACTACTCGACGCACTTTCAACGATACCACAAGACGTTTGAGAAGTTGAAGCTGCACGTAATGGACAAGAATGACGTGCTCGGTCAGGAAGAGGCAGCACGGAAGGGTGGTCTCATCCCTGGTCTTAAGGGGTCCGTGGCGGCGACGTACGATCCATTCAACATCGGTCGACGAATTGAGATACTCCGCAACCGCACAGCTCCCATTATGGCGGCCTACCAAGCCGAAGACGATAGGACTACACACTACCTGGAATTTCACTTCCGCCACTTCAACACGGCGTTGATGGAAAACTGCTCAGCGGAGTACACCTTCATCAGCGAATTCTTCTCACACAAGAAGCACGACCAGTTATCCCACATGTTCAACAGTATCTTCGAGCAAACCTTCGCCCTTGGAAGAGCCTTCACCAAGACCCTCGTCGACAACACTTACGATTCTCTTGGCATCCTCCTTTGCGTAAGGCTAAACCAATATGCCCTCTTTGAAATGCAAAAGCGTCGCATCCCCGCTGCCGAAGGTTACCTTAACGCAACCAACATGCTTCTCTGGCCTCGCTTCCAGCTAGTGATGGACGCGCAGTGCGAGTCGCTCCGCCGAAATATCAACAATACTCGCATGCTCGCCGCCGTCTCCGGTCCCGCTGCGAAGCAAAGTGCCGCGCCACATTTCCTAACCCAACGCTTTGCGAGCTTACTACATGGACTGCTTTCGCTCAGCGCCGAGGCGGGAGATGATGAGCCTGTACAACGGAGTCTCGGAAGGCTCAGAAGCGATTTTGAAGCGTTCCTCACGAAGCTAAGCAGTGGTATTAGTGATGCTAGGAAGAGGGAGCGGTTCCTGCTGAACAATTATTCGCTGGTCTTAACGATTATCTCCGTGAGCACCTCACCTACTCCCCCGCTACATCAAAAATTGCTAACGACTCGATAGGATACGGATGGCAGGCTGGCAATCGAGCAGAAACAGCATTTCGAACAGCTGAAGAAGACGTTTCAAGAGTAGTACCTAATGTAGTGGAAGGCGGATGGATGATACCCGGGTGGTGCATATTGTTGATAGTTATCAGCATACGAATTTGGCGTTTTTGGGCGTTTTGTTGCGTTTTTCTTTGTAAACGTTAGGATTTCCTATGAGGAACTTTGGACTGCATGAGAGAGAGAACATCAATTATACTCCGCATACAGTCTTTCTTTGGACTGTATGGATTGAACGAGGCTTTCATATCCTGGGCGAGTGAGATTGAATGAACTGACCACCCCATCGTGACTTCTCCGTCGTCCTGGTGTTATTCACAGGCACCTCTGACGGCTACCGGCCAAGCCGTCGCTGGCAAATCTCAAACTCGTCACGTCTGTAATCCGTAATAAAGGAAGACGTAAGGTCCGCAATGATGGTTCCACCTTCTGACTGGTCGCCGCGTTTATCCAAGGCGGTGGAATTCCAGCCCTGCCACTCCCATAACGCTTGCACAAACCCAACGATAATCATACCCATAGCACTCATACCCTCTTATCAGAGTCATGCGCAGTGAGTACTTCCCCAGCTATCGATCAAAAAACTCCAGAAAGAAGGAAGGGCTGCTTTGATTGTTAAGTGGTCCAAGTTTACTAAAAGAAAACGCGAGCAGCTTCGGACGATCTAAGGTCACACGAGGAGTTTGGGCCCACTGTAACACCAGCAAGTGAACTCCACCTCCACCTGCACCTTCCCGCACCACCCCGCAATCCCCACAATCACCATCAACACCATCTTGGAACAACGACAATGGCATCCTCAACAAAGAAATACGCCGTTGATTTCCTCTCATTCGTCAATGCATCTCCCACGCGTAAGCTCCATCCACCGTTCTACCTGCGGGGGTTTGACTGAGCTCGATAGCTTTCCACGTGGTCGAGTCCGTCAAACAGCGGCTGCTGAAGGCGGGCTTCTGTGAGATCCGCGAGAGGGACCCGTGGGCAAGTACGGTCAAGAAGGGTGGGAAGTATTTTCTCACACGCAATGGATCGACTATCGTTGCCTTTGGGGTCGGGAGTAAGTGGAAGGTATGCTTGTCCTGTCTTGTGACCGCCGGCGGGATGGGGTGGGTGGGCAGCGCTGATGGAGATAGCCGGGAAATGGAATGGCTCTACTCGGTGCCCATACGGATTCGCCGGCGTTGAGGATCAAGCCCGTTTCGAAGAAGTTTGGGGAGAATGGATCGTACATCCAGGTTGGTGTCGAGACGTACGGAGGTTAGTTGGGGTTATGTGTGATAGACTTCATATCACGATGCTGACGATGATGGATGGACAGGTGGACTCTGGCACACGTGGTTCGACCGCGACCTCTCGATCGCCGGGCGGGCTATGGTTCGCGACAAGGGGGGAAACATCGTCTCCAAGCTCATCAAAGTCGACAGTCCGATCCTCCGCATTCCCACTCTCGCAATCCACCTCGACCGACAAGAAAACTTCACTTTCAATAAGGAAACACAACTCTTCCCTATCGCTGGCCTCGCCGCCACAGAGCTCAATAAAACCCCCGATGCCCCCACCGACACGAAAGAAATCAGCAAGGACCCCAACTTCCAGCCGCTATCCGCGATCACTGAGCGTCACCATGCGCCGGTCGTTGAACGTATCGCGTCCGAAGCCGGCGTCGAGGTTGCGGATATCATCGACTTCGAGATGATTCTGTACGATACTCAAGCAGCCGTCCTCGGTGGTCTCAACGATGAATTCATCTTCTCTGGGCGCCTCGACAACCAGATGATGTCCTACTGCGCGACCGAAGGTCTCATTGAATCCGTCACCTCCCTCGACGATGAATCCGCTATCCGCCTCATCTCCCTCTTTGACCACGAAGAAATCGGCTCGCAGACTGCACAGGGCGCAGACTCCAACCTCCTTCCCGCCGTAATCCGTCGCCTCTCCGTCCTCCCAGGCGACTCCAGCTCCCCTCCACCGCCCTCCACATCTGCCTACGAAGAGTCTCTAATCAAGAGCATGCTCTGGTCCTGCGACCAAGCACACGCCGTACACCCCAACTACGGTGCAAAATACGAGAGTTCCCACAGGCCAAACATGAACTCCGGACCGGTGATCAAGGTCAACGCTAATGCCCGTTACGCCACTAACTCCCCCGGAATAGTGATGACGCAGGAGATCGCAAGACAGGCTGGTGTGCCGCTGCAGCTGTTCGTTGTGCGCAACGACTCTTCGTGTGGATCCACTATCGGCCCCATGCTCAGTGCGGCCCTCGGTATGAGAACCGTCGATATGGGGAATGCGCAGTTGAGCATGCACAGCATTCGTGAGACCGGGTTAGTCTCTCCTTCCCTAAGTGTAGTATGTGGTGGGTGAAGGCTAAAATGTACGGACGATAGTGGTTCCCACGATGTCGAGCATGCGGTGAAGCTCTTCAAGAGCTACTTTGAGCACTTTTCTACGCTGGAGCCAAAGATTATGGTGGATTCTATTGATGCGTGAAGTGACCATTGGTGTATCCATAAGCATAGCAGTAGAATTACAATTCATGACAGGCATTCACGGAGCTCGTAGAACAATTGCAACTTTGGTGTGTCTAGTTAGGCTGAAGAGCATAACTTCGAACCTGGAACAGACTCGATGGCATACCCCTCTGAACCTCAGTCTTGACCATCCTCAGTCCTGCTTCTTTAAACAGTGCTCGGAACTTGTGATCAGTCCTGTTGAAGTCAATATTGAGCTCACTCGAGTGAGTACAGGCGAAACATACCTGGTAACGCTGCTATCGATTTCGTCATACACATCGTCCGGGCAGTTGGAGATGTTCTCCTTCACAACAATCATGCCGCCGTCCTTGATACCCCCCGCGCAACGCTTGAGGTATTCCACTAGGGCGGCATCCGTCAAGTGTCCCACGCACCATTGACTATTTGCATTGCAGTCAGCACTCACATCACCCCATCATATCGTGAAGGAAAGGAGACTTACTTCCAGATGATCCAATACGCCTTCTCCTCCGGAGTCCACGTCTCCAGTCCGACATTGACTATCTTCCCGATCTTCCCCGCGGCCTTCTCCTCCACGAAGTTCTCAGGCTTCGCAATCTCGTCCGTAAACTTTTTTACCGGCTCGATGATATCCACGATCACCTCGCTGTTGATTTTGGAGAGGAAATTTTTGGTGACCCGGCCGATGCTAGGTATTCTGGGTCAGCGCTGAGCAAATGAAAATATGTGCTCTCTACATACCCAGCGCCACAGTCCGCGATCCGCAGCGGCGGCGTTCGGTCAAGCTTTAGCTTCGCAAAGAAGTTCTTGCTGCCTTGAATGTCGATGCGACTGATGTGTTCGTAGCCTCCGAGCATGCCTGGAGGACCCTGTCAGGCACAGAACTGGACGGCGTGGGATTTTGGTCACGCTCACCATTGGGAGTCGCCTCGACGCTGTTCCAGTAGTCGAGCTGCTTCTGTGCTACGGGACTGTTAGCATTAAGCTCTGTACTCTGCCGAGCGGGGGAGTTGCACTTACTATCTATCTCCGCATCGGCTGGTTTTGGGGCTTCCGAGGTCGACATTGCGGTTGCTCTACGTGGGTGGAGAGAGAGATGGTGTCGTGATGTCGATATGCAAGGCAGTACTTTCGCGCAACGGGCTTTTCGAAACACCGAGTGTGGGTATGATCGGAAATCGCTACTCCGGATTTCCCAACATGCGGTGATTATATCGAAGCAAAGAATCGCGAATCAAATCGTTCAAGTGCAAGCAGGTACAATGTATTTGCGTTCTTCGGGAGTGCCACAGTCTCACCAGCCACCGCACACCAGCTTCAAACCTAGTCGCTGCGCACGCGTATTGACTTCCCCGCTATTGTATCACCCCGCCAATGAGTCGTCGCTGTCTTTTACGTTCCATACGAATACCAACGACTACGACGACGACGAAACGCCTTCCACTCGCACCCTTCGTACGGCACTTCTCACTCCCAACCGACCTCCTCTCGGACACTCCCCCGCGCGAAATACGAGACATGCCGCCCAAAGAAAAGAAGGGCAAGATCGACCTCAAGGTGCCGAAGGGCACCAAGGACTGGGAGGGCAAGGACATGGTGATCCGCGACCGGATCTTCAACGGCATCACGACGGTCTTCAAGCGTCACGGAGGAGTGACGATTGACACGCCGTATGCGCGCCCTACCATCCTCCTCCGTCCACATACACACACAGAGAGAGAGACCGGCGCTGACTCACGCGGCACCACCACAGGGTCTTCGAGCTGCGCGAGGTCCTGACGGGCAAGTACGGCGAGGACTCCAAGCTCATCTACGATCTTGCGGACCAGGGCGGCGAGATCTGCTCGCTCCGCTACGACCTGACGGTGCCGTTCGCACGATGGCTCGCGATGAACCCCCAGATCACCGCGATCAAACGTTACCACATCGCGAAGGTGTATCGCCGCGATCAGCCCGCCATGGCGAAGGGACGGATGAGGGAATTCTACCAGTGCGATTTCGATATCGCGGGTGTTTACGACCCTATGCTCCCCGACGCAGAGATCCTCAGGATTGCGATGGAGATCCTGGATAGTCTGAACATTGGAAAGTATACGATCAAGATCAATCACCGGAAGATCCTCGATGGACTGTTTGAGATCTGTGGGGTACCGTCCGACAAGATCAGACAGATTTCGAGCGCGGTTGATAAGCTGGACAAGGTGAGGATTTTCACTCGTGATATCACTCGGCTTTCCACGCACTTACACTCACCGCTCAGATGTCATGGGAGGAGGTACGAAAAGAGATGACGGAGGAGAAGGGGCTCGATCCCGAGGTCGCCGACAAGATCGGCCAGTACGTGCTCAAGAAGGGCGGCCGCGACCTCCTCGACGAACTCAAGGAGATCCCCGAGCTCGCCTCCAACGCCTCGTTCGCCGCCGGCCTCACGGACATGGGTTTGCTGATCGACTACCTTGAGGTCTTCAATGTCATGCCCGTCCTCTCATTCGACCTCTCACTCGCGCGGGGTCTCGACTACTACACGGGAGTGATCTTCGAGGTGATCACGGAAGCCTCTGCGCCCCCCGGCGCCAAAGCCGGTGGAAAGCGCGGTCCCAAGCCACCCAAGAGCGACGATCCCGATGCCGACCGTTCCAACGACGACTCCATCGGCGTGGGCTCCATCGCGGCCGGTGGAAGATACGACGAGTTGGTCGGCATGTTCTCCAAGTCCGCCAAGGGAAAGATTCCCTGCGTGGGTATCTCGTTCGGCGTCGACAGGATCTTTTCGATCTCGAAGGCACGTATGGAGGAGGAGGTTCGCGGTAATGAGGTCGACGTGTACGTTATGGCGCTCGGTGGAAAGGGCTTCACCGGCTTGATGAAGGAGCGGATGGAGGTGTGCAAGACGCTCTGGGACGCCGGGATCAAGGTTTGTCACTTCACTTCTCACCCCCCCTCTCCCCGTCACATCGCACTAACGCCAGCCAGGCCGAGTTCCTCTACAAAGTCAAGCCAAAGCTCATGCAGCAATTCGCGGGCGCGGAGAAGCACGGCGTGCCCTACGCGGTAGTCCTGGGCGAAGACGAGCTGGCGGCGGGAGTGGTCAAGATCAAGGAGATGGGGCTGCCAGATGGCCACCCGGAAAAGAACGGTGTCGACGTGAAGTTGGTGGAGATTGTCCAGGAGGTGCAGGCGCGACTTGCAACGAAGGGACTGAAGGAGGAGGAGCTGGCCAGGGCTGTAAAGGCGGTTCAACTCGAGGCACGGGAGACCGTTTAGCCTTTAGAGCTCGATCTGGGGTCTGGCAGTTTTTTTTTCCAGCACGAATCACCGCGAATCAGCGGAAGGGATTTGTCGGCGTGCTAGTAGAATATGGAACAATACCAAATCATTTGCTTCCACGGCTACCCTATGTCCATGTCGAATAATGTGCCGACATTTTTGTCTCGTCTATGCACTCGGTGAGACCGCAGACTGCAGACTGCAGATATAGTCGTATGCAAGGTCCATCCGGCGACGACAGACGGACATTTCCCAAACTGAGGGTGGTTACCCTCTGTATCCATGCACGCATCACACGCAGGCACTCGCCACTTTGACCCCCCCTCCCTCCCCTGAAGACACGATCGGGGGAGGATCGGGGGGAGGAATATGTAGTTACATACATAGCATACCCAAGTAGGTGCAAAGTGGAGCTTCGAATACCTAGTGAGATGGAAGGCGAGGAATATTCCATTTCCGAAGCTAGAACCCATAGATGGTATGTATCTAGCAGAGGTGCGCCATCAATCCTTCCATCTCTATTCCTGACACGCCACGCCCCGTCGCCTGCCTGCGGGCCGAATGGCGCATGCAGGGCGCCGGTACTCTATATACGGTACTGTACGGGACTAGTTACTCTACCCGGCATTGACCCTCTGGATTGGACTGGATTGGATTAGATTAAAGATCCGCCCCCCCTTCTTTTCTGCTTTCTGCTGGTTCTGCTCGTTCTTTTGTCCGTGCTCACTCGCCGTTCTGTGTAGAGCACCCAGGTAGTGTAACGGGGAAAAACAAAGAAGAAAAACGCTGGGATCAGAAAAATATCTCATCCCAACTTGTGTCTGCACTGCAGAATCAGCAGCAGCTTCAATTCGAATCCCATCCGGGAGCAAGGGGAGCAAGCCTAGGGGGCGATGTTACGTTTCCGAGTGTGGAAGTGTGGAAGTGTGGAAGTGTGGAAGTGTGGAAACCGGACGTTGCCGATGTGGGAACCGGCAGTAATTGCTGTAGTTGGCCGGTGGTGGATAGAGTATGGTAGAGTGCCTCTGTAATAGTTACACAGACAGCACACATCACACATCAGCACTCACGCGCGTCGCACCTATTCTGCCCATTGCCCGTTTGCCCATTGCCCAGAGTACTGCCCAGAGTACTGCCTCCTGCTTGGCGCGTCGGCTGCGCCCACCCTGCTGAGCCAGCCTCCATAAGTACGTAACACCAATAGCGGGCCGAGCCTGTCGAGTTCCCGCCCATGAACCTCGCGAATTCGTCTACAAACCGCCCGCATCAACGTGCCAGATCGATCGCTGGGCCCCCACGCCCAGTAGCAGCGTGTGTCCCCACGCTACAACCACAGCGCGCGATAAGGAGCATTTCTCTAGAGATAACCAGCCATCACAAGGTGCGGAGTCCGGACAGAGGAACGTGGTATCATATGTACTATAGAGTACTCTAATAGAATAGAATGGAAACGAGTTGCTTGCTTGCGACAGATCGTAACTTACTTACCCACCGATAGAGTGTTTCCGTCAGGAATGCGAGATCGTTCCTACATTCTGGCGATTCTGGTGGATGCGACGCCGCGTGCTGCTGCTGCTGATGGTTGAATGACTGACGACCGACTGGGTATCTCCTCTCCTATGTACGAGTGTAGAGTTGTAGAGTATGCCGCAGTGGCTGCAGATTATCTGCCTGCCTGCCTGCCTGCCTGCCTGGATACTCAGTGCCGGTACTCTGCTCTGCTCTGCTATATGTACTCTACCTACCGTATGTATGGAAATGTACTGCGCGAGGAGGGGGCGTGCGACCCCGGACCCCCCGCTGCGATGTATGTAAATATGTAGATACCGGCTGCCTGTGCCTGCTCGCTGGGGTACGGTACGGTACTCCAGTCGACAGTAGAGTACGGTAGTCTACTGTGGCTGTTGAAGCTCGCGATACCCCCGGCTCGCTGTGGCGGTGAAGTGGATGTAGAGTACTGAAGTTGAAGTTGAAGCTGTATATGTGTATGATGTAGATACTCTACTCGCATGTTGTTTTCCGGGACGTGGGGACGGGGGGTGGGTCGGGGGGAGATGAGGACAGCCCACGATTGGCAGCCGGGTCGGGCTGGCGGAGGTTCCACCGAGTTCTCGTTCCAGTTCTCGAGGGAGGGTTGTCGAGTTGGCGAAGGTTCCACCGAGTTCCAGTTCTCTAATTCTCGAGGAGTCGATTATTGGAGTTGTGCCTCCGGCATAGATGGCTACCACCTATACCATCTACCTAGTATAGTACCGGTATCATATCATATCACACCATGCCTCCACGACGTCCCATAGTCCCAGTGCCCCGGGAATCTCTACACTCTACACTATACACTCCACACTTGCGGCAAGATGATATCGTATATCGTATATCGTATATCGTATATCGTATATCGTATATTGCGCGTGCGCGACGATCGTGGATGATGATGGGGGAGGGGGGAGGGGAGGGGGAGGGGGAAGGGGGGGAGGGGGTGTACTATCGACGACGACGGCCCCAACGCAACGCAGCGCAACGCAGCTGAGATGTCAGGGTGATCTCACTGTGCGTGAGCGTGAGGATCCACGGGGGATGACGGACTGACTGATGGAGGGGCGGACAGGCGGGCGGGGCGGGCGGGGCGGGCGGGGCGGGTGAGTGGGTTGCGGCTTGGGCTACGGAGTTGACGTTGCGAGGAAAGGAAAGGAGGGCTGGCTGGCTTAGAGGGGAGATGTCATCGGAACGTATGCATGCGTGCATGTTTGGACAAATGATTGCATGCACAGATGTTTCCTCAGCCAGGCTACCGTGCCGTACGGTGTTGTCATGATCGTGATCATCCGCTGGATATATACCGGTGAGTAAGTGGGTAAGTGACAGGTCTCACCGTCTCACCAAAGACCATGACCATTACCATGACGCCCGCTACTACCAATTATATCATATTATAAGCCCGCTGCCCGGATGACCGTATGTAATCGACAGATATGCAGTGCAGTCCGACACATCATATGTAAGTTTTGAATATCAATTCCCTGGCAAGACTGCGAGTCCGACGACATCAAATATCGAATTCGACGACTCGAGTTTCCAGAATCCAGATCAGCACTGCGGACGTATGCAGATAGAGTAAACGGCATTAAAGTTTAGCGTCCCGTCCACGATGACGACCAGCAGCGTGGGTACGGTATGTATGGTGGTATGGTGGACCATCATACCGGTAGTAGGTATGTGATCAACACCGTGACGCCGTGACGGTGGATTTCACATGCAAACTGCAAACCACAAAACTTTCGCGGGGAGGGGGATCTTCAAGTCGAAAAGCCTCGTGCCCTCCCCGCCCCCACCACCACCAGGCTCGTGGTCGGGCTCGTGGCCGGACTCCATACCGACACCGCATATCACCGCTCATCACCGCTCATCCGCCGCGATCCGCGGACCGCCATGGTTAACTACCGCAGCGCCTCAGTTGACTGCACTACCATATCCAAAGCAGAGCCGCTGAGTGGCTGTGTGGGTGGCTGTCCAGCCCGCCCAACCAACCACCAACCAACCCCCCGCGCCGCCCGTTCCGTCAACCGGAAAAAAAGCGCCGACCTCCGACGCCGACCCCGGGCCTCGAGGTTCGCGAGAGATTTATCCCGCGGGCGTGCTGCCCTGCGAGCCGGGTCGATTCTTTTTACGTTATTTTCCGGTGGTGGGGTTAGATTCGGCTGCGAGGGTTGGGCTGGTCTGGGAAGGTTTGACTGGGCTGCGACTCTGCGAGGGTTGGGCCTGCGAGGGTTGGGCTGAGCTGCGAAGGTTAAGTTGGGCTGAGCTAAGCTGAGCCGAGCCGAGCTGCGCTGGGGTTGGGTTGGGTTGGGTCTTGACATCGTCGATTGACACAGCGCAACTGCAACTGGAACCTCTCTGTCTGGTCAGTAGTCGGATCTGACATGTGCCGTCGGTAAATACTCCAGGTAAGTCTTACTAGAGTACCTAGTACTCTCGTACTCGGCCGGCGGATCGGGACTTTGGTATGCATACCCTTATATCTATAGAGTAACGTGAAGCATCTAGATACCTACCGTATGCACCGTGCAGTGTCGCGCAGATGCCGATACGGGCAGGTCGGGCTCCTGCGACTCCTGCGACTCCTGCGACTCCTGCGACTCCTGCGAATTGGTGAGTGAGTGAGTGAGTGATCGTGCGGCATAACTATCATGACATACGGCACGTGTGTTGCCCACCAACACACGTGCAGACACGAAAGGTCAAAACATTCACGAATATGTCTGCGTGTATAGTATGCACCCTGTGATAGGTAGAGTACTCTACATGGCTCCGGTGCCCGTCAATGCCCGTCAATGCGCGTGCTGTGCTGCCAGTGCATGGCCGATATATACCCAAGTACCTAGTGGACATATCTCCATACTTGTGTAGTGTATTTGGGCATGTAGGTACTTGGGCAGGTACTTTGGTATCGAGAGCCCGGCGACTTGTCAGTGACCACTAGATACCGTATTATGTATCTAGAGTACATACAGCGGAGCGTCAATCAGGTGGATAACTACTATCCTCAAGACACTAGCACCTCCGTGCCGACAGGTAGCTACATCCGACAGGTAGCTACATGTCTCGATCATCTAACGACGTTGGACCAGCAGTTAGTCCATACCGAACCCCCGAAGCCACTGACCAGCGCCGTCGGAAGATCGGCCAGCAGGTGGGCTGATGATTTCGTTGTCGTCGTCGTCGTCGTCGGCGATGATCCGAAACCCTCGGCGAGAAAAAGGCTAAAAACCCCGCCCCCGAAAGCAAAAAAAAAAAGCCCCGAAGGCGAAAGGAAAGGAAAGGAAAGTTTATCGAAAAGTCATCGAAAATTCATCGAAAATTCATCGAAAAAGTCAAAAGCACGCTGCACGCGACCACTTTCCTTTCCAGTTCCCGTTGCCAGTCGTCCGTCCCATCCAGAGTTCAGATGGTGGCTTCGCTTTGCTCTGGGTGGCGAAAGAATCATCGTATCAACTAGTATCGCGACTCGCGAGCCCTTCCCCTCCCCCCTTCTCCGATCGGAAGATTTTTTTCGACTGCTCCAACTACCACCCTACCGTACCCTACCCTATCTACTACTAGTTCCGTACCATAGCACCAGCTAGTCTAGCTGACAGCGGAATAACCTCCCAAACCGTAGTAGCCTCCATCATATCCCACCTAGCCTCCATACCCTACACACCTAGCTTACATAGCCACACATCATGATCGCCGCCAGCGCAGCTGCGCAGTATTGCCGAGGTGGCCTACTCTACCGTACCGTAGGTTCCGTACTCACGAGAGATACATATGCGGTGACGTTTTTTGCAGTGGTGGCATCGGAGTGGAGATGTGGAGTGGAGAGGAGGGAGTGGAGGGGAGGCGGTGGGTTGGGTTGGGTTGGGTAATTTGGGTTGGGTTGGCTGGATGTATGGATGGATGTATGGATGCAAGAGCTGGATGCAGAAGTTGGATGCTGGGCCAATGGTAATACTCTATGCAGAGCACAGCAGAGCACAGCAGAGCACAGCAGAGCACAGCAGAGCACAGCAGAGCACAGCAGAGCACAGCAGAGCACAGCAGAGCACAGCAGAGCACAGCAGAGAACGAAACGAGTTTGAGGACCCTTACTGGATGGGCTGGATATAGAGTAATGCTGTCGAAGCTCGGAAGTGATGGCTCGACATGGAAATATGTAGAGTGCGGTAGGTACTACTCTAAATAGATGTTTATGGCGAATGTTCGGCGGACATGATATATATCGGAGGTAGGAGAGGCGAACCGGCTTGGTGCCGGAAACATTCGAGAAGCAAAAGTAGAAGGCTGTTCAAGTTTCAACTTTGGGTTATGTATTCTACACGGTATATACTCCCCGTGTTCGCCATACAGTAGACTCCGGTATCCTCCGAGCCTTGAAGCAATCCATACGAATAGCAGCTCATCCCGAGCAGGCTTACAGCGGCAAACCCAATGCAAAGAGCGTTTATCGCAGTACCCGTCCCCGTCCCTGTCCCCATCCCCGTCCGAGTTACAAGCAAACAAACACAGCCATGCGTATAAGCCGACTGTTTGCTCTGGGTCAATGATCATCATCACCACAGCGGAGGCTCACGAACATTACCGGTTGTGTTTGTGTTGTGTTTGTTGTGTTTGTTGGGCTTGTTGGCTTGCATTGCATTACTTACATTGCATTGCTTGCATTACCTACATTGCGGAGCACCTAACACCTCAGCATGTACTGTACTGTAACTACGTGCGTGAGATGTTCTCCTCATCTGTTGCCGTTTTCACTTTTTTTTCTTCCTTCGTTTTTCTTTCTTCTTTTCCTTCGTTTTTTTTTGCGGACGTTCTAGGCGAGCGAGATTGTGGATTGTGGAGAAAAGAAGAAACGAAAGTCCAGCCCGCTACTTACCGGTACACATCACGTTTATGTAGTCACGGTATGATCAAAGCAAAAACGACCGAAATCGCGGCATGTCTATCTTGCAGTTGCAGTTGCAGTGCGGTGCAGAAAACAGTGCAGAAAACAGTTTCTTTCTTGTCTTGTTGGGGTTTGGTTTGCCAATAGGGAATGAGGGAATGATCATCGCTCGCTCTCACTGCAGTGCGGTGCAGTGCGGTGCCGGTGCGGGAGGGAGGAAGGGAGGGGGTGAATCCTTATTTTATTTTTCCTCCGCTTTCTCTCCCCAGCTCTGCTTTCCCCGCATTATGTAGGTATCGTGAGACGTTGTCTGTCGTACGTACATCATACCGTACATGGGACCATGATGGTCAGTGGACAAGGTCTCACAGTACCTAGTCTGGGCTGGTGCTGGGGAGTGACGGGGGACGGGGGATGGGCGACGGGCGACGGGGCAAGGCGAGCGAGCAATTCACGAATCACGGACGCAGGGTGTGAAGCGTGTGAATGTGAAGCGGGGTAACTCAAGTACCGTACCTATCGTCGAGCTGGTGAGTTGGTGAGCTGGTTGGTATCGTGATCTCGCGGAGTGTTGGCGTAGAGTGAGTACCTGTAACCTAGAGTAAGCCAGTGCGGGCCAGCCAGCCAGCCAGCGGCCAACCATCCAACCATCCAGCCAGCCATCCAGCCATCCAGCCATCCAGCCATCCAGCCATCCAGCCATCCAGCCAGGCGCCGTCGTCGTTTAAAGCACGTAAAGCACGTAAAGTACATAAAGTAGGCATCTAGACAGGCAGGCAGGTAGTTGGTCGGTGGTTAAAGTTCACAAGTCCACAAGTCTCGTAAGTCCACAAAACCTATAGAACCTACATACCATACCGTACATGCATACCTAGTCCTGATGCTTCTTACATACATATCACACCTGCCGACTGGTCGGTTTGTGTGTAGGTAGGCCGGTAGGTGGAGATCTACATGGACAGAAGGTCCTCAGCAGCCTGTGTCGGAGGAGCCCCAGGAGCCTGAGGACACGAGAGTAGCGAGAGACAGAGAGCGGGGAGAGAGAGATAATAATGACCTGTCGATAAACGTGCGTGCTTGGATGCGTATTTCGGTTTCGGGTTTAGTTTTGGCGCGGATGGAGCGAGAACCTCGTCAAGGTCGTTACCGTCGTTACTATCGTCACAGTCGTGGGTGTTTTTGGGGGACGGACGGTTCGAGGCGTACGACGCGTGCGTGTGTGGGTCTGGTGTGGTGGTACTGGGCCATGTGTTTGTTTGCTTATGTCTTTGTTTGCGTTGCTCGTGCTCGTCCTCGTCAACGCCGGCAACGTCGACGACGTTTTCGTTCTCGTGAGATTGTAATTGTGCGGCAACAGCGGTGGCGGCGGCGGAGGAAGGAGGTGTATTCAGTTGTTGAGTATCTACCGTACTTTACCTACATATGTCCCGGACGCGGGGTGGCGATATCATACGTTGCACGATATTCTGTATTCTGTTTGCTTGTGCGTGGACGTCGGTTGAGGATGTTTCATATCCGCACTGATGGGATGGACGGGACTGATGGACGGGACTGACGGGGCTGACGGACGGGACCGACGACGGACAGATGGACGGACGGCTGCACCGTCCGTTCAGTGCAGTTCAGTTCAGATGGGTCGTTGAGTTTAGATGGGTGGTTCGTTTCAGTTCAGTACTGCGGGGATCCGTGGGGATCCGGGGGGAGAGGGGCAGATCTACTGGAGTAGGTATGGTAGACGAGCTTGAGCTTTGAGCTTTGAGCTTCAAGCTTCGAATGAGATCGTGTGTATGCATCTGTACCTTCGATACCTCATGTACCCGCCAACTAGTATCATCGATACCGCACTCTGAGCTGCGGATGTGATCTGATGCTGTGGGGGATTCTGGGGATTCTAGTCTTTGCGGGCAAGCAGGCAGGTCACTTTCACTCCCCGGCTCCCCAGCTCCCAGGCTCCCCGCCGGCCATCTACATACTCTACCCCATTGGGGCCCCACCTTACCTTACCATAGGTACTATACACGACTTTCCAGCCTGCGCAAACAATCTCCCCGGGCCCACCGTCATCGCCGAAAAAACCCTTCATCGAATCGCCCCCAACCCCAGATCACTGCTTCTATGTACTGTACAGGCAATAGTAATCAATCAATTCTCCAACGAGAGCATGACGATGGGCTCGCATCGACGTGTGCGTGTGTGGTGCGGTGCGTGGTGCGGTGCGTGGTGCGTGTCCCCGACCGACCGACAGACTCCGCCTCGCCCCTCCCCGCCCCCAATGAAATGGAGATATAGATTGAATACCTGGAGAGAAACAGTGCGTGAGGAGAAGCTGGATGGTGGGGAGGGTGGGGAGGAGGGGCGGTCCGATTATCTTCTTGGGTGCAGTGGGTGGTCTAGATACATTGTTTCACACCGTGCCATTACCCACCACTACTATCCGGTCCCGCATCTTCATCTTCGTGCTCACGTTCTGCTGGAGTGTTTTGGATCCGGCCCATGTTCAAGTCGTCGTGTGGTTCGTCTGTCTATCCTTCACACACGCATGCGCTGACCGACACGCATACTCTACATTGCACCCAACCCTCCACCACCTCCTCCTCTCCTCCTCTCCCCTCACGCAGAACAGAGCAGAACAAACGTGACTGGTCGACCAGCCGGCTAGAGTGCTTGTCACAAGTGTAGGAGAACATCGCGCATGACCTCCGCCTCTCACGACTGCTGCAGCTGGGTACGGTAGAGCAGAGCAGAGCAGAGGAGCACCCGGTCAATGACGACAACCACGACGACAGCGCCGATGGTTTCCGCGCCGCCGCGAACGCAGGGTGCACCACGTGCTGGATTTGTTCGCATCTAAGTAGAGTACTAGTATCTATGCCCGACTGCTCGGCGGCGGCGAGCGGCGGGCGGGGTGGTGGTGGTGGTGGTGGTGCGGATGGTGATCGTGAGGGGACGAGTAGGTGGTTACTAGTATGGAGTACCTAGCATGTAGACTTCCATCCATCCATCCATCCACTCATCCATCCATCCAGCCACCCGACTCCCTGACTACCCTGACCATCTTGACCACCACCGCGACTCGCGACCACTCTAACCTAGCTGACGGGGGTACGGGTAGATGGGATCATGGATGTGTGGATGTGAGTTTGTGTGGATGTGAGTTTGTGTGGATGTGTGAGTTTGTGTGTGTGTGGATGTGTGAGTTTGTGTGTGTGCACGATGTCTGATGGATGTGCCTGTGGGGCGTGGGTCGGGTTGGTTTGGATTTGGATTTTGGATTTTGGATGTTGGATTTGGGGGGTGGGTTGGGTTGGGGGGGTTGTGTTAAGTTGGGTTGGGTTGGGCAACTTGGGTTGGATTGATTGGGTGTGGAGGTGTGGTGGTGTGGTCGATTCGCGGATTTCCGCTGCTTGGTTGCTTTGGTTGCTTTGCTTGGTGCTTGCTGCCTGCCACTGCCTATTCACCGCTGCTTGCCCACCGCCCACCGCTGCCCACCACCACCGCTCGCTGCCTCTCTCTGCCCACTGCCTGCCCTGGCAACTGTGCAGTCTGCAGTGTCTCTTGCGCCCGACCGTCTCCTTGGCTGGCTGCCCTCTCCCCGTCTCGTCTCGTCTCGCCTATCCTCCTCTATCTATCGATCCCGAGCAAGGTGAGCATATTCGACATATCGACACGGAGAGAAAGGGAGGAAGAGGTGCGGACCCTGTCTCTTGCCTTTCGATCTCACCTGTTCCTTCCGGTTAGACAATGCGCTTAATCCTCTCGCCTTCAACTCGTCCCCTCCCCCCTCCCCCCTCCCTCCTTCCCCCTCCCCCCTCCCTCCTCCCCCCTCCCCCCTCCCCCCTTCCCCTCCCCCCTTCCCTTCCACCCCCCACCGCGCTATCCCCATCGATGCTCGCCCTCCTGTCTTTCCCTAACTTGCCTTCTTTCGTATCTACCGAACTTCAATTATTTACTCTAGCTGATCACTCCCCTCCACCACCCCCCAAGAAAAAACACTTCCCCCCATCCCCCATCCCCCGTCCCCGAACACCCCCCCAAAGCCAACGCCGCCTCACCCCCCTCCCACTCCCGCGTCTCTGAGCTCGTTTCTTCTTCCTGTTGCGGCGGCTGCCGATTGTTGTCCCTGTCCGCTTCCCCCCAAAACCACAAACCACAAACCCCACTGCCCACCCACCCCCCTCGCTCTTCTGCGCTGTCACTGCCGTCCAACCTTCGTTCAAAATCCCTCCATCGCCGCCCGCTTCTTTCTAGCTAGCCAGCCCTCTCACCTCCACCTCCACCTCCAACCCATCCCAACCCAACACATCCCAATCGTCATCCTCCAAGAAGAAGAAAATAAACGAAGCAATCCGCCTCTCATCGCTCTCCCATCCAGCCGGTCAACACACTCGAAACCCCGCACTCATCTCGTGTCTGTCTCGTAACAAAGAAGAAAAAACGAAGAAAAAGAGAACCCGCGAAGAAATAAAGAAATAAACCAAACCACCGCACCAGCCAACGACGGTCAGCGGCCCTGAGAGATTTTCGCTTCACCGCCGCTTAATCGACCACTCCTCGCAATTCGACACCCCCCCCCCCATCCACCACAACCACCACCCCCATCTTGAAGACCTTTTCATCATGGGACGTATACGACTGTAACAATAATCCCCCCCTTCTCCCCCGCTGCCTTTCCTGGAGTCGATCGACCTCTCGTCGTCTGCCTCTTGATTAGTCCACGCAGTCCCACGTATTCTCCCGCCACGGCTTCGATCGGCAGGAACACGCACGCTCAGATACCTAACCGTGCCCGCCATCCGCTGCAAAACGAAAAGAAAGAAAAAGTCTCCGCCGTAGCACCAGCCCTCACAGAGGCCTTCTTGTGGTTCGATCCTTTATACATCCATCGAGCTGGCTTGCCTGCTGCGCCTCAGCCTCCCTTTCACCCCCCACACACTCTACTCGCCTTGGCCTGCTGCCAGAACATCATCATATCCACAGCCCGACTCACATACCCTACCACAACAACAACAACCCATACGTATAATACCACCACACCCCCTCCCCCTCTTCCCACCACCCCTTCCCGAACACCAAGGATCCCCTCTGCACGGTGACGACACTCTCCGCCGAATCCCCCATTCGGAATAACGGTCGACCCTTTTAATACTAAGTACTTAGTTGGGGCTCCTTCTCCTACTTATTTTCGTCAACCGAAGAAAAAAAATCCTGGACCGTGTGTTGCCGTGGTACTTACTTAGTCGTATTCTCACGTAATCAACGACTATATACCCCTCTGCCGCCCCACACCCCCTCCGCCGCAATGTCTTCGGAACACGACTCAATATTTCGCCACGCCTTTCGAATGTACAACCTACCAACCTCGAATACGGCAAACCTCCAGTCGACCTACGACGAAGAGCTCGCCGACGAGGCCGACGAACCCGACGAAAGGACGCTCGCCTTCTACAACACTCTCCGCCATGGCTCCTTCTCCGACGGAGAATTCTCGAAACACTCGATACACGAGCTCCCCTCCCACAAGGAATCGCTCCTGACTAGAGCCCTACTCACGAGTCCTACCCTTGGCCCCGTCGACCATCCGGAAGCCCCCCTCCTGGAGCGTGGAATGTCCAACACTTCCATCTGGAGCAATACCAGCGGTGCATCGACTGCGGACCTGATGAGTGACGCCGGTATGACCAGTCCTTCCCGAGCGAACACGCCGAGCCCGCCACCACCCATGTATCTCGCAGGAATTGCCGGGATCATGCACCATGGCGGCAAGAAGCGTGCAACCGCGTTCGACAGCGGCCACAAGCGGATCGAAGTCGTCACTGATAAGGACGATGTGGTCGAAGGACTCGGAAGGAAGCGTCTCATCACCTTTGCCTGCTCCGGTGGACAGTTGTCTCGACGGGGATCCGAGGAAGAGGTTGCCACTGCTAAGCCCGAGGAATTCAAGAAACAGCCCGTCGAGCCGGTCATACCCAAGAAGAAGAGTTCGGCCCTGACATTCGTCTGCACTCAGCGTGGCGGAGAGCCCCAAAAGCAGCAGCAGCAGGTCGCTCGTCCGCTGAGTTCTCATCCGCCAGCGCCCAAGCACATCGACTTTGCCCTCGAACGCCCGACTATGCGTGTCGCAGCGTCAACCGGTGTCGATCCTTCAATCGCCAGCAAGCCGGTTAGCTTTGCCGTGGCCATGAAGGTTTCGTACCCCGAGCGACAGCTCTACGACTCCGAGAACGCAGCCGACTCGTGGACGAACTTTCCCATCGACAAGTCGAGGCTGCTCAGGGTTGATGATCTGCTCAGGAAGGAGATGGATATCCGCAAGTTGAGCGAGGAGGCTGAGGCTGAGGCGATGCAGGAGGAGGGTTTGGAGGATGATGACGACGAGGATGACGAGGACGAGGAGGAGAACGGCGATGATTCACTGATGGACGATGAGGATGAGGATCTGGAAGATCAGGATGATGACGACGACGACCAAGACGACTCTGAGGATGACTACGACGGCGAGAGCGGCAATGAGACGGACGACGAAGAGGGCTTTGCCGAAGACGACTCGGATGATGAAGGTTTCTTCGACCTTCACCCGCCCATGCTGATTCCGGCACGTCCCATCTGCGACCGCAGCATCTCGGAATCGTCGTATAAGAACCACGGTACCTCGCCTCGCCGCATCCGCTCTGCAACTCCCGAGTTGCCCGACAGCACCGACTTTGTCTGTGGAACATTCGACGAGGATAAGCCCTTGGAGGATGCATACCTATCCGCCCTGGAAATTAGGAAGCGCTCCAAGCACAAGGCCACTCCTCAGGATATCGATCCTAGTTTCCCCACGTCCGACATGGAGGATTCCGAGCAGGACGAACCGGAACTCCGACAGGTCACCAGGATCAACCACGACAGCTCATCGGACGGCAACCAGAGCAGGGGACGCAAGATGCGCGGCATCAAGGATCACTCTCCCACTCGCGGTGGTCGTGTGCATTCACCGGCACCGGTTCGCCGAACCGCACTCGGTCAGTCACCTGCACCGACTCGCCGTGTTCGGTCTCGGTCCAGGCATACTTCACCGCCTCCCATGTCTCGTCGCAGCAGCAGGGTTCTATCGCCTGCGCCGCCTCGTCGCCGCACGACGTTCCAGTCCGGACACAGTATCGTCAGGGCGAGGTCCCTTCCTCGCAACTCCGGCATCGCACGCCGCACCGGACGTTCGTCCAGGATCAACTCCGCTGCGGGCTCGCCCCAGAAGGCCACCCGGCCGATGGTCATCCGTAGGGGAGCCATGGACATCTTCAAAGGATTGGAGAAGAAGCGCGAACGCAGAAAGGCACGCCTCAACCGCAAAGACAAGGACGGTCTGTGGAAGGCCGGAGAGGGTGTCGAGAAGATGAGGGAGCTCGGCCTCGAGATCTGCGGCAAAGGAAGAGCCCGTCCGATCTGGGTGATCTCCGCCTGAAGGGAATCCGTTTACTTCTCTGAGGGGTTTCTTGTGCATACTTGACGGTATTTTTTTTGTCTTGTCACGATTAGATGATGATCGGGGTCTGGTGTTTTTGTTTTGCTTTCCTTTTCTTCTTCTTCTTCTTCTTCATGGGTTTTCTAAATAGCCTTGTTTTATTTCTATTGTTTTTTCTTATGGGTTTGCATGGTGGTGTTTGCTTTTATATTTTTTTCTCTTCCTCCTTTTTTTCTCTTTCAACGGAGTCTCAGTTCTTCGATTTGGTATATGGTTTTTGTATTTCTTCCACTTCATCGACCTTCCTCCTCCTCCTCGGGGGGGGGGGGGGGGGGGGGGAGGGGAGAGATGGCACTGACTATACTCTCCTCCTGGGATTGAAGTTTACTTTTCTTGTATTTGTGTCGTGGGAAAAGGAAAGGGCGTAGTTGGGGAAAGGGCAATGGGAATGGGACGGTGGGATTGGCTGAGAGTTGCAGGGCGGGGGTTTTATTTTTTGAAAGGAAAGTGAAAGACTCGACTGGGCTCCTAGGGATTTGGGAACGGGATGGGAATGGGAATGGGAATGGAAATGGGAACGGCGCGAGGATGATAGATTACTACTAGTACCTACTACATACTCCGAGAATGGGATTCGGGTTGATCAACTTGAGGCAGGACTATCGTGATGTGATGTGCGTGATTTGGCATGTGTGCTTGGAACTGTATGTTTGGGACTGTCAGAACTGTCGGGACTCTTTCGGGTAATATCTGATTGGTGATTGATGATCGCGGCCGGTCGCGGTCGTCGATCGGGTGGTTCGGTGGTTCGGTGGTGATGCAGGGGACTGTTGGCGGAAGTTTATGCACCTATACGGTCCAGTATCGAGAGATCAACTGGTTCATGTCCCTTTCACTTTCACTTTCACATGGCCCTTTTGGCCGCAGCAGGAGATGTGATATATACATAATGTACTTACCTAGTTGACCTGACGGCACGGCAAGTGAGTAGTGCTGGTGGTATGTAGTGGTGGTATTCGGAACCCGACTGCGCCGGGTACGAAAAGTCTAATCGACGGGTACTTATGGCTGCACGCGGAACGAACGGGTTGGCTTACTTCGGGATGCCGAGACGTACCAGGTATGGTACCTATGCCTATGCCAACGGATCGCTGGAGGGCACAGGGCGGGGTATAGGATAGGATAGAACGAGGTCAGGACGGCGGGTAAGAGGACAGGACAGGACGGAGGGTGCGTAGGGCGGATCATGGAAAATGAACGGACAGGTTGTTTGTTCTCAGGCAGTTATACAGGACAGATTTAACTGGACGGTGGTTGTGCGGGGGTAAGGTGGTTTCGAGATGTCCAGAAAGCTGCCCCAATCCAACACAACACAATACAACAGGATCGTGCCGGTACTCTAATTATTAATGTCGCGGATGCTGAAGATGGCAGACTCGTGGACGCTATATAGTACAGCTTCAACCGGGCGGGAGTTGTGGGCGGTGGTTGTGGTGGTGAAGACGGGGGGTGAGGGTGGCTTCGAGATGTCCAGATGTCCAAAATGCTGCTCCAGCCCAACCCAACTGAATAGTGCTAGTAACTATTGAAGTCTTGGATGCTACAGACTCGTGGGCGCTATACAGTACAGCTTTAACTGGACTGTGGTTGTGTGGGGGGGGGAGGGTGGTGAAGGTGGTTTCGAGATTCCAAAAAGCTGCACCAACCCAACACAGCGGAATCGTGCCAGCTACTAGCTATTGACGTTGGATGCCCGCAGACTCGTGGGCGCTATATAGTACAGCTTTAACAGGACGGTGGTTGTGTAGGAGGAGGGTAGTGGAGGCGGTTTCGAGATGCCCAGACTCCAGAAAGCTGCGCTAACCAAACACAATAGAGTCGTGCTAGTGCTCTATGTACCTATTGACATCGGATGTTGTAGACTCGTGGGAGCTCTGTTCTTTACTCAAGCTTGGAATCAAATTTCCATATTGCTCTCCACCTTCACCACGACATCTCACTCGCTGTTCAACCTTCCACCTTCCAAGGATCAGATAAGACAAGATCAGATAAGATACCCCGATCAGGCCCTCGTGGCAAGAACAGAACCAGCAGCAATTCAAGAGCAGAGCAGCATTCAAGAGCAGAGCAGGGGGCTCGTCTTGTCTTGTCCGTCGCGCAACGGTAGAGTGAACTCCAATCGATCCCACCCCATCACATCACTTCACGGCAACATCCAACTCTTCCTGCTTTGCCACACTTGTCACTTGCTACCCCCTTCAACCTTCACCTTAGTTACCGCACCACCCCATCACATCACACAACCCGACCCGACTGCCACCGCAAGCAACGAACGGACGACAACGACAACGACCACCACCACTATACGGAGGAATATCAACAGTTAGGAAAGAACAGTAAACACCACCGCCAACAGTAAACACTAGACAAACAGCAAACATGTGGATGATAAATTGGTGTATGCTCTCTCTCCCTCCCTCGTCCCTCCTCCTCCCCTTCCCTCCCATCATCTTCGTCAGCTTTGCTGCCACGTGAAAAGATAAGAAGTCCAAGGACCCGAACTGACGACCTCGCGTACAGTTTGGGATGTCCTTGCGTCGCTCGGACTGTCGAACAAGCACGCGAAGCTGCTGTTCCTGGGTCTCGACAACGCCGGGAAGACGACGTTGCTGCATATGCTGAAGGTTCGCTGGTTCCGGGGGGAGACAGATGGGGAGACAGATGGGGAGACAGATGTGGAGACAGATGGGGGAAGGGGGATGTGAAGGCTGACGGAATCGTGTGCACAGAATGACCGTGTCGCTATCTTGCCGCCTACTCTTCATCCTAGTAAGTGCTACTGAGAGACTGGGAGAGAGAGACAGAGGGGGAGAGAGAAAGGGAGAGAGAAGGGTGCTGACGTGTGGCGAATAGCTTCCGAGGAGCTCGCGATCGGCAACGTCAAGTTCACCACCTTCGACTTGGGCGGTCATCAGCAGGGTAGCTACCACCTCCTACCTGCTTCCTCACGCCTCGTATAGCTAACACCCTCCAGCGCGCCGTCTCTGGAAAGACTACTTCCCGGAGGTCTCGGGCATCGTGTTCCTCGTGGACGCGAAGGACCACGAGCGTCTCCTCGAGTCCAAGGCGGAGCTCGACGCGCTGCTGAGCATGGAGGACCTGTCCAAGGTGCCCTTCCTCATCCTCGGCAACAAGATCGACCACCCATCCGCCATCTCCGAGGAGGAGCTGCGCCAGGTCCTCGGTCTCTACTCCACCACCGGAAAGGGCAAGGTCCCGCTCGAGGGTATCCGTCCCATTGAGGTCTACATGTGCTCGGTGGTTATGAGGCAGGGTGAGTTTTGTTCCCCCCGACGGCGACAGGAGTGGATGGCTAATGACCGCAATAGGCTACGGAGAGGGCTTCCGGTGGATGTCCCAATACGTGTAGATTCCTTCCTACCCTACCCGCCAAATCCAGTCCGGTCCGATTCTCTTTTTGTTCGGTTTGCGCGTTCGTGCGTGCGTATCGTTAACGTAGACAAGTTATAACTATGATTACGAATTGTGAGGATGACAGGACTTGATGGTGGGGGTCTATAGTGCGTGTAAAAAAAACTTGTTCGGGATTCCTTACTTCTGCCACGATATTGTTCCCGAAGTGTTTTTACATCTGTACTGTGGTTCTTTCGGTACTGGAAATCTGTTTTCATCTATTTTTTTTTTTCATCTTCTTCTTCTTTTCTTCCTTTTCTTTTTCTTCTATTTGTTTCCGATAGCAAGGAATAAATTCCTTTTTTTATGTGACGCTTAATCGATCCGCCCATTCATCCACCACTCTCTCCCACGGATGATATGATATGAACGAGCGACTTGGAAGGTATACAAGAATGCCTACTCATGTTGCCGGATCCAGAATCTCCAGCACCCCGCCGATGAGATGCAGCGACCCCGTAATCAGCACGTGCACATCCCCGTCCAGCGCGCGCACGACTCCCACCGCCTCCTCGATGGTTCTTATCACGTGCGTCTGCGCCCCCGGGTCCACAGCTTTCCACGCATCCGCCAGCGCGCGCTGCACCGTCAGTGCGCTTACCGCGTCGGAGTCGGAGCCGATGCTGATTAGGTCTGTAGTTCCCACAGCAGTTAGCTTCCGGGAGCATCGCTGGATGGATCGATGTGGGCTGTGGATGTGGATGTGGATGTGGGCTGTGGATGTGGGCATACCCGGTTTGGAGGCTTGCTCTTTGCTCGTTATGTTCGTGCAAAAGATTGCGTGGTCGAATAAGGGCTCGGAGCCTAGGTGCTGTTGGAGAGAGGTGGCCAACGCGCAGAGGAGCTTTTCCGGGGCGTCGCGGTTCTGCTGGTTGAAGATCAGGACTCGTGTCCGAGGCTTCTTGCCCTCCGCGCTACATAGGCGGCATCAGTAGAGTGCTGTGCTCGCTGTATCACTCGCAGCTGGGTTCCCAAAAAACACATACCTCTTCCCAGCGAACCACTTCCCCGCGACGTCAAGGCTCTCCATAGTGTGCGCGCCGTCAATATTCCACTCGACACTGCCCTGGTGCATGACCTGACATCTGCCTGGCCACTCCACATTCAGCAGGCCGCGCTTGACCTCCTCGGGCAGCGGCCCATCAGGCGTGACGTTGATCGGATGACCGAGCGCCTGCATGTGCGCACCAACCAGCGCAGCCGCAAGCGACGCATTGCCCATCTGGAAGTCGGCGGCGAGGCCGAGCTTTGCAGATCCATCCCTGATCTCAGGGTGGACTCCGACGACGTTCAGCTCTACTCCGCGCTCGCTCGCCCTGCTGTTTAGGACCTCCATCGCATTCGTCGGCTGCTCGACCGAGAACGCCGCCGCACCCGCTTTCATAATCCCGGCCTTATTCCACGCGATCTTCTCGATGGTGTCGCCGAGCATGGCGACATGGTCGATTCCGAGACTCGTGATCCCGGTGGCGGTCGGGCGCTCGATGATATTGGTGGAGTCGTACTCGCCGCCGACGCCGACCTCGAAGACGGCCGTGTCGACGTTCTCGCGCACATACACGTGGAATGCGAGCAGGGTGAGAAAGCGAAAGTACGCGGGCTTGTCGTTGGGGTCGCGGCCCTCTTTTGCGGCCGAGGCCTCCACCCGCTCCCACACCTCGAAGAAGTAGCGCGCGAAATCGGCCTCGCCCAGCGGCCGCCCGTCGACCTGGATCCGCTCCCGCACCGACCGCAGGTGCGGCGACGTGTACAGCCCCGTCTTCCGCAGGACGCCTGCGCGGCGGTACTCAGATAGGATCGAGGACGCGAATGCGCACGTGGAGCCCTTGCCCTTTGTCCCCGCCACGTGGATGATGTTCAGACAGTTGAAGTCGGAGGGGGAGTAGCCGATGCGCCGCGCCCACTCGATCATTTCCGGGATTGCGGCGGTGTTCATAGTTGCCCCCGACGCCCGGATCGCGGATATCACTGCGAAGTTCGATTGCAGCGTGTTGAGCGTGCGGATCGCGTCCTGCGTTGGGTGTCAGTGCGAGGAGGGGGCGGGAGTGCGAGGGCGAGGGAGGGAGACTTCGTAGGTTCGCGGAGTGGACGCCATGGTGGTTGTGGTGGTGGCGGCGGTGGTGGTGCTGTAGCGTCGTGTGGTGAGGAGGATTGCGGTCGGTGACGCTCTGGCGATGAGGGTGCGGCGGATGGGCATGCGTGGGGTCGACTGCGGGGTGCTGTGCAGGTTTGTGGGGGTTGTCATATGCAGCACCACGGACAGTCCTACAGGAACAGGGTCCGTGTAACCGTGGATAGTTAGCAGCCATAGGGCGGTCCCTCCCACACGTCTTTGGCACTTGATATGGCTTCTGCATGGGAGATCCGTCTACATACCATGCCTGGATGCTAGAAATTGCATAGGTGGGCCATGTACTTACTACCAAAGAGCAGTAATCGACAGAGCTGGGCTGTTAACTACGGCGACATGTGGTCAACGTGCCGTTGAATAGCCTCCGAGCTAGCCTTCGTCACGGGCTACATACATCATATAGCCTTTCCTAGCCTGTTCGACCATCCGCAACCCAATACCTACCATGCATCACACACCACAGTTCCATCCATATCGACCGCAGCCCGTCAACATCTCGGTTCATCCCTCCAGCAGCAGCGCTTCGATGGTGGTGCCGGAGATAGCTACAACTAACTACGGGCGGAGGATATCGACTGTCCGTTCAACGGTCTGAACAGTGGTGGCCAATGCAGGTCTCTAGGTTCCTGCACTCCATCTCTCTGGCCGATATAACGACGACCTACCCCACGGGTGGTCACTTGAGGAGTGCACGTTTACGGTTTACCGCGGAGTCGCTCGAGAAACCTGCGATGTTCCGTGTCAAGAGTGGCCGTCTCTCACGCGCATGGGAAGGTGAATTGGAACCAGCCTGCAAGCAAGTATCTACGACTCCACTATATATCGGGCTCGTCTTTCGTCAAACCGGATTCGTCGGACTGGTTGTTCAGGGCCAAGGATTATGATATCGACTGGCTGGATGGCGACTGGCTGGATCGCCCCATCACGGACAGCAAGAACCTGTGGACGGAAGGGTTATGTGGCAAGATGGGGGGAGCGCCAATGGATGTCTCCCGTTCGGAAAGGGATTGATGACTGTTTGACTGTTTGGGCAGCGGCAAGAAGCGGAGGAGAGCCAATGGAGGTCTCCAGGTCGGAAAAGGTGCAATGGTGCAATGGTTCAATGGTTCAAGGTGCAATGGTGCAATGGTTCAATGGTTCAAGGTTCAATGGCCGTTTGGACAGCGGCAATATGGAGGGCCGTCACATTTGACTCTCGCCAAAGGGTGTTCACAAGTCTCGGGATCGTCGCAAGTATCAGGACAACTGCTCTGGATGATTCTGGCTGTGAGTCCTCGGTGCCCAGTGACCTTCAGTTCTTCACGCGTGTAACCCGGACCCTTAATGGTTGGTTCGGCTGACGCACGACGGGTGCGCATTCGGAAATGCCTGGTTCGTCGTGTTGCCTCCACCGAATTGCTGAAGAAGAAGACGAAGACGAAGAAGAAAAAGAAGAAGACGAGCCCCTCCAACGGCCATTCTGCCCCGCTCGATCGCACAGGCCGCAGTCCGCCCTTCGATGCATCGTCCGCCGCCGCCTGCTCCTGCTCCCATGCGCACGTATGCCTCAAAATACATCCGCCGCGCAGATCCTGTCATCCCGCTCGTCCCCTTCCTTTCGCTTCCCACAACGTTACAGGGGTTCATTTCCTCATTCGGTCCTCGTCTGTTTACCTCTTGCTTTGCTCCTGCTCGCTCTGCTCGCTGCGCTGCGCTGTGCTCTGTGGCTGGCCGTGTTAGCCTGACTACCCGTGGTTGCAACTCCCCACCTCCAAATCCCCATCAGGAATCATCACTTCGCTCGCTACATCCTTACTACTACTTACTTACCCACTCACTACTGCTACCCTCCCCCAACACCGACAGTCACCCCCTCCGAAAAGATATCCCCCCCTCCAACCCCCCTCCCCCCTCCCCCTCCCCCCCCGTCCGTGTGAGAGCGTGGCTTCAGCCCCCTCCTCCTCCGTTCGCTCGTTATCCTCCCACCCGCCGAAAAAACACCCTGCTTCGCGAATAGTTATCCTGTCCTTGAGTCGATCAAAATCATTATCAATCAATAACAACACCACCAACAACAACAATAACAACAATCACAACAACAACGCCAGTTAACCACCCACCACCCGCCAACCTCCCAACCAGCACCACAACCACAACCATCTCCGCTTCGATGCCACCACCTTCACGTCCCATGCGAGGAACTGAGAATCGCGAATTCGAGAACCGAGTGCGTCATGCTACCACGACGGCAAAGCCAAAAACACCGCCGCTTGCGTCGCCAGTGGCGCGGCTAGGCAACGGACCGGATCCGACCGATTTGAGGGCTGCATTGGAGGATGCCGTCGCTACTCCCACGCCGTCGCCGAGCAGGAAAAGGCAGCGGATTGTGTACCAGGACAGGTGCGTTCGAGCTCCGGGGAAGACGAGAGCAAGTGGGGAGGAGAGCGGAAGGAGAAAGACGAGACGAGCTGGCGCCGGGCGACGAGGGGGAGCGGAGCGATCGAAGAAGCAAAACGCGGGCGGAAAAATGCTGACCCTGGACCTCCAGATTCATACCAAACCGAGACGGCGTCGATTTGACAGCTAGCTTCAGCTTATTACCGTCGTCCCCGTCAAAACCGCCAAAGCGCACGCCCCAAGGCGAGCTGCACTTCCAGAAGAGTAGTCCTCTCCAGCCACTCCGTCAACTAAAAACTCATCCCGTCATCGTGCTTGCGCTGACCGACACGTGATCCGCAGATGAACAAGCAAACAATACCTTCACGCACCTGTTGCGATCCGAACTATTCCACAACGAGATACCCCAGGCCGACCCGCCGTCGTTCAACACCCGTAACTCTGCGGCTTCTTCGCGGATAAATACCGTGCGCAACAGGACGCCGCCAATAGCGGCTTCGAATATTAATGCCCCGTCGACGCCGTCAAAAAACTTGTTCAGTTACATGTCGCCCAAGACGGGGACGCCCAAGTCTCGACACGGACCGAACATGGATACGAGATCGGAGATTTACTCCCTCTCGCCAGTCCGATACGACAGCCAAAAGATGTTATTATCGCCTCGCAAGCAGCCGCGCGCCGTGAGCAAGGTGCCTTACAAGGTGCTGGATGCGCCAGAACTGGCGGATGACTTTTATCTGAATCTGGTTGATTGGGGAAGCACAAACATATTAGGTGTAGGCCTTGGCAGTTGCGTGTACATGTGGAATTCAAACTCGGGGAAGGTGACGAAGCTGTGCGATTTGGGCACGGAGGATAGTGTGACGAGTGTGTCGTGGATACAACGGGTACGTTCTGCGCAGTGCTCCTCGCTCGGCCACGGTTTCGCTGACAGCTCGGTGGCGTAGGGTTCACATGTCGCGATAGGAACAAATAAGGGATACGTACAGATTTGGGATGCAAGAGAATGTCGCCGGTTACGCACGATGACCGGTCACACCGCTCGCGTCGGTGCGTCGCCCCAGCTCTGCAGATCTAATCTGATGACGAAGGCTAAAGTTTTACAGGTGCACTCGCGTGGAACGACCATATCCTTTCATCTGGGTCACGGGACCGCGCCATTTACCACCGCGACGTCCGTGCGCCAGAACAGTATATTTCAAAGCTCACGGGCCACAAGCAAGAGGTGTGCGGACTCAAGTGGAATTGCGAGGACGGACAGCTTGCCTCGGGCGGAAACGACAACAAGCTGTTCGTCTGGGACAAGCTCATGCCGCAGCCGCTGTACAAGTTCTCGGAGCACACGGCGGCGGTCAAGGCCATTGCGTGGTCGCCGCACCAACACAACACGCTGGCGTCCGGTGGAGGAACTGCGGATCGGAAGATTCGATTTTGGAACACCTCGACCGGACAACCGATAAACGAGATTGACACGGGCAGTCAAGTGTGTAACCTCGCATGGTCCAAGAACTCGAACGAGATCGTGTCGACACACGGCTTCTCGGAGCACCAGATTGTGGTGTGGAAGTACCCCTCAATGACTCAGGTGGCGACTCTCACCGGGCACACATATCGAGTGTTGTATCTTGCGATGTCGCCGGACGGCCAGGTGATAGTGACGGGAGCTGGAGACGAAACGCTTCGGTTCTGGAATTGCTTCACCAAGAACAAGAACGAGGGACGGATATCGACAGCCTTCGACCCGCTGGCACAAATTCGATGATTGATTACGATGGATTTGATTTTAGACATTGACTTCTTTAGATACCTTCTTCTTCTTCTTCTTCTTCTTCTGTCTTGGACTAACTATGGCTTTCCTTTTTCTTTTTCCTTTTCTGGGTGTCCTATTTCTTTATTTTATTTTTTGCTACATATGGTGTTCTGGGTAGGACATGGCTTGGTTGCTGTTGTCGTTGTCGTTGTCGTTGGCTATTTGGGGATTCTTCTCGCCTGTCTGTTCTGGCTGTTCCTAGCAGCGAAGACTACGTTACCGTTCACCATTGAGGAACGAACGAGTTTGTGGAAGGAAAGGCAGTACAGAGTGGGGCGAGTTTGAGGGATTGGGGGGGGGATACGGAGCGGGGGGATGCGGGGTGGGGAGTTGTACAGTACAGGGCTGATTGATTGTGCAGTTTTGTTGTTGGGAGTCTGTTGAATTGTTGTTGGATGGGGTTGGGTATGGGCTGGGATGGGAAATCTTTTGTTTTTGGTTGATTGATTGATTGATTGGATTGATTAAGTGATTGATGCTCCTGAGTTTATGGAGAGAATTCTCGACAGCTGTTTTTGCGCTTTTCGCTACCTTTTAGTTCTCCGTTTTTTTTGCGCCGTTTCATGGTGCGCGCATGATATCCTTCCCCCCTCCCTCCCTCCCTCCCTCCCTCCCGCGCTGCAGCGCTGCTGCGGATCAGAGAGGGGAGGGAAGGGGCTTGTAGTATTCTATCATACCTATGATACTCCTGTAACCGTTGTCAGTTGTGGCGATGAAATCGAACCCGCTTCAAGATCAGTATCGGCCTTTTATTCCTTTTTGGAAGTTTGAGATCTTGATTCGACCGGCCGTCAATGCTACAATTTAGACAGGTCGTCACTCGTCACTCGTCACTCGTAGCCACGGCATTGGCCCATATGAGTATACTTCCACATGTAAACGCAGAACATCACATCCTGAGAGCTACATCTGGATTACAGACATCACCTTCGCCACTCCCTACCCCAACATCTTTGCCTAGGCCTTTCTTTTGGGGAGTTCAATGCTACTACATAAGCGATCGGGCTACATAGGTTCTAGGCAATTGATGCTTCAACTGAAGCGAAAGTATTTATGTAAAGCGCAGATCTGCAGAAGGCTGAAGCCGCTGGAGTCTGGAGATCCGCTGGAGATCCGCCGGCCCCCATCTGGTCAGGGAAGCAGTGGTGGCGGTACTGTACGTAGGTAGCGTAAGCAGCGTATGTAGCGTATGTAGCGTATGTAGCGTATGTAGCGTATGTAGCGTATGTAGCGTATGTAGCGTATGTAGCGTATGTAGCGTATGTAGCGTATGTAGCGTATGTAGCGTATGTAGCGTATGTAGCGTATGTAGTGTATGTATGAGAGTGTTGTGGCTGTGCGGCCATAACATAAGGTGATGCAGGTTGGTGGTGAAAGTTGGTGGCGAAGATTTCCATTGTTGTTGTTGTTGTTGTTGTTGTTGTTGTTGTTGTTGTTGTTGTGGGTGCTTCCTCGCTTTGGATGGTAAGTAGTAGCGCACCCATAACAAATAGTGAGTATCAAAGGCGATCTAAGGAACTCGTCGACCTCCAGAATCTAGAGGCTGGTGGGTTATTGTTGGGATGGAAATAAAAACTCTACCCTATACAATAAACCCGTTTCCATCGGAGAGGGTTGAGGATCCATAGCTACTCTAGGTATTGCATGCGATCCTTCTATGCCGGTGGCGCGGGGGGGGGAGGGGGGGGCGTGTGGGGTAGAAAGAGGGCGATTGTATAGTGTACTGAGATGTCCTTTGATGGGCATCGAGTAGAGTAATTATGACTCTACTGACCGTTTCAATCCACGGGGTTTGGTGGCTGAACACCAGTGATAATCGCGACTCGCAACTCTCGAGTCTCGAGCCATCGATGGATCATGGGCGTGGATAAAAATAGCCTCTTGCAAAGCACCAGCACCAGCACTTGGAAATACTCACTGCTCACTGCTCACTGCTCAAAAAGCTCAGGGCACGAGCCCGAGCCCGAGCCCGTGCTCGACAAGCTCCGATTGCTACTGCACAGTACCCGCCTACCTTGGACTAGACAATTCGTCGAACATCAATCAGTGCTCGAGTGCTCAAGAACGCCAAACACTGGAAGTCTGGAATGTAGATGCATAATGAGAGGTGCATCGCCACACACCGGTCGGGATGCGGGCCTGACCAGTGACCCAGCCACCACGGGGAGCTGCTGCCTGTATGTATGTGTGTACGGCTTGCGTCAATAGGGCAGTGCAGACCCCACTCCGTTCAACTCCGCTCAGCTCAGCTGAACATCAGCTCTCGCCAAACATAAAACCACCACCCTCCCCCTCAATCCCCTCCCCCACCCTTCACCCCCTAACCCACCACCACCGCAGCCCCCACGACACCGCACGAAACAAACCAAAATGCGCAACCTCTTCTCCTCCAAAAAAGACAAATCCACCCCTCCTCCCGCGGCTTCCACCCCGCCCCCGCAGTACCAGCAACATCAGCAGCAGCAGCAGCAGCAGCATCAACCGCAGCAGCAGCAGCGCCCCGACGACGCCGCGCGATCCGCACTCTTCGGGTCCCGCGCGCAGCAATCACCCGCACAGCACAACCCCTACGGCGCACCCCCGCAGCAGCAGCAGCAGCAGGGCGGGGGGTACGGGGGCTACGGCGGGTACGGCCAGCCACCACAACACGGCCGCGCCGACTCCTCCAGCACGCTCGACCACAAGAAGCACGAGCTGTTCTCTGGGCGGCAGCCCGCCTCGGCCGCGCCGCCCGCGTACGGCGCTCCGCCGTCCTCGGGGGCGTCCTCGGGGGCGTACGCGCGGCCGACGGGGTACGCGGACGACAACGGGGCGGACCGGGTATTGAGCGCGGAGGAGGAGGAGGCGGAGGACGTGGATGCGGTGAAGCAGCAGATACGGTTTACGAAGCAGGAGTCGGTGTCTAGCACACGGAACGCGTTACGGATCGCCGCGCAGGCGGAGGAGACGGGGCGGACGACGCTGGCACGGCTCGGGGAGCAGGGGGAGAGGCTGCATAATACCGAGAAGAACTTGGATATGGCCGCCGCGCATAATAGGGTCGCTGATGAGAAGGCGAGGGAACTCAAGACACTCAATCGCAGCATGTTTGCGGTTCATGTCGCGAATCCGCTCAAGAGTAAGAGCCGTGCGGAGGCGGAGGAGAGGAAGATCCTCGAAAGGCACGAGAGTGAGCGCAGCGAGCGGGAGCGGACCAGGCAGCAGGGGTATGCGGCGCGGGAAGGGGTGGGGAAGGCGCTTCGCGGCGGGGCGGGCGGGATGGGCATGGGCGGGGCGGGCAGCAGGGGCGGGAAGCTTTCCATGGCGGAGAGGAGCAAATACCAGTTTGAGGCGGACGAGAGCGACGACGAGAAGGAGAGGGAGATTGAGGGCAATCTGGATGCCCTGGCTGGCGTCACGGGACGCCTGAAGGGCCTGGCTGTTGCTACCGGACAGGAGGTCGATAGGCAGAACAGGCAGATCGAGAATATCTCCAAGAAGGTGCGTGGCCCCGATTTCTCCCTGCTGTGGGCGCTGCTAACCACGAGGACGAACAGAGCGATGGTGTCGACAACCAGATTGCGCTCACCCACAATGCTATCAAGAAGATTCATTAGATTGCGGATGCAGGATAATGATTTATGGAGTTTGTTCTGTTTTTCTGTTTTTGCTTTGCATGCTTTACGGTTTCCAGATGCGGGTACACGGATGGAATCTGACTGGATGTTTATTGATGTACTCGTTTCGACTAAAAATGCGGATCTCGTTCTTTGGGTATGCTGTCAAGAGCCTTCAGTGGTTGAAACGGGTCCGGACTGACAACTGTCGTGGAGCCATGCGAGTGATAATATGTGATTACCAAGGCGAGAACATCTAGTTACTCTACATTCGGACACGTTCTAGTACCAATTCCCATTGCCAGCTCCAAAAGAAAGGCGTGTAGATATGTAGATGAACAGAAATATTAACCCCCATGCCTGACAGCAACCCCTCCCCCTCCCCGCCAAACCGAAACCCTGAGCCCGCCGTTATCGGTTCAAAACAAAAAAAAAATGCAGCAATAACCAAAGCCGGACGCAAAGAACCAAACACCGTATCTAATACCCTATCCAATCTCATGCACACGCTTTCCTCCACACACCACCACCGGGGATATCTATCTATGTAGCGACCTCCTGCGCCCTCAGCTTCTCCTCGAAGCCGCGACACACGTCCTCAAAGCCGCTGGTGACATCTCTGCAGACGACGGCGGCATCTCTCCGCTTACACTTGGCGTCCCAGTCGCCGTCCTCGATCCACCGCCGGGCCGTCTCGACCATCTCCAGCTCGTTCCTCCAGTCCGCGCAGGCCTCCTTCGCCGCCTGCAGCTTCCTCCGCGCGACAATACTCGACTGCCGCGTCATGTGTAGGCTGTCGCTGATGCTGCTCAGCTGTGCGGCCAGGCTCAGCGTCAGGTGGTGCAGCGTGGTCAGCTCCGCCAGCGGCTCGATCGCCGGCCGCGGGATCAGCTCCAGAAGCCCCTCCATGATCTCGGTCGTCTCCGGCGGCGGCAGCGACACCGCGTTGATCGAGAAGCCGAGGTCGCGGAGCGTCCGTGTCTGGTAGAGCATGTTCAGGCTGAGCGCGGAGTGCGCGGTGGTGAGGCGCATGCTTCCGTTTTCGAGCGTCGACTGCGAGCCGAGCTCCTGCAGCCCGCCCATCAGGAGCTTGACCACCCCGCCGTCCGCTAGGTCCTCCTCTCGTAGCGTGTGCCGTTGCCGTAGTGCGAGTTGCTCGATCGCCGTGATCTTCTCCGACAGCCCGACGGAAATGCCCTCCTGCAGTGGCTCGTCGACGTCGCTGGACTGCGAGCGGCTGCTCGGTGATCGCTGCGCCGGGTCGTCTTCCGCTGCTTCCCCGCTGCTGCCGGTAGCTCCTTCCACCACCCCCTCCCTGCCTCGTTCCTCCACTACTTCCGCATCACCTCCTGCAGTCTCGTCACCTCCCGCCTGCTCTTCCCCCCCCTCCCCCTCCCCCCCCTCCTCCTCTTCCTCGTCGGAGTAGTCGTCGCCAAAAGCTCCCGCAAGCTCGTCCGCTAACGAGCCCAGCCCCCCATCGGCAGCACCGGATATGCTGGGCTGCACAAACGACAACGACGCGTCGTCGAGGCCGTTGACCGACTCGTCACCATATACTGACATTTCGTTCGTTCCGTCTCTTTGTTGTGTAGTGGGAAAGGGGGTGGGTGGGTTCTAGCTATTGGGACTGCGGCCGGCTGGAGGGGGAGGGTCGTGGTGCGCTGTAGTGTATGTGGATGTGGATGTGAGTGTTGAGGAAGCTGTGGAATGTCGCATAGGAGAGCTGCTGCTTTTGTTTGGTTTGGTCTTCCCGGAAGTAATGCGCGATCTTGGGATGTGGAATGTGGAGTTTCCGGTATTGGTTGGGCGACTATTGGTCTATTGGTTGGTCGGGCGGACGTGGGTGGGGAGGTCGGAGGTGTGTGTGTGTGGGTGGTGGTGCTGGTGCGTGGAGGGTGCGGATCTGCTGGAGTGTGGGGGAATCCCGTGGACTTGTAACTAAGGGAAGGTCTCGGGCCGAAGGTCGAGACGAAGCAGCAGCAGCAGCAGGACAGTCACTGGGTATCAACTCGAGAAAGGGGAAAGAAGGAGAGTGTACGAGAGACAGCCAGCAGCGAATTACACACGTTTCCGAACCGTTCCATCCCATTCCGCAGCGTCCGGTCCGAAACAGCGCTCCTCTAATTAGACGTCTCGACCAACCCCAAACCATCTCTCATCTCAGCTCGGACCAACCGTTTCTCCCCCCAAAGTCTCAAAGTCCCAAAGTCCCAAAGTCCCAAAGTCCCAACCCCAACCCACACACAGTCGCGCTTCAACCTCCCTCCTCGCTAGTTTACCCACCCAAGCTTTACCGCGCAAAAAAAGTTGCCCCGCATTATCACCACCCACGACCGCCCGCACGACCACACTCCCACCCCTCGCCGCAACCACAAAAATGTCCTCCGTCCGCCCCTTCCACGCGCTCGACCTCTTCCGCTTCAACGCGGCGAACCTCGACCCGTTAACCGAGAACTACGACATCAGCTTCTACCTAAACTACCTCGCCCGCTGGCCCACCTACTTCTGCGCGATGGAGAACGCCAGCGGCCGAATAATGGGGTACAGTACTATCCCCCCCCCATCCCCATCCCCCTCCCCTTCCCCTTTACTAACCCCCCCCTTCTCGTATATAGTCATGGGCAAAGCCGAGGGTAGCTACTGGCACGGACACGTAACGGCGCTGACGGTAGCACCGAACTACCGCCGGCTGGGACTGGCCAAGACGCTGATGGACGAGCTGGAGCGCGTCACGGACACCCTCTACAAGGGCCACTTCGTCGACCTGTACGTCCGCGTCAGCAACGAGATCGCTATCGGAATGTACGAGCGCCTCGGTTACTCTGTCTATCGCCGCGTGGTCGACTACTACTCCGGGTCTAGGCCCGGCGAGCCGGATGAGGATGCGTTTGGTGAGTCTGCCCGGACACCGACCAAGGGCTGAGCGAGGCTGATGTGTGAGCGCCAGATATGCGGAAACCCATGAAGCGCGACAAGAAGCGCGAGAGCGTGCGCGAGAACGGGAGGAACTTTAGGGTGCTTCCCGAGGATGTTTACTGATGAGCTGAGCTGAGCTCGGATTACCCCATATTCTGTTCTGTTCTGCGATGTTGTAATGTTTCAACGGAATTCGGATGCATAATGCTGGACAAAAAAAAGGGCATGATAGAACGTAGATGGGCTGGAAATGGCGCAATTCACTGGGTACTAGGTACCGCAATATTTTTCTTTCTTCGATTGTATGAACTTGTATGGACTTTGAAGCTAGATTCCCGGACAGTAACCGAGTCTTTTCAACAATCCCACCTTTCGTCGCCTGTCTGCTGGGAGAGTAGTGTTGTATGAATGGATGGAGAATGTGGAGAAGAGGAACGAGTGATTACTGTTGCTATTTCGTCGTGGGACGGAATCAAAGGTCACGAGGAATGAATTGCGCCCCGCTGTCACCCCGGATTGGCCGTACTTTGCCGTCGAGACGTACAAAGCCCATACTTATGCATTCATCTGACTCCCTACAACCTACAAGCTCGCAGTAATAATCGTACACAAGGCATTCATTCCTAATGATACCGTAACAAATGGAGACCCACTGACGGCCTGCGTCGTCCATGCTCCAAAAAAAAAACTCAAAACAATACAACAATACAAAAATCAAAGGAAGAAAAAACGATACAACCAACGGACCCTCAACCCAATCTGCTGGGGCGATCTCGGTATGCCTTCTTCGTCTTCAACTTCTTCTTCTTCTCGGTACGAGGCTCCTCGAATTCCTGAACCCCCTTCCCTACTCCACCTCCGTCCACGGCTCGAGTCCGAGGCAGTATTCTGAAACCGACGACGCCCTCTGCCTTCGCAACATCCTGCACACCATCGAAGGCCGTCGTGCGGTCGTCAATGCGCTGCTGGCGTGCACCCTGCGCATTCGAATATTCCGCAGCCGGGAAGTTCTGTGTGAAGCTTGAGAAGTTGACTTTCGATCGCTGCTCCTGGGCGGGAGAGATGAGGGTGTAGTCGCTTTGGCGCTGGCGGTCCTCCATGACGCTCGACTGGGACTCGGACTGGGACTCGGACTCTGTCTGCGCCTCGAGCGGTAGAATCCGCCGCTTTTCGTCTACGATCCTCGAGCTCGACGTCGTGTTGTGTGACGAGCTGCTGACGTACCGTGGCTGCTGGCGTTTACCTTGCCGTAGCAGTTCGCGGCTGTCGTTAGGACCGTCGATCGTATTGTTCTTCAGTCGTTGCCGCCATTTGTCCCTCCATTCATCGTCGTTCTTAAGTTTCATTCGTGGGGTATAGTGCTCTGGGCTGGTGACCTCAAAGTGCTCCTTGGTGACGACCGGCCGTTTGCTCCGTGGTACTTTACTGGTGGTTTCGGAAGACTGCTTGACGGATTTGGTGGATTTGATGGACGAAGTACGAATGCTAAGTCTCGGTGGTGCCATCTCCCGCATCAAAGATGGCGAACGCATTGGAGGACGGTATGCAACCTGCAGTGGTGGAATTGGTGAGTTCGATGGGCGGACACGCTGTGATTTGACCATGGCTCGCTGTCGCGGGGGCGGTGGCGGTGACGGGACATCCTCTTCAGAAGATTCCGACGACCCAGACACAAGAATTGAGGGCTCTTCGAATGATGTCAAAGTGTCTTGAGAAGCCTTCGAGTACAAGCGGTGGAGTGGCACCGGATTCTGAAGAGTGGGTACATCCGTATCCTGCATCTTGACAACCCGTAAAGGCGAAACCGATCGCGGCACAGAAAGATGATCCCGAGGTGCGGTGGGAATGGGAGGGGACGGCTGCGCTCCCTTCTCGCGCTCCTTTCTTCTTTCCAACGCAATATCCTTGAAAGTTCGTGGCTGTCTGATGGTGGATGTCGGATAATCGTAAGATGCGTTGGTTGCGGGCATGTCCCTGCTCGGAATCTTCTCACCCCTAGCAGCCGCTTTTAATGCGGTCGGAGATGCTTCAGTCGTCACAATCTTGGGGGTTCCTCTGAGCTGGGTCTTGTTGACCATGGTTGACGGGCCGCTACTTTCGGACTCCGAAGAAGATGAGCCAGATGACGACTCATAATCCGCCGGCACCCTGCTGCGCTGTACTTTGTTTTGCTGGTTCCGTCCATCAGAATAGGTGAGAGGCCTCGAGATTATGTCAGCTGTTCTTCCTCTCGGCGGTACGTTGTCTTGTCGTGAAGGCGCTGCAAAAAGACCCACCACGCCCTTCACCATACCAGGCCCCGCATATTTTGGGGTTGATGGTTCCGTCTGGCCTCGGTTGACCACACCCAGTCCCCTTGGTTGTTTGGGATATCTATTGGATGTATCGATCTTGCTTGGCTCTTGAGTCGTAGCTCGAAGATTTGCATCCCTCACTTGTGGGACTGGAGAAGCATATTTCAATGCTGGCGGCTTCGGTGGTAGGGCAGGAGCAGAGGACTTCGATTGCAGTGGCTGCGGAGTGTCTTTATCCGTCTTTAATGAAAGAACAGGGGAGGTTTTGACGCTGCGACTCGAGAAGTAGCGTTCGCTTTCGTTATTGGGGCTGTTGCTCTTCAAGTCATGCGTTCGGCTCTTCTTGTCCGTTCTCGACGGTGGCCTGGCGACAGGACTACTCCGTCTCTCGATCCTTGATGGCGGCTTGGTGACAGGACTGTTTACCGCAGCATCAGTCGATGCAGTTTGTCCATCCACACCTCCCGGCACAATCAACTTCAAAGACTTGTCTTTGTGGTGACGATGGTGGTGATGGCTCCGCTTCTTCTTCTCCTTGGCCTGGTCCACACTCTGTCTCTCTTCCGTTCTCGGAGCAAACTGCTCCTTCTTCATCTTGACCGACCTCAAACGTTCCGTCGACTTCTTAGAAGCCATCTCTCTGCTGTCTCCGCCAAAGACAGCAATCTCCTCGAGACCGCCCACATCCGCCTCGGGCTGAACGATGACATTGATACGCTTTCCCGCCAGCACCTCACGTTTCGGAATCTGCTCCGCCCTCTCCTTCCATTCAAACCTTTGTTTGATGGGGCTGACCTGAGCCGTGGTCTGTCCCGAAATCGGAGCTGAGAAGGACTCCAGCCTATTGAAGTTGACGACCAGTGACTTTACTTTGTTCTCGGGGATGGGATCGCGGGGCCGCCGCGGGGCGGCAGATCTGCCGTCCTCCTTGAACGCTCGGTTGTTGAAGAAGTCGATTAGTGAGCGGACATCGCTACGACGGTTGGGGATCTGTAGCGGACGTGGTCGCGAGTCTTTGGTTCTTGGGGAGGAAGGACGGGTGTCTTTGGTGCCTGGGGAGGAGGGTCGGGTGTCTCTGTGGTGATGGTGGTGGTGGTGACGGCCATGAGAGTGCTTCATCTGGAAACATCCGATTCGTGATCATCAGCAGGCAGTTCCTTCCCCGTTTTCAGATGATGGGTGAATGAGCACCTCGAGTGACTCGGATATCCAAAAAGGTCAGTCAAAATATCATAGCAACGTCGGTGTTCAAAGCAGATTGAAGAGCCGGTGGTGATTGTAGGTGTACAGATATCGTCGAGTCTCGGATCGAAGGGTCAATTCGGCGAGATAGGGCTGTTGACAATGGAAAGGCAAGAGGGTGAGGGAGCTGCAGCCCGTCTAGAGAGGGAATGGACGAGTGATAGAAGGTAGATTGAAGGCTGTGGTTGTCAGGCCCAATTCAAAGTTGGACCCAACCCTGCACACGACTCAATCGGGGAGAATACAGGTTCGAATGGGGTAGAACTGTTGTCCAACATATTGAAAGAGAGAGAGAGTATATAATGGAGAAAATCCGAATACAATTTTGAAGTTTTGTTCACACTTCTCTATCGCTAATGCTACATGAGATTCATTCTTCAGCCCGATGAACCAGAACCACTCTATTTCATAGCGGCCTGAAGGCTCTCAAGAACCTGTCATCTCGTCAGTCAAAGCTCCACTCGCACGATCCTCTCCGGCAGCAAACATACCTCAATCTCGATCTTGGCCTCGGCGATGTCGGCCTCGCTTCCGGAGCCGGAGGCAACCTTCTGAGATTCGGCCAACTGGGCGCGGAGAGCCTCCGCGCTGAAGTCCTCGAGAGCGAAAGCCTCAACGGCGTTGATGCTCAACTGGGAGTTGGGCTGGACGACAGCGAATCCTCCCGAAACTAAACCATCCGGCGCATGAGCTACCCCTCCCCCGCAATTCCTGATGAGACGGATGATGATGACGTACCGAAGTACTGCTTGCTAGCACCGGCGTTCTCCTCGATGATCTCGATGAGTCCAGGCCTCAGCTGCTCGACCGAGGGAACGTGGTTCGCGAGGATACCCATATCACCTGACTCGGCGGGGATGTTGACCTGGATACTGAACGACACCCTCCTCGTCAGCGAGCGCTCTCCCTCCAACTCCCAGATGGCCATCGGACGGCGTACACATCGTTGGTCTTGAAGATTGCCTGCAGTAAGAGTCGCTTGCGTCAATAACCAATCGCCAATCGCCAACCTTCGGAGCATCGGGACCACCGACCTGATGGGGGACACTGAGCGACAACCGGATTTTGTCGGAGGGGGCAGCAGCCTCGGCGTAGGTCCTGCGTCCGAGGAAGTTGGCGGTGGGCTTAGCCCGGAGAGCGAATCTGGCAGCCCGGAAGGAGTTCATGATGGCGATGTGGATTGACGGGAGCGGTGGAGTGGGTCTCGAAATGGATGTTTGCGCGGGTGCAAGCGATGATGGGTTGCAAGACTCAACATCCCGAAACTTGACATTTGCCAAGACACACACTAGCCGAGCGGGAGAGCGGCTACGAAAAGACGAGCAAACGAGACATCTCCGGCAATGCGAATCGCTGCGCTTCCTTCTTCTCACGGGAGTTCGAGTCCGTCGAACTGACGCCGTATGCCGTTGCGAATCCCGTCTACATACGAAGAGCTTCCTTCTGCATGCGTGTGCTCGTCGGTCTCGCCGATCGAATCACGGCTCACCATTCCGTGTGCCGTCGGACAGAACGGACCCGGTGAAAAAAGAGGCTGCGCCGCTGCGGGGCAGAACGGATCCGGTGAAGAAAGAGGCTACGAATGCTACTCGGAGCGAGCGAAGGATTCTAGATCCCGATCACAACAGAAAAAAAAACTTCTGGATTTGTTTACATGTATGTAGGCTTCAAAAAAGGACCACTTATATCCATCTAGCTCACAAGGAGAAGATACGCGGTGAGTAAAGAGTCATTCTCGTTCTTCCTGCACCTAAATAGGAATAAACCACTGATATTCGGACAAAAAGTCCGAAAGGTTTACACCAGAGTGTCGGCAGGAGTTCGCATTCCACAGATATCCAATTCTAACCCATCAGCATGCCCAACCACTGTTTCCAGCTCCAGAGGTCGATACACTGGGCCATCCACCCGCTGAAGATGGAAACAAGGCGGAGTACTGGGTATACACATCAACCATCACCCCCGCCGTCCTGGTACGTGCTTGATACAACATCGAGCCAGGGAGAGGCGGGAGGGGGGGAGGATGGGAGTGGTCGAGGCGTCAGAGGAACAAAGTGAGTGTGTGCGATGCAAAAGAGAACAAGGTACAGTACAAAAATTCAGCATTTATGCTTGTTTTCCGACGGTTACCCTGTCAGTCACTAGTGAGCGGCCAAATTCACCTCAGAGCCTTATCATAGCGTAGCACTCGGAAGTGTGCGCAGTTGAGAAGATGAATCTATTGAGTATCGCTTGCCGTTTTCTTTGGATTTCTTTCACATGCTGTCTCAAGGGCGTATGCACGTCGTTACAAGTTGGAATTACTGATCATGATCACGGTCTCTCATGTCTTCTTCTTCCAATTTTATCACCAGGCGACAGCTTGTTTGTGTGTTTATGCGTACCGTATGCACCACATATAGCACATTTGTTCAAATGCAATGATGATTAAACAGAAAAAAATATAGCACAATTGCCACGATGCCAACACCCCATTGGTAGGCGGTACACAAGTAGGCGATCGAAGGAATAAAACTCCTTGCGGTACGGTTGTGGCACCCATCGTCCATTTTTTATGGCCGCAACTGCCCTTTCTCACAGCTCAGGCTTCCACTTGATTATTGTTCTTGCATGCTGCTTGTGTGACCGTCAGCCGTGAGTGGGTGGCGGGCGCAGCGGCAAACCTCAACACCTGGCTGGCGAGCGACAACCGATCCGAGGCCAATACGCAGATTACCCTCAACACCAGCAAGTGCAGAAAGCCTCTGAGTAAAAACATCCAGACCCTCTGAGGCCATGCCCGACCTATCGAGTGTGGAGAATTCTCGGTGGCGGTCGGCCCCAACTTCTCAACATTATTGCCTCCACTGGTTAGCGACTTCGCAGATGCCGATACCAACACGCAACATAGCCGCCGCACGGCAAGAACAGGCGAACAGTACGGAGAGTGATCGCCCGCTCCCGGATCCGCGCTGGCACTTGACAGGCTGCCGTCGTTAGGTCGTATACGAGAACTCTTCACAGATTCATACTCGTACATCTGTCAATATGTACACATTACCCAAGCGTGTGGAACAAGTGCCTTGTCGCTAATTACTCGAACCGACAAGAGAGCATCGACGGGCAGTCAGTGGGGTATCCCACCTTCCGAAGGCGTTTATGACGTCCATGCCCCATTCTGCACTTCTGACGCCCGCCAACTGCCGATGCGATGAGGGACTCTCACCGGTGGGTAATGTATTATGTGCGGCCTGAATTCTAGGGGTGGAGGGGTTGTTGATATCTACATGTGCACGCGTACTCAGCACCCACCACCGAGCAACTTGCGAACCGCGAATATCTGCAGATAGATAGAGACTGTCAGATTACGGCGTCCGGAGCACATGAAGGATCATGTCTGGAAGCGGGGCTGTGGGCGTGTACGAGGCTTGATGTCCACACGAGAGCGGTCGTTTTCAGCGGGAAATGCACGCCGCCGGCTAAGAGGTTGGATATAGCTCCCGGCTCACCGATTCTCCGCAGAGCTGAGGCTTCACAAAAGCCGCTCCATGTTGGTAGGTAGGATGTAAGAAGTTGGTATGTACCACCTGCTCGTGAACGGTATACGTGCGGCGTCTGGGGGTGGCGTTCGTGCACTTTTATGTAGGCGAGTAAGTAAGTGAGTGACAAAGTAGGTAGGTCAAGTGCATACCGCTGTCTGCTTAATCTATAGAGCCAACCGGGATAGATAGATAGCCTCCAGTTGGGGGCAGTGACCACTGGCCATGCGAACCGCTGAGGATCTGGAGGGGTAATGCTTATGTTGGCCTGGAATACGGTAGTTATAGCTGCCCGCATAGAAACGGTCACCGCTGACCAGTGGGGCTGCCTTCGCTTATCCTGTTTACTGTTTACTGCAACAGCAATGGATAGCAGCGTATCGTTAATGCACTTCTGGGCTTGGTCCCCGTTGGGCGGCCAAACAGGCTTCCTCTGCTCTGCCAGTGTGCCCGCCGCCGCCGTGCGGAATCCGAGCTGCATTCCATTCTATGCAAGTAAGTCCGTACTTGGATCTTAGAGCAAAAGGTTCCACCATACCATGGGCTAACATGCCATAGGTTATTGAAATGGACTCCGCGTCCAATATGTTTATAAACCGACTTCTTCGCCCATATCTCTCCCTCCTCACCAGCTATTACCTCCCTTACAAAAACCCTATCTTTACATCTATCCAGTCCAGCCACTACCTCACAAAAAACCTATCTTTCCATCCATCCAGTCCCTCCGTCCATCCGTCTATCCTTTTCCTACAAAGCAAATCACCATGTCGGACACTCTCATCACCGACAAGTCCCGCTACTTCGTGACGGCGGAGGAGATCCTCCAGCCCAGTGAGGCCCGCGAGACCTTCCGCAATCACTTCCTCGCTGTGTTCGTACCCCTCTATACCTCAATTCTTGTACATGCATACCTCCATGCATACCTCCTCATACCGTGACTCTGCATATCCACCTAGCTAACACTTTCCCAGCCCCATCGAGGAGCACGGCAAGCAGTGGTCCAGTCTTTGGGACGAAGGAAACTTCCTTCCCTGGGACAAGTTCTGTGCTAGCCCGGCACTCGAGGACCTCCTCAACAGCCCCGAAGTGCGTCCACTTCTCGCAGCCCACACCAGCAAGACTGCTCTCGTCCCTGTAAGCCCTCCAATCCCTCTGACTCTACTACCATCTAACACAATAAGGGCTGTGGCCGTGGCTACGATGCTCTCCTCTTTGCCTCCCACGGATACTCTACCGTGGGCGTTGAGATCTCTGGCTCTGCCGTCCGCGAGGCCAAGAAGTGGGTGCAGGCCCAGGTGTCCTCCGGCAAAGTCGACGTCAAGAAGCTCGCTCCCTGCGAGTTCATCCTCGCCGACTTCTTCGAAGACGAGTGGCTCAAGGTTACGGGAATGAAGCAGGGCGAGTTCGAGCTGGTCTACGATTATGCTGTTTGTCTCCTCCCTCCTACTCCCTCTCTCATCTCGCACTGACAACTCCTTCCTCACAGTTCCTGGTGGCCATGAACCCTACCATGCGCCAGAAGTGGGCCGCGAGAATGGCCCAACTCATCACGCCTGGAACCGGTCTGCTGGTGTGCCTGGAGTATCCGCTATTCAGGCCTGCGGAGACCGGTGGACCGCCGCACGGCATTAGGTCTTCGGACTATGATGCCCTTCTTAGGAAGAACTTCGACAAGGTCATGCACTACATGCCGAAGCGCACCCACCAGGTCGGTGAGGGCAGCGATATGATCTCGGTTTGGAGGAGGAAGGAGGTGGCCAAATTGTAATGGCACTCTGGGGGGGAAATCTTTCTGGCTGGGGACTACGACTACCTATGTAGGACCCACGAGGAATTTGTATCTATAGCTTCCACTTTGAGAGGTTCGGTGGTCGATTGGTACATATGGATATGGGATCGTTTGGTTAAATCATGGCGGTTAGATTGGCCAAATCGATCAGACTGAATGTTTAATATTCATTGCCTCCGATTGCAAAAGTGACCACTGTGAAATTGCTTTGAATCCTCTCCAGCACGCACCCGGAAGGACTTCCAAGTTCCAAATTCTAAATCGTAGTAAACACCCCGTGTTCACTCTCCCATCTCCCCTCTACTCTCGTTGGTTCCGACCAGAGCAGACATATCTCCGGGTAGCCACGCAGCGATTTCCGCAAGCGGTTGACGATCACCCCGCAGCTCCAACAAGCAGAACTAGGGCGGGGGGTGAATACGAAGTTACGAGCCTCTAGCTAGGCTAGCTATCGCACATCTGCCCGTCGTCCATCTGCATAAGTGCGGTGCGGTACGGTGCGGTACGGTGCGGTGCGGTCGGTACGGTATGCAAGCTCCAGGATAGTTACCCCACAAATATGTACTACAAATACTTCGCGTGGATCCATCTATGAGACATCTAGAAGTGCGCGTGTGACTGAGCGTATATAATAGTTATCCAGATTCTATGATATGGCCGGCCCGCGCGCGCTTACTCTATACCTAGTCCGGTAAATAAAGTACCGGTAGACGCCGTATGACGGCGTGTAAGCCCCCCATCACCCCGTCCCCCGCACCTCCTCCCCTTCCCCCACGCCGCGCCGCTTACGAGCCTAAATACGGTATGTAGGTAGTATCCCGGTGTGCGAGATGTGCGAGATGTGAGATGTGCGAGATACGGTATGATACAGTACAGGGTGCCTACCACCTACCGAGGGCGAGGGCAAGTGCTATCGCGGCGTCACATCCACATCGTCACATCCACATCGCCACATCGTCACATCGTCACTTCTGAGTTGGGACGTCAGCCTGTCGGCTGCTGCTGCTGCTGCTGCTGCGCAGGCCCGGCCCGGGCTGACAGTTTTGCCTTTGCCTTTGCCTCTGGCCCTGGAGGCTGGAGGCTGGAGCTGGTGCCAGAATATCGTACATAACCGAGCCGGCGGATGGTACCATGTCAGGAAGCTACAAAGTAGGTGCACAATCGTTGATACCCCGTCATGCACATTGCATGCCCGTGTGCCTTTCGCGAGCTCGAATGGGGCGGAACTGGTACGGAACTGGAACTGGAACTGGTACGGCTGAGCTTTGTGGTGAGAGGCCTAGTAGGTATGGAGGTACATACAGCTGTGGGGCATCGAGGAATACTCATCGTGGTATCTACCAAGTAGTGATACCCAATACCCGTTGCGTGTCTACCTACCTACTTATCTAGCGTAGCGATTCGACTGTGTGCTTTTAAACTCCAGAATGCATACCTATCGGCTCCCTTTATGAGTGCCCTGAGACCCATCAACTTTCCCAAGCAAGCAAGACAATCCTCCCTCCCTCCACCGTTTACACCGTCCACACCTTGAGCCCCTTATCGAACCCGCCAGTAACGAGCACTTCCCTCCCGTCCACATCCCCAGCCCACAGAGTGCGCACCTTCTCTCCGCCATCACACGCCTTCAACGTAGCCTTGACCTTCCCCCTTTTGACCTCGAGCCCTCTCACAACGCCCTCATCAGCATTCAACCAGACGCCGGAGGCGTCCGGGCGCCACGCCACGACAGCAGTGGAATATGCGCTCTGCGGGGCGCCGGTAAACAGCTCCTGCAGCACGACGTCGCTGTCGACCTCCACCAGCAAGAACTTCATGTGCGGCACGGAGCTTGTGGCGACAGCGAGGAGCGCGGGGTTGCTCGGGTGCACGGCGATGCTCATCGCGTGGTACGAGATCCAGGAGTGTTCTGCGGCGAGAGCGCGCTCGGAGTGGAAGGGAAGCGTCGGTTGGAGCAGGTGGTAGTACAGTGAGGTCGAGTCGCGCCGCGAAAAGACGATTGCCCGGGCTTTGGTGGCGGGGAGCGTAACCATCGCTAACGCCTCCGGGGGCGTGGCGAGGGTGAGCTTGCTGGAGGGGGACGAGGAGAAGGAGGGGGTCCCTGAGGGGGACACGGCGAGCGTGTGGAGGCAGAGGGTTTTGTCATAGGCGGCGGAGATCACGTAGGGTGCTTCGTAGAGAACGCGGATCGCGTATTTCTCATGCGGGCGGATGGTGGCAACGGTGTCACCGGTATCAGCGGAGAGTAGCGAGAGACGCCCGGTCATGGTCGATATCAAAAGCCATTTGTCCTCCACTACGGTCACGGAGAGGATGGCCGAGTCGGCGGGCGATGTGAAGTCCCGGAAGAGAGCGTGTGGTGCTTGTGCGGAGTAGAGACGTAGTGAGCGGTCGGCAGCGGTAGAGATTATTACCGGGTCATCAAAGGGCGCAAGGGCTGGAACGACAGAGACAAAAAGGATGTTGGCAGCCTTGATATCTGCCGGTGTTATCTCGGTAGCTATTGAGGGATCTAAAGAGAATTGGTTACTCGAGTGATTTATCGTGAATACGACAGGAACAAACATGGTTGGGTAAAGTCGGGGTCTTCATCGTTAACCTCAACCTTCTCAAGCTTAAGCGAGAGGTCGTAGAGCCTCTTCTCGTCGAGAACCTTCTCAATGGTCAATGCGGTGGTTGGGTCTTTAGCTTGAAGGTTTTCTTCGGTGAGGTTCGTTTCCTCAAGGAAGGCAGCGAGGGACTTTATTCGAATCAAGGAAGTGTCAGCTGTGGAAGCTATTTCATCTTCTTCGTTGGAGGCTTGAGGACCTTTGAATAGCCATTGGACTGAAGGTAGCGACCGATCAGTATTTGGGGAGAGTCGGAAGCGGGCATGTTTGGTTTCGGTTCCGTTTATGCAGGGAATGGAGGGTCGAGGAAGACAACGTTGGGCAAGTGGAGGTGATTGGTGCGGATGGCGGCTCTGCGGCTCCGCAACCTTGAGCCGAGCGAGGACCAGCAAAGCTAAATAAAGTCAAGCAAGGGCGAGTTTCATGTCACCTCACACATTTGAATGGAGCCTGCACGATAACAACAAACACACAAGAGCGCACGATACACCACAGCCCTTTGATCTTCCTCCGCCACAACGACTATATATCCCGCGTCTGATCACCGCGACAACCCCCCTGGACCACGTCTTCAGCGCATGTTCCAGTTCGACCCGACAGCAGCACCAGCACTCGTTCCCGTATCACCCACAGCACCCACGACCGCGAACATGTCTGGCTTCGGCGCTTCACCTCCACAGACTCTAGCAATGCCCAACATCCAGACCTACGATGACGACGACATTCTTATGGACTACGAAGACGACTTCCAAGCCAGCGCGCCAGCGCCAGCGCCAACCAACGGCAATGCCGACGCGATGATGGTGGACATGGAACCTTCGACTGCCGCCGTCACCACCGCCACAAGCTCAGAGGAAGATGTTATGGTTCCGGAGCGCGTTCACCTTCGCGGTGTTGATAATGTATTTACCCACAGCTCCTCCCCTTCCTCCCTGCCGTCCTTCCAGCTGACTCGTGACTTGCAGCTCAGCACAGGCCAAGTGAAAGCCTACGTCGCCGAACACTGCTCAACCCCTGTCGTGCGAATAGAATGGATCGACGACACGTCCCTCAACCTTGTTTACGAGTCACCAGGTGTCGCGATATCCGTGCTCAACGCGCTTACAGCCAACGCCGCCGAACTAGAGCTGCCGCTCCTCGAGCTCCGTGCCGCGCGACCGTTCTCACAGTCGGTAGACTCACGATTACTGGCTCGGATATCACGACCGAGCGATCGCAAGGAGCGCGGTGCCAGGGAGCGGAGCAGGTATTACCTTTTCCACCCGGAAGAAGACAAGGCGGAGCGGTTCGAGCGCGAGCGGAAGGAGCGCCGACCTCGCCAGGACCGATCCCGAGACGGCAGTCGCGGGGACTACTCGCGGCGACACTACGATTCCCGGGAAGACGCCGCGCGACGAAGAAACGACGAGTATGCGGAGGACATGTATGACGATGCGGGACCACGGAAGCGCTCGCGCCCAGCATCTAGAGTCCGCTCCTACTCCCCCGAATATCGCCGTCGCTCGCGCTCGCCACGGAGGGCGCCGTCGCGCGATCACCGAAGGAGCAGAAGCCCGGTCCGCAGCCGGACGCGCGGCGAGCGTGGCGCCTACGAAAAAGAGCCGGTGGAACTCTTCCCCTCGCGACAGCGCGCAGACCGCTCGCGATCCCGGCAGCGGCCGCCGAAGGAGCTGTTCCCGGAGCGCGTCCAGGGCGGTGGTGGAAGCGGCAGGGAGCTATTCCCCGAGCGCACCATCCACGGCGGCACAACGAAAGAGCTGTTCCCCGATAAGTCGCACGGCTTCGTCTCCACCGCCGCAATGGACCAGTACCAGCCCACAGCGCCACTACACCCCAGCACCAACGCCTCTCGCGAACTATTCCCCACTCACAGCACGCGCGCCCCAGTAAAGGAGCTATTCCCCTCGCGCCCCTCCGCGACAGAACTCTTCCCCACTCGCGCCCAAGGTCACAACAATCAGTATTCGCGGCTAGACGATGGCTTCCACCAGCAGCACACGCAGAAACCAAAGTCCCTCGCGGACCGCATAACCATGCCGCCCAAGTCGCTCGCCGAGCGGATATCGCTGCCAAACAATGCCAACTCCTACGCCGCCGGCGCGTCGTCGGGCTCGCCGTCGCCCAGCGACGACTTGTTCGCGCAGAAGATGATGAGTGCTAAAGGAGAGGGATTGGTCAGCGATGAGTATGGCGGCAGCGGAAGGAGGAGACGCGGCAGGAAGAAGGCGGATGAGTTTATGTGAGGGGGATGGGGGGCTTTGTGAAGGAAGGAAGGGAGGATGGATGGATGGACTAGGTATCCGTTTTCCATATGTGGCCTATCTTGTTTTGTCTGTATGAGCATGGAAGTAGATTTACTTGGTGGATGGATGGGCGGCCGAGGTGGCCCAAAGACCATGTTATAGCAATTGTCTGGGTTGAAATACTGGGCTGCTTAGGCTGTAACGAATGAGATGATATATCTACTTCCGTGTACTCACCCGTTCTGAGATATCTACTAGCCACATATGTATGACCCGATTTATCCGTCCCTTCAGTAGGTAGGTGTTCTCGTTTTACGTATGCATCACTCGGATCATGGATAGCTTAATCCTATGACTGGCATGGCATTCGGGACGAGGATGGCAAAGCCAGGACGTTTCCAACCACTATTGATGGCCATCACTTCGCTTCACTTCACGCATTCTCACGGAAGGAACTCGAATTTCCAGTCTCCGAAACCAATAAAATGCCATACTTACTTACTTTGAGCTCATCAATCATGTCGTGTCGTCCGTATACCTACTATGACCCACCTACCTACTATAACCCACCTACCTACTATAACCCACCTACCTACCATAACCCACCTAACCCAACCCCCATCCTTTCTTCGCTACCTTTGCTGCCTTTCGTCGTTTATAGTTTAGGAGTACCAGTATTACTAAAAGCAGTTGAACTCAAAGATTCAGATTTTGCAAACAGCAAGTAGATAGATTGTGGCCGGAACCCCCAAACCCCGGGGGAAGCAGAGAGGAAAACAAAAGATTACTACGAAAGTTTTGGATGCGTCTCCGGAACCTACAGGTTAATCATGTCCACAACGCATCTGTCGAGTGTTAATTGCGGTCAGGCGGAGGGGAAGGGGGATATGCTTACCGAATGCAGTTTCCGTCGTGCATGACCTCGAAGGCCTCGGTGATCTCGTTGAGGTTCTTGCGGTGGGTTATGACTAGATGCCGGTGTTAGTAGGTATGATGGGGATGGGAAGGGAAGAGGGATACGTACACTCTTCAACCTTCAGCTTGCCGGTCATGTAGTCGTCAACCAGATCAGGCAGCTGCGAACGTCCCTTGATACCACCGAAGGCACAACCCTTCCACTGGCGACCGGTGACGAGTTGGAATGCTGCGGATCCATCAATCAGCACCCATCAATCACGAACCGGATCGTGGGCGACTCACGTCTCGTAGAGATCTCCTGTCCTGCCGCCGCAACACCAATGATGATGGACTGTCCCCAGCCCTTGTGGCACGCCTCGAGGGCAGCACGCATGACGCCGACATTGCCGGTGCAATCGAAAGTGTAGTCGAGGCCACCGTCGGTGATCTCGACGAGGTGGTCCTGCACGGGCTTTCCGATCTTGGTGGGGTTGACGAATTCGGTCGCGCCGAACTTCTTTGCCCACTCCTCCTTGCCGTCGTTGACGTCCACGACGATGATCCTCGACGCTCCGTTCTTAACCGCTCCCTGGATCACAGAGAGACCGACGCAGCCGGCGCCGAAGACGGCAACGCTGGAGCCCTTCTCGACGTTCGCGGTGACGACGGCAGCTCCGTATCCTGTGGTGATGCCACATCCGAGCAGACACGTCTTGTCCATGGGGGCCTCCTTAGTGATGGCGACGACCGAGATATCGGCGACGACCGTGTACTGCGAGAACGTGGAGCAGCCCATGAAGTGCAGCAGGTCCTGTCCCTTACACCTGAACCTCGAAGTTCCGTCGGGCATGACACCACGTCCCTGGGTAGCACGAATCTTTCCACACAGATTTGTCTTGCCCGACTTGCAGAACTTGCACTCCTTGCACTCGGGGGTGTAGAGGGCCACAACGTGGTCTCCGACCTTGACGTTGGTCACGCCCTCGCCGACCGACTCGACGATTCCCGCTCCCTCGTGCCCGAGCACAATGGGGAACGCACCCTCGGGGTCCTTGCCGGAGAGAGTGTACGCATCTGTTGCACACCATCATCCCATCAGCATTCATCAACCCATCTCTCATCGGTGACGTCATGAATGCTTCTCGGGAATCGACGAACCTGTGTGGCAGACTCCAGTGTACGCGATCTTGATCCGCACCTCGTGGGCTCGTGGCGGGAGAACCTCGATTGTCTCGACGCTCAGAGGCTTGCCGGCCTCCCAGGCGACGGCGGCCTTGCAGGTGATGGTCTGTATCGTGGAGAGCTCCAGTCAGCGGATTGGGTTGACAAGTGAATGCGAAGATGGCTTTTAGATACATACCTTTCCTTCAGTCGACATGGTGATGATCAATTGAAGAAGTTGATTGAATGGTGATGGGGGAGGAGGTGGGAGTTGAGAGGCTTGAAGGTGGGGTCAAGGGGAGGTATATACTCGTTCCGACTGGTGGTGGCGCCGGTCATAGTGTCTACCGAAGGTGGGGGTGGGTTGTTGGGTAACCATCGGATCGCTGTACGGCTTGGGCCGGACAATACCCACTGCACGAAAGCCCCGAAATCAAAGAGGATTCCCCGCATCATCCGACGCCGCGGATAACCCAATTTAGGATATTTTGAGACCGTAGCCACATTATCCCCGAGTTCTCGAGACAGGTGCACAGGCAAAAAAGGATGACTGCAAATCGTCTATTGCAGTTGCAGTTACTAGTGGAACCCCCATCCATCTACGGCACACCTCATCCATACATCACATGTAGCATACTCTATTCCTCTATCATTATTCGTGAATTCCTCCATCCCCACAGTATCAATGTAGCAAGCAGCGATTACCCGCTGCATCCCAGCTTCCATCACCGGCGCGACCCGGCTACCTTCCGGTGCTAGTATTTGCCAAAGCCAGCAATTCCTCAAACTCACCGCTCTTCTGCGCAAGGCTGTAAAAGACGCCGTCCTCGTTACTCAGCAGGTTCCGCGGAGTGTCGAATCTAAAGCGAAGAAGTAAGCATGTGTCTCCGTCACTTCTGAACAAGGTCCGAGCTCTTACTCCACAACCTCGCCTCCGTTGCCGCTATTATCAAGAACTAGAATTCGGTCGAACTGCATGACGGTTCCTGTGATCACATGACTCTCGTTATTATCGGGAATCTTCGGGTAATTCGTTCCTGCGGGTAGGTACGTACTCAAACGGTGGGCAATCATGATGAAAGAAGAGTCTACAAAGTTCCCATTCGTGTTGAATAATTCTCGGATCCGTTCATCCCTATGGCATTTGTCAGCGAATTGATCGGATGATCAAAGCTGCACGGGCTCGAGCGAGGCCCTTCTCACGTCTTCATGTCTGTGGAGCTGGTAGCCTGGGATAAATAAGTGAGTGATCAGTAACAAAGCCTTGGCGTACAGCGGGGATATTTCGGAGGAAGCCCACCTCATCCAAAATCACTAGTTTCGATCGCCTCACAAGAGCTCCCCTGGCGAATGCGAGCAGCTGCCGTTGACCTGTTACGCGTCAATGCGGTGTACGGGGACTATCGGATAGGTGCCCGTTTGCTTACCTTGCGACAGGTTGGAGCCTTCGCTAGTAACTGGCGAATCCAGCGTGATGCGCTTAGTTCCCGTTGGGGTTGATGTCCCCGACGCCTGTGTATCTTCGGCGCTGAGCCCTTGAGGGTCTGCGAGCCCACAGGCTTCAAGCGCATCCTGCAGCTCAGTGTCGTCTGTCTCATCGAACGGGTCTAGATTGCTCCGGATCGTTCCACTGAATAACACAGGATCCTGGGGAATGATTGTGATGCGCCGCCTCAGCGCCTCAAGGTTGATATTCTTGATATCAATGCCGTTGATAATCACCGAACCACCCGAAATGTGCGTAAACCGCAGAAGAGAGAGCGCAAGCGAAGATTTTCCCGCGCCCGTCCGACCCACGACTCCAATCTGACGTCACAGTAAGTTTCCTGTCGCTGCATTGAGGATTGAGCACTTACTCTCTCGCGCGGCTTGACGTCGAAGCTGATTTTGTGCAGAACATCCGGACCATCTTCAGTGTATTTGACGCTCAGGTCCTGTATGCGGACGTCGCCCTCTTCACAGAAATGTCAGATTGCCATCAAGATCCAAGGACAATAAATAAACTTACGGGTTGGCCATGCCGCCGGGGGCTCTTTGTCCTTACTAGGAATTTCCTGGAAGAAGTGTTATTGACGAGTTCCCAAAAATGAACGAAAATTGCCCATACCTCTGGCGGGAGGTTAATCCACTCTTCGACACGCTCATAGGAGTTGAGTTCGACTTCCAACTGTGCCGTCATTAGCATATGTCCCTCTACCGGATATACCCAGAACAACTAACAGCATTCAAATATCTCACACCGGCGAGAACGCTCGACGAGAACGCCACACAGTTCGTCATGCTGAAACCAATCAAGCCAGGTGAATAGCCCTCGGAAGAGAGAGCGATGAATCCAGCAGCACCACCGATCAAAGCGGTGCACCAACTGATCCTGATTCCTATCCAACGGTTGAGGTTGAAGAAGGCCTCATTCCTACTCGAATTAGTATAGCCACCTCAAATTCTAAAGGGTGGAGGGACATACGGTGTGCTGAAATCATCCACCCTCTTCATGTTCTCCTCTAAGAAGCGTCCTTGGCACGAGAAAGCCCTGATGGTGAGGATTCCATTGATTGCGTCTCCGAAATGCGACATCAACGGTGACTCCTTGACCGACACGATGCGCTTCACGCCGATCTGCGCTTTGGCATACATCATACCGCATCCCAGCCCGAGCACCGATGCAAACACCGTGGGGAACAGAAACGCAGGTATCAAGCCCGACATGACCACCAAGCGCATGACGACTTCGAGACACTGCATGATGAGCTGCAACAGATATGGACCTATCTTGCTGTCGACGGACCTAACGTCGTTGGAAAGTCGGTTTATTATCCGTCCCACTGGCGTAGTGTCGAAGAACCTGATGGGAGAGTAAATCACGGATTTGACCAGTTTGTCGTGGAGACGGCGTGCGGCGAGCCACTGGAAGCCGAACCAGGCACCGTAGGTTGCAACGTCGAGTAGCGTGGTGCCGACAAGAACAGCGGCGTAAAGACCCAGCCACAGATTAACGTTGACATGGTCCGGATTGTTCGTATATTCGTCTGACCACAGGGCAACAAAGAACTGGTTGGCGAGTCCGCCCAGCTGGTCTGCGACGTTGAAGATCATCAACAGCACCATTACCACAATCCCACCATAGTTCTTCAGGTAATCCCAAATCAATCGCTTCGGGATCCTTCCGGTACCATAACCTTCCTCTTTCACCAATTTTCCCTTGGCCGTTCCATTTGCATTGTTGGTGCCCTTCAAGCCTGCATTGACGCTGAGTGCCTTGGGAGGAATATCGATCAAGTCCGCAGGCTGGGATTCTTCCACGGCCGCTGGCTCCTCTTCCGCGATTCTTCCAATGATATCTCCCGGTAAAGCCTGGGGAGCACAGTCCGAAACAACACGGCCATCCTCAAGAACGACGACTTTCTTGGCCACCGAGGAAACGAGCGAGAGGTGGTGAGTCACCAACACAACGGTACGTCCGGCCAGGACATCTCCCATCAGGCATTTCTCAACAACAGTCTTAGCGGTGCCAGCGTCCAACGCCGAGAGAACATCATCGAGCAAAACGATTTGCGCAGGCGAATAGACGGCCCTTGCCAGGGCAACGCGGGCCTTCTGACCTCCACTGAGAGACACACCACGCTCACCGATCTCAGTCTGATCGCCTGCCTCAAACGCCTCGAAATCCGCAGAAAGGCCGCATGCATCGACCACTTTCTGGTAGCGCTCCTCGTTGTATTCCGTTCCGAAAAGAATGTTGTTCTGTACCGTTTCGCACTGGAGCCATGGTGTCTGTGCTGCGAAAGCAATGCCGTTCGCACGGTTAAGATGAACTTTTCCCTTCGAGACCCGCATCTCCCCCAGAAGTCCAAGTAGGAAACTGGTCTTGCCGCTCCCCACCGGACCAGCAACCACTGTCAACCCGCCTGGCGCGCATTCGACATTGACGTCCAGCATTCGGAAGTTATTGTCGCCTTCGGCACCCGGAACGTTCCATGAGAGCGTAGCGTTCTCGTAGCTTGGTGGGCGGTCTTCTGCTCCAGAATCGTCGGTGTAGGCGGCGGTCTCTTCGATTTCCTCCTCGTGGTTCAAGAACTTGTCGATCCGCTCAAAAGAGACAAAAGCGTAGAGCACTTGTTGGGACACGAATGCCATCCATATGAATTGCGAACGCAAAATATCAAACAGACTGATGGAAGTAAATGCGATACTGGCAGTCAGCGGCTGCTTCATCACCTTGGTGTAGAGACCAAATGTGAACAGCATATTGATAACTGGCAAAAGAGTTGAAATCGTATGGAAACCTATCCATGTCAGCGACTTAATCCAGTGAGTAGATGCAAGTTCACTCGTGCATACCTAGATTGTACATGGCGCCGATGAAAGTAAGTCGGAGCTCCTTATTCCTGCTGTCCCGAATACGGCCCAAGAAAGGCTTCTCCATGCCAAAGAACTTGATGATTCTGATCGAATTCATCGTTTCGACCATCAGGCCAATCCTAGCGTCCGTGGCCGCTCGAAGGCGTTTCTGAACCTTGGCCAGGATTTTGGCCAACATGACCGGGACAAACATTGTTGCGAGCATGAGCGCCACGCCGACCAAACTTGACCAGCCCAAGAGATCGTAGAGGAAGATGACAGACAGCACGATTTCGATTGGCACAGTGCCGACGAGCATGAAGAACTCCCGAGCGTCTGCCAGCTGCTGGAGGTCAGAAGACATCATGTTGTTGATCCGGCCAACTTTCGAGCCGGTGGCCGATGGCTGGTTGTCGCCTTTTTCCGCTTGCTGTTTTTCATCGCTGGTGAATCGTATCTTCAACGTCTTCGACAGAAGGGCCTGCGTGAAGGCGGCTTTGATCCGAATGATGAGGCGCGTGGAGTTGAAGATGTATCCTTGGTAAGCCGCAGCTGCGCATATGGGTCCAATGAACAACCCAAAGACCCAAACCCAGGGGGTAATCTCAGGAGTCTTCGACTTCTCGATGTACGCTAGGAGCTCCCTCATGGACAGGGGCCAGATGAACTGGAGAACTCCGACCGCGAAGCTGAATAACGTCATGTATAAGAAGTCCCAGCGGAAAAGAGCAAACATCGTGCGTAGAGCGTTGGCCTTCTTGTTCTGTTCGTACTTGTTGAGCCAGAGGCGGGCGCGGTCGTAGTCCGGCAAGGCATCGAAGTCGTCGATTACGATATCCCGATTCCAGGCGATGGTAACCAGCCGCGTGATCCAGCCATATGTGAAGTAGTTGAAGACCGAAGCCGTCTGCTCTGGCGATACAACGTCCGGCGAGAACGGATCCACGGGATACCACTGTCGCGGGGTAAACACAAAACAAGCCTCCACGACGAACGACAATGCCAGTCTTGCGTATATCGGCCAACCCGTGCGGGCATCGTCAAGCCTGTCTTGCGGCGGATTAAGCAACAATTTAGGCCATATATCCCGGTGAAACACCAGAACCACCGGCAGGAAGCAAGCGAAGCACGTCAGAAGAAATATCGTTGGCCGGTATGGCGTCGCGTAGAAGCGAAACGAGAAGAGACCCAGAATGAGACACCAATAGGCAAGCTCCACCGCCTCCTCGACGAAGGGATCGCCTTGCGCTAGGCTCGTGGCCAACACAAAGGAATCTACAAGAACCAGAGATATCAGACATATCAACTGCGCCCACGCCCAATTTCTGCGTGCTCCCTGCAGCTTTTCGATCGGGGCTTTTGATGGCAGAGCGTCGGCTCCATGGAGGGCGACAAAGTCGTGCTTGCTGAATATTCTGAACGACCGATAGTCGACAGGCGGCAGAAACGGAATACCGACCACCAGTCGACAAACGAACAGAATGCTGAATGTGACAACCGCCGAAGCTACCAGGAGTGCTATCCGAGCTTGTGTTCCGAGAATGTTCCTGGGGATATCTGTCAGTTGCGGTATTTAAATGCGCGATATCAAACGCCTACGATTCCGCATATCCGCCACTGGTCGTGTGCGGGAGCCTCTCGTTCGGTCTGAGGAACTCTATGCTGGGGCCGCCCTGGACAAACAATCCATGATTCATGATGAGGCCGTCCCGAGCGAATCGGGGATGGCAAGGAGGACGAGTAGCGAGATAACTTTAGAGAGGGTGTCAATGTGGTCGGAGGCGATGCTGGCGGCCTTTTATGTGTTGGAATTGCTGTGGATAGGGTCAAGCAGATAGCCGTGTGCGGTAGGTAGTCGCGGTGGTCCCTGTTGTGACGGACTAAGGCACGGAGCGGCAGCTAAAGCCGCACGGCACGGAGTCTATACGAAGAGCGATGGCAGGGCTGCATAGGCAGCAGATAGAGAAGATAGAAGAGCAGCGCAGCGTGGGAGCCCCACCGCTAGGCAGAGCTTATGCGGCGGTTGGGTTCCTCCAGCTCATCACCGTAATTATGAGTCAACATCGCAGGCCTTCTTTGTCCAACAAAGGAATACCGAAGGAATATAGCAGTAGAGGGGCTGAGGTCGACGGTGAGAGCATCACCGCACATTTGTAGGACTTGGGTGCGTTAAACATCGATGAGATCAGGACGAGAGTGTGCAAAGTACATTCTATCTTTTATCTGTCCCCGAGGTATCCAACAGGGTGCGCAGGACGGTCCGAAGCTTCTGGTTTTCCAAACAGGTTCTTCAAGCAATGCAACCCCCAAGGCCCTCAATCCAACCTCGGTCAATCGATCGGAACGCACACTTCACTTCAGGATTCTTCGGCTTCGAAGAAGAAAAGGCCAGTCCCGACACCCGGGTCGTCAAGTGCAGATACGATGTCCTAAAGGGAAATAAACGGTTCAATTCAAGCCTGCCATGGTACCGGCATCTTGATGGCGGTGTGGCTTTGAGGCTTGCCCGTTTCGGCAAGCTCCGCTCCTGAACGACGACAGCTTGGATCCTTGGGTGACACGCAACACAACCCCCCCTCCCAATCTCAATCCAACCATCTCAATCTCCATCTCCAGCTCTTCATCGTCAACGATAGTAGAGTGTCGCTCCTATCGTCCCATCCATCATCCCCATCATCGTCATCATGTCTTCCCCCGAAGTCCATCTGCTATTCCACCAGCCCATCGCCGACCACTCGTTCAATGCCGATCGTTCTCGACTCGCCGTAGCTCGCGACACGCGAGTGCAGCTCTACGCTCGCTCCGGAAAGGGCTTCACGTTGGAGGATGAGCTTGCCGGACACGACAAAACTGTTACCAGTGTGGACATCGCGCCGGGGTCCGGCAAGATCGTCACCTGCTCCCAGGGTGTGTGAAACTTGGATGTAGCTGTCGTGGTGAGCTTGCAGACTGATATTCTTCAGATCGTAACGCCCTCGTTTGGGAGCCGTCCCCGACCGGCTGGAAGCCTACCCTCGTCCTTCTCCGTATCAACCGTGCAGCGACGATGGTCCGCTGGTCCCCCGACGAGAAGAAGTTCGCCGTCGGCTCTGGAGCGCGCGTGATCGCGGTCTGCTCCTTCGAAGAAGAAAACACCTGGTGGGTCTCGAAGCATATCAAGAAGCCCCTGCGCTCCACGGTCCTCTCAGTCTCCTGGCACCCGAACTCGGTTCTCCTCGCTGCTGGTTCTGCCGACGCCCATGCGCGCGTCTTCTCCGCGTTCATCAAGGGCGTCGACCAGCGTCCCGAGCCCACTGTCTGGGGAGAGCGTCTCCCGTTCAACACCGTTTGCGGAGAGTACACGAACTCGTCTGGCGGTTGGGTTCACGCGGTTGCATTCTCACCGTCCGGAGACGCGCTTGCCTACGCTGCGCACGACTCCTCCGTCACGGTGGTCTACCCATCCGCGCCCGACCAACCCCCGCGCGCCGTCCTCACGGTGACTACGCAGATGATGCCGTTCGTGGCGCTTATATGGAGCAAGGAGGACCAGATAATCGCGGCCGGTCACGATTGCCACCCAGTGGTCTTCCAGGGAGACATGAGTGGCTGGACCCAGGCTTACAGCGTCGACGATCCCAACAAGAACAGGGGCGAAGCTCAGGACGCCGAGAGCAGCGCGTTGAACATGTTTAGACAGATGGACCTGAAGGGCAGGACCAACACTATCGAAGACACCACTATCAAGACCATCCACCAGAATACCATCTCGTATGTTATTCACCGGTAAACATTGTGTTTTGGCTGATCTAACACCCGTGTAGTACCATTAGGGTCTATGAAGGCTCCTCCGGAGAAATCACCCAGTTTAGCACCAGCGGGTATGTCGCGCTCGCCTATCGTTGGTCGATCATCATGCTGACCCGTGCTTTAGTGTCGACGGACGTATTGTGATCTTCCCAGTTAGCGGATAACGTTATCGGTTATCTAAGTCTTAGTTACCTCTTCGGCGGGTGGATATATCAGTAGGATGATGGGAGAATGAGAGTGGAAGCCTTAAAGAGCCATTATTGCGATCCACAGTGTGATATCTAAACCTGTGAATCTCCAGTCTCTAGCGTCTGACCATTCGTGCTCGGTTTACACCCGGCTAGACAATATCCTGTCTACTGTAACCACCCCACCTGCCCCACTATTCTCCGCGCTATCCCTCGCACATGTTTCGAGAGGCACTGTCTCCCACACGTGAGGCTGAAGGACCCTGCGCCGGTCCGGCCAATCCTGCAACTGTAAACAGACAACTCCGTTGGTGACCGCGCATGCATATGAGACACCCCCGGCATATCGTTTGGAAAGGAAGAAGCCATTTCATCTCTAACTACCGGGGAACATCTACGTCTTTTCGGGTTGCCACTTTTAGGACGTCGCGCATGTTGATCCAGCATTAATATACCTACTCCACATCTTGAAGAATCCTTTCGCCTGAGGAAGTACCTATTCAAGACTTTCCAGAGACCTCTCACGTCCCTGACCGCAGCAGCTGAGCTGATCCCAGCCCTATACATTAGCCTATCGGCTGCTAGCTCCGCATCAGTCCTCCCAGCCCAGTCCGGAACTAGCACTTCATCATCACGCGAGCTTCCACCACTCTTGCATACCTGGTAGGGTACATTCCATTCCAGCTCTCCCGAGCCTCCAGACCAAGGCGCCATGCCCAGCACACCCCCGCCCACACCTCCTACTGCTACTGCTACTGCTACTACTACAACTACTAGCACTACCACCGAGCATGGGGTCCCCGAGCTCACTCCAATATATTCCTCCACCTCCACTCCTCCACCTCCACCACTCGCAGCACCAGCTCCCGCGCGCCTCCGCCGAATCGTAACCTTTTCCACGACCGCCTCCAGCATCTCCACCACCTGCGATATGGACATTCCCATCCCTAGCCGGCCCCAAACGACGACGAGCCTGTCGCCGGGAGGAGGACCGGGGGGGCTAGACGACGAGCGCACAGCGATCACGTCCTCACACGGCGCCAGCAGCATCCGGTCCTACGGGATATCGCAGCGCGGGCTCGTCCCCGCCCGTGGCCGCTCCTCGTCGTCGTCCGACGACGAGGAGCTCGAGGATGAGGAGCGCGAGGGTGACCGGAATAAACATGGCTTCTTTGGAAGACTCGGCGCGATAGAGCTCGAGAATAAGGGCTCGGTCGCGAGAGATCATTTGGCGCTGGGTTTGTAGTCACTCTGGATGTGGGCTGTGGTGGGTGGGATGGGGGGAGGGGTGCGAAGGGTTGGGATGGGAATACTGGCTGACTGGTGGGACGGACGTACAGAGAGGACATTCCTCGCATGGCTGAGAACAAGTCTAGCCTTTGCTTCAATCGGTGCTTCCTTCTCCTCCTCCTGCTGCCGCTGCCGCTGCTCCTCCTCCTCTCGCCCTCCTCCCGTTTCCAACCCACTAAACCCTTGCATAGGCATCGCCATAACGCAGCTCTTCCGTCTTAACTCGGCCACGGTGCCCCACGGGGAGACGAAGGACACGCTGCGAACGATCGGCAAGCCACTGGGGGCCACGTTCCTGGGCATCGCGATACTGGTGCTGCTGATCGGCACGAACCGATACTATGAGTCCCAGGCGTGGCTGCTGAAGGGGAAGTTCCCCGCTAGTAGGGGCAGCGTGTTTTTGCTCACGTTAGTCGCGTGTGCTGTGAGTGATTCCCCTTCTTCTCGGATGCTTGGGGGGTGGAAGTGCGGTTGCTGGTGCTGGTGTGGTGCTGATGGTGCTGGTGGTGACAGTTGATCGTCGCCTCGCTGGTCATTGTGCTCGTTATTTCGCCGACGCAGTCGGAGCTTTAGTACTCTGGTGGGTGTACATGTGGGTGTAGGTGCGTGGTGTTTGCGGGTTCTTCTTCTTCATCTTCTTCATCTTCTTCTTCTTCTTTCTTTCGCGGCGTTCATCTGGGACAATCTGGGACATGTGTTTGTTTATTTGTTTGATTTGATTTTGATTTTGGATTGGCATATGCATTCAGCATGGCATGGCATTTTTTTCATTGCACATTTTCATTGCACATACTTACATAATGGGATTTTTGTCTTTTCATACTTGGTGTTTATACTATACGGGCTGGCTGGCTGGATGAACGGATGTAGATATTTGGGGCTTCTTCTTTCAGATATTTGGAGTACATTGTACGAGTACGAGTAAAGTATATGGTTGAATTTTATCATCCGGTAGCTATAGGTGCATAACTAAAGACGGGATGATGAATAACTACTGCTATTTTTTGGAGAATCATGAGAAGATGACACCCAGAGTGACAGTAATAACCGCGGCCAAAAGGAAGAAACCAGGCCAGTCGACGGATAACATCCAGCCCGCCGCAGGATCAATGACAACAGTCTCGGCCGAAGAAGAAACAACGAAACCTGCAGCTGAGTACGGTAGTAGACGGATCGGAAGCTCCAAGAATGCCCCAAGAGTGCGGACCTATGAATCGAACTACAAAAACAAAGCCCCCTATGTGTGCAGTATCAAGTCTCGGAGCGACCAAAGATAGTAGTAGGTAGTGGAAAAAGAAACACGCACCGAAGCAAGCCCCATAATCAACCCATCACTCCCTCCCTCCCTCCCTCCCTCAACCACGCACCCACGCACCCACTCCCTCAATCACCATCCAGATCAATCATGCCCCCACTCTCATCAAAGCGCAGAATGGGATTACCATAGACAGAGAAGTCCATCCTATTGATCCTGCACACGCCCGCGAGGCGGCTATACTCGGTGCCAGCGCATGCGTTAGCCATTCCGCTGGGTGCGACATTAAGATCCGCGAGCTCTTTGAAGCGCGCGGAGGCCACGGCATCGAAGACGTCCGCGAAGAAGTCGGTATCGCTGTGGTGGCAGCAGGAGAGCGAGAGCTGCTGGAGGCGCGGGGGGAGGACGTCTGCGAGGCGCATGCTTGAGTTGGAGTGGTGGTGGTACTGGTGGTGGGAGTGGTGGTTCAGCAGCCAGTGGTATTTCGTCTTCAGCGTGGTGAGGCGGGGGAAATCGGTGAACGGCCCTAATTTCGCGCTGCTGCTGAGCAGGCACCAGTGCGCGCTGTTGAAGTCGAGGGTTTCGAGCGTGGCGCGGACCATGCGCAATGCGGAGTGCAGTGGCTCCGGGTTGAATGGCGGCCCGAGGGCGCTCTCGTACCGGTACTTAAAGTGCTTTAGCCCGCGGCTGGCGGTGAAGAGCTCTTGCAGCCACAACGAGGGCAGGGAGGACTCCGTGATCTCGAGCGACGTGAGCACGTTCGGCCGGCTGGTGGACAGCGCAGACATGATCACCTCACCGGCGCAGCGGTGCAGGCGCAGGTGCTGCAGGCGCGGCGCGGCGGCGAGGAGCGACGCGAGCTGCTGCGACGAGCGCCGCACGCTGCGGTAGCCCCACTCCAAGGTCTCGAGCGAGTCGAGGGTCAGCCCGTCCCATTCCCACGTGTCGTCGTCGTGGAACATGCGGTCGACGGCGACATGGAGGGTCTTGAGGCGGTGGAGGCGCCAGAGGAGGAGCGGGAGGCAGGCGCGGTCATACCGGGCGGATTCGCCACGGGTGCTGCGGGATGGCGGGGCGAGCGCGTGGGTGCACGGGAGTTGCAGCGCCCGCCAGGTTAGCTTGTCCGCGGTTATCTCGTCTGCGGTGTCCCGCCGGTTGGACTGCGAGGAGCCTTGGCCGTAGAGGTGCAGGATCAAAGTCTTGGTCGAGGAGCAGAGCGCGGGCTCGCGGCAGAGGATCCGGAGGTATTCGCGGACGCGCCGGGTCGAGGATACCTCGAAGGTCTGGTGGTGGAATGGTTTGACGAGGTGCGAGAAGAAGCGGTTGGTTAGCCGGAGGGAGGAGAGGTGGGCGTTGGCGAGGTATCGCTCCGAGGAGTCATACAGAGCTTTGACGATTTCATGGAGGAGCTCTGTAGGGATATCAATGATGTTAAGAGGCATCGCCGACAATGTGGTTTGATGGGTCAAGCAGTTACCGACTTTCCCAGCTGCGTTCTCTCGTCAGTCAGGAAGGATCTACTCCAGTCCACGGGGAGATATTGGTGACCTGTTGCGAGGTTGAGTGTATTTTCGATTCCGCCACCTGAGGAAATTCTCTTCGATGTTCTCTGTGTCGGGTACAGCTCACAAAACTGCTAGTAGCACTTGGTCATGGCCCGGACTTGCGATCCAGAGCCGAGTGAGCGGACCGGCGAATTAAGGCCGCAGTGGCACTGGCAGGTGTAGGGCTCTTTCGCGCTTAACTGTATTTGGTCAACAGCCCAAGGACCCATGTCTGAGGCTCTGGCCAATCGCAAATCCTCCACGAAACCCCCGAGAATCCCCCATCCGGTCAGTTGCCCCATATGCCAGTCAGAGTTCCCTTCGAGAACAATGGCCCAGAAGCACCACGGGAATCCTTTTTGATTGCCACCTTACCTACTACAACAGGAGAACACAGAAGAACATCAGAGGATTCGTGAGAAGCAGAAGAAGCAGAAGAAGCAGAAGCAGAAGAAGACGCCGAAGTTTTGTGCGTAGAGAAAGAGTATGTACTCTACTTCGTCGTGGCTGGCTGGCGAAGAAGGAGACGGGCCCGAGACGGACACCAGACAGACAAACAGATGGACACACAGACAGAAGACGGTAGAACAGTGCGCTGACAAGTCGAAGCAGACATCACGAAGCCGTACTCGTACTTGCCATCTCTCCTAGTACAATATCTCCCGCTGCCCGTTGGCCGCCAACCCGAAAACTCTCGCTTTGCTGCACGTTCACTCGAGCTGAGCTCAAGCAACGCAACCGCATCCGCAACCGCAACCAACGAGAAAATCCGCCGATACGGACCGAAACTCGGGCATTGAGAACGCGCCGCCCCGGGTGATTGTGCTGACATATTATGCTCAATAAATCAACATGGAGGGCCTCTTTGCTTTGACCGAGTACGATAGCTCCATGATGGCGAAGGCTGCAAAAGCTCAACGCAGATCTGCTTGCGACGATTGTCGTATGTTCACCTCTCCCTCCTCCATCCGCCGGCTAGTTGGCCATGCTAAACCGGGTTTCTTCAAGGTGCACGCAAAGTACAGTGTAGCGGCGATACTGCAGGATGCCAACGATGTCGTCGCGCAGGCATTCGGTGTACATACTCAGCGCCGAAACCGCCTGGTCGACCGAGAAAGGTACGGAAGGTTGCCGAAGAGAACGGCCATAATGATGCACCCCCACCCCCGACGGCCCCTCAGTCCAATGCAGGAAACTTCTATTTCGGGGACCTCTTCGGCGGAGATCTGATGGGCCAGGGTCTGGAGAGATACGTGTTTGCGGGCGGGAATGGCGATGGTCTCGGCGGGAATGGTGGCGTATCATATACACCCAATTCTTCCGACCTCTTCGGCGAGGCACAGCTGGAAGCCAACAGCTACGGCTACTCCACCCCGTTTGATGCCGCACCCATCTCCATACCGCAGCCACCGGCAACACCGAAATCGCTCGCGTCCTCAATCTCGTCGCCACCGCATCCTGTCTCCTGGAGCGCCCCCAGGAACCCCGATGAAGCTCTCTCCAATTCCGGGTGCACGGCTCTCACACCGGTGCAACAACCGTGCTCCTGCCTTCCCGCCTTCTTCGCCACAATCTCCACTCTCCGCACACCCCCCTCGCCCCGCGGCTTTTCCCTCCCACCGACGCTCAGCACCATCCGTACGACGCTCACCGCAATCACCACCTCGATGCACTGCCGTTACTGCCATTCATCAGTCCAGAGCACCTACGTCTGCATGATGATGCTCGGCACCCTCATCCCACTACTCCTCCTCTACATCGAGAACGCACAGACCGCAATCACCAGCTGCGACGACTCCTCGGTCACCCTAAACATCGGCGGCGTGGATGTCGAGCTTGGCCGAAACGCCTGGCGCGACATGGCCACCGGCGCTGTCCGCAAGGAGTTCGAGTCCCTGATGCGGATGATCGATGCGATCGAGGGCATCCTCCAGCGGCGACATTGCCAGGGCCGCGGCAAGGAGAAGGAGAATTTGGAAGTGATCGCGCGCAGCGGCGGCGGCGATGATGTGGGCGAGGTTGTCGGAAGGGAGTTGGCCAATAAAAATCATGAGACCGGCGAACCACCGTTCTGCCTGGGCCTGCTGTGGATGATCAGGGGAATGGCCACGAGGGTGGGTGCTGGATACCCCGCGTCGTTTCCTACTTCGGGCTCGGCCTTGTAGACCTGCGGCGTAGTCGGGATTCTTCTCCACTTACCATATGTCGAACGGCATTTCTTTTTCAGTTTTCGTTATTTTCCTGAGGCGCCGTCGGCCGGTAGGTGACGGCGACCTCTTTGTCGAGAAGTGGAGGAATTCTCAGTGGGTGGATGGATGGTGTCAAGGGGGGGGGGTGAATGAGGATCGAGAAGGAGAGGAGGAAGAGGAGGAGATAAGGACTGAATGAACTATACATTGGGGCGTTTGGTGGTTTTGTCTGGTCTGGTCTGGTCTGTTTTGGTTCGGGGTCCGGCTATCGGATTTATTTTGTACCGTTTAACTCTCTTGTATGCCGCAATCATATGCGAGCTATTTCTTTTCGTCGTGATACCAAATATATGGGTTTTTTTGCTGAAGAAACTTTCCAGTGAAATGAAACAAAAACTGCCTTCAACGCCGAAGAAAATTTACATGAGTAAGTAGTTGTGGTGGGAGCTTGGGAGGGTGCTATGCGTGCATGCTCCATTCTACCGTCTGCCTCCTCCCCGTCCACCCATACCAGGCATTCCAGGCATTCCACCACCGCCCATCATCTGCTTCATCATGTTCTGCATAGCGCTCATGTCCATCCCACCAAACGGATTCGCGCCACCACCACCCATACCAGCGAGCGCGCCCAAGCCACCGAGTCCACCGGCGCCTCCCGCACCGCCCAGCGCCCTCATCATAGCACCCATATCCATACCGCCGGCACCGCCAGCGCCCGCACCCATACTCTGCATGCGTCTCTGCATTGCGGCAAGCTGCTGCTTGTTCTGTCCAGCCATACCGCCGCCCTTCTGGAGGTTCGCCATGCCCTTGCCCATTTTCTTGGCCATTTGCGCCATCATTCGGTGCTGGGTCAGGACGTCTTCGACCTCGCGGACAGACGTGCCGGAGCCCTTAGCTATCCGTGTCATGCGTGTCGGCTGCTCGACGAAGCATTTGGCATCTGAGTCGAGCTCTTTTTCGGTCATGGAGTCCATGATGTAGCTATTGCGGCCATGTGGTTAGTTTAATGGATAAAGTGCGAGTGGTGGGGATGAGAACGGACATCATTCGCTTCAGCTTCATGCTTCCTTCCTCGTCGCCCACATCGCCCATCATCTGCGACAGCCCGGGAATCATCCCGGCCATCTTGCTGAGCGGGCCCATCTTCATGATATTGCCGAGCTGATCTCTCAGATCCCGTACGGTGAAGATTCCCTCCTGGATGTGCTTTATGGTGTCCTTTTGGTCTAGTTTGAACGTCTGCACGTGCTCCACCAGACCACTCAGGTCACCCATGCCCATCAACTTCGAAATAAATGACTGCGGCACGAATCGTTCCAGATCAAACATATGTTCTCCGGTACCGATGAAGACGATCGGCGTCCTCGTCGCCGCAACCGCCGATATCGCACCTCCTCCCGCCGCATGTCCATCGGTCTTGGTAATGATGATAGCACCAAAATCCGCACTCTCCTTAAACGCCTTGCTCTGCGCCTCAGCAGCCTGTCCGATACTCGCATCGAGCACCATAATCGTCTGATCGGGCTTCACCGCCTGCTGGATCTGCACCATCTCGGCGAATAGCTCCCTCTCCTGCTGATGCCTTCCCGACGTATCCACAATGATGATATCGAACCGCTCCTTCTTGAATTTCTCCACACCGTCTCGCGAGACCTTGACCGGATCCGTCTCCGTGTACGATCCATAGTACGGGATCTTCGCCTTGGTCGCGTTCTGCTTCAGCTGGTCAAAGGCTCCTGCTCGGAATGTGTCCGCGCACACGAGACAAGCTTTGAACCCGCGTGCCTGGTAGTACCGTGCCAGTTTCGTACACGTCGTGGTCTTTCCGGATCCCTGGAGTCCGACGAACATGATGACGTTTGAGCGGCCCTTTTTCGGCTTGAACGGTTCATTGTGCGGGTCCACGAGCTTGACGAGTTCATCGAAGACGGTCTGTAGCGATTCGACCGTGCGTAAGTCGCCATAGTATCTGAACGAGCTGGGGGAGGGGGGAGGTACCTTCTGTATCAACCGCTTCTTGTTCACCGCCGGTGCTAGCTCCTTCAGGTTCACGGCGTGCTTAATCGACTTCCGCAGGTTCGCGACAAGCTTGATGTTGACCTGCCGCAGCTATTAGCATCCCAATTTCCAAGCGTGTCGGGAATACGAACATCGGCTTCCACGAGTGCAGAGCAGATCTCTTTGATCATAGCATCGAACGCCTGCGTTCACCATGTTAGCAAGCTTCCACCCAAGCCCTCCCCCGTTCCCCACACGTGGCCGGCGGTACCTTCTCGTCGACGACATTCGAGTGCGTCAGATTCGATACCGCGGTGGTTAACCGCTTTCCTAGATCTGCCAAAACCATTGCGTCGTTATAATCGTAGTCGTGATAGTCGTGGAGATGAGTGAGTGAGTGAGTGGTGTTGGAGGTTCCTTAGTTTGTCGCCGCCCTTGACATGACCACAACCACAGTAGCGGGAACTCTTGGCCTGGGGTCGCTTAGTTACTCTATCTACAGCCGTGTGGGCGTTCAATGTAATTTTTACCCACCACACCTACCAACACAAGTACCTGCACGGACAACGACAAACAATTCCTCGAAGCAACCACCACCACCACTACTATGGCCACAGAAGATCTCACTCCCGATCCCCGCGACCTCCAGTGCGTAAATATCATCTCCTCGCACAAGATCGGCGCAAAGACTACACGGTGTCTGTCCATCCTCTTCCCCGAGTCCACCGCCACGACCACTGCCGCCGCTACTCCCACGCCCACCGCCGCGAACACGGTATGCATCCGCGCCAAAGCCGCTGTCGCCGGAAAAGCCATTAGCATCGCCGAGATCGTGAAGCGGCGGATGGAGGAGCGGCAGGAGACGTGGTATCAATACACAGCGCTGTCGACAGGGGAGACGCCGGAGAAGCAGAAGAAGAAGAAGCCTTTGGGTGGAGCTGGAGCTGGAGTGGAGGGGGGGGATGACGAGGAGGACCCGTTCGTGCCATTGCCTGAGAAGGAAACGGCGAGGAAGGTGAAGACCGCAGTCATCAGTATTTACATCTCGAGAGCCCCGCTGCCGGGTTATAGGAAGCTGTATGGGTAGGTGTCGCCATCGCTGCCGCGACGAGGAAGCACAAGCTCACGGGTTGTAGTGAGCAAACAGGTGGACAGTCGGCTGCTTGAGAATGGATCGTCCGCTGCTACCACCGACATAACGCACTCTACCCACGCGCGCACACGTATCTTGAACCAATGCATTTGTACCCCCTGCTGTGGGACCGCCTATTGTTACGAGTCTCGAGAGAGCAGGCAGGAGAACGATAGGATGGATACCAGCAGGCATTGGGGACACGGATTTCGAAGGTTGGAGACCAAGCGATCCAGGCAGGTGGTTGAGGAAAGCAACCGCGGCACCACCGTTGTATGTACTTGGTATCTATTGAAACGAGCGGCCCGGTCCAGTCCAGTCCAGTCCAGTGGGTACACATTAGAAGTGAAGCTTGGAGATACCTAGCAAGCAGTAGTCGAAGATAAGACAAGACAAGAAAAGAAACTCCCTGCGCCCAACCCAACGCCTTCAAACAAAAAAAACGCACAAAACCCCCCTCCTCCTAAACATCCTTAAAAACACCTACCAACGCCGTCTCCCCCCTCCTAAGGACAACCCTCGAACCACGCAAGCTCACCACGCCCACACCCTCGTTGTCACAAGCTTGCCTACTAGCAACCGTCAACTGCGGAGCGTCGTCTTCCTTCGCCTTCCCGGCCGCGCCCAGACACAGGCCGCTTTTGATATCGCACAGGATCACGCCGGTGACGGCGGGCGACTCCATTCTGTTTAAAATCCGGCGTTCGTTAGTAAAGTTCGGAGGCGGGAGTGGGGAGTGGGCGACAGGTGCGGAGCGGACGAACATGCTGTCGAGGAATTGCGTGATGGCGCTGGAATCCATCACGTCGAGGTGCCGGAGATCAATGGTGGACGACTGATTGGTTGTGTATGTGTGAGAGGAGGGTGTCGTACGCGTTATGGTTGGTGACGGAGTGCGGTGAGGTTCGAGGTTCGGGTAGGCAAGCAAAGCAACGGAACGTAATCTACGGTTATGACAGCAGCAGGAGCCAAGACGTAACCTTACTCCTAGCGTGCCGTCGGTTAAACGAGATTTCTAGGTGCATCGAGTCTCACTCGAGGTTTTCGTGCGGTGTTGGAAATTCTTGCCGTGGATGCTATGGTGAGTGCTTCCTGATCTATGGTCTATGGACCATTAATGTGGTAACCTTCACCAGTTTAGGCAGAGGCGCTCGAGTCACTTGTGCGGGTGACAGTATACATACTGGCATCATTTATGGTCAGTTTCATCCTTCTCCGAAAGATAATGGGAAGAGCCTGACGAAAATCCGTGACTGGGTGGGCTAGATAGTAGAGAAAGAAGTGTTTTATTCGCCTAACGATTGCCTGTAGCCCAAGCAGTCGTAAAACTAATGAACCGCGACCCTCAGCTTCGCCTTGTTGGAGCGAAAGTAACCACCAGCGCGACTCTTTTCCTGCTGTCCACACTTATCCCTCACCTGCTTAGCAGCATAGACCACGCCTTCGCAAGCGAGACCGTGCTGGAACTCGCCACACAAGCTGATCTGGTCGCCCTTGTAGTGCGCCACCTTTTTGCAGTAGGAGCCAACACCATTGTCCTGGAAGTGCCGGCACTTGGTCCAGCCCTTGGCCGGTATCGCGGCGAGCTTGAGCAGCTCGTCGATCTCCGAGAACGTTGGGGAGGCCCACGCCGTCTCGCAGCGGAGCGTGGCCCATGCTTCCGAGGAGGTCGGCAACGTGTAGATGTAGGTAGCGTTAGAGCCGGGGGAGAGACGAACAGTCGGCGTGGGAGAGTGAGCTTCGTTCTTGTCGGTGCCCGGGGTGGAGAAGTCGGGCAACTCGAAGATCTTGACAGAGGATGGTTCGGAAGCCTCCTTGGTGAAGCCGCCGGAGCCGGACGCTGCAACCAGGGTGGAGACAGCGACGATCGAGAGGACTGCGAGGATGCTGAGGCGGAAGCGCATGTTGATGGTGTTCGAGAAGATGGTGGTGGTAGATGTGGTTTGAGGAGAAAGAAAGCCGGAAGGAGAAGGGTGGTAGATAGGGATGATGAGAAAGAAGGCAGGAAGGAGAAGAGATCATGCTTCCTTCAATCCGGGTTCCCAAGCCCTTCAGGTGTTATCACTCGCACCTCATCCAACACTGGCGATCGTACGCTGAGCTCCCTTAAGTCGACAACCCTACCGCTCGCGGAGTGGAGGGGACTCGTTGCCTGCACCAGTATGGCACCAGACCTCTGTCACCCCCATCGCTTGCCTATCTGAAGCGCGGGATTTCGGAAGCTAAGTGGAAGGAAGCTAAGGCATGGGTTGACAGCAAAGTCACTCACACGAAGTATTAGAAGCCTGTTGGAAATCCGCAACGCGGTAGGCCAGCAGAGACAAAAGTGATTTATCCACCTAAAGATTGCATATCTCCTTCGTAGACCAAGCAGTCGTAAAACTAATGAACCACGACCCTCAGCTTCACCTTGTTGAAGCGATAGTAACCACCAGCCCTACTCTTTTCCTGATGTCCACACCTATCCCTCACCTGCATAGCAGCATACACAACACTCTCACAAGTAAGACCTTGCAGAAACTTCCCACACATGCTGATCTCGCCGCCCTTGTAGTGCACCACCTTTTTGCAGTAGGAGCCAACACCGTTGTCCTGGAAGTAACGACACTTGATCAAGCCCTTGTGCGGTATCCCTGCGCGCTTGATGAGCTCGTCGATCTCCGAGAACGTTGGAGAGGCCCAGGACGTCTCGCAGGTGAGCATGGCCCATGCTTCCGAGGAGGTCGGCAACGTGTAGATGTAGGTGGCGTTGGAGCCGGGGGAGAGACGAACAACCGGCGCGGGAGAGTCGCTGCCCGGGGCCGAGAAGTTGGGGAGCTCGAAGATCTTGACGGAGGAGTGTTCGGAAGCCCCCTTGGTGAAGCTGCCGGAGCCGGACGCTGCCACCAGGGTGGAGACAGCGACGGTCGAGAGGACTGCGAGGATGCTGAGGCGGAAGCGCATGTTGATGGTGTTCGAGAAGATGGTGGTGGTAGATGTGGTTTGAGGAGAAAGAAAGCCGGAAGGAGAAGGGTGGTAGATAGGGATGATGAGAAAGAAGGCAGGAAGGAGAAGAGATCATGCTTCCTTCAATCCGGGTTCCCAAGCCCTTCAGGTGTTATCACTCGCACCTCATCCAACACTGGCGATCGTACGCTGAGCTCCCTTAAGTCGACAACCCTACCGCTCGCGGAGTGGAGGGGACTCATTGCCTGCACCAGTATGGCACCAGACCTCTGTCACCCCCATCGCTTGCCTATCTGAAGCGCGGGATTTCGGAAGCTAAGTGGAAGAAAGCCAAGGCATGGGCTGACAGCAAAGTCACTCACAAGGAGCATCGGAAGCCTGTTGGAAATCCGCCATGTGGTAGGCCAGCAGAGACAAAAGTGATTTATCCACCTAAAGATTGCATATCTCCTTCGTAGACCAAGCTAAGTAGATCTAATGAACCATGACCCTCAGCTTCACCTTGTTGAAGCGATAGTAACCACCAGCCCTACTCTTTTCCTGATGTCCACACCTATCCCTCACCTGCATTGCAGCATACAAAACACTCTCACAAGTAAGACCGTACTGATACTTCCCACACAAGCTGATCTCGCCGCCCTTGTAGTGCACCACCTTTTTGCAGTAGGAGCCAACACCGTTGTCCTGGAAGTAACGACACTTGATCAAGCCCTTGTGCGGTATCCCTGCGCGCTTGATGAGCTCGTCGATCTCCGAGAACGTTGGAGAGGCCCAGGACGTCTCGCAGGTGAGCATGGCCCATGCTTCCGAGGAGGTCGGCAACTTGTAGATGTAGGTATCGTTGGAGGTCGAGGAGAGACGAACAATTGGCGAGGGAGAATGGGCGTTCTCTTGGTCGGCGGACGTCTGCGGGGAGTCGGTGCCGGGGGTGGAGAAGTTGGGGAGCTCGAAAATCTTGACGGAAGGGGGTTCGGAAGCTGCCACCAGGGTGGAGACAGCGACGATCGAGAGGATTGCGAGGATGCTGAGTTGGAAGTGCATGTGGATGGTGTTTGAGAGGATTGTGGTGGTAGATAGGGTCGATGAGAAAGATAGCAGGAAGGGGAAGGGATCCTGCTCCCTTTAATCCAGGTTCTAAGCCTACTCACACCTTGTTCAATACTGGCGATCGTATTTTGTGTGCTCCCTTATGCGGACGTGATGGCTGGGAGATATGTGAGAGTGAGGGATATTAGTTCGGTTGTGAGGCTTCGCGGTGCTTGCTTTCGTTTCCTCCATCATGTGAGTACTTCCCTAAGGGAGCTCTGAAATACTGGACAGACCAGACGGAGGCAAAAAGTGATCTCGCATCGGGCCCCTTGCTCTGCGGGGTCGGACAGCGAGGGGGAAGCCGATTTATGATCTACTAAGGTGGAATGCTATGGCCTACTAGGTGAAATGTCATGATGATTAAACCCCCCAAAAGCTCCCTTGGGCGAAGCAGCCGATGACAGGGGATCCGAGTGATGACCCTGTGACTACACTCATCAATAGGTTCTTTTCTTGATGATGTTAGGCTACAATATCTAGGTGAAGCCAGCATGTATAGTTGTTAATTCGTAATTTTGGTCAATAGTCTAGTGTCGTGATGAGAATCAAAGCACCAGTGCGTAGTGACGAATCCTACTTCGAACTCGCACCGCTAACGCGATTTCTCGATCTCAACATTATTGTAATTTCATATCGTACATTTCCCTTATAGCCCAGAGCCCTCAATTCACCGACTTCGTCTCCGCCGCCTTGATCTTTGCATCTCCACGCTCCTTCATGCCCTCGCAGCCAACCACCTTACCAAACAACCCTTCTGATTTCCCCTCAGCACTCAATCTCATCGGGCCCTCTTCAGCGATGTTACGCTCGACCTTCCGATCCCCGATTTCCTTTGCGGCTCTCATCTCGTTCACTGCGGCCTCCTTTGTAGCCGCACCGGACTCTTTGAGGGGTGTGGAAAGCATCGAGCCGAGCATCTCCTGTGGACTGTCAGAACTGGATGAAACGAAGAGGTAGAAGTGATTATACGAACAGTTCCGGCACCCTTAACCCACTGCAAATGGGCCTTAACTTGAGACGGCGGTGAAGTCATGACGATTCGTGTAGTGGAGAAGCAGCGTGAAGAGATCAGATTCGAGATGCGGGAGCGTGCGATTGTTTGCATTGTGTAGAATCGAAAGTTGTGAGTGTGCGGATGGAGTGGAATAAATGCTGGAAGAAAGGATCTGCATATGCGCGAGGAGGCGAATATGTACCCACGGCACAGAGCATCCCACGGCCTATACGGTGCTGTGACGTACTAGAGAATACGTCATTTGGCCTGGAGGTGATGTATGGGGGGAATATGATGACGACTGCGATCTAGGTGAGCAGTCTGTACCTCTATGATCGCGGCTTGTTAAGCGGGAAGAGCATCACTGGGAACAAACTCCGAGGGAGGTCTGGATCACGAACTCGTTTGAAGGATTGATATTCTACAGACTTGACGTACACAACGACACTCACAGCCAATCTCATTGACAGTCTTCGCAAACCTCCTTTGCACCGTCTTTCGGAACGCACGCCGTAGCACCGGATTTCTCGGCCTGGTGTCCCTCTTGTGCCGGAGCTGAAGCCGAAGCAGTAGTGCCCTCCTTGATGGCCTTCCTCCCGTCTACATGCCCCAGGTCTCGTCCCGGGTCGATCACATTCCTGACCCGTTGCTTTAGCAGCTATAAAAATGTCAACGGCTGTTTTCTAATTTCCAGAACAACTCTACCTTCGTCTCCGGAAAGCCACCCTCTGTCTTACGATCCCACAAATTCGTAGTCGTCACCTCGCTCGAGGAAGTGTCTTCTTTGTGGTAGATGTTCACCACGAAGGTTCCTCCGGTCGAGGGTTGGAGCGAGACTTCACCTAGCGAAGTCGAGAATGTGGAGAGTAGCTCTTGTGCAAACTTCTACAATCAGTGCATGAGCTTTTAACAAGCAGCTCGTCCGGATCTTACATATGCGGCGCCTGTACGAAGCCATCAGAATTGTCCGATCGAAAGCTTGAGATCACAGGAAATAAATACGGAGAAGCCATTTGCATTGAGTACAGTACTGGATTGTCACTCGGGGGTATACGATAGTAGATTCCATTGCTGTTTTGTTTCGCGTGAATGGAGAGAGTGGGGACTGGCTGGTGGGGTTCTGATATCATAGAAAGCTCTAGCCTCGTTTCTTGCACTAGCTAAACCACCTTTCACCGGGTAACACAAATTGTCGCTTACTTAGCACAAGCATGTGACATGGAAGTGGTGGTTCGATTCCCCACCATCCTTTTTACTTTTAACTCTTCACCCTCCTACACACATCTCGATTTCTACACCATCCCTACAACTTCTCGACTCAATCTCCCCATGCTCAAAGCTCCGCGATGAGTGTGAAAGCTCTATTGAACTACGTCCTCGAAGAGGTCGCCATTGATGGTGCTGAAGGTATGTTATATTTTTTCATGTTCTCTCTCGTTGCAGTCGCTTTTCTGTGGCGAAAAATAAAAAAAGGAATCGAGATGCAGTGGTGGGGCATGCCTGCTCACCAATGCCATCATCAACATCGCGATCTCCCGTCGCAAAATTTCACATTCTGGTTACAGTTTGACGCTACTGGGTTCTAGTGTGAACCCAAACACATTACCCTGTTGGGACGTGGCTGCTTGAATGCTCGCTTTGTCACTTTTCCCTTGGGAATGTGATAGGTTCGAGACTTGAAAGCGGCACCGATTTGGGATATTTATCACTGTCTAGTTTCGTGCGATCCGACCGAGTTAGTGCTGATATGAATTTTGCGACTATTAGGCACTGACGTCGAGGAGCTATTCAAGTACGTCAATGACTTCTATGTCAAAAGCCGTCAGGAGCGACATTATGTTGGTGAACTTCTCTGGGCCGATCAATTGGAGGGTCGAAAAGAAGACGGAGATGAGGACATGGCTGGCGACGGCGATGAAGCTGCTGCTGAGAGAGACCGCATCGCTGCTGAGTGTTGGGGGACTCCAAACGTCAAGGAAGAATTCCAGGAGTATGTCTGGGGTCTTTTGAGACAGCAGAAGGACTTCAATGTCGGCCCAAAAAACGAATCCCGGGGTATGTCACTGGGAGAAATAGTCGACAAATGGAGGGAGAATAAGGACGACGCCAATCTCCGAGTGTATGCGAGCGAGGATCGTCGGTGGCGGACACTTACAGGCCATGGCCCGGATCCGAAGAGGGTAAGCTTTTGTTCCCTTATCACTCGTTGTGATCGTATGCTGATCTCCCACCAGGTGCCAAACGCCGTTTTCAAGTGTCTCGAGGTGATTGGGAAGCACCGTGAACAGGGATTGATCCAGCCGGACCTTACCAAGATCACCGGTCAAGATAAGAAGTCCATCGCTGGCCGGACGACCTTGCTCAAGGAAATGGGCTATATTGAGAAGGTCGCTGTTCTGGCCAAAAGCATGAACACGAGCAAGCTCACGCTCACGAAATTTGCCTATCTACGTGACAGGAAACTAGCACAAGATCACAAAGATGACAGTGGGTTAAAGGGCAAACCTGCATCCAGCAAGAGCAGCGAGCGATGGACTGGCGAAACCATTCACCTGGAGAGTTTGATCAGAGCTATCATCGCGGAACTCAAGAATGCCAAAAATGGTGTTATACAGAGAGGTGATCTCAAGAAGAAGCTGGTATGCAATCCCGTTCCCAATCGATTTGGTTATCGAATGCTGATCTACGTAAGGGTATGGACCGCTCCAGATTCCACTGGCGTTCTCTTTCCCGGATTCTCCGAAAAGTTGAATCATTCGGCGTGTGGAAACGAATCCGGGTTCCATTGGCCAACAATCGCAGCTATGACAAGAAAGGAGGAGGCACTGTAACCGTCCGATGCCACGCGCGGTGCATCAAGTTTGTTCGAGACATAACGGCCGAAGATTGGCGGAGGCTTGCAAATTCTTCGAAGATGACGATTGGGGAGGAGGATGAAGAAGAGGATGAAGCTTCTGACGCCGAGGAAGAAAAGGGAGAACGGGAGGACGAAGCCGTGGATGTTGACGCCATCAACGAGCAGCTGGCCCACGTGGATGTTGACGCCATTGAAAAGATTCCCCGAGAAGTACCACGGTGGACTATGACCGTTCCGATGCCGAACATTATCTACAACTTGGTCAAGGGAGCCGGCAAAGAGGGGATTTCCAGCATGGTAGGTGTTGCTTCTCGAGTTCTATGAGCCATTTACTGACTTCATCCTTGTAGGATGTAGTACATCGTATTATCGGACCGTTTTATTACAGGCCAATGGATCAAGTCTTGCATCGAATGACCGACTTTCCATCGAAATCACAACCAATAGAATATATCCATCTAGCTGTTATCCGTGAGACTAGTATCACTCACCGTCAGACTCATTATCACTACTTCTGCTATGAATCGCATCAACAGCTTGTCAAGGAAGGACTTGCTGTTGAGCCTTGGGCGATTACATCAAAGAAGAAAGGCGTCAAGAAAGGATCGCAAACGGAAGCATCGGAACGCCCGTCACCTGAGCCCGTTGAAGAACTCGACGAGTACGGCTTTCCGCCTGTTGCCACGAGGCGTCTGGTCAAGAAAGATGGCTCTGCCAGCCTGGCCGACAGTTCGAATGTCGGTAAGAGTAAGGAGAATACGGCGGCAATGACGGGGAAACCTGGCTGGAAAAAGGGCGTTGGTGAGTGCAATTTCCTGATTACCTCTCCCTCCTCCCCCCGAGAATTAAAACTTATTGGATGGAAAAGCTCGTACTGGCCGACCCCGCAAATATCCGAAGGGAGAGGAGCCGTATCTTTCTGCCAAAAAACGGAAAGCGATTCTCGAAGCAGCGGCAACAGAAGCAGGGGAATCACCGAACCCGAGGAATGGAGAGGGTGAAGACGCCACGACGGAAACGCCCGTGCCAACACCGAAGCGTCGCGGAAGACCACCGAAGAAGCAGAAGACAGACGATGGTACTCCCGTTGAGCCCAAGCGCCGAGGACGCCCCCCGAAAAACCGTGCCGCGGCGACTAAAGCAAATACTACACCAGCAACCCCCGCTCAAGGCACCCAGGAATCAAAAGCCCCAGCTGGAGTCCCCGAGGCATCAAAAACACCACTTCAAGACTTCCAGGTACCAGAAACTCCAGCTTCTTCCGCAGCGAAAGGCAAGGAAAAACGGGCGATTCGGGCGACAAAAACTTCTAAGGCCACTGTACCCCCAGTCACTCCTCAAGCCTCTCAAGAAGCAAATCCGGATGTCACCGCGCCTGTGTCTGTCGATGCCACGCCTACCCCAGCGCCTGTAAAGCAGGGCCGTCCACGCAAAACCGCAACACCCAGGACAGTAACACCCAAAACCCCAAGGACCACACGAAAGCGCAAGGCCGTTTCCCCACCCCCCGCGGAGTCAGCTCCAGACAAGCGTAGTCGGGCTGACGCACTCCCTGACACCAACGCTCAAGTGCCCCTTGTGCTAGAAGAGCCTACAGATGTTCCGATGGAAGATGCACCAGCTCCCGAAGCCCTTGAAACATTGGGTGAGCCGGTTGTCGTTGGGCCACAGGAGATTGTTTCTGGAGGGGCAGGAAGGATCCCTGAACCGTCGCCAATGGCAGAGCCCGTAAACACTCCAATGAAAATCGAAGCGGCGCCCGAGAAAGAGCCTGAGCCGCTTGCTCCGGAGCCGAAGATTGTGTTCAATATTGATGGCATTCCTGTCGAAAACGAGGGTCTCGAGGAAGGTGACAACGACTCCTACGGATCCATTGGCGGAATGTTAGCCCTTGGTCGCCAGCAAGTGGTCCTGGATTTGATGGCGGAGCACGATGGGGTTTTCCCTGGTGGTAACGAGCTTCGCCACGCCTTCAACCAGAAGTATAGACAAAGGAATCCGAAGGCAGGAATAGCCGATCGTCGGCTTGTTCGCGGTGTCGTTCAGTCACTTCAATACAAAGGCAAAATCAACCAATTCACCTTCAGCTTCCTAAACGGACGAGGAATTCTCACAACCAAGAAGCTCTTGGTAGATATCAAAATACCGATGGAGTCCCCGATGATTGCCGAGGCTGTTAGACAGATGAAGGCTGCTGATGGAGGTCTTTGGTATCCACCAGGAGTTGACTTGGCTCCAGAGGTGAAGGAGAAAATGTTGAATCCGACGAATACCTGGGTACAAGCGCCGCAGAGTGCCATCGAAGAGACCGAGTTCGACAGGATCTATCCGACTTCTGTGGAGAATATCAAGAAACAGCGCGAAGAGAGAGCGGTAGAACGTGCCGTTAAGAATGCCCAGAAGGCTGAGGAGAAGCGGGTGCGGCAGGAGATGCGTGCCTTGAAGAAGAGCGGCATAATCTCACATTACACCGGAAAGTTCACCGAGGAGCAGAAAGAAGAGGCCCGTCGAAGAAAGGCAGAGCTCAGCAACAAGATCCACAAGCTGCGACACAAGTTTCAGGGACCTATGGACGACGAAGCTGAGGAAGATACAGGCCCTCAGACGATATGGTGGGAAGACTTCGTTCAGCGTCCTTCCTCTATTTCTCTTCTTAAAGATATTAAGGACGTCCGAAATTGGGAAATGCTGAATAAATATGATAAGTCGCTTAATCCGGCAAAGGAAGACGGCCTCGTTATGATCAATCACTTTGGACCTGAAGTGGAGGTTGGCGAGGACTTTTCCCAGGTGCCGCCTTCTATGGAGCACATCGTGAGAAATACTGTCTCCAAGACAGGTGGAGTGAAGAGGACTGTTGGGCGCCCTAGCCTGTACATGGCTGTGCCCAGGCCTCGAGCTAGAATCGCAAGCTTAACTGGTGTAGAGGAAGATGACGGTGGTCCGCCGCCGGTTGGCAAAAAGAGACGGCGAAGAAGGGTATTACAGAAGGAGCCGACAGTTTCCCGTCGCCAGCAGGCAATGGCCGCTATTCACCAAACCACTACGCTTGAAACAGTTGATGAGGAACAGGAAGGCAAGTTTGGCGGATTCGATTAATAGCGAATGATGCTAACTTACAGTAGTGCATGCCAGGAAGGACTGGAGGTATAGGAATAAGTACACGATTCCGAAGGAAGACGAAGACACCCTTTTGATTGCCGTGATCATTGTCCGGACCATCTTTGGCAATGTTGACCGTAAGATCAACTGGGACCTCGTGAGGAAGGCTACACCCCAGCACTTACCGGTTGTTCTGCAACGCCGTTGGCCACGAGTACGCGACGTTCATAAGACTCACTTGAAGAAGCTTCAATCCGAATTCGAGGAGATGTACCTTGAGGCTTACGCTAATGATGAGCTACCGGTAATCAATCTCAAGGACCCCATGAGTTTTGATCTGCCACTCCATGTGAAGTGGTTCCGAGACAACCTTGAGCTCCCTGAGTAAGTTGCTATCCCTCTTACACCGGGAGTTGGTGCTAATATTTCCAGGGCTCATGCTGTTCCTGAACTTTCGGCTAAACGGGAAGTCTTCGACAACTTGTACAATCTTCGCCTGGAGAAACCATCGACATGGCGTGCGGACTATCACAATCCGACCTTTACGATGGGCAATAGGGCCAACCATTTTGTGTGCTATGCCTACGAGGTTCCTATCAGTCCTGAAGTCGAGATCAACAAATCAAGTGAAGTGGTTGACTACGTCAAGTCAATCATTAAGGCCAATGTCATCACCGATGCTGCCAGTTACAATCCTGCCGAAGCCTTCGCGCTTATCCACGAACAGCCCGAGGATGCAGTAGACGAGGCTTTCTTCGAATTGAACAGTAACAAGGTCGTCGCTCACCGCAAGGAGCACAACCGCGTTGCGCCTGGTCGGAATTACGAGTTGACGGATAAATTTCATTCCTCACTGCGTACTCCTATGGACGAAAAGCTGTTTGCTCAGGCCCTCAAGTTCGATCGCAACCTCAAAAACATGTTTGTTCAGCAACAGGCCGTGGAGCTTTCGCCATTTTTGAATGACGGATCGGTGGCGTGCATCTTTGATTTGGTTGCTAATGGACGGGTATGTGATCAATCTATTTTCTTATTTCGCATTAGCTAATTTTCATACAGGTGCGCCTCGAAAAACGCGAGTACAAAGCCAATGCGATGGGACTGGTTGACGGCTACGAAACTCGCTCGATGCCGAAGCACATGGTCGACTTCAAGGTTTTCATAATGTTAAAACCCAGCTACTTCGAACGACCGGTAGTTGCCCCGCTTCCACCGACACCGGAAGGGAAGAATCCTGCCAACCCGATTGAACCCATGCGTATCTGGATCGACATGAACCGCAACGTTATCAAGGGCATGTGGCTCCGTGTTGTTACCTCGGTTCTCTCGATGATCACTGGACGGCCTGGTATCCACCCGCGCGAGATTTCGAAGATGTTGTGTCCGGGTTTGACGCTGAAAGAGTCCCTGGATGTCATCCAATGGCTCTGCCAGCGTGAGGCGATCGAAATCAGGGGTAATGTATTAACTGAGGATTCAGGATGCTGGGCGAGGGAGGGATTCTACAGGGCTTTGGGTGGTCTTTAAATGGAGGGAGACCTTGTATTCATCATTTCATTGCCGTTCTGGCTGCTCATAACTGTACATAGGGCGGAGTTGTAGCCTTAGCACATAATCCCTTTGTACTGTTCATATGTATTTTCCCACACGTAATACGACCAGTTATCAATGTAGCCACAGAGTAAAGTGAATTAAAATACCGGTACTACAAACCCCACCGGCATCCGTTCCTCCCACTTCCTCTCCTCCATCTTTGAACTTTCTAACACCAACCAAACCGTGTCCGGCGCCGCCTCTTCCAACGCACTCCTCAGATCTTCCCTCTCACGCAACACCTCCGCCCCGCACATATCGCACACCTTATCCAGCACCTCATCGCTCACACCCACATGCTCCACAAGAGCAGTCAACATCTTAACCACCGCATCCCACAGCTTATACCCCGTGCCATACACTCCCATCCCACCCGAGCCACCCCGTCGCTCTTTGACCAGATTCGCCCACGCGTGATTATAAACCTTGAAAATTCCCGGCAATCCATCCCTCACCCGCGAAGCCAAGAAGTCTCCGGAAGTCTCTGCGATCCCCGAAATCGCCTGGCACGCTTGGATGACTACACCCGGCTCGGGATCGTGCAGACGCGCATACACCATCGGCCAGATGTCGTTGATTACGGGAAGGTACTCGCGCTCGTTCATCGAGAGGGTAGACGTGCTGTCTTTGATCAAGTGCAGTACCTTGGCCCGGAGACTGAAAGAGCCATGCGTTAGGTAGTGCTGGCTGAGCCGTGTGATGCGCTGGACTATATCATAGGTTTTGGACGGTGGGGGTGATTCCTCCTCGGGCGGTGGGGGTGGAGGCCCGTCTTCGTCTTTGCCTTCGTTGTCGTCCGGAGCGGGGGAAGAGAGGGGGTTGTCTTTGTCTTTGCCTTTGCCTTTGCCCCATGGCTTGCGAGGAAATTTCCCATCTGCCTCGTCGCCGTCCATTTCTTCTTCATCTACTGGGAGTGAATCAAGTGGTTCCAGTCTGGGCCTATTCTCATCCCGATACTCTTTCAAAAACAGTATGAACTCATTGTCCTTCAGGATCCTTCGTTTTTTGCGTCGATTCCCCCCCATAGTCTCTCCATCAAACTCGATCCGCTTCACATCCGGGTCTCCTTTGGAGCTTTCCTTTACGATACTGGCGAGGACCACAAACAGCTCCTCGCACAGTTTCTCATACTCATGAAAGCCATCTAGAATGGAGAACATGCTGACGACGAGGTCGTCCAGGTGGGGGACTAATTTGGGGCCGACAAGCTTGAGCATCATGTTGAGGACTATTGGCGCCTGCGGCGACAGGTCGAAGATGTTGAGTTTTAGTGAGACGGCGTTGACCATGTAGTCGACGTTGTCGAGGAGAAGTTCCTTAGCGCTGGAGTACTCGCAGCTGGCAGCGATGTTGTTGAGAGCGACGATAGAATGGTTCTGCACTTCAGCGGACGAGGAGCCGAGATTGTGAACGACCGGGTATAGTGCATCCACAAGCTCGCCGCGGAATTCACGTTTCTGCGTTTCTGCGACTAGGGAGAGGGCTTCGAGCGCGAGACAGTGGAGAGGTGCATTTTCGACGCTCTCGGCTTCATCTTGGTTGGTGGTGATTAGATTCTCCAAGGCGAGCGCGAGGAGCTCATCGGTGACGTGACGTTGTAGGATGGATGGCTCCAGGAGGCCAAAGTCGAGATACATATCGACTTCATTCCCGGCGCTAACGGATCCGCGGAGGAGGTTAATGGCTATCCAGAAAGATACTGCCCGCTCATTTACCGAAAGGCCTCGTGCTCCTGCGTCTCGGAGGTGACGCTGTGCGAGTGCCATTCCGTTCTCTTCAGATGATAGCCTGAGGGCTCCCAAGAGCCGCTTCATGCTCTCCATGGTCCCCATTTGACTCCGCTGGCCCACAATCACATCTTGGAACTTTGCGATCCTCCCTCCCGAAGTTGTATGATCCGCCAACAGCATTTCAAGCTTGGGCCGAACCGGGGTTGCTCGTACCAGTGTCGTCCCGGCGTTCTCTGGTGCTTTGGCAGCAAGCAAACTCTCCTTGATGCCATCGGCGAGCATGTCCCTTAGAATGTCCGACTCCATATTTAACTCCATGCACAACCCAAACGCAACGGATAATCTCGTGATGACACGCTGCTTCGCATCTTCGTTGTTTCCAGTCATCACCCGCGGTAGGCCAGCGATCCATGCATCCAGACATTCTCTAACAGCATCTTTCACCTTGCCCTCCATCGATGCCATCACACGGATCGAGTTTCCCGCCAGACTAGCCAGTGACTCGTCTTCGTTGCCAGCGATAACGACCAAGGTCTCCACCAGTATCATCGTCGCTTCATCGAGAGACGATGAACACAACTCTAGGAGTTGTAAGGATAGTTGCAGAACAGCGGTACGAACCTCGATCTTGGGATGTGTCCGTAGCTTCAACACCTGTTCCAGCGAAACCTTGGTATTCGCAGCGGTAGCCTTTAACCATGATTTCGTCCGACGAATCCCCACCGACTCCGTGTCACTTGCTTCGGCGTCGGGAAGGTTGAAGACCCGTACATCGTCCAGAACCCTCGAAATGAGCCGCTCCAGCAGCTTCACCATATCCTTCAGGACCTGATACGGCCGCTTCGTGGTCTTTCCCAGGCCAAGTGCTCTGACGACCCCAGAAACAACACCGGGATAGAAACTGGCCCTCATGTCCTCATCCTTGACCGTCTCCAGCAGCAGTTTATCCATCGCCTGTAGCGACACAATCTGGAGCTCCAACATATCCGCCTCCGAGAAAGTCGTAAGCAGCGTAGTGACCGTATGCCCCACAGCAGGAATCGAGTCGGCCTCTCCAATCACTGCCGCGCCACCAGATCTCACAAAGCTTCCAAAGAGATTCAGTAGACACCTACAACCTGCCAGCTTCGTCTCCTCACTCCTGTTCCCTTCCTCCTGCTGCTGCTCCTCCACATTCGGATTCCCCCCAATCACGAATGTGAGGAGAATCAGCAACTGCTTCCCCATCTCCGCCGAGATGTTCACGCGCCAGCAGGTGCATATCAGCACTTCGAGACACAGCAGCGCCAGCTCGAGCGAGTGATCGTTGAGCTCCCGGTACCGCCGGAATACGTGTGACAGCGGGAAAAAAACGTAGTCTCCCAGCTTTTCGTCGAGGCGTTCTTGTGCCGCATTCTGCAGCGTTGGATAGAGCTCGGCCAGAGCAGCTGTAAGCTCACGGTTGTTGGGGCTAGAGGTAAGGATGCACCTGCTGAGAGCGATACAGCGTGGTTTTAACTATAATTTGGCGTTAGCAGAAGCTCACTGACTGATGACGCTTCTTGATACTGCGCACCTCTTGAAAGACTTGCAGTCTTTCGCTGTCATTTTGGGCGGCTAAGAGGGCTTGGGATTCCGAAGATATCTTCTGAGGGTTTGACATTTCTCTTCAACGGCTATGGTAGGCGTGGCTTTGCTTCATAATGTTTGCCAGATAAATAGCGGAGTCAGTCGTTACCTTGAGGCTTACTAAGGCGGGTAACTAATACAGCTAACGGCGAGTGATGTAATGTGCTTTGATATGTAGCCAACATCGTACAACAGCAGATATGAGGTCGCCATAGTCTGTAAAGGGCTGTATGCGGAATATACTGGATTTCTCTCATATAACCAGATATGTTGAGTAAAATTTCCGCTAATGAAAAACATAACTCCTCTTTCCCTTTTCTCTATGCCTGATCTGCAAAGCCTACCCCTCTTCCGTGCCAATCATGGTCTCCTCATCCGACTCATTATCTGGCTCCTCCTTCGGTGCCGGCAGTTTGCCACCCGACTTGGCTGCCGCTTCGTCGAGGACCTTAAATCCAGCGGACGTTAGGTAGAGATACGTTGGACTCCGGTAGCAGTCAAGATACTGCACAAACGCAGTAAAACTTCCAGCTTGTTAGCTTTAACTCCTCCGTCTCATTTTTCTTTGGGGGCAAAACTTACGTATTCTCACGCTCTTCCTGATCGTAGATCTTGGAGTAGATAAACTTCTGCTTAAACGCATCGATATCATCTTTGTACTTCTCAAAGTCCAGTGGCTCACGGTCAAAGCCTTTCGATATCTTCTCATTGTAGTGTGTGAAGAGCGGGTGCTCAAGGAGTAGTCCCAAAGCAGGAGCTTTTCCCACCGCGATTTTTCTCGGTCCAAAGGCCTCTGTAATTCGGGAGGGGACACACCCACTACGAACCACCATCATCGCCAACCCCACCATTTTCCGAATTTGATGCATCATGAAGGACTGGCCATGGACGTGGATCGACAGCCATTCTGTGCTACTGATCACGAATGGGTCGTTAACTTCGAAGGACCTGATGTGTCGCTTGGCGCTCGGGTCCTTGAAGGTCTTGTCAATCGTGAAGTTGTAATAGTTGTTTGTGCCCACAAATTGGCGGAATGCTTCGCGCACACGCTCCAATCGCTCCGGAGATATGCGGTAGGCGCGCTTTTCTTGCATGTAAATTTCTCGGACTTTGCGAGCCAGCGAGTCCTCGCCGTCCTTCTCGCCGTCCTTCTCGCCTTCGATTGCCTCATTCGGTTCAGTGTCCTCTTGCTTGTCCACAGGTTTCTCCTCTTCCGCCATGACTTTCTCAATAACAGGCCTGGCCTCATCACCCAGTTGCTGAATCACCTTGTCGTTGACTGTGGTCCACCAATCCTCCACTTCCTTCTGCCGCGATAGATAGCCCTCCAGGTCATCTTCCTGCTTCGCATACTTGAGGCAAGCTTTCGCCAGGAACGATCCGGGATGTGGTGGTAAGAAAACGTGAGAGGGTACAAGGTACTCGTATTTCCGACTGTCGCAGAGCTGGTAGCAACTGAAAGATCCCGTGGTGCGGATGATATCCCACACACGGATCTGCTCAGGGAGGGCGGCGTTGATCTTAGGGACAATCTCGGGGTCTTCGACGATGAGCTTGAGGGAAACGACATTGCCGGCGGCGTGCACGCCTTTGTCGGTTCTTGCGCAGCGAACAAACGACGACTGGTGCCCCAGTTAGCCTCCCCCTCCGCAATCGCCAATTCCTGAAGCGCGGGAAGGAAATACCTTCTTCGGGTCATCGGAGTTGGCGCGTGAGATAGCGCCAGCCTGCACGAACGCCTCGAACAGATCGCCCTCGATACTCTTGAACGGAGGGTTAAGCTGCATACCCTTATACCCACTACCGCAATAACTAATCATGACGGCGACCTTGCGCTTTGGCTTGCGCTCCTCCCTGTCGGCATCGTCGACGCCCTCGAGCGGCTTCCAATCCGTCCTCGGACGTTTCCTTCCGTTGTCGTCCTGATGCCGGCTGAGTAGGGAGAAGAGAGTCAGTCAATTAAGACAGAGACGAGCAGGAGAAGGCGAGACGCACTTACTTATATTCGTTGCGGCCCATGTTCTTGTTCCTCTTGCCGTTGGTATTGACACCGCGACCTCGACTGGCGCCTTGGCCTCGACCGCCGCGTCCACTGCGTCCATCGCGGTGAGACGCAGATTGCTGCTGCGACTGCTGTTCTGTGGAATCCGTAGGAGGCTTTCTGGAAGGAGGCGCTGCAGGAGCTGCCGCCACGGCGGGTGTGTCATTATTGGTTGTAGACATCTCGTAGTAGGATGGTGGGGCAGAGACCAGTGGGAAAAGTTGGAGAGCCTGTAGGGATTGCACTTGTATGATAGCGCGGTGGAGCTAAACTCCATGGACTCGGGTTATTCCGCAACATGTCGCATCACTCGCACGCTCAGTGACAGATGATGAAGGGTAATAAACGACGAAGACTGTACTATGGCAGTTGGACTCCAGAATCGCTGTAGTGGTGGACTACAATGCAGAGAGCGCTTTAATGGTCAAGGTAAGTTCAGTAAGCAGCTTCTGTTAGGTATCGTCGCTCTGACTTACCGTAGGTGCGAGTGAATGCGGCAGGTGCTCACCATCGACAAACGTGAATGAGAACTGCAAGATGCGATGCATGCATATGGTCAAATAACTCGGTATAAACACAATCGATGCTCCCGCTGACGTCAAACATTACCATCCATCCAAGGGTCTCAACCACCTGTCTCGCTGCTGCTGCTGCTGCTGCGGTGTGTCCCGGCCTTAACCGTGTCCCCGAAAGAGATTCTGTTGATAATCTAAGATAGCAATCAAGATCGGATAGCTTGCATCCCATTCAACCAGTTATAACAATTACGACTAACCAATCGAGGAATCCTTCCCTTCTTCCTTCTTCCCCGGACATTGCCCCAACAATTGCTTTCATCGCTCCTTCCTCTCCCCACTCTCTTCTCTTTCCGCTCTCTCCATCCCCACTCCTTCCATTCCCTCTGCTCCTATCCGTTGTCTCTCCTCTCATTGACCTCTTTAATCTCAATCAAAATATCTGGTTAAGCTCAACAACAGTCTTACCGATATCACAGCCATGCCTACCACAGCCATGCCTACCAAGACGAAAGACAAAAGTGTAAGAACGACAGCTCCACTGGGCTCCCGTCTTCAATTTGTTTTGGTCTGTCCGGTGCGGTGGGAGAGAGAGACTGATATAGTGGCTACGGATTTAGGACTACAAACTGCCGACATACATGAATCCAGAATCCCATCGGATCGTGAACAATTATCTAATTTCCAAGCCGAAGCCTCGACCTCAGCTCCTTCTTGAGGCACCACCGGAGGGCAAGCAATCACAGAATGGGCATCTAGAGAAGAAGAAGAATGTCGCATTTGACCTCTCAGACTCGACCTACTTGGTGCCCAGTCGTCCAGCACCTCCTTGTCCACTTCCCCTCTCGAACTCCCCATCTCTCTCTTCTGCTAAATCAATTTCTTCGATTTCCATTCTAGATACTCCTCCGGGTTCTCGTACTCAAGGTCCTACTCGTTCTGACTATCCGCCGGGAGCGCCTCATTGTCCTACCCGTCCCCCTCCCCCTCCTCCAACTCCCTCTGGTCCCGCATGTAAACCTTTAGGAACCCGGCTGCCTGGAGCTCGAAGGCCCATCGATACTGGGAGGTTGCCGGATATTATTAAGGCTGGAGAGTCAATGAAGGTATCGAAGGAATCGATGGCTATCAGGTTACAGCGCTCTCTGTTGGCCCGCAAGAGGAAGAAGGAGCAGTCTGCACTGTCGGAAATCTTCGAGCCTCCATCCAAGACCGTGGCCGCGGTGTCTGTGCCGCCGATGGAGCCCGTGGATTCTGAGACGAGTGGTGGCATTGTCTATCCTAAAGGTACTTAATCACGGTCTTTTCTGTTGGTATTGGTGCTAATATCTACATAGAGCTTGGTGATCTTATTCGAAAGAGCGGGTACTGCGTCCTTGCTCCGGCTTGTCCGATGTGGGTCCTCAAGGACGTCCGTGAGGAGCTCCGAGACCGCAAACTGGCCTCTATTGGACGCTCGAGCGTGTCTTTCGGTAGCACTACCACTCTCTCGGTCCGCAGTGGATCGAATACAGTCGCAGATTTCATCCATGACAAGATAAAGACACCCTGGAAAGTGACCTTTCATGCTGCGGAAAAGAAGGTTGGAGCAGCCGCTCCAAATGCATCTGAACCTACCAGTGCCTTCGACTCGGATACCGACGACGAGCGTGCGGTGCCTCGGATGACCAAGTATGTACATTCAAACCACAATTTGAGGTAAAAGAGCTGACCAAGTTTTTAGTATGTGGTTTCAGGGTGCCAGATGTTACAGTAGGTCCAGAATCCAATGGTGAAACACTCCCGGAGGCTGATAATTGAAAACACAGTTCCGTTGTGTCCCTTTGAGAGATTAGCGATGCCGCACTCTACTTTTCACTATAAACCAGTAGACCTTCATGCCTTCGAGCCTCCGGATTGTAATGAGATCCTTCACGTGAAAGATTCAAAAGGTCACAATTACTTGACGGTCGAAGAAATTGATGGGAAGCTTCTTGTCACAGTCGGTCTTCTAAAGATCATCGTAGCCGAGCTGGCCAACCCGATCTTGACCACGCAACGCGAGCGCAATCGATATGCTTTCAATCCGAGTCTGTTCCCTCCAATTGCCTAAATATGAGTCTCACTGACTATATAAAGCCTTCGATCTGATGGACGCAGTCATTTGGGCCATAACAATGACAGGTCAGAGCGTTGAGTTTGTTCAAGCCTTTAAGCGTCAGCTTTGCTTTGGGGATGGGAAAGGTAGAGGAGAGGAGAGGATATGGTATATCCGATCGAAAATTAACCTTCGAGTGTAAGACACTGATTATCATGAAGGCTTACAGAGCTTCTCCAGTACTGGCTCATCACCTATCATGTGGACTTTACTGATCCCGAGGACGAGGAAGAGCTTCTGGAGGCCTACCAGCAATTCATTTACACTTCGAAAAGCCTTAACATGGATTCCGAAGTTGTCGAAGCGACGATGGACGTCCTGACCAAGAGCCAAAAATATTTTAACGAATTGATCGAATACCTGCAGCGCAATGAGGGACACTTCCTCACTTTTGACGACGCCTGGGTCACTTACTGGTCGCCCCCGTCAGAGGGGAAATTCATTCAGTTTTCTATAGATGCTACTTCTGAGCAACTCGCCAACTATCTCGCTGCGGTGGTAACAATCCCTGACAGCTCTAAGAAGGAGTAGCGGTTAATTATGTTTGGGACAGCATCTGGTGATGTTTCGTGATGTCTGCAACCGAATGGCCTTGCGGTCCTGGTTGAGGAGGAGCGAGGAGGACCCAAAGCCGTCGAAAGTGGATGCAGACAGTCCAAGAACTTCCTTGTCCGTCAAAAAGCCCTGGGAAGAATCAGGGCAACGGGTTGAATTGTTCTTGCAACGTATTGAAGTGGTATGACATCTACTATTGTTTTTCTTCGACTCAGCTAATCCTTTCTACAGATCATCCATTGGGTCGCTGTAGAGATCCTCCAAGCAGAATGCGTCCAAGACCGAGTAGACGCGATCCAATTGTTCATCGATACTGCCGGAAGACTGAAGACGATCGGAGACCTTTATGGAGCATACTGCATAGTGCGAGGCCTCTCCGAGCCACCTGTCGGTGGACTGGAAGTCAGTTGGGAGGTAGGTGTCTGGGGGGGGGGGGGGGGGGGGGGGGGGGGGTGAGAATATCTGAACGAAACTGTCTCTGACGAACATTAGAGTGTCACCCCAAATCGCCTGGCCCTTCTAAAGGAACTTCGAACAGATCTCGTTCATGAGGATGGCTACAAACGCTCATACCGCCGGGCGATGGCGCCAGTCGTCCCGAGACTGGGTAAGTAAAAGAGTGGCCAGCTCATGGCGTATGCTTGGCTGATCTTCAATAGAATTCTTCCTTGATAGCATAAGGAAAATTCACCAGCAAAAAGATGATAGTTTCAAGCACAACCGCCTCAACAAAACCCACCGCGATATCCTCATGGAGTCCCTGGGCGGTGTGGACGTTTCCCACTACACGAATACCTATATTCGTCCCAGCGGACCCGCACAGCAGCCAGACAAGCTTGATGTCCTCAAGTACTACAACATGAAGAAGATAATCCATGCGTTCAGGGAGAAATCTGAAGGAAAGTACGCTCTGTCGGATTCGGTTAGACGCTATTGGCTGGTTTTCAAGATTCACGTTCCCAGCGTTCATGCCCTTAAGCTCGTACCGGCGACAATGCCGGCTACGATTGGAGGCAAAGCCTCTCGACTTTACCACTTGTGTGAGGCCGTTGAGATTCGCATGTTACAAGCCTGGATCATGGGAGAGCCACATCCGATTTACCCTGCAGGCAGCGTTAACGAAGTCACCACGGAGGAATACAGACGGCTCTTGAGGCGGAATGGGCAGAGGACTCTCCTCAACGCTACCGGCGAGGTGGGAGAGATTTAACTTCGCACATTGATGGATCTCCCGGACTGGAAAGGATTCACCTTTCAAATTCGCGCATTTGCAGCTGGTTTTTCTCTTCTCTTGTTTCTTGATTTTTCTCACTTACTGTTATCGCCAGTACTCATGATGATTGCATACTTAGGAGGATAGGAATTGGTGTTTACATTGAGGACAGGCGTTGATAGGGCTACTTGGCTGGGCAGATGATAACTTTACCGTACGATGATGATGAGGATGATGATTTGGCCTTTGGCGGCGTGTAGATTTTCTTGCGTTTCTCGTGTCTTTGTATACATGGACACCTTGTCATTTTAATGCTGAGTGGTGACGCGGACACTGCTTGGGCGTGAGACCGCTGGAGAGAATTGCGGTTGATACAAACCTACTTAGGTTATAACTAGTAGTGAGATAAATTGGCGGTTGATAAGGTGTACTTAATTGGGGGAACGGATACTGTCTGTTTTTCTGGCTTGAATTGAATCTTGCTGTTTGGCGAACTCTTTCCCCTCCAGCATTTCATCCCGTGGTTTTGGAAGTACTGGATACTTCAACAAGGGAGTAAAGCGTAGTAACAAGACACACGTGTTTGCAATGCCCTAATACGCTACTATTGTTCACCAAACGGAAAACAATGTTTTTATCCCCAGTTGGACTATATAATGCTTAGATACACTCAACTAACACATCACCACTTCCCTCATACTCGGTATTGTGAATTTGTCCCGAGTGACTGACCATGATTAAACCAACCGGCCATGATTAGATCGCACCACTGCCATCACAGATAAACGAAAGCGATACGGCTTCTAGCTTGGTCTTTGGCACTGGACATGGGTTAGCTCTTAAGATATCGAATTCGATTGAACACTATATGTGAAGCAGTCACGGGATTATCGATGTTTGAAGTGGGTTTAGAATGGTAGCTGTGGTCGGTCGGGCTTGGCGGAGGGTGCCATGTCGTGGAGACAAGACGCGCCCTTATTCGGCTCCAACTCGCGTGTTTTGCTTCGGAGTTACATACCTTGAGTTACCGCCACCAACACAGCAGGCTCCTCACGAAAACACCACACTGCTAGTCCGCCATGCCCCGCGAGATCATCACTATCCAGGCCGGCCAATGCGGTAATTCGGTTGGTTCGGCGTTTTGGCAAACACTCTGTCGGTGCCCCAGTTTAAGATGTATGGAAGAGTGTCTACTGACCAACAGAAGGCCAGGAACACGCAATCTCTCCCGACGGAAACCTCGAGGCGACAGAAGAGGGAACGGACAGGAAAGATGTGTTTTTCTACCAGTCGGACGACACACGGTACATCCCTCGTGCGATCCTTCTCGATCTCGAGCCGCGAGTGATCCAGAGCATCCAGAACGGACCGTACAAGAACATCTACAATCCCGAGAACTTTCACGTTCCCAAACACGGCAGCGGCGCGGGAAACAATTGGGCGGCGGGCTACAACATGGGCGAAGGAGTGTGCGAGGAGGTCATGGAGATGATTGAGCGAGAGGCGGACGGGAGTGATTCCCTCGAGGGGTTTATGCTTTTGCACAGTATCGCGGGTGGCACTGGGTCGGGTCTGGGGTCGTTTTTGCTCGAACGGTTGAATGATCGCTTTCCGAAGAAGCTCATACAGACATATTCCGTGTTTCCGGATACCCAGAGCGTGGGAGACGTCGTTGTCCAGCCGTATAATAGCATGTTGTCGATGAAGCGGCTGTCGCAGAATGCGGATTCAGTTGTGGTGCTGGATAACGGCGCGTTGACCAGGATCGCAGCGGATAGACTGCACATCCAAACGCCGTCGTTCGCGCAGACGAATCAATTGGTGTCAACGGTGATGTCAGCGAGCACCACTACGCTGCGATACCCTGGATATATGCATAACGATCTGGCGGGAATCATCGCGTCGTTGATTCCGACTCCGAGATGTCACTTCTTGATGACATCGTACACGCCGTTCACCGGTGACTCGGTGGAGGCTGGAAAGACCGTCCGTAAGACGACGGTTTTGGACGTTATGCGTCGGCTATTGCAGCCTAAGAATCGAATGGTCTTGACGAATACGACTAAGAACAGTTGCTACATCTCTATTTTGAACATTATCCAAGGAGAGGCAGATCCTACAGATGTGAATACCTTTCGGTTCTACGATGATTGGTTCACTGGCTAACAGGTGAAAACAGGTTCATAAATCACTTCTCAGAATTCGTGAGCGTCGTCTGGCGACTTTCATTCCATGGGGCCCTGCGAGTATACAAGTGGCCTTGACCAAGAAGTCGCCTCACATGCCGTCCAACAACCGTGTCAGTGGTCTCATGTTGGCCAACCACACAAGTATAGCTACGGTATGTCTCCTGCTCCTGCTCCTCTTCTCTCATATACTAAATATTCCCAGCTCTTCAAACGTATCATGGCACAATACGACCGTCTACGAAAGCGCAACGCCTTCTTGGAGCAATACAAGAGAGAACCAATATTTGCCAACGATCTTAGCGAGTTCGACGATACGAGACAAGAGGTTGCCGACCTGATCGCAGAGTACGAAGCAGCCGAGAGTGCGAGTTATTTGGATGGGCCTGCCGAACCTAGGGAACCCCCCAGAGGTGGTGGAGACGAATAGAACCATCGTAATGTCTTTCATGGGAACTTTCTTTCTTGTGTTGTCTTCGTTGTCGATGTTACCGGTGTTTTGATTGCTCTTCTTGATTTGTATTTGCTATTTGCGGGCTGGCGAGCATGGTGTTGTGAATTGGGCTGCTGGGTTTTGTTATACTTGGTGACGATTACTTTGGGAAGACAATGATGAACAAAGATGTGAAGTCCATCATCACTGTCAAATCCCATTCATCGTCCTTAGATGCACCTCTACTTCTTGTTCTTCATTACAGCAACACCCTGCCTGACCACTCCCGCCAGCCCACCGGTCTGCACATTTTCCCCACCGCCACTACCCACTCTCCACTCAATCTCCGCCAGCCCCTCCATCCACATAACCCTGGTCTGCGCCGGCACCTCAAGTCTACACAGCTCCTCACCCAGGGCACTCAAGATATCCGCCAATGCAAGCCCCTTCTTCGTCTTTATATCATGAATCGTTCTCAAGCTCGTCGTGATATCGCTCTCGAGGAGGGTATTAACAATCTGCCTGATATCCTCCGGATGGGGCGCCGCAATACAATCGTAGATATTGGACTCGGTGATATCTTCTCGCTCCAGCGTCGGATCCGGATGTCCCTTCTCATTTAGCGGGGTGCTGCTCGCAAAGCACGCTTGTAGCACGTTCAGCGAGCGACGCATATCGCCCCTCGACAATTTGAGCAGCGCATCGACGGCGCCGGGGGTGATCTTGACGCCCTCCTGGACGACAACATGATCGACCCTCTTCCTCAGCGCGGTGACCGGCAGCGGACTGAACCTGAACCTCGTGCACCTACTCAGCAGCGCGGCGCTGAGCTTGTGCGTGTAGTTCGCGATGATGCAGAACCGTGTGTTGGCGGTGTACTTCTCCATGATCCTGCGCAGGGCGTTCTGCGCGGCCGACGTCATCGCGTCCGCTTCGTCGAGGATGATGAGCTTGAACCCGCCGAGCCCGTCGCCCTTGCCTGCCACCCCGCCAAATATCTGCCGCGTCGAGGCGAACGTCTTAATTTGCTCGCGCACCACGTCGATGCCGCGGTCGTCGGAAGCGTTGAGCTCCAGGACTTGTTGGCGCACGTTTTTGGCGCCATAGATGTGGCGAGCTAGGGCGAGGATGGTGGAGGTCTTGCCGGTGCCTGGGGGGCCGTAGAAGAGAAGATGCGGGAGGCGGTTGGTGGCGACGAAGCGATTGATGGTTTGGAGGATGTCTTCGTGTCCTGAGACGTCCGACAGGGTGTCGGGGCGATACTTCTCGACCCTGGAAAGTAATGTCAGCTGCGAGGAGAGGAGTGGGATGAATGATGGCTGTATCTACCAGGGAAGTGTATCACCCGCGCTCACTGGAAGGTTAGCTTTGCTCATCTTCTTGCCCTTCTGATCGCTGGAAAAGGCGATCTCGCCAGGGCGAGAGTCATCGACCATGTCAACGTCCATATCTTCAATTTCTGACATTATTGCTGCGTTGTTGGCGGAATTGACGGTTGTTTGGATGGGGTGGTGATGAATGGACCGACGTGGAGGAGGTGGGACCTAGATTGAATGCTGGGAGACGCGCTGTGGCTAGCAACTTAGCGCGTCGCTATTATAACTATGACCTTGGTGTGTGGCAGTTGAAGACCGAATCACTCAGGATCACCTGTGAAAAACCCACATCTGTATTCCTAATACAAAAACACACCATATAAAACCCCAGAACCCCTCACACTACCCATAAAAATGAAGAAAAGCAATGGTACATACAGACAAAAACGAACCCTCCGAACCGCACTCTAAAAATTCACCAAAATCTCCCAAAGAAAGTTTTCAGAACACCCAGCCCACAGACCATCACGCTCTAACCTCGACCTCAACCTCCTTCTTCTCAACTTTGGGCTCCTCGATCTTGGGCTCTTCGGCTACCTTCGAAGCCTCACCCTTCTTGGGCTTGGCCTCGGCGCCCTCCTTGGCGGCCTTAACCTGCTTACCTGCCTTCTTGCCCTTCTTTTTTGCCTTCTTCTTATCATCGGCGGCGGCACCCTCCTGCTGACCACCGTACTTTGCCCTCCACTCTTCCTCTTTCTTATCGTCGATGCGGGTGAACAAGTAAGCAGCCTTTCCGATAGTGTGACCGGGCAGCAGGTCATCAGGCGCCCAGGTGTCAGGGATGGACCGGAGAGGAGCGTTAAGCTGCTGGCAGATCGAGGCAGAGACTGCAGGCATGAAAGGGTACGCAATCGCAGACAGGAGGTAGATCAAGTTCAATCCGTATCCGACGACAGCCGCCGCCTTCTCAGGGTGGTTATTGAACAGATTGTTGTCCAATTTGTTGTCTTGGAGGAAACGGTTACCCTCGCCAGAGATGAGCATGACCTTCTCGAGACCGGCACGGATGTGGACGCTCTCCATCTCCTCGTTAAAGCTGGCAAGAATAGTGTTGATAGCCTCCTGGTAAGGAGCGAATGCGGGGTCCTTCAGGCCAGTGGTGTAGTCGGGAATGACACCGGCGTACTTTGCGTTCACGAACTTGATCAAGCGGTTGACGAAGTTACCGAAGTTGGCCAAAAGCTCGGAATTGTTCTTCGTGATGAAGTCCTTCCACACGAACTGGGTGTCACCAGTCTCCGGACGAGATGACAGAAGGTAGTAACGCCAGACCTATTTTGGTGTTAGAGATTGCCCTTCTCGCTCGAGGCAGGATTATCTTACGCTTGGTGGCACCCCAGTATCCTTCGCGTTGTTTCCGAAAACACCAACGCCTCTACTCTTCGAAAACTTACCACCCTCGTACTGAAGGTACTCGGTGGTACTGAGATGATGGAGCATAGTCCAGTCTCCATCATTGGTTCCCAGCTGACTTCCGGGGAAAACGACAGTGTGGAACGGCACATTGTCCTTACCCATGAACTGGTAAAGCTTCACATCGCCTCCAGCTCTCCACCACTTCTTCCAGTCCTTTGTGTAGTTTGCCGTGATCGAGACGTATCCAATGCAAGCGTCGAACCACACGTAAAGCACCTTCTTGTCGTATCCCTCCAACGGAACAGGAGTACCCCAGCTAAGATCTCTGGTGATGCAACGCTTCCTTAGACCCTCCTTGAGCCACGACTCAGTAATGATACGGCCGTTCTTGGACCACTGACCCTCCTCCGCCGACTTCTTGCTCCACTCCTCAATCGCAGGTTGGAGTTTGTCGAGCTCCAAGAAGGTGTGCGTCGACTCCCGTAGTATAGGGGTGTGATTGTCGATCTTGCACCGAGGGTTGATCAACTCGGCGGGATCGAGGAGCTGTCCACACTTGTCGCACTGATCTCCTCTCGCATCCTCATAGGCACACTTCGGACAAGTTCCCTCGACGAAACGGTCGGCAAGGAATCCCTCGTGCTTCTCACAGTACAGCTGTTGTAAGGAATCCTCAAACAAGTAGCCCTGGTCCTTGAGCTTCAGGAAGATGTCCTGAGCGATCTCGGTCTGTTGATCGGTGGTGGTGCGACCAAAGTAGTCAAAATCGAGCTCGAACCAGTCGTAGATCTCCTTGTGAAGAGCATTGTACTTGTCACATAGCTCTCGCGGAGTGACGCCTTCCTCGAGGGCTTTAGTCTCGGTCGCTGTGCCGTACTCGTCGGTTCCGCAGATGTAGAGAGTGTTGAAGTTACGGGCCTTCGAGTATCTACCACTCAGTCAGCTTTACTGTTACGTGTGGTTAGGTGGCGTTTTTATGGTATTACCTAGCGAAGGTGTCCGCGCTGAGAACACTTCCGATGATGTTTCCGAGATGTGGTACGTTGTTCACATATGGCAATGCAGACGTAATAAGGACATTCCTCTGTCCTGGTATAGGCAGACTACAATCATACTGTTAGCTCGGCTCTTTGCGAGGTAGTAACTTCCGTGGATACGATCAGAGGGACTACTGACATATCCTGTCCCTCCTTGGGAATCTTCATAGCCACGCCATCTTTAATCTTCACCACCTTTTCGGCAGTCGGCGCTGGAGCAGCAGCTGCTTCCTCCTTCACCATTCTTCGAGCTGGCGAGAGAAAAGAGTAGAATTGGGATTTTTGGTCGATTTGAGGATTAAATTCGCTTGTTTATCGTGGCGATGCGTATTGACTCTGACTGGAGAAACGGCGATGAATGGTTGGTTTGTCTTTCTGATGACTCCCCCGCTGCAACTCTATGTGAGACTGCCCCGCTACGGCTTGGCGGATCGCCCTGCCTGCGATGAGTCTAGATTAGATTAGATTCAGGTACTCTGGATAGCGCGTTGTTTCATAATGTATCACTCGGTACTCCAGCACCCGTATTTCTAACTGTTGGTCGCAGATGTGATCACACGGCGATAGAGTAGAGTGATTGTTCCCTCTAAGCCAGTATTTGGATGTGAATAGGTTAGCAAGCATCGTTGGTTTGGAGTGTCGGTCACATCTGTCCAACAAGTGACGCGCTTCCCCCGCGTTATTCACACCTGCTAGCTAGTTCGCATTGCTTGGCACAGCAGTGTCGCGCGCCTCAGCTAACGTTAACGTCAACCTCACCGCCTTATCGTATTCTCCTTCAACACATCGACAACCCAACGACCCAACCTCCGCTTCACTAACCACTTCCCAATTTCATTTCCTCACGACCCGACGAGATATCGTAATCCATATAACTCCCGCAGAACACAATGGCGACAAAACGAAAGCTAGAGCCAACTGTCGAGGAAGAAGTGATCGTCAGTGACCAACTTCTGGGCCTGGGTGTTCTCTTCCCGCTGACCGATTGTTAGGATGAATCCGACAACCTCACTTTTCTCTGCCTCGGAGGCGGCAATGAAGTCGGACGGTCGTGTCACATCCTTCAGTATAAAGGCAAGACGGTGATGCTGGACGCCGGAGTACATCCCGCATACGACGGACTCGCTGCGCTACCCTTCTACGACGAGTTCGATCTGAGCACGGTCGATGTGCTGTTGATCAGTCATTTTCACCTAGACCATGCTTCCAGCCTGCCGTATGTCATGTCAAAGACTACGTTCAAGGGGCGCGTCTTCATGACACATCCGACGAAGGCCATTTACAAGTGGTTGATCCAGGACAGCGTTAGAGTAGGGTTAGTTGTCGTGCCCCCCGGCCAATGCCTGTTATGCGCGCACTAACAGCTCTCCAAAGGAATGTCCACAATACCGCAGACAGCCTATACACCGAAGCAGATCATCTGGCTTCATACAGTCGGATAGAGGCGATAGACTACCACACGACACTGACGCATTCCGGAATTTCGATAACACCCTATCATGCTGGACATGTTCTCGGTGGTGCTATGTTCATGGTTGAGATCGCAGGCTTGAAAATCCTCTTCACCGGAGACTATTCCCGTGAAGACGATCGGCATTTGGTGTCCGCCGAGGTGCCACCTGTCAAGCCGGATATTCTCATCTGCGAGTCCACTTATGGAACCGCTTCGCACATGCCACGACTGGAGAAGGAAGCACGGCTAATGAAATTAACGACAGAGATCCTGGGCCGTGGAGGCCGGGTATTGATGCCAGTGTTTGCACTGGGCCGAGCACAGGAGCTTCTATTGATCCTCGACGAATACTGGGAAAAGCATCCCAAGTTCCAGCAATACCCGATCTACTACGCAAGTAATCTTGCCAGGAAATGTATGGATGTATACCGGACGTATATCAACACCATGAATGATAAGATAAAGAGAGTCATGTTCGAGGGGGAGGGCAGGAATCCATGGGATTTCCGATGGGTCAGAAGCTTGAAGAATATTGAGCGATTTGACGACGTAGGAGGATGCGTCATGTTAGCCAGCCCTGGTATGCTCCAAGTAGGTTCCCGAGTCTCCCCAAATCATCTTGCCCCACCTCATTTCCCCCCATCTCTGCTTTTTAGCCCCACAATATATAGAGGAATGGTTGGCGGTGGGAATGCGCACACCATGTTCGGTGTCTATTATCGTATTGTGCTTCCTATTACAGTCGTATCATGTCCAAAGCACAACAGCCATGTTTGCATAAATGAAATATACTTCCGTCACTCACATATGCCTCGCTTGTTTGCCGTAATGCCTGGAAGCCAATACTAATAACTGTTACCAGAACGGTGTATCTCGCGAACTCCTTGAACGATGGGCGCCAGACCCACGCAATGGCCTTATCATCACTGGTTACTCGGTCGAAGGCACAATGGCGAAGCAGATCGTCACTGAACCGCACGAGATTGCGGCCGTCATGACGTCTAACCGCTTCGGCGGCCGTCGCAATGATCCAGATTCACAGATCATGGTGCCGAGACGCATGAGCGTGGAAGAGCTGTCATTCGCTGCTCACGTCGACTACATCCAGAACTCTGGGTTCATCGAAGAGGTCGGGGCCAAGGTGGTGATCTTGGTGCACGGTGAAAAGAACAACATGGGACGGTTAAAGAGCGCCTTGTTGAGTAAGAACCACGAAAAGAAGGAAGCAGACAGGATCAAGATCTACAATCCGAAAAATTGCGAGGAGCTCAGAATTCCATTTAGAGGAGAGAAGTTCGCAAAGGTATGTAACAGCCGCAAAAAACTCCAAGAGCTCTAGTTTGAGGATACCCCGTGTCTTTCCAATCGCAAGCGCCCTTTTTTATTATTAGACAAATCAGCCCTCAATCACAACTACGCACGAACACACACTAACGATCTCCTTTTAGGTTGTCGGCAAGCTCGCTCAGAAGCCTCCATCGATGAACCCAGCGGCCCTAAAAGCGAAGGACCAAATCATCTCCGGCGTGCTGGTACAGAGTGACTTCAAGTACTCTCTCATGGCGCCCGACGACCTCCGTGAGTACGCAGGTCTGACTACCACGGTTGTGACCTGCAAGCAGCGCATTCCCATGCACGCTGCTGGACTGGCCTTGATACGCTGGAGTTTGGAAGGCATGTTCGGTGCTGTCGTTAACCTGGAGGACGATTTTGTCGACGACGAGGAGCCTGAGGCGAAGGTGGAGGAAGAAGACGATGACGAATACGACCCCGAGAAGGACCTAGCGAATGACAGCGACGGCAACAATTCGGATGAGGAGATTTACGGCGACAAGGGAAAGTTCACAGGCAGGACATTCAGGATCATGGACTGCATCGTCGTTCGTTGCCACAAAGGGTACGTCGAGATGGAATGGGAGGGCAATGTTCTCAATGATGGAATTGCGGATGCTGTCATGGCCATCTTGCTGAACTTGGAGAGCTCTCCGGCTGCCGTGAAATGTGAGTACTTCCACATGCTTATAGGACCATCCGAATGAATTCTAATCCTGTATAGACTCCGCGTCGAAGGCCCCTCCTCACAATCACCACGGCGGTAGCAGAGACCTTTCCAGCATCAAGAATGCCTCACCCCACGCCCATATCACCGCCGATCAACGTCTACAGCGCCTGTTGATGTTCCTGGAAGCGCAGTTTGGCGATTGTGTTGAGCCTCTCGAGCCACCCAAGCTCGACACCGAGATGGAGAATGGCGGCGAAGAGTCCCTTGCTCTCTCCCTCGCATCTGACATAAAGTTTTCCCCCGGCGTCAAGGTCACCATCGACACATTAGTCGCCAAGGTCTACTTCGAGACGCTGGAGGTCGAGTGCAGGAATGAGAGCTTAAGGATGAGGGTTAAAGCTGTCGTCGAGAGGGCGGTGGAGACGATTGCACCTTTTGTCGACCTGGTCGGTGTGTACTAGTACTACAAGTATAATGACCAGGGTGACGAGGTTAAGGAAGGGATATGAATCGTACTTCACATGATGTTGTTTTTTGCCCTGTTTGTTTGGGTCCGGCTGTATCTAACTTTGTTTTGTTGTGGGGTTCTGCATCTGTTTTTACCACCTGCTACTATTCTGCCAGTAATTATATCTGGGTGCCCTAGCTTTACATGATTCCGACTATCTGCTCCTCGTGCATGGAGAATCCATCTCGAATCCGTGATGTTCCAGTAGTGTTATATAGACCCTGCCAAGGCTATTATCATGTCTTCACTATTAGGACCTAGCTCATGCATAATCTCGGAAACAGCCGAAACGACACGGTGGAGCTTGTCTCTGCAACGCGTCATCCCGAGGGGAGCTTAAACATGCATCAGGCCCGCCAGACCACTGATCCACAACTCCCCCACCACATTTTTCTCGCGATGGCCGGCAGCAACACCCCAATAACGGCCGGATGGTTTTTCTTCCTATTCACACTTGTCGGGGCGTGCTGCGGACTGCTGTACACGGTTTTCCAAGGGGACGGAGAGCCGCTCGTCGCGTCCCTCGCATTCAGTGGGATTGCGTTCGCGGCTTCGTATTGTCTTATCTGTTGGTTGGGTGACGAGTTCAAGAGGGTGGGCTTCAAGGGGAGGGATCGCAGTAAATTAGATAGAAAGGAGATGTGAGTTCTTCATGTGTGGGTCTGGGGAGGGTGTTTGGGTGCTAATGGTGTGCGCAGCCCGGAGACAATGGGTGCCGTGTGTGCAGTTGTCTACTTGATGGTGATGATTGTGTTCATACCGTTTCCGTTCTATGAGTACTTCTATGTCCAGACGAGTGGCGGTGGGAATAGGGACATGACCGTTGAGATGGTGGAAACGGGACGGAAACTGCATCGTTTCCCGCATAATAAGGTGCGCCTCGTGGTGTGGATATGGGCGGAAAGCATCATGGCTGACTGAAATAGCTGGGCGAATACCTTTCCGCGCTGCTCTCCCTCCAGAGCATGGCCATCCTCGGCATCGCTGACGACCTCTTCGATATCCGGTGGCGGCACAAGCTCTTCCTGCCCGCGATAGCGGCAATCCCGATGCTCATAATGTACTACATTGACTTCGGCGTTACGAACATCGTGGTCCCGTTGCCACTACAGGCCTACCTCGGAGAAATGGTGAACCTCTCCTGGGGTTACTACGCATACATGGCCGCAATCGCCATCTTCTGTCCAAACAGCATCAACATCCTGGCCGGCGTCAACGGTCTCGAAGTCAGTCAGTCCATTGTGATCGCCGCCTTCATCGCCATAAACGACCTCCTCTACATCTCCGTCAAAGGCCATCCAGCCACCGATTCACACCTATTCTCACTCTATTTCCTCCTGCCATTCTTGGGAGTATCACTAGCCCTCTGGTGCCACAATAAATACCCCTCCAAAGTCTTCGTCGGCGATACCTACTGTTACTTCGCGGGCATGACCTTCGCCGTCGTCGGCATCCTGGGCCACTTTTCAAAGACCCTGCTCCTCCTCTTCATCCCGCAGATCTTCAACTTCCTCTACTCCTCGCCACAACTTTTCGGTCTCGTTCCGTGTCCTCGTCACCGCCTGCCACACTTCAACGCACGCACAGGCCTGATGGAGCCCTCGCGCGGTCAATTCATCCACCCACCGCGCTGGCCCATCTCCGTCGCCCTCAAAACTCTCGCGAAGTTGGGGCTCGTTCAGATTTGGACAGATGACAACGGCGTGGTGTTGGAGTACTCGAACCTGACGCTGATAAACCTGTGGATTGTAAGGTTCGGTCCCATGCGAGAGGATAAGGTCACTCTGGGGCTGGTGGGATTGCAGGTGGTTTGTGGTGTGCTGGGACTGTTTATCAGACATAAGGCCGCGCTGCTCCTGTTTCCGTATGATAATTTGAAACTGCAGGATTTTGAGGGGTTGGGGTTGCCGGTGGTTTAGAGGGAGGCGTTGTTTTTGGGGCGTTTGAAGCCGGGGGATTGTATTAGTAGGTATATCTGTTTGTTGAGAGTATACAGTATTGATTAGAAGGAAAAAACAGAAGTGCTTTCAGCTTCAGACATCTCCTGTTGGAGCTAGTGAGCCAAGGGGCAGTCATAGCTTCTGATTTGTATGTGCGAATCACCAGCAGGAGCGCATCCTGCGGCATTGCGTACCTAGTGCGTCCGAGGAGTTACCTAACCTAGCAACACCAGACTGTGAAGCAACCTCATCTGCATCATTCCCTGTTCAATCCACACAACCACACAGCCACAAAATAATCTCGAAATTAATATCAACAATGGCGGGATCCGCGAAATTCAGCGCTGCGATTGCTCGAGCTACCCGCAATTCCGCCTCCTCCGGCGCTGTGACAACAGCTATTAAACGCGAACACTCCAGCTCCCCCGTGTTTAAACGCGAGTCGCAATCCCCCGGCATCAAGCGAGAGGGCTCGTCGGAGCTGTCCTCGCCACCCCTCTCCTCCGAGCTGTCGTCGCCGCCCGCCTCCTCCGAAGATGAAGGCGAAGCATCACCCTACTTCGCGCCCAAGGCGTCGTCCTCCAAGCGACAGCGCATAAAAAAGGAGCCTCCAAAATCCATGGGCGACGTCCCCTCCATCCTCCCTCTGGCCAAGCGCAAGGGCAACCAGAAACCCGCACCGTCATCCACGCCTCCCCCCAACTGGGAAGATATGTACTCCCTGACCAAGACCATGCGTCTCTCGCGGCCCGCACCAGTAGACACGATGGGCTGCGAGCGGACGGCGGACGCGGCCGAGTCACCGCTCGTAAAGCGGTTCCAGACACTCATCTCGCTCATGCTCTCGTCGCAGACGAAGGACACGGTGAACGCGGCGACGATGGACAAGCTGCGGGCGGAGCTGCCGGGCGGGCTGAACCTAGCGTCTGTATTGACCGTCGAGCCCGCAGAACTGAACCGGCTGATTGCCTCGGTCGGGTTCCACCGAAGGAAAACGGAATATATCAAGCGCACCGCAGTCGTGCTGCGCGACGAGTGGCGCGGCGACATTCCTGACAGCATCGAGGGCCTCGTCGCGCTGCCAGGCGTCGGCCCGAAGATGGCACATTTGTGTATGAGTCACGCGTGGGATAAGGACATGGGCATCGGTGTCGATGTGCATGTCCACCGCATTGCAAATCTCTGGGGCTGGGTGGAGAGCACCACCCCCGAGGGCACGAGGGAGCAGCTGGAGGCATGGCTGCCAAAAGATAAATGGCGGGAGATCAATTGGCTCCTTGTAGGGTTTGGACAGACGACGTGTTTGCCTAGGGGAAGGAAGTGTGGGGATTGTCTGCTGTCGAAAGGGTTGTGTAAAGCTGCATTTATGGGGAATTCGGCGCCGAAAAGGAGGAAAGGAGGAAAGGTTAAAATGGAGGAAGCGGAGGATGAGGATGAGGATGAGGATGTGAAGGTGGAAGTGAAAGGGGAGTCGGATGCTGAGTACAAGTTGGAAGGAGGCAGTACTAAGGGTTTAGAGGCTACACCGCGGAGGAGACCTCTCAGGAGAGGAGTGGCCAAGGTAGAGGTGAAGACGGAGGATGGGTGGGAGGGCATGCCGGACATCGAGGATGCCGTCGGGTTGTAGTACTTGTGCATGTAATCTTAGTGCGGCGTTCAGGAGTTTAATAGTTGAAGACTGCCTTTCACTTTCATTCGATCGGTATCCCAATTGTTTTACTTCAAACTTGCCTTCTTACACCAAAAAGCTCCCCAAAACAGCAGGTATTCATACGATGGTCCCAATTCTTCCTTCACCGCGGCACACAGCATAGTACAGACAGAATAAAACTAGGAACCAGACAACGCAACACTCCACCAAAATGCCAGCCAAACAGAAAAAACGCCTCAAACCACAGAGCTACAACAGTACAAAAATCGAACCAAAACTCGAGTAAACCAACATTGGGCAAGGAATACAATGAACAAATTCATACAAAGTCGAACCATAGATGTATCTATTGCTTCCCAAATAGCTTCATCCCCGTCGGTCGCCTCTTAGGTGGCGAAATCTCCTTATTGAAAGCGCCAACTTTCGGCACCAAGCTAGGCACCTTATTCGGCTGCGAAGCATCGTCGAAGTTGAGCTGTATCCTACCCGTGCCGTCATCGTCGAAGCTAGCCGGTTTGATGCCACGCAGCGAAGTTTCGGCTGCTGCCTTCTTTCGTGGCTTCGGTGCAGCCTTCTTGGCCACGGGCTTTTCCGGCGGTGGAGCTACTGGCGATGAGTCGAGAAGGGCATTTCTTGGTTTCGCGGGCTTTGCTTTGGCGGCAGCTGCGGGCTTGGCGGCGGCCTTTCCGCGTGGCTTCGCTGGTGCTTTGCCTTTGGCTTTGGCTTTGGCGATGATTGGTGCCGAAACCATGAGCATTGAGTCTTCCTCTTCGTAATTGTCTTCTTCCTGAAGCTGCGCAAGCATAGGCAACAATGCTGCCTCGGGCTCCGGCTCTGGCACAGGGGCTTCTTCCATCTCTTCAAGGATAGCAGTAGATGCTTTGGTTGGCTTCTTTTTCCGGCCGGCACCAGCGAAGAGGAGACGCGCAGGTTGCTTGCTGTCGATGACGGACGGGATCATTATAGATTTCTCGCCAGCTCCTCCCATGCTCGACTCGTCGGGCGCTGCAGTGGCATCTCCGGCAGTAGTCGAATCGCCTTCGACTACCAAGGCTTGTCGCTTGAGGAAGGGGGTTATGGAGAATTCGGATTCTTTAGTGGCCTGCTTGTTGCGGGGCCTCTTGACAGAGTTCTCGAGATCGTCCATCGTTAGAGGATTGGCGGCAGGACGTTTCCGAGGATTATCGATAGGAACCTTCGTAGTCGTTGACTTGGACACAGCTGGTTTAGAGGCGGCTTCCTCGATCTTTTTCGCCTTTACTCGTGAAGCTTCGAGCTGCTTTTCCAGGATTTCGAGTTTCGCTTCGTGGTCCTCCTTCAAGCGGGCATATTCGCGCTCAATCTTCTCGCGAAATTTGGCCTCCTTTTCAAGAGAAGCTCTTAGCTCGGCGAGTTCCTTCTTGGTGACTTTTGCTGCAGGTTCTTTCGCCGGTTTTACCGCCTGCAAAAGCCCGAGATCTTTCTCAGCCTTTTCCCGAATCTTCACCTCTTCTTCCCGCTCTTTCTCAGCCTGTTCGCGAGCTTTGGTTTCCTTTTCTAAGGCCGCCTTCAAATCTGAGAGCTCCTTCTTGCTGGCTTTCGACGGGGCCTTCTCTTTTGCTGCTTGCAGGCGCTCAAGGTCTTTCTCAACCTTTTCGCGAATTTTTTGCTCCTCCTCCTGCGCTTGCTGGGCCTGTTCGCGGGTTTCTTGTTCTGCATCCCGCTCCTCCTCCGCTTTCTGTCGAGCTTGGATTTCCTTTTCCAAGACTGCCTTTAGCTCCGCAATTTCCTTCTTGGTGCTTGCTGCAGTCTCTTTCGCCGATGCCTTCTCTTTAGCTGCTTGCAGGCGCTCAAGATCTTTCGCGGTCTTATCGCGAGCTTTTCGCTCCCCATCACGCTCTTTCTCGGCCTGAATTCGAGCTTCAATCTCGTTGTCAAGGTTTGTCCGTAGCTGAGACAGCTCCTTCTGCACCTTCTCAAGAGCTGCTGCGGCATCCTTCTGCACCTTCTCAAAAGCTGCTGCAGCATCCTTCTCAGCTTTCTCCGCAACGTTCTTATCCTTTGTGATTGTTGCTTTCAGTTCGAAGATCTCCTTCTTGACAACCTTGGCCGATTCCTGCCTCTCTGTGGCTGCCTCGATCTTTTCTTCGGCGGCAGCCTTTTCGGCTTCCAGTTGGCGGGTTTGAGATTCCAGTTCCTCACGCTCAGACGCAGCCTGCTTAAGTGCCTTGTCGTGCGTATGCTGCAGGGCTTTAGCTTGCTTCTTGTAGTCCGCAATCTCGGCTTTCAGCATTTTCTCGCTGGCGCCAAAATACTCCTTAAGTTCTGCTACCTGCGCTTCCAAAGCCGCCGACTTGTCCTTGATCAACTGGTACTCCAACTGCGCATCCGCGAGTTTTGCGACAGCGGTGTTCTTTTCCTCGACCAAGCTCGCCGCCGAATAATTCGTCGTGGACTTGATCTCGAGCAGTTCCATTTCCACAGCACGCAGCTTCCCCTGCAAAGTGACGCCCTCCGTCTGCGATACTTTTAACTGCATCTCACTCTCCTTCCGCAACCGCGCCAGCTCCGCTTCCTTCTCCTGGATAGTCTTCTCCAGCTCCTCGACGTGCTCTAGTGTCTTGGAGTACTCCTCGTAAAGTTCCCTGTGCAGCGGCTCGATATGTACCAGTCTATTCCGGAGAGGACGCGCAGAGTCGGCGGCTTCGAGACGTTTCCGCTCCGCTACGCTACTGCGGTAGGATATCATTGCCTCGGATATGGCGAGTTTGCGACGGAGCTGCCTTGAGTATTAGAATGCAATTCGTTTGTGGGAGGTGAAATATGAAAGGGGATCCACTTACCTCGGCGTTGATTGACTGTAGAGTCTCGGGTGTGTCTGGGAGGACGCCATCGTGTGTTGTTTCTCCTTGGGCCTCCATGGGAAACGCGTCGGACGGGGGTGGTGGGCAGTCAGGTTCTCTGCGAAGAGAAGGCTTTCGAGGCTCGGTGGTAGCGAATAGTGTTCCAAAAAGCTATCGAATATTACGAGAGGAGGGGTGGACAGGCGGGGTGAATAGGAAGAACGTAGGTTTGGGGCGACGCGATGAGATGGTCAGCTTGTTGTTTTGAGCATCAAAACAAAAGATACTAGGTGCGCGCATTAGTCCGATGATCGCGATTAGATAACACTAACGCCGGGATGCGGGAGTTGACACCTCTCCTGAACTGGCGTCAACCAACAGGGCTGCCTGTTACGTTGCGCGGCCCGGAAGTGAACGTCGAGCGAGCGAGAGGGAGACAATTATTACACCTCCAAACAAAACTCCCCACCCACCAACTACAAGAACTGAACACCAACCGATTGACCACCACCGATGCGTCTACTCGCCCCACTCCTCTCGCTGTTGGCGATATCCTCAATCGCGGCGGTCTCAGCTGTTGCTGCCAACGCCGGGAATGATATGCTCGCGAAGTTCTCGGCCCTCACCTCCACGAAGGCAAAGTCAGGCGTGTTGCACCTTACGGATGAGCTGTACGCGGACCTCGTCGGTGCGCCGAGAAACTACACGGCAGTGGTGCTGTTGACGGCGCTGGACCCCAAGTTTGGCTGCCATCTGTGCAGGGAATTCCAGCCCGAGTACGAATTGCTCGCTACCAGCTGGCAGCGCAGTCATAAGAACGGGGATGGGTTGTTCTTTACGTCCCTGGACTTTTCCAATGGCCGCGATACTTTCGTGAAGGTGTGTGGAACCTCTAGTGTAGGTTTCAAGAGGATGGAATGTGATTGACAGCTGGTGATAGCTTAAACTGAATACCGCTCCCATCATGTTCCTGTTCCCTCCCACCGTTGGGCCGAATGCGAACCTCCAGCACATAGTTGAGCCCATGAAGTTCGACTTCACGCAGAAGTACGGGCCTCCCCTTTCTCCGCACCGGTACTCGACTGACATCTCCCAGCGCCATCCCCGCCGAACGTGTCGCCCAGTGGATCTCGCTGAACACCCACATGGATCCAAAAGTGGTGCGGCCATTCGACTACACCAACCTCGTCCTCGGTGGCGGCGCGGCAATCGTCGGCCTTGCTATTCTGAAGCTCTCTTTCAACACCCTGAAACCAGCACTCTATTCACGCACGCTGTGGGCTACCATCTCACTCGTCCTCATATTGCTCTTCACCAGTGGCCACATGTTTAACCACATAAGACGGGTTCCTTACATCGCCAACAACGGAAAGGGCGGCATTTCTTACATCGCTGGAGGATTTAGCAACCAGTTTGGGTTGGAGACGCAGATTGTCGCTGGCGTTTGTAAGCTCTGCCCTGGTACGGTGTGATTATGTCTACAGTGGCTAATTGAGTGCTACAGATTCCGTGCTCGCCTTCTGCGCCATCGCTCTGGCGCTCAAGATGCCCCGTGTGACTGATCCGACCAAGCAGAAGATCGGCATTCTTGTCTGGAACGCTGTGTTGCTGTGCGCATTCAGCTTCCTACTGGGACTCTTCAGGCAGAAGAACGGTGGCTACCCGTTTTACCTCCCTCCGGTGATATAAATTGGGCAGGGCAAGAGTGAGAGACAGAGTGGTTTGGCGTGCGAGGCGATGGGGTGTGGAAAGAGTATGCTTTGCTGTGCTGAGCAATACGTCAAAATGCGATGGAAGAGAGAAGGACGGACGAAAGAGGACGATGTTACCAAGTAAAGCAATAACTTTATAGACTCACGATAGTCTACAATGCAAACTGGAGCGCTTGGCCTAGAATATTACTCAAAGTAATGGAGTCTTATGGCAAGACCACATAAGTGCAGTGATAGCTAGTGCATGCCGTCGATCTGATGGCGTTCTGAATCACGCTCGGTCACTCGTTTTTATTACCAAAGAAGGATGGCCAAAAGGCTCTCAAGAAACGGAACATCGGATCATCAGTGTACCCAGTTACATCTTGCCCAGTTGCGTGTATCATTGCAGCAATTGAGTCTCTTATATAATACGTAAATAATGTCACGTCATGTCACACATGTCTCCAGATACATAAAAACCTAAACCCCTGGCCCACCACCGCACCCGCACTCTACCTGCTTCAGCGAGACGCGTCCTCCACCAGCATTAACAATGGCCCTCCTCTCACGCCCCCGCAGTAACATCTTGCGTCTAGCCCTGCTCTGCGCGGCCTTCTTCGCGGCCATCGCAATTGCCAGCGCCACAGAAAAGACGCCTGCAAGCCCTCCCTTGAGCTCACTGCTGGACCTCTCCATCCCCGACCTCGACCACAAGCTGCAAGAATGCCCCTTCGTCCAGGACCTCAATGCGGCGCGTCACACCGCCGAGCTCGAAACCTCGTCGCTCATGAAGCGCGTCTTCGCCGTCCTCTTCCCCGCGGGCCCAGCCGTGAACTCGCTTCTGGCCACCGCCTACATCTCGGGGCCACCCAGTGCGTTCCCCCCTCCTATCCCCCGCTCCCCTCCCCGCCACCACTAACACACCCGCACAGACTTCCTCCTCGCCCTCTGCCCCGCCGACATCGACCCATCGTCGCTCTCCGTGATGGTCGCGTTCGCGGTGGGTGGGCTGCTGGGGGACACGCTGCTGCACCTGGTGCCACAGACGTTTATGGGCGAGCCGCATGACGGCGCCGCACACTTTGTGCTCAACGATCCGAACAGGAATGCCGTTCTGGGGCTGTTCATATTCATCGGGTTTGCTACGTTCGTAGCCATGGATAAGACGCTCAGGATCATCACTGCCGGGAGCGGGGAGGGGGGGAGTGCAAGTGGGCATGCGCATAGTCACTCGCATGGACAACAGGGAAAGGGAAAGGGAAAAGCGACGGGCGCGGAGAAGGCGGATGCTGCGGCTGGGCTGGTGCAGCGGAAGAAGGGCGGGGTTACGCCGACTACTTCTGACGAGGAGGAGGAATACGAGGAGGAAGACAGCAAAAAGGCCATCTCGCCCTCCCTCAAAGTCTCGTCGCTCCTCAACCTGGTCTCGGACTTCACGCACAACATAACGGACGGGCTCGCGATGTCAGGCGCATTCTACGCGGGGCCGCTGGTGGGCGCGACTACGTGCATGGCCGTGATGCTGCACGAGATCCCGCACGAGGTCGGCGACTTTGCGCTGCTGATCCAGGGCGGCTTCACCAAGTGGCAGGCGATGATGGCGCAGTTCGTTACTGCGCTCGGCGCCTTCACCGGCACGCTGATCGGCATTGCTATCCAGGAGTATAGCAAGAGTGGCGACGCTGAGAAGATGGGCGTCAAGATGGGCGAGGGTGTGTTGGGCACGGATCTGCGCGCGGGTGATCTGGTCCTCCCGTTCACCGCGGGCACGTTCCTTTATGTCGGATTCAGTGTCATTCCGGAATTGCTCGAGACCGGGAGCAATAAGAGGGAGGAGGTTATCAAGACTTTGAAGCAGGGGTGAGTCTTTCTTCCGCCGTGTGGAGCTAGCTGGTGACATGCTAACTGGAGTACAGAGCGGCGATGGCTACTGGGTTTGCTTTGATGTTCTTTATCTCGGATTAAGGTAATGGACGGGACACCTAAATGAGACATAGATGTAGATGGACACATAATGTTTGGTTGGAAGTTGGTAACTGTAGATGAATAAAGGCAATAAAAGCAGAACGCAAAACTCCAATAGATATCGAAAGCAGACCAATAAAGCAACGTGACATCTTGCGAACCAGGGCAAAACAGAAACGCAACCCTTCCGTACACACCTCGCATATGCTACATGGTATCTCCTCCTCCTCCTCCCCCTCCTCCTCCTCCTGCCATCACCTCCCCTCAATCCTTATGCGATCCCCCCAGCCTGCCATTGATCATCCCATCCATACTCCTCTTCTTCTTCCTAAAGTACTCGGCAAACAGATCCACCAGCTTGTAGACCCAATTACCACTGACGAGGACACCGCCAATGATATTGATGATCCTGATCAGGAACCTCAGGAACGGCGTGCGATGCTCAGTGACCACGAGACTCAGCGGCTCGATATCGTACTTGAAGAAGATGCCTGGGACACGGTAGTGGGAGACGGGCCTGCTCATCTCGGTGACAGCATACTGATTCGTCAGGAGGCTCCTTCCGTTTGTCTCGGAGTAATACTCGGTGGGGACGATCGTGAGGAAGTACTGAAACTTGAAGAAGCGCTCATCCGTCGTCGCCGTGACATCGTCGAGCGGATTGATCAGCTTCGGATACAGCTCGCCGAAGCTGAGCTCATTGACCACGTGCGAGAAGTTGAACGTGTTGTGGTCGATATGCCCACCCGCCGTCTCGTACCCGTGGCCCTTCGCCGTGATATGGAAGTCGCCGCGCACACGGTTGACATCCATGCTGCCGTAAATCCTGCAGCTGCTGCGGTCCTCCCTCGACAGCCAAGCGGCGGGGCGGCGCCTGCTCTTCCCAAACTTCGACTTCTTCGCTCTCGCCATCACGTCGTATACATGATCCGGGCGGTCGCCAATAGCGACGAGGCGGTGAGCGCTGGTGTCGTCAAACGACGTGCTCTCCTTCTTAAGGATCTCCCCGGCGAGGACACGGTCGAGCGCGGCGTCCTGCACGTTAATGTGCAGCGCGTCGCACGCCATTGCCACCGTGATGTCGAGGTTGATCTGCATGCTGTGGCCGATCGTGTGCTCGACGCCGAACGACTGCGTCTCGGTCCCGTCCAGGTGCTGCAAAAGCTCGTGCCATGTCAGGTAGATGCACAGCAGCGAGAGCACCACCGTCAGTGCCCCGCCGCGCGAGGAGGGGACGCGGTAGGTTTGGCGGGTTTTGGCTGGGGAGGGGCGGGTTAGCGACGCGTTCACATACACCAACAACTAACAACTATCCCGCTACGGGGAACGTACGGAATGCATCGAACGTCTGCAGGCCGCTGGCCTTCTCGCCGCCGAAGAATTCGTCGTTGAGGGTATTACTGCTCATCGCTGCTTCTGCTGGAGGAGCGTATGGTGCATTGGTTGTGGTTGTGGTTGTGGTTGTGGTTGTGGTTGTTGCTGGGGGCGGCCGCGCGGGTGAGTGAGCGTCAGCCTCGAAGGCTTAAGGACAGGTTGCGACGTTTCACACCCCGGTGCTGGTACCGGCGCCGGCGCCGGCGGCTCGGGGGTGTATCACGAAGTGTCACTCCGGTCCTATATGGATAAATGCAGGCGAATCGTGCTGCGGGTGAATCGTGCTGCGTGCGCACTCGGGCTCGGGGTAGTTACTTTAGAGTGCATAGGTCGCATGCAAACAAAAGAAAAAAAGCGCGCACTCAGCCTGGCGATACCAGGCTGAATGGAAACACCAGCCTGAAACCGAAAGAGATCACAGTCGCTCACCCGCCCACACAACCTCGCACCCGTGATCCCCCATTGAAGCTTAAAATTACACGCCAAAGTACGGTACTTGGTACATAGAGTACCAAACAAGTATCCGCACCTGCACCGCCACTGTCGTATCAGAATCACACAAGCAGGTGGTCACAATCGACCGGCATGCGGATCGCTCCTGCACGATCACGATCACGATGCTGATCCGATATTGTTCATGGGAAGCTGCTGGAAGTATAGTAATATATCGGTCCCCCCGGTAAAGTATATGTAGTATGTAGGATTGACGTCTAATATCGTCTCGTCATATCCCTTTGGTGCCCGTTGTCTTCAAATTCGCGTTCAATCACGAGAACACGAGAACACGTCCGATTCAATGTAACGCTTTTTCATTCAGTGTGACATATTGTCTCCATCGTTTCCCCCCCCCCTGACTCCTCCTCATATGCTAATGAACGTCGTGAATGCCACCTCCCATCCCTTCATGCAAAAAATAAACAAAGCTCCGAAAATATGCAAATGAATGAAGCAACTCCGGAAAATACCCCTCCACTATGCGTGAAGAAAAGAAAAGGAAACAGAAAAACAAAACCGGGAGCAAAAAGAATCCCGAGGAAAAATAAAAACTAAACTAACCGACTAAAACAAACACCCAGCGACTATATAACGTGGGTATTGCATTCTATGGGACGCCGAAAATTCGAATATTCCAAAACGCAAATTGATACCTCGAGAAAAACAAACCGTTGCACTACTCCTCTATAGGAAGAAAGCACCAGCGATCAGAGCTCCGATTCCGTATACAGCATTGGTAAGGACCGAGTGACGGTCCGCGGCGCCGCCGGTCTGCAGTCCGGCAGTCGCGGTGGGAGCGGCAGTTGTAGTCCCGGAGGTCGGCGAACGGGTCGGCGTAACGACAACAACGGTGACCAAGGTCTGCGCCTTTCCGTCAATAGTGGTCGTTCTCGTGGAGGTCGAAGAGCTAGTGCTGTCGACAGCCCTGGTCGTGGTGATTGTGCGCGAAGATTCAACCAATACTTCGGTCGTGCTCGACGGAGGGGCGGGCTCCTCAGTGGTGGATGTGGTGGACGTGGTGTCAGGCTCAGCAGTGGTCGAAGTATCAGTGGTTGTCTCGGTGGTGATGGTAGGTGACTCGGAAGTGGTCTCGGTGGTTACCGTAGGTGCATCTGTAGTAGTAGCGGTCTCAGCAATTGTACTCGTGGAGCCCGTCTCAACATTGGCAGCGGTAGTAATAATGGTAGTAGGGCCGAGTGTAGAGCTCGAGGTGGTAGGATCAGGGGTAGGTTCCACGCTCGTCGAGGCAGAAGCAGTAGGCCCCGCCTCCTGGCTCGTTGGGGTAGGTGTAGGTTGGGGTGCGGGAGTGCTCGGGGTAGAGCTTGGCTCACCGCTCGATGAAGGGCTTGGTTCATCACTAGGGGTAGTAGTGCTCGGCTCGTCACTCGAAGAGCTGGACTGCTCATTCGAGGTAGGGCTCGGCACTACATTTGGAGTGGTGGTGGTGGTTGGAGTTACGGGCGCAGCGGAACTTGGGGTAGAGCTTGGCTCACCACTCGTAGTAGGGGGCTGCTCGGTCGTCGATGTAGTTGTGGGTGTAGAAGATGTTGTGGGTGTGGAAGATGTTGTGGTGGTAGAAGTTTCTGTGGGGGTAGTTTCAGATGTAGGCTCACCAGATGTGGACGAAGTAGACGTGGTGGACGTGGTGGACGTAGTCGACGTAGTCGACGTCGTTGGAGGGTCCGCAATGGGAGTAGTGGACGGAGTAACACTAACGGTAGGCGTGTCCGTTGAACTGCTGTTGTCCTGACGCTTCACCAATCCGACTAACCGGGGGGCATCAGCGGCGTGTTTGTGGTAGATGTCCGCAGGAAACACACCCTCATAGTCACGGAAGCCGCGGATGACGTTGCGAAGCGTATCCAAGCCGCGCGCGACTTCGTTGCCACTTCTGTCGGCGTCGGCGAGGACGGCCGGCGAGAGAAGCAGCAGGACGCATGCGAAAAGCGACGATGTACGAACCATGGTGTCGAGTATGGGATTCGTAGGGTATGGGTGGTATGGGTGTATGGGTGGTGTAGGTGGTGCAGGTGGAGGAAGAAAGGTTGCGAGTTCGATGGGGATACAGAAGATGGGAGGCAGGGAGTCTTTATGCGACACAGACGCGCCCGGGAGCAGCTATTGGGGCTGGTGAATGCGAGTCCGGTTCGACGGCCGAGCTGAAGCAGCCAAGAAGCGGCTGGGGGAGGGAGGCTGTTCGTTGGGTTCGACTTGCGTGGCTCGCAAAAGGGCTTAGCGAGAAGAGGATGACCCGGGAGCCAGGCCCACACGTCCAATCGTGGGCAGGATTCAAAGACGATGGCAAATCTAGAACCGCCGTATCGTTGTTTAGGCTTGGTCGCTTTCCGTTGTTCCTGATTCCTTCTTCTTCTGTCTCTTCTTCTTCTTCTTCGTCCTCGTTTCTCGCTGTGTATCTTCAAACTTCTTGTTTCCTCCGACACGATCTCGTGTGACGCTGCAAGGAAGACTCTAGTGCTGGTTCTTCCGGGGCGGCGGCGGAGTGTCTAATTCGAGCGTTGGACTTGGATGGCCCGGATGCTGCGCGGATGTTGGACGGAAGCTGGACGGAAGGCCGCGAGTTCGATGCTGGCTGGCGTGCTGGATGGCTGGTCGGATTGACTGATACCACAACGGCCGCCTCGATTGAGATATAACTATCGTCGATATCGTACTTTGTATGTATCCCCGGGGACCGGCCGTAGAAAATAATGGACTGATCGTTACGCTGAGACGAACGGCTTGTGGTGTCGGAGGGGGGCTGGAAGCCCTTTAAAAGACTTTTCACCTCAAACCGCACCATCGCCCTCTCCCCTCCCAAACCAGGACCGGCCTGCTGCACATTCCGCAGATCCATCCGTTGGGCTTTGGGCTTTGGGCTTTGGGCTTTGGGCTTTGGGCTTTTGGGCTTCTGGCTGACGGACAAGCTATTTCCGAATGGCCACCCACAAAAATCCCGCCGTTGATCAGGCAACCAAAGCAGCGCACCGCCGTTCGGAGAGACGAAGGAAGGGACCACGGGCGGTTTGAACGACAAAACTCCAGACCCCGTCTTCAGCCGCTGCACGTAGGTCGCTGCTATTTTGGTCGGGCGTGTGCAGCAATTGCCAGTGGTAACAGATCTCAGCCGGGCTGTGCATGAAACGTGTTCCCATTGGCCTCCGAGACGACGCTGCCGACTCAAGACATTCCGTACAACAGGAAAATCTGCACCTGTGTCGTCGTGCCTCAGCTCCTGCTACCTCAGCGAATCGAGGTTGCAGGCGGCGCGGGGAGGGACGCGTAACACAACTCAGCCGTCTCTAGGTATCAAGATTCGGAGGCACTCTTGGTAAGTAGCGTATATACCTAACTCCAGGCACCAACGCGGGGTGGTATACAGTACATGCCGATATTCTTGCATCATTGCAGAGTTCTTCTAGGTATGTACAGTAGAGTAGCCAGACCGTCGTCAAGTATAGTAGATACCTTAATATATGTAGAGTGGAGTGAGCGGAAGAGCTTCCCTTCTCTGGGTGAATTGGATGCATCTGGGTTAACGGGCCGATGCTCTGGATATTGTCATGACTACAAGTACCGAATGCCGGCGTTCCCTCATATCCACGGTTACACGTTTCGGCACTCCATGCCACCACCCCGCATTCTTCAACGTCACCGGACAACGCCTCCGGAAACCCAAACGCAGACACCTTCCTCCATAGAACGAACCTTCCACCAACGCCAGGCAGAGCCAGCCCTTGAAACGAATCAAGCTGAAGTGTACTTCGATGGCCCTTGCTATTCTGTCGAGAACACAACTACCACGCCAATCCCTGAGATTTACATTGAAGGTGTGTTTGTGCACGTCTGTGTACGGTCATATTGTTGTTCGTGATATTAACCGAGGACTGACCACGGAATGTACAATTGCACCGCACAGCGCCTCCAAACCTTTCGCACCATGAAGATTGAAAGCATCCCGATGTGTATGTCCTCACTCATCCCATCTCATCGCATCGTCATTACTGACTGCACGTAGGGACTGGGTCCAGCGACAATTACGCTTATCTGTGGGGCGGCCCTAACCCCGGACGGACATCTCGGCGGGTCTGATATTAGTCTAGGGTGATTGACGACAAAACCAAGGACGCCTTCGTCATTGACCCGGCACATCCAGCCGAGGTTCTTCCGGTGCTCGAACAGAGGACACAGGATAAGAGCATCAACTTCAAGGGGATCATCAATACTCACCAGTATGTCGCTCACTTCCATGCCTGTGGAGATGATGATCCGCGCTCGTAATTCCGGGCCCCGGCTGACCCGGACGCAGCCACTGGGACCACTCCGGCGGCAACGACCAGATCCTCGAGAAATACCCCGGCATCAGAGTCATCGGCGGCGAGAAATGCCAGTCCAAAACCGAGACGCCCACTCACGGCGAATCCTTCGGCATCGGCGAAGCGATCAAGGTCAAGGCTTTGCACACGCCGTGCCACACCCAGGACTCAATCTGCTACTTCATGCAGGAGGGGGACGAGAAGGTTGTGTTTACTGGTGACACGCTGTTCATCGGGGGTATGTACTCGGTGCACTTTGACCGGTGGTGGTGATGATTGAAAAACCCCTCACTCGAGCTGATACGCTCGACGGTAGGATGTGGAAGGTTCTTTGAGGGCACAGCGGAGGAGATGCACCACGCTCTGAACGGAGTTCTGGGCAAGCTTCCGGACGACACCAAGGTGTACCCAGGTACGATTATTTCCCCTCTCTCCCCTTCGTATAGATCTCCGAGCTGACCGACCGCCTAGGCCACGAGTACACCAAGAGCAATGTCTCGTTCTGCAAGAGTGTGCTCGACACCCTGCACATCCAACAGTTGCAGCAGTTCTGCGAGCACAACAAGGAGACCCAGGGGAAGTTCACAATCGGAGACGAGAAGGTAAGCCCAAAAATACGAGGTTCAGGTCAGGGGCGAGCTGGTGCTGACGTGATCCAGAACCACAATGTTTTCATGATGGTCGACGACCCCCGCATCCAGCAGGCGACAGGAAAGACGGATCCTGTCGACGCCATGGCAAAGCTCAGGGAAATGAAGAATAGCTTCAAGTAGGTCGTGTGTCAGTACTCTCTCTCCCGCCTCTCTCCGGTCCAATACTGATGATCGAGCGACAGATAGCAGCCATTTTCCATCCCTTAGCAATTGCCCTCTTCTAATGAGCCGTCTTTTGAATGTAGACCAGCTGGACCGAAGCTGTAAGGACCTATAATTGGTGGTTGGTAAGGCATGTTTCGAAATGTCTAGTATGTTATCAATCATATATCATCACTCACTCGACTGGCCATTGCCGCCAGCCTTCATCTTTATGCTTGGAGCGTGCAGGAAAGGTTACTTTTCTTTAGGTCTGGAAAGGCTGAATGCGAAATGAATTGATGTTCTCTCCCCAATGCCCATGCTTGGAATCTTGGCGGTTCCTAAGCGCTGTGGCGAGTAAGAATGGATGATGGCAATTTGAAAGTTTCGCCAGTGCGACGCCATTGGGGACTCGGTCTACTTACCTAGGCAATCAGTGCGCCGTGTCGAAGCTCGTTCTATCCCTTATTGTAAATCACGGATTCAAATCCCAATCAATGTCACGATGGTTGGCGCCTGCCTGCTCAATCACTGCTCTAAGTGACGGCTGCTACTCTGGAGGATGTCTGCGGGGTATTGTACTATAGTTCATTGCTTATAGCTTCGATCGTTCTAAGTAATCACTTACTCGGGGTGATGTCGAATAGCCCTGGTAAGCCGTATTGAACCTCGTTGTCGCGGACATGCAGGATCACCCGCCTGTCACGTGTAATGTAGCACTCAATTCAACGCGTCCATTCCAAGCGCGTCTTCCCGCGACATCACCCTTCACGCAGCACCTCACCACCACCACCACCACCACCAGTACCTACACGCACTCACAACCACAACCACAACCTTCCCATCACCACCGCCCACCACCACAACACAACAAAAATGCTATCCCTCACCCCGCCCACCATCACCACTCCAAAAGCGGTAGTCAACCTGCTCCCCTGCCGCCTGCACCACACTGGGCCCGCAAACGCCACGCCAGCACACTGGTCGCCCACTCGCTCCTCCTCCTCCACCACACAGCACAAAACTAGCTACTTCCGCGGCCGCCGGCTCCTCGCCAAAGAGCTGCTGCTGCCGGCGGGGTATACCGGTATGTACCTCCCCCACCCCTCCCCTCCCCCCTCTCATTTCCTCCTTCGCTGATCATGCATGGTTGGTAGGGTGTGTCCTCGCGCCAACAGACCAGGTCATCACCCCCACTGCAGACGAGGAGGGGGAGGATGGAGAAGGTGTGGAAACGAAAGCGGTCGAGGTCCTTGCTACGTTCGATGGCATCGATGTCTGGGGCCACGAACAGGTTCCCCAGGACGATTATGGTGTCGTAAGGGCCGCTGAGGAGTGGGTGCTCCTGGCGGCGAGGGTTAATACTTTTGATGATGAGGAGGAGGAGGAACAGGGGGAGGGGGGGAAGAAGTGATGAGGGGGCACAATGCGGGAGGGTTGGTGATATACGGTATATACAGGAGCAGAGTGCAGTAATACTTGGGCTGTCGGTTTCTTGGGGATACTTGCTTTTTGATTGGGCTGAGGGGGTGGAGGGTGTTGCAAAACAATGGCTCATGGTTGATTATACTCGCATTCAGCCATCTACTTAGAGTACCTAGACTATGGCGGCGTGAAATTTCTCCATTCCTGTTCACAGTCGAGGTAGCTGGCATATAGCTTGATGCGGCAGCCTCGTTCTCCCGTACCTACATTGGCTTATGAAATTCCAGTGTCGGATCTGGTCTGGTTGTGGGTAGTCGAGTGTCATATTTAAGTAGGTATTCTCCGCAAAATCCGGCAAACCCGTCAGGACCTATTCGCTCTCAAGGGTTCTGCTACAGACAGACAGATGGTACCATCCTCGGGCGTTTCGTACGGCATTATGCTTTGGTATCGAGTGAGCTGCTATGAATATCGTGGTGATGGTGCGGGAAGGGCGTGATATCTTTGGGTTGACAATTGGACCAAGTATCAGGTTCCGAGAAGCGGGGTGAATGAAAAGTCCAAAACCTCAAGTCCTCTGCCATCAGCACTTTCCATTCGTCCTCATCCATCCATCCATCCACACACATCATAATCACAGCCACAACCACAACAAAACCCAGCTCAGCTCACCTCCACCGAAGCCACGATACCCTCCAACAACCTAGAGTATGTACACCAATATACTCGGAATACCTTTCATCGGCACCGTCGAGCAACGAAGCATCGGAGCCAACATCCCCACGTCGTCCACCCCCAACCTAACCCCCAAGGTGTCCTTACCACTGGGCCCACGAGCGTGGGAACGACCAGCCCCTCCATCCAACAGTTAGTTGGTTGAAATGGGAACACTGGTTTTAAACAGTTCAGTTCTGGATGATTTTGTTCCCGGTTCAGTTGGGAACAGAGGCTTTCATGTCAGTTCCCAGTTGGTTTGGATAAGTCTGGCAGTTGTTCCCGGGAAAACTGGCAGAAAACTGTCAGTTCAGCCAGGGCAGCCAAAGTGGGCCAGATACCTAGGTTCCTATTTTGACGGGAAAAGCGATAAAAATGGGTACAGTACTGGTTTTGAATTACTACCTAGTCTGATGCTACCTAAGTAAGTACCCATGGGAGTACGGCGATTGAACTTCTTGATAGGTACTCTCTAGAGCTTCAACACTCTCGGTACTTAACGAATGCCGATGATCAGTACGAATCATCTTGCACTCGGGGAACAGCCGTTCAAACTCAGCCGAAATCGCTGGAATAGACAGAATATCAATCGCCATGCATCCGGCTGAGGTTAGAAATACTCCGTATGTATCTGACGCGGTTCCCAGCCACCATTCGGTCGCACGCAGTGGGACTGTTTCGAACATTCCTCTCGACAGGCAATGAACAATACCTAGGCCTAGAGCTCGTCAACCGGCGGGCGGCGTCCTACTGGGCGTTGGGTTGATAGTAGCAACTACATAGGTGGTGGGTTGTAGGCAGTTGGCCGGTGGATTGGTGGTGGCGACGGGTTTGGCCCAAATTTTTAAGCCGAGCTGAACTGATGGGACAAGCAGTTTTCCCAGTTTAAAACCTGGCAGTTGGTTCAGTTGGTTCAGTTCACTACCCAACAGTTGGTTGGTTCGGGAACACCCCCGGTTTGTTCCCAGTTCGAACTGTTGGAGGGTCTGTCGTGGATGTGGATGGAGTGGTGGATGTGGATGTGAATGGTGTGGTGGTAATGGTGGAGTGCTTTGCGAAGGCGCAATATGGGGCCTTGTGACGAACTGGTTTTGGAGGAGGGGCTCACCCCTCGGGAACCAGGAATCTCTGAGCATATATAAATCGATCGTTATGCCGCATACGGAAGGGGATGCTCTACCCAGTACCCAGTTCTTGGGATCACATTTTCTCACTAACTAGACCTCGGTGACATTTGGAGGACAGATCAGGAATGATCACATACGGCACCTGCTGATACTCATACAAACACCCGATACTCGTCTGGGCGATTAAGTGGATACATCTCAATATGTATACGGATCTCACACCGTCAATCCCATGAATTAAATAGGTACATGCAGCCAAATTCTAGGGACAAGGAGGGCTTGGGATGCGCGGAGAAGCCCGGACAATAGTGGGACTTGGGTGGGAGCCACTTCCGGGAGCATGGGGGGACTGGCAGCAGACTGTGGGACTCGAGCGGGACTTCATGTTTCAAGGCCAGACTTTGGCCGGACCTGGTGAGAGTTGTTCTTGAATTGATTGATCCCGTTTTATTTCAATTGACTCCTATCCGTAGGCCTCTCAGTATGATACCGTATTATCTCACATGAGAGAGGTATGGATATAAAAACTCCTGTTATAAGCACTAGTGCATGTAAACGCGAGATAGGGCGTCTATGGTTAGCGCGCCGAGCAAATATGCAACGTCAGGTGTTCAGCCTTCAGGGGCTGGCAGGTATCTTCATACAGCTGAACACACGACTCTGTAGCTGCCAGTATCGTCAACTACACAGTACTATCCTCCTTACATCTCGGAAGAACAATGCATCTGTTGACCATGATGAACGACCAAGTATCGGACTCAGCGCCGCCAGTAGAAACCCTCACATCATTGTTCTCACAGCTTGACAGCTAACCATCTACCGATCCGGCCAGGCCACCTTTCACGCGTTCACCAGTTAAGGTCAAACCTCCACCAGGGTTCCGGAAACAGCTCATCGCAGTCGCTTCACGTTGGGCTCCCCCTCCAACCGCACTCCTTCCAGAGCCAAACGAAGTCGAACAGTCGACTCACTTTGGACCCAATACCTAGCCGCACCACCGGCCGCACCACCAGCAGCAGCGCCGATCGCTCCAACAGCATCACCGGTCGCTGCAACAGCATCACCGATCGCTCCAACAGCAGCACCGGCCGCTCCTCCACCTGCACCGGCCACTCCTTCACCTGCACCGGCTGCACGCTGATGCTGAGCCGCACCACCAGCCGCACCACAAACCTGAACTCCAGCTGCCCTTCCAGCAGTAGGAGCCCGGAGAAGTGCCAGGCTGGTAGGGAAACCTCAGCGTAGCCATGTAACTTCTTTCCCGCAAATTACCGACACTGAAAGCGATAGTGAGGATGAGGATGAGGATGATGGTGTTGAGTATGATTTCTTTGGCGAGCAGACGAGTTTTAGTTAGATTTGTACATATCGATTCTGTGGACAGCCTGAGAATTCTCTCCTAGCACATAGGCGCGTTTTGATATTGAGCTAGTCCCTAAGCGCCCTGGTCTACGCTAGTGCGCGCTTTGCACCTATAATACTGCCATTTATACCCATACCTCTCATGTGAGATAATACGATACTACCTACACGGAGTAGAGTTCTCCCTTTGCCAAAGCTCACCATAAATCCCAGGGAGTGGCAGGCTCCTGGCTGAGTAGATTGGTGTGCAGACACCCGCCGGTTTTCAAAGTTATCTGTAAGTTTGTCCACCTGCGCTGTCGTTGTACGTGCTCAGGCAACCCGATAACAAATATTAGTACATGGGGGCAGATGACTCCTCCAGTATATACACACCCCATGGAATCATCCCTCCATGCAACCCCAGCAATCAAATCAGTTCTGAGAAGCCTATATGGCGAACAAAAAAAAAACACAAAATGAATACGCAGCCCCACGCGGGGGTCGAACCCGCAGCCTTAAGATTAAGAGTCTTACGCTCTACCGATTGAGCTAGCGAGGCTGTGAATAAGGTTAGAGACCCAATTTTTGTCTAGTTCCTTTTTCTATATACCTCAATACCTCAATCATCTATGCCCAAAACAAACCAAATCCCCATCTCAACTCCGCGCAAAAATAAACCCAGATAACCAGATAACCAGATGAAACTAAGTAGCTAGCTCTAACTGTACTATTCCTCATCATCATCCTCGTCGTCGGTCGCTTCATCATCCCCCTCCTCGCTCTCACTTTCACTCTCGGCTTCGGCGAGCCAGTTGACGAACGCCTCGGTCGGTTTCCTAACGGCTGCCATCCTCTCTTCTTTACTGCTTCTCTCGTCGAGCCACCAGTCATTGACCGCCTCCTCATCTACAACCTCCATGGTGTTGTTTAGGCATTGGACGATACCGAGGAGGATGCTCTCTCCAGCTTTACGGCTGCAGCACTCGCGCTGGCATAACAGGAGGAACTCTGCCTGGTCCTTACGGTCGAAGACGCAGCGCTTGATGGTGCTCTCCCATCGCTGCAGCACCTTCGATGCTGCGGCTCCATTAGAGATTGATTCCTTCGCAACAACCTGCTCGATACGGTTAACGAGGGCAGCGGTAACGGCGCGCCGGACTTGAGAGAAGTTGGCATTTGCCGTCATACGAAGGCCGTTTAACTCGAGATTGGCCACTTCCGCCGGCTGGTCGTTCTCCATTGCGTTGAAGAGCGACGTGGAAGCCTCGCGGTGCCAGGCTTCATCAACGGATTCAAATGAGGTGGTGGAGTCTGATCGGCCGGCCTTCCCAGTTCGTGCGATCAAACCGCCAGCTGGCGAAGACTCGTCCGAGTACGAGTCCGAGTCGTCGCCAGGGACGGTGGAGATCGACGAGTCCGAAAGGTTGAGGTGGTGAGTGGAATATACTAGATCTGTCAGTGACATGGAATGAACCGGTGAGACCATATGACTGACCCAGACTGTCTTGCATAGCAGAGTTCTGCTCATCTTCCGACTCGGACTCAGAGTTTGCGTATTCACTCCCCGAAGCCGCCTCGTCGTCCGCGTGTTCGCCTCTGTTCTTCCGTTTGCTGTGGGCAGTAATGCGCGAGAAAGGCTTGACCTGTATTCCGTCGGCGATCTTGACACCGTAGGAGATGACCGAGCCTTCCGCAACAACAACGTTCTTTCCCAGCACCGCGTCATTGGCGATTATGGATTTCTGGATCTGACAGCCATCTCCGATCACCACACCATCCCAAATATATACCCCCTCCAATAAAACATCCTTTCCGATCTCGACTCCGGCGCCGATAATACAATTGCCGATGACCGAGCGTTCGCCTATGCTTGTTCCCCGACCAAGAATCGTGTTGCGATTCACGGTGCAGCTCCGGGCGAGAATTATGTCATCCTCTTTGTAGATGTTTCCGCGCTCATGGGTGTAGTTCTGGTTTGGTGCCAAGTTACTGTCCGGCACCATAGGGTAGGTCCAGCGACCAATGATATCCCGGCTCACAGCATCGTAAGTCTGCAAGCTCCTCACTCTGGCGGCGTAGCTTCCAGTGACGATATGAGTGTGGATAATCTTTCCATACAGCTCGTAATCCGTCAAGATCCCATGCAAGAAGTGGCGGCGGATATGCTGGTAGTCGAAGTTCTCTGTAAAGAGCGCGGGGACATCAGGCGAGCAGATATCGACTTGACAGTCAATAAGATCGGTGCGGATTCGGAGCTGCGGATGGTGTTTTATTAGATCTGGGGGAAGCAGCACCGTCCTATCGCCGCTATGTCGCATCTCCTCGTAGTGAACACATCGTCCCGAAGCTTCATCGATCACAAATGCGCCCGATTCACCTCTCGCTTTCGCGCGATGCTCAAACTCGGCTTCCCGTAAGATCATGGTCATGATGGCGTTCTTGTCCTTTGTCCTCCTGTCGCGGTGCGCCTTCAAAACATCCTCCAGCGGCAGATTGCTAACAAAGTCACCGTTGACCAGCAGGAAATCTGTCGTGATCATCCCTTTACCGTCGAGCTCGCGCATGGCGTCGCCGACGGACATGCTGGACGGCGACATCACGATCTGACACTTCTTGAACGGCGATGACGCCAAGCTCCATTTCGAATCGCGGATGTGCTGCTCGATCTTCTCGGCGTGGGTGGACGCGAAGATGAAGACATCCTCAATTCCGGCAAGCGATAGGAACTCGAGGGTGTAGTCGATCACGGGAATGTTCGCAAGTGGGAGGAGACACTACGACAACATTTAGAGATTGATCACAATCGCTGGGCGCAAGAGGGGATAGTTCCGAAACGTACCCTTGGGGTTTCGAGCGTGAGCGGTCGGAATCTCGTCTGGTAGGAGTCTGTGAGGACCTTTCGTTGGTGATTGGGTTAGTCAGACCTTCACCGCAGCCACCAATCCCTGAAACGAAGGAACCCACCACAGCCTGTAGGATGTTCTCCCTCTGCTCATCTTCTCTCCTCTTAGACCCTCCAGTCGCTTTGTTTTTCTTCGAACTCATGCTTGATCCCTTTGTTGCGGGGGTGGTGGTATAAGCGGTAGTGGGGCCGGTGTCGGTGTGTCAGTCAGATGTCGTAGAGTTCAATAGTTGTTTGGCGGGGTGATTCACATTCAAAGTTAGTGTAACATAGTATGGAGGGGTCTTCTGTTATGCCTCTTCAAACCACCCCCAAACCCTGTACCCTAGAAGGTTATGGTCGACTCACTGAAACTAACTCAACCAAAAATACTTGCCCCCTCACCGCCTGCTCACCGGACGAACAGACGAACAAGTTGGATCAACAACCACCTTGACTCGACCACACACATCACCACCACCACCACCAGAGCTATAAGACAGCTCTGCTCCATTCCCACGAAACTCATCATTACAAACAACCTCACACAACCAACTACCACCACCACCCAACATGCCGAAGAACAAGGGAAAGGTGCGATGCGACTACTCTACCCCCACCCCCCACCCCCCTCTCAAGCGCTCGGCGCTCCAATGAGGCTCTTCGATTATAGTGGCCACCAACCATCGCCATCACGAGCATCATACGAGCGTCAAGCAACAGCAACAACATCGGGCAAGACATGGAGGCTAACACAGTTACGTACAATAGGGAGGAAAGAACAGGCGTCGCGGGAAGAACGAGAACGACAATGAGAAGCGTGAGCTGACGTTCAAGGAGGACGGTCAAGGTTTGTCGCCACCCGTCTATCCCACCTCCACCCTTACCTCCTCTTACACCAAACAGAGTACGCCCAGGTGGTCAAGATGCTCGGAAACGGACGCCTAGAGGCCATGTGCTTCGACGGCGAGAAGCGTCTAGCCCACATCCGTGGAAAGCTGCGAAAGAAGGTCTGGATCAACCAGGGAGACATCATCCTTCTGTCGCTACGTGACTACCAAGACGAGAAGGGAGACGTTATCCTGAAGTACACCGCCGACGAGGCTCGTAATCTTAAGGCCTACGGCGAACTGCCCGAGAACGCCAAGATCAACGAGACAGACACATACGGTATGTTTCTTCCCCGGTATGCTCGGTGGATGCGTGCCTGCTGTCATCCGTGTCACTCGCCTCAGCGACGAATGCACGGAGTCGGCCGGAGACACGCACTCACCGATATCACCGGTGCTTCTACTCCTTCCCCACGAGCCATATACTAACCCTCATCCAGGCCACGAGGGAGCGGACGAGTGCAACTTCGAGTTCGATTTGGAGGCCGGCGAGATCGATATCGATGCTGTCTAAAAAGTCTTTTCGTTTGCATTGCGGGTTGGACTGGGTCGGGTTTGGGCTGGAAGGCGGGCGTATCCAAGTCATTGATTGTACTGCAAGCGCGGGCGCCAATATGAGGTGCATGTAGACTGGTGATACAAAACCACCTGCTCTGCTCTGCCAACTGGGTTGAGGTTGAGAAAGCAAGACCTATACACATACGATTCTCTAGACATAATGAAAACGTCTTGACTCCATGATTTCCTCGATCTAGAACGTCTGAACTGTAGTCTCCCTAACCCGTGTCTCCAAATCCGCCACCGCAGAAGTATCTTCGACAAACCAGTTCCCCCAGAATCTCACACCCTCAATACCGACCTCTCTACACAGTGCCCCCCGCTCCTCCGCCATCTCTAGCTCTTCACTCGCGACCCTCAAACTCCATCCAAACCTGTCGGCCGCCTCACCAGCCGTAACACCTCTCCCCCAGCGTCCACTCCCATCAGCAGCAATCCACTCAACTATCCTCCTAACCGTCTCATCGTCCCTCCTGCCCACATCTTGGACCACCACGAGCCCACTCTTGAATGTCCTAGTCCTCACCGGTAATCTCAACGCCTCAAACCTTGTAGTGGCCTTCTGCAGATCTTGCGGTGAAATGAGATCAATACCTCTGACCCGATTATAAAGCGCCCAAAGGTCGACCAGCGTGATAACCCCGCCCTCCTTCTTCAACACGCCTCTTGCATCATCGGCCAGGAACTCTGCGACCTGTCGCGAGAGCTCATCGATCCACGCCTTGTCGCCGGCCGAGGAGGTGTTGGAGAACATATCCCTACTGACCAACCCGAGCGCCTGCGCCGCGCCGCCGCCAATAGCCTCGACGCCCGCATTTCCCGGGAGACGCGCGAACGATTCGGCGAGGGCGATGACCTCCTTCGCGGCGGCCTTGAGCGACTCGAGGTCTTCGAACGCACTACCAAGGACCATTTCATTCTGGCGGGTTTGGGAGAGTGTTTTCCGCTCGAGGCCGCCGATGCCGACGCGCTTTGTTGTCCCCGAGGGCGAGGGTGGGCGCGGCACTGGCGGCGCGGTCGAGAGGAGCCATTTCCGCTGGATCAGCGCGGACTTGAGGTGCGTGAGGAAGGCTGTCGAGCCGCCGGCCCGGAAGGAGAATTTGATTATTGGCACGTCGACGGGCGCCGGGGAGGAGGTGCGCGATGGTGTGGGTTGCGCGATTGCGAGCGCGCGCGGCACCGGGATCGCAATCGTCTGTAGTGACTCGCCGCAGAGCTCGCAGATGTGGAGGGAGGGGTGGTTGTGGAATGTACACCTTGGACAGGCGAGACCAGAATCTGGCGCGGCCGTCGTTGCTGCTGCTGGAGACGGCCGAGGCTGCGTTTGCAGACTGCTATCGAGATGCGATGGCTGAGGCCGTATCCCACAGGTTAGACAGGGCGGAATAGAAGCGGCCGATGACTCGCCGGGGACGTAATTCAAGGGTATCGGGTTCGAGAACGAGCAGATGGTGCAGATCCAGACGCCTGTCACTGGCGGCGGTGGGGACGCAGCACGTATGAGGGGGGTGGAGGAGCGGGGGCTTGCGCGCGAGGAGCCAAGAGGTGACGATTTACTCCCGCCGCCGATGTTCGCCGAAGGCTGTAGGTAAAGTGTGATTTTCGGAGAGGATTTAAGGAATCCTGCCTGTGCAGGGTCAGTAATGATACGGCGGCAGGCTTCATGAGGGGTATGGCACACATAAGGTTCAATCCGATCCACCTCTTTCAACTCTACGGCTATCGAGTACTTGCGCGGATCATCGTTATCGACGTAGCAGGCACGATGCGAGGTGAGGTACGCGAAGCCGTTCTGGTAGTTGAGGATCTTGTATTTTCTGAGGGACCTCGTCATCAGTTTCCAACTGCGGGAGCGGTAAATGATGGATTGCACACACACCCCTCATATAAGCCCACAGAGTTTTGGACAAAGAGGAGAGTTTCATCGGGGAGTAGCTGTGGTCGGTTTGCCGGTGTGAGATCGATTTTCGTGAGCATTTCCTTGGGGCATGTAGAGCATTCTGCAAGTTATCAAGCAATGAGGAGGGGTGAGGCGAGTGTTTGGTACATAATGGTGGGGGGATCTGCGCGGTTATCTACCCCAGCCTGCAGCTAACGGGACGGAGCATGTGGGGAGCTTGTTACTCCATCGTCACATCATGAGGGAGAGACAACGTGATTCAAGAAATTCAATCCAAATACCTATTGAAATGGACATTGTGAATAAACAAAAAACAGTGACAGTAAGGTCGTAATGATGAAAAGCAAAGCAGGAGCTACCATCCAAAGAAAGAGACAGAAAAAAAACCAATCAAACCAGCAGCGCCCAGCAAAAATTCCCAGAACCCATTATTTCCTTGTCGTCCCATCGTCAAGCTCTCTACTTCACATTATCACGCAGCTAACAAAAATCCGTAGCCTAACCAGAGCACATCTCACAAGCTTCGGGATTCGCGATACTGCAAGCCAGAACAGCATCGGCGTAGATGTCAACCTCGCGGTCAGCACTGTCGGCCTTCTTGTCCTCCTCTTGGGTCTTGGTCCGCTCAAGTTCGAGCTCTTCATCATCTGGCGGGCCAGTGGGGTCAGTGGCGAGAAGAGTAGGGCTCTTGCCTTCGGGCTTATCCGCTTCAAAGGGCTTGCCGGCCGTGGGCGAAGCGGGAACAATCACACTTTTCAGTGCCGGGGTCCCGTTGCCGCTGGCGGCGGCCATCATGGGTCGGGGGATGGCTCCACCAGCTGCCGAGGAACCGAGGGGAGAAGTGCGAACGGTACGCTTGGGCAGAGCGCGAGCGACCGCCGTATCATCTACCTTGAGCGCCTCCTTGTCGACAGTGAATTGCTATGCGCAGTCAGTATCTTGTACTCACATCTTCGTAAACGAAATAGCGACATAAACTCACGATAGCGGCAGCGGCAGCCTGGGTGCGAAGGTAGTACATTCCAGTTTTGAGACCCTTTTTCCACCCATGGAAGTGCATGGAGGTCAGCTTGCCAATGGTAGGGTTCTGGATGTGGATGTTGAGCGACTGGCTCTGGTCGATAAAAGCAGCTCGATCGGCCGCCATGTCGATCACAGTCTTTTGTGAGATTTCCCAAACAGTCTTGTACAGCGCCTTGATATCGTCGGGGATGTTGGTGATGTTCTGGATACTGCCGTTGCTGGCAATGATTCTGTTCTTCATGGCATCGCTCCACAAACCCATGTCCACAAGGTCCTTCAGAAGCCATGGGTTAACGATCTGGAATTCTCCGGCAAGAACACGACGAGAGTATATGTTGGAGGTGTACGGCTCAAAGCACTCGTTGAATCCCAAGATCTGGGAGGTAGAAGCAGTTGGCATGGGTGCAACGAGGAGCGAGTTGCGAAGACCATGCTTCTTGACCTTGGCCTTAACCTCGTCCCAGTCCCAAAGATCAGTGGGAGTGACGTTCCACATGTCATACTGCAGGATGCCCTGAGACGCAGGTGAACCTTCGTAAGTGGAGTAGGGCCCTTCCACCTCAGCGAGCTCGGTCGAGGCCTCGACAGCAGCATGGTAGATGGTCTCAAAAATCTGGACGTTGAGGTGTTTGGCTTCTGGCGACTCAAAAGGCATGCGAAGCGCAAGGAAGGCGTCTGCGAGACCTTGGACACCGACACCGATAGGGCGATGCCTCATGTTTCCACGCCTGGCTTCCTCGACGGGGTAGTAATTGACGTCAATGATCTTGTTCAAATTCTTGACAACCACCTTGACCACGTCGTGTAGCTTTTGGAAATTGTACTGCTCTCGCTGAACATCGACATATGTAGGCAAGGCGATGGAAGCGAGATTGCAGACCGCAACCTCGTCCGGGGCGGAGTATTCGATGATCTCGGTGCAAAGGTTGGAAGATTTGATGGTTCCCAAGTTCTTCTGGTTGGACTTGCTGTTGGCCGCATCCTTGTAGAGCATGAAGGGACCTCCGGTCTCAACCTGCGCCTCGAGGATGGCATGCCAGAGTTTCTGTGCCTTGACGGTGTGGCGTGGCAGGCCAGGTGTGTTCTCGTATTTTGTGTACAGAGCTACAAACTCTTCGCCGTACACATCCGCCATTCCTGGAGCTTCGTTGGGACAGAACAGGCACCATTGTCCATTGTTCTGAACACGCTCCATGAAAAGATCTGGGATCCAGAGAGCGTAGAACAGATCTCTGGCACGAACCTCCTCCTTTCCGTGATTTTTTCGCAGATCAAGGAAGTCGAAAATATCCGCATGCCAGGGCTCAAGATAGATAGCAAAAGCGCCAGGTCTCTTATTGCCACCTTGGTCAACGTAGCGCGCGGTATTGTTGTACACTCTCAACATGGGTACGATACCGTTGGAGCTTCCGTTGGTTCCTGCGATATAGGAGCCGGTAGCACGGATGTTGTGAATGTTGAGACCGATACCGCCGGCCGTCTTCGAGATCATGGCGCATGTCTTGAGGGTGTCGTAGATACCATCTATCGAGTCGTCCTTCATGGCCACCAGGAAGCATGACGACAGCTGAGGCGCAGGAGTTCCCGCATTGAAAAGAGTAGGCGAAGCGTGCGTGAAGTACTTCGATGACATGAGGTTGTAGGTCTCAATCACCTTCTCAATTTCTTCGCCGTGAATGCCGACTGCAACTCTCATGATCATGTGCTGCGGGCGCTCAGCGACCTTGCCATTGATTCTCAGGAGATAGGACCTCTCCAATGTCTTGAACCCGAAGTAGTTGTAATTGAAGTCCTTGTCGTAGATGATGGCAGCATTCAGCTCGTCACGGTGTCGCATGACCGTCTCGTAGGTCTGCTCGCTTATCATCGGGGAGGGGCGGTTGTTTTTCTGGACACCATCGTTAGACAATATTTCTCTAGCAATGTATCAGGTGGCGGACATACGGGATTGATATAGTGGTAGAGATCGCTGATGACCTGGGAGAACATCTTCTTGGTCTGCTTGTGCAGATTACTAACAGCAATTCGAGCAGCGAGGATAGCATAGTCCGGGTGGGTGACGGTCATGTACGCAGCTGTCTCTGCTGCCTGTAAACAAACGAATAGAACAGATTAGCCTTCACATAATGACTTTGGGGAGGCAGACGAAGAAATAGACCATACCAAATTGTCCAGCTCAATGGTAGTGACACCCTGGTACACTCCAGAGATCACCTTCTGGGTGATTGAAGCAGCGTCGACATGTTCGCTATCGAGACCGTAACAAAGACGGGAGACTCGGGCAGTGATCTTGTCGAACTGTACACGTTCCTTGCGTCCGTCTATCAAAGTTCGAGTCAATAACCATAGCCTTTTGGATGAACCCGACAAACTGCGGGGCCCAATGTTTACCTCTCTTCAAAACATACATGATGGCTGTGTATGTATGTTGATGATTGAATGTGAAGTGTGAGCAAGAAGAAGTGGGTATCAGGAATCAACGTAAAATCAAAAATCGTGAACAAACAAGCTCTAATTGAGCAAATTGGGAGATGGAAGAATGGAGGTGGATGTGAAGACGAGCGGACTTGAAGAAGGGAAGAGGGGTCGTGTTTTTTCAATCAACGCGTAAATGTGTCTTGGCAACAGCAAGTGGGGTGGGTTAGGGAAGATAACGCAGGGACCTAGCCCTTTTCGCCCTGGACCTACGTTTCTGCTGCCATTCCTTCGTGACCACTGGCTTCTACCCAGTGCCTTACACACTCCCGACGATTGATAATCACAAGCCTGTCCATCTCCGGGCAGATCCGAGCGTCGGGAGACTAGCATCAGCGTTCCGGTGACTCGAAGTACACGGAGTCGTGACTGGTTGAGTAGCGAACCCTTATGGGTTGATAGTACGATAGATTATTCCAGGATTGACTTCACATGATCACGTGAGGTCGCGTTTCACGGAACAAATAACAGCTTCTTCTTCAGCTCCTCCAGCGTCCGCACCTATGGGGTGCGCAGCTGTCTTTACGTACCTGTCTGCACGTACCTGTCTGTACGTACCTGTCTGTACGTACCTGTCCGTGCCTGTCTCTACGTACCTGTCCGTCCGCACCAGTAATTCAGCGCATCAACGGATTAAATCCAAATGACCTACTCGAGAACTACTTACGGATCACGCAGCCGGATATATATCTGATCCGATGTGATGAACATGAACAGGACGTCTCATTGACTTATGAAACTAAAGAACAGAAAAGTAACGCAGACATGTAACCAAAGCAAGCTGAACAAAAGCAAGAAAGATTTCTGGACATAGATAATACACGGAAGACGCCTTTTTGACCCACACAAACCCCTTGTCCTCCACACAATTACCCGCAGAGGTGCGGTCCGTTGATTGTACCAAAGAGCGGAAAAGGAACTTATGCTGCAATCTAAGCTTTGCTCTTCTTCTCCTTCTTCTTCTCCTTCTTCTCTTTCTTGTCCTTCTTGGACTTCTTCTTCTCCACAGGCTCCTCCGCATCGTCCTCTCTCGGTCTCTTCTTGGACTCGGGTTCCGGCTCGGCCTCCTTCTTGCTCTTCTTCTCCTTCTTTTCCTTCTTGTCCTTCTTCTCCTTCTTGTCCTTCTTCTCTTTCTTACTGGGCTTGACAGCCTCGTCGTCCGAGTCCTTGTCGTCGTTACCAGCGGAGATGTTGATGTCACCCAAGACCGAGTCCATGGCGGATTTCTAAACCACATTAGCCAACGAATTTCATCATAGAGATGTAGAGTAGACGTACCATGGCGACCTCGTTCTTGGTGGGCGCAGTGCCGTTGGCGTAAAACTCTAACCGCTCCTCAACCTGGTTCCTCAAAGCCTCTCCGAAAACGGTAGTGGGGTTGTCTGAGAAAGCATCGATTCTGGAAGCAATGGAACACTTGTTGGCCAAGAATCGCGAGATGCGACCCTTGTTCTTGGCTCCGGCCCTTCCAATGAAGGAAGAGTGGTAGATGAGACCATACTTGGGGGTGTTGCCCTTGGTCTTCAGCGCACGGAAGAGCGCCTTCTCTGCACCGAGAATCTGCACTGTCGAGGCGGGGTACTTGGACAGGTTGGTCAAAGAACCAGCGTGCGAGATGAGACGGGCGGCAACGACCTCTCCGATGAGCTTGGCCAAGTTAGGAGCAACGACGGACATCTTGTCAGTCAAGTAGTCGAAGATCTGCTTGCGGAAGTCCGCGAGCGAGTTAACTTTGGTGGCGAACGTCAAAATGTTCTCCATGTCTGCGTCAGAGATGTCCTGACCCATCGACATCTTCGCGGCGTCAATGATGGCCTGTGCGATCTCCTGGTCGTCGTCAACGTAGGCGGCCAGCTCGTGGAGCTGCTCGTTGTTGAGCGTCTTCTTCTCCTTGATGTGCGCAACCAACTTGCAGTACTTGTAGTTGTCCGAGACGATCTTGATGAGTTCCGGGAAGTGCCAGCCGTACCATTCACTTTCCAAACGTCAATAACAGCCAGGGACTTATGGGATTAAAGACATGAGCCTACCGAACACGCATGGAGAAAGTGTTAATGTCCTTGTCCATGAGATCCAACAGCGCAATGGACTGAATGATGTGGTTGTCGTTCTTCTGGACCGAGAACTTTACCTTCGCGCGGGAGTAGGCGTGCCCCAAACCAAGCTGAGCGCGGTCCATATCACCAGGCTGGAGTGCCTTGAGGAGCTTATCACCGTGCAGGCGCAGTCCACGGAGAAGATCTTGCACGACTTCATTCGTCTCACAGTCGACGCCGGGGAAAGCGGCCTTGATAGAACCAGCCAAGTTCTTGTCGGCGATACCGAGGACAACCTTCTTCTTCTTTCCGCCCTTAGGGAGGTTCAACTCCAAGAGCGACAAGAGGTGGGCGCTGGCGATACCCTCAGAGATGTCATTTGCGTTCTCAAGCGCTTGGGCGGCACCTCTACATTTGAACCGTCAGCGCTGGAACGAACAGACAAACAACTCAATTGGCTGGTCGCCGCGGAAGACTGACTGGAAAGGCGCAAAAGACACCAGCTTGATCATCTTTCCAAACTTCGAGAGGTCATTGGCGGCCTCTTGGACTTCCTTCAGGCGATTGCCAATTGTATCAGGTTGCTGGACAACCTCGTACAAGCCGTAGCCGACCGGGGCCTCCTGGAGGATGTAATCGACAGCCGACATTGCGAGAGCGGTAGCGGATGGGAGACTGTCGAGGGTGGGGAACTGTAGTGGGGTGGATGTTGAGGGATTGAATTAAACTTGTCGCGAACGCGAAGACTTGGAGAAAATTTCAGTGGTTGTGCCAGGAAGTGCGCTAGGCCACGATAGGAAAAAGGCGGCGGAAAAATCAAAGGTCCCACCTTTGGGGCTCTTACAGGAAGAACATTACGGCCCCATACACACATCTCCATCCTCCTGTTAATAATAATCATCGACAACACCTTTCTCCATCGCCCAAGAATCCATCCTGTCTCGAGATGTCAGCTACATCTCTTCTCAACCCCAAGGCGGAGTCTGTTCGCAGAGGAGAAGCTTTGAGAGTCAATATCGCTGCCGGCGAAGGTAGGCGTGCTTGCTCGGAGATATCGACGCTTCGGCGTACAGTAATCTGACGATGCTCCTTAGGCCTACAGGATGTCCTCAAATCCAACCTCGGTCCCTCCGGAACGTTAAAGATGCTGGTAGATGGCTCCGGTCAAATTACCTTGACCAAGGATGGCCAGAAGCTATTGCGAGAGATGACGATCCAGAACCCCACAGGTATGCTATGCACGAAACCATCTGCATCTCCGCCACATACATTTCCGCCAGAGAATCAAGCTAATAGTTTACAAAGCTGTGATGATTGCTAGAGCAGGTACGACCACGGCGGTTCGGATGGCGGGGTATCGGGTGGTTGGTGAAGCTGACAGGTATCAGCAACTGCTCTGGACGACATTGCCGGAGATGGTACAACAAGCGTGGTTCTGTTAGTCGGAGAGCTTCTGAAGCAAGCAAAGCGATATATCGAGGAAGGGCTTCATCCCCGAGTTATCACAGAAGGTTACGAAATAGCCAAGGTGGAAGCTCTGAAGGTAACCAGCACTGCTTCAACTCCGTCACATCTGGTATGCGTGCTGATAGCTTCAGTTTCTCGATGATTTCAAAATTGAGAAAGAGCCCGATCGTGAACTGCTCCTCTGCGTTGCCCGCACCTCGCTCTCCACCAAGCTCGACAAGACTCTCGCCGAAGCCCTGACACCCTCGATTGTCGATGCCGTTCTCGCCATCTACAATGCTCCCGCTAAACCCGACCTACACATGATCGAGATTATGAAGATGCAGCACCGGACCGCTTCGGAGACGCTGTTGATCCGCGGCCTTGCCCTCGACCACGGCGCCCGCCACCCCGACATGCCCAGGAGAGTCGACAACGCTTTCATCCTTACCCTCAACGTTTCCCTCGAGTACGAGAAGACTGAAGTCAACTCTGGGTTCTTCTACTCTTCAGCCGAGCAGAGAGAGAAGCTTGTTGAGAGCGAGAGGAGATTCGTGGATGAAAAGCTGAGGAAGATCGTGGAGCTGAAGAAGCAGGTGTGCGGAGACGACCCTAGCAAAGGCTTCGTTATCATCAACCAGAAGGGTATCGACCCGCTGAGCTTGGACGTGCTGAGCAAGAACGGCATCCTTGCTCTGCGACGGGCGAAGAGGAGAAACATGGAGCGGCTGCAATTGATCTGTGGTGGTGTCTCCCAGAACTCTGTCGAGGACTTAACACCCGAAGTCTTGGGTTGGGCTGGAAAGGTTTACGAACACACCCTCGGAGAGGAGAAGTACACCTTCATTGTAAGTCCGAACCTCCCGTACGTCCGGCGCACCTCCTTCTAACCACCGGTACAGGAGGACGTCAAAGAGGCCAAGTCTGTCACTATCATGATCAAGGGCCCCAACACACACACCATCAACCAGATCCAGGATGCCGTCCGTGACGGTCTCCGAAGTGTTTACAACATGATTGTCGACGGCTCGGTAGTTCCCGGAGCCGGTGCATTCCAGGTCGCCTGCCACGCACACCTCATCAGCGAGAACGTGCGCAAGCAGATCAAGGGAAAGCCAAGAATGGCTGTTCAGGCATTCGCCGACGCCCTCCTCGTCATCCCCAAGACTCTGGCGGCGAACGGTGGTTTCGACATCCAGGACTCCCGTAAGCTTCCTCCAAGTACAAAATAACTATACATGATCATTACTAATGAGATTGAGCACCTCAGTGACTGCCCTCCAGGACGAGCAGGCCGAAGGAAACGTTGTTGGAATCGACCTGACCACCGGAGAGCCCATGGACCCTGTTGCTGCTGGTGTCTACGACTCCTTCAGGGTGCTCAGGAACTCGATTGCCAGTGCGGCCGGTATTGCCAGCAATTTATTGCTCTGCGACGAGCTGTTGAAGGCAAGGCAGATGAGTGCCAAGGCTCCAGGTGTAGTCGATGAGTAGATATGCGTGGTTCTGTCTAGTCATAATGCGATACGGGATTCTGCAATCCAGTCGAACAGGCAGTGCTTTTGCCACAATTGTGCTCATGTCCTGCTCATAATGTGAGTCTTGACGAAGGATGCCAGCTTTTGTGATTATCTAAGCCATCTCTACAACGTATGCACATCCGCAAAGGGTATTCCGCCAGCTCTATAAACAAGATCGATCGATAAGAGTATTATATGAAATCCCACCCATCCGTCACTACCGCTTCACCGTCTCCACAGACTTCCCCATGTCCCACCACGTTCCCGCCACACTAACCCTAGCAACGACCCACGCGGGCCACCAAACACACCACACGACTACCTGCGTCCACATGCCCCAGACTGCCCACCCAAACGCGGCCTCAGCCAGGATCCTCGAAAGATCCTCTCTCCAGTACACGGCGACGCCCACCAGCGCGGTCGTCGGTGCCAACGCGTGCAGCGCGATTTCCATCAGCACCGCCAACCACCATTTCGATTTCTGCTGCGGAGCGGCAAACGTGAAGGGCGTGGAAAACAATCCGATTAGGAAGCTGAGCGAGAAGTTTAGAGTTGCGAGGGCTGAGAGGAATAGACCCAGCATGAGCAGCGAGAAGCATTTGATTAGGGTGTAGTCCTGCACTGTTGGCTTGAAGAGGGTGTGGAGGATGAAGGAGAGGAAGAAGGGGAGGACGAGGGAGATGGTTGTGAATGCGCAGAAGATTGGGGAGAGCGTGGGCGTGGGAAAAGTGTTGAAGACGTAGAGAGGTATGAAGCCGAGGAAGTGGACGAAGAGGATGAATGCGATAGGTAGGACGAGGTGGCGTTCGTGTTCGTCTGTTGTTACGGAGACGGGCAAGATCTTGAGGAGGGCTTCCTTCTCATCCGAGTTGCTCTTGCTATCGGCCTGCTTCTCCTCAGACACAATGGCCTCCTCTACCGGTTCTTTGGACGGTCTCTGCCCACTCTGAATCCACAATCCAATCGCTGTAATCGTAAAATTGACCGCGATGAGCATAGCACTGGGTAGATACGTTCCAATACTGACAAACTTCTTTGGTGCCAGCAGCAGGTAGAAGAAAAAACTCTGATGAAAGTGCTCCAAGAGGTTGTTCAAACTCCTGAACAAGCTCTCGAGGATTCTTCCCATGGTGACTTCATCATGCTGTCCGATCCCGCTAACCTGTAGGGTAATAGCATCGATATGGTACGGAATGAAGCTGCTGTGAGGACCCGTTGCATGTCCTAACCCCTGGTTAACCATCCCCCGGAGCATAGTCCGTAGTCTGTCCTCGTAGGAGTCCGAGTGCGCGAACATCTCCTGAAGACTAGCGCGCACGCCCATCTGGTGGCCGGAGATGTGTACGGCGGTATTGAAGAGGTCCAAGTTCGGAAGCTGGCCGTTGACGCCGTCGTAGACGACGTGGATGCGGTCCCAGGGATTGGTGGTGGGGTAGTCGAGCACCACGACGCCTTGAATAGCACCGGAGGTTAACGGGAGACTGGCGACATTCGAGGAGTGCGTATTGTGGTAAGCGTCAACCCAGGCTTGCGGGCCAGCGCGCGCGTCAGAGGTGATCAGGAATATCACGTCTTTGGACCAGAGTGACCATCGCTTAAAGTACCGCGCGAGAGCCATTACCAGCGCAACGCCGCTCTGATTCAGCTGGTCTTCACCGTTGATCCATGGTGCCACGAGCACTACGGCCTCCGTGGCGTCTCCTCGAGGCGCTTCAAGGACTGCATATACGTTCTCGCCCTCGTATACCTAAGCAAACAGACATATTAGGCTACCGGCTACAATATAACGTTCCGGACAGATCTCACCTCACCTCCGGCCTCATACCGGAACTTCTGCGTAGCCACCTTGAGACCCTGTCCCTTGAAAATGCCGCCAATCACGTTCACCATCTCATCATTCGTAGCATTCCTCAGCACCTTGACCTCATGTCGGTATGCGCGGAAGACATTCTGTTCGGAGCCCGCGAAGTACGTGTGGACACCTCCGGGGAGGAGTGCGTTTTCGGAGATGTAGGTGTTCCGGGAGTATTCGTCGAGTGGGAGTAGGAGCAGCCATGTTACGCCGACGAGGACGCAGAGGATTGAGAGGAACGGAAGGAGTTTGAGAATCCGTGTTGAGCGAAGCGGAACTATTGTCGGGTTAGTGTCTGTTGCGGTGTACGGGCGAGGTTTAGGGGGGTGCGCACGTGGGAGAGCCATGATGCTATGCGATTGTCGGAATTCCCCTTCGCGAAGGATGGAAGGAGGAATGGAAAAGGTGTTTAGAGTGAGTCGTCCGAAAAGAAAGAAGAAGCGGTAGTGGCTGGATCAACGCCGAAGCTTCATTAAGACGTCGTCGACTTCACAGACGGCGGCAGTGGTGAACGTGGAGCACTTCCAGGATGGGAAACGCGACGTCAGATTAAGCTTAGTGCCAAGAATATCTACCTACACAGCTCCACTGAGCGTATCGGCCCATTACACTCACATCCCATGCAGAGATAACTCAGGACGTTTGTTCTGTGTTATGAGTACAGTGTCACGGAGCTGAGACTGTACGGCTTCAGTATATTGCAAGATTTTCTACCGAAAAAAAAAGTTCCCTCTAGTATTGCAGATGCCTATCCACCCGCCACAACAGCCAGTCCAGCATACACTTTCCGCCTGACTTGTACAAAAGTCTTCCCTCTCGCCGAGGCCGCTCCAATAAATCCCCCGCCTCCGTCTTCTACCGAGACATTACCCACACCCGTCTTCCTCACCACCACAAATCCGTCCACAAGAAGAGTACCCTCTCCCTTGAACTCCGCTGCATGGCCTTCATCCTGCAAAACCCTCCTCAGATCTGCCAGTCTGATATCACCCACGTGAATGGGCTGGGCGAAGCTCCTCGTCGCAGCGGCAAGAGCCGGTGGGAGGACATCCAACACCAACTGCCGGTCGTCATCCCGGCTTGGGATCTCGCCCTCCTCGGTGATGGTCTTCTGCTTCTTCGAGTCTGGTTGTCCTTTTTCCTCTTCGGGCGCCACACGTCCTATGACGTGCACCACGCCGAGCCCTCTGGCATGCTGCCATTTCAGGCCACGGGATAAGGTATTGCCCAGCTTCACAACCCATGCATTGGTGTCGACAGAGGCATTTACTTTCTGGCCCATTTGAGGGAAGAAGACATCGGTTCCCGTGCTTATGCCACGGCTTGACAGCGCCGCCTTCTCACGGTAAAACTCGGCCAGATATTTCGTCTCCTCCCGCTTGCCTCCGATGAGAATCAGCTTTTTCGGGTCGATGAGAGGGAGTAGCATTCGCAAGCTCTTCTGATCGTGTAGACCGGCGTAGTCGATAAAGGTTGCGCTGATATGTATGCGGACAGTCTCCGAAGAGATGGTAAGCTTGCTTGGTGATGCAAGAGCCTCTTCGACGTCCTCCCCTTCCGAGCTTTCGGAAACCTCGCCTTCTTCGGCCGATTCCTGGTCGTTCGAATCGTAGCCATCTTCATTGTTGCCCGATCCGCCTTTCGTCCGCTTATACACCCCCCTTCGTTTACTCATATCTATGGCTCCTTTACTGCCCTTGTGGCCCCCAGTGCCTGGTTTTGGGATCTCCTCATCCCATTTCCGCTTCTTACCCATGACTCTGGTTTCCTCTCTCCTCTCCCCTTCATCGTCTGCCAGCTCTTCGTCGTTCCGCTCCTCGGCACGCATATAATCGTCCGGCCGAACAACTTCGCCATACTCATCGATTCGCTTTCGTCGCACCTGGAAGGGAAACATTCTATTTCTCCCCTTCGCGCCACGCACGTCGAAGTCATAGATTCCCTCTCCTCGTAGCAGGATGTTGATACCTATGTCGATCTTCTCGCTCACACCAGCCGGCACCGCACCACCCATCATCATTGTCGCCTGGGAAATCTTCTTTGATGCGGCAGTAGTAAGGGCTTTTCCTTGCCTCTCCGAGTCCGAGTCATCGTCCGAGGATGATGATGCATCTTCGTCGTCCTGGTCGTCATCAAGTCCAGAAGGTAGCCCGGAGGTAGACATCAAGGACTGATGCTGAGAAGTGAGGGTCTGGCGAGTCGCAACATGTCGCTGGTATGACAGCAGCTCCTCGCCTTCTAATGGTGTCTTACTGGCGTTCTCGATCTCCTGTGATGTATCGACGACTGCGAGTTGTCCGGTGGCAGCACTATCCTCCTCGTTTTTAGTTGTGGCCTCCTTCCATCCTTGCCACAACCGCCCCACCAACCCCGACTTCCCTTCACCGCGTTCCGTCAAAACAACCACGTTCTTGTCGTCATTGGCGAGCTTGAGCAATGCGTCTCTGCTGAAGCCCCACTCCAGACTCAAATCGGACGCAATGATGACTTTTCCACGGCCGTCATTGTTGTTCAGAGCCTTTGCCAACTGTCCGGGTGTCGATACCAGATTCAGATATAAGAAGTCGAATGGTCCGGCCTTGTTTCCGGAGGTCTCCGCATCCTTACTGTCTTGGTCACCACGACGTCGTCCCCCCCCCCTTCGACTAGACTTCTCGGCGATGGACTCGAATTCCCGGACTACCGCCTCGTCCATCCACTCCAACATGCTGCCGATCACCTGGCCCAGGCGCTTCGCCTTTCTTCCGGCCAGATACAAGCTAATCCCTTGCCCTTGCCCTTTGCCGGATAACCTCCCGTCCTTTCTCCAAGCATGCTCTAGAAGATACGCCAACTCCAGCACTCTCCCCACCGAATCCGTAGGAATCAAAACTGTCCCTCCATTCTGCACTGCCACCTTTCGTATCATGTCCAGCAGAATCCCATCTCTCTTTTTCCGGCCTCCCGCCATATTCGTGACGGTCGCATTCTTCGATGAACACACCAAAGCCGTCGGCTTCAGTAGCGCCTCTTGCACCCTCCCTCCCTCTCCACTGAGGAAAGCAGCACCCCTCAAGCAGTTTTCCCTTGACAAGTTCCAATCAACCGCATAGACAATCGACTCCTGTGCCTGCTGAATCTTCCATATCGTTCCACCCAGCGAATGGCCAGCGGAGTACGCCGTGATTGTGACACTACCAAGCTTGCCAGCGACTCTGGCGACGGCGGAATGTAGAGGCGTCGGCTGCGAGTACTTCAGAGTAACGATCTTTCCGCAGTAGGAATCAATCTCACTTGGTGCTGGCGGGAGCTTCAATGCGTTCTCCGGTAGCTCGGTAGTAGTTCCGGACGGCAAGATGCTTGAAGGGCTAGAGAGGTAGGGTGCGGCCGTCACCGCGGTGCCCTGTAGTCGCGTGAAGGACTTTGGCGTCGAGAGGTAGATATCCTGTAGCAGCAACCGGCCAAGGTTAGAGACTGGGAAGGTCGAGTACACGGGTATCGAGTTGAAGTTGGGAATGTGTTTGCAGGCGTGTGCGTATGCGCCCATGTGTTCGAGGGTCGGGTGTGTGAGGAGGATGAGATCGATGGTCGGTGTGTGGCGCTCTAGTTCTGAGAGCATCTTAATGTCGAAGCTGTTGTCCCAGCCTACGTCGACGAGGATCTTGATGCCATTGTCAAGCTCGAGGAGGGATTGGCAAGCGGGTGAGTCGGATTGTGCGCCGAGCAACGCCGTGAAGTGGAACATGGTCGATTGGCAAGTGCTGCCCGTACTGCCGGAGAGTCGTGGTGTGGAGAAGTGATGTCCGTACTGCCAGAGAGTCGTGGTGTTTAGGAGTGATGTACCGGAGTGAAGGTATAATGATATGATGGCGGTAAGAATAGAACCGCCAAACAGTGTTGTGTTGCTCGGTTGTCGTGCAGTTCGGTTTTACTTTCGGATTAGACGGTTCGGATTTCACGCGTCGCGCAGGTGCTACGCACGGACCAGGTCGCAGCCTAGCCGCGGCCAAGACTTCGAGCTATCATTTAGCGTCGAAATTTTGATTGTAGTTTCGCAGACGGTGGACGAATTCGAGACGCCAACATCAACCCGCCAAAACCTACATTTCGACCATGCCCCGCCGTCGCGAGTCTTCTCCCGCAGAGAGCGAGTACGAGCTCGATATTTCCAATGCGCTCGCCGACTCGGAATTCCTGAGCGACGACGATGGCACCGGTGCGCCGCCGCCTCGTGCGCCGAACACAAATCAGACGTTGGATGTCGGCGACATTCTCGACGGTAGCGATGATGAGAGTGGGGATGAGGAAGCGGCATTTATTGCTGCTCAGCAGTCGGCAATGAATAGGAAAGGTGGAACGGACAAGAGCGGAAAGAAGAAGGGTGGAGGGTTTCAGGCGATGGGGTTGAGCAAACATATGTTGAAGGCCATTGCGCGGAAGGGTTTTTCGGTGCCTACACCTATTCAGAGAAAGACAATCCCGTTAGTTATGGATGGCCTGGATGTTGTCGGTATGGCCAGGACTGGTAGTGGAAAGACAGCGGCTTTCGTCATTCCCATGATCGAGAAGTTGAAGACGCACAGTGTGCAGGTACTTGAGCAAAATCATGAGGACCATGGTTGGATGCTAACTGCTGTCTATAGGTCGGTGCAAGAGCAATTATATTGTCGCCCAGTCGTGAATTGGCCCTACAGACGTTGAAGGTCGTGAAGGATCTCGGGAAGGGTACCGATCTCAAGTCGGTGCTGTTGGTCGGAGGAGACAGTCTGGAGGATCAGTTCGGCTTCATGGCCAGCAACCCCGACATGTAACTCCCTCATTCTCCTCTAGTTCTCCCGATGCTAACAATCTACAGCATCATCGCAACCCCCGGTCGTTTCCTCCATCTCCAGGTCGAGATGGAGTTGGATCTCAAATCCGTCCAGTACATCGTTTTCGACGAAGCTGATCGTCTGTTCGAGATGGGTTTCGCTTCGCAGCTTACGGAAATTCTCTACGCCCTCCCCTCGAGCCGCCAAACCCTCCTCTTCTCCGCCACACTGCCAAAAGCCTTGACGGAGTTTGCAAAGGCCGGTCTTCAGGAGCCTACACTTGTGCGTCTCGACGTGGATTCCAAGATTTCGCAAGATCTCGAGTCTGCATTCTTCACTGTGACCTCTTCCGAGAAGGAGGGTGCCCTTATCCATATCCTCAAGAACGTCATCAAGATCCCTATGGGCGAAACTGGTATCAAAACGGTCCTCAAGCTGGAGGATGGAGGAGAACCGCAGAAGTCATACAAGAAAAGGAAACGCGGACAAGACAAGAACCCAGCCGGAAAGGAAGCACCATCATTATTCTCCACCATCATCTTCGCTGCCACGAAACATCACGTCGAATACCTTGCCGCGCTGGTGAATCGCTCTGGATACCCTGTATCTTACGTGTACGGTGCACTCGACCAAGTTGCGCGCCGACAGCAAGTAGCCCGGTTTCGCTCTGGAGAGACGCAGGTTCTGGTGGTGACTGACGTTGCCGCCCGTGGTATCGATATTCCTTTGCTGGCAAATGTCATCAACTTCGATTTCCCGCCGCAGCCAAAAGTGTTCGTCCATCGTGTCGGACGTACTGCTCGTGCTGGACGAAGAGGTTGGGCATACTCCATGGTTCGCGCCGAGGATGCACCCTACCTCATCGATTTGCAACTGTTTTTGGGTCGCAAGATCATTTTCTCGAAGGAGGGCGATAAGAAATCGAGCAAGGACTTCAACTTTGCCCAGGATGTCGTCGTGGGAACACTACTGCGAGACCCCGTTGAGCGCTGTGTCGAAGCCGTCAACAAGCTCCTTGAAGAGGATACTGAGCTTTACTCACTGAAGGGGGTGTCAGTCCGAGCAGAGAAGCAGTACAACCGCTCCCGACCATCTGCATCTAGCGAGAGCGTCAAGCGCGCCAAAGAAATAGTGTCGAGTAAAGGTTGGACGACATTGAACCCCAAATTTGCGGATGAAGTCGACGCCATGGAAGTCGAGCGGATAAAGATGCTCGCCCGAGTTTCCAATTTCCGGCCCACCGAGACTGTCTTCGAGGTAGGTCAGCGGGGCAAAGACAAATCCGAGGCAGCAACGATAATGCGAGCACGCCGTGAAAAGATTCGGATCGATCCATCCAACCGTCACCGTGCTACACAGGCCGACGATTCGGACTCTGAAGACGACGAGGAGGCGGTCAAGGACAAGGCTGCCAATGACGAGGACGGTCTAGGCGACGACGAGGATGTCGACATGGCCGCAGCCTCCGACGACGAGCTCGCCGCAACCTTCACCACCAAAGCCCAGCGCAAAAAGAGCAAGAAGCACGGCTTCGAAGACCCAGAACACTTCATGTCTTACAACCCCTCCATCTCGCTCGCCGAAGACCGTGGGTACTCCATCACCGGCGGCGTAGCCTCCTTCACAGAAGCCGCACGCACCGCACAAATGGATCTTGCCAGCGACGAACGCAAGGGCTTCGGCGAAGCCAGCAAAGCCAAGGGACTGCGCTGGGACAAGAAAGCCAAGAAATACGTTGCACGCGCGAACGACGAGGACGGGTCCAAGGGCGCTCGCATGATCATCGGCGAATCTGGCCAGAAGATTGCCGCGTCGTTCAAGAGCGGACGGTTCCAGACATGGAAGAACGCCCACAAGATCGATCGCATGCCTCGTACGGGTGAGCTTGAGAAGGGTGGCAACAAGTTCAGCAATGGACCGGGCAACAACTCCGCCCCCATGGGTGGAAAGCTCCATGGCAAGATGTATCACAAGTCCACTGCGGCGCCGAAGAGACCGGACAAATTCCGTGACGACTTTGAGGTGCGTAAGAAGCGGTTCGCCGAGGCGAAGGAGAAGGGTCTCGTCAAGGGTGTTGGAGCAAAGAACGAGATCAAGAGTAATACCGAGATTGAGAAGGGCCGGAGACAACTGGCAAAGAGGAAAGAGAAGAATAATAGGCCCACCAAGAAGAGGAAGTTTTAGATTAGTTGCTTGCTTGTATTTTTGTACCTACCTATTTTGGAGTTGAAGGTTAAGGAAAAGTTCGTTCGTATCGTACATAGCGCTTGTAGAGCGTACTAAAGTTTGCTTGCACAGGCATAAATGTATTATATGTATCATATTGTAGTGCACATCAATGAAGCCTCGCTAGCTCAATCGGTAGAGCGTAAGACTCTTAATCTTAAGGCTGCGGGTTCGACCCCCGCGTGGGGCTTCTCTTTTTTGCCTCTTTTTCTTCCAGTCCTCCCACTCGCAACTGAGCCCATCTTTTAGTACCCGCCCATTTCTACCACTCACGAGTCACGATCGTAAAGTAAAACTAAGAATATGTATTATGTACCTGTAATGAGCACTCACACGCTATTCGCCAGGAGGATCATAACATCACAGCAGAATGTTAACATCAACACGTCTCATTCGTCAGCATCCATCCATCCAAACCAAACAGAAACTCCCAACCCAGATGCAAGAGCAGACCAGCTATATCATCCATCCAAACAGCCAAAAACCCCGCTCTAAAAGAGAACGCCCTCCTGATCCTCTTGCTCATACAATAGGTATAGTACAAACAGCACAAATTAAAAGCAAACGAAAGAAAAAAGAATATATGCACAAGAAAAGAGTATGCTCGTTCATCACCATCATGGTAGGTATTCTAATGATTAAACCTTCTGCTTCTCCTCCGCCTCTTTGATCCTATAACGGCACAGCTCAGCGGCACATCGAGCATCGATGGCAGAATCATGGCCCTTGAGCCCCGAGTCTCCACCATCGACCTGGATCTCCCTCCCCAGGAAGTGCTGCACAATGTACTTCAGTTTATTGCGCATGGGGAGGCCCCTGTTGTGTGGGAACAGCACGGCGGTGTCGACAATAGCCTCGTGGCACATTCGGAGGTGCAGCAGGTCATTTTCGAGCGCATGGCCGATTAAGATTGTGTTCGGGCCGATGTAGTGGTACAACGCTTTCCTGGCTTGCGAGGGCGATGCGAAGATTCCCAGTTTCTCCGGGGGCGAGTGAGTGGTTGGGTTGATCAGCTCGGTACTGGAAACATCGGGATATGGGGCGGTGGGGCGCCATGGTGATGCTGAGGTGAGCATTTCCGAGGATACGCCGGAGAAGCGGGTGTTGAAGTCCAATACAACGCCGTATGGCTTCACGAGCGCGTCGATGACGATCTTGCCGCTTGGAAAAGCAGTTGCAGTTATTCGTGTCAGCTCCATTCCGTGCGTAGTGTACGACATTTCGCAATCCAGAGCAAGGGCCCGTTCGGTTTTAATGTTAGGATTCGGGGGTGTCTTGCTGAAGGGAAGTTGGAGGGCCAGTCGCTTTGGATCCGTGACTTTGAACACGTGTGTTGGAGCAGTCTCACAGCCATTATGGAATCCGACCACACCGCCGCAGCATGTCCACTTCGCCTCGGAGATCGTGCCAGGGGTCGATCGGGGTCCGGCTTTACGTCCGTGGTGGTAGGTACATGTTCCGCCGGTTGTGAGGGCACCATCGCTTATCCGTCGGCCGGGGAAGACCTGAAAACGTTGGGTGCAGCGCTCGCAAGTTTCATATCCGCCCGCGGCTTCGACACCCGCACGGGCTTGCTCGATCTCGGCAGCTGTTGGGGGGGTGAGTATGTAACTATGCTTCTTGAGAGTTTCGACACCGACAACGAAATCGCGCAGACGGGTTAATTCAGTGGGCTTTGGGAGACCAGTATCAAGTGGCAGCTTCGCATTCTCCAGACCAGCTTTGCTTGTCGGTGAGACGACGGGCGCGGGTGTGGCCTTCACCCTCTCCTCATCCAGCTCCTTCTTGTAGTCTTCCATTGTCGCCTTCTTGTATCGCATGCACAGCTTGCCCATCGCCTGACGATATATCTCCCTTTTCTTCAACGCAATATCTTCCTCCAGATCCAGACACTTGCAAATGATCGCCTGAGTCGCGGCGTCTCCTTTAGGATTACCAGAGAGACGGGTGAGCTCTGTCTGTAAGATCTGCAGATACTGGAGCCGTTGGCCGTGAGGTGCCGGCGACCGTTGTATCAGACGAGGGTTCAAAGTCTGACGAACGACGGGTTTCGAGGTTTTGGTCGAATCGAAAGATTTTGCGGTTAGCGACATCGCGGTGGTAGTTTTTGGACGCTTTAACGGATCGGCTTTGGTGACAGTCGAAAGTGTAGGAGAGTCTGGGGCTGGTCGTTTGGGTGGTCTGCCTGATGTTGCCGTGGTAGACTTCACGGTTCCCGCTTTGTTCGAAACGGCCGTCGTGTTGGAAGGCACCTACACATGACATGCGGTCAGTTAAACATAGGTACCGCTTAGTCGGGCCCGGATCCACGTCCGGGTCTCAGCGGGACACAAACATGATTTCCATAGAATTCATCGACAGGTACATCACTTCCTCCTGCCTTCGAGGTCTTGAGCTTCTTGCTCGACTGCGCTGGAGTCGGCCAGGCATCCGACGAAGCTATGACCGACGAAGCTCCAGGCGACACGTTTCCAGTCTCGACGGCTTTCGACGCGCCCTTAGTTGCCGAGTTGATAGCATCTTTGACATCTTTTGCAGCTCCGCATTGCACCTCAACTGATCTAGGCCGTTTGTCCCTCGCTGCCACAAGATCCTGTGTCTTCTTCGCTTCCGTGATCTTCTTCCCTTCGACAATGTCCCGTAACCGTGGATCCACCGTCTTCTTCGGCGGTGTAATAGCGGGCGGCGGCTCGTAGCTATCTTCTGGTTCTGTGGGCGTGGGCGCGGGCGCGGGCGCGGTGATAGGCTTGGATGGTGGAGGAGGCGCCGGGGGTGGTTGAGGAAGGTAAACTTCGTGCGAAAAGAAGCATTGCGGAATAATACATGGCTGCCCGTCCAATGCAGCTGGACAAAAGATAGGATCGGCAGCCTTTGAAAATAGGCGAAGTGGGCGGAACATGGGAGAGCTGGAGATAATGACTTTCTAGAAGCTTGTGGTTGTGCTCCTGTTATGGGTAAGAGTTGGGAGCAAGCTCTCTTTACGCTGGTTAACTCTATTTGTATAGAGTGGGCACGGACCAGGCGGCTGATTTCTGAGCTAGCCCGGTACGAATCAGACGAGTGAGATTTTGTGGCAGCGACAGATGGAATTTAGAATTTAGAGAACTGCCGAATGTTCAATGGTAATATGACTGAACGGGAACGGCTCAAAGAAGTCTATCTATGACGAATGCTGTACAGTTCTAAATCCCCTTCATCTAGTCATAACGATTAGATACGACAGTACCGTACTATGGCAACGTCCTCATCACCGCCTCGAATGCAACCAACGCCATAGCATTGGCCGGGAATGCCCTTAAGAAGCACGGTACAAATCCGCTTTAAACACGTCAGTCAACAATTCATTAGCCCTTCAGGAACACATCAGCTTACCGCCAGTACCCCTTCCACCCATTCTCGTGGTATACCGTCTTAGCAGCATCTCTCCACCGTCTGAACTTCCTCTCGCCGGGCTCCAACGGATCCGTCATGATCCTCTGCTTCACGACATCACTGGGGTAACTCGTCAACCAGAAAGCCTGTGCGCTCAGTCCGCCGGCCCAGAAGTTCACCATGGGAGCTGACAGCGTCGTCTTTTCTTTCAGAATATTCGAGAAAATCTCATATGACCCCCACCAGACGAAAAAGAATGTTCTAAACAGCATCGTTGCTCCCAACCCATGATAGAGCCCTTGGATACCATGCCCTCGCACCAGCTGTCGTGTACAATCTATGGGTCCGCTGTAGCGCGGCTTGGTCGTGGAGCCTGCACGATGGTATTGGACCTGCAGCCGAGCCTTGACGTGTTCCACTGGCGCCGCAATAAAGGAGACAGTCCAGCCGGCGAATACTCCTGCCGTCGCATGGCCTATCACTGGGAGGGCCGGTTTGTCGTGGTAGACGTAGGTTTTGAGGAGCGCGCGGTAGTTGGAAAGGGTGCCTAGCATTCTAGAAGGAAGTGCGCCCGCGTCAGCACGAATCCTGCAGTGCGCGGGGGCGGCGAAGTGAGGGATCAAAGGGCTTTGCTTACATCGAGTCCATGAACATCCATCCTACCAATGGCGGAGTTGCGCCTTTGTAGAGGCCACGGTAGGACTCATGGCGCCACGTCTTCAGGAGGCAATCCCACGGACCCTTGAAACGCTCCGGCGGCGACGTCTGGAGGCGAACTTTTATCGTATCGAAGCTATGATAATCAGCATATTATCCCGGTACTCGGGCCAGTCCTCAACCCGGTGGGTACGGGCCGTACGGATGTCCAACTGCTCTGGGAATCAGCACTACTCCTATCCGTCTGCTCTTTGATGGATGGCGGGCCACGCACCGGCCAGCTTTGAGATCCCCGAGAAAACGCCTCCGACGAAGCCTCGATACGGCGAATGTTCCCTTTGTATTGCGGGAGGAGCTGAAACAGCATTTTCTGAAACGACAGAAGACATTAGGACAGACGCGTAAGCACGTGGCAGTGGTGGGGAAGCTTGGATGACGTGTTAAATGAGATGTAGTTATATCGATATCACGATTATTGGTTCGCAGCCGAGAATTGCTGCTTTTTTTCCGGACGGTGATGAGGGGAACTGCTTGCTGGGAACATCCAGGAACGATGATCGCTTAATTTATCACTCGATCGCCTTGCAAGATAACGTTGATATTTCCAGAATTGTCGTGAAGCATCAAATATACCCGTGCGGGCTGGATAAACGTGATGATCCTGAGATCAGCCCACAAAATTGGCTGTAACTCCGATGCCGAAACACCCTCGGGATCAGTATCATGTCACTACCGCTCCTAGCCGGGTGATGTCAGTCCTTACTTCATAGTAACGTCATTCACGCGGATCAATCGTTCTTATATACCGTCCAACCTCGCAGAAGAGAGGCCATTCAGTAAACACCACAAGTAGCTCCATTCACGAAACCTACATTTCAGACTCAACGAAGACTCAAACACCCTACCAAACCTCCACAATGTCCGAGAGCACCGAGAAGACTTTCCACGTCACCGCCGAAGACATCCGCAAGCTGGAGAGCCGGCAGTCCAAACAACACGGCGGCAAAGTTCCCAAAAGCTCCGACGCATCTGTCCTGAAGGCATATTCTCCATCCCCTCCCCTCCACTTCCACCACTCCCACTGACCCGCTCCCGCCAGTCCATCGTACACCAAAACAAGGGCGATCCCACAGACGTGCAAGCCAACCTTCCGCTGCCCGATGATCCTCCCGGATCCAGCGACATGAAGAGCGCCGATGCTCGGTTCCACACCGGCGTGGGCAGCGGACGGTTCTCGGGAGATGTTGCGCGTGATCCCCAGAGACAACCGGCTACGCAGGCCAGTGCCGCTAGGGAAGATGGAAAGATCCGTCATAAGGAAACTGTGTAAGATATACGTTGCTGGTGGGGGAGATACTAAGGCAAAGGATGAAGACAATGCAATTATTGGGGTTTGGAAGCATGTGAACTCGTTTCATATTAGAACTTTGAACATGTGCTCAAACATTCACTTCCCAAGTAAATAAAAATACAAACCATTGAGCTACCGGAGAAGCGATGGATGGTTGAGCCAGCTCCAGACAGCTATGTAGTCGACTCGTCCCTATGAGCTGCCGCTGAGGGGCCTGGCCTTGAATTGACAGCCTCAAGTAGCCACCGGAATCAGTAGCAATGATCTTGAACTGACTCCGCTACGTCCAGTTCCGTCACTCTTTTAAGCTTGATCGCACAGAGCCCCACGGTCCTTGCGAGTACGAGTATGCATCTCATGATCCAACCATCACAACCTTGCCGCCAGGTTCCATTCCCATCACGCACAGCCATCTCCAGCACAAAATATCAGCCCGTCCCACCCCTACAGCTTGTAGAAGCAAAAGAAGAAAGCCCCACGCGGGGGTCGAACCCGCAGCCTTAAGATTAAGAGTCTTACGCTCTACCGATTGAGCTAGCGAGGCGCTTTCATGGTGTTGCTAAGCTTCTACAAACTATGAGTTATTTGATAATGGCTGTTGGAGACTTGGCCTGACCACCAATCGGCAATAACTTTGGAATGCAAGTGGCATAGATTCCCAATCCAAACTTACCGCACAGATTCTCCGGTGTACTCTATGTACTAACTATTATCCACCGAGGTCTCAATTCGAAATTTCCTTGTGGTGTTGATAGGACCTTGTAGCCGTCTTCGGTCACGATTCCGCACCACGCTGGTTACCAGTAACCCAGTTAACACACAACTCTCATATAACTTTTCAATGACATTTGGTGGCGGTGAGGACGAAGCTACCTGAAGTCTTCAGCCTTCTCTGAATCATGTTGTGTTTATTTAATAGTTCCTGGTTTCCCGGCAGGTTGGATCATACAACATCACCGTGACAGTGCACATAGCGGATCATCTACGAGCAGTGGAGTCTCGGCGGGATGTTGCCCGCACTATGGAATATTTTGATGTTGGTGGCTTTAGTTATGACATGTCTCTGAGTGTTCGAATCTGGCTGGCTGGTTGATTGGTTGGCGGTTGGCTGGGAGCGAGGCTGTCGGATGATCAGGTGTTGGTTGGATTGAAATTTGAGGCTGAGTACCATATGGGATGATGGAATCCAACCGGAGTGTGTACCATATCACTGAGCCCGATCCGAGTAGAGTACCCAGTTGACCATCCCGAACGATTCCAAGCCTCTGCATGGAAGCCAGTAGTCAACGACTGGCACTTCCCATCTACTTTCAAATTCCAAGTGTCAGCCGCCGAGTGACATCCCATGATCCCGACTTCCACCGAAACCACCACCACGAATTTCCAAGGGATAGGACAGCTTGTGTTTTTCCCCATCACTCTGGGATACATAGGATATCGAGCGGCTGAAACTAGTACCTACACTACATACACTACCAACCGACTGAAGTGAAACATCCACACGACCCCAACGCTCGTACATACCGATACTAATGCCAGACCGGCCGCTCGGCGCTGGGACAGCTGAATGATGCACTTCATCATCTGTGATATTCCAGCACTACTGATACCTCGCGGAGGCTCAGTCAGACAGCCCCAGCTGTCCCGCACCTACTAGGTACCTAGAGGAACCCACCGATAGCCAGAGTATTTTGCCTATCACAACTGCAAGCCCACGGGCAATAGTCGCACATACACACCGATAACTATCAGGCTATGGCATAAACGCATCATAGGCAACAGGAAGATCCGCACTTACATTATGTAGCCCTAGAAGCCTTGTGGCTCGTGGGCGGCTGTGTCGGGAAGTAGTTTGTGCATGTACCATGGAGGCGGTATCGGACCTGGGTGCGGCAATTTGGACTTGGCTCGTATCGAGATCGAGCCGGCCTGTTGGTGGGGGAGGAGGGAGAGGGGGGAAGGCAACCAATAGGGTCGAAGTTGCACCTACTAGAGTGGAGTATAGAGACCTCACCTGACCGCTGAAAGGCTCGCGCCGTTAAGTCGCGTAGTAACTACACAGGTAAATGCACAGTTGCGTGCATCATTGGGGCACAGCGGAGTCAGGCACAGTTCTTTCTCTCCGGGGTCTTGGACGGACTGCGCATTCTTCGAGTTCACCAGGTCTCAAGTACTAGTATGTAAGTCGAGGGGAGAAATATCGATATTGTTTACCTACTGTTTACCTAACAGGCATACCGAGGGAGGGAGGGTAGACCAACACTGCCATCCCCCCAAACCGAATGGCTCTTTGAAGCACCCATCCATCCAACCATACAATCGGCCCCATTGTTCCCCAGCAGGCATGGTGCACCGCTCAAGACCGATCAGGAGTCTCACCATATCGAGTGCAACCCCATGAAACTCCCCCTACTCCCATCCTCCACTCCACCCCTCCCCGTCCTCAGAAACAAAATCAACGTCATTAGTTACTTCATATCCCCCTCCACAACAAATTCACTCAATCCGCGATCACCGCTATACGATGTATCAAATGTTTCATCCCACCACCACCAACCCAGCAAGCCCAAACCCAGCAAGCCCAAAAGCACGCCTCCAGACTCCAGACTCCATGTCCAGAGTCCCGCCCTAGGTACTCCAGGGTACTACGGTAGTCAGTACCCAGCGCCCACCCCCAGCAGTTCCCACACCAGCCCAGACCAAACAAACAGCCAAACAGCCAGCCAAACAGCCAAACATCCACACAGCTGGCTCAAAAACCCCTCCGACTCTTCCCTCCGACTCTTCCCTCCGCCTCTTCTCTCGCACTTGCCTCGCACTCGTCTCGCCCTCCTGTCTCCCTCCTGTCTCCGCGCCGTGCCGACTACATATGTAGAGTACATGACAACGGCACTAGTTACTAACGAACGTGCAAGGAGTACATACTAGTAGGTAATCCGCGTCGTCACCCCCCACCCCAGTCCTACCCAGCTCCTGCCCTATGAGAGTGCGAGCGTGGACGAGAGCGAGCGAGAGTGAGAGGGAGGCTGTGCAACCCAACAAACAAAAACGCAAGAAAAACAAATACGGACCCGACCCGAACTAGGACCGGAGTTGGATACCGACACCGGAGATGACAGGTGACATGGCTGGGTGGATTTTTTTTTCATTTTTTTTTCATGGATGAGAGGTTCAGCTCGGCTAATGTGGAGTTTTCCCTATGACTTTGCGTGTGGCGTACTGGGGCTGGCAGCCTGGCAGGTGTCGGTAGAGTAGAGTAGAGTAGAAACGTAAGAGCTGCGTGAAGAGCTGCGTGAAGAGCCTTCCCTCCTCGAGGCGCTATGGCGCAATAGGAATTGTAGAAGAGGTAAGAAATTGAAATGTGTATAGTGGGGTGCTGTTGAGTTTCGTTTCGTTTTGAGGTTGTGTTCCAATGGTACTAGTAATTGCAATTGTAACGAGTATGTAATTCATGACAATTCGTGCTCGTAGTACAATACATGATACACTGTTATTACATTTGACCAACGCGTTCGGCGGAAAGGTCATAGAAGACAAGACGCGGTAAACGGGTGTAGATGTACAGGAGAAAGATCTCTATCTATCTAGACATCGACAATGACCGCGCCGCCGGGAACATCCATTCTCCTCAGCTTGCCGGCGATGGCAACGTCGACGCCGCACTCGCTCGCGCCGCCAAAGCAGCCATCGATGGTCCTCTCTTTTCCATCATTCTCGACCCTGCGAACATCCTCGATCTTCCCGACGGCGCCGAACTGCAAGCCGTTCTCAGCGGGGGCACCATTCTCAGCGATGAAGAACTGTATCCACTGTCCCTTCTGGACGATGCCATCGTGGACATAATCCGCGTCACCATCGAAGCGGGCCTCAAACTCGTGCGCGAACTGCGACACATCACGCTCGTTCTGCGGATCGAGCGATAGCAGCCCCGCTTTGGAGCCCCAGCCGCCGCCGCCAGAAAGTACCCGGTGCAGACGCACGCCCGGCTGGAATAGCAGCTCCGTCACGTCCGAGGATGGCTCTTGCGTCGTCAGCCGCGCGAAGACATCGACCCTCTCCGGCGTGTCTACGCCTTCCGGCAGACTGTCCAGATACTTATCCACGGCGGATTCAAGTTCACGACTGGCGGCCTCGTCGCCATCGCCGTCTGGGCCCTCTAGAGTTCTGAGGATGTTACCCATTCCCTCAGTGATCTTGCGCGGCTTTGTAAGTGGGGTCAACGGCATCTGGGAGTACATCTTCCCCGACGCACTGCCAGGGCCGTCTTTGAGGACCTCGTCCGAGATCTGGATCTCGACGCTATCTGAGGGAACAGGGTTCGGGATGACGATGCCACTCTTCACGCCCACCATCTTCATCAGGTCACCGAGCTCCTGCCACGCCTCCTTGATATCTTCCTGTGCATTCGCAAACTCATCCACTTCCGGGTCAGAGATGCCTACGGCCGCCTCGATCAACTTGGGCCGGGCAGTGGCCTTCATGTGCACCACCGTGGACTCCTGGCCGTTCTGGAACACAGTGTTTGCCAGCGCGAGCGTGAAGTTCGCATTGGGCAGGGAGAAGGTAAGTGATTTGAGCTTCTGGGAAGAAGGAAGCCTGATCGGTAATGAATGGTCGGTAATCAACCAGCTGTAGCCGGTCACACGCGAGCCATTACCGCCTTTGCTGCCGGGCAGGGAGTCCACCGAAGCTGACAAGAGGGTTACGGTTGAGTCGTTGGTGAGCGGGAATAAAGCGGGAGCGGTAAGGGATGATGCCGCGTCCGGACTCGTCAGGAGAATGATGGTGTTCGGGGGTGCCGGCAGGTTTTTGGGTAGCAGCGGCGGGTTCTTTTTTTGCGGGTAAATGTCAGCACTTTGCAAAACGACGGGCTGTTTTTCACTGATGCGGATAGAAGGATAGAGGGCAATTCAGAAGTAGATTCACGTTCGCAGCATTCACCAAATTTTGGTGTCAAAGTGAGCTGGGTAATGAAGTGTGTTCATCCTTATGACGGGCAAGTGCATGGGAGAGGAAGTACGGGTAGCAGTTGGGCATGTTTCGCCGCGATCCACCTCGATGGGAGAAGAATACGGCGATGAAACATGGCAAAGGTACATTCCCTCTCGGACAGGACGGGAGGGGAAAGGAGGCAGGGGAAACATGAGACAAACGGGGTTGACTGACCTTTGGGTTCAATGTTGTACGAAGCAACAAGTAGCTCCGGCGTGCAGATGCATTTTGTGGTGGTGGAGATGGAAGCCGCAAATGTTGAGGAGTAGCGAGGGACGAAGTTCTCGTTCGCAGAAGGTGAAGGATGGAACTTCGAGCAGAGATGGGGGCCATGGCTCTCTCTTTTATGGTGGAGGGGTGGGGTGGTGAACGGTGGGGCGGGGAAGGAGCGGTGAAATTTTTCGGCGTTCTGCTAAGCGTGGACTTCCACTCTAGTCGTTTAGTCACCGCTGCTAGTAGCGACAGAGACTCCGGCGCACATGCCGACCTGCCTCCTGCTTCTTACCTCTCTTCTTGCACTTCCTACACTTCTCGCTCTGCACTCGCGAAGTGCGGCTCAGGCTGTCAAGGTTCGCCACCTCTTCCCGCTCGGAGCGACATTCTACGAGCTGGATCTGGGAGGGATTTATTGGCAGGGGGAATTGGTTGAAGTGTTTGCACAGCAGGTACTCTACGAGTGCCTACTTGCCTACTTGCCTACTATAGGCGCACAATCACATCCTTCATTGCACATCTCACCCGAGAAGAGGAATCCCGCAGGAACAGCCCGGTGGGGGGGTAGATTGGGCGATTAACAAGATTGGTTGATTGATTGATTGAGCCGACGCCGGATATGTGCCGTTTCTGCGTCGGGTTGGTTCCGGCAGACACAGCAGAGATGCTGAGATATCGATCGGATCGAGGCTGAAGATTTTCGGCATCCAATTCCCCTACGCACATAGTTACATATTATGATCAAGGTGGAAGGAATATTGATCGACCTTTGGACGGTTACGTCCAGCGAATCAACGGTGGGCATACAGAGTACCCGGGTTGATGGAGGGATGTCTGCCCATGTCCCACATTTGTCCGTGCCTGCCATCTTGTGTTCTTCGTTCCTTCCTTCCTTCCTGGTCATATTTCCCTGGTTACCGCTGAGCTGTGCCCAGGTGCGGCCGGCGGCTTTCCCTGCCCGCAGGCTGCAGGCTGCAGCTGACGCCCCCAAGTTCCCAAGTTCCCAAGTTCCCAAGTTCCCAAGTTCCCAAGTTCCCATGCAGTTCTCATCCTCTCATCCTCTCACCCTCTCATCTTCTCATCCTCTATGTATCCAAAGCAGATTGGCCATTTTGCCGCCGCCTTAGTCCGGTCGAATTTTGTGGCTGTTCGAACTCCGGGAAGCCTTGACGCTCTCGCCCTCAAGACTTTTCAAGTTTCGCCACCTCAGATCGGTTCGAACTCAGCTTGCTTGCGCGCACATCCGTGCAAACGCGTTTGGCGCGAAGGCCTGGCCACATCCAATCCGCTCGAAGCGTCATCCACAATGATGGCGATGACAACCATGCAGCCCGTCGATGGCGCACGACATGTCGCTTCGCTATGTAGATACTCTATCCATATGTAGGTAGCGTGGCTTTGATGGGTTTTGTCGGCGCACCGCGGTATCATTGGTACTCACATCACTCGGACGTTATACGGCTCGCCCTTGGATTTCGGGCTCAGCACTAGTATCATAGGCAGGCACGCCGCTGACGGCTCCGCAGATGTGCCGGACGAGGCTGGCGCCTTCGTGCATCGGACTAGATGCTTATGCAATGACCCTTTCCATCACCGAAGCTCCTCGCACTAGAGTACAAAGTGCCGAAGTACTGCGGTCTTGTTGGCATCTATGCATAATATGCAGCCGCAGCGCGACCGGACAACATTGAGATGGAGCATTGCTCTCGGACGAGGCGATTGCATTCACCGAGGGAATGAAACTCGTCATTACGGCAGAGGAGCTTGACGGGAACGGTACCGAGGTCTGGACGGGCTTCACGGTTAGGTAGATCTGTGAGGTCGGCAGTGCCGGTCGGGCAATCTCGCACCCAACACCAACACACCTACGGTACCGCCCCGGATCCGTCGGTGAATCCTCAACAACCGGACACGGCGTGAAGGGCTGAAGGCTCCCTATGTAGAATAGAGTAGAGTAGAGCAGAAAAGAGCAGAATAGGTGGGGCAGAATGGAGCCTCCATCAGCCGCAGGAAATGGCCGCTTCACCTACGGAACCTACCTAGGCCACATCCAGAACAGTGGCCGACGTACCCACTCTAGAGTAGAGTATCTAGAGTAGAGTCCGAATTATACGAATTATACGGGCCGTCGGTAAATGTACATATCCGGGCGGTTCTATTCCTGTTGGCGGCAAGAGAGATGTCCGGGGAGGAGGAGGAGGAGGAGGAGGAGAAACGAAAGCGAATTCGGGTGCCAAGACCCTTGCCGTTTTTTTCTATCATTGGACTTCTTCGGCCAGGCCGCGGGATTGGGATTGGACAGATGGAACCGGTCTTTTCGTTCTGCCTTTGGTCATCGTCATCATCGTCGGAGGGGGGGGGTGTAGAGCACATATCCACATACGGTAGTCCACCTATCTATCTTCAAAAAGCAACATCATCTCGAAAGCGAAAAGCCGTGGCAAGCCCCAGCGTTAGCCAATCACGACGTCTCATGAAATTGCTAGTAGCTCAACGAAGAAGGAAGGAAGAAGGAAGAAGGAGGGGGGGAGGCCGGCTAAGCTGTAAGGAGCCGTAGTGAACTCCGGCTTTGACTTGGTCGCTTCGCTTCGCGGGTGGGGGGGCCGCGAACACGTTGCTCTCCTGCCTGCCACGACGACACGACGACGAGACTCTCTCTGGCCTGGCCATTTCTGGCTGGTGCCTGCATGAGCCGCTAGGAGACAGATGCAGTGAGAGAGCTGGACAGGCACAGGCACAGGCACAGGCATATGCAGGAACAGGAACGGGGACGGAGACAGGAGCAGGAGCAGCAGCAGCAGGAGCGGCGACAGGAACGGGGACTGGAACGGGAATTTGAATGGGAACATGAACATGAACAGGGAGATGAACATGAATGGGAATATGAGCAGGAACAGGAACAGAGGTGAGTAAGCATCAATAGGCACCTCAGGAACGGGGGGGGGGGGTCGATGAAAGAGGCGAGCTGGCCTTCTCAGGGTATGCAGAGAAAAGTGCAGTTAATTTGTCGTGATGATTCCCATTTGCTGACCCCTGATCTGTTTGATCGTGTAGAGGCCATGTCCGAAGCATACCATACCGGTACCTATCGTGATTATCATGTCGGTCGGTCATCGGGATGCGACGGCTATGTACGCGCCACGACTAGAATTCGAAATCTGCACATATCGATTCAAGCCACATGCCCACTCAAAACACGGCTGCACGGAGGCGACCGCCTTCCAGCCCTGAAGAGTACGGCTTCCTCTGCCTATGTATTAATGCGCGCGCAATGTACTAGTACTGACTATCGTCGGCCAGATGGAGAGGAACGAGCACGAAGAACTCCACCGAAGCGCTAGGGAGATGCGGTGCGTTCATCGCGGCGATGGATGCGCAGAATGAAATGAGCCCAGAGAATCGAGGACAGCAGCGTTGCTTTCACCAGCAGCGATGGCTGGTGGAGACTCGGGAGGCTGATGAGGTACCGTAGAGTACATGCGGGCATAACTACATGGCCAGATCTCGGACCATCGCGCACACACCAGCGCTGGAAGCAAACGGAAAGCGGAGCACGGAAGGGGCCGGCATCAGATGCTGAAAGACCGGACGGATGCGGTGCCGACAGCACTGTCCTGGCGGGCTCTGAGAGTCGGATGAGTTAGTTCATCGGAATGCTCGTGTGCTTGGGGGCGCATGGAAGCAGAAGAAGACGGGACATCCAAAGCCCTACGGCCCTGGCAGAGACGGCGCCTCCCAAAGAAGGCAACGGAGCACGGGATGGAAAGTCCCGAGTGACGATCGTCCCTTGTTTTTCGGGTTCCGCATGCTTGTTTCGGGCGGCTTGAGCGGTAGCATTGCTGGGGCCGTAGAGATGCTTTCGATGCGAAAATTCATGGCAATTCGCCGTGACGGGCGTTAGTTATTCAGCAGAACACAGTGTGTAAGTATTGTAAGAGGGCGGAATGTCAGCTTTCGATCGTCTGGAATCGCCATGTCGTCTGAGGCGGTATGATATGTAAGTGCATGGCTTGTGATGTTTGCTAGGGCACTTGGGGCACTTGGAGCACTATCCACTGCCTGCCGCTTCCTACCGCCTACCACCTACCGTCTAGCGTGAATGGGCACCCAGGGGGCTATTGCGCCTCCAGCTCTGGCTGCTGCTTCTTATTATATCTCGCTGCTGCTCTGCTCTGCTCCGATCACCCATCATCATCACCGTCGTCGTCGTCTCCTGAAAATCATGAGGTAGCTTGACGGTTATTGGGGCCCACCTTGTCAGACGGAACGAACGCTTCAAGAACGAATTCGAACAGTCGCTCGCCGCCGCCGCCCTTGGTATGCATGGCATGAATCGATTCAATCCCAACCCCCAAAACCCATACTCAATCCAACTCTAGTCGCTCTCTAATTATTGCTCTTACATACTTCCTATTCCCTTCTTCGTATTATTGCCGTCATTATTCTTCTCGTTCCGTGTGCTGTTACTCTATCTAGAGTACTTTATCGTTGTCGTCGCTCTTTACTCTTTTCTCACTTACTCTCCTTTCGCGCACACCTAGTAAAAGTATAGTACTGTACATCCTCGCCTCCACCACCGCCCACCCTCTCGCTTCTCCCCCCTCCCCTTCCCTCCTTCCTCCACTCCCTCTTCCTCTTTCTCCTCCACCTCCATCTCCTCCTCCTCCTCCTCCCTCTCGCTACGAACTGTTTTCTTCGACGTTTCTGACGCCGTCGAAAAGGACCCATCTTGGTGTCCGTCCACTCTCTTTTTTCTTTTTTCGCGTTTCGTCTCGACCGCCAACTTACCTAACTTGTCCGTTGTTTCGAACCTGACGCGATTGCACGGCGCTGATCGCTCACCAACACCCGCAGCGAACCATCAGCCATCCACCCCAGGGTCTGCAGCAAAAACAAGCCAAAACAAAGACAACGGCGGCAGTTCTCCTCTTTTCGCTCTCTCTCTCTCTCTTTGCATAGCGATAGCTCGAAATTCCCAGGGGTGTGCGCACACCGAGAGAGAGACTGACTGAATTGTTTCTACCGACTGTTTTTCTTGTTCTTTGTTCGCTTTTACGCCCTTTCAACAAACCTACCTCATTCTCTAATAACTTGACGAACCAACCGCAATCCTCCCTGCTGCCGCTGTCGCCCGCAACGCACCTCGGTCATCCTGCCAACCAGAAGCCTGCGACCATACAGATCCCCACACTCCTACACCAGCAACCGGTTCAGGGTCTGTGGTTCCAGCACACATCGACTGTGCCCAGCGACCGACCACCTCCTCCTCCCTCCACCTCCACCACCATCATCGTCTGAACTGGATCCTCCCAGCAGCACCAGCAGCTTCGTCTTGTTATTCTGATTTCGACCAACTTTATTCGTTCCTTTTTCGGTTGGTCACTACACTCCTTTGCAGACAGAAAAAAAATACTTCAACTTTCACGACCCGCGATAAGCCAGCACTTATACTTTCGATCCCCCAACGTACTCGTAACTCTCGCCCCTGCCGGAAATCTGGAATTTGCTGCTTGTGCGACGAAAATCTGTATCTTGTGAAAAGGTTCTTTGTGAGACAGAGTCGTTTGAAGAGATACATCTTGTGGAAAAGAGAGGAAAAAGAAGGTTAGTGACACTTGCCCATCTCGCATCGGTTTTGTGGCAGGCATGCAGGCGGGCAAAAAAAAGGGCCGTAGGCGCATGTCGCTGTTTTCAGATGCGTCTTGCGTCTCCAAATGGTGAATCGCGGATACCTGCTTCTTGATTAGATTCGGGCAGGTTGCATGCTCGGCTGTGTGCGAGAATTGTGCGGTGCGGTCGTTAACTTCGTGAATCAGTGGCACGAGACTCCGACGAACACACTGTACGAACCCGTCCTTCCAATTCGTAACGATCGAATCTTGCTTCCCGCGAGTTCCGTTTTACGACATCTCCATACACCATACACCATCCACCACTATTACCACCACCACCCGAGAATCTTGCAGTTATTGCGCATTCGCTTCGTAATATACCACCAAACAAGACAGACAATCCGACAGACAAGATCATCATGGCGGCCACCACTGTTCCTCGTTCTCATTCCAGGGAATCGTCGATCCCCGACTTCGACTTCAATCCGAGCTTCTCGTTCCCTGCGCAACCGACGGCTCGCCCGAAATCCACTGGCCTTCGGTTCCCTATGCAGTTCGCGGCTACCGAGTCCGCTGCATTTCCGCCACGGAGGGGCTCGGTTCCAGCGATCGGTACTCTTGCAGTGGCACCTGTCAGTGCAAGACCTAGGTCCAGCCAAGCGGATGCTCTGAAGCAACTGAGCGCAAACTCGATGCAGATGGCTAACCGCGCATCTGGTCCTCCTAGCCCAGACTACACCACTACCACGTCATCCTCCCGTGTGCGACCCACTGGGAGAACCATTGGCGATGGAGTGTTGCCGACCGTCTTGAGCGCTACTGTTCGCTCTCACAACCGAGAGGCTAGTGAGCTGCTGCAGGTACCGATGTTGGATCCAAGGGTGGAGGAAACCACAACTGGTCCACCGCCGATTCAGAAGAGGGCTCCCCCTCCGCCAGGTGTGAACCTGCGCAAGGGGCACGCTCATCGCAGATCCGGGGCTATCTCTAGTTCGGATGTCTGGAGTCTGATGAATCAAACCGCGCCTCCTCTTCCAGCACCACCGGCCAAAGTTGCGACCACGGACCAGGCAAGTATGGAGCCACCTGCTGTTATCAACAAGAGTGCTCCTGCGAGCCCGAGCATCAACGCTGGTAAGTAACCTATAACGGATTTCAATCGTGTTACATGCTAACTCAGTTTAGAACAACCTCCCAAAACCCCGAATAGCTTCGTTTCTGATGCACCTTCGGAGCGAAGCACGCGTGTATGCTTTACCGAGAGCGTTCAGATCATCCCCAGACCGATATCCATTTCAACGGGATCGAGCGCTAGCACGGCCAGGAGGCATAGCGTTGCTGGTAGCGTTGGCAACTTCGCCCCGCCCCTGATCATCGATACGACAGCAACAAGGGCTCCTTCACCGAGCCGCCGTCCTCACAACCGAACTCGAAGCAATTCGCAGACCCTCGCACAGCCCACCGCTGCATTGCGTGCCCTGAGCGACCGTACCCAGGGCGACCGACCGTCTACCGCTGGTGCCATTCTCGCATCGCCACAGGTTACCCAGGCGCCCGAGCTTAACATCCCCGAGGTCCCATCGTTGAAGAGGCCAGCCAGCAATTCCCCATTCTTGAATGAGAACGCATCACCTTCCAAGCCGCCTTCGAAGAAGGCTCACAAGAAAGCCCAGAGCGATTTTTCGCCGCTGATGATGTCTAGCGAGTTTAGTGCGCAGGATGGTTCGACCAGTGATGGCAACGAAGACAAGAAGAAGAAAAAGGGAAAGAAGCAGATCAGGGGCTGGGCTGGCAACATTCTCGGAAAGAAGAGCAAGCGCAAGTCGAAGAAGTCGAAGCGTTCGCCCACTCCCCCCGTATCGCGATCCGCCGAGGACCTTACGCCAAGGGAAAACGAATGGGTTGCAACATCGTGGAATGAGAGCTACGTGATCATGCCAATCGATGCCGCGCCTCTGCCCGTGATTCCTAGGGTTGCCGTGTCTGGATGTCCCAGCAGTCCCGTTATTGACCTGGATGCAGCCTTGGGTCCGTTCAATGCCCCCGTGGAGAGCCACACCGGCTTCGCAGCTGCTCGGCGGAGAATGCACTCTGCTGCTGCCAGGGGTAGCGGGTCTTTCTTCCACCGCCGTTCGGAGAGCTTGCCCGAAATGGAGTTGTTCGCGCTGGAAGAGGATGAGGACCGCACCATGGAGGATGTGTTTGAGGAGGAAGAGGATGATTGCACTACTAGCGAGGAGGAGTCGAGTGAATCTGAGGACGACTCGGATGATGAGGGACAGATTGGCGGTGGCGATGGTCTCGGAATCGGAATACAGACGGAGGATGGGTGGCCCAACAAGACCGGAGCCGTTCACGTCAGTCACATCATCGATGCCGATCACAAGCGGCTCAGCAATGGTACCATCACTGCTGTAACCGTGTCGACGAATATCCCAGACAGCCACGGTATGCAGCGTACATCATCTCGCAGAAAAGCCGCGCCCGCCGACATCATCACACCGCAGTCTTCCATCGAGAATATTTCGGCATCCGCCGCCACCTTCAAGCCTTCGTTCATGGGTCCGGCGCTTGACTCCCCGTCGACTTTTGTGACTGCCGCCTCTAGCCCCAACACGCCAGTGCAACACGAGTTCTCTTGCAGCGACTCCTCTTGCTCGTTCGACCCTTACCGCGACTACCTCGGCGAGCCAGGTCCGGAAATGAGGATGAGCGTCGACGACATTCCCAGCCTCACTTCATCCAGTAGCACTATGACCATGAACGCTGCCTATCTCGCGATGCCTTCCACACCTGGCGCCAATGACATGCTTCCCTCGCCTACCATCACGGTTGCCTCGAAGGACAAGAAGGACAAGGGCAAGAGGTGGAGCCGTATCTGGGGTTTCTGGAAGTCGAAATAGATGGATGGGAGGCTAGATAATCCGGCCTCTATTGGGTGGGGATTTTCAATGCAGTGCGTGGATCTGTACAAAGCGGCGTAAGCCAGGTTCGGGTGCCTTTCGATGTACATGTTTTTCCCTTCCGAGTTGTAATTTCCTATGTGGTTTACTGGTCGGTATCGGTGCTAGTGCTTTTTTACCTTGTTGCTTTGGTCTGGTTGGGTTCTTTTTTTCTGTTTCCTCCCTCATCGTATGCGGTGTGCGCATTTTCCCTGTTTTTACTCTTCACTGGGGGGTCTCTTGTGCTTTATGTGTGCGAGCATGCGTTGTCTATCCTACGTTGTAAGAGCGTGTTGTGTTGTGTTGTGCTATTATGTGTGTGTGATTTTCGTTGCGGCCTTTTACACCATTATACCATTCGATACCTTCTTTACAGCCCCGTGCTCTGTTGCTGTTGCTGCAGATTGGGGGGTTCTTACATCCATCATCACTTCCGTTGTTTTCCGCGTGTTTTGTGTTTTTCTCATGCTTTTCCCTGGCGGTGTGTTGTGTGTTTTCAGCTCTTGTTGTTTGTTTGTTTGGTCTTTTGCCTTCTTTTTGTGTTGTTTTTCACCTGGGCGGATACGAATGGCGTACCTGGTGGGTGGGTGGGCCTGGTGGGGGATGACTCTGGTTGGCATGGACGGAAGGTGGTGAGAAGGTGGTGGGAAGGTGGTGAAGTAGCAGCTACTCTAGATAGTGCTCGAACTAAAGAACACGACACGGTGGGGGGACGTTCATGTACTTTTTTATACATGTACAATCCCACCGTGGTCATCACCACCACCAACCACTCCTGCTTCTCTTACTTCTTCTTCTTGCCGGCCTGGTGTGCATTCTGTATCTTGTATCTTGTATATAACCCTGGGGTTTTTCAGTTTTTTACTTTACGTTCTGTACCTGGCATGTTATGTTACGTTTGGGCTGGGCTTGGGTGAGCTTGGGTGGGATGGGACGGGACGGGATAGCTTGGGATGGGACGGGACGGGATGGATGAACTATGATATGGCTTTCGATGGGATTTGGGATCGAGGGGCTGCGGCTGCGGCGGCGGCGGCGGCGGCGGCGTGGTGGTGCGGAAAAGAGGATGTCTGTGGTGTCTGTTCTTGATCATGCTATGCATACTCTTACTTGCTTACTTATGTTTGTTACGTTAAAACGGCGGGTCTGGTATTTGGGACGGGGCGGTTAATTGTAGTTGTTAGTAGTGTCTGGGCGGGCTGGCGGGCAGGTGGGCTCGTGGGCGGGAGGGGGGAGGGGAGAGGGGGGGCGGTGAAATCGATGACGGGATTGAAGGCGAACTTGCAGTGCACTGAGGAGGCCTGACCGGAGAGCGGAGAGCGGGTGCGTGGAGTTCTGGATAACCCACCCACCTTGAGACCTGGAGATACCTACCTACATAGACAGACGATAGAGGAATTCAGTTTATCTGTCACATATCTACGGCGTTTTTACAGACTACCTACCTACATCTCCTATGGCGACATAGCCCACCTGGATCTACCGCCGTGGTTCTTACTTTGTAGGAATCAGGATCGAAGTACTCAACTCCACCCGCCGCTGCGCCGCGATTCTACACATCTACACAACATGTAGAGTAAGTACAGAAGTGCACGCACGCACACGGCCTCACTCGTCGCCCCCACGTCCACCTCAGCGGTAGCCGTGGATGTCGTACACACCAACCACACCATACACACCTAAGTATGATACATACTCTATCATACGCAGCAGTGGCGCTGCACATCTCGAGGAAGACGGGGGCAGTTCTCGAACGAACATGCACAAATCAGCCCTACGCGGACGGCGTACTCTACCCAAGGTACTTTATCCATATCTATGGTGAGGGGGTGCCGTGTGCCCTACGTCTGCAGGGGGTGGTGACGAGATGGGGGCCTGGGGGCGCGGATGTTTTATGTTTACATCTGTGTGGGTGTGGGTGAGTGGGAAAACCTTTATTTCTCCTACGCCCACGCCCACGCCTGCGGACTGCGGCCTGTGGGAGTGCGGGGGCGGGATGGGATGGGGGTGCGGGAGGGAAGGGAGGGGGGGGGAGGGGGATGGGTGGAGAGAGATGCGGGGGGGATGTCTAACCGATCGGCGGCGCATACGACTTCACCGAACGGCATGGCGAGACTTGATGGCCCCCATCTGGCGGAATGGGATAGGCGGCTGCAAAAAATTCTGCGTCGGTTCTACGAGCGGTGATTTGGTGTTCTCGCCGCGGATGAGCGCGGGCGCGAGGAATATCGATGCAATGGCATGCTGGTGAGGGTGATCGGCGTTCCTGAGCGTACTCTACTCTAATCTGGGTACTCTGGGTACTCTACATGCATACAGAAGAATTCGATGGGACTGGACTGATTGTATTCTGTTCGTCTGGTTGGATTGTGGATTGGTCCTGTCTGACATAGAGTACCTAGAGTATGGTACCTATGATATGTACTAGGTATACCCAGTGCCGGCACCGGAAACCCTGTGACTTCAAAGCCTACCAGCCTGTACCAGGAGGCAGTAACGTAGTGAGTAGAGTAAACCCCGCACAGTGCACATGAGCCTCGTCGGAGATTCGGAGGGGTTACTGCCCAAAAAAGCCGGTATGTATTCCACCGTTCACGAATTCAGATCCAGTGCCACAAGGCCAACGCAATGGCTTGGTGTGCGGTGTTTGAGGACTGCGGGAGTGGTATGTACAGTAGCAAAAAGTAGGGTGCGATTGATACGGGGTGAATACCGCAGTCATTTGAATACCGAAGAACTACCAGGTTTTCTCTACACAGGTAGAGTACATAATCTCTGGAGTCTGGATCACCAGCCATCATTCCGCACCCAGGCATCATAAATGATCCAGACCCTGCAAAAGTTAGTCAGTTGAAATGGGAACACTGGTTGAAACAGTTCAGTTCTGGTTGATTTTGTTCCCGGTTCGGTTGAGAACAGAGGCGGTCACAGTTCCCAGTTGGTTTAGGTAGGTAGAGTAGGTCTGGCAGTTGTTCCTGGGAAAACTGGCAGAACTGTCAGTTCAAACTTCAGCGGATGAACTGGCAGTTCGACTTCAGTCAGGGGAGGGAAAGTCGGCGAGATACATAGGGTCCTACTGTCACGGCAAAAGGGATAGAAAATGGGTACAGTATGATACTAATCATGAATTACTACTCTGATGCTACCTATCCATGATGGAAGTACCTACGGCGGTTGCATGAACCTCTTGATGCTCTCCAGAGCTTCAACACTCTCCAGAGTCCGTACCTAGCGAATGCCGACGATCAGTTAGAATCATCTTGCACTCGGAGAACAGCTGTTCAACCCACCTCAGCTGACATGGCTGGAATATCTAGACAGAACGTCAATCGCCATTCGGCTGAGGTTAGGAATTTAAAACGTCGTTGCTGGCGCGGTTCCAGCCACCATATCCCGATCGCACCAGGACTGTTTCGAACATTCCTCGCGACGGGCAATGTAGATATAATAGTCCCGGAGCTCGTCAGCCGGGGCAGCGTGCTCCAGATTAACTACCCGGCTGGGTGGTGGGTTATAACTAGGCAGTTGGCCGGTGGGTTGGTGGTGGCGGCAGGTTTCTCCCAAAATTTTAAGCCTCACTAAACTATTAACTAGGCCAAGGAGTTTTCCTAGTTCAAAACCTGGCAGTTGGTTCAGTTGGCCAGTTGGTTCAGTTCACCACCCCCCATTAACAGTTGGTTGGTCTGGGAACGACCCCGATTTGTTCCTAGTTTGAACTGTTGGAGGGTCTGGGTAAATCCCTCGCCCCATAAGAGACCTCAAGCTCAGCACAAAAAGGCTACTAGCAGCGCCACCTCTCCCCTCGTCTTTCTCCTCTTTGCCTCTTCGCGTCGAGTACATACCTGGGTGAAATACCTACCTACCTACATAGACGGACTCAGCTGGCCGCGGCTGCCGACTTTCCGTATACGGTATGTATGTATGTATGTAGGGCTCAGCTCGACGGAGCTCAGCGTGGGGCCGCTTACCTACTACCTAGTAGGTACATACGGTACTGGCAAAATCACCTGCGAGTGACTCTCGTGCGCTGGCCACGGCCAGGCCTCAGCGCTTTTCCACCAAGCCCGTTCTCGTTGGAACTTGGGGGTATAGGCTGAGGCTAAGTGGTCGTCCGTCTAGCCCACTGGAGGGTTTCCTTATGTATGTACGTACGCCAACGCTTACATACTCGGATCACTCGAACCGGCTAACATCGAGTGGGTCGACGAGCACACCGCCCGTGATTCGGATAGGTCCGATGCGATTAATGAAAGGGATGGACAAAGGCTGCAACATATAATGATATTTGCCCACAGATTTACCGGTACACATCATGATAATGTTCTTCGTGTGATCAATCTCCATCTAAGTAAGTACGTACTTGCCCCTTCGCGAGGTATGGAATGTACAATACATATATCTTACATATCTGCAGCCCACAGCTCCTAGGGAGGGACATTGCATGCAACATGCAACATGTCCGCCTTAGAGTCTCGCCCGCGTGTGATGCCAAACAAACGGAATTGTTCGATTTTCGATTGTCTGTTTGATTTGAGCATACACTTACTCGCACTCGCACTCGCACTAGCACTAGCACTCGGCCCTATCCATCCGGATGATGGAGGCTTACGTTTTCTTTACTGTTCTGCACCGACATATCCACTGATTCTGCTTGTCTACTTATCTAGTTCCCGCCTCATCTTCCCGCCTCATCTGGTGGTCGTCGTGATGTAGGTTTTGGTTTGTGTCCGAGCTGTGGTGTAGGTATATGTCGAGAAACTCCAGCAGCAGAGCGTGTTGGACGTGGCCGGCGATTTCGGGGGCTGCCGGCACATACGATACCTGTTATCGTGATGATCATAGTATCACAGCTGCACCAACTTTCAAACCTCCCGGGTCCATAGAAGAATTCACTCGTGCCAGCCATTTTCACTCGTGCCAGCCATTAACCATTGCTCATACAGTACTTTAATCATCATTCTTCACTCATCAATCGCACACGCATCCCCACCCCATCCCCACTACCACTGTACACAGAAGAATACTCAACAAGGGGAATAAAGCCCTCACGAAACGAAAACGAAAGCGAAAAAATACATACACTACACTGATCATCAAGCATCATAACCATAACCATAACCATCGTCCCTCTCCTACTAACACAGACACAGACAGACGACACACACAGACACAAAACTCAGGGAAACAGAACAGAAAGGCAGAAAAAAGCAAAAATCAGCCTGGATATTATTCCTCAGGCCTCTTGTTCGATCGAATCGGGAGTAAAAAAGATACTGCAAGTAGAAAGAGCAAAGAAAGGGTAAAGAGCAAAGAGCAAAGAGCAAGAAAAAAACAAACAAGGTATAGCCCCATCACAAAACGCAGACAACAACCCCAACACAGTTTACGCCAGAATGCACATCTCATCCCCCCCTCCCCTCCAAAAAAAACACCAGCGGGACCAAGTGCACAAGAGACAGCACAAGCAAGACAGGGCACCAGACAAAAGGGACCTAATCGTCACAGCTCACAGCTCACAAAAACGCATTCGACGACGACGAGTCAGTAGGGGGCGGAGACTCGTTCGTCGTTTCTATAAGCGCCATTTCGCGTCGCAAGAGGGTATCCTATAGCCCTCTCCGAGGCGGCGTGGTACCTGCTGCACCACCACTGACCTGTCGGCCCGATGTCTTGCGGACTCCCCCGGTGGCGGCCGGTTGCCGACGAGGACTACTTCGAACCTTGGTGCCGAGGAGTCCGTTCCCGTTCCTACTCTTCTCCGCCGCCGCGGTGGCTGCGACGGTGTGACTGACGGTAGTGGTCGTGATGGTGGTGGTGGTAGCTGTCCTCTGCTTGCCGGGGGCCTTGGCGGAAGCTCGACGGTGCAGGCGGATCATGTACTCCTCTTCCGTCATGCCCGACTCGATGGCGCGAGCAAGGTCCTCCTCGTCGACCTTCGTTGCCGCCGACCTCTTCCGTCGCACAGGCGAGGCGTTGGCATCGTTCTCGTCCGCAACCGGGACCAGACTGCTGTCGTAGACCTCCGAAGGAACACGTCTCGACGAAGCAGCAGATGCGAATCGGCTCGATGTCTTTCGTGGCTGTCCGGGTGTGGGGGCGGGCAGTAGTGCGGCCGACTGCGCATCGTTGTGGTTGCTGTCGACTTCACCGAGGATGGCTCGTCGCGAGGGTGTCAGAGCACTCGAGATGCGCTTGCCCTTGGTCGGCGTGCGGATGATGATCGACTGGCTAGTAGCCTTCTCGAGAGCAGCGGCAAGGATGGTGTCCTCAAACCACCACTTCCGGAACTCGTCCTGGTTCAGATGAAGCCAGTGCTGCTGGGGACCAACGACCATGCCCGGCCTCATGAACCTCATGTAGGCGATGACCTCGTTCGCCGAGAATCCGTACCGGTAGATCAGGTACGCGCCAATCAGACATCCCGTCCGCCCGAGACCCGCCTTGCAGTGAACTGCGATGTTCTTGTTGTGGATGGTAATCGTTTGGTGGGAGATGTTGACGAACTTGCGAACCAGATTCAATGGCGGGCACGTGCCGTCGTCGAAGATCATGTCCATATGGGTTATTCCGAGCGAGGTGAAGTACTCTGCCGGGTAGAGAGGTGAGTTCAACCGCACAACGAGACCGATGTCGCGCTGGTAGAAGTGCAGGAGCACATTCTTAAAAGGCGTAGGAATCGCACAGCCGTAGATATCCTCCTCCTCGGTAGGCAGGACAGGCTGTTTCTGACTGGGCGGAGGCAGTTTATGTTGAGGCGATGCGAATGCCAGAAAGTTGGGCGAAACCCAGTTGAAATCTCCCATATCTACTCTCTCATATTTCTCATATCTGCCGAACGCAATCACAGTCAGCACTCGCACTTTGGCGTGGCGGGAGCAGGCGGCAGAACATACTCGTCAAGACAGAACTCTCTCAGATTCACCAACCCCTTTTCCTTTGCCTTCCAGACTCCGTAGACGATGTCTTGAACGTTGAGGATGAAGTCTGCCTGTGAGTACCCAGCATCGCGGAACGGCATCAACGGAGGGTCGCACATAGCCAGAGGGCTCAATGCCAAATGCGGCGGCCAGCTCTGCACCAAAACCTATCCTCCCCGTCAGCACTTACTCCGCAAGAACACAGCACCAGATGCACAAACCATGTAACACGCCAACAGACAGCCAGCATTCGCACGGGCCTTTCCATCGGGCTTCGACCAAAACACGACGACTCTGCCCTCATTCTTCGGATCACCGAGGATATCATGTAGGGTGACAGCAAAGCGGTAGAGGTGTCCGATGTGCAGGGGGCCAAAATCGTGATGGAAGGCATTGTACAGGAGCGCGTCGTCGACGGTGAAGTACACGGGCTTCAGCCCCGACGAGTTGATGATCTGGTTCGGCTTGCGCTTCGCCGGGCTGCGACTGCCCGGCCGCACTAGCTCCGGCGCGATCATCTTATATGGGTCCGGGATCACCTGCGGCGGGAACGGCGTCGTCGACGTCGGCGGTGATGTGTAGCACGCCCAGTATAGTCGGTCTGCAGTGAGGTGGTGTGAGCGCTGTGCGCGGGTCGTGGGTCAATGGAGGAGATACGTACCGGAGATGTACTCGACGACATTCCCATAGGGAACCGGAGGACTCATGATGGGTGGAGAAGAGGAGAAAAACGGCGGGCTCTCTATTGATGTATGGGAAGGTACTCGAAACAAATAATCGAAGTCCTGCAAAGATCGAAGGACGCCGAAGGCGACAGCAGAGGAGATGAAGGAGAGATTGAGTCCACAAGAAAGTGAATGGACGTGTGTGTGTTTTGGAGGAGGGAGGTAGTGGTGTCGGGGCACTAGAAGGTGTGGTGCACACAATGCAGCAACGGGCAGTCGGCGGGTTTATAGGGAGGTGAGTGGTTAGAGTGAGCGGTGGTGGTGGAGGAGGAGGTGGTGGTGAAGGGTGGTGGTTGGTGGGGCTGGGAATCACAACAACAAAACAAGACGACGCGGATGGGAGTGGGTGAAGAAGGGGGAATCGCGAATTGGGGGGGAGCGCCAGGTATAATTCGGGGGGCGCTATTGCTCTGTAACAGCAGATGATCGCGGAGGGATCAAGAGAAGATCACTGTTGTTTTTTCGCTTGTCGATTCCGCTGTTGTTGTTGTTGTGTGTCCGTCTGTCTGTCCGCTCAGCGTGTCTCTCGCGGGAATTTGAACATTTCGCCGGGTTTGTTATGTTGTGGTTTCCCGCTGCACAAAAGCAGTAATGCCGCCCGAAACAGTTTAGGCACAGCAGGGCCTGTAACCACAGCAACGCAGTGCGGACATGACTCTAAACACGCAAAAACACAACAGCACTATCCATGTCCGAGAACACACAAGCTTCGATGTGTGCTTATGTGCTTTGCTTTAGCGCGGCGGGTGCGAGGGCTGGGATATGTGTGGCATGGCATGGCGGGGCGAGGAGAGAGAGAGAAATAGAGAGAGGAGAGAGAGCGCGCAAGGGACCGGACGCAGAGTTGGGGGTCGATAGAGGCTCTGATTGGCAGCAGGCCGGTCTCCGGAGATCATCGCCTCATCACCAATCCTACTCGCCCCCGCCATCGCATACATAGCCGCAACCGAACGAACAGCCAAATTCAAAATCAAAACAATGGCCACCCACGCGCAGGACCCCACGTTCCCCCACTCACTGTGCGTTGCGTTCACATTTCCCTCCCTACCACCATCCATCCAGCACCTCGTACTAACCCACGACCCAACGCACACAGGACCATAACGCTCCCGCTCCCGACCGCGCGCCTGGCGCAAACGCTCTCGCGCAGTCTGGCGGTAGACGAGGAGCTCTCGCCGCTGGTGCGGCGCGAGTTCACGACGGCCGACTCGACGCTGCACGTGCACTACAAGGCGACCACGGCGCGGATGCTGCGCGTCGCGACGAACGGCGTGTTCGAGAGCTTGGGAACACTGCTGAGGGTTTGCGAAGAGCTTGATGTCGGCATTATGGCTTGATGGGGGGTTTTCTCTACTTGCAATGAAGGGCGGGCGAATAGAATGAAATTGGCAGCAGTGCCTCCACTACTACACTGACCGACCGACCGGACTGATCACTCCTCCACCAGCGCTGCAAACAGTCCAACCGCCTTATCGACGTCCACGCCCGCCGCGCCGTCCACGACGACGACCTTCTCCCTGCTCTTCGCACCGGAGACGACCCTGCCATCGCTCTTTCTAAGTCCCAGTGTCTACTCCAGTGCCCACCGCTTCATCAGCCCAGTCCAGCCCACCGCCGCTCTCCGCGTATAGTAGACTCCACGCACCTTAGTCACGAACCTAACCACCTCGTCGTTCGCGGCGCCATCGCGCGGCGGAGCGTGGATACGTAGGGTAATGCATGTAGCCGGGTCGATGGCGACGACCGCGGTGGTGCGCGCGTTCGGCTTTATCGTCAGCAGCAGGCGCAGTGTGGAGGGCGTGGGTTTGGTTATTGATATCATTATTGTTGGTCAAGACGAGACGAGACGAGGTGAGGTGAGGTGAGGTGAGGTGAGGTGAGGTGAGGTGAGGTGAAGTGTAGGGTGGCCGAGATTGAGCGTGTAGAAAGAATGTCATTGCAAATTCATCCATCAATTTAGAGTACGAGTACTCTGGAAGAAAGGGAAATGAAACATCATTTGGTATGTAATCGCATGCCAGCAAAACGCCCAAGCAGAAAAAGAAAAAGAACCAGAAGTAAGAAAGTACAGAGAGTAGAAACGGAAGCCCATCAATCGAGCTAGGCCTTCACCTTTCCCTTGCCCTTGACATCGACCGGCTCCTGCCCCTCCTCGTCCTCCTCCGCAATATCCTCCATCTCCTCATCGCTGCTCATGAACTCATCGTCCTCATCGTTCCACCCCGCAAACTTCCTCTCGACCACCTCCTTCTTCCCCTCCTTCTTCGCCATATCCACCGCCCTCCTAACCGCACTGCCACTCCCCTCCGCCTCACCGCCCGAACTCTCTCCGGAGCTCTCCCCCCCCTCCTCCCCCTCCTCCTCAGCATCTTTAACCAACCCCGCCTCCCTCAACGCGCCCAACACCGCCTCCCTAGTCCTCTCCTTCCCCTCCTCAAGTGCCTCAATCCACTCATGATCATCAAACCTGCCCTTCGCCGCATCGCCATTTTCCTCCCTCCTCTCCGCAGCCTCAACAATATCCCTCCACCTCTTGAGTCTCACCTCCTTCTCGCGCCTCTCCATCTCAGGCTTAACCTCGAGCCACGCGGCGAGGGCCTTGGCCTCCTTAACGGTGCGCATGCGCCGACCGTCAAGGTTCCGGCAGGAATCGCTGTTCTCTTGCGATTTCTTCCGGCTGCTCATGCGACCGCCTGCAGCCCGCAGCTGCGAGCCGAAGCCGCCTTTGCCGCCGCAGAGGGGGTGGGTGAGGCGCAGGGTTAGGAGGTCGCTGGAGGAGAGGGACGAGAGGGGGGTGGAGGAGGAGGGGGCGAGAAGGCGCCCGGAGGTGGTGGATAGGATGAGGCCATGAGATGGCGGGAGCGAGAGACGTGTGAGCAGTGTGCTATAGACAGTCGAGATGAGCGTGCTGGGCGGCAGCGGCAGGTTCAGGTTCGGGAGACCCGCGAAGGTCGTGATGTGTGTGTTGATCATGGTTGCGGTTTTTGGAGTTTTTTTGTTGGTTGGTCGCGGTGTGGTGGTGGTGGTGGTGTGGAGGAAGGGTGGTGGTGGTGGTGGTGGTCGTTAAGTAGTGAGCTTGACGTGAAGGAAGGTGTAAGTCACCGTGGCGCGAGAGAAGGTAACTAACGCCAAGCCTCATGGTTACACACATATAAGGTTATGCGCCACGCCGCCACAAACCCAATTACACAACAGGCGCGAGACCAACACTCAAAGGTAAAGGTAAATTGTCAAACGGACGGAATTAATACTACACTACAGAAGCCAGTGAACGCCGCAAAACTCTGTCCTGCCGGACTACTACTCTAGGCCAGTCGGGACGGACTGTACTACACCAAAGCTACGCACAAACCCCATCGACCGTCTTGGTGCCCTCAGCGGCGTGCGCACCCAACGGCTCACCCTCCGCCTCCTTCTGCCGCACCGCCGCAGCAGCAGCGGGCTCATAGCTCTCAACGACCTTCTGGGCGGCAATCTCGCCGCTCCAGTAAGCGCCGCTGACACTGCCAAGACCGAGGACGGGAGCGGTATGCTCGCCGGCGAACCAGATACCGCGATCGCGCAGGCCCTCCCTAAAGACCTCGATATCGCGCTCGCCGTCCTCGAGCCCCACCTGGAAGTTAGAGTACGAGCCGTAGCCGGCGTACTCGTCGCTCGACCAGTTGGTGCGCAGGATGTCTGCGGGCTTGCAGTCGGGGGAGTCGGCATCGTACCCGCACAGCCGCGAGAAGTACGGTTCGAAGAACTTGGCGTACTGTGCGAACCCCGCGGCGGTGTCCGGGGAGGCGAAGCTCTCGCTGGTGAGGTGCGCGGACGTCGGCCCGAAGATGTAGAACAGCAGGGTGGCCTGCGCGTATGGCTCTGGAAGGTGCGCGAGCGAGAAGCAGCACATGTGCCATTGGTTTGGGTTCGTTTCCGGCGCGTACCGCGGCGTCAGGAACGTAAAGAACCCGGGCGATTTGGAGTCGCCGAACCAGTATGCGGCTGGGAAGCGGATGTACACCTTCTCGAGGTGGCCGTAACTCAGTGAGTGGATCGACTGCTGTATTCGCTGCGGCAGCGGCGGGTCGAACGTGATCGCCGAGCGCTTCAGACAGCCGAGCGGTATTGTGACGATCAGGCTGTCGACCGAATATGTCGAATTGGGTCCCGTCAGGAGTATCCGGCGGTGGTCAGTGGAATGAGTATCCGTCACGGTGACGGACGTGATGGGAGTGGAAAAGTTGATCACTCCGGCTTCTCGCGCCGCCGTCGCAAGGACATCGACCATCGGTTTGTAAGTGCTCGCAACAAACAGATTTGCTGCTTCCAAGTCAGAAAAAACCACCCAGCAGATGACCTAGCCATAGGCAACTCACGTCCTTCCACAGGCTCCTCGAGGAGGAAGAACTTCAGACTCTGCCTCATTACACTAGATCCAATGAAAGACCCCCACATGTGAAGCATGCTCAAGAACAACTCCTTCCTCTGTTCGTGACCTTTCCAACGAATCCGACTGCTCTCCGTTCTCGGGATCGCCGGTCTACCAGACGCATCGGGGGCCTCTTCAGCCGGCAGACTGGGCCCAAATATTTCATCCGCCCTCTCCACGCCGTAATCATACAGGGACTTTCCCGACGGGATGACCGCTTTGTGCTCCTTCGAGTAGTCGGTAGCCTGGTCGATAAGCTGCCACAGCGAGTCCTGGAGCTGATCCGCCTCGCTCTGGGGGAGCAGCTGGCCATCGGGATCCATGACCGGACAGCTCTGCTCGAAGCTATGCAGCGTCGACTTCGCCAGCTCTGACAGCGGTATTATCGGATTCTCGGTAGTCCCGTGGATCCAGTTAGGCCCGCTGTTCCACCGCCGCCCGCGTAAGCCCTCCCACGTTCACGCGAGAGAGGGAAATGGTTAGACCCACAGATCGACTGCTTTCCCAAGCTTGTCGCTGGAGCAGACACGCCCGCCAACGCGGTCCCGCGCTTCGAACACGGCTACGTTGTAGCCTTTGTCGAGCAGGGCCTGCGCGGCCCGCAACCCTGCGACGCCGGCGCCTATTATCCCTACGAGCGGGGCATCTTTGCTGGGAAGAGGTGCTGGCTGCAACCCTGCCGGTTTCAGGTCCGCGGTGACGACGTCCATGTGCTGAGCGCTGGGGGGTGTGCTGGTGAGGCGCGGGGTGAAAGATCGGAGGAGGGGAACGACGCGCAAAGGTAGGAAGGGCTTCGTGAGAATGGTGATGCTCGCTTTCGATTTCGATTTCTCTTTCTCCTTTACGAGCGGCAGCGGGAGCAGTAGCTAGCGGGTTTATGTACGAGAAGGAACTGTGGGGGGTGCAGATAAGACTGGATAACAGTGATCAGGTGGCAAAGCTGGAGTGTAGGTAGCGAACGCGCCGGCGGAAGACTTTCCGTCACGTAAGGGGGAGCTGGGGAGCTGGGGAGCTGGGGAGCTGGGAGCTGGCAATATATACCCACCGCAAGCCGGTGTGTGACTCGTGAGTAACTAACAAGCAACGTGTAGGTCCCGTATGTAGCGGTGGCGTCTTGGAAGCTCGAGAGGTGTGGTCGATCACGTTCAAGTTTGGTTCGTTCCTCCGTCCGTTGGTCCGCTGGTCTGAGTCCTGACTGGCGGCAAGCAGACCACCGACATGAAGAGTGCCGTAGCTACACACATGCCGTACCTACCCATCCGAACCTCTAAGGAGCCATTCATTCTCTCCAGCTTGAGGATAACTGCTGTTGCTATTCGACAGTCCCGACAAAATGGTGGTTTCTGCTGCGATGCCTCCCACACATACATAATGCGAATATTCCCGGTAACCGCGGGAGCATCACAGCTGGTCAACGGCGGGGGTGTCGGTTTCTGGGTGTGAGGGGAGCTTTGGGGGGTTACTGTATCCCACGCTGGCTCTCCAAGGTTCTCCAAGCGGAGCCGGTAATTTCCGCCCCATGCTAGGTACATAGAGTAAGGTGTCTCCGCATCTCGCAAACGAACCCAACTAAACTCTAACTTCGATAGAGTGATGCGGAGCCCTCAACCCTATATGTATACACATGGACGAGTCAAATGCGCATCCCCGCGAATATGTAGGATGAAATTCAACATCGAGGGTGAGTGACAAACAATGTCGGCCGGCCTACCGCATCTGCCACCTCGCCCCCGCCCCGGGCTGTCCGGCAGATTGCATAGCATGACATGGCATGGCAGGTAGGGTGCAGTCGATGAATAAAGATAAAGGTGCAGATCGGACGCCTGTTCCGAATGAGTTCCGAATGACGCATTTCACTTTGTGGGTGAGAAAAAGCAAGGATCGGAGGAGTACTGAGGTAAAGTCAATTGGCCAGGTAAACTACCGGGTCGTTCGAGAAGCGGTATCGAATCCTTTGCAGCACGTGCTGGACTGAACTCCCGTCACAGTGCGGCAGTGACGAGTACCACGAGGTGGGAAAGAGAGGGGTATGTATGATACTGCGGAGACGAGGCGGCCCGATCAGTTGCTTTGGAACAGCAAAAACGGCCGTTTCTAAGCCAGCTCTGGAGTCTGGACCAGCCCAACATGTGGGATGAAGCTACATAAAGCCAAGAATGAGGGAGGAGAGGACTTGGAGGATTACAAAGTTTCCTGTTCCAAGTAGCCTAGGAATACGCTTCAATCCCCATATTAACTTGTCGACAAGATCCGAAGTTCAGTGCACGCCCGATGGTACTACTGTAGTGAGTTCTCTTTCCGATGTGGGTACCATTTTGTCCTGACAGTCTGGCATAGGTAGGTAGGAGGCCCAAGTGTATCTTCATTCATAGCCCCGATCGTTTCGCAGCCGTCAGTATGATACTAGGAATGGCTTGCTGCTCCACCGTCTACTCGGATCCTCGCCCAGGTCCCCCAGCTTCCGTCCACATTATGGGCTGGTCTTTGATATCCTACATATCATACATACATACCGCCCTCGTCCATCCAAGCCCGCTGGAATTCCACGGAGAGAAGATATTCACGAAGGCATCCTCTCGGGCTTCGACGTTGGCTGTGATCCTATGTATGTATAGAACTTGTACATATATTACAGCCCAATGTGCATTGTGTATGCCCGACGGTCGAGAACACATATCCGAACCGGAGCGAAATAAGGCCAGAAGCCGGACTAGCAGTGGCAGTGGCAGTGGCGGGAGGACTGGTGGAAGAGACTGAATGGAGAGGATGACTGAACGGGGAGGGTTACTGGTGGACGAGATTGAATGGAGATGGCAAGCTCTATCGATTCTCGAACACAAACGGTTTTCCGTTCGCACTACTACCCATAACTAACTGAGTAGCCATTCAAGTATCTATTGAGTGTGAGCCAGAACTTAAAATCCAAGATTCCAAGATCAACCACCGTCTCTGCCACCACTCCACTACTCGGGTTGGAGAGAAGAACACCCACAGAATCCGGATACTCTCAATCCCCGACCCTCCTCCCTTCCGCGCACACACGGGGTCTGAGCAACCTGAGTCGTGACAGCGACCAACAAAAACCAAGAGATTTATGTCAGTCGAGACTCCACATGCCTGACGGTTGAGAACAAACACTCACACATCCGAATCTGAGCCGGAACGGAACAAGACAGGAAGCCGGACTGGCAGTGGCAGTGGCGGGAGGATTGGTTAACGACACTGAATAGGGAGGGTGACTGAATGGGGAGGGTGACTGGTTGACGAGACTGAATAGAGAGGGCAAGCTCTATCGATTCTCGAACTCGAACGGGTTTCGTTCGCACTGGTATAACTAACTGAGTAGCCATTCAAGTAACTATTGAGCGTGACTTGGAACTTGAAATCCAATATTCCAAGATCAATCACCGTCCCGACCACCACTCCGACTCTGGATTGAGAGAAGGGCAAAGACCGGAAGCCAGAAGTCAAACTGGCAGTGGCAGTCGCGGGAGGATCAGTTGACGAGACTGGTCGACGAGACTGAATGGAGAGGGCAAGCTCTATCGATTCTCGAACTCGAACGGTTTTTGTTTTTAATACTAGTACCGAGTACCTAGCTATTGAAGTAGCTATCGAGCGTGAGTTCGAACTTGGAATCCAAGAACAGGACCAGAAGCCTGAGTAGCTATTGAAGTAGCTATTGAGCGTGAGTTGGAACTTGGAATCCAAGATTCCAAGATCAACCACCGTCTTAGCCACCGTCTTAACCACCACTCCAGCACTCCGACTCCTGGTGAAGAGCGGAGGGCACGGAATCTGAATACTCCCCAGTCTCGACCCTCCCCCATTCCTCCCTTCCGCACACACGTAGTCTGAGCATCGTGAGTCGCGACAGCGACCAGCCAAACTAAAAACTCATGTCCGTCGAAACTCCAGACTCCACGAACACAAAAACTACAAAAGTGACAAAAAACAAAAGAAGATAGCCCCACGCGGGGGTCGAACCCGCAGCCTTAAGATTAAGAGTCTTACGCTCTACCGATTGAGCTAGCGAGGCTTTTGATGCAGATTCGGGCAGATAGGCGCACATTTAGTACTTAGCGTTAGTTGCAACGCTTCAGGTTGGTTGGTCGAGCGACGGTGCGTGTGCTTAGGGACGACGGTTAGCATAGATAAATCACCAACTCCCGAGGATCAGATACGAGTGGTATACCTAGTAAGCACCCTGCGGGCTATGTATGCTACCAGACGGATGATTGAGAGATTGAGAAATTGAACATCCCATTTCTGGGGATTATCGGCCGCGTGATACTCCATGAATGGGTATGCCATGGTCAATCACACACAACTGCATCAGGTGCACAACAAACCGTCCCATCCCAGAGTCTCAAGGGAGCACTCGGTTACCATTACATCTCTAGGTACATCTGCATATCGACGGGCACCGACGGTTACTACTTTCCCGCCGCCGCCGCCGCCGCCGCCGGCCGTGCATGGAGAATCGAGATTTCGTCCGTCCATATGCATGAACGTGAGAACTCGACCCTCCCTCCACTCTCACGCATACCGTACATACTCGCTCTGGTCGGCTTCGATCCTGATGCGCCAAGTAGGTACCTCCTTGGTATCCGCAATACCGGTAACAATTTTTCAATGTTCATTGCAGGCGTATGTATGTACCTAGGTCCTAGGTACCTTACGCACCTCATTTCGTGTCGCGTGCACATCCATACCCGCGTCCCGGGTCGCTGCTTGCACATCATCATAGGTACTCTACATGTTCGCATCAGGCACCAAGCAGCAAGCATCCTGGGTTGTGGACGACAGGGTAGGTAGGTGGGTAGGTGAGATCTGGCTCTTCTTCTTCGATACGGCCGTGGAGATCCATGCTGCTGCTGCTGCTGTCCTCCGCATGTGCTGTGCTGTGCTGTGCCGGATTCCCTTGGGCGCGAGGGCCGACTTGTCCGGAGGGAGGGAGGATCTGAATCTGATTTCATGCGTTTGCCCTAACTAAGACACAAGTATCAAGTGTGTTTGGCATGTGGATAATCCGACCGATGGTGTGTGGTGTGGGGGGCGTGGGAAGGTGGAAGGTGGAGAATGTTCCAGAACGTTACAGGCACAGGCACAGGCGCAAGTCCGGCAACTAGATTGGTATCGGCAAAGATCGATCTCGGCTCGCAGGGGGTGGCGATGTGTCTGGGGGAGGGAGGGAAGCATTTTGTTTTTCTCTCTCTATCTCTTTTTCCGGTTGTTCTCCGGCGGCCGCCGGCTTGCATTCGATTGTTCCTTTGCCCCTTCGGCTACTTCCCCACACATGATGGACATGGGTGGGATGCGATGTGATGGGATGTGAAGCAAGAGGGATATATATTTTTTCTTTTCACCCTGCGATCTGGTGTTGCATCCGGGAACATGCCTTTCCACCCCTCCCCCACCCCTCCCCCCACTCCCCCAGTCGTGGGGGAACGTGGTTGTTACATATAACTCAGGGCTGCTCTTTGCTGGTTGCGGGGCGGAGGAGAAAGATGCGACGGGTACATGCTGTCGTTTACCGTGTTGTTTTGTTGCTGTTGTTGTTGCTGCTGTTGGCGTTGTTATTGTGTTGCTACCGGTTGATATTGCTGTTGTTCCTGGATCGTCGGCGAATCATGGACGGTGGCGATGGCTGCCGCTGCCGCTGACGACGATCACTTAGATGAGCAGACCATGTTGTGTTTCCTTCTCGTGTTGCTTTTTTCTTTTTTCTATGATCCTTTCATTCCGGTGTCCGTCGCGGCTCATCCCACACGGCGTTTGTCGGGTCCGAGGGTTGGCGCCGGGCTGTTTTGATTGAACGGATGGATGAAGGAGCTGAACTGTGCGATTGATGAAGTCTGACTGTGACAGAAGGGATACGGTGCTGGAGAAGCAGGGCCAATGCTTGCTTGTGAGTCGAGTACTGGCGAACGAGGAAGCTCGACATGTGCTTCGCTTGCAGACTTTTTCTTCTTCTCGTTCGTTTCCGTTCGGCTTGTCTCGTCCCGTTTCGTTGTCAACGAGGCGGTGGTGGCGGCAGCGTTGGGGGTGAGCTGTTGTCGCTGTTTCCGTTTCCGTTTCCGTTGCTGCTGCTATTGTTGCTTGCTGAGAGACATTGTTGTTGTGTTGGTAGTGCAGCAACTTCGTGATGGTTAATTGGTGGTTGGCTTGGAATCCCCCACAGCTTCGTTCCCATACCATCCGCCGGCAAGTAGCATGCAGCCGGAACACGACGACGTAAGACGGGGACTGGGGTAGATGAATGGATCAATGAACGAATGAATGGACGACGGAAGGATGGAAGGATATCGCCTACATACATTGAGTACATACCTGAGTACTCTACTTGCCTACCTACATTGCTCAGCTTGCTGTCTTTGTGCTCCGGTGACTCGTTCACTGGTTCGCTCACCTCACTCACCTCATTCTCCAGGCCCGCTCGTTCCCGGCCATCCACCATCTGCCGAGATATTGACCGGAAAGAAGCCCCATCCTTCCGTGATAAGCTCAAAGGCCACATGCTCGCGTCAATTGATACCTACTCGCCCACCATGATAGCTCTCGACCACCAGCTCGAAGGCCACATGTTCGCGTCGATTGATAGCTCTCAACCGCGAGCTCGACGCTGCTGGACCAGGTAGATAGTCGGCGGCCATGGGTTATCTCGCGCTCCCCACTGAAGTCTGATACATATCTGCTCCGGCCGCGGATATTCAGCCAGCAGCAGCAGCAGATAGGTAGCCCTTCCCGTCCTCACTCCCTGCATTCCCGCATATGTCCGCGTCCGTCCGTCCGGCCATGCCACGCGGTGCCAGCTGTGAAGGGTGGGGAATGTGCTGGATCAAAGCTCCACCAGCTCGGGTGGGGAATGTGCTGGATCGAAGCTTCCCCAACTCGAGATTCCGACGAGCACAAAGGGCGAACGGGCAATCCCAACCCTAAGCTTACCGACGGCTTCCAAGCTAGTTGTGTAGCAGGAAGCAGAGCACAAGCAAACTCACATCTCCCCACGGCCTCTCCCTCCCCCTCCCCCCACCCACCCCAGGCCCGTCCATAATCAAATCCCATAGTCAACTCATCCCACCCACCCACCCATTTCCCACTGACACTCGCACACACACCTCTTCCCTTCCATCCCCCCACAAGCCGCTCTTGCTTGCTTGCCCTCTGCCTCAAAGAGCTTCCCGTTCGCGCTCGAGGCCCCATCCATATAGCTTTATATCTGTGCCCGCCCTCCCTCCCCAACCTCCATTCCTCCTCTTCCTGCTCCTCCTCCCCCATAAGTGCCCTGACACTGCCCATCAGCACCCACCTACCCTGCCCTCCGCCCACCATCTCCTCCGAAAACACGTCAGGCTGAAAACATCTCGGTCCGTCCAGCTCGCCGAAACTCGTCCTCCCGCCCTCCCGCCCACTGCCCCCATCACGCTCACGCCTCTTCGCCCGTCCCGTTACCCGCTACTGTACTTGCTGCCTCCGATCCTTGCAACAAGCTGTCAGTCAACAACTGCTCGCACAGCCAGAGCCAGCCAAACCGCCCACGCTCCCGCAGCTGGAAGTTACCATTCTGCCGGAACCCCCCAAAACAATACACCCATCTACTCTACTCTAGGGTGGAAGCGCGAAGAAAAAAAAAAGAAGACGAAAAAAGAAAAAAAATACCTCGCGCTCCTGACTCCGACTGAAGAGCTTGATAGAGCAAAGCTTGGCCGTTAACCCTCTGTCTTGCACCTACCCGAAGGGGTGGCCTTCCGATAATATTATTACACCTTTCCCCGGCGCTCGGCGCTTCTTCTTCTTCTTCTTCCGCTTCTTCCTCATCTTCCTCATCCCATCGCCTCAAAGCTCTTGCCACCTCTCGCAACTCGTAACCCGCACATTCTCAACGGAACCCATCCTACGATCCACGTATCGGCCCCCCGGAAATAAAACACTTCCGACACGCACACACACACACACACACACACACACAATCACAAAAACAAACACAATGCCTACACCTTCCGCATCCGCGCCGACGAATGAGTCCTCGCTCGTCCCGCCAAACCCGACGCCAACCACACATTCGCGTCGCGGGTCGATACCCAAGTCGATCCCCGGCTGGGTCGACGACAATGGCGGCAGCTACGAGGACCGGCTGAGGAACGACATGAGCCTTGTCGCCGAGGCGGCAAAGCGCGCCAGCGTTGCTATCGTGGTCAGGGACTTGAAGGATTGTCGGGTGTAATCCGCGGACGGGAGACGGGAAGCATATATGGATGGAGGAGGAGGAGGACACAGGGCTGTTTGTTTGGCGATTCGATTGAAGGGTGGGCGTTTTTTTATTTGCATGCTGTTTGTTACTGCGATTGACTTTTGGATCTTGGATCTTTGCGCTGCGAATATTTGGTTTTACTTTTCTACTCTATCTTTTTTTCTTTCCTTTCTCTTTCTTCTGGGAGCATAGACGGTGGGGATCAATGGGGTTCTTTCATTTGTTGTTTTTCTGATTCTCCTTTTTTTCTTCTTTTCTTCTTCTTTCTCTTCGCACAGCTCCGCTTTGTTGGTTGGTTGGGTTGGGTGCTCTTTGTTCTGTTACTCGCGCGTCTTGTGTGTGTATCTGCTTCTTCATGTCATGGCACGCAACACCTCACCTCACCTCACCTCTTAATCACCACCACCATCACCACCACTTTGACTAGGAAGTAGTAATAGTATTATTATCCGTGCTGCGCTGTGTGCTGGTCTTATCCCGTCCACTTCTCACTCCCTCATTCTCCCCCACACTCGATCATGATCATGATTCCGACCGATCGATCGGGCTGGTTATACATATACCAAGTATTCGCTGTTTGTGTAGAGTATGCGTGTGTGTTTTTTTATACTTTTATACTTTGGCTGTGCATGCGCTTTAGAATGGGGAATGTGGAATACCGGTATGTGTGGGCTGCAATTGGTACCGGATGGTGGCTTTTTTGCTTTTGTCGTGCTTTTTTGTTTTTTTAGCTTGTGAGGTTTTTGGTTTTTGGTTAGTGAGGTAGTTGTTGGTAAGAGGAATGCAGTCGAGCAATTGATCGATCGGATACCTACTCGTGTTTGTACCTGTGTCCGTCGTGGTGGGGAGTTACGAACTGGAACGGCCATGAGGAGAGATGGGTATGCAAACTAGAGACGAGAAGAGACGAGACCGGATGGAGATGGATGAGTGGATGGATGGATGGATAGTGGTCTGCCGATATAGCAGTTTATACTTACACCGCCGGTATCGGGAGGTTGACGCGCGGATAGAGTGGTTGTGTGGATTGTGTGCACTGTGGGGTAGGTTGGTGGGTGGGTAGATGCTTGGATAGGTGGGTAGGTGGATGGATAGGTGGAGAGATAGATGTACCGAACCGTGGACTTACCTAAGGATGTACGCACCGATGTGTCTGTGTGCGCGAGCAGAGTGATAGGTACGGTAGATACGGAACAGTACGGTATGGTAGGGAGGATGGAGTGGAGTGGAGTGGAGTGGAGCGCGCACATCGATCCAGCCCTGGGGAGGCTGATATATTGGTCGTAGGAGTTCGCGGGGCGATATCAGATCTCGCTTCTCCTTCCTTCCCTCCATCCTTCCATCCTTCCATACCAAGTCACCCATCCCTTCGCGATGCAGATCTTGACCACGTTGTTGTTGTTGCGCTAAGCACTCCCCTTCACCCTCTTCACCCCCACCACTCGTCCCCCTCCCCCCTCCCCTTCTCCCCAGAAGAACCCAAACCCAAAAACAAAAAAAGGTCGCGCCGAGATTCGAACTCAGGACTCGAGAAGCTCTGTCGTAGCCTGCCCGGTTTGCCCGGTAACCGGGCAAAACGGGCAGGCCATCGTCGTCAAAATCTCACGTGCTAACCGCTGCACTACGCAACCGCGTAGCACAACGTGGGGGTGTGGAGAGGTAGGTAGAGTATTTGTCTGGATGAGGTGGTACATCATCATATCGCATTCGGCCGGTTGGGGGCGCGGATGTGGTCGTTCCAAGGCACATCCTCCTCCTCCTCCTCCTCCTTTGCTCTGAGTGACCGTGCTCTCCCACCACTCGCCACTCGCCACAGTCCGAATAGCACTCCAGTCCAGTCCAGTCCAGTCCAGGCCGGTCCAATTTAGTCCGGTCCAGTCCAGTCCAGCCTGCCCCTCCACAGGGCGATACGGCAGCGGCTCGGTCCATCACGGTCCATCACGGTCATGGACCAAGAACCAAGAACGCGGAAGGACGGCGGACGTTTCACATGTCAGAGAGGTGAGATGATGCATGAGTCGGAGAAACATTGAGGCCAGAGACTGGAGATTCGGAAAGTTTTCCGAACTTAGGTTTCGAAGTCTCCCAGCACTCGGGTAGGGAGCTATCTATAGTAACTGCAGGCGGGCAAACCGTGGTCTCGGCCGGTCCTGTCCAGCACTTCGGAAATCTTTCCGGTTGTAGTGGTACGTTCTGACGTCGTGGCCGAGGCCGGCCGAACCGAGTGTTACATCCCTTCCAGCTTTTTTTTTAAAACCTTTTAATCTTCTTGTCTTGTCTTATCTTGTGGAGCTAGCCGCTGGCGGGACCATTTTCTAGGTAGGCATTGTTTTTTTTTTGTTTGATTGATTATCCCGGGTGCGCTGGTGCGGTCATGAATGAATCAATGCCGTTGTATAATTTCACCCGACGGGGTTACGGGTGCGCATTTTACTCCACTCCACGCCATTCTACTCCACAGTGGAGGTGGAGATGCATGATCTCGGATCGTCCCGAGACCCGGGAGGGGCTCGGCAATAGTTCCTGAGGTTGTGCTTTCCATGGGACTGATAGGTGACTGTCGGGATTCACGTTGTGGTCTTGGGATGCCGATGAACGTACCGAGGACCGTACCATGTGTACTTCTCGATCGATCCGCCGTCGCCGTCTTGACAGCAGCAGCGACGCCCACGACGGCTGTCTGGACCCTGGGAACCTCTGCCTGCGGCTACGTGAACTGGCTTCCTTTCCCTCCGTCCCCGCCGGGTTCTGCACTTCCCTCCTAACTGCCCACCCACCTGGGGGGATTGCCGAGTCCGAAGCGTCACTTCCACTTCCACTTCCATCTCGTCGGGAGTCAGGCAGTTCTCCACCTCTCATCACTCACCCCCGCCACATCCTAGCCGCGCCGTGCCGCCTTCACACCTACATAACCCGCCCAAGCGCGCCCCCCGTGCCCCCCTGCCCCCCAGTCTGGACGATAAGCGAGTCAAGTTTGGAGTCGGCTCACCTCCCTCCGCCGCCGCCGCCGCGCCGGCTTGAGCATACATAGCTGCATGTGGTTTCAACATTCATCTCGCTACCGCTCCCCCGTTCCCCCCGTCCCCCCCGTCCCCCGTCCCCCTCCACATCGGAGTTCCGCTTCGCCACCAGCGCCGCCACCACACACCCCAACACCACCCCGACACCACCACCACCACCCCAAGCACCCCTGATTTGTAATCCCGGTACCTACGGTAAACGATGGGGGCCCTTATTGCTCAAGCCATTCCACGATGCAACCCACACACACACATTCGAAACACGGTAGATACTTTCTATATGCACAGGAACTTGCTTTTTGCCAATCGCGACCTCTGAGCTTCCAGAGAACATACAGACACACTCTACGTATAAGTTATGATTCACTTGACTTAACTTGACTTGACTTTGAGTTGTTGGCTTGACTTGACTTTGCAATAGGTAAAACGGCAGCATAGTAGAAAAACAAAGGACCCCATCCATCCCATCCATCCACCAATCCCAACACCATTCCATTCCATCCCATCCCCATCCCATCCCATCCCCACCCAGTCCGCCCCGCCGACCACATCCACACATCCCATCACATCCCATATCGATTGCAAACACGGTAAGTTAAGAGCGAAAAAACAGAAAGCCGAGTTTTTGTATAGCAGATACGGCTGAGATCCGAGATACTTTTTTGGCTCGAGAAAAGGAAAAAAAAGTGAAAAAAAAAAGTGAAAAAAAAACAGTGAACGAGGCAAGAAAGAAGACCCCCCAAACGAAAAGAGATGAGAAGAAAAAAAAATACAAAAGTTGAAAAGAAAATGTCCCTTCTTGCGAGTCCAGTTGGCGGCAACACAACGTGTGAAGAGATAACACACCTGGAGCGACCGACTGGTATTGCATGCAACAAAAAGGGCGAAAAGAAGTAGATTTAAGAAGGTATATGTCATGAGCCCAGAGAGGAAAAGAAGAATAAAAAAAGAACAAGTGTGAAACGGCGGTAAGAAAAAGCAACGAAAGGGAAGGGTACTTGGTGGTCTCCACATCTGCACATACCAATGACTCCAGGGCATCGCGGTCGGTAAAATAAAAATAAAAAAGGCAAACGTGCAAGCAGCGACAACACCTAAAGACACCAGTGGAATGACAACATGAAAACGGGGACAAGTGAAAACGGCGAAAGAGTCTTGGTCGCATTGTGGCTGGACAATCGATACGTTTCCGTGGCCAGTCAATGCAAGTCATTATATTAAGCCGCATTGCCTCAGGTTCTCTTGTATGATGATGTCTGAGAGCATGTTAGCCGTTGTCGCAAAGTGTCTGGGGAAGGCCGTGAAACAAACCATTAACAGCCGCCATAACGAATCTGATCTGTGTGGTATCCGTGGCACAGGTAAAGTGCGTGTAGATCTGCTTCGTCTCGGACTGGTTTAACGACACGAACCGGTTCAAGATGTAATCGCATGCCGCCGTGTAGTCTTCACCGCCCTCGTAATCCGAGAAGTAGTTCTTCATCGGGCTGACGGGCAGCTTCTCGCGAAATCGATCGATCTTGTTGAGGAACAGAATGATGCTGGTCTTGATGAACCACCTCGAGTTGCAGATGGAGTCGAACAGGGTCAACGCCTCCTGCATACGGTTGACGGTCTCGTCCTCGAAGAGCAGCTGATCGTACTCGGAGATGGCAACCAGGAAAAGAATCGTGGTGACATTCTCGAAGCAGTGGATCCACTTCTTCCGCTCCGAACGCTGTCCACCGACATCGAACATCCTGTACGTCAGGTCCCCGATGATGAACGTGGTCTCGGTGATACCAGTGGTCTTGACTCGGGAGCGCAAGACATCCTGATCGCTGGGAACGTAATCGGGTTGCGCGATGCGGTCGATGGAATCGAAGTAACTATCCCCCCCCCCCGTTGGTTAGCTACACATTCCGCGAGATGCTGTGATGGTTATAAGCATCACTCACTATCTGGCCGAGTCGTTCAACTGGTACTCCCTCGATCGTTGGAAGCACTGCTGAACGCCACGATCCTGCCACAGCGACCTGATGGCATTGCCAACCTCCGGAGGCAGGCTGTCACCCTCGATCTGTGTGGGTTGCATGAAGATGGTCTGCACGTGGTACTCGCCGCGGTTGTCGTCGAGAGGAAGCTCCAACGATTCCATGGCCTCCAGGATGACCCTCATGGACTGCACCGTGTTCGAGAAGATGATCTCCTTGAAGGATTCCCGCTCGTCGCGGCTGTAGCCGCCCTCGTGGATGAGCTTCATCTGCTTGAGGATGGTGGACTTTCCAGACTCTCCAGCACCTATGATTTCCCCAGCTTATAAGCACGTGAAACAAGTGACGATGGGGGACATCCGGATGGAATTACCGAGAAGAAGCATCTTGATCTCGTTCCTCTGCATCATCCTATCCTTCTTGAGAGTGTTCTCAATCTGCTCATTGCGCAGCTTCCCCTCCTTCTCCTCTGTGCTCATGCCGCAACCCATCTTGGAGGCGTGTAGTTGGTTTTTGTCTCTTTCGAAATTGGTGACGATACGGTTTCACGGAAGGAATGTGGCGAGTTCGCTAGTAAAAAGGTGGGAGTTCGGAACGAAACAAGCTCCGATCGATCGTTTCGAGATGTAGTAGTTTAAAATTCTATTTCTTTTGTTAGAACGACCGGTGTTGGAGACGAAGACGCGCGAATCACAGCACAAACTTCGGGCTGGGGCTGGGGGGGTTGGTTGGAAAGGATGAAAGGAAGACAAAGCAGAGCCGGGGGCCGCCAAGGGGTATATCAGTTTTCTCGGCGGACGTTGGGAGGGGGGCGGCAATCGGTCAGATTAGTCGGGCGCAACAGACAAAAAAACACGACCGTTAAGTCCGCATTCCCTCATCAAGAGACAGCATCAACCTCATCATCGGTGGTGGTTTTTAATGATTGCGAGCGATTCCAGCTCCAGCCCTGCCCCCCTGCTATGCTCCATCATCATCATCCTCTAGAGCAGAGGCTCATCGCGACTGCAGTATAGCGCGATGAGAAGAGATGGTCGCAGACGTCAAAGCGAGTAGACCGTGCAGCCGAAATCTCCCTCCACAACAGAGAACGGTAGTAGCAGTAGTAGGCGTGCCAAAAGAGCAAGCGTAGCAAGCAACTCGGACGTGCACGATGGGATGGAGGGAAAGAAAAGAGAGAGAGAGAGAGACAGATAGAAAGAACAGATGGAGACAAACGAATGAGATGGGCTCACCTTAGACGTGTAGAATTGCGGGATCGCGTTCGAGATGCGTGAGAATGGAAGATTAGTTGATGTAATTATCGCACTGGAGTGGCGATGATTGCTGGCCGGTGGGGGGTGGAAACGAAGGTGAGTGGTGTGGGTTGGTATTTGGGTGGTGGGTCGTCGTTGCAGCAGTGAAGGAGGCGAGCGATGGCAGGCTGGTAAAAGGTTGGCACTGGGCGGGAGCGGGAGAATCAATGAGTGGCTGCTGACCTTTTTTTTATTGTTTTTTTTATAATTGTTTTCGCAAAGCGAGGGGTGGGATGAGTGTGGAAGGCTTCTCGAACGCAACCAGTATGTTCCAGAGAAATGAAGGGCAGGACAACGCAAAGTCAATTGGATGTCGGGGGCGGCGGGTCGTTCTTTCTCTTTCTCTTTCTTTCAGTCGCGATCGAAAGGCTTCGAGTGGATGAAAGGGATTTTGATTGTGAGTTGAGTTGAATTGATTTGGGGGTGGTGGGTGGTGGTGAGATGGGTAGTATGAAGAGAAAAGCGTGAAGAGGAGGAGGAGGGAAGGAGAGACACGGGCAAGAGACAAGACACGGGCAAGAGAGATGGAGGGAGGGAGGGGATGGGGCGAACGAACCCGCTCTCTCGAGAGAAGTATAGTAACACAAGAACTGACGAGAAAAGGGAATCGGAGATGCGCTTTTGGGAAACGGGGGGGTGGTGGTGGAGCGATGGGCGGGGGGTGGCAGTTGATGAGGTGCTGCTGCTGCTGGGGGGGTTTTACTAGCAGCTTCGCGCAGAAAGGGGCAGCAACAGGAGCAACAGCTAGTAACCATCTACGTCCTTAGCAGCGACCAGCCGGGAAGAAGATGAAGAAGCCAGCCATTTCTTCTCTCGTTTAGGGAGGAGTCGATGTAGCGTGAGTCTGTACGGTAGGTACGTAAGGACTCTGCACAATCACCAAGCAAGCAAGTCCTCACAACATGCTGTATGGACGTAGAGTGCCGTACGGGATGCAGAGGAGAGTGCTCTACATGCCATCCCATACTATCGCAACTATACTCTAACCACCAGCGTGTAACTATGTACTCGGTATGCTTTGCAGAGCGCAACTCTACGGTGGAGTCGGATTCGAGCATGTTCAATCTCATAACTAGCACTCATGTACCTGCTAGTACCAAGTACTCTAGCTCTCGCTCTCGCTTCCCTGCCAATTCGCGACGACGGCTAGGTACCCTGTTCGCCAGGCGATCTCGTCACAAACAAACGAACACTCCGCACGGCGACGAGGAGAGGCCGATCGGAGGAGTGTGCGAGTGTTTGCGTGTGGGAGCGAGAGAGACATAGAACGAGTGTTTCTCGGTCGGTGCTATATGTATCTAGAGTATGCACCTGCTGCGACGACGATGGCGGTGGCGGTGGTGGCCTTGGAGATGGAGATGGACTCTGGAGAAGGCCGAGAACGGGGGGAGGAGGTTTGGGCCGATTGATTTAGCGGCTTCTTGGCATCACTTGTTCGAGTCCCGCACCCGAAGGCGGACATGGGGGGTGGTCTCAGTGCTCACGGCATTCGAGAAAACAATAAATCGCGTGGGAGACGGCCCGGTCGGTCTTGAAGTTCGATGCAGTAAGACGAAGAAGGGCGGGAGGATGGTGATCACAAAACACGGACAGGCAAGTGCGACTCGGGACTCGGGGGGTATGTACCAATGGCATGGACTAAATGGCTTTGACATGGCCATGGTTTGGTTTTGTCGCCGCCCCGTAGGGACTGCGCAGATGGGTGCGATAAGTACCGTATGTACTCTTACCTCCACACGTATGCATCATACAGAATAGAGTACTGTACATACGTCCCGGTCCCGGTCCCAATGGCCATCTCCAAGGGTGAATGACCGGTGAAAGATGTCTTAGGGAGAGACTCGTGTTCCACGGTCTTTCGGCTTTCGCTCTACGGCCTTCCATTCGTCGGCGTCGACTCTTGAGGCTTTGCCTTGCTCAACATAGATGCCTATGTGCGTGCGTACAGTCAGAATGGACGATCGGGGAGCCACTCGCAGTCGACAACCACCCCCCACAGACCTGCTGCTGATGCTGCTGACGGTCCAAGGTCTGCTGCGGAACGGCGGTCGGTTCGGTTCTCGGTCTCTGTCTCTAGTAACGACTTGCTTGTGTAAAGTCCAAACGTTCTTGAAGAAGAGATGACAAACAGGCAAGTAAAAACAAACCCAATATTTCCCATTCCAGACCGACCATCGCAAGCCACAAACAAATATACCGTATGAAGTACTAGTACATATCGAGAGACACCGCTACTGTATCTGGGTAGCTGAGCACTAGCCTGGCAGTAGCAGTAGCAGTGGCTCCGGCAACGGACCAGATCAAGATTCAAGATCCCCTTTTACATACTACGGTCTACCTATGAATAGAGCCACTCGCTCGCTCACTCACTTCGGAGTCTGCTGCTGCCACTCGCTCGCTCGCTCACGGAAAACCGGTGCCGTACTTAGAGGAGATGAGAGTATAGTAGAGGAGAGTAGACTTCCAGCCAGCCCGGATTTCGCTCTTCCGGAGATACATATGATGTATTGTACTCTATATATCCAGAGTAGCCATAGGTACTCCTCCTCCTCCCGCTCATCTCCCCATCTCCCCCCCTCCCCCCCTCCCGCAAAACCGAAAAAGCTCACGAGTCACCACTTGATCCACCGATGTCTGATACGCATCGACAGTACACGGAGGAAGGAACCTGGGAAAGGGAGGGATTGTCGGTAGAGTATGTACTCTACCTATGATATCAGCACGGTCCTTTCATGATCTTGCCCGTATATAGCGTACTGTTGAATCGTCAAAACCCTCGTTACTCTACTCTACCCTTCCCTACATACCTTACCGTACCTAGAGCACGCATGGCCGCACGGAGTAAAAGGAAAGAAACCAAAAACAAAGAAAGGGAAAAAGGAAAGGGAAGGGAAGGGAAGGGGAAAACTACACTTATGATATGATGTACCAGGAGCTGCCAATAAGTGGTGCCTCACCACCATTACGAATTATGAGCACTAGTCTATATTAGGAGCGCACTAAGCCAGACACAATGAAATGAGTGAGTGATTGTGACTAATCTGTATGGGGGAAAAACGCTAAGTTGTATGGGGGAAAACCTGGTGAGGCAGCACTTACCCTTACACCTGAGTACATACCGTACCGGGGACCGGGGTTGTATCATACGCACTCTAGAGTAGGTACGAAGAGTTAAAAAAGGGTGCACTTTCAACGTCAGACCCTCGCGAGTCAGTCGCGCCGGCGGATTCGGCGTGCGAATATGTGCGTGTGCGGCTCGGGCGGGCGATCATGACTACCTACTGGACTGGACCGGGTCTTGGCCGCCGAATATGTCTTGCTGCTGCTGCTGCGGCGGCGGCGCCGGGGCGAGGTGAGGTCTACTTGGCGGGTGGACACTACATCCTACCAAGTCCTGGTTGCCAATTGCAGGTCATGTGAACGGGGAGGGAGAGTGACGCATTATGATCTGTGTACTGGTAGTATCATACATAGCATCGTCGGGTCATGCTGTGAGGGTTTTCCCAATGAACTCGAACCATGCCATGACGACGTAGGCAACTAGTTACTGGGTATAGGTAGTACTCTAACGAGATCGTCAGCTCGATGGAGTAACTATGTACCTAGTGACTTCAAGGAAGTACCCACCCCACCTATGAGGTATGTATCCACCCGAGCGCCGGAACGCTGTTCTTCACCATCGGCTTCTTAGCGTCCCGACATACATAGGAGAAGGAGAAGGAGAAGGCAAAGCACCGGTATATAGGTATGTAGATGGTCGATAGTCGGTTCGCTCGGATGACGGATATTCATTGGCGATATTCATTGGCGTGTCCTTGCCTCCTCCCTCGTGCCATGCTCGTGTCATGTGCCAGGCCAGGCTCTTATGACAGGTCCTTAGCTACGGTACTCGGGTACAGCGTAGGTACATGGCTTCGAGGATTGCATCTTGGAACCGTACCTACATACCTGACATATCTACGTACTTCTGACAGACCCAATCGGATGGATGCCGGTACATAGAGTAGGTAGACGAAACAGTTTGTCGGCGTGCAGCTTGTTACATATCGGTACCACTTGGTATGATACCTAGGGGATTGAAGATTCAGGGTCCCGGGCGGATGGAGACGGTCAGTCAGTCAGTCAGTCGAGTGCACAGTGGTGACGGTAACGGTGACGGACCTGGAGGGGGAGGAGGGGTTGTGTGTTTCGTTCCCATACCAGCTGTGCGTACAACCACCACCACAACCACCACAACCACGAGCACCACCCCCGGCCACAGTGGCAAAGTGACAGGCCGTACTATGATAGCACGAGGACATTCGCCGTAGATACTTGTTCCCGATGAATTTTTGAACGCCATCATCCATGTCCAGAGTAGGACCGTAGTTAACTATCGCCGGTTGCGTAGGCCTTCTAACAAGCAATCCATGACCCGTACATGTAGGTAGTGAGTTTTCCATCGTTCCGGAGCCCGCGCGATCATGAGACAGGTTCCACACGGAAAGAAAACTGGTTGCTGGTTGCAGGTATAGCAGAGTGCAAACACGGTTTTGGATTGACAGAATGCTAAGTATGGATGAATGGTACCGTATGTAGTGAGTATAGTAGTGGTCCTCAACGTAGGTATATGAAATCTCCATTTCCTCTCGTTTTGTGTGCTCCTACATACTGACTCCAAACCCTCGAGAAACCCAAAACTATACTAGAGTGTAGTATCGTATAGTAGAGTAAGTGAGACCGATCATATGGGGTGGGGGCCCGGCGGGGGCAAGGGGGGAGAAGGGAGGTCCACGATGTTGTCCCGGATGGCAGGTGGTGAAAACGCCGCCGTGGTGTACCTACCCGAACCTGAATCTGAAGAGAATCATGCCCCCCTCCCCCCCCCCTTCCTCAGCAAATTATACACCGACACCAGTAGACGCGAGAAAAAAGAGCTAGCAGACCGATCCATCTGTCGCATGGCAACCCCGGAATCGAACGACTCGAACGGACGCTACAAAAAGAATTCGCACGTAACCTTCCTCGTGGGGGGGGGTGGAGGAGGAGGAGGGTGGAGGGTTTGGAAAGCAGGGGCGAGGGCGGTGGAGGGGGGGGGGCGAGAAATGAAACGAGGCTCGAGCCCCCTCCCCGACTAGGCCAGGAACGTTTGTTCCATGCATTACCGAGAAGAGTAATTTTGGGGCTGATTTTCCGGCTAACTCGGGGGGCCTTGGCAAACTCCTTGGAACCCACTCCACTCCAGACGCTTACGTTACTCGGTGATGCGGATTAGCCGCGGCGATTTCTTCGCCCTTGTCCATCTTAAACGACCTCTCACCCCCCGCCCGGGGAAGTCGGTTGGAGGGAGGTAGAGTAGATACCGGTAGTAACTATCAAACTGTCAACGCCAGCCGTCCGTCCGGCAAACGGGGAGGCATGTATCCTGCGGAGAATACCTACCCATCTACTCTAGGTCCGTGTACCGGATGTGTGTTTGATTCGCTCTTCCAACGAGTTTGAGTTTATGTCCCGGTGTATAATATGTAGAGCTTACCTGTGTTCTGCAGTCGACACCAGACCGATAGGCAGCTGTTACAGGCAGCGCAATCCGTCTTCCTGGAACGGTGGTTTCGAGTGGGCAGTGCGGGGTGGTCCAATGAACATTGTATGAGTCGGATCCTACCCATCATCATCATCGTCATCTTATGTTCCTCTTCGGGTATTGAGTTTTGCGTCCAAAACACCGATACACGTGTGCCCAGTCATAAGTTCAGCTCTGCTGAAACTCCGCTTCGAAGCTCGAAGTTCGAAGCTCAGCCGTATCTTATTTTTGGAGTCACCGTAAGCTGCTAGGTAGTCTTGGGACTCGAGACGCCATTGCTCGTCGAGTGGGGGGATCTTTCGTCAACACAGGTATGAAGGGGAAGATGAATTCAAATTCGTGGTTGTGGTGGTAGTTACGTAGGTATTTGCAAGGGGAGTACAACGTGATGCCGCCTCTATTCAACGGCTACTATACGCCTTTGGCACGGGTTTCCCTCACGTATGGTCCCAACCTTGGATCGATTTTAGGATAGAGTACCTACCCAGGTTCATCTCACTGCTGGGATGGGATATTAGACGTTCCATTCTCTCCGCGATGGATGGTCTGAGACGTCCGTTTGCGGTGAGAAGCTTGGGCCTACCTATGCCAGAGTGTCCATTTGTGGTGTGAAGATCTAGTGGACCATCACGACACTCGATCGAAAGGGACGAGAAGTAATCTCTTACGAGCGAGAGATGATGTTTGGTCCTGGCCCACTCCTCATTCATTCCTTCTACATTCCCGCTGGGACCACGTACTTTCGGTATCTACCACCGCAGGTGTTGATAGCACCGGCTGAAGAGTCCAGACGATTCGGCTCCTTAGGGCCTTGGGGGGGGGGGGGGGGGGGGGGGGGGGGGGTGCTGTCTTGACTAGCACGTAGACTGTGGAGGAGGCGTAAGAGTCGAGCGATGTTGGAGATCCTCTAGCAGCCACGCGTATGTGGTACATATCGAGCAGATTTTCTATTCGCAGTGGCATTTGCCGTAAAGCTTCTTCATAAATCATCACTCATTCCAGGAGTTCGTCTAGCAGGTGGAGACGCACTCTAGGCCTGGATATCAGCTGCTTCTTCTTCACCCTCCATAGTCCATACTATCCTACGCAGTAGCTGTGTAGTTACCTAGCCCGACGAGTCGATAAAGCTAGTTATCGCTGTAATCGTTTTCCGTCCTGTTGACGATGCCACTTCCGTGCATGCGGTCTTTCCCGAGGTTCCGGCCCGTGACATATACCCAGTGATATTGCCAAATAGCACTCGAAACACGACGATGACAGTGACAGTGAAGATCCTCCCCGGAGGAGGGAATAATTCCAGAACGACCTGTAACAAGAAAGAGAAAAAACAATCAAAAAACAGGAAAACAGGAAACAACCTTCCTGTCGCGGATGTTTTGCCGAGGCGGTTGATGTGGCACAGTGGAGCCGGGGGAGGGTGAGAGGGCGGCGGCGGCGATGCGGCTAGACCAAATGCCGAACAGATGAGGTTGATGTTTAATTTCACGAGTGACCAAGGGTTAATGGCCAGGCGAAGGGTGAAATGAACACGTGCTCTGCTATACTGGGTACTAGTCCTTTCCTTTGTCTTTAGTTGCTCGATTACTTCTATTTACTCCACCGCCGGTGAGGAAGGTATATAAAGGCACAGGTACTTGACTGGTGGCGGTAATTCATTGCGTGCGCGGATTGCGTACCTACGCACCTGTGTGGCGGCAAGTAAAGTAAGCACCAGCAGGACATCGATCTCGATCTCTACGAAGGCCCTAAGTCCTAGGTTCCTTTCATGGTTTACTATGACAGACACGGAGCGGAGAAGTTATCTGTTCGGAGAGAGAGATAACCAATTCGTTCCGTCTCTTCCGAGCGGTGTGTGTTTACGGCAGTGCTCGCCGCTCGCACAATCACGGTCTATCACTCGAAATATTGGGCTCCAGCATGTGGCGATTCTCGTTCAAAAGTCATATCATCAAGCCACATCGTCATTCTGCGAAGATGTTGCACATTGGTCATATTGGTAATATTGCACGCCTCCCTCAAGAATCCTGTTTATTTTCATACTTGCTTCTCCTTCTGTCTGGTTACTGGCATGTCTAGCTGGTCATCCGCTGTGTTTTGAGAATCAATCGAACAAACAAGCTCATCATTTTTACTCGTACTCTTCAACATAGCACTCCGAACCAAAGGTTAAGCACCTGAATCTTCCTGGCAGTTGGAGAGCTCGAGCTGTGGTTACCACGCCGCAGAAAACTCCGACTACCTGACTCTTTGGATGCGGTGGTACCTGGATGGGGTTTCCGATTCACGGAGTGCGTAGAGTACACATGTACATATCGTCATACCTCCCACGCCGGTATGTATGCATACAGTTGGGCCGCATCAGCGAGTTCGGACGATATTCAAGTCTCGATCATGCCAGCTTCATAGCCGAGCCCAGCACATTGTACGAAACCTCCGAGTCGACTCCCAAACTTTATGCTTACATTAGGTCTGTATTAGTCGTCGGTCGCAGGCCGAAAACGAAGACTTTCTTTCCATGGCTATTGTGACATACTGTTCGGTGCTTATCGAGTCTATGTTCCATACGCAGAAACGAAGGACAACTAATGCTCTACTGGCGATGTTGAGATATGGAACGACAAGAAAATGTAAAATGGGTTTGTATCCTACATTGATCCTTCACTCTTCAAAGTTCAGTCGCGAGCTCTCACATCCCCGTCCCTCTTCATGTGCGTGTCTTGGCACAAGGGTCCGTTCCAAGCTTTCCCAAGACAAGTTCCACCGGCAACTGCCTAGAAGTAGACGAGCTAGAGCCTCAGCACTGACAGCAACCGCATCCCTCACTCAACACGTCAAACCCGTAATCCTGACTATTGAAGCATGAGAACATCCCTTTCGAGCCATCTGTGATATAACTTCACTCCGTTTAGTTACTTACCAACATACCTCATCGTTCCCGACGCCCACCCACCCCACCAAACCCCCCACCGCGACCCTGACCCTACATATAGAACACCTTGGTATCCTCGCCCCGCGGTCCAATGAGCACGGTACTGTCTCCCCTGCTTTCGTCATTGATTCTCCTCTCCCGGCCCCGGACTTTCCGACACTGATGCCGCGACCCCCTTCTCGCAGGTAAAAGCAACCCAAAACCTCCAATTACTCGACGCTGCTCGGTGTAATGGCGAGTGGGAGGCAGTTCCCGAGTTGAGTCGCAAGGTGCAGAAGCATGCGCCTGGAAGGAAATGTGCGTGTTGAGTTGTGAACCCCTCAGGATTGCCGATCGATCCATCACCATCACCTCGTACAGACGCGCGTATATATACTTACAACAGCTTTAAACGAGATCTAGGTCTCGCCATAGCTGCTCACACCGAAAGCAAACTACACGCCCTTCGTTCGCCGCCCAGACCTCCTTCGGGCCCTGCTTTCGATTCCTATGTTGCATCCCTCGACAGCCTCCAGAAAGCTCTGCAAGCTGAGCTCAACGCTCAGCCTACTCAGCTGCCGAAGCTTCCGAATCCCGTTGGAGGTAATGAGAGCTCGGTGGTAACGGAAGGAGACCTTCTGCAGGCGAGGATCGTGTTGGCGTCGATATGTTCAAAGAAAGGGGAATGGAACGAGGTGTTGAACATAGTGCCCGGGGAGGCCGAGGTTGGAGAGGGGTTCACTCCGGGACCTGGAAAGGCTGACTACATGAACATCATGAGACTCAAAGCGCTTGTCTTGAAGGGTAGGTCATTTGTGATGATGATGATCCTTCTCACGGCGGTCCATTGGGAAGCCAATAGCTGACGCGACACGCAAGGTGTTGCTCTATCGCGAACCACCACGGATACCTCACTTTCACTTCAAGTATACCGAGCGGCCACTCGACTGTACGCTTCGTTCTCTGCGAGCCAACCAACTTCTGTAACGCTTGCGATCTGGGCGGAGAAAGCCCTCGGATTTTATGCTCTCGCTACGTACGGAGTCTGGTTCCAGGAACATGCGACACCGACCGCGCAGTCCCCTGCATCCGAGAAGTTGAATCGCGACGGCGAAGAGTCTCCCACCGGGGAAGAATCCGAGACGGAAGGGCAAGTAGGCGTCGCCATCGGAAATACGATTGTCGATGAATCCACGCTTGCGAGCGCTCTGAGAACTTTCCACAAATTCGTCAATGGCACCAGTTCCGATAACAGAGCGACTTCGTATAAGGAAAAGAGGAAGGATATCTACCGATGCTACTTCATGTTCCTGTCGCTGCTTCTGCTGCCACCGGGGCATGCCGACCGGCCACTTGTGAACCGTCTGCCGCCGGGCAAGCAGGGTGATCGGAGGGGGTCTATGGCTTCTGCCGGCAACACTCTCGGTCGAAGGAAGATCACGTCCAATGTTGGTACGCCGGACCAGCTACGCGAGGAGTTGAAGACAATCTCAACGGTTTACGAGAGCCATTTGCTTTTGGGGCTCAAGTTCCCTCGAGCGGACGAATATCACGAAGCCATTGGAGAATGGGCGGATCAGGTTGTCGAGAACTGGCGCGTATCCGGTGGCTCCGCGGAAGATGCTGCACCAGTGGTGGGGATTCTATACCGGGCTTCGAAGAAGTCATTTCACTCCCCTCGGATACTGCGGCATCTGTTCTACACACTCACCGCCACAGGAAACTTCCAGGATGCGCTCGCGGCATTGAGCACGTACCTTGACCTTATCCAGAAAGCGATGGAGCGGATCTCGAAAGGTAACCACGAACGGGACTTTGATAGCCACAAGACCATTTTCCACACTGCGGTGGAAGGAGTTCGAGTGCTGTGCAAGTTTACCGGCAATGCACCGACTGCTATGGAGGTTGCGACGAAGATGGAGAAGTGGATTGGGGAGTGGGGAATAAGAGACAAAGAGATATTGGCCGAAGTGTACCGAGGAATCGGAATGGCGAATTCAGCTTTTGCTCGGCAGACTTCCGAAGGCGAACGGAGACCCGGGGCTCAGCAGGCAGCGGTGATTGCGTTCAGGAAGGGCTTGAGCTACGATCCAATAGACACACAGGGCTGGTATGGGTTGGCACTGGTGGAGGCAGAGATGAGGTCGGTGGAGAACGCCATGGAGAGTGCTCGGAAAGGACTCGGTGCACTGAAGTACAACTTCATGGACAACGAGGATCCGGATGATCGAGAGGGTTGTGCTAGAGACTACAAGCGTTTTGCGGTCCCGCTGTTGCACCTACTCGCCCTACTGATGACTGCCAAGGAAGATTTCGAAACGGCAGAAAAGGTTTGCAGGAACGCCTTTGACATAGTAGGTGAGGGACGAAACGCTGTCGCCGACCTAGGAGTCAGTGATAAGGTCGCCATCTTTGAGTTGAGGATGTCGCAGCTTGCTATCATGGAGGCGGTCGAGGATTCTGAGACAGCAGCATCGATGGCCGAGGACCTTCTGGCTCTATACGGCATGCTGTTTGACGGCACGCATCTCGTTCAGAGGCAACAGCAGGGGGATGCTGAGGAGAATGTTGGCGATGTGAGCAACCCTTCCCGACCCACCACCACCACGAGTCGGAGATCCCGTCTTCCCTGGAGGAACCATAAAAAGCAGTTCTCTGCATCCCACTCCAGTCTCCCACGTCAGGTCGAGGATCCAGGCTCACCGCCATCGCAGGGAGGAACAGTGAAGAAACGCCCCCAGTCCGGACACCAATCGCTAACCGGCATGTCCACCGGTATGCCAACCAACGCACCGAAGATCCAGGTCATCGACGATAAGGGTGGCGCTGCGACACCACCCTCGGAAAAGACCCACCGGAAAATGATGCGCCCGAGCTCTGTTTCCGGAAGCACTGTCAGAAGGATGCGGAGCCTTGGTAGCCTCAAGCTACGACACGAGCCCAAATTGGACGAACCGCCTACACCGCCGCTGCCCAGCTCGACCGAGGCATCATCGCTCAACTTTGATAGTCCAGCTGGTAGCATGAGGGACGGCAAAGATCCACATCTCTTCCAAACCCTCAAGAACAAACTTCATCACCACCATCTCAAGCATCCACAAGCACCAAGTGCGACCGGCTCTGTCACGTCGATCGCCGAGACGATACCCGGCGAGATTACATCGGAGAATCGCGAGTCAACCAAGGCAGAAAACGTCCCCAATAACCTCCCGCAGCACAAGCTCCCGTACCCACTATGTGCTCTTGGCAGGACCATCTCCGACGACGGCCAGGACGGACGGATTCGGACACTAAGGCGGCCAATACAGCTTCCGGAGCCGAAGCTTGCTGTCGCCGAGGAAAGCAAGCAAGTGCTAGGCGCTCTTCGGAGAGCATGGTTATGCGTTGCTGGCCTGTACCGCCGAGCCGGATACTTCGGTGATGCCCTCATGGCCACCGAGGAGGCAAATGGTCTTGTCGGAAAGGAGGGCGAGGGAGAAGCAGATGTACTTGCAGAAGTTTGTTCCACCCACATTCCACCCCGTGTCCCCCGTCCCGACTAACATCCACTCAGCAAGGATTCCTGGCGATGGTCCAAGGCCGCCGCACGCTCGCCGCCGAACTCTTCGAGCAAGCGCTCGCACTCGACTACGACCACCCGCAGTCCATTGTCGGCCTCTCCAAGCTCCTGCTGAAAGTCAAAGACATGGACCCGGAGATCGACGCACAGCAGGAGGAAAGCGCCCCCGACGACGAAGACACCGAGGCACGCACAAACAAGCTCGCATCCCGCGACCGCGCCCTCGGCCTCCTCGAAAAACTGGTGGTCTCCCCGCGCGGATGGGATCTGGTCGATGGATGGTTCCTCCTTGCCGACGCCCTCGAGAAGGGCGGCGAGGTCGAGCGCGCGAAGGCTGCCCTGTGGAGAGTTGTCGAACTCGAGGATGGCACCGGTGTTAGAGGCTGGCGCGCTTGCGGTGTGGGCGTCGTGTAGGATGCGATGTAGACCCCCTCCTGCAGCTTTTCTTCCTTCCTTCTCTTCCTTCCCTTCCTTTTCTGCAGCAGTTCGGTTTTTCGATTCTTGTAAAGCACTAGCATGCATGCCATGGCACGACGATTGGTCGGTTGGTTGGGAGAGGACGACGACGAAGGGGACTTCTTCTTGTTGCGACTTTGTTTGTTTTGATTCCCGTTTCCTCCAATTTTAATACAAAAGCTTCGAGGATACTTGTTTTTTTTTTCTTCTTTTTTTTTCTTTCTGTTTGTTTTGTTTTGTTTTTGTTTTGGAAAACAGTGGATGTACAATGTGGAGGAGCTTTTTATTTTCTTCATTCATTTCTGCATTCGTTCTTCATCCATTCTGTCAGCTTTTTTTTGTTACTGTGTTTCTTTTACTCGTGCTTTGGTCTTTGGTTTAGTTGCTTGTATGTAAGTGCTTATGTTTATAGAGATACCTACTTTTACAAATTGTTATCACGTTGTGGTTGGGGATGGTGGCGTGAGGTGGGTTGGTGAAGAATCAGATGCAAGATCACGTCGAAGCTCATAGATAGGATATCAACTTTATAGATTGCATAGGTTGCATAGTTCATCTCGACTTCCCATACCCGCTCCCGTCCTCCTATGTAGAATATAGACAGCAAACAGACATTACTCTCTTTCTCCACGGTATGCCTACTTAGGCAAGTAAGTACTGTCCATCTGAGCAAAATCGCGCATTATACGTTCAAAGCGAACAATCACCTTCTCTCTCTGCGAACAAATACAGAAATTAAAGCAAACAAAACACAGAACAAACACAGAATTCGTAGTGAAGAAATCGCAGGCCATATAAAGATCTCATGAGATTATTACGCGAGCGAGCAAGCAAGCCTCCGCTGAAAGAAAGAAAACACCAGCCTGAGTGCATGTCACTCTTTCGTTGACCCGTGGATGCTGAGGTGCCTCTCTGTCTTACCACCACGAGTCGTGCATGTGTAGCTAGAGAAAGGAATCATTCGCTCACACAAACCATCGAGATCACTCGGTTGCCGATTGGCTTCCACGTTTGTCCAGACACTTCTCCGAGCGAGCGGAGCGGTGGAGTCGGTGGAATTGGGGGAGCGTTCATTTCAAATGGAATAGAAGCCGATGGTAAACTGGTGATACCTTCGTAGACCCGTGGGTGCTGCCGAGGACGGCATAATGTGGTTGGGCATGCTTTCCACCGGCCGATGCAGATTTACGCTTGGGCTTCGCTTGAGCGGACGACGGCCCGGTGAAAGCCCAGGAACCTCCGTCTTGTGACGCCCATCAACAATCAGCATGAGCATGAGCAAAAACAGTGGCACCGTGATAACATACCTCTTACTGAGGGGTAATCAAGCTGGTGCAGGCGCCGATGCGCTGCCGGTTGTACGTCATGAACCCGAAAATGTGGAGTAGGTCGACAAACCGTTTTGTCATCTTCACTGTGTCCTATAAGTATTAGGCTTCTGGCAGCAAACCGGAGCAGATGAGCAGCAAGATTAGGTTTCAAGACATACCTCCGAAACAAGTGTAGAAGCTATCAATCACATCCTCCTCTTCTGCTTCAGTGGTGCTGTCGTACGAGCGGGTGTTGCGTCGACCGCATAAGCACTGCCATAAGGCGTCGTCTGGTGATAGGTGTAGTAGGCCACCGAGGGCTGAGTTGGTGATGTTCTCGTCGTGAGATGTGAAGGAAGAAGGATAAAGGAAGGATGAAGGATGAAGGAAGGATGAAGGAGGATGGAGGAGGGAGGAGGGAGGAGCGAGGAGCGAGGAGCGAGGAAGGAAGAAAATGAGTGGGTTTATATATGTGCCCTCGGCCAAATTTGGCCGCCGTGTAACTCGATAAACGTTTGTTCACTACATGCCGAGAATCAAAAAATCACAATGTATCGGATGAGACTTGAAATGAATCGTAGGAGCTTTGGGAGAGAGAGAGAGAGATCTTCAATCTATTCCGCCTGCAGCCTATCTAGACTATGGCGAACCATTAAACTCCTTTCCTGCCCACTCTGGCCGGCCGGGGTGGAGACCTTGCTACCGGCCAGCACGATGTAGCGCCGCTACCTGCAAAACAAATTACATAGAAAATCGGACCAGTACATATATGTTTCGCACCAAGAACAGACAACCACATATCGTCGCTCCTCACCTCCCTGCACACGACCTCGTACTCTACATGTGTAGCTAGAGAAATAACTATCCATCAAACAAACAACAGGTTTTGACGAGGATGATCCAGTTTTTTTGCCTGTCTAGTTAAGCGCTCAGCTGCCACGCTGCGCCACAGCGCTCGTACTTGCACGTGTATTCGCTGGCAAGATACCGGTGCACCATGCTGCCACGCCGTGACAGTTATTCAAGCTGTCAAGAAGATTCTGATAGCTTTCATGTCTGATTACATGTCACGGCCCCATAGCTGCATCGCAGCATACAATGCTGCAATGCCACCGGTCTCAATGGAAAACACGCATGTTGAAGGACAGGAGACAGTGAAAGCCGAAAACCGCGGGTCTGAATCCGAGGAGGAGGAGGAGGAGGAGGAGGGTCAGCAGGAGGAGGAGGTAGTGGCACAATGTCAACCACCACTCACCCGTTTTCCTAAATGGTGACCCCCAAAGAAGCGGATAACCAGCGGTGAAATGAGAAGGAAGTACCAGCAGGAGCATGAGGGAGGGTTACCAGATATCCCAGATCGTACCCCACTCCGCTACTCAACATGCAAAGGCATAGGCCGTTATGCCTCTACGTGCAGAAAGGAGCATACATTAGGTAGGCACTGTTACTCTCCGCGGAAGTCGTACGTTGTATAGTATAGTCTAATAATGCTGCAAACGACAATCAATTGATGATGTTCTCTCTCTTGTATTCTTTACTGACACTGCTGCGCTTAATGTGGATCAACGTCGTCCAAACAAAAACAAAACTGGATCATCCTCGTCCTCAAGAAAAAAAACTGGATCCACCCTATCAAAACCCGAAAACAAAATAGGTACCGCAGAAAAGTTCACCATATCCCCATCTTGTACTGATTCCCTTTCTCTTCTCCAAGCAATCTATCTCAATACGATCAACCCGTATATTCTCTCCATCGTATATCTCCAACATCCACGTTCGTCCATACACTTCTCCGAGCGAGCGGGGCTGTGGAGTCGTGGGAGCATTCACTTCGAATGCAACAGAAGCAATAGTAAACCGGTGAGCCGCCGCCGGCGATGTACGCCTTCACCGCGGCGTCGGCAGAAAAGGGGGTGCAGCACGGATCGGTGCTGGAGGAGTAGATGTTGGCTTGGTGGCCAGAGGTGGCGTCCCAGGCGCCTGCGAAATCGTACGCCATCAGGTTCCAAAAATCGAGGTAGCGGTCCATAGCTGCCATCTGCAGCTTCTGGTAGTTGACGGGACCGGTGGGGACAGCGACTGTTAAGAGCATGCGCTTGCACCCGTTGTGCTGTATTAGCTCTTGGGAGTTGAAACTTAATCAATAACGATTCCCGAGACAATACTGGCAACCATTCCAAACACAAACACGATGAGAACACCAAAGGAGTTCAATCCTTCGATTGAATGCAATCCAGGCACTTGGCGTTTGGTGTCGTAGTGCAGAGCCATGGTCTTCCGGTGTAAACGCTCTTTGGTAGTCCGAAAGGGATGGCGACAACCTTTCTCAGGAACTCAATCACCGCTGGTCCATCGATCTTGGGAAGCACATGTGCCCACGCGTAACGAGTGAAGTAGTTGACTGCGATCAGGACATGTCACATATTTCGATCTAGACGCTGCGGTTGGTGAGATTGGCCCGAGGCCGTCGATACCGAGCATGTCCATTGGAGGCAGAACCGTTGAACATCTTTGGTCCTCGTAGGCCAGAAATAGCGTCCAAAAAACCTCTGCAGTGTCAATCCCGAGGAATGTGGAGAAGTCTGCTTGCGCGGACGATGGGCCGATGAAAGCCGAGAAACCTCCGTCTTGTGACGCCTATCAATAATCAGCATGAGCATGAGCAAAAACAATAGCACCGTGATGAAATACCTCTTACTGAGGCGCAACCAAGATGATGCAGCCGGCAGGTCGATTGTAGGCCATGAGTCCGAAGCTTGTGGCTAGGTCGACGAACGGTGGCACCAGCTTGACTGCGTCTTATAACTGTCAGGCTTCTAGATGCAAACCGGGCCAGATGGGCAGCAAAATTAGGTTGCAAGACATACCTCCAAAACAAGGACCACCGTCATCGACCTGCTCGCCTTGTCACTTCCCTCCTCCTCCTATGAAGGAATTGACACGGTCATTCTCTTCTGCTTCAGTGACGCTGTCGTACGACTGGGTATTGTGTCGACCGCTGAAGCACTGTCATAAGGCGTCGTCTGTTGATAGGTGTAGTAGGCCACCGGGGGCTGATTTGGTTATGTTCTCGTCGTGAGATGTGAAGGAAGAAGGATAAAGGATGGATGAAGGAGGAAGGGGGGAGGATGGATGAAGGAAGAATGAAGGAGGAGGGAGGGAGGAAGGATGAAGGATGGATGAAGGATGGATGGAGGATGAAGGAGGAAGAAGGAGGAGCGAGGAAGGAAGAAAATGAGTGGGTTTATATATGTGCCCTCGGCCAAATTTGGCCGCCGTGTAACTCGATAAACGTGTTGTCACTTTGATCCCCGCGCCTGCCGAGACTCAGAAAATTACATATCGGAGGAGGCTTGAGTTGAATCGTAGGAGCTTTGGCTGATGGTCTGTGTTTGGGACTGTGCTTTTTTTGTTTTGTTTATTCATTGATGTAGCTTTCCCTGCCGTCCGCCGCGGCCTGTCCTAGCAGAGTAAACACACGGTAAAGGCTGACATATATGGGCCTGCATGACCGCTCCTCCCTCTCCCCCCCCTGCCTCTCCCCTACGGGCTGACACGCCCGCTCTTCCCACCTGCCTCCTACCCCTCTGATTGAGGTGTTTCCCCGGGAAGGCTCTGCTTGTGTGCGGGTTGCGTGTCTTTTGCAGACCTGGATGAGACGGACGGCTACAAACTGTGAATGTGCTGTGACCTGGTGGGACCAGCTGCGATGGTCTGTGTTACTATGAGCGGAGGGTATTGTTTTGATTCGATTCGATTTGAGAGCGGGCCGGGTCGACGCATGAGCGGCGAACTTTAGCTGACCTGGTGTATATTTTGTCGAGGTTTGTCTGTTTCCTCATTATCGTCCTCGTCATAGACCGCATCACCGCTCATCGTTGTCGTTATCGTTTTCATTGTCGGTTTTGTTGTTCTCGTCGTTTTTCATCGTTGCTCGGTCTCGCTACCTATTCAACTTGCGAGGTTCTCGAGGGATACCCTAATAACACAGGTGTCACTTTTTCTTGCATTGTCGAGTTTTCTCTTCTAAAATACAATCGGTCTGTCGCCTTTACAAACTTGCCAAAATGGTGTCCCAGGTCCCCAGTGCTTCACTATGGAAGGGCAAATCACTGATGATCTAAAACCATGCAGTCAAATCTGTATACACAGGACTGTGGGCATAGTGGCCTCGCTAGCTCAATCGGTAGAGCGTAAGACTCTTAATCTTAAGGCTGCGGGTTCGACCCCCGCGTGGGGCTCTTACTTTTAGGTGTTTTTTTGTTTCTTAAAATCGTCGCTAGAGCCTAGGACCGTGACCGCGTAAGTTCGATCAGACCTCAAGTTCCACAGTCATGGCTGCTTTTTGACGACTTCATACCCACAGAACGGAACACATGCACGGATGAGAGAACATCAATTTATTGTCGCATAACCACGGCCTCGCCATATATCAGGTCGCACACTATGCATGGACTATGCATGGCGACCGCCCGCACGGATGTCGGATGTCGATAGCAGAGGCTGCTATGACTTTACGCTTCATTGCGTGATCGGCCGGTCATGCCGCGACGTTGGAAGAAACGCCATGATCTGCGGTTTGACAGCGGGCGGGTGAATATTCACGACTCTCGCGGCGGCAAGGGGGGCGCGCCGCGATGCGATGCCCTTCTTCGCGAACCTACATAGAGTGCGCACTGGAGTGCGCAAGTAGGAGTCTGCAGCAGAAAAGCTCCTACACACGAGGAAGAAGAAAAAACGACATGGCTTGCAGTGGTGGAGCGAGTAAGTGCCTATATACATAGAGTAGGGTGGAGTACTCTACGCGATATTTTATGAAGAGGCTGGGAACTTGGGAAGAGTGTAGGATGAGGGGAAAGCGCGGCAGGCAGGGGGTGGATGAGGGTGAGGGTGAGGGTGAGGGTGGAGGAGAACTTTGACGCGGTCTGTGGGGAGTGGGCGGGGACGTGATTTCCTGCACTTGCAGTCAGTCAAGTCGCACTTTGGCACTCGACTGGACGCGAAAGCGCTAAACGCTGAGTGGGTGATGCGAAGCCAGCCTCCACCAGGATATTTACTCTGCCCATCCTCCTCCACCTTCCCGCCCGCTCCAACACACCCACCCCCGACCAACGTTTCTCTTCCAACTGCCTTCTTTCCCGTCCGTCTCGTTCACTGGCGCTCTCACTTGCTATTGAACCCTTTGACCCTCCCCCTCTCATTCAAAAGTCCAGATCTCGCGACTCGCGCCGTCTGTTGCTTTTTGCGTCGCCGGCTACTCCCACCGTCATCTGTCCTCACTCACTCACCCAACTCAACTCACCTTGCCTTTCGCCCAACGCGCGCGCTGTCGCCCGCCCGCTGCACCTACTTGACGCGTAAGAAAAAGAATAAAAAAAAATAAAAAAAAATGCCAGATCAATCTTTCGACAGCAGTGTCGCCGACCATCCCAGCAGCTCGACCGGCTACTCGTTCCTGCCGTCCTCGTCGCAGGACACGCAGCTGCTGCCGCCGACGCTGCCGTCTTACTACGACGACGCGACTTTCTCCCGCCGGCGCCGCAGAAGGACCTCGCCGCACGACCAGGCCATCCTCGAGCAGGAATACCGGAAGTGCACGAAGCCTGACAAGGCCCAGAGGAGGGAAATCTGCAAACTGGTGCAGATGGGGGAGAAGGAAGTTCAGGTATTTACACACGCCTCACCGTCGCATCAATCCATCCGTCTGTCCGTCACGTCGCGTCCGTCACGGTCGCGCGCGCGCGCCACTGCTGGCGCCGGCGCTACCACTGCTACTGCTACTGCCACTGCCGCCGCGAATGGGTCCATTGGGGGTTCTGGATGTCTTGTGTGTGCGTGCTTGTCGGGGAGCGGGGTGCGGCCAGTGTCGCGCGTGCGTGGAGCAATCGCAGTCCAGTCCATCGTGGTTTCTTTAGCGTGTTCATTCGTGCGAAAAGGGCCAGACCGACGATCGCGACGTGACTTGTAGAAGAAAAACCCTCTGGCGCGGGGAAAATGAGAAGCAGAGAAGCAGAAAAACAGGTCCTGACAATTTCGTGGGTTTGATCTTGCAGATTTGGTTCTGCAATAAACGCCAGGCGCAACGACGACGGGCAACACCTCTGCAGCCTCACGAGATGGTTCCCAATAGCGCGCGTCGCAGCTCGATGGCGCCCTCGTCACAGCTGTCACTCGTGTCGTCGTCTCCAGGATTCGATCGAGGCGGCGTGGGGCTCAGCAATCCCGCTAGCGACAATAGCGTGTCGTCAGGATTTCCCATGACAAGCAGTCCCTACGCCGCCGCCGCCGCCTCCACAGGACCAAGCCAGAGACCACGGGCGCGGCAGTACCATCGCTGTACCAACACCACCACCACTACTAACAACAACAGCAACAACAACAGCAACATCGAAATTCACCCCGCTACCCGCCAGCTCCGAGAACCAGAGGAAGCCGAACCCGCGTCCGGTCAGCTGCAGCAGGAACAATCAGACGCCCGGTCAGAAGGGGTTCCGTCATTGCCCCACGAGTCGAAATCACAACACACCACTGTCACGACACAGTCGCACAACACGTACACGTTCACCAAAAAAGGCTTCATAATGCCCACAGCTGCAGTGACCGCGTCGACTGCCACCACAATTCAACACGAGACCAAGATGACTACCTCTGCTGCCCATCGTCGTCTGCAGGACGTGTTGAACGGTCCCGTCATCGCACCCGCAGCCATTGAGGAGCCCGTCTTGCCCCCGCCCCTCGCGTCGACTAACCCCCGTCGAACACCGTCCACGTCCACGTCCGCGTCCGCCAACCAGTTGCCCCCTCCACCACGCCTCCTCCGACGTTCCTCGTCGGCAATTCGCCTGACCACATCACTGGAAGGCAAGGCTACCGTGGTTCTCGAAGACGCGCCTCCATCGTCCCCACCAAAGCAGCTCCCGACGCCCGGACCTCGAACCGCTAGGCGAAGGCCCCTAAGCACGCCTGTCGACAGCAGCCTGTGGGAGTTCTGCTGCGACAACCAATCCGCGATCCGGTCGCCTGCTGCAACACCTCCGCAGCCTTCGGAAGCGACCCAGGCACTGCGGCTACTGCGGACTCGACGCAACACCATCGGCAGTCTTCCAACGCTACTTCGAACTCTATCTCAAACCCAACCCATCACTGCTGCTGCCACCACCACTACTACCTCCACCAACACCACCAACACCACCAACACAACCGCCATCCGGAAAGATGAATTCGTCAAACCAACGCCCGTCAAGAAAAAGCCTCAACCAGCGTTGCCGTCACTATCCGAGAAAAAGAAGTCTTCCGTTTCGAAGCCGCTCGCCGCAAAGACGCCAGCAAAGAAGACGCCATCCAAGACGCCATCGAAGCCTCCCCTAAAGAAGCAGCAACAGGACCGCAAAGTCATCACGTCGACCAAAAAGGCCTCACGGCCAAAACCGCTCACTGGCTCCTTCAGCCGCAACAGAAAGGACTTTGGCTCGTTCGAGTCGCTCGATAGCGATAAGGAAAACCACCCGCCCGGCGCCTCGTTCTCGCCCCCGCCGGACCCGCCAAAGCGTCGTGCTCTCGGCGTCGCGGGGAAGGGCGCGTTGAACGGCACCTCTACCGCTACATCCGTTAAGAAACCAAAGAGCAAGCCCTCAACTTCATCCTCCAACAGGAGGCCGAGTACCTATGATATCGTCGATGAAGGATACGGCGCCAGCCAGGAGTCGATTAGCTTTGGCGGCCACGAGAATGAGAGCCAGGATGCTGAGCTGTTTGTCGATGGCCAGGATGGGGGTTTCGGCAGCACGGTAAGGCTGGCGTCGCCCAGAAGGGTGGATGAGCTCGAGTGTGTCGAGAACTTGTTGAGTCTCAGGGGCGGCACTTGGAGGTAGTTTGGGATTATTGTGTATCGGAAAGTGGCAGAGGAGGGGGGAGAGTTGTGCTTGTTTATGTTTTCAGTTTTTCAGTTATCAGTTCCACTGTTGTTTATTTTCCTTGAGGTGGCGGGATTCTAACGGGGATTCTAACGGAACGGGGAAATGGATTGGAATGGTTATCGTCGTCGTCGTCCTTTTGTTGGTTGGTTCTGGGTTCCTTTAAGGGTATGTGCATGTCGGGGGGTTTGTTTTTCTTGTTCCTTGTTCCTGAGGATAGTTGTGCGTGCATCTCATCTCGCTTCATTCTTCATTCTTCATTCGGCCCCCGCCTAGTGTTTTGGTATTGAAAACATGCATGTTGTGGTTGTGTGCTGCCTACCTGCCTACCTAGCTTGCCTGTGAATCATGGATGTTGGCTGGATGTATGGGTGCTGTGGTTTTGTTTATGGGCGGGGAGAGGTGTATGAATATCGCTATGTGGGAGGCTGGGATGCAAGAATGGAATTGGAGTGAGATTGAGCTGAATTGAGCTGAATTGGGCTGCGTTGGGCCGTCGTGAAGTGAAGTGAAGTGTGACGATGAGACGAAACGAATAGCTGAGTTGTGCCCGAGGGGTGGCGGCGGGGAGGGGGGAAGGAGAATAGGTACTTAAGGTGCTTGTAGGTCCGGGGAAGCTTGGGAAGCTTGGAAAACCAGAAGGGGGGGTGCCGTCTGCCGGAGGTAGGTAGGGACCAGACTTAGTAATGATGAGTGAGTGAGTGAATGGGTTGCTGAGGCGAGGCGGTGTGGCAGCTTGCTGCTTGCGGTTCTTGGAAGGTCTCGGTGGGTCTCGGTGGCTCAAAATTGGGGGGGGGGGGGGGGGGGGGGGGGTTGACTCTTTGAGGCTGGACTGGTGGATTGGTGGTCACTGGCTAGCTTCCGTGGCGAGGAGTGTGGGGAGTGTTGAGCATTTAGTGTCACTCGGTACAGCAAATAGGCACGTGGCTTGTAAGGCTGGCGAAGGCTGGCGATGTTGGTGTACACACTACTAGAGTGGGTATAGGAAGAAGGCTGGGCGGGAGCACCACATCGAACTCGTGACCAGCGGTCGGAGACTGAGGAGGAAGCGGTGTATGTACCATACAAAGTATCCGCCATGATCTGCCACAACCTACCATGCTCCGGTAAGGTCGATTCTCGAATGCAATGACTCCAAGTAAACAGAAACAGAAAATAAAAATACATTATGTACAAAGTATGCCGTAGTCCGACTCCATCTCCGGCGCGGATCTAGGTATCAAATATGAAGTATGTACTTGCCTGCCTAGTTGTGCAGAAAATAATCCACCATAACGCCCTTTAGATCCCTAATTACTCTCATGCTGCTGCTGCTGATTATGATGGTGATGATCGTGTAGATCTGCCCGTCCCCTTAAAATCTCCAAAATCCCCGAAATCCCCCGATCACTACTTTTCCCTTCCGTTTCTGTTTCCGCTTCCGTTCCCCTTTCCCCCGCCAACCTCCCCGCCAGCTCCACCGGCGTAGCCCCCTCATGCGTCCTATTAACATCCAAATCCTCCCTTTCTACCAGCAACCTAACGATCCCCTCCCACCCTCTCCTGATGGCCATGTGCACCACGTTGTTCTTATTAACGTCGAGGTCCTTCCTCTCACAGAGGAGCCTTACCAGCTCGTGTCCCTGTTCCCCGTGGGCGACTGCGAGCTCTAGCGGCGTGATGGGCGAGGCAAGGTTTATGTCCAGGTCTGTTCGCTGCAGGAGTAGTGCGACGACCGCGGGGGAGTTGGCGATCACTGCGGTGTGGAGGAGTGGGAGTGTGTTTAGGTTTAGGTCTGGGCGCGTGAGGAGGGTGGAGAGGATTTCGTTGGGTTGGTCGGCGGTGAGGTGGGTTTGGAGGGATAATAGGATCGGGGACCGACCCTGCGAGTCGGGGGTGTTGAGGTTTATGTGCGGAGTTTCCAGCAGGCGCAGGACGAGCGAGAGGTCGTGTGATAAGATGGCGGCGGACAGGCGGTCCGCGACGGTGGGTTCGGTGGGGGTTGTGGTTGTGTTGGCTGGTTCGGCTACGGGCGTTATGTGTGTTCCATACGCTATCGGTATGAGGCCTTGTTGTGGTTCGGCGGTTGGTGGGCGGCGGTCCGAGGTTTCGGATGTGTATGTGTATATGCTCCCCGAATCGTCGGTTTCGATGGTGGTGAGCGAGCAGGTGTCGCTGCCTCCGGCCTTCGGCTGGAGCTCCGACACCCAGGGGGGAATGCTATGGCGCGAATGGTTGGCTGTGGGGGTCACGTCGTCGTCGTCCATACCATCGGTGTCAATCGAGGTTAGCGAGGCGGTATCGTGTTCTGGGTCTTCCGCGCCTTTGGCTGCCATGGTGGGTGCTTGCATCCACGGGGCAGGATTGCGCGAGCATATTGCTGTGATGGGTGTTTCCCCCACATCCACATCATCAACCGAGAGCAGTGAGCGGTCCTTGTTTTCCGTAGGTTCGGGCAGCGTGACAGCTATCCTAGGCGGTATCATCCATAAATCGCTCTCCTCGAGCCCTGCTTCCGACGTGCTGTCTTCGAATTCCGTAACACCGGATTTCGTGCTTGCGCCGTCGCCACGGGCCGCGTGTGGCGGGCCTCGGACGCTCGTAGGATATGGTGGTAAGAATGAAAAATGTTTCGCTGTGGGGGTTACATCGTCGTCCATTTCGTCGGTATTGATTGTGGTTTGCGAGGAGGCATCATCATCGAACTCTTTTGTGATTCCGAACGATGTGCGCGCGTCTACAACCCTCGTCTCATTGGCGGTTTCTATAGCACTTTCCCCAGGCTCTTCTGTGCCTTCGACCGTCCTCTGGCTTTGCACCGTAGATTGTCTGTGTGTTGGGGGCGCGACTCTGGCCTCCGGATCATCGGACTCGGCCGCAGCTTGCGAGTAGATACTTTCCGCATCTTCTTCGACGTTGAATGTCGTACTTGAGGATCGTTCTCTGTTCGCAGCAGCGACTTCTGTGATCTCCCTAGCACGCCCTCTGGTCACTTCTTCGAATTCAAATGTCGTGCTTGAGGACCGCTCTCTATCCGCAAAAGCGACTTCTGTGACCTCCCTAGCACGCCCTCTGGTCACTTCTTCGATTTCGAATGTTGTACTTGAAGATCGCTCTCTACCCGCAGAAGTGGTTTCCGTGATCCCCCTAGCACGTCCTCGAGCCTCCTCTTCGACTTCGAATGTTGTGCTTGAAGATCGCTCTCTATTCACCGAAGCGGTTTCTGCGACCTCCCTAGCACGCCCTCTACCCACATCTTCGATTGTGGATGTTCTGTCTTCTTCCTCGTCGGCAATGAACGGAGCGACCAAGCTCACATAGCTATTATGGAACCCGGGAGCAGTATCTCCCGCCGCCCCACTCGTGCTCTCTCTTCGAATTGCCGCGGCCACACGTGTCTCGTTTGCATTATCAACTGTGCCGTAGACCGGCGCCGCAGCCGGGAAAAGGGCCTCGCCGATATCGTCGCCCCTTTCCCACAGTAGCACGCTTGGCGGCGCATCCGGCAACTCCGCGGCGTCCTGCGGTATTTGGCGCACGGACGTCGTGTTGGTAGTGGTAGTGGTGGTGGTGGTGGTGGCGAACCCTCGAAGCGAGGGCTCATCTCCCGATCCATGCACATCCTCCTCACCCTTTATCGAGGGATCTGGAAGGTCCGGAGAAGGTTCGATTTCTCTGTCTCTGTGCTGCTGAAAGTATTCTCCCACGGCCGGAGGAGGAGGAGGAGCCCGGGCGGATTCCCCAGAGGTGGGCTCGTATTCAGTTTCTCTGCGATCGAGTCAGTGCGATGATTCTCCCAATAAATAAATAGGATAGCAAGAGAGAACTCACGGTACTACACCAGCAACTCCACCACCACCACCAGTAGCTACAGCAATAGGTGCAATTGAGTCCGGAGCGCGCACACTATAGACGCTGGACGCAGAACTCTCAAGTTTCGGGCTGCCCTTCAAGCTTTTCCTGCTTTCGACGAACAGGGCAATATTCTTCGGGGGATCTGAAGGTCGCGAGAGCGGCGTGCCCGTGAAAGCACCCTCATTTATCGACCGCCGGCAGGAAAGGCGTGAGAGGAACGAACGTGCTGGCGAAGGTTTGGTCATTGCGCTGGTGTTGGAGGGAATTGGAGATATGCATCTGCGCATGGGCGACGCGCCGCTTATGAACATGGGCTTCAACAGTGGGGCCATTGGCTAGCGCTAGACACGTACCGATGTGAGGGGCCAACTGGACGGCCAATCATAGCGTATAGCGAACGATTACGAGTGATTGAACGTGATGAGCTGACCGGGGACGGCTGGAAATGAGGGGTGGAGATGAAGAGTGGAAGTGGTTGTTTATCTTAACATACTATGGTACTTATGGCACTGACTTTGTATGGGTGGGTATGACTACGACGGCGAAACTATGTAAGACAAATAACCACCTACCTACCTACTCTACCTACGTAGCAGCCAACCGTGCCATGAAGCAATTTTCGAGTGGGAGAACGGGTGGGATCAAAGGATTCCGGGCGACGGTGAGTGGGGGGCCAGCTGTTGGATTTGTATGTAACTATTAGTGATCGATAGATGTTGGATTTCCTCCGTAGTTGCATCGCCAATCGTAACCAAATCGGGCTTGACCATAATGGATACTCTGTCGCCATCAAAACCCATCCGGTGGTAACACTTAAGACGGACCTGTTGATTGTGGTAAAGTCGTCGATCAACCAGAATTGATAGGTATAATTACCTCGTCAATGGATAGGTACCTAGTCTGACAGAAATTCTTCAAGCTTTCTTGGAGAAAGGCGCAGTAATGGAAGCAAATACAGTGAGCATGCGGTACTATATTATAGTACGGCGTTGGTGGGTATCGGGCGCGGGAGATGTGCGCAACGGCTGAACGCTCCAGTCACGACAGAGTCTGGTACCGTATGTGGCGGTTGGTGCCTGCTCAGGAACTCCGAGACAATTTCCGCCGCAAGCTATTCGGACGGAATCATGCCGACGATTATGACCAGGGAGGTCCGAAAGTTTCAGCCACGAGACTGCCAGCCACGACGCCACACAAGGTGAGACACGTTTGGTCGGCGACGAGCAACCTTCGACGGCGACGGCGGGAGGCTTTGTTAATATTTTAGCTGATGTCTTAAAGGTGTGATAGAGGGAGGGTAATACTATAATACCGGCGGGGCATGGCGTGGGCATGATGCACGCCGGGGAAGGCTGATGGTGGTCCGATATCTAGCCCCAGTGATAGACTGGACTGTGAAGCTCATATGTATGTACAACGGGTTGAGATGTGATTGCGGGGTGCATAATGATGAAGAAGAAGTGCACATATTCCACCTGGGTGGGCACTAACAAGCTATGAGCATGCGGAGATGGAAAGGACCTGCGGGACTAGCCCGCATCCAGAGATAATTTGACGGACTACCTACATGAGTGCACGGGATGATGGATCCTTCTGTTCGAACCGCAACGCCTTCTCGTCCGGATCGGCCGACATTGGTATCATATCCGTTGAGCTGACGGGCACATCCAAGCAAACCACAATCAGGCCTCGGCACGGCTGGATTCGCGGGTCCGGTAGACGAGGTTGGTCTCGGTAGGTGTCGCTGAGATGGTACTCCGTGCCCAGTCAGCACTTCTTCCTCCTTCGTTTTCCCTTGCTATTGTCGGGTCCTTGCTGGTCAAGTAGGTGACGGCCATACAGCTTACCGGCCACCGGCCAAGGAGACGCCGAGGACCGAGCACGGGGAAGTGGCGTTGGGTGGCACCGGTAGCCGCCTCAAAGAGCTCAGCTGTCTCACTGTCTGGGGCAAGCTGGTTTATATCCGGACTTGCATGAAACGATCGAGCCAGTCGGGAAGAATGACTATCTGTGGAACAGCAGGCTGTGATCGAGATCGTGGGTTGCCGGCCGAAAGCCGTATGCACTTTCCTTCCCATTCCGAAGGCTGGTATCGCATGATATGTTCGTGGAACAGTATAGGTGTCCGAGTTGATGAACTTACTGCTTGTGCTGTGATTCGGAAAGTCGAGCACTTGAAGCGATCGAAGGCATGGTTCTGTGAGTGAAGGGATGGAGTTCGATGGAGGGATAGAGCTCAATGGATGGATGGAGTTCACTGGATGGATGGAGTTCGCTGAAGGGGCAGAGTCTGGTACTACCGTCCTGCGGCAGTGGCTCACTTGCGGGAGCTGGTCGGCCGTTCATAGTAGGTACCTGCATCACGCGCATCGTGAAAGCGGAAAACACCAGTGGACGCATACAGTTCCCAACGAGATATTGTCGAGAGCACCGCCCAAGCGCTTTGTCACAAAAGAAAATCCTGCCTCGTGACAAATAGAACTATTGATGCTGTTGGACAGATCGGTACAATACATAGGGCTGACGCTACAACGGATGGCCGTGATTGCCGGCGGCTACCGTTGCTTCGATCCAAGTGCAAACGGCTCGAAGCTTACGGAAGTTCTTGCGAGTCGCGGCCAATTAGCGCGTTGAGACGACATGTACAGTAAGCGGAATCTGCTCCATGTTTCTATGGTGGGCGTTTCGTAGGTATCGTATGGGGTTGATTCTGGTTGGTGGATGCCGTTCGTATTCCAGGCCTTCATACCGACCCTATTTTCAGGTCCCATCGAACCAGCGAAGACTAAGGGCATGCTCTTTGACGAATCTACTACACCTGAATGATATACCATACAGCCAGCATGCCTCCAGCAGATACATGTTGATCCGTCACCAGCCCGCATACTGATACATATCTCCCGCTTCCCAACATCGTAAGCTTCAAGCTCCGACCTGCGACGGCCTCTCGAACCTGTCGGTTGTCGAGCGTATCGCCGCCAGCTCTCAGCCCTGGCGGCCGACATGCAACCCTGATCCTAAAGAAACACTGGTGTCTGGTTGCACATCCCGGACGATCCGGAGTGAAGGGCTGAGATGGAGGCGAGGGTCTCGTCTCCGCAAAAGTCCAAACAAAAGGCGATACGTTGACCGGTTCGTCGAATGCCACGGTCGAGGGTTTCCATGGCGAGATGCATCATGCGCGGGATGGATTGCCTCCTGCTGTTTGAGCGATGGCAGACTTGTCGAGTACATTCATAGGTAGACATGTACAGTATGCGATATGTATGTAGCAGTGGCGGGGAAATTCCAGTACTCCCTATGCGTAGGTAGGGGGGACACGCAGTGGGTTGCAGGAGAGTTTCGCGAAAATCTGATACTCCAGCATTCTGGCTGATAGAGTACCTGGATACCGGTACTGTAGTATGACATACCCAGCAGTTTGAGCTGCAGCCGTCTCCTTCGCGTACCCACCGGTATCTTTTCTGCACGTGTTGACGCTGCAGACTCCAACTGGATATATATTGGCGAGTGACGGCGGGGGCGGGGCTGGGGCTCGTCGCGAAACTCTGCTGTATGAACTGGCCCGCCGACGCCAACTGGATCTCTGCTGGCGAGTGACGGCGGGGGTTGGGGCTCGTCACGAAACTCTGCTGCATGGGCTGGCTCACCGACTCTGCCGTCGGCCGGGTGCCGTAGTAGCACTCCATCGCGACGTCGGATGGATGTAACTTGTCTACGAGACACCGTCGAAGCGCCGAATGATTGTGCCGCCGAGACAGCCCCCACCCACAACCACCCACAACCAAGAGAGGGCGAGAATGCCTAGCGACTGTGCCGGTGCATACGATTTATGTCGTGCAGCTCCACGGGCGCGTAACCGCGAGCTCTCGTGGGCTTTGTTGCAATCTTGACATCCTCCTCGTTCTCCTCATACCCCCCTCCGTTGAAGGCTCATCCGTCTCCCACGGTCAAGTCAGCACCGGCCGAAAGGTGCGTCTAGCCGTGAGGAGGAGGGATAGATACAGGTCGCACGGGTGGGTCACGGGGCGTGAAACTCGGGATTGTATCAAACGCACAGCGGATCCTTCGGAGCGGTTTGAGGCACTTCCACGCAGTGCCAGAACCATGGGAAAGATGCTGTCAAGTGCAGAAATATCAAGTGGCTTGCACGGGAGGATAATAGACGCGAGGGCGATATAAATTTCTCCATATCCGTGAGATGATATGTACTGTTCCGAAAACCAACAACAGCACACCAGCACCATCGCTATCGCAGCGTCTTCTTTTCTTCTTCTTCTTCGGATTTCTTTTTCTGCATCGTCTTCCCCGGCTGGCCCACCCACACTCACTCAGTCCTTGTCATCCAGTCTGAGGCTGCAGCTCACCTTCGCTCTCTCCAATCGCAAAACTGAACCGGTCTTGTCTTCTGCACGAGCGGCCCCCAGAGGTCTCTAAGCACGCACAACAGCTCGCCTATCAGAGGCGGGGCGCTTCGAAGTTGTCGAGATATCCAACATCGAGTTTCTCTTGAGCTTTTTACTGTTGGAAGCCTTACCCCGCTCTCTCCTGATCAGCATAATAAGCTGGCCATCGTCGGTGTATACCACGGTTGATCGTGCTTCATCTCCATTTCCCTCGTCGTCGTCCATCCAACCGTCGAGATATCCAATATCAGGTGTCTCTTAAGCTTTTTTGCCGTTGGGAGCTTTACCCCGCTCCTCCTCTCTCTCTCTCGATCATCATAATAAGCTGGCTGTCCACCGTTGATCGTACTCCATCTCGATTTCCCTCGTCGTCCATATATCCATCCGTCTTCTGCCCCACTTTCTACCCGTCGACAGGATATCGATCGAGAAAGCCCCCAAAGAAGAATAAGTCGAAGCCCTGCAGCGCAGCTCGCTCCTTCCTTTAGCTCCGTCACCCATCCGGCCCCTAGTTACCTCCTAGTAGAGCATCTTCGATCTTTGGTAAGCAGCTCTCCCCGTTTCCTCCAGATGCCGCTCAGGTTTTCTCCGCCTCTTGCGTCCCCACGTTTCCCCTCCCTCCGTTGGGGATTTGTTTGCTGGCGGGAGCACTTCCGGACCGCGGAAAAAACGGGAATGACCCTGCAGCCTGATTAGAAGTCCCCTCGCGAAGAAAAAAACCCTTCCCAGCCCCCCTCGACAGGAAAAACCGTCATCCAATCTACCTGTCGTGTGTACTGACGACATCGCGCTCAGTGCTTCCAGTGCTGTGCCTTGCAACTTGCTTGAATCGTAAATCCTAAATCCGAACATCCTTCTCAGCAGTCAGCAGTCAGCAGTCAGCAGTCGGTTAGTCAGCAGTCAGGAAACCCAACCCCCGAAAAGAAAAATCCGAAGAAGCGAAGCGCCGAAGGTCTTCGTGTCACCTCCGATAATCTTCCCTATCCGAAATTGTCCCCATCGGGAACAAGTCGGCTCTCGCGGAAAAGAAAATAAAAAGAAAAAGACTCGACAACTTCCGAGTCGCACGCTTGTCCCCCCTTCTCGCTGTCGGGACTCCGCAGATATCGCCGCCCATACGCCGATACCACAAATCCCGAGCATCCCAACTGACGCTGCAATTCCCCGTGGAAATTCTCGTTCCCCTAATCGCTGCCACAAACCCCGAAAACCACCCATGTCGTCCCCACAGACGCAGACCTTGGCCCTGCAGGAGCAGCACGGTGTGCCGGCACGGTTGAACGTTAATTCCATTCGTCCCCCCCCCACGACCATGTCCGTTTCTGGAGATTGTCAAGCCGACCAGTGCTCGGAACCATCTCCACCTCCTCCCCACGCATCGCCCTCCTCTACCACAACTCCAAAATTTGTATATCCAGGCTCGTTCCCCACCTCCGCCGCCAACAGTCCCTCGCTACCGGTTTCTCCCACACATGATACAACACCGGCGCCGCAACTCCTATCCACCGCTCCCGAAGACCACTACTCGCTACTAGAGACCAGACAGGAGCTACCCCATTCCCCTCCGTCGTTAAAGTCGCCAAAATCCTTTGCCCGCTCGCGACAGAGCCGTACCACGGCCGAAGAAGTTCCTCGCCAGACGCTACTCAAGGCCCTGGCCTCCAATCGCCCTTCGCTGTCTCCCCTCTCCCTCACGCCCATGTCGATTGCCCCGGGCCTGCGGCAGAGCATCATGACGGCAGCGGCGCAGAACTCCCCCAGGTACATCATCTCGCAGAACGGTGCAGAACACCACAACAACACGGGTCTCAACGAGTACGCCATTGAAGCTTCGGCCGCGATGCTGAGCCCCACGAGTCGATCCTCCGCCGGAATGGAGCCGCTGCAGTCGCCATGCTTCTACCACCAGCGCTTCGACAAAACCGTTAACGTCGACCGTGTCCTCGAAGAGATCGCCGGCGACGAGTACCGATCGCACTCGCGACTCATGCAGACGGCACTTGGCGTACGAGAAGTTGCGCGGCAGCTGCAGCGGAGAACCTGCAAGGTAGCGGTTAAGAACGTTATGATTGTGACCAAGGCGCGAGATAACGAATTGGTCACACTTACCCGGGAACTGGCTCATTGGCTCATGAAGACCCCGAGGTATGGCAGGCGTCTGGGTGTTAATGTCTACGTGGACAAGAAACTCCGGAATTCGGCGAGATTCAATGCGGATGGATTGTTGGAGGAGGAGCCCGAGTTCAAGAAGATGCTGAAGTACTGGACTCCGGATCTTTGCTGGAGCTCGCCCGAGAGCTTCGACCTGGTGCTCACGCTGGGTGGTGACGGCACCGTTCTATTCACCTCTTGGCTGTTCCAGCGCATCGTTCCGCCCGTTCTCAGCTTCTCGCTCGGTAGTCTTGGTTTCCTGACAAACTTCAAATACGATCTTTACCGGGAAACTCTCGATAAGGTGCTGAATGATGGATTGCGAGTGAACATGCGCATGCGCTTCACATGCACTGTCTACAGGGAGGAGGATGGCGAGAGTGTAGAAAAGGATCAGTTTGAAGTTCTCAACGGTATGTTGCTCCAAAGAATCACATTCTCGAGTCTTATCTAATCTAACGATCATAGAATTGGTTATTGACCGTGGTCCATCTCCCTACGTCTCCCAATTGGAACTGTACGGTGACAACGACCTCCTTACCGTTGTTCAAGCCGACGGTTGCATCTTCTCGACGCCGACCGGTTCCACTGCATACTCGCTCTCCGCTGGTGGTTCCTTGGTACACCCTGACATCCCGGCTATCCTTCTCACCCCGATCTGTCCGCATTCGCTCTCGTTTAGACCAATGCTCCTGAACGACTCGATGCTACTGCGCGTATCCGTCCCCAAAGGATCTCGTGCAACCGCATGGTGTGCTTTCGATGGAAAGGGTCGTCTGGAACTCTGTCCCGGCGACTTTGTCAGCATCGCTGCAAGTCAGTACCCGTTCCCCACGGTACTGAGCAACAGCACCGAATGGATCGACAGCATCTCTCGTACTCTTAGGTGGAATACGAGAGGTGCCCAACAGAAGCCGTGGAATTCGGTCGATCAGACGGAGCCGGAGGTCTGGGACATTGACACGGACTCGGGCGTGTACAACAGCGATGACGAGGAGAGCGATGGGAACAGTCCCGTAGGAAGGAAGATGGCATTGCTTGGGTTGGCTTAGTTGCGCGCATTGAGGAGTTGGGTAGATGGGGTGCGAGTGCATTGTGCGGTTACTTTTGGGAAGCGGGATCACGCTGGTGTTAATGTCTGCTTTTGGAGTTTTCGGTTGCGTCTGCTTCGTTCTTTCTTTCTTGATGGTTGTCTTGCTTGTCTATCCCCAGTTTTAAACATGTGTGCCTGTCGCTCGGATTTCGTTTGTGCTTGATTTGTTTGTAGGCGGTGGTGAGGTGGAAGTGGAACTCTGTGCTCTGAGACAGTCATAGATGGCGAGGTCTAGAATGTTTTAGTACTATGTGACATTTGTTTCGCGAGGGCTGTTCCTGCAGTGCCTATCGTGAGGTGGAATTCTGTGTTCTGAGGCTGTCGTCGGTGGCGAGATCCAAAATGTAGTAGTACTACCTATGTGACATTTGTTTCGCGTGGGCTGTTCCTGCAGTGCCCATCGTGCCACCGCATTCCTGATTGATTTGTAGACGCTGGTGAGGTGGAACTCTGTGTTTCGAGGCTGTCATCGATGGCGAGGTCTAGAATATTTTAGTACTATGTGACATTTGTTTCGCGAGGGCTGTTCCCGCAGTGCCCATCGTCCCACCGCATCAATAACAGTCATGACTGCTCACTCGCACCGCATATTTGCAACGCGTGTTGGAATGTGTGAACAAGTATTGTATTGTTTGAGACGGGAGCACCAATTCAAGAACTGCCGCGAATGGAAGAGCCAGCAGAAAACTCTGCGGGCATAGGCCCGGAAGCAGACGAGGAGGGGCAACGATCGATTCAAGATCCGAGATCTCCGAGCGCTGCAGCAAGGCAAGGCAATTCTGGAATTGGATCCCCTCTTCCACTGATGTGGGCAGACAGGTGTCTGAGACCGCCGAGGAAGATACAGAGAGTGAGGTCTCCGAGTGCGAGCTTAGGGGGCGGGAAGAAAGGGAGGCAGAACTGAGGCGGGAGGAGGAGGAGGGTGCTGAGGTTGAGGAGCTGGGCTCAGGCCCGCTGTTCCTCCCACACCTTCTTTTATGGCATCCCTTTTGGAAGAGGCAACAGGCGGAGGGGAGTAGGGAGAGGGAGCGGGAGATGTCTTTTCCTAGTAATATTTCTTTGGTGCGCTCTACTTTCATTGCGGGGACAGGCCAAGGCGGTGGGCAGGGAAAGCCACATCGGGCCACTCGATGAAAGTCGGGTCGAACAGTGGCGGGAATCCGGAGTGTATAGGTACATATATTGCTATGATCTACTTAGGTCGCAAGCAATTACTGAGTAGACAAAACAATTGTATTGTTTGAGTCTGAAAGCCTCGAGAGGACAGAAAAGAGGGGTGGTATGTAGGCGGCTAGTGCTTCTCGCCGTCATGACCGCGTAAGCGACTAAGCAACGAGTGAGATATTATAACAATGCGCACCAATCAGTCAGTCTAGGAGGCATCTCAGCAGCCTGTTTCTGTATGGTCGTAAATCCCCGCATGCAGCCGCAACCGCCCAATTGTGGCCGTCCCGGACATGCGCATGTTAACTCCGGGAAGTACGTAGTTTATTGTATTTACACTTAAATCCGGGAATCCACAGTGTATAAAACCTCACGATGTGGACGGGTTGAGAGCAATTGTCAAATACATCTCAATCTCACCTCAGACTTCACCTCGTCATCCTAAGCAAACAAGCAAAATGTCCTCCTCCGTCGCCCCGCAAAACAAGAACCGCATCATTTTGGGATGTATGACCTTCGGCCCGGTATGTCCTCCCCTCTCCCCCGACTTCGAATAGTAACTCTGCTAACACCGATCCCTTCAGACCGCCGAACACGGCGCCCGCATCACCGACATCCCCAGCACCACCGCTCTATTCAAAAAATTTATCTCAGCCGGGTACTCCGAGATTGACACGGCGCGCGTGTACATCGGAGGGGCGCAGGAGGCGTTCACCTACCAGGCGGGGTACCAAGACCTGAACCTGAAGATCGCGACGAAATGCTACCCAATGGGGACGTACACGCACACGGCGGCGTCGCTGCGGGGGTCTCTCGAAACCTCGCTCGCGGAGCTGCAGACGCCATGCGTCGACATCTTCTACCTGCACGCGGCGGACCGCCGCGTGCCGTTCGAAGAGACCCTGCAGTGCTGCGATGAAATGTACCGCGAGGGGAAGTTCCGCCAGCTAGGTGTATCGAACTACACTGCGTATGAGCTCGCCGAGGTCGTCACGCTGTGCCGCGAGCGCGGTTGGGTCCGCCCCACTGTCTACCAGGGCATGTATAACTTCATCACGCGCGGGATTGAGCGCGAGCTGGTGCCTGCGTGCAGGCGCTACGGCCTCGACATTGTCGTGTACAACCCCGTCGCTGGAGGGCTGCTGTCGTCGAAGTTTGAGGGCATCGCGGCGGCGCACGAGAAGAGCGCCGCGCCGGTGGAGGGCCGCTACTCGGATTCGGGGCCGACGGGCGGGATCTACCGCGGCAGGTACTTCCGCGACCCCGTGCTCGACGCCATCAAGGGCGTGAAGGAGGCGGCGGATGCGCACGGCATCACGCTGCTGGAGACCGCGCTGAGATGGCTGGTGCACCATTCCGCGCTGAAGATGGGCGACAGCGGGAATGATGGCATTCTCATCGGAGTAAGCTCCATGCAGCAGTTGGAGGAGAACATCAAGGAACTCGAGAAGGGGCCGCTGCCAGAGGAGGTCCTGCAGGCGCTCGAGAAGGCGTGGGAGAATGCCAGGGGGAGCGCTACAGAGTATGTTACCAATCTTGTCCCCGCATGAAGATGATCGTACGGTGGCTAATCATTCGGGCAGTTATTGGCACGGAACACTCGAGTACCAATATGAGTGGAGCAAGGAGAAATTGTAGGATCCAAGCAGGCGAAAAGGAATTGTCTCCGGAGAGCAGGCTTCATGCAAGCTCATGTCAATATAAAATGTTACGAATTTGGGCTTTATTCGTTATATATTCATGGGAAAATTTATCGCGGTATTCATCCAGTGATTCAGTAAAATTATGTGTTGCAAGCGTTAATGGTGGTGGTGATGGCGATGGTGGTGGTGGTGATGGTGGTTGGTGATGGTGGTTGGTGATGGTGGTTGGTGATGGTGTGGTAAATGAGCGCCATTAGCTTCCGGCGGTGGGGTTCAAATATTTTTTATCAGCAAACATTTCTGACTGTTATGGTCGTATCGAAAGGAGGTGCATCGTTTTACCTTGTCACTATCCCATTTCAAACATAGTTTGCTCACTGTGTCCGGTTCGAATCCCGAGGAGCTCATGTTAGCTGGTGCACGTAAGTCACCCGGCTATGGGGCCTAAGTACCAGAAATACACTTCAGGTCGGCAACGACGCAGAGAATTCTGGTCTCGGGGTGGCGGCGCTGGATCGCACGGTGGTGGGCTTTGGGAAGGTGGCCTGGTTAGGTGTGACAACTTTCATTTTTGGTTAATGTTTTCAATTTTTTCTCGATCTGGGTTTTTGCTCAATAAGTACTTCTCGCAATGCCCACTGATACGGTCAACTATCGACATCACTTCTTCTGAAGAATTGCATTAGTATGCTGAGGATACCGCGCACCACCTTTTAACTTCCTGCGCGAGTGGCTATCTAGAGAGTAAGCGGGCGTCTCAAAGAACGGACTTCTTGGAGGAACTGGCTTGAAAGAGCACACGGGGAAAGACAGGCCTGGACAAAAGAGCAGACTCGGAGAAGCGTAAAATCGGGCAAGAGCCTGGCATCGTATGTACATCCAAACAAACCCAATCGAGTAGCAAGCCCATACAGAAGGCCAGTGTCACGATCCATGATCCATCCAAAACTCCACTTCAAAATGCCCAAACCCCCACGGTCACAGAAACACAAACTCCCAGTATTCCCACCCGCTTCACACCTAGTATCCTGGTGCCCACCGAGGCGTAACCGGTCTTGACAACACCCACAGGCTTCGTCTGCGTCCCCAAGCCGATCACGCCGCTCTTGACTCTCCCAGTAGTACTGTCGTGCAGTATTGGGAACGGCTGGGAGAAGATGCTCGGGACGACGGTGACGGTGGTGCCGCTGGATAGTGTTACCCTGGAGATGTTAGCTGCGTGATGAAACGGCGTATGAGGGAAGGTACCAAACAGTTGTTGGAGGACGTGGGGTTGTTGTCAATGTCACGGTTGGAGGTAGGAGTTCGGCGGGAGGAATGGTTGTTGCTGGGCCGACGGCGGCAATGGTGGTAGGTGGGACTGGGACGGGGGCGAGGATTGCGGAGGTTTCGAGGGAGGTTGTGGAGGTTGTCGCTGGACGGATTGCGGATGTGGTGGTCGGAGCGGTGGTGAGGGCTGTGGTGACCGGCGGAATGGTGTTCGTACTTGTAGCGATGGTAGCGGTCGATATGATGATGGGCGTTGTAGAGGACTCATCAGCTTCTACTTGCTGGCAGAGGATGAATAGTAAGGCCGAGAGGAGGAGGAGACGACGGCGTAGTTGGCGCATGTTGCTCGGGGATTGGCCGTGAAGTTGGTGCGCCTGGAGAGTGTCGTATAGGCTCACTGGATGAATTGCTGATAGAGACTGAATGGAGGTTTGTAAAAGCAGCACCAGCTATGGATCGGAGAAAGGGTTCCAGGCGGAATATAACAGCATGGGAGAGCAGAACACATCAGGCATGCAGGTACACATTCTCCCAGAGTGACAGCAATCAATATAAAGATCGGGAGCAGGCATGTTTCAGACAATGGCAAATGCACATAAATGAGTATCTATTTGACCTTCCTATCGACTTCCCGGATGCAGAAGATTCATCGATGCTTCTATCAGAAGTGTCAAGAGTCAATAGGTCTTGCCGTCACTGATGGCGAGCACGTGACCGACCCGGTCCGTACTCGCTGCCATGGCGATCTCCCGCTTCGACTCTTATCTCGCCGGCACTGCATATCAGGTACACCGCCGTGATCAGCACAAAATCCAACCTGCACTCAATCATGCTAACGGAGAGAACCTTCATACATGCAAACTCTACTCGCTATGCCGTCACAGGCCCAAGGAAAACGGCCATACTATTCGCTCACTCGGCAGGCTGCGGTATACTAGCCACTTAAATTTCAATCGCAATGTCATCTCTCATACATACCTCCTTCAAGAGCCCGCCCGATTCCTCCTCAAGAAGCCAGCTCGACTTGATACCCGCCTCTAGCCATCTATGTTTCACCATATGCGCTATCCCAACGATTCTGATCGAATATCATCCACAGTCTTCTACAATCTCGAAATTCTTTGCAGCTCTCGACCCACTCGCTACCCGGAAACGTCCACCGTGGTATTGTCTCCTTTGCGAACAAACAGAGAAAGATGGCCTAACGCAAGTTCTACTCGCTACTCGAACGTCATATCTAACTTGATACCGGTATGCTAATATCTCTTGAGCAATGAGCACTTGCCCAAAGCTTTGGTATGTTCGGTCTACTAGTTCTTCTTGTCTGCTCGTATCGCGTATCGCCGGGTGTCGCAGCGGAATAGTATTATCTCTACTATTGTTTTTATTTTTTTTCATTTAATCGTCACAGCATTCTCGGACCCTAGTCGATCATGGCTGTGTACATCTCCTTGTCCAAGTCCCCGCTGCCTTTCAGCCCGATCATTATCTCACTAGCAGCACAAATCGGTACATCACAGCAGCAATGAAGAGTGGCTCAATAGCTATGACAGCTTGATATTTGCAGCACCTGTCCGGTTCTTACATGCGTCCCATCCCATCCCCATCCCACGGCTTTCCCAGTAGACCAACAAGTACATCATCGTAAAGCTCAGCAGCTATTCACCCCCCCACCACGTCCGTCATCTCAACACTGCCCCACCGTATCCTGAGCACTGCTTGACTTGCACGGCGGCCCGCCGTTGAGCGGCAGTGTGATCCAGCCCGTGTAGCCGGGGAACAGGATCCCCGTAGGATACTGGATTCCGTACGGCAGTGCGACCCAGCCCACGCCCCGCTCCGCCTGTTCGATGGCTTCGCTGATGGAGCTGTTTTTTTTACGCCGTTAGTGGATTGGCTGGCTAGCAAGCACGCAGCAAGGGGGAGGAGACATACCCAGGGGCTTGCGCGGACACCAGACCGAGCGTTGCGAGCAGGACGGTGCTGAGCGATAGGGAACGCATGTTCTTTTTTTGCGGGAGGGAGGAATGCGTGGGGTTTTTTTTTGTAGGCTGCGAGAGAGGTTGGCGGTGTTGCGTGCGGCCGGTGACGAGCTGTGAAGACAAAAACAATGCAAGGAGTGTAGTGGGGTTGACTGCCTGTTTGAAAACGGCGGCGGGGGAGGGAATGGGGTGGAATTATATCGAGACCGCAGTACGGTATTTCTCTCCTTAGCTTTTGAGTGCGATTGTGAAGGTGTTGGCTCGCCACGGGGAAGCCGTCACCTCGGTATTGAGATCTCTTCGTCGGTAGCCATATCGACGTTTCTGCGGAAGGGCGATCTGATGGTTTCGCTCCAGCTTAGCTGTAGGCTACGGGATGTCAAAATATAGTGATGACCTCAATACATATCCTGCGGCTAAGAAGTGAAACACTACGTTTGGCAAACCTCGGCTGCTTGTTTATCTACATATAGCCCCGGTGAGGCTAGCTACGTGGTTTTTTGATCACTGGGCTGCAAGTCTATGGTATCGTTGGCGGCCGAGGAATAAACGATCATGAAGTCGGTGGTCGGGCAGAATAATCGCCGCCCACGCAAACAAGGAGACCACCCACACGGCTTCTCAGTTCGCCCGACAGTGGGTGAAAAAAACTCATGTCATGAATTCTGCCTTCATATAGAATCCTCACTATGCGTAGATATTGATGCGGACGTTGAATAATAACTACAGCCGCTGAAAGATTAGGCATCCAAAAAACCGGGGTCGCACGTACATAGAAATTTTGAATGGATATGTGCTAAGTATCGACATAACTACCCCGCGAAGAATAGATTATGCGGGGTACGGTGGTGGTGGTGGACGCATGTGCATGGGCTCGATCTGAATCTCGATACTCGGGCTCGGCCATGGGGGAGTTTTGTATGCCCCCCGCTTTCCGCTCGCCTGCCAATACCACGGTAACGGTTGTATAGGGGCTACTATGAGCGTAGGATTCCCAGAGAAAAACTACTGGCCATCTACCAACCACCCCGCCGGCCGTGGGTCGGATCAATCGGATCCAAAGCCCCGTATAGTGATAATAGCGGATCGATTTTTGGGTAAGTTGATTTGGTGGTTGAGTGACCGAGGAGTGACCTCGGGATAGGTATGGGTGGCTATCTGTCGTTTGGTTGTAGACCAAGCCCTTCAGATGAAGATTCTCTGCTGTGGTGAACGGGAAAAGGGAACTTAAGTAGGTAGTCGTCTCTCTGGGTTTGACCATAAGTTGATCTCCAGCCACGGCCCTCTCACTATATCACTCGTCTCGCACCCCCACACTCCTTCCTGCTTTCGTTCCCTTCCTCCAGCCTCCGTCAAATCACATACTTCAGCCATGAAGCTCATATCAATTATCATTGGTGCAGCTGCTCTGATTGGTGGGGTCGCCGCACAGTCGTGCCCCGAGTCCGAGTTCTTGTTTGCGCGCGGGTAAGCCAATCAGACCGAATTTTCGGATTCAAGAACTAACTTGATTTTATTCTTCGATAGCACCGGCGAGTCTGTACGTCTAGGAGACTCATTCCTTCATCGTGCCGGATCGGTATTGACAGCAGACTAGGGGAAAATCGGCACGACAGTCGGCAGGTCCATGCAGACTGCGCTGCGTCGGGCCGCTGGCTCTCGCATGACCGTCGTCGGAGTTGAATACCCGGCCAACGACGATTTCGAGGCATCGTCCGCGGTTGGAACCACGTGGGTCGTCGAGTACGTGAAGAGGCGTGCCGTAGAATGTCCCAACATGAAGTAAGTCCACCGCTCGAGAGCCCCCGTGTGAGAACTAAAAGGTTTTTAGGTTCGCTTTTGGAGGATACAGTCAGGGTTGTCAGGTCTTCCATAAGGCCCGTGCTGGTCTTGCAGATCCTGCCATCCAGAAACGGATCATCGGTGCTGCCCTCTTCGGTGACCCATACGTACGTCCATCCCTCGGGCTCAGCCATGACAAGACTGACGGTGGGTGTTGTAGATGATGGCGACGGGAACGCTGTCCAGGGTTCCTACCACATGGGCCGGAAAGATCCACGATAACTGCGCCAGCGTGAGTCTCTCCACATAAATCTTTCCTTCGTTTCGACAGATACTCATCGAATAAATAGGGCGACCCTGTCTGCGGAGGAGGAGATAACTTCCTCGCCCACATCACCGGATACAGCTCCTCCACGGCCAGGAGTGCTGCGACCTTCCTTACCGACCGGTTGGAGGGACGACCTGGTAATGCAAAGTCTCCCCTCAACGGAAACAACAATAACCTGCCGGATACCACTCCCTCTACTCCGTAAAAGGTGACAGGTGTCTGGAGTTGTGGAAGATGGATAAGTTTGGCGAGCGTATGTAGCAGATGAGGGAAGCATGGAGGAAGTGAAGAAAGGAAGGAAGAGGTATTTGATGGTTGTATGACGAGAGGAAAGACGAGCTTTGTGAGATATATATTTGGTATTCAGGAACCATTGAAATCGTCGCATGCAAGCAGCAGAATATGGGACGGTTGCGCCTGTGTATGCATAGGACCGTCGTACATACAATCACGAGCAAAGTGCCATATGTGCTATTCGAGTAGTCGATTGTCCCATGCCCAAGCTCTGTCCATACCAACCAGTTCGCGAACTTCCTCGGTCTATACTACATACCATAATACACTTCAACATCCCCACTAGTTATCCCTCACTCCTTCTACTCCTGCCCAAACACCAACTTCGCCACCTTGGTATTGTAATCCAGCATGGCAACAGCCCCATGCAGCAAGCAAAAGTCCGCACCGAGCACACTGATCCCAGAGAACCTGGCATTGACAGGAACTGGCCTCACTTCCGCCATCCGTCCTCCGAGCGTGGCGCGAAAAAACGTCGGTACCGTCACATCGCCACCATCCTCGCCTCCATAGAGGAGCTCACAGACCTACCGAACATCAGCGCATACTCCTATGTACCTACACACCGCCGACCGGAACCGGAACCCACATCGCGCGCCAGCAGCGTATACGGCGACACCGGCGCATACAGGAAATGCACGAACCGCAGCGGACAGTCGTGCACCGAGACGGGAAAATAAAAGTACGGCTGATGGTGTCGGCCCACCAACGCCCCCGTGACCGTGTGCGCCAGCGGCATCGAGACCTCCTCGATGTACGTTTCGACCTTTGTGAGGTTCGTGCATCCTAGTGCGGCCGAGAGGAGCGCGGAGGTGGGGCTTGACGGTGGAAGCTGCAGATCGAAGGGGACGACGTCGGCTGGGTCGAATTCTTCTTCGGTGATTCCGATGCTGGGCTCCAGGATGACGCTGGTTGGGAGGATGATGCGTCGCCGGGGGACGGCCAGGACGGATCGGAGAGTTGGTTGGCTGCGCTGTAGTGATTTGAACATGGTATTCTGGAGTGATCTATTTTGACCGGAATGTTGATCTGGATAATGGTCTGAAGTCGTCAAACCCTATGCCATGGGCCCACAGTCAGTAGGCTAGGACATGTTAACCTAGATTTGGATTCGCGACCTCTTCACCACAGTCACACATTCAGACTTTCCGAGGCTCTAATTTGATGTTACGGGAGTGTGCCTGGATAGAAAGCGGAGTCAAGAGTAGAGAAAATCGGCCAAAAAAGTTTCTGCCTCCACCTCCGGTTCCAACACGAATTCGCTCCATATACAAAAGTACTAGGTACATATTTCCTCCGACATTATCTATCAGATATCAAGCAATCAACGTCAAAGTAGCATCATCCACACCCATATGTGTGATCGCCAGTCCCTGCTCCGTCAACTCTCTACTGTACGCAAAGCCAACCGCAATCTTAACCATGCCACCATTCGGTGGAGCAAGCCACTCCGTCGTTACCTGTGTCCATACATTGGTGGCCGGAGACATATCCGTCTGCACCGTATACACGCCATCAATCGTGAAAATCGCATACGCACCGAGGTTGAAGTTGTTCGTCCACGCCGAGAACCGGTACCGTCTGCCGCCGCAAACGGCGAAGGCTCTGGATCGCGCCTGCCCCCCGCGGCCGGGGAAACCGTTGAGCGACGCCGAGAAAACCGACAGAAGGTATCGGCTTCCAGTACGCGGCGAGGGAGATGTTGCGTACGACAGAGAGGTCCCCTCGCCTGTTTGGATCTCGAATTCCCAGTCCTCGTTCTCGAAGCTGGGATCGGATACTGGCATCGCCGGACAGGCTGGGCTCGACGTCGGAGTTGGCGGAACCGTGGGGGTGGCGGTCACCGTGATTGTAATCGGCGATTGAGGAGGACAAGTTGCCGAGCGCCACCTGGTAAGCTGGAGAGATCAGCCGTATGATCACAGGAATAGGGATGGTTTGATTACCGTGGTAGATCGGGTGTATGTGGTGGCTTTGGTTCGAGTGATCGTAACAACCTTCGTGGAAGTCTTTGGTTTTTGCGTACTATGCATACCGAAACATCAACATTGGTGTACTGCATGATCGGGGAGTATTCCTTACAGTGTCTTAGTCGACCATCTGGTTACGGCTGGACATCTTCTGTCTTGCAGCTGAGGGACGGCGGAGACGAACGCGGCCAGGAAAGCAACGAAAATGAGGATAGTCGAGGAATGCATTGCAGGCGGTCGACTGCTGCTGCGGATAGTGGAAGCTGTGGGACGGAATGCCGACTTTTATATTGCAATTTCCACTTCCCAGCGCGTGGAGACGGCACGGAGGTATATATGATCTGGAATTACCGGCCGATTGGTGATGATCCGAATGCATCACGGCTGGGAGTCTGAGACAGTGCCACGGTGCCTTGCATGTGCATTCATCAAATCTCGTGGTGTAAATGCACCTGATGAACCCTCGCCGAAAGATGGCCGGGTGTGGGTCTACATACGGCCTTTGGCCGTGGCGGAGAAGACAGGATGTGGCAGAGGTTCTACTCTAGCTTCCTATAGGAAAAGGAATGGCGGCAGAGCTTTGAGAAGATCCAAACCCGAGTAGAGAGCTCAGAGGACTATATAAGTACATAGAGGCCGGGGCGCTAGGTGGGTGGCTTTGTGTACCGTATCGGGAATCTTCGCTTATGTTATGGGAAAATAGAGTATTGACAAGCATACGTCCTTTCTACTAGGAGGTACTCTAGTCTCACGTCGCCGTCTCTCCACAAAGCCATCCTCTTTCATGCCTACCGATGGACAGGCCGAAGCTTCACCAGTGTATTTCAGGTGGCCACCTTTTGCCCTGTACGATGCCTGCGACGGTCGTGAGTTTCTTCTCTGTATGCGGTGCCCCTGGTTATCCAGTTGTGATTCACAGGAATAATGAGACTCTTTTCCTGTTACCAAGATGACAGGTCGCGTTGGGAAACTCACGTGAGCGCGCGTTTCACGTAAAGAGTCGCGTCTTCCCGCTCCAACGTTTCCAGCACGCGTAGGTCCCACAAAAGAGCCGCATCTTCCTCCTTCAATGTTTCCAGCGAGCTGCATATATAGCACTCCTAATAACCCACCAAAAAGTAACACCGTTCTCTACCACTCCTTCAAATAACACTCCTTCTTAGCACGCTCATTTTCTTACAAACGTAACACTGTTCTTTCTTACTCTCTTAAAAACATCCCCTTGCACGCTATGGGCCCCGGCGTAGATACCGCTTCGCTCCCCTCCAAGCTCCCTCAGATTCCTGAGCTCCCTAAGCTCCCAATCCCTTCATCGCAATTCATCAAGCACGTCAATGGAAACCCTCAAGTTCCGGATAACGCCCTGAGAGCCTTTTACTCTCGAATGCCAGATTACGAGATTGTCAGGGACAACACCATCAATCTCGTCGATGTTTTCGCCGTCGAAAACCAATGACTTAAAATCCGATCGAGGGACTTCAAGACTGAAATCCAGGAAGAGAAAGACAAGTATGTTTCTCTCCGTATTGTGAGTGCTGCTAGCATTGTCGATGCGAGATACCTAGGTATGTCATGGAGCTGGATTCAGAGAAGAGAAAGCAATCAGGTGAAGCCTGCATTGTTCCAACTCTAAAGGATTTTCAGCACAACTTCAATATCTTTTCCGAAGGCGCATTTGCGGATTTGGGTCAGTCCAACTCCATGCTTGTTTCATTCAAGTACACTAGCTGACAGGATCACAGGGGTTACAGATTGGAACACTGTTATCGGTATTTTACTGTGTTTACCATGAACTTAACTATGTTTTAATTGCTCGTTCCATATTGATTGTGTACATCTAGTGGCGGGATCTGCGCCCTTGATTCCACTGTTGGCTGTCCCTGCAGAATGCTCGGGGAACAAGCGGGAACTGCACGAGTATTACCACGAGATACTGGCTCCGGGTTCCGATATCAATCTGTTTCTCTACGGCATCAAAGACGAAGCGGAAGCCATTGCTAAATTGGAAGCAATCGAGACCACTGTCAGGGACAATCTGTTCTGGAAGGCAACGTATGCACAGTCATTTGCATCTCAACTGTAAAGTTGCTGACCATTGCTATTACTGAACAGAACCATTCGTACACGCCACACAATCACTATCGTCGGGAAATATCCCAACAGACACGTTCAGGTCTTTCTGCGTCTCTACAAGAGCATCGCTCAGATCCTGCATGACTTTGATGTCGACTGCTCTGCGGTTGCCTATGACGGCAAGCATGTGTGGGCAAGCCCTCGTGCACTCGCAGCTTGCATCACCCAATGCAACGAAATCGATCTCAGCCGGCGGTCTCCATCGTATGAGAATCGTTTGTCAAAATACTCGCACCGCGGGTTCGAGGTCTATTGTCCTTTCCTAGAACGATCGCGCATCGATCCGAACATCTTCGAAAGATCCTTTGACCGCACCAATGGCCTCGCTCAGCTTCTGATCTTGGAGGCCCTGCCGGCACCTGAGCAGTGGGATGCGTATGTTCGCCAGCAACGCGAGAAGACAGGAATACACAAGCTGGATACTGTCCCCCATGGCAGCAGTAATGAGAGAGATGGGAACCAGGATGAGGATGAGACCGCGGAGTGGGATTTCGAAGAGATTAACTCGTATCACACGTTCTCGATTCCGTACGGCCGAGGCTACAATTCGTACAACAATGAGAGACATTTTTTCCGGAAAGATCTCCTACTAAATGCGGACTGGAACCTAAAGAACAGACCGCCTCACCGAACAGTCCACCTCCATCGCGACCCTGTATTTTTCGGCAACGTCCGTGATGTGGTCGGGGACTGTTGCGGATACTGCCCTGAGCCACTCAACGACCAGGAAAACCAGGTTGCCGAAGAAGAGGGCAAAATGTACGTCAGCGGCCCCATCACTTTTCTTTCCGACAACCCGGGCCACCAGAAGATTGGCTCTTTCAATCCACTGGGGCCCAAGGATTATAAGATTATACCGATATGGTCTATATCGGTTCATCGCGAGCTCTTTACCAAGCTATCGCCGATAACCAGGTCACCACTTTCTCGTACTGGTGCGAGCATGCCGACGTCAACGCCCGGGACTTGTACGGCCGCACTCCGCTGCACCTGGCTTATGGGTGCCTTCACCCGCCTGGAGGTGGTACAGCGCTTGATCGATCATGGCGCCAGGCTGGTGGCTCGCCTGCAGGATGGCCGCACGGCGCTGCTTCTCGCTGCTGCTCGCGGGAGGGTTGATATCGTTGAAGCCCTGCTGAGGAAGAGTGCTGAGAAAAAGTACGACCGTGACTGGCGCATGCGATTCGAGAAGGAGAAACCGAAGTCTTCCGAAGACCCCGCCGCAGTGGCAGAAGGAAATATCAAGATGCGGGAGGCCAAAGGTGGGGACACTGCTGAAAGCGATGATGGCGATAGTCACATCGATGCCAAGTCGATGGATGGCGGTGCGGCAACAGCGACGACTGGTGGGTTTGTCAAGCTCCAGGACCCGCTGTCAAATGCTTTGGCTGCGGACAAACTTGGTGAATTTGGGGGAGAGCTAGTGGATGATATTTACGACATCAACACCACCGAGTGGGATTACTCGATGAGTCCTTTGCACAGCGCCATCCTCGCAGGCCACAACTCGGTGATCGAAACCCTCGTTACGAACTTCGGCGCCGACGTGCGAGCCCCGGTCCTTCGGCGCGATTCGAATAAGCAGGGTCCGAGTGCGCTATTGAACCTGGTTCTAGCTTTGAACCTACCCCACAAAACGCGGTGTAAGACCGTCGCGACCCTTATCACGCTCGGTGCAAGCAGTGCGCAGGCCTCTGATAACCGCGACGGCAGCCGCACTAGCGCGCTGCATTATATCGTCGCCGACGGGCCAAGGACGTCCTCCAAACCGTGTTTGAACACGATCACGGCGCCATGAGTGTGCTGAATAACGTACAACGCAGTACCAGTGGTTCTCTCGACGGAAGGAGCGATACTACACCTCTGATCACTGCAATGTACCTGGACAGCGGCGCGCTAGAGGTCACGAGATATCTGCTCAGCCAGGATGCCCACGTACAGATCACGGCGAATGACCTTGTGCGCAGCATGAAGCCTGCTCAGCGGAAGGGTTTCACCGCGGAAGATCTTGAGCACGAGCTCAGGGCGAAACTACAGCAGCCCCTGGAGCACGCGATTGCGCGGGGAAATGGCTGTGGAAATGGTCCAGCTGCTGCTCGAGCACGGTGCAGATCCCAACATCCTCTGCAAGCAAGGCATGCACTGGCGGAAAGAAGCCAAATTACCACCAGTGGACGCGCGGACGCCGCTGGACTTGGTGCGGTTCAAGATAGATAAGTGCCTGGCTGCGATTAGAACGATGGAATTCTCCGCTAATGCACACGCAAAAGCAGAACCTTCCGCCCCCGATTTTGATGACTCTGTGCTGGACGTATATCTCGAGGGCAGCTATCAGCGCTTCACAGCTTTGCGCTACCTCAACCAGTTATAGTGGAACGTGGGGGGCAATTTGGCCAATGGCACAAGATCTTCCTCAGCCACGTATTCCAAAGAGCAACATGAGGCATGAAACAAAAGGCTAGAGGAACTAAAGGAGATTGAACAACTACTGATGGATGCCGGTGCGAAACCGATGCTCGATCTATACGCCGAGCTGCGACCGGAGTACCTAAAAGCGCACAACGGGGTTCTAGAGGGTTTCAGACGTCCGTCTGCGGAAGTGGCTGTTGAGAGAGAGGCTATAGAGCTTTTCCGAAGAACCCACGCCGGTAGTATTGCTGCTACCGCTGCTACCCCACAGCCGGAGGAGCCCCAGCTTTTTGATCCGTTCTCAGTGAACTACCCCTACAGTGTGATGGTCGATGCGTTTGACGGGTACCTACAACCGTTTGAAGCTACCACGGAGTCGGAGGAGCCCAGGTTTGATCCGTCATTAACGAAATACTCCTACCTCAGGGAGGGAGACGTGCATGGCCGCTACCTGCGACTCTTTGAGGCGGCATGGAACGGCACACCAGAAGACATGGAGACGGTTCGAATGCTCACATCAGGTCCATCCGGAGAGGGAGAGGATCGTGTTCCAGCGCTGCGGGTCTCGGTCGCGGATAGCAACGATTTTACGGCTCTCTTCATCGCTCTCTACAGAGGCAACTTTGACATGGCAGACCTGATCATGGAAATTGTCAAGTGCCAGTATGAGGAGATGAAGACTCCTGCTGCTCGCCCTGTAATGGATGACGATAGCGATGTTGGCCATGACGAGGATGATATGGAAATCCTCGATGGCGTCACAGTTGAGGACAACGGATTGGCGAAATGTGGCATGAGTCCATACGTGAGTTCCGCCAAACTCCCCCATACCCTCTCAGGCTAACAGACGCAGGCTTATATCATGAGCTCCGTTGTTGATGCACGTCATCTTCTCTTAGTTGAGGAGTACGAAAAGTACTCCGATATCGCTTAGTTTGGTCAGAGGCACTATCCGCTTCAAGTATGCACCCGTTTCCCCACCCAAACTCAAGTTTCACTGGCTAATGGTGGATGTACACTTAGTATGGGATCTGGTCGCCGCTTACCTGGGGAATTTACAAAGACTCAATTCCCCTTATTCGTCGCGTTCTCTCGCTCGTCCGCACCGCAGCCATAAATTCTGGCTGCCCTGACGTTGAGATGGCGGTGGATTCCTTCTTCGTCTGTCCTGGCGAATTCACAAGCAGCAAAGCAGAGCGAACTCATCTGCGAGTTGCTTTGATGCTCAATCGCACCTCCGTCCTCGCCGAACTGATGAAAACGGTCACATTCGGATTAGATTATCCGGAGTTTACTCAAGAGGATGCGGAGTATCAAAAAGCCGTGAACACAAGGTACTATCGCGGGCTCACCATCAATGGTGAAAAAAATGCGGATTGGTTGCGCGATGCAAATTCCAGCCATGCAAATTCCAGCCATGCAAATTCCAGCCATGCAAATTCCAGCCATGCAAATTACAGCCATGCAAATTCCAGCCATGCAAATTCCAGCCATGCCGTCTTTCGCGGCGAAGGTGGGCAGAGACCGGCACAAGTAGCCGCCTATCATGGCGCGCTGGAAAGCCTGCTATGGCTTCAGAGCGATGAGCCATGGAAAGCGGTAACAACTTTCATTTCAAACGACCCTACCAGCAAAAAGGCCCGCTTTTTGGAACAACACGGCTTCGTGCCTCACTTCGAGAATGGACTGGGACTGGCAACGAATCTACTCCCGCATACTTGCATCCAAGGCTGGAAAGATACCATGATCCGCGACACCAGAGCCAAAGCAATGACCTACTTCCTTTCTCGCCCGTCCGCAGCTACCGCCAGGACTGACGAAGGGTTAACGCCTGCCCTCTTTGCGGTGCAGCAAAGTAATCGCGGGGCAATTGAATACCTTTTAGAAGAAGGTGCCGACTTCTCCACGAGGGACTCTGACGGCCGCAACATTCTGCACCTACTGTTCCAGCTCTCCGCCAACAACGAGTTTATTCATCAATTGACCAGGCGGCAGCTCCGCGGGCTCCTCGACCAGGAAGAGTCATATATCCGTGAATATTTCTGCTTGCTACCAACAGATGTCGCCACCGCAGCCTGGGCGCAGCCTGGTCTCAGCCTGGTCGCAGCGACAACGCGGCACCCTGATGCAACCGCTCGCAGCCTGGATCGCAGACCACGACCGCGTCGGAATACACCTGTCCGCCTTCCGCTTCCTCATCTCGATGTCCCGCGGGGTGGGATTAATACAGGCCAACTCGGAGGGCAACCACGCTATCCACGAGCTCGCGCGTGGCGGCCAGGTCTCCGCAATCAAGCTCCTGCTAGATTTACACCCGGAGGCTGCGTTTGAAACCTACGAAAATGGCAATGGATTTACAGCGGGCGAAATTGCAGAGGCCTTGTGGATACGTAGTAAGGTTGGCGGGGCATTTCCGGAGGTCTCTGGGGAGATAGAGGTATCCTGGCAGCCAGTTTATGAGCGGGATATATCATACTTCGACAAAGACGTTGATTGGGAGGAGAGAGAGAATGAGGATGATGATGATGATGTAGGAAAGATAAGTGTTGATGATACTTGGAGATTGTTCAAGAATATGGCGGGATCGCGGGGAAGATGGCTTTGTAAACTTCAGACGGCAGCGATAGTTACGAGGCACGTAGCGCAGGAACGGACAGCGCTGTAGGGGTGTTGACACAGCGGGAGGGGAATTTTCCGGAGTTTGGTAGGGGTCGTCTAGCATCTACGGCCATCGGAACTGGCGATTAATTGCATAATTGAGTACTTAGCTACATGTTACCTCGATTGTCGAATTCTGAGTTGTGGAATCAGTGCTTACTTCTTCTTGCTATTCAAATGATTAAAGCCCCGCTGCAAGCGAAAATGGGCCATAAATGAATCCAACTTGCAAGCATCGGCGACGGTGAAGGGAAGGCCGTGCCGGCAGCGGTCAGCAAATGGCGGGCTGGTTGGCGAAGCAAACAACAACCCAAGCCGTCCGAAAAGAAGAGGCTGAAAGATTGCATAATCGAAACCTCGATTTCTGATTCGATGCAATGTATCTCTGCTGGTTCGGTCTAATGGTTGCCGAGCCAACTTGCCATGGAAGACATCGATTTTGCGACGCAAAGTGGTGATGTAAAGAATCTCCCCCCGTGCTTCTTAGGCTTGATTTGTTCCACGCGGTCCGGAATCACTGCTCTGGTGATACGCACTGAGGACCTCCGCTAAGGTAAGTAGGTGGTCGCAACGATCCATGCATTATCACTCGAAACATGGATAACAGCTGCCCCGCAGCTATGTGCTACCTAGGAAACGAGGGTGCGGGGGTGCGGGTATGCAGGGTGCATGCAGGAAAACACGGTGAGCATTTCATTGCCTGCCTGGATGCACAGCCTCGAGAACCCCGCATCTGGTGATATATATCTAAGATATTCTAGCCTGCAGAGCCGGTTCAGTTATCCTTCGACAGCAGCAAATTTCGTACTACAACTACATATCAACTTTCACATCTCATCATGGTGAAGGTTTCAAAGGGGATGTGGGAGGTGGCTCCCGACACCGCTGTTGACTGGGCGGTGGAGACGTTCAAAGCGGAGGCTCTGGAGGATTCGCTCCGCGTCGTCTGTGTAGGGAATCCTCGAGTGCCTACATTCAGGGGGGAGCATGTGTAACTGATTAGAAACAGCCAACCAAAGCGATCAATTTCCGTGGCGATACTCTGAACTGCCCCACATTGACGACCTCGGTGACGTCGCCGATGGACTGTGTTGTGCAACTCGAGACATATCACTGGAAGGGCCAGACGTACGAGCGGGCAGGCCCACACTTCGAACTATTCCCGAATGGCTGTGTATGTCACTCGGACTCAATCTACTTTTCTTGGGTGCCCGCTGACATAGTAATGTTGAAGCCGAAACGATCAGGCGGTCTGTCGGTCGAGAAAGGCGATGAGAAGTTGACCATGAAATCCGAATTCACCAGACCCGGTTTCATGGGGAACGGCAGCCTTACTACAACGATCGACACTCGGCCTAAATCCTTCGGCATCAAATTCCTCGGTGACGGTCGTTTGTTGACGGAATTGGGATGGAGATCGGTGGGGTATGTGAAGCGGGGAGTAAACCTACACCCCAATGTCGAGATGGGGGACCCCGACAAAGGGGAGCGCTGGATGACATACCAGCTACAACTTGGCGTTGGTGAGAAGGTATATGGGCTGGGTGAGCGGTTCGGGCCATTCGTCAAGAACGGACAGGTACATCATACTTTACGCATGCGCTCCTGGACGTTTGCCCTTGGCTAATGCCTAGCCCAGACTGTTGACCTCTGGAACGAAGACGGCGGCACCTCCTCCGAGATGGCGTACAAGAATATCCCTTTCTATATGACCTCAAACAACTACGGCATTTTCATCCCGTCGCCGTCCCTAGTATCCTACGAGATCCAATCCGAGCGGACAACGCGTGTCAACATCACGGTTCCGGGAGAGTCCATCTCCATGATGCTGATCTACGGCTTCACGCCCAAGGAGATCATCCATACATACGGCATCATTACTGGAACGCCGGCCCTGGTGCCTGCGTGGACAATGGGCCTTTGGCTGACGACCAGCTTCCTAACCAATTACGACAAGGCAACGGTCGACCACTTCTTGGACGGGATGAAAGAGAGGTTGGTCATGAACCCAGCGGCTGTGATTCTGGTTTGCGATTGACCTTGTAGGACAGAGAAATCCCCTTGTCGGTGTTCCATTTCGATTGTTTCTGGATGAAGGGATTTCAATGGTGTGACTTCGAATTCGACGCAGACATGTTTCCCGATGTGAAGGCGCAAATTGCAGCAATGAAGAATGAAAGAGGATTGAAGGTATCCGCGCATATATACCCCCGTAACCGGAAGCGATCAATACTGACTGTTGGCAGATATGTGTGTGGATCAATCCCTATATTGGACAAGAAAGCAAGCTATTCGCCGTCTGCCTCGAAAAAGGATACTTCATAAAGAAAGCCAATGGCAGCGTGTGGCAATGGGACCAATGGCAAGCCGGGTATGCGTCTTGCATCCCCCTTCATTGTATTCCACCGAGCTGATGTCTTCAGGATGGGACTTGTCGACTTCACGAATCCGGAGGCCTGCTCATGGTACTCGGCCGAGCTCGAAAAGCTCATCGACCTGGGCGTTGACAGTTTCAAGACGGACTTTGGCGAGCGAATACCGACCGGCAACGCGCACTATTTCGACGGTTCCGACCCCGAAAAGATGCACAACTACTATCCATTCCTTTACAATAAAGTCACATTCGAGACCCTCGAGCGCCGGCTGGGTAAGGGCGAGGCTGTGTTGTTTGCTCGCTCGGCCACGGCCGGCGTGCAGCGGTTTCCCGTCCACTGGGGAGGTGACCCAATGTCTACCTTCGAAGCTATGGCAGAGACGTTGCGAGGAGGGTTGAGTCTGGGACTTTGCGGGTACGCAACCGCACCAAAACACCCAAAGGTTCTGAATGCGGTCACCTTCACTGACATTCGGTAGTTTCGGTTTTTGGGCTCATGATATCGGCGGCTTCGAGGGAAAGCCGGATCCAGTTCTGTTCAAACGATGGATTCAGTTCGGCTGCTTGTCAAGCCATACCCGCCTCCACGGCTCAAGTAGCTACAGAGTAAGAATGCCCATGAGTGATAGGAATCCATTCACTGACAGCTGTCTGATGTTTAGGTTCCGTGGCTCATCGACCCCAGCGAGGAGGCGTCGGCCGTGCTCAAGAAGTTCATCAACCTGAAGCACCGGCTGATGCCGTACATCTACCAGACGGCGATCGAAGCGCACGCCACCGCCATCCCGATGATGCGCGCCACATTCCTCGAATTCCCGCGGGATCCCGCCACCTGGTTCCTCGATATGCAGTACATGCTCGGCGAGAACCTGCTCGTGGCACCCATCTTCAATGCCGAGGGTACCGTCCGGTACTATGCGCCGTTGGTGACGACGGAGCAGGAGGAAAGAAAGGAGGATAAAGACGGCAACGACGAGGTCGCGGACGACAGGCCTCCCCGCTTCTGGGTCGGCCTCCTCGATGGGAAATGGAGGAAGGCTGGCAGATACCATTCGGAAACCCACGGCGTTTTCTCGTTACCGCTACTAATCCGGCCCGGGGGTGCCGTCGTTCTCGGCAAGAGCGAGGAGACGCCCCACTATGACTGGTCCGAGGACGTGGAAATCTATCTCAACTTCGACAAGAGCTTCAACACCATTGTGGCGATCCCGGATTGGAAGGTCCCCGGCGAGACAAAGGCGACCGTTTCTTTCGAGCTCGAGGGAAAGAATTTGAACATCCGTATCACTCGCGTCAACGGGGAGATCGACGGACACATCAAGCTGTTGATTGCAGGTGCGACGATAGCCAAGGCTACTACAATGCTGCCCACAGGCACTGTCAACTTGGAGGGGGAAGCTGTGGAGGGTTCGTTCCCTGGTTGGAAGGGTGTCCGGGTGAAGGCTGGGCCTGACCTTACGAATGCTTGTTTGCAATTGAGCCATTAGATTAGAGAGACTTCTATTTGTACCGAGTTCAGTCCTTCTATGCCACCGATTGGTCATTCTTTCCTTACCTTTGTAGATCAATACATAAACAGTCCACCGCTATTTCCCACGTAAGCTACAAAGAATTGTATCCAATTGTGCACCCAGAACAGAGCCGTCATTCATCAGACATGTACCATGATCATTCAAATCACACCCAACCGGAACGCCAAATCCACCCTCGGAACTCCATACACCAGTTCAACTAAACTTCAATGGCCAGCCACCACCCCCCACCCTCCACCACCACCACAAACTTTTGCTCCTCATATCGTGGTCGAATTTCCCGCCAACGGCGACACAGAACCATGGAACCGCACCACTTGCGGGCTCCTCCCCTGTTCCATTCTAGTCTGCAACATGATCATCTCGCGTTTATCTGCGGCGGCAGCGGCGGTGATCACCAGGTCGAGTTCTGACGAGTCCGCCGTGCGCCACGGATCTACCACCGTCGCAACACTCGCCTTCCTCCGCTCTGCGGCGTCCGCCCAATCCGGACAGCCGCCGCCCGTACTGCGGGGCGCACTCATCATCTGGTCGGAGGAGCAATCCATTCCTCGTCTTCTTCCACGCACACGGGAGAGCGCCAGTCCGAAGCTGGGCAGGGTGATAGCCAAGACGGCAGCGAACACCTCTACATGCGCCCATATCATAGTGTTGCGGACGAGCGACCAGGGAAGTCCGCCGTCGGCCTGCAGCCCGGTAAAGATCAGACACATGCGGACCACGGTGGCCGCGACGCTCAGCATTCCGATCGCGAAGACGAAGAGGAGCCCCGTGATCTGCAGGCGCCGGTTGCGCCGGCTGAAGTGGATCGTGCTGATCAGTGTCAAGGGAACCGCCAACACCGCGAGGTCGCTCACGATCGTGAGCGTCGCCATCGTGATGAAGACGGTGTGGTCGTAGATGCTTGGACACCGCCGGTCAGAGGCGTCGAAGTCACGCCAGTTCTTGTAGATGGGACTGCACCACAGGAATAGCAGGAGGATCCCAGTGAGGTTGGCGATGAACCATATCGCGATGGCAAGGTGTATCAGATACCGCTTGCGTGTGTACGAGCCCACAAATAGCTCGGAGAAGTAGGCGAGATAGGCGGCTTTGACGACCGTGAGTGCAAAATAGTAATGGATATGTGAAGCAAACAAGGCCTTTTTTGGAGGTCAGACATGTACGTAGGGGTGGAATGCTCGGAAGAGGAGGTAACAGACTTTCGAAACTTCGGTCCGCAGATGCCATGATTCGAAAGATTGTGGATCAGTGATCTCTTGATTCAGTGCCCATGCCGACGTGCCATCTGAAGTGCCAGATCGTAAGTCATTGCGGTTTGGAAGCCCAGGAGAGGAGGAGTCTTACCAGCGGCGAAGTCGAGCACACAAGTGATAAAGAGAAAGATATGTACGAGCTTTGCTTTGAAGGTGCGTGGCTGATGGCGGTGAACAAAGACGGTGCGGAATACGACGCAGCTCGAGGATAGACACGACGCCGTAAGCTTCATGGCCATGACTACCTGGGGTGACACCATATTGCAATCGAGTACAGGTTTTCCCCAGTATGATGAAAGCCAGAAGAAGGTGATGGGCTTATGAGGCAAGGACGAAAGATATGACTAGGTAGTGGGAATCAAGCTTGTTCCTTCGGTAGACCAGTACCGGGAATGGAGAGGGCGGTTTGCGGGGCATTAGCTTGATTCCATCTTCTTCCTGATGGGAGATGCGGAATTTGCGTCTGGCTGGGTTCCATGGCTAGATAAATACGACATCTAGGCTCGGGATGTTCGGTGGAGCGGGTTGTATCCGCGGCATATCGATTGCTATGATAAGCATCGATACCACTTATCTAAATGTGTCAACCGTCAGTACCATGTGGAGGATTTTAAATCTATTACATACCAGTAGCGAGGAGGCAGTAGTGCCGCATAAGCCGTTATAACGGCGATGCTGGCATGCTGCTGCCAGCCCCGAATCGTGGGGAATTGGCCCAAAACATGGAGAAATGCCCAGCTTCATCACTTTCTCCTTTGGTTTTTGTGGGGAATGTTATTAACGTTTCTCCCACAGCAAGCAAGCAAGCATGTTCAAACCAGGAGCCATACCTGCCATGTTTCGGATCGAGGCCCACGTCCGGGCAGCCCGACGGTGTAGTAGGTTCATTGTATGGATGAAAGCTCCCCACCGCTATTCAGGAACCATAGCCGCGTAGGTTGATAATGACGTCTGCAGGGCACATGCCTCGGGACCGGTGCATATTATCATTATCCCAAGCAGATTATGACAGGCAAAACAAATGCAACACGATCACCCTCCCCCCTCCCCCATGCACTCCGGATCTCGCTTAAGCGCGACACACATTTCAGAGAGAGAGAAAAAGGCGACAGAGATCGCACATACATGCTGATGCTTGTTCTGCAGACTTCCATTCCTCCATTGGGTGTGTATGTACCTCGCCTCAACCGTACCAGGTATCTGGGCCGTATGTGCGTCGTACACTTTTCGCTCGTCGACCACTTGACAGCTGCCACAGGGCCTTTGAAACTCCCAATGCTTCCTGGGGAACTTTCCGGTGGGAACAAGGTGCAACCAGAACGGCGAGGTAGACAGCTGTCGTATGTATAGTTCTTTCCAAGCTCCGGAACTCGATGCTACTCAGGATTCGGAAAGCCGTTTTTGCGGACGGAAGAAAGAGAAAATGACGTCTATTCAGTAGATGATAAGAGAGAGAAGAAAGAGGCAGACGACTCGCTGGACCTGTCAACGTTGATACACCCTGCTAACCACATCCGCTCCCCCCCCCCCCCCCCCACACGGCACCCCCGCACCTCTATAGTGTAGCGTGTTTGCGGGGTAATCATTGAATAGAAAATAGATGAGTCCCAGTGAGACTCGGAAAGCCGAGGGTGACTGAACAGTACTGACATCTGAGAGCGCGCGCGGGGAGAGGGGGTTTCCCTCTGCGTTCGAACTTCGCCCGAGGAGGATCAAGCGTTCCTCTGGCCCGGTGAGTGGCTTTGACACAACCTCGCGGCCCTTCCTTTCACCCTCTCTACTAAGTAGTAGAGTGCGCGCAATTAATTTACCACAGGTTGGATTCTCGTGATGTCTTGACAGGTATGATAGCTATCGGCACTGCCTACTTTCATCTTCTCCACCCAGCCTGGGCCTTGATGCCGTCGGCCGATGTGGGGCCTCCCGCTGGCCAGTCCGATCCTTCTATAAACATGGCACGGCTTGGCTGATGCCTGGAGTCTGAAGTCTAGACTAGTAAAGGCGGAGATGTAAGGGAGAGATTCGCTTGCACGGGGGTGGCTTTGAGCGAGGAGGAGGAGGAGGAGGGAGGAGGGATTGGATAGGGCTTGCGCTTGCGGCTGGTTCCATCTGGTAGTATATAACATTCTCGGTTGCGATAGGTAGATGGATGGTACGGGATGGCGATTGATTTCCTTACGTACTTCTTGTGGGATATGTACGGTGGGTTACGGGAACTCGCGGTTACTGCAGTACTAGATATCCAGAAGAGAAACTTGCGCTTCTACGGTGTATATAGGTGAGAAGAAAGCGGGCCTTTCATGTCCTGTTTGTTTTGAATCGTCAGTTCCGTCGCGGAGTACATGTTCCGTTAGCAGGATCACTGCATATCACGCACCTCCCACCGAGTGAGGTGACGTGACCGCAATTTTTCACGTGTCACAAACGGCAGGGTGGTTGTTGCTTCAATGCCCACTCCAGAAACCATCTACTTTCCAGCTCCATCTAAAAGCCCATGGTGCGGAGGTTGCGGCTTGGAATTACCCACACGCACACCCACACACACCCCCTTTGACGTCCTACTCTGCTCCGCTCCACGAGGAGGAGGAGGAGGTGTCAGGTGTGGAGCACTCGGACTCCACGGCTCTACGAGAGTGGATGTGAGCGTAGGTATTTCCTAGACTTTCCAGTTTCCACTGCTCATTCTTACGATGGCGACGGTGAGGGGACTCGGAGGGCGCTCTGACGGGTCTATGAAAGCGAGGTGGAGATTATTAGATTAGTTCATATCAATACAGAAGTAACAGGTAACAAACGCCATTTAATGAATTCACACGCTCACACGCTCACAAAAGCACCAAACCCCTAACCACCGGCCACCAGCCACCTTACTCCGTAAGATACTTCCTCTTAACAGTCCTAACCCACCGTCTCCTCCTCCACTCGCCCAGCCCACCCACCACCTCCCTCTCCTGATCAAACACCCACCTCTCGCCCTCCTCCTCAACCTCGACACCGACAATACACCTCTCAGCAACCCACGTCGTACTCCCAAGATCGAGCGTCCACTTCCCCTCGCACCACTCCCACCCGATGGGGGGTCTAACATCCTCAAAGAACCTGCTCCCCTTCGGGCGCTCCTCGGCGATGCGTGCGGGACTCAGCGGCTCATACGGCGCGGGCGTGAACATCCAGGGCTCGTACTCGCCGCTGGTGGTGCGATGCTGCAGCTCGAAGATCTCGACCTCGCGCGTCTCGGGCACGGTCGACAGCGTGATGTCGGCGTGCACCCAGGAGTCGGCGGCTTCCGCCGCACGCCGCTCCTTTGGCGCTAGGTGCGCCGCGTGCGTTTCTATGACCACCCGTTGCAGCGCCGGGTGCGCGAGCGCCATGAACGTCCAGCCGAGGACGAGGAAGATCAAGCGGAGGGGAAGGAGGTGCGCGGATATGAATAGTGCGATGCTGCTGAAGAAGAGCGCGAGGAAGACGCCAGAGCTGAGCTTCTCGTCCGCGAAGTTCGTCGGCGGCCCGATCAGCGCGATCGTCTTGTCGTGCATCAGCGTGAAGTCGTCCATGGTGTTTTGCAGGTCACGGAGGTTGCGGAAGAAATCTTTGCTGATCTCAGAGACGGCGCGGACTTCGGACGGCGGAGCTATAGCGGGCCCCGACGCTGTGTATACGCTGTTGGGAACTGGTGGGTGGCGCGCGACGAACGACGGCACCATCAGGAAGAGGAGTATCACGGCGGGGGGTAGTGCGAATATTAAATACGGATCTAGGCAGACAAAGGTGTAGATAAGGCACAGGGACAGTGTGTGGCTAGGCGTCTTCCACTGTAGCAGTCGCAGCAGACGGTGCTGGAAAATAAAGACTATGCCAACCCGCGAGTTGAAGCGCCGGAAGTTGTGCGACATCGTGGTGAGACTAAAGGCGGGGCGCTCCGCCGTGTCGGGCCGGGGATCTTTGACCGAGCCCGACGAGTCGCCATCGAGACTATGGTCGTTTGGAAGAACCGAGGTCAATAAGCGCTGGAAGAGGCGCTCCTGTATCGAGCTGGACAAGCTGCCGCTGCCGCTGCCATCGTTGGCGATGTCGGTCGAAGACGAAGCCATATCCGAGGCACCCGAGTAGCTATGACGATGCGGAGCTTGCGAAACGAAGCCGAGTGAGGAGCCCCAGCCTCTAGGTATGGAGAGCGGTCGCGAGGAGTGGCGTCGCGGCGACGGAGAGCGAGAATGCGGTCTGGACGGAGACGGAATACGCGAACGCGGAGGAAGTGAGGGTGAAGGTGGAGGTGGGGGGAAGCTGTCAGAACCGACTGATGACGAGCGCCCGCGCGGAAGGAAGTCTACGGTTAAAAAGTCGTTCATGCTCTGATTGGTTGCGATATAGGTGGTGTGGTTGTATGCTTTCCTTTGTTTGCTGGGTTGTGTGGATAACAGAACGGCATCGATGACGTTTGCATGTGAACGCGATGAGGGAGAAGATTGATCAGATACGACAATAGCGATCGATTGATAAGATTAGAATTCCATCAGCGTCAACGAAAGTTCTACGCTTACCAAAGCCAAACGTCAAGCTCGAACCCAGAAGGCATAAGCGAGGACTTCGTCACAACAACGTGATACATCTCAGCATGGATGCCATGGAGTACTCTACATACGGTAGCCGTGAACAACCATACCGCCGACTCCCGACTCCCGAGCAGAAAACCTTACATACACGCTGCACTAAAGCCCTTCGAAAGCGCTATCATCCAGCGTTTGTCAAGCGTTCACCCACGAAGCCGGGGAAGAAAGAAAAAAAAAAGCGGGGTTATGCAAATCGCCTACTCTACGGCCACCCACTGTGGGACCATAGGTGGTGGTGGTGGGACGTGCGTTTGTCGTTGAGGCATGGCCGCATGGAAGGCGGGGAAGATGCCTCCGGATTCGTTTGGATGACGACTTTGAATGTCAGCCCTCGCTCGATCTCGGGAGGGGAGGGGAAATCGTGGTGGGGAGGGGGGACACTCCGATGATTGATGCAGGTGACGGCGGGAAGGTCGGGTCTGGGCCGGTGCAGATGAATAGAGCAAATGCGGCCGGCTCACGTGCATTGTGCGACTTGCACTGTGAATGTGAACCGAGTGATATACAGTGATCATCCACCACCACCTCTTCCACCACCTCCTCCACCACTACCACTACCACCACGGGATGTCACTCAACCGCTCCCCCCGCCATGACCGCAGGGGTAACTGTGCGGCGACCGAAGTCCGCACCCACACCCGCGCCCACAGTATGAGGTGTCATGGAGGATCAGCCGAAAAAACGGTTCACGACGAGTAGAACCCGACGGGCCAGCCGCTACATACGTGGTACATAATCTGGGTAGTAAACCTTATTTTTCTCTCGGAGGTGCAGGCTTGGCTTCTGCATGCTGTGCTCTGCGTTTCCGACGTTGCCGGTAGCAGTTGCCGGAGAGGGAGAGAGAGAGGGAGAACATCGATCCATTGTCGCATAGGTACCGCCTGTCCAGACCATGGTAGGCAAGTACAGTAGTTGCCGGAGTGTTTGTACATACTACATACCGTGACAGTCGAGGATCCCGGTCCCCCGTGAGTGAGTGAGGAAGAGGGATCAGGAAACCCTTGCCGGGTTATAGTAGAGATGAAGGACAGTCTCCGATATTACAATGGGTACATGGCTCAACTGCGTGCGACGCAGCGTGAGTGCTCTGCCTACTCTACATGCATCTCGATCAGATCACCCCAGAGATTCGGTGATTTGTTGTAGGAAGTATGTAGAGTACATACCCGGTTGCTTTTCTAGATCCGATCCTGAAGTACATACAGTGTCAGATTTCGTGTGTAGGTAAAAGTATTTATGCATTTTGGCCCTGCATAGCCGTCGCAGCTTGCGCTTGTTGTGTGGTTATGTGCATAGCCTTCACGCTCTCCTCCTCAACATCAACATCAACATCAACCGCACAAAGACTCGCAAAACTCTCGGACCTCCCGAACGATGACGATCTCCGGTATTGTTTCTAATTCGCATCAACCAGTCCGTCTGCTTTCCGGAGGGCTGCGTCAACACAATCTCTACCCACTCCGAACCCCCCGGCGGAAAGAGGTTTCCGACCCTCAGGCCCTTCAAGATCTACATACAGCGTCGCCGTCCCTTCCTCCGTCTTCCTAGTGGCGATCGGAGGAGATATGTAGGTATGTGTAGCGACGTCGATGTGCGTCGCAGGGAGAGGTGCAGCCCAGCCGGAGGAAGATTTGCAGCCCTTCCAGCACATATGTCAGTCCCCTCAAACGCCCATGACGCTTTTGCCAGGCGTCCGCTGACTCGAGAGAACCAGTGGCATCCCCGTATGTATGTATCTGGTAGTCACGACTAGGTGCCTCAGTAGCCTTCGAGGCTCGCAGAGTCGCAGTCCGGTGCTGCAAAGCAACGCGGCGCCGGCGCCTTTACACGAAGTTCCGTTCGTCACCATGCGTTGGTTTGGTTTTATGGCTTCCACCGTTGGTGCGCGTCTAGGTCCGTCGTACGTTGTTGTTCCCTGACGAGTTTTGGCGCAGTTTGCTGTCGGCGTCGGCGTCGGCGGCGAGAGGGGGGAGGGGGGAGGGGGGGGGGAGGGGCGATCTCGACGAAAGACTCTGCACACCTTTGTGGCCGCGCAGGGCCGGGATTGCCGATCGTTTTGGGGTCGCCGCTGTGGAGGTTTGCAACTTTGCTGCTTTGCACAGAAAGGCCGTGCTGTGCTGTGCTGGTTTTCTCACGCCCTGTGCAAATACATACGGTACATAACGAACGTTGATTGCACCTGGGCTTGGACACTCCGGGTTGAGCGAAAGGCGGTGCCAAGGGAGGGTACTCGTCCCGGGCGGATAAACGGGGGCCAAGACGCCAGATGTCAACAGAGGAATCCTCGACGAAGGAGGTATCCAGCTAAAGAGTGCTTGCTCTACTCTACCTACTCTACTCTTCTCTGCCTGCGTATGCATGCATGTGGAGTGCACTACTTCTTCATGCAGACCATGTGCTGGCCTGAGAGGCCCTTGCCCGCTCAGCACATCGAGGCATCTCCAAGCAGATGGGTTCGGGGGGCGGCCATGTTCTATGTGGGTGGAGTACAGTACATAGAGTACCGGTACATGTGCTATGTATGCTATGGATGCTACCTATGAGTCGCGGACTCGCTGCGTTCCAATTAGCTATGTGGCTAGCCGGGCGTTCCCTGCGTCGAAGGGTGGCCGGAGAAGATGAGGTTAGTGGTCGAGGTGGTGGTGGTGGAGGTGGCTTGCCTGCATCCCCTTTTCCGACTTGTCAACACCATTCGCGGACAGCAAAACATGAAGAGACGGGAGCGAAGCGGTGGAATAGTCTGAAGACGAGAGGCAGTGGAATGGTCTGAAGACGACGAAGGAGAAGGAGAGACAGACGGAAATTAGCAGTCAGACAAACAGACAGAGGAATGGGACGAGAAGAGAAAGAGAAGAGAAAGGGAACGTGAAAGAAGCCGAAGGGCAGGAAGGGGATCCGAGAAGACGGGCTTCCTTCAATTTCAAGTCAAAGCGGCAACCTTCTCTACTCTAAACGTTCTTTCTTCAATCGTCATCGTCTTCCCCCTTCCCCGTGACAGAACTCCTCGCAGTCTGATACCTACTCTACGTATCCCCTTTGTCGCCTTCGACTGCCTCATCGCCTTCGTCGCCGCCCCCTCCGCCACCGTCTCCCGGTTGTGTTCCGTGGAGCCCATCAACCTTCTCCTTTAACTACACTTCTCGGCTTCATCGATTAGGTACTGCCTTTGTTCGCCGATTGCCGATTACCGCCCTTCTCTGCCGTGCTGTGTCCTGATCCGTCCATTCTCTCCATTCTTGCTCCGGGACCTGCTTCTCACTTCCTATCCTTTGATTCTTTCAAACAGCAACCGTCGCTGCTCTCCATACTCTGCCCATTACCTCCTGCCCGAGTACTCTAGAGGTCTACTTAGTTGCAGCGAAAGAAAGCGTCGCCTCTGTTTTGTACCTCTAAACTCACCGCCTGCCTGCTGGTTGGTGCTCACCATGCAGCTCCGCTAAATCCAAAGCCTCTTGCACTTTCTCTTCTCGCGCCAACTCCGCAGCAGCGAGTGAACCTCGCGTTCGCTTCTCTCTCTGTCACAGCCTCCCCCCTCCCATCCCCCACCCACCCACATCCTCAGTGGCTCTCCTTCCTTCTTCCTACTCTCGGGGCTAGAGTCGACTCTGGCCAGCTTGCCGAGCCTCCATACTGGCCGCGTCTAACATACTACAATTCGCAACATCTTCAATCTGTCTACACCCATCCTACTGGCTGTCCTGTCCGCTCGTCTTCATTCATTCGCAAATCTCCCCCCTCCCCCCCTCCCCCCCTCCCCTCCCCCCCTCCCCCCCACACCCGCATTCCAAAAGCCTGTCGCATCGTTCCCGACACGACCCTCTGCTTGCTGCTGCTCACCGCTGGAAGCGTGTGCGTCCCTGAATCGTCGTCATGCCGGTTCAAGTCTCGCGACAGCATCAACCGCAGCCTCACCATTCTAACCATTCGTCCACCTCCCTGAATAACGCGGCCACGAGCTCATACTCCCTGCATCGGGAATCACCTGCGTCTTCGCGAGACGACGCTTCCAGTACCAGTTCGCTCTCTATTAATAAGGGCAATGGAGAGGGTGAGACACACTCAATTCGGGGGATGTAGTTGTATTGGTGAGGAGAGATGCTGATGGGGAGAAACACCTAGACGGTCGGCAGAGAAAGCGATTACAGAAAACGGCCGAATCTACAACGCTGCCGCGCAAGTCGTCGTTACGGGAACCTCGGTCCCCAGCAAAACCTACACTGAGGCCGAGCCTTAGGGAGCAGAAGAAGCCGCTGGTCACCAGGGCTCCGGATTCGAAGTCGTATGTTAAAGTCGCGATTTCTTCGTGTCAATTGCCCTCTCAATAGGAGTGGTTCAGCTGATGGTGGCGTCTTGTTTTTGGCGAATAGGGACACGCACGGCCGGACTCTCGCGCCTACGTCTTCATCTTCTGCAACCTCTACGAATGCCGATGCCCACACTAATGCTCTAAAATACTCCGGCAATCCTGACGAGACCGACAGTACCAAGGTGACGACCTTTTATGCGTTTGGGGAGAGCAAGCTCAAGGGGGAGGGTGACTTGGACGATCCGTTCGACTTTCAGCCTTCCATGAACTTGGAAGACGTACACAGGGGTATACTCGATCACGAGCAGGTCAACGCGTTTCATCCTCCGTCGAGGAAGGTCAGCGGGAGCAGCATTCGAAGCATCCGTGCAGGTGTTGCCGGTGGTGGTAGCGGGAACCGTGTCGCGGAGATAGCTGGGAGCCAGGACGCGACTTCTTCCATGCTTCGAAGGCCCAGTGTTGGGAAGTTCTCATCGCCGCGGAATCCGGATCGAAACTCGCAGGAAGCAGCTCCACGCCGGCGACAGAGCAACATCACTAATCTGGCACTGGCGAACCCTGCATCGAAGTATCGCACAACCACCGCGACGGTAGAGCCGGCAAGCTCGATCGCAGCTCAACGGCGAAAACCGAGTTGTACCGTTCCGGGCTCTACGGGTCCACCCGTACCCCCGAAGTACCATAAGATGGGCGGGTACTCAGAGGCTACCGCCGAAGGGGGAGTGAAGGTTCCGATATCGGCGCGAAGTGGAAAGTCCAAGTCACTACAGCCGCCGCCGCGACCGATCCAGCCGCAGATCAACACATCGCTTGCCCCTGATGGGTACCGTGCTTCGATTGGTATCCCCCCGAAGTCTCCCAGGTCGCCCAATACCAGCAAGAAGGTGGGCACGCCCGGGCCCTTGGCTTTGCGCAGGATATCCACGATCCCACACGCATCTGGATTGGCTGCGAGAACAATCAGTCCGACCGACGCGAGGAGGTTGAAGAGACTGTCGATGTTGAATACTCCTCCACCTCCGGTGCTGCCGCCGCCTGTGGAACCCAGTAGATCCACCCAGGCGAGCCCGTCCATGATCCCCAGGAAGAGCGTGACGCCTTCGTCGCAGGGCACAACACCCGAGCCGCAGCGCAAATCCTACAGCTCCGGATTGTCAGCGTCATCTGCAAGCACCTCTGCACGGACATCCGTGGGCTCCCTGCAACCGAAAGTAACCCTGAACTATGGATCAAGGCTGCCGAGGCCACCACAACTGGAGAGGGATGATGAAGAAATTCCTCCGGTTCCGCCGTTACCGAAGAATCTCGCGTCCTCCGCAGAGCCTCTGAGCGGTGAATCTAGTCTTGCGCCCACACCTGTGGGTGGCACATTCAAGAACAGCAGCAGCAGCCTTTACGGCCCTCGGAAATCCAGCTTGGCACATGACCATCCCGACCACATGGAACCCGTTGAGACGCGGTCCGTTGACTCCGATAGAACGTTGAGCTCGGACTCGCCGATGAGCAGGACCAAGAGCAGGACCAAGAGCTCTAACAGCACCTTCTTCGCCCCGCGGAAGTCCAGCCTTGCGCCAGAGACCTTGGGACAACCGGAGCCTGCCGACGAGCCCGAAATCTTCGATCTGGAGGCATTTGAGCCCACTCATATCTCTCAGGAGATCAGGAACCTAGAGCCGAGGGCTGAGAAGAGGGAGTCGCGGCGGAAGCGAGGGATGACGCTTGGAGGTCTGGGGCCGGGAAGCGCGGGATTCCCCATGTTGGAGACCAAAGCTTCGGCTTCGAGCTTGAGGAAGAAGGATCTTGCGCCCATCCGTCTGCCGCCGCTGAACCTGTTGCCACTGAGTACGCCGACCGTTGCGCGTGTCAATGCTTATCTGCCTACTTCGGACTCTGACAAGGAACTTACACCGCCTCCGAAAATAGGCCATAAAACTCCTAGTACTCCGATGACAGCATCCAAAGCGGCATTCTTCAACCGGCGGGAAGAGGGTGGTCAATCGGACCGCGATCGCATCGCTCGCGAGAGGAGCATTAGTTCGTTTAACCATTCCGTGCCGCATGATGATAGTCCATCTAGCCTGTCGTTGAGGACCGGTTCGAGTCCGACCAGTAGTATTCCAGTGTCGACGAGTAGCAGGATCGGCAGACAGACGGCTAGCCCGTATGTTTCCGGTTCGTTGCCTAGGGGGACGTCGGCGGGTGCGAGTGAGCATGACGGGAAAACAACGGACAGTAAGAAGTCAGCACCACGAGTGAAGAGCAGGTCGAGGAAGAGTCAAGACTCGTTAAAGAATGCTCCGGCCGAGGAACTGAGCGGTTCGCCGTCCACTAGCAGCTCTATCCGCAGAAAATTGAGCCTCAGTTGGAAGAAGTCGTCTCAAGGAAAGAACAGTCACGCAGCAACGGAACGCGCCGAGGAATACAATGCGAAGTTCGACAACATGCCTCCGCCGCGCTTGCCAACCTCGTCCACGTGGACTAATACACCTAGCCCCAACAAAGGACCCCACATCGCAGCGGCGGGTAAGAGGAAGGGATCTGTCGGTGGTGGGCCGTTTCACGACCGCACACGGAGTGACAGCTGGGGTACAGCGGGTAGCCCCAAAAAGGAAAAGAAGTCGGATGAAAAAGTGCCAGCCTTGCAGTCCAAGGCTTCAAGTGCGGCTAGTTCGATTCTCAGCCCCATGACCAAGATGTTGGGGAGCAAAGGGTCTCTCAGCCAGTTACGAAGCAGAAACCAACCACCCTTACCTCATAACTCCGACCCTACCCTCGACCACGACGACCTCATTGCTGAAGACGAGATGAGACGAATTGCCTCGAAGCGAAAGAATTTGGACCAAGCGGCCGCACAGCTTGATGAACTGAAAAGGCGTGCTGGACCCAAGGATCGGGTGTCGACCCAGCAGATTCTTCGCATGGGTGTGCTCAACATCTTTGAGAAGGGCGAGGTTGTCGATTACAAGGATGTGTACTTCACCGGTCTCTCAGATGCGAGGAAGCACGTTGGTGACCTGAAGAATACTACCCTGCCCAACTTTGGATATGACGACGAACGGGGGGATTACACGATCGTCAAGGGTGACCACTTGGCTTATCGCTATGAGATTGTGGATGTGCTTGGAAAGGGAAGTTTCGGCCAGGTCGTGCGATGTATCGACCATCGTACCGGAGGACTCGTCGCCATCAAGATCATCCGGAACAAGAAGCGATTCCACCAACAGGCGTTGGTCGAGGTCAACATCTTGCAGAAGCTGAAGGAATGGGTAAGCATTTCATGCTTTTTTTTCCGGTGATGAGGATAGCTCACTAACGGTTACAGGACCCGAACCAAAAACACTCTCTGATTAACTTCACCCAAAGCTTTTACTTCAGAGGACATCTGTGTATCTCGACCGAGTTGCTGGGAATGAACCTTTACGAGTTTATCAAGAGCAATGACTTCCGTGGCTTCTCGCTCAAGCTTATCCGCCGATTCACAAAGCAGATGCTCAGCTCTTTGACTCTGCTCAAGGGACATCGCGTGATCCACTGCGATCTCAAGCCCGAGAACATCCTGCTCGCACACCCTGCCCGCTCTGAGATCAAGGTCATCGATTTTGGTAGCAGTTGTTTCGAGAATGAGAAAGGTAGACGAGAGAGCTCCCACCACCACCGCTATGGAAGCTAACAGCATTTAGTGTACACTTACATTCAGTCCCGGTTTTACCGATCTCCGGAAGTTATCCTGGGAATGAGCTACGGTTTGCCGATTGACATGTGGTCGCTGGGTTGCATCCTCGCCGAGCTTTTCACTGGATACCCTATCTTCCCTGGAGAAAACGAGCAAGAGCAGTTGGCATGTATCATGGAAGTGTTCGGACCGCCGGAAAAGCACCTCATCGAGAAATCCACCCGTCGCAAGCTGTTCTTCGACTCCCAAGGCAAACCACGGATGATAGTCTCGTCCAAGGGCCGCAGACGGCGTGTCAGCTCGAAGACTTTGCAGCAAGTGCTCAAGTGCGACGATGAGCCTTTCCTCGATTTTGTCTCTCGCTGTCTCCGATGGGACCCCGACAAGCGGCTGCGGCCCGAGGAGGCCATGAGCCATGAGTTCATTTCGGGACGGAAGCCACCGGTTCAGAGTAGGGCAAGATCGGGGAATTACGCGTCCGGGACAGCTAGCAGCGACACTAGACGATACACCGCTTACTCTCGCCCCCTTCCGGATCCTCCCACTACCGCCAAGAAGGTCACTGTTGCCTGTGGAAACCATAGTCCTATGAAGACAACTCCATCAACAAACGTCTTGAGCTCGTCGAGAAGCATCACCGGCAAGAACCCCATTCTGGCAGCTGGGACTAAGAGGAACAGCACTGGCGCGACTGTTGGCACCAGCAGCACTTTACCACGGGTTGCGGCAGCGGCTGGACAAGGCCACCGATCCATCAGCGGCAAAGCAGCCTACGGCAGCGGCGGAAGCAGTGCAGGACCGACGCCCAACAACCACAACCACGTTGGTGGACGAGGTAGCGCCGGCCAACGTGTTGGCGCCGGAACATCGGGCAGCACTAGGATGTTGCGAGACGACGATGGCGGCTTGTCTAGCGGCGGCGAGGGTAGCCGCAGAAGACAGGGCTGAGGCTGAGGCTGAGGAACGTGTTCGATAACGATATTGACGGATGATGAACGAAGAAAAAAAACAACGACCTTGTAATATCTTCCCCCCCCCCCCTTCTTCTACTTCTTTTCTTGGTTGTTGTTGTGCTGGGGCTTGTTGTGTTGGCTGGATGGACGGACGGATACTTCGTGTATGTGGAGGAAACTTAGGTGGTGGTGTTTTCTGTTTTTTCTTCTCTTGTTTTGTGATATCTTTTTCGTTTTCCTTTCCCTTTTCTTTTCTTTTCTTGTTTGCTGCGTTCGGCATTTGCGGCTTCATTTGAGGGGAGTTCTTTTTTTTTCTCACTTTTTTTTCTCACTTTTTCTTTTCACCTATAACGTTAAGATTCTTCGACGATTTGGAGGGGAGGGGTAGTGGGAGGCTGTGCATTATGGCAGGAGGAGGACGCGGATAGGGGGGGTGATAGTTCAGTTCAATACCTTCAATTCTCTTTCTCCGATTTGTTTTTGCTTGCTTGCTCATACTCATGTACTGAAGAACGGAGGGCAGAGGGTGGAGGGTGGATGAACTGAAATGGTACAGATTTTTTTCACTTTCTTTCTTTTCTCTTTTCTTTCTTTCTTGCTTTTCTTGATTTTCTTGCTAGAGATTTTGAAGGGTTCGGAGGGGAGGAGGAGGGGTGGGGCAGGAGTTACATAGTACTGAGAAGAAGAAGAAGAAGAAGAAGAAGATGAAGAAGAAGGAAGAAGAAGAAGGAAGAAGAAGAAGGAAGAAGAAGAAGGGGGGCGATGTTAGATGTAGGTACGTGCTAGAACTTGCGGCTTGCGGCTTGCGGCTTTGAACTTGCGGCTTCGGAGGGAGTGGAGGGGAGGGGGATTTAATGCATGGCGGTTCGGAGTACTCATACACTCATACACTCATACACTCATACTTTTTGTGCATATGTGATTGGGGGGGCGGGTGAGTGATATTTCGTGAGCGCCGCTGTTGCTGCCATCTGTCATCGATGGCTGCGTTGGCCCGCGGGGGGTAACCAAACACTGCCGGAGTAAACAGGCAACACGGGAATTGGTGCTGTATTCCAGTAGTAGTAGTACAGCACCTCCTGGACACAACATTCCAGCTCACATCAGATCACATCACATCAAATTCACATCGTACACAGGTACGGGAGACAGAGTTCCACCTACGGTGAACAGCGAACAGCGAACAGCGCGAGGTAGGTGCTAGTAACTACTAACGGGTTTGAACAGCTGCCTTTGAAGTTTGCCTTGTGTTTCCGCTACCGTGACTTTGCGCAGGATATGAAACTCCCATATCCCCCCCCCCCCTTCCAACGCCCAATGGTATATGAGAAAAAATAGTGTGAAAGCAGGAGAACAACACCGTGAAAGAAGTAGCCAACCGCCTAAGCGCCTAGAAACGAAGCGTTTGCACTAAAATGGAGAAAATGGAGAAATGCAAATGAAAATGAGAAAATGAGGAAAATGAAGAAAATGAAGAAAGAAAACACGATCAACTATCAACCCATGCTCAGTTACAGCTCAACCTACTACTTCTTCTTGTAAATCGACAGCTTTTGTGGTCCACCGCAGTACTGAGTTTTATCACCGGCACACTTCATGGTACACTTGAGGGCGGTGAGGCGGCTGGGGGCCACGGCGTAGCCACAGAAGCACTCCTCAGCGTACTCGAGTCCAGCGTAGGTATATCCCTTGCTGGTGCAGTGGTCGATGCACTTTGGCACGGTCATATCGTTCTTGGCGTAGCGGTAGGGGAGGGTGCGCGCGCCCAGGTCGTCGAAAGCGCAGCCGACGTAGGTCCAGCCCTTCGAGCTCACGTCCGTGGAGTATGTCTGCTTCGGACCGATGGTGGTGACGGCGCCGCAGTTGGGGGGCTGGATGGCGCGCGCAGGGCCGAGCTGGATCGGGTTGCAGCCGGGGAGCTTGGGGAGCCAGCCTTCGGTCTGTTCCTTGATTGAGGGTGGGACCATGCAGTCGTCCATCGCCTTGTTCTCTTGAAGCTTGAGCACCGGACAGTCCTCGACGTTGCCGCTCTCGGCGTTGCACTCGTTGATGGCCTTTTGCAGGACCGCCGGGTTCCAGCCGGAGACGAAGTCGCCGTGCAGGGAGAGGCCCTCGCGGTCGCCGTTGGAGAGGACGAAGGGGTGCTTGTCGTTGACCCACTCGCTGTCCCATGTCTTGATGTCGTAAAGGAACTCGTAGAAGAGTGTGACGAGGCGCTTGGGATGGGTCGATGGGCACTTGCCATTGTTGTTGTCGCTAGGGTAAGCAACGTGCGACCTGTGGTCCGGTGAGTCGACGTTCTTGCCGTCCCAGCAGCTGGGCATCACGATCTGAATACGAAGACCGCTATATTTGATCAGCCAACTCTTCCCTCTGACCAGCTAACAAACAGTAGTTCAATCAACTTACTAAGGACACTTGGAGTTGGGGATGGTGCCAGTCTCTCCAGTGGTACCTCCGAGACAGGCATAGCTAATCCCTTTCTGTTCGATACCCGCACCACTGAGCGAACGACGCATGGGGTCACCGGCAAGCATACGGAAGCCCTCGGGGAAGGCGTAAAGCTGTTCAGTAGGCGTATCCCTACGCTGGAGGTAGTAGATGGTAGCACCGCCATTTCCGACGTTGTGGAAAGAGCCGTTTCTCGCCTGGCTGTGACGGTAGGTCAGTTGTGAAGCACACCAAGGATTCCTCACAAAGAAACATACACATAGAGATCGGGCTGTTGGTCACAGAGTCAGTAAACAAGTCCAGCGGGCTACTAAGAACAATCACCAACACACGGGCGACTCACGATCCAGTAGTTACTCTTGTCCTGGACAACCTTACAGGTGGTACAGGTAGCAGCGATGGACTTCGCATAGGTCATGGTGAAGTCGAAGCCATTGCCTCCGACAATGTTGTGAAGGTGGTTAGAAACCGCACCGGGATTGACGATCGGATCAGCCCTGCGGCAGTTTGTCAGATGTGCGCTGCACCACACTGGGATGTAGAACAACTACTGACCTCTCACGAAGCAAGGGACCTCCACACGGGATGCGGAAGAATGCGTCGACCATGGGCAGCACCGCCATCAAAGCGGCGGCGCTGGTCATGATGGCATCTAAAAGCTTCATGTTGTATGTGATGCTTTGTAGCGGTTTCGGTGAAGGAGGTTTGGGAGGATTTTCTTTGGTAGCGAGAGGATGGAAAAGAATGAATGAATGGGTTGGAGGCCCGGGTTTTATTGAGGGAGTACGAGAAGAAGAGAATTACAGAGCGACCAGGCGCAGTGGAAAGAACGAAGGGGGTTTGAAAAGAGTGTGTAGGGCCCTTCAAGGGAGTGGAGTGGGAGAGCAAAGGAATGCGAGCGAGAGGGGTTGGAATGTGTGGGAGAGAGACAGGTGAAGGCGTGGGAGTTGAAGGGGAGCCGGTGGGTGCAAATATATGTTTTATTGTTGTGGGGAAGCTGAGCCGCCGCCACAAACTATCACACGGCGCCAACCCGAACGGGAGGGTAGGAAACCAGAGGCGAGGCAAGATGCAGGAACGGACCAGGAACAGCGATGCAATTCAACGAGGTAAAAGTAAAATAAGGTGCTGCCGGCTGCAGGGATCGAGACCTGTGTAGCGGGTCGGAGAATTTCCTCGAGTGCTGGAAGGAATAACGGATGGTGATATCGCCACAGAGAATCCGACTTCGACTGATGACGACCAGCACCGGCTTATGTAGAAGCGCAAATGATCTCGGTTCGAACCTTCTCGGACTCTCACGATCAATCGGCTCCGCTGTCTTGCCGTTTTCGGCTTGCGACTCCAGCAGGCAAGAACAGCTGTCTCGTACGAGGTCTGTGGTGGTGCCGGTGGGCTGGCGGTGGTGATGGTGATTGGTCCTGAACGACCAGATAGCGATGCCGTGGTCGAGAAGCAGCAATAGGTGACCACAGCCAGCCATCCGTACGCCGCCAACATGAACGTCCTGACGATCGGACTACGGATCCGTGCAGTGGCTCATCGGGGAAGAGACAGAGCACGAGGCGTGTGACCGTCGAAGAAGCAACTTTGAGGAAACATCTCCAATATCGAGTGGCATCATGGAATAGCAGTTTGGCAATCGAAGCCGAATGAGACCCTTTGTCACCACATGTGAGTTGCACTCCCGAATAGGTGGGAGTCTATAAGTACCATCGCCAACCAAGCATCAGAGCGACATTAACGGGCCGCTCCGCTGGGCTCAGCACTAATATTTACAGTCGCTGGGTTCCGCAATAAAGTCGCTCGGCTCCGTCGCAAAGGCACCACCACAGCCTTCCGCCTTCCGTAAGGCCCTTAGTAGTTTGCCGCCTACACAGCCGCCCCACTCAACCTGCTACACCGGGGAGGCTCGTGCTGGCACATAAGTGCATAAATTGCCTATACGGAAGTACCATTCGTTGCTTATTCCTCTTCTTCTTCTCCCATCTTCTTCCCCATCATCTGTTGTGTTGCGGGATTCCGATGGTAATGCATATTTCACGTTTCACGCTGTAGATACCGTTTATCTATCCGAAACCTCAATCGTCAGCGCTATCAGCAATAGCACCACTGACCACTGACCAGAAGCAAAAAGTAAAAAATAATAGCAAGGGCTTTTCTTTCGCGCTGCTGTGCTCTCCATACTGCGCAGATGCAATTCCCCTTTTAGGGTTTAACCCGGCGCGCGTGGAATTCCGGATCAACAGGCCGGCCGAGTATCAGTCGATGAGTGGACTGGTCCATCGCTTTCGCTCGTTGAGGGGGTGGTCGCGGATACGACGGATTAGTCATCTCGACCTCGTATTTCCCCTGATGTTTATGATTCTGGAGAACTTAGGTGTGTTCCTACGGTAGATCTGGAGTACCGCGTACAACGTATCTGACGATCAGGGACGTCTCGATTCCCATACGTAACATCGTTGTCGACGATATCACATGAACGTCTGGCCAGAACTCGGATCCCTCCTTCCCTCCCTACGTACACGGCACCTCCGCAGATGGCATGTGTCAACTCGGAGACCGCGAGGTTCTCGATCCCATCACCGAGAAGGGCAATATTTTCAAGGAGAATTCGACACCACCACCACCACCACCACCACCACCACCACCACGGACAAGCCTCCGCACGAGAATATCACGGTTGCCGGCAACGGAAGCTCGTATGTATGTAGCTTGGACCCCCCCCCCTCTCCCCCCTCCAGAGGAGCCTGGAAATTTGCTTAGTACGACTGCAGCCACCCGTAGATCGATCCCTCCCCGCCCTGCCCTGAATGCCTCCTCCCGAGTGTTTGAGCTACCTAACCGGTACTGGAATCTCGTGGGACTTGCTTGAGCCTTGGGCCCATCATGCATGCCTTCGCTGTCTTCGCTGTCTTCCTTCCGTCCTCGCGTGGAAGCGGAGTGTCAGCCCAGGTCCTGGTGTGTAGATGATAGATGATAGATGATTTCGGCTCGGCGGTAGCGTGGGTGGGGGTGAGGGGTAACTAATACAGGGCATGTAGGAACCGATGAAGGGCGTAATGACGGTCTCGCTTGGCTGTTTACCATGTGGGTTCGATGCGGTGCCTAGATCACCTCTCGGCCCTCAGTTATACCCGACTCCCGAGCACTGGTGGCCCCGTGGTCGACTGATCCATACGGTGGCCGTTGAGACATAATACATCATCAAAATCTTGTCACGGTCTTGAACTGAAGCATAGCTGTTACTACTACTAGCGAACCGATGAATTACCACCAAGTGGAAAATGGGGGAGGGGTGAGAGAACCACCTATGGCTCAATAACCTATTCCAGCTTCCTACGCACTTCAACTCCGCAGTATGATGTTTGTCGAGTATTAATTACTTCCCCATAAAGGTGTCCGTTATCCGCCGCGCTGGTGGTGGCGGCTCGAAGAGGAGACTGAGGAATTCATTCCTTCTCTTCCCTTCCCTCGTCTATCCGGTCACTCGAGTACGGTACTATCCATCGGCGGGTGGGACTGTGGGGGTGTGGCAGCCACGACTCATGACAACCCATCGGCCTCGATACGATACCAATAGCAGCAGCAGCAGACGCATCCGGCAAGCTACATACCGATCTTTTAACCATTGCCTCTTACCTCTTCTCTCACCTCTCACCTCTCACCTCTCACCTCTCACCTCTCGAGCCACGGCCATGTCACAATTAATAGGAGTAGGGAAGTATTCCGACACCCAGAAGCCGACCTAGCTACTCCTGCGCACTGTCCCGTCTCTTAGCTAACTATTCGATATAGATATATCGATACGTGATACTAACGTGGAGCATGATGCGTACTGCGTACTGCGGGCGAGCGGCAGGGCGCTTCCACGGAAAGCGACGGACAACACGCAGACTCCAGAGTGTGCGGGGTGAAGTGGTTCGATCCCGAAACGGCACATCGCGGTCGGGGGGAGGGGAAGTGAAGGTATACCCGCCACTGTCACGGCCAAACCGTTCGTTGTGGGGAATCGCCATTTATGGGGAAGGAGCACATACATTTCGATATGCTGTTTGTTCCTCTGGAATCAGCCATCGCCCATCGGTCCATCGCAACAGGTAATGCGAGCTTGATGTTCACTATCACAGCCCGTCACTCGCCATTCTGCGAGAGCGGCCGCGACGCTTTCCAAAAAAACGTATGTATATGCAGCGTATTCGCTGCGCGGCCACGGGATAAACGCTTACATACAACGGTAGGCAGTGCAGCTATAGCCTTCTCCGGGACTTTATGCGAGTTCGTCGCTTATTGCTCTTCATTCGTTCTGTACTAGTACTAAGTACACATCAAGTCATCAACTCGAAGATTCCAGGTATTACACTCAGTCGCCACTGGCCTGCGCCAAGTATGTACGGACGGCAAAACTGATAGCTGTGCAGGGAGAAGACGTACTTTGCACAAGAGCGCGAACTCTGAGTTTCCTCTGCCGGTGGTAGCGCGACTTGGGCGTGTCAAGTGAAACCACCGAGTGATATATGCCTAGTGCCCCCCTCCGTCACCCTAAAAACAAAAACAGTCACCACCACCGGTGGGTGGCTTGGAAACCCCAAGAGCTGAATAGAAAGGTCCTTGACTTGGGTTGAGCCTGAGACCTTTCCCTCAACTCCCCTCGCCGATTGCATGGCCTAGTGCCTAAACCACTAGACCACGCGGGGGTTTTTCCGTGCTGGAAATATGAATTCGATGTCTATAAACTGGTGGGTGCCACCCTCGCGATGGACAAGCATTGCCACAGCGGCGCTGTCTGTGTTGAACGGACGAGCGAACAACATGCCGTGTGCTTCGTATGAATCTGATGCGGTGTCTTTCGGCGTTTGAACGAACAATGAAGACAGCGCGGTAACCATGGCCTATTCGTCTTCACACAGCTGAAAAGTATCGTTGTCCTTCGCCGTCCTTCGATATCCGAAATCCTCTGGTCTTCCTGCTCTTCCTACAACCGGCTCGCCTTGTCCTCCTATGCAGTCCTACAGTACCCGGCCTGGCTCGCCGCCGATAACACACTATCGTCGCCGCGGATACTAGAAGTCTAGAAGACTGTCTATTGAGCACGCCGGTCAGCCATAGGAGCACCTAAGAACTATATAACTATTATCAACACCAGTTGATCAACTGTGCCCCTTTGAGCCTATTTAGATCTATTTAGAGCCGTATTTGTACTGAGCCAGTTATAACTTGGAAAAATGTGAAGACAATCATAACCAGATATTACACACGCACATGCACATGCACATGCAAAACCAGCTTACATAACCATAACCACCTACCAGTACCCATCCCCCTGGCCTGCGATTAAAATCCCAACCTCGCCTGCACTCGCGAGTGCTACCCCATGCGCCGCTTGATCTCGCATCCCTCCACCGGTACATACCCTTGCGGTGACAGGCAGGTGCCAGCCTCCCAGGTGGACTCCCCGCCTCCTAGCGCCCGGCCAGGGGGGGGCGATATGACACCACGACTACATACACGACTCCACGAGGCGGGGATTTACTCTACTCTACTAACTAGTACGCGACGATCATGGAGAGATTGGGGATGAATACCGGTATGTGAATACCGCAACTTTCCTGCAAGTGCGGACGTCGGAGTCTAGGTACTCGAATAGGAGAGATATGTAACTTGGATGGCGACGGTTGAGAGGAGGAGGGACATCAACGGGATACTCTACTCTAGCTACGCTCAAGAGAACGAACGCAACTCTGATCTTGCAACACTGCAACACAGCAACATAACCACAACCCATCCCAACGCAACGCAGGTGTCGTCAAGCAGTGCGCTTAGTAACCAACTAGGCTCAGAGAAGCAGTCTGATAACCGGTTCACGCACACGGGCTGGCAGCTGGCTCGGTGAAATTCGTCCGCGCCCTGGGGCTGCATAGAGGCCTGGGTGCCTAGGGCGTCGGTGGGGGGGATCCAAGTTCTTCATGGCGCCGCCGACCAACACACGGGAAGACTCTGGGGAGAACGAATCCCTCCTAGAGGTGCGAGGTGCGATGTGCTGCCTTCCTTCCTTTCCGAGAGAGCAGCGGAATTAGAGATGTCTCTCCGAGGTGAGGATCGTAGATGTGTTGGTAGTGGTGGGGGCTCATAACTGACCGCGGGCTCTTCACGAACATACTCCAGAGTGAAACATAGAGGAAATTATCATGAGAATTTGTCGAGTGTGCTTGCTTGCTTGCTTCCTCGCTAGAGTAGTTAGAGTCTCGAGGATTGTATACCCACTAGCAGGTAGCACAACGCCAATCGCCGGATGTCTCGATAGGTACCGCCGGCCTGGATGGGGCTGCCAGTGCCAGCTAGACGTCGCTTCTGGGGGCGCTTATGTACCTACTACCACTATACCTAGCAGGTGGAGAACTTCGGCTTCGGTGGAGATTGTTCGGTTTTTTCCCCCGAGGCGTCACTGCTGCCGTCCAGGGTCTGCTCATAGCAGTAGAGCATAGAATCTATTTGCATCAACCAACAACCTCCATCATTATTACCACCAACACTTGATCTCCGGAATGCAACAACACCAGGCGATCGTTGCCATCATGGAAGAGGGATGCCGTTCAAACTCGTATGGTGGTCGTGCCGTTCGAACGGGCCATCCAGACTACTCTAGGCCTGGCTGGCTGGCAATGCTTCTTCGGTTGTGACGGTTCGGTGTATGTAGAGTACGCAGGAGTCGAGTGATTTCCCGTCCGCTGTCTTGGGTTCCGACGGGTGCCATTGGGTGTTTTCGCCGCGGGTGGTCATAGCTATCAGACTGCTGTGATATCTCACTTGAGAGGCGAGCAGAGTAGTGATTTATTGCCATGTCTGGAAGTCGGCTTTCTGTATCTGGCATCTTGGCCTCTGGTATATGAAAGACAATTCTGTATTTTTGGGGGTTTTACTTCCCGTTCGGGCAATACCGAGACATCACCTCTTTGAGTGAGGTGATACGGTAGCCTTCTTGCGGACTTCTCCACGGTAGTGATGTACTAGTACTTACACAAGGTCAGAGTGCATATATGTGCACTTTTCTCAGAGATTTGACCCGAAAAGTCTCCACGTGAACTGCAACGGCCAGGACTCGAGACAATTCACGAATCATGATTTGTCACGCTGCGGCTCTCCGTCGAAAGTGCAATTCCAAGCCCGGGAGCAGCTCTGATGCTGTTCTTCCGGACTCCACGAAACCGGGGGTTTCTGCTGCCACTGATTGCCGACTCTATGCACCTTTTGTAGTCGTGCATCCGATGCAGTCGATTTCTCGTGCATCCTTCTAGGGGCGATGTCCATCTAATTATGGTAACGGGCGTCAAGAAGGCTCCCCCACTGCCCTGATTGGCCTGCTATTTATACCCGGCGCATAATGACTCCGCTTCCCCCCTAAAAATCTTTAATCCCCCGTCGAGTCCACCCACACCACAATTAGGCGTTATTTTTAGACTCCCAGGCAACAAACAAACCATGTGTTGCTGTGGGCAGTTGGCACTGGGTGCTGTGGGTGCTGTGTGAGGATGTGAGCACTGACTGAGCAGTGAGGAATTGATTGTCTGAGTTGCCTGTTCCGCGCTCCGGCTCCTCTGCCTGCTGAGTGGCGGGGTACCAGAGTTCCTCGAGAGTCGACGTGCCTTTTGTTCGTCGCAAAAAAAAAGACGCCCCGTTCTCGCTGATTCTCTCGAACTTCTTTTCTTCCACCCCCCTCCGCGCCCGTGCCCCCGCCCTCCACACCCTCCGCGCTGCACAGCCCCATTCCGACCCCGTCTCGATCCGAGTCTGCGCGTCGAAACAGCATCGCGAACCGAAACGAGAACCAAGGAACGCTTCTTCGGACCCGCGAATGGCCAGTTAATCCGGAATCCCGACAGAGCAGCACGCCTACGCCTACGCCCCACGACCTCGATTCATTCCTGGACGAACGGTCTGCATCGCCAATCACATCACCCGGAGTGCTGATATAGCAGTTGAAGCCCACCCCACCCGTATCGATATATAGAGATGGCATCGCCATACGCGTTCCAGCAGGCTGTTGCCCCTCCTCCGACTTCACGTCGAGGGATCTCCCCCGCGACCTCCATCTTCAGTCGCGCGCGGTCACGTACGCCGCCCGCCGCACTCGCGCTCTCCAGCAACAGGTACAATCCGGCACTATATTCGGCGACGACCAGCGCCGTGGGACCGGGAAGTCTGAGGAGGCCGAGCCCGAGTCCTATGAGAACGCGAGGGGAGGATGGAGGCGCTGGACGACAGTACAATCCGCAGACATTCGGACAGTTATCTGGAAACGGGGGTGCATTTGTGCCTCGACAGAACGAGGAAGGTAGAGTGCTCCATCTTTTTTCTCGTAATATTGTTACATTCCAACAATTTCGCATCGACGCGAACCATGTGTATGCGTGTGTGTGTGTCCTGTCTGTTATCAAAATAGCACCCGATACTCCCATGTTTTCAGTTTTCGATGATATCTCTATTCTCTCCCGGGCGTGCTTTGTTCCCTCCTCCGTCGTCCGAAGCATCACAGGACAGAAAAGCTGACCGAACAAGTCCCACCGCCTCCGTACTCGCCTCCACACTCTGCGCGTGGTCCCGGCCCGCTCTCGGCACATAGTAACGGCCCGCTCTCGGCACGTAGTAACGGCCCGCTCTCACCCCCGCATAACGGCCCGCTCTCAGCACGTAGTAACGGCCCGCTCTCACCCCCGCATTCCGCGCGTGGTTCCGCGCTGCAGGTTTCTCCGCCACAGCGACAAACAACGTGGACACAGAATCAAACACCTACGTCACCGAATAACAACGTATCACAACAGCCCACACCATCAACGGCCAGCAGCCTGCAAAGTTTCAATGGGTATCCCACCGGTGGATCGGCGGCGGCAACTACCCCGCTGACGCCGAATGTCGGCCCCCAAAACTGGCAGTCTCCTACCCGGAGAAGAGGATATTCACCACCAACCGCACAAGTTCAGGGACCATACACACCGAGCGGGCTTCAACAGACGTCGTTCCCTGCCGAGATACCTCAACACCCGATCATCCCCCCGAACGCACACCGGAATCCGTCCGCACCACCGCAGATGCGATCATCCAATGCAACCAGTGTTCCTCCTCCACCTCCAGGTCCTCCACCCGCAGCTAGCAGGAGTGCGTCGATGAGCGCATCAATGCCTCCATCAGCGCATCGGGAAGACAGTCAGACGCGTGGCGCCAACGGTGTACCGCCGCCACCACCTGGCCCCCCGCCGCGATCGGAAAGTTTGACCAGGATTCAGCAACTTATGCAGCGGCAGAGAACCGTCAGCGGACCATTGAGCACGAGACAAGGCTTTGTAGGGAGTAGACAGAGTCCACCGGTGCCGGAGGTGCCTGAAATTCTGACTCTTCCTTCGTCTTCTCCTCCTCCAGCTGTTCCGCCAAAGCGGAAGATGGAGCAACAGGAGGATAGTGGTAGACAGAGGGCAAGCCCACGGCATGAGGAGGAACGCGAACGACAGAGGAGGGAAGATAATAATCCGTGGAAAGAGGCAATAGACTCGCCCAGGAGGGCGGCTACATTACCGAACCAACAATCCTTCTCGGCGTCGCCGCGAGCCATCACTCCCGCCAGAGGTATGGCCTCCAACGCAAGCCACTCCCGCATATCAAAAAATGCTAACTGTGCCCAAGTCGCCCCGCCGCAATTGTCCCCTCCCCCTCACACCTTAGAATTGATAAGGGAGCGTGAAAGCATCATTATAGAAAGTTTCACCGAGCCCGAACCGAGTCCCACCTTCACAGTGTACCGCGATTCGAATCCCGCTCTGAATGGTTCAGCAGTTCGCAGAAAACCCGTTGGCCCACAACTTGTCACGCAAGATCTAGGCCGTGGTCCACAACTTCCTACGCCACCGCCACAGCAGTCCTCGCCGATATCGCCCGGCTTGAATAATCGCGAATCAAATGCCACACTCAAAGCGAATGGCGAAGGTCCAAGCAGGAAGGACACTGGCAAGGAGCCGGAAGGGCCCGAGGACTTCATACACCAGACAAGACGTCGATACAAGGAGATGTTGCAGGCCGAAGATGCCGCCTATACAGATGCCGACAAACTCCGCATATTCTTGCACTTCGTCGAGAGGGAATGCAAAATACGACAGCCGTTGTACTCGCAAGCCGATCCGACGGATCTGAAACGTGTTGTCAAAATCCTTCAGGTGATTGCCATGGAGGAGCACGAAAGTCTTACCCCAATTTCGCCTGTTGGACGCCAGCGTGCAGATCGGGATGGAGATATCGACATGTCATCGCCGCCCGACCAAAAAACACGTCCGGGTACGCAATGGTGGGGACAAAATCTAACTGCCGCTTCGTTCCCCACCTCGGCGATGTCAGCCTACGAGCAGCGCGTCGCAGAAGAAGAGTCCTCTCGCGGTCGCGCCAGCTCCAGATGGTGGGAGAACTCGAACGACGACGGCGGATCGTGTTCTGTTTCTGAGCTTGTCCGTTCCGACGATAATGACAGTGTGTATGGCTCCGCATACCCACGACGCAGCAAAAGGTTCACCAAGAAACCCCGCCAGAGTTTGAAAGAGATCGCAGAATTGGCGAATAGCCCCCGGAGCTTGACTTCTGGTCCGGGTATCAGCCATGATGCTGCTTCATACCTGAACTCAACTGTTTATCCCCCGGACCGTAAAGCTGGATCGCGCAGTAGATCGCGGGCCCCGGGAAGTTCTCGGACTAGGGTTCCTAGGAGAAGAGATAACCTCAAGACAAGCCTCGATATCGCTCCGCTGCTCACGCTTCTTCCAGTCTGGCCCAGAGAATACCCCGCCATCAACAACTGCCATCCGCGTCTCGACGTTTTCCGCGATCTGGTCCGCACTCTCAACGATCTGACCATGCTCAAGGACCTGCAGCAGCGTTTCGCCGAGAAAACTGGCAAGACCAAAGACTCGTTCGTAACCGAATCGCAGCGCCGACGCATCAGTCAAGCTGAACGGATCCAACGCCTTTACTCCCGCGGCGATCTCCACTACGATGAGATGGAGCGCCTCAACCTCGATTTCGAGCGCGAGGAAACGAAAATCAACCACGAAGCCGAGGAGGAGGATTTCAAAGCGTTCGACGTCGAAGTCGTGACTCCGGCCCACCGCGACCTCCACGAACGGATCAACGCTGCCACGGCCGCCTACTCGGATCTCATCGCGCTCATCAAAGCGCGCAATCCCAACCTTGCCGCCGACTCGGAGGAACAGCCAGAGCTCCTGGAATACCTCACCGCGCTCAAGTGGATCTTCGACGTGCGCGAAACCCTGCACCAGAGCGTGTTCGAAATGCTCACGGAGCGCAATGAACGCTACAAATCCCTCACCCTTGGGCCGCTGCGCACCGCGCGCGATCAGAGCCGCTTCCAGTCAACGTCGGCATTCTTCACGCAGGACGCGGCGACGCGATTGGCGGAATTTAACAAGCAGAAGATCCTCCGCCACGAGCAGTTTATGGACTTCACCGAGAACCAGGTGACGCTCGGCGTCGAGGAGGCGCGCTCGCGCTTCTGGGAGGTTGCTCCGCTGGTTATGGAGTGTCTCGAGAAGATCCCCGACAACCTCGAGAACGTCGTGCCCATCATCCCGCCCGAGGAGTCGTCGGAACACCCAGAGTGGGTGCAGCAGCCCATGAGGTACCTCGAACGGAAGATTGCGGAGACGGAGGGCGCCATGAGGGGCCTGGGCGTCGAGGAGGGCGAGGGCCTGCTCTGTCTGCTCCATGGTGTCAAGAGTGCACTCACCCGTGCCAGGGCGGAGGCGGTGCACGGTGACGATGGGAGGCGCGAGGAGCGCCGGTTGACTGAGGACCTGAAGGAGAAGGTCGGAATGATCGAGGATGAGTGGAGAGAGGGACTGGGCGGGATCCTGGAACGGATCAAGGAGGATGTGGAGAGGGAGATGGATCGCATCGAGCCGGGAAGGAAGGGCAGTTAGTCGTGTGCCTGTGTGTGTGTGTGTGTGTGTGTGTGTGTGTGTGTTGAGGGGGTGCTGTATGATTGTGTACATATATCCGTCCGGTCGCTTTGAACTTTGAAGCTACTACTCTTATGATGGCAGGGCTGGGGACACTCGTTTTTGGTAGTTTCGGCGCAGATACCCTTTTTATTATATAGTTTTCTTTTTTTATTTCTTTAATTTATTTTCTTCTCTTTTTATTTTCGACTGTATCATTCATGTTGGAGGAGGAGGAGGGAGTTATCGTTTTTCTTTGGGGGAATTTTTCTATGTTTACTGTACCTACTGCAGCGAGGCGGCGTGGGGAACTGGGGGGAGATGAGAGGAGTACCAAGTCATGCTTCATCGTTTTTTGCTGGGCGGCTGATCCTATGGCTGATGTTGGGAGACAGTAAGAATGGAATGGAAGTGATTGGGAAAGTAGGCGTGGATCGAAATCGGTGTGCAACTCACTCGTTCGAGGGTGGTTATAGTGATGGATCATGGGAGAGGAGCTACCTGGATTATTGTCAACGCCACACGACTACACAGCGCGGGAGGCGGTAGACGGCAGACAACACGTGCTTTCGGAGCGGTAAAGAGGCGCCGCTGCACCACGAGTCATAGCCAGTGACCAATCCCTTCACGGGTTCATGGGAAGGAGCAGGCCACGATCTCCATCCTACGTGCTGGCTCAACCACAGCCACACTCTCGCCCGTCTGTGGGTCGTCGAAACGCCACGCACCGATCCTCCCGCCCGGATCCCAGGGAAGATCTCCTATTGTTCTGAACCGTCGTCGTTTGCAGAGCTCCATGCTGCGGTCCCCTGGTAGCAAGCAGGTCAAGAGACGGTTTATAAATCCATCCATGCCCCCCCACCCCACCCTCCCCACCATCGCCACAGCCCACATCCTCCATAAACACATTCCCAAGCCACAGTATCATGTCCTACTACCACCACACGCCGTACCTCACCACCCGCCGACGGGGCAGCAGCTCCTCCAGCAGCGACAACGTGAACACACTGCGGATCCACCTTCCGCCGCCGGGGGGCATGTACAGCAGCTACCGGCCGTCATCCCCACCGCCACCACCTCCTCCACCTCCACATCCGCAACCATCACATCCACCACATCCACCACATCTTCCGCCCCGTCACCACACCCACACCCACACCCACACCCACAGATCGAGAAGGGAGGAGGTGATCCACGGGCTCGAGGAGAAGGTCGAGCGACTGCTGCAGCAGAAGAGGGCGCTCGATGATGAGGTGCAGAGGCTCAGGGCTGAGCGGATCGTTATCGAACACGATTTTGGGAAGTGTAGGGAGGAGCTGGCGAGGTGCGGGGGGAACTTTCGGAGGTGGAGGGGGGAGTAGGGGAGTAGCTGGTGAGATGGGGGGAGTAGCGTGGGAGGGGGTGGGAGGTGTAGAGGAATTCATGGAAAGTCTTGTGGTACATATCACTCGCTCGTGCACGCTTTGTACCTACTAGTACAACTGTGAATAGGTAGCCAAGTACCTATCAAACCCCAGAGGCCACATCCACACCAAACGGGAAGATGACTTCATTCCCCCCACCGTTTGCATGTAAAAATTTCAACTCCGCCACAACGATGACCAAGATCACCGGCCCGACCAGTGGGAAACGAAACACGTATTTCCCACGGCTATCTGCATGCCGATATTTGCCGCTGTGTACCGACGGGCCTAGGTGCGGGCGAACCGCATTTAAGGACCATAGTTAATCCGTCGAACGGTAGTTAACGTCTGCACCCAACGTCGCTTCACAACCCATCACCCTGCCGCAGTTATTTTTGACAGCATTCACACCTCGGTCGAATCGAATCAGCAACATCTCCCCACGATGTCATCACCATACTACCGATACCGCTACCACGACAGCACGCCGCCGCCACCAGCAGCAGCAGTGCGGGCGCTATCACCCGTTCCACGGCGGTTCTGGAGCAGCACGCCGCAGCTGCCGCCGCCGCCGCCCGAGGAGCAGCGCATCGACATCAACACGCGGGCGATAGTCGAGGAGGACATGCAAGCGCGGCGCGAGATCGAGCGGCGCAATGCCGAGAAGGAGCGGGAGCGGAAGCGGCGCAATGCGGAACAGGAACGGGAGCGGGAGCAATCCCGCGGGGAGAACAGGATGCATAGGCTCGAGGAGAGGGAGCGCGCGCAGCGAAGGGAGATCGATCGCCTCAGGGAGGAGAATGAAATCTTGAAGGTTGAGAATGATAGGTTGAGGGGTGAGAGGGCTCACCTCCAGACTACGCTCGATGCACTGTGTGATAGGATCGAGCGCAGGAGAGAGAGAGAGAGGTATAGGTAGACAGATAGCTGTAGCCGGTGGGACGCCCGTGCGTTTCCTGAGGACAGTTTCGTCCACACGGTCGTTTCTGGGGCTTGTTTAGGTCTGCGTTTCCTTAGTATCGTCACATCTCCATATAGTTCGCGCACTCACATGGTGTCATATCTGCTCTCCAGAAGTTGTTCAGTGTATGTACTATATCTCTTTCCCAGACAAACACAATAATCCCTCATCATAGATTCTGCGAAGGATCGTCCAGGAACGTAAACACTAGTCCAGGCGGGGTCCGCGCATATAAGGTGACCGCGCCAGCCACCAGAGCCGGCACCGCTTCACTGCACCAGCGAGACCATGGTCCATGTACCGAGAGCAAGAGCAAAATGTCATAATTCGACGTCATCCACATGCAAGATCGGGGGCAGCTTCCTGTCCGTTACATCACCACGGACTCCAAAGAGGATTGCGCAGCCCTCGCTGTCATGAGAACCAAAAAGCCGTCACGAAAACCAAAAAGCCGTCATCTGGTACAAACTCGAACTCTGCTGGTGGGAGTGGTAAAACGTCCGTCAGGAAAGACTCTGGTAGCGAAGCTTTGACGAGAATGACAGAGTGGTAGAGTAGGCAGGAGTGGTGGAGTTAGGTTAGAGTGTAATACTTTGAGAGAAAAAACTGTAAACCTTCGTCCCTATTGAGTATGTCATAGATTCCACGGCGGTCACAAACAACCTAATCCTACACCCTTTGCGCCTTAGCTTTCCCTTCTTCAACTCGCCGAGCTGCGTGGATTACCAGCTAGTCCGTGACGGGTCGGTATTCGTGCTGGTGTAGATGTCCAGCTGGTGTCGCATGCTGGATGTGAAATCGTGTATAGTTGTCTATCTTAAAGTTCCAGCTCGTGCATACCGAAAAGGCGAATCACGCGCATCATGTTTGCTCCCCAATACCTCAGTGGTGGGAGGTGGTGCACGGGCCAAGTTCAAAGCCCTCGGTCACATCCACCCCCACAATGTGTGACTGCGCTGCACTTGCGCTGTCGAAGTCTATCTCCAACCTGTACAAAAACCCGACCCCTCCCTCGTTCCGAGCTTCGATTGGTTTCACCAGTCAACTATTTGATAAACAACCCACCCTGTATGCAACATAAAAACGACTCCTACGAACCGACAACGTGCCGTGTGGCCCACGTCGTGCGATAAGCAGCGTTCCCTCAAACTCAGTTCTGCCCCCGCCCGAAGACACTTTGGGATAGAAGCCTCTCGATCTCTCAACCCGATTCAAGGTCTTATCCCCCGCACACATACAACTTACAACCCCGCTCCAACCCGAGCACCACCTGGGCCCCAGACACCTCACCGCAACCAGTCAACCAGCAACCAAGATGTCGTGGCGTCCATCTCCTCACCAGAACGACTCGGGCACGGGCCTGTCGATCATCACACCTGTGGAGAGCATCCACCACCAGAAGACGCAGCTTCCGCAGCTGTCGCCGCCGCCGCCGCCGCCGGCCAGCTCCGCATCCCGCGTCTCCTCCCCCGCGGACGACGAAGAAGAGCACTATGACTTCGACCTCTCCGCCCCGGGCCCAAAGTGTCTCGGCGGCGGCCCCTCGACCGTCATGTCGGAGCAGTCCCGCATCAAGGCGTTTAGAGAGCTCAACGCCTCGTGGACCACCCGCACCACCAGCATGATCCCCGAGGAGGCGGTGAAGAACTTCCCCGCCGGCCCGACCGAGGGCGGATACCGTACCTTCCCGCCCGTCCCCAAGAAGACCGAGAAGGAGGAGGAGGTCCAGGTCAAGAAGGGTAGCTGGTTGGAGAAGAAGTTCAGTCGCAGGTATCCTCTTCCCCCCGGTGCATCTGAGATCTGAGTTGGACTGGACTGACGAGGAGGACGCATACAGGAGGTCCTCTCACAACTGGGGGAAGACCAACAAGGTGGGCGACAGACCTAAGTCATCTGCTAAGCCATGAGGGAGACACAAAGCATTTCTGTTGGTTAGAAGGCGTTTTGTGCATGTACATATCGATCCGTACATACTCGATCCGTACGTACTCAATGGATTTAATTGTCGAGCGTGATGACTTTTGATTACGATCGTGAAAGTTTATGCTGCATATGATGATGAAGGTGGAGCGTGAGCCATGCATGTCGAGGTACATCTTGAAAGGTGCCGATATCGCAGTCGTGGTCGGTGTTCACCTGCATGTCCTTCAGCGTCCCGCTTCACAGGTATGATAGATCGCCGCTTGGAAGCATAAGATCAATTCGCCGTTAGACTTTGGGAGGAATAAGCTAGGTGTTCCCTTCTTCGTCATCTAGAATAGATCCCACTCATCGTTTCTTGATCTTTAAACTCTAATACGTCTGATCTTCGCTGGCTTGCCCATTTCCGAGTGAGCGGGAATGCAAAAGTTGTTGTCGTTCAAGCCGAGTCGAACTACCACTGAATTAGCGTCTGATGCACCTACATAGGTACATATTTACACGACCCACCAGACCGTGGCAGTAGTTACCCGCCCCCCCGACACCTTTCCTCTCATCTCCCTTCAACTGCTCTTTCAGCGAAACCGATCGGGAGTAGGTCCTGCGTTGAAACCGCTCAACTCTTTTGGGCCCAGTAAATAAAAAATAAAATAAAAATAAAAATACAGCGCCACAGTGCTCAGGGGATATCCGTTCAGGGGGGCATCCTTCTGCAGACGCGTTACCGTCACCAAACATTCACCACATACACACCTTCCGCGACGCGGACAGCACACTGTGTCCGCAACGAATCATCCGCTGGTAAGTTCACTGTCCTTCACTGTCCGACTGACAGCTCCTGCTCTTTTGTAATTTCCTCGCCGTGGATACCACAGTTTCGCCTCGCGGATACCACAGTTTTGTCGCCGCGGATCGGTACCACAGTGTCTTTGCCGACTCACCGCGAATACCATCGTTCAGGAAGATTTCTCTGTCCTCGATTCAAAGAAAGTACTCCGCTGGGGAATGGTTTTTGGGTCGCCACCGCGGGTTGAGATTCTACAGAAATGGGGACACTTGACACAATTGACTCCACCCTCACAAAATGAACAAGCGGAGGAATTGTAATAGATGTATTTACCGAGAGTGTTTTGTCTCTTATTTCCTGTCGCGACATTTTACTGAGCGCGCCGGGTGATGCTGTTGCCTACAAACTTTTATTCCAGTTCACCGAGTGCACTGGGTGATGCTGCTGAGCGCGGGTGATGCTGTCGCCTACAAACTTTTATTCCAGATCACTGAGCGCCTGGGTGATGCTTCTGAGCGCGCCAGTTGATGATGTCGCCTATACTTTTATTCCAGCTCACTGAGAGCCTAGGTGATGTTTCTGAGCGCGCCAGGTGATGATGTTGCCTATATACTTTTATTCCAGTTCACTGAGCGCAGATGCTGTCGAGTGCACTAGGTGATGCTGTCGCCCATATACTTTTACTCCAGTTCACTGAGCGCACTGGGTGATGCTGCCACCTACATACTTTTATTTACAGTTCGAGGCGATGATGTTGCCTACATACTTTTATTTCCAGATACTGAGCGCAGTGGGTGATGCTGTTGCCTACATACTTTTGTTTCCAGATACTGAGCGCAGTGGGTGATGCTGCTGCCTACATACTTTTGTTTCCAGATACTGAGCGCAGTGGGTGATGCTGTTGCCTACATACTTTTGTTTCCAGATACTGAGCGCAGTGGGTGATGCTGTTGCCTACATACTTCTATTTCCAGTTCACCGAGAAAACCGAGTGATGGCGATATCGCCGCCTATAGTACATAGGTTGTTTCCAGTTCACACAGCGCGCCAAGCGATGGTGTCGCAGCTGCCATGAGAGTGAAGGTGTGACAGTGCCAATGCCAGTTCGTGGTTAATGTGCACTAGCGTTTTCAACGCAGGACCGTATCCCAACCGATCGCGGTGCGAACGACACGCTGTGCGGGATGACGCTATGTCACCTGACTTTACCGAACCATTCACGTGCACGGCCGCCAAGACAGGAGCCTGGTTCAGGGACCAACGAAGGGATGGCTTGCCGTGGTCCGGGCTCACGAGGGCGGCGCGTTCTCGACGAGTTCCTGCACGCCCTATCGGTGTCCAGTGAGAAAGTCATCGCCGTCGACGGAAAGGGGAGATGTGGCATCTACCTATACAGTTTCGCTTGCGAATAACCTTCATCAGAAAAGAATGTCTTTTTTTTCTTCGCTCGTTGAACTCTGCGGACTAGACTCCCCTTGAGCACTCTGGCCTCTGGCCACTGTGGTCGCTGTGGTCGCACATATGGCTGGCATCTCCAGTTTCACCTTGCCGACACGGCACACCACAGGGGAATATTAATCGGGATCGGCAGCTCCCGAACACGACACGCTGCATCCATTAAAATAAATCCTGTCGGCCCTTGCAGGGGTTAAACTCCTGAATCTTGGACTGACCGAACGAAGGTCCTCAGATCTTCAACAACTACACCTGTCAACTCTCCACCGGACAGTCTCGATATACTACCTACAGCATCCTGTCATCGTCGCTCGTTAGCCTCCTACCATCATCGTCGCTCGTTAGCCTCCTACCATCATCGTCGCTCGTTAGCCTCCTACCATCATCGACGCTCGTTAGCATCCTACGCTCCAGCTAGCGAAATGTCACAGTCCGGTGTGCAACAGACGCTACAGCGAGCACCGCCGCCGCCGCCCTCGAGGTTAAAGGTCGCTGCAACCGTCCTGTTCCACTCGACATGCGCAATCAGTGTCACTCTCATCTCCAAGTCCGCGTTGAACGGCGTTGAGCTTCCGGTGTCACTGCTGGCGCTGCAAACAACCGTCCAAGTCCTCCTCCTGACCGCCATTGGCAGGCCATTGGGCTGGATCCGCTTCAGGAGACCGCTTTCTGTAACCCCACCCCCACACCTAGCCCCTTGGCTATCCTCGTGCTAACACGCCATCTTAGGCATGGAAAGCCATCTTCCCGCTCTGCTGCGCGCGTCTAGTCGGAATCCTCGCCAAAACCCTCTGCCTCGCAGCCGTCAATGCATCATTCTACCAGATCGCGCGGGGCCTGCTCCTCCCATTCACGCTGCTCCTCTCCTACGTGATCCTGCGTCCGCGCCCCACCAACCCGCCGCTCTCCCTCTTCGGCTGCGGCGTCATCATGCTCGGCTTCGGCACCGGCATGGTAACGGACATCCAAAAGATGTTGACCTCGTACAAGGGCCTGTTCCTTGGCGTCGGGAGCTCCTTCACGACCGCCGTGGAATCCGTCGTGGTCAAGAAGTTCCTGGGCAAGGGTGACGAGGGGATGTGGCAGCTGGTGTGGATGTCGTCCGTGATGCAGCTGGTGCTGTACGTCCCGATCCTGACGATCTCCGGCGAGACGACGCTGCTCGCCGCCACCACCCCGCTGGTCTTCTCGCAGTTCGTGCGTGCAGCTATCATGACCGGCTTCGCCTCGTTCCTGTTGACCCTCGCGACGTTCCTCCAGATCTCAGTCACCAGTCCGACTACGCACATGATCGTCACCGCCGCCCGCGGCGTCGCGCAGAGCGCCCTGGCCGTAATGATCCTCGGCGAGAGTGTCACCGCCGGCCGCGTCTGGAGTATGGCTTGTATACTGGGTGGCAGCACCATCTATGGCATCGGGAAGGATAGGCTGAGGGAGACGAAGGAGGTGCAGCGCGCAGGGGGGTATCAGGCTGTGCCTGTGGGCGAGGCGGACGTGGAGTTGGGCGAGAAGAAGTAGTTTATCGTTTATCGTTTATCGCGATACGAGGCTGGTACGCTCGTGGATCACTGGGGGGTTTTGGTGCCCGTGAGTTTTTATCTATTTGGTTGGCATAGACTTTATTTCTACTATAGAGCGATAATTATTCTTTATGCAGTGTACACTGTAACTACTACCTACCACGCAATGGGATTTTTGACTGTGTACCTAACACACCAGCGGAATAGAGTTCATACGGTACGGTACCAATATTTGTGGGAATAGTGACACGACATCGTAATCGTCAGATATATCCTATCAGCACCGGGACCTTGCAATGGTTGTGGCCTGGTGTGACCCTTCCGGATCCGTGGATGGCTGCTGACTCTGGTACCATAAGGATGGGTGATTACTGATCACAAGGTTGGGTACCACGGGACTTAATGGGATGATCTGAGCTGTTCTTGAAGTGGCGGAGGGGGGTAAGGTGGTTGTTTGTGTGGATGTGTGGAGGACGTGGATGTGGATGAGGATGATGATGAGAATCGGTATGGACGGTGATAGCGACGTCGGATTTATGCCACTTCCTTTCCTTCTTTCCTTCCAGTGCCTGGCCTGCGCCTGAAGACCCCACTCCCGACTCCCGAGTGAATGAAGCAATAATAGCAATCGGGTACCGATCGTAGGCTCTAGCTTACACGACTGTTCTTCGCTACTCCTACTGCACTGCACGGGAACCACGGTGAGGTACATAGGTGAGGTATCATGATGCCTCATCACCGCGAGGCTGAGTATATAGTAGAGTACTATCAGGCTACTAGTACAGGCTACTACATATAGTAACACGGAATTCTCCACCTGCATCATCTAATTGAACCCTTGGAATTTGGATAGAGGACTGACGATAATGAGAGTATCATGTGAGGAAAATATTCAAAAATTCGGTAAACGTCTAAGATACCATGGTTTTTTCAACTGCACTGCTGCCTCGTTGATTACGCTCGGTTTTGTATCTCGGCGCAAGGCAATAGTGTTCGGAAAAACTCTATGATGCCTAATGTTCATCGAGTAGATGGGTATTTGAGTGGTGGTGGTGGTGGTGGTGGTGGTGGTGGTGGTGGTTTTGCGAGGGCTTCTTGCCAATGCCTCTCCGGGCCGACTGGCGTTCAGACAAGGAAATTGGAAGGAAACACACATAGAGGAGAGAGCGGAGATGAGGGGTTGACCGTCTGTTCGATAGGTAGATGATGATCAAGAAGGAAGAAGAAGAAGAAACCCCCGCGGGACCCAGCTTAAATCCCCCTCCTCCTTTGGAGTCGACGGGAGGAAAAGAATGTGGTTGGTATTGTTTCCTCCCGGCGACTCCAGGAGTCCTCCTTTGCTTCACCATCTCGCCGACAGCTCCTCCATCGCTCGCCGCAGTGGGTTTTCATGGAGGGTTTGAAACTTTGAAAACATTATGGCATCTTGGACGTTTGTCGTAAATAATGAGACTCAAAACCAATCGATTTATCTCAGTAGTCACCTATTACATGCAATTCCCCATACGTATCAAATGCTCCTCCTACATAAGAAATCCCGCCCTCCCAAGCCCGCCATGCCGATATTCACAAAAACTCCTGTGCACATGCCCAACTGTATACCTCGCCCCCTCCTCCCTCCCCCCTCCACCCTTCTCCCTCACTTTCCCACTAGAGCAGACCGGCGACGCCTCGTACTCCCCCTCTATTTCCTGCATCCAGCGTTGGCGGGATAATCGCAGACCAACCTAGTCGGGCTGAAGGCCAGGCCGTAGGCGCAAGTGAACTTGACGGGCCCATCGTTGCCGCAGATGTAAAAGGCGTTGCAGTCGGTCTTGTCGGTGAGGAATATGGTCCCGGTGTGCTCAGAGCGGCTGGGGCAGGAGCCGAGGACGGTTGCCGAGGCCAGAGAGGCCAGAGAGACGCTGAAGATCAGGGTGAAGAGGGTGGTGAATTGCATTGTGATTGCGGATTTTGGACGGGGGTGGAGGGGGGGAGTGGGTAAGGTGGTTGTTTGTGTGGTGGGTGGTTGTGGGGAGGATGTGGATGTGGATGTGGAGGATGTTCGGAGGCTGTGGATGAGGATGAGAATCGGTATGGGACGGGAGAGCGACGACGGACTTATACCATCTTATTTCCTTTCAACGCCTGGCCTGAGCCTGGAGACCTGACTCCCGAGTGAAGCAATAATAGCAATCGGGTACCGGCCGGGCACCTCCAGCTTACTCGACTGTAGGCGGTTCTTCAGTACTCCTACTCCACTATACAGGAACCAAGTTACCAAGGCACATATTTTAGGTATGATGTGAGGTATATCGTAATGCCCCATCCCAACCGCGAGGCTGAGTAGAATGTAGGTACCATACACCACAGATCACGCTACTATGTACTGGCTACAGGCTGCCTACTGGGTATGGTGATACGGAATTCTCCACCTGTATTAATTTTGGTCCATTGGAATTTAGATATTGGATGGAGGGCTGACGATAATAATAGTGGGTATGATAAAGAATTAAACAATTCGGGAAACGTCTAAATGCCATAGATTTTTCGACTGCATTTTTTGGGTTGCTCACCGCCGGCTGCTGGTAGGCGACTCTACTACTGCTCCATACTCCACCTCAGAGGCTGATGCTCAAGAAGTCAAGCTGTTTGATAGCTAACTTCCACCTTTGAAGGATGTTAGTTAACAGCCGCGCCCAAGTACTCTGCCTATCATGCTTTTGCGAGGGTTCTTTCGGCAATGCCTCTCCAGGCCAAAAAGTGGCGGGTCGAGAGAAGGAGGACACACAAGGAGAAAGAGGAGATATAGTAATCGATCGTCTATTATATAGATGATGATCGAGCAGGCTCGCGCAAGCTACCTCGCCACCCATTACATGCAACTCCCCATACGTACCAAATGCTCCTTTTATATAACTTCTCCCACCGTCCAAGTCCGCCATGCCAATATCCATAACAATGCAAATAATCCGCCCCATATACATGCCCCATAGTATATCTAACTACCTAGTACCCACCCCCTCCTTCCCCCCAATCCCAATTCCCAATCCCATCTCAGCCACCAGGCCGGAAGCACCTCGCACTCCCGCTCTAGTTGGAGTTGCACCCAGCGCTGACGGGGTAATCGCAGACCCAGGTGGATGGACTGAAGTGCAGGCCGGCGGCGCAGTTGAATTTGACGGGTCCGTCGTTGCCGCAGATGTAGAAGACGTTGCAGTCGGTCCTGTCGGTGAGGAAGATGGTCCCGCTGTGTTCGGAGGGGCTGGGGCAGGAGCCGAGGACGGTCGCTGAGGCTAGAGAGGCCAGAGAGACGCTGGCGACCAGGGAGAGGATGGTGGTGAATTGCATTTTGAGTGGGGGTTGGGGGACGAAGGTGAGTAGTTGTTTGTGGGGAGAATGTGGAGGATGTGGATGTGGATGTGTGGATGATGATGAGAATCGGTATTGACGGCGAAAACGACGATGTCTTTATAGCATTTCCTTTCCTTTCCTTTCATTTCAGTGTTCACTGCCTGGCCTGGAGGCTGGAGACCCGACTCCCGACTCCCGAGTGAAGCAATAATAGCAATCGGGTACCGACCATGCACTTACAGCTTACTCGACTCAATCGACTGTTCTTCTGGCCCTTCACTATACTATACTGCCCAGGAACCAACTTCCAAGGTACACAGGTAGGTATGAGGTATCATGATGCCCCATCCCAACCGCGAGGCTGAGTATGCAGGTACTATACATCAAATAGCACGATACTCTACAGGCTACTACCTATAGCCTGCAGGCCTGGGAATAGTTCATCCGGACCGAAAACTATTATAGCCCGGCGACGCCGTTCTGTCCGGGGCGAGGATTTCCCCGACTACAGAGTTCCCGAAGCCTGATTGGGGCCCCTTAGGGCCCGGAAACTTTTAGTGCAGAAGCTGGCTGACTACCAACTGTACGGTGCCGGCTATCCGGAAAGCCGGAATTCCATCCTTCGGTTCGGTGAAGATTTTGTATCCGATGCGATACCGGAGCGCACACTGTTTCTAACAGTATTGTAGCGGAAGTTCAACTTTACGGTGTTCTTGTGGCCGCATTTCTCTCATTGTGATATCCATCTTCTCCCACCACCAGCAGCAGCAAACTTTCCGGTCCCCAGTTCTCGTCTGGCTTGCCCGAAGCCCTATAGTCCCCGATTTTCCGGGCCCGAAAAAATCGGTCCCGTCCGGCGCATAGCCCAGGACGGACTGGACGCACTATTCCCAGGCCTGCCTATGGTAACACGGAATTCTCCACCTCCGTTTGGTCATTTTATATTGGGATGGAGAGCTGACGTCGGACGATAATAAGAGTATGAGCAAAATATTAAATTATTAGACTCAAGCCGATGAAGCTACCAAGTAGCCACCCATTACATTACGTCTCAAATGCCCCTCATTCCACATAACTAATCCCATCGTCCCAAGCCCGCCATTCCAATATCCATAAAAATTCACCACTGTATCTCGGCCCCCCCTCCTCTCCCCTCTCCTCCTCCCTTTTCCCAAATCCCAATCCCCCACTAGAGTAGGCTGGCGAAGACTCGCCTCCCCCTCTAGTTGTAGCTACTACACCCAGCACTGGCGGGGTAATCGCAGACCCAGGTGGAAGGGCTAAAGTGCAAGCCAACGGGGCAATTGAACTTGACGGGCCCGTTGTGGTCGCAGATATAGAAGACGTTGCAGTCCGAGGTGTCGGAGAGGAAGGCGGTCCCGCTGTGCTCGTACGTGCTGGGGCAGGAGCCGCTGGGGCTGCGAGCTTCGATGTTGGGGCTGGCGATGGCGGCCGCGGTGGCCAGAGAGAAGCTGGCGACGAGGGAGAGGAGGGTAGTGAACTGCATTTTGATGGTTGAGGTTTTTTTTGGAGGGGGTGAAGGTAGGTAGAAATGTGGTTGTTTGTGTGGAGGAATGTGGATGTGGATGTGGATGTGGATGCTGTGGATGAGGATGGGAAACGGTATTGACGACGAGAACGACGACGTATTTATACCACTTCCTTACCTTTCACTACCTGGCCTGAGCCTGGAGGCCTGACTCCCGGCCCGAGTGAAGCAATAATTGGAATCAGGCACCGACGGTGCAATTCTAGCTTACTCAACTGTTCTTCGACACTCCGCTGCACTGGAACCACGGTGAGGTGCATATAGGTGGGGTATCGTGATGCCCCATCCCAACTGCGAGGCTGAGTAGTCACTGTAAGAGCACGCTACCGTCTACAGGCTACAGGCTATCTAGCCTCGTAATACGGAATTCTCCACATTTCATAGTTGAGCTTACCGAAGGTTGGATGGCACGAGAACCGGACTGACATGGAATTCTTTCTCTTTCTTTCTTTCTTGCCGGTGTTGAGCGGGGATGTTTGACTTGAGGGAGGACTGGGCGGAGAGCAATAGGTAATCGGTATCGAGCTCGCGGCCAGCGGTCGATGACTGCCGGGTGGAAAATACTACGTAATCTGCCAGTTGAGTTTCAGTGGGGAGGGCTGGACGGAGAGCAATAGGGAACCGGTGTCGAGCTCGCGGCCAGCATAGCCGGGTGGAGGAGGATAGTATGTAATCTGCCATGATCTACTAAGGTCGAATGCAATGATGATTGAACTAAAAAAAGGCAACACGGATTTCTCTACATGCATTAATTGGTCCCTTGGAATCTGGATGGAGGGCTGACGATAATAAGAGTACGCATATGAGAAGAATATGAAATTATTAGACTCAAAACCGATCAAGCTCGGTATCTAGTAGCCACCCATTACATACAACTCCCGAAACGTCTCAAATGCTCCTCCTAACTAGTCCCGCCATCCCAAGCCCGCCATGCCGATATCCATGAAAATGCTACACTATATATCCCGCTACATCCTCCTCCCTTCCCCCAATCCCAATCCCAATCCCATCCCGACTAGAGTAGGCCGGCGACATCTCGCCCTCTACTTAGTTGTAACTACTACACCCGGCACTGGCGGGGTAATCGCAGACCCAAGTGGACGGGCTAAAGTGCAAGCCGACGGGGCAGTTGAACTTGACGGGCCCGTTGTGGTCGCAGATATAGAAGACGTTGCAGTCCGAGGTGTCGGAGAGGAAGGCAGTCCCGCTGTGCTCGTACGTGCTGGGGCAGGAGCCGCTGGGGCTGCGCGCTTCGATGTCGGGGCTGGCGATGGCTGCCGCGGACGTCAGAGACAGGCTGGCGACGAGGGAGAGGATGGTGGTGAACTGCATTTTGAGTGGTGCTTAGGGGATGAAAGTTGGTAGGTAGTTGTTTGAGTGGAGGATGTGGACGTGGTTGTGGACGTGGGTGTGGATGTGGATGTGGTGCTGTGGATGAGGATAAGAATCGGTATTGACGGCGAGAACGACGACGGCTTTATGCTCTTTCCTCTCCTTTCCTAACTACTTTCCTTTCAGTGCCTGGCCTGGACAGTGGAGGCCCAAATCCCGAGTGAAGCAATAATAGCAATCGGGTACCGACCGTGCACTTCCGGCTTACACGACGGTTCTTCTGAGACTCCTACTCCACTGCACGGGAACCAATGTGAGGTATCGTGATGATATCTTAACTACGAGGCTGAGTAGTTACTATCTACTAGGTATACATCAAAGAGCACTCTGCAGGCTACGCGGGGTAACACGGAATTCTCCACCTGGGTCCTGCATTGGTCCCTTAAAATTTGGATGTCCGATTATCGATAAAGGGAGGGCTCACGATAATAATAACCCTCCATGTATGCAGGGATGATCGACAGATGACGGATGGGGCTGAGTGACAAAATGACAGACTGACAGTTACGGATAGCACGGTGCACCCCTCTAGTTATTCTGGGATAGTGCCGGATCCGATGGGCCCAGTGACAGGTGTGCACTGTGGGGTAAAAAGTTTGGTGTCGACTCTGCAAATCAGCACTACCGACTCCTGAGTGCATCGTGACTCGCGAGATGTGTGTGAGTATTTGGGTAGGTATCCGTACGAGCCCGGCGTTGTTATAGGTACAAAGCACATACTAGACCTACCGCCTCTCCCGCAGGCCGCAGGACCGCATCTAGGGAAATCCGGCGGGCGGGATGTGGTGATAAATCGTGATGGTGGTTCGTCACTCGTGGGCGGGTTTCCGGAATTAGATACTGCCACAGGGAACGTGGTGAGGTAGGTATTTACTATGTATCATACATGTCAACACATATCAATAGCGAAGCTGGCCGGTGGCTGCTGGCGGTCATGCGATATGTATCTCCATACTTCTTCTCAGCATCTCGAGCTAGTCAACTAGCGGATGGATCCCGGCTATGTACCCTACGCCAACGTCGAAGTCCCGTGAAGAAAAGAAAAGATCTCGTGAGACCAATATGAACGAACGACGAACGTCGAGCGCCGGAACTACCGGCACAGTCGTATCCGCAGCTGCAGCTTGCTCGCCATTCGGCACGGCACGGTACAGCACAGCACATACATCAGTAGGAATCTAGGTATGTACGCGAAACCCAGCATTCGACGTGTTTGGCGTGTTGAATCCCGGCTTTCTCAGGGAAAATTATTTTTTCGTACCGTATTCGCTACTTACGCGCATATCTACAGTTTACGGAGTACCTAGCTGACCTCCGCATAGCGACGTCTGGGGCCGCCGATCCAACCTCCGCAGACCAACCCCCGGGTTGAAACTTCGTGGTGGATACTGACCTTAAGACGACGAGCAGAGTAGCGACCGAGTCTGCACATAGCCAACGTGAGCGGGCCTGGAGTCGGGACTCTGTAGACTGCAGCCCGCATTAACTACTATTACCTACACACGCTCGGAAGAGGTACATACCCAAAGAAAACCTCATGCTGTGTCGTTGGATCCTACTATACTAGGCCTCCAGCATGGCGGAGAATTCGAGGTAGAAACTTAGGTACATACAACGTGCATATCTTTATGTCTAACTGACTTCCAATTCACATCCGGCCGGTCCTGTAATTCCCCGGAAGTGCGGTTGGCTTGGGAAGATGATCATGAAGCTCGTATGTAGAAGTGATGTCGATGGTACGGTGACTACTCAGCCTCGCAGTTGGGATGGGGCATCACGATACCCCACCTATATATGCACCTCACCGTGGTTCCAGTGCAGCGGAGTGTCGAAGAACAGTTGAGTAAGCTAGAATTGCACCGTCGGTGCCTGATTCCAATTATTGCTTCACTCGGGCCGGGAGTCAGGCCTCCAGGCTCAGGCCAGGTAGTGAAAGGTAAGGAAGTGGTATAAATACGTCGTCGTTCTCGTCGTCAATACCGTTTCCCATCCTCATCCACAGCATCCACATCCACATCCACATCCACATTCCTCCACACAAACAACCACATTTCTACCTACCTTCACCCCCTCCAAAAAAAACCTCAACCATCAAAATGCAGTTCACTACCCTCCTCTCCCTCGTCGCCAGCTTCTCTCTGGCCACCGCGGCCGCCATCGCCAGCCCCAACATCGAAGCTCGCAGCCCCAGCGGCTCCTGCCCCAGCACGTACGAGCACAGCGGGACCGCCTTCCTCTCCGACACCTCGGACTGCAACGTCTTCTATATCTGCGACCACAACGGGCCCGTCAAGTTCAATTGCCCCGTTGGCTTGCACTTTAGCCCTTCCACCTGGGTCTGCGATTACCCCGCCAGTGCTGGGTGTAGTAGCTACAACTAGAGGGGGAGGCGAGGCGTCGCCGGCCTACTCTAGTGGGAATGGGATTGGGGGAAGGGAGGAGGGTAGCGAGATATACAATGTGGCATTTTTATGGATATGGGCATGGCGGGCTTGGAAGGCGGGATTATAGTAGTTAGGAAGAGCATTTAATACATCTCGGGAGTTGCATGTAATGGATGGCTAGATACCGAGCTTGATCGGTTTTGAGTTTAATAATTTAATATTTTGCTCATACTCATAATATCGTCAGTCGACCATCCAGATTCCAAGGGACCAATGCAGGTAGAGAATTCCGTGTTATGTTGACTCTTACTGTTCAATCATCATTGCATTCGGCCTTAGTAAATACTATCCTAGGCGCCCAAAATGACGGAGAATACGAGGTACATAGGTAGGTACATACGACATGTATAGGTACCGTTATTTCTATGTCTGACTACCGATTCTCACCCGGCCGGCTCTGCAATTCCCCGGAAATGCGGCTGGCGTAGGTGGATGATCATGAAGCTCGTATGTAGAAGTGATGTCGATACCTCGTGCTAGGTACAGTGCGGTATCGATATCGAAACGTGGAATGAGGAATGAGGCGGATCGGGCCATATAGGCACCTACACGAAGAACATGAGATGATTCACCGACTCACTCAGCCTGCGAAGGAGAAATCATTTGTATTGACAACACACCTTTCTATACTATCTACAGTCTATAATCCAAGATATACACACGCATTTGTGGCCACACACACACAGAATCTTTCAAGCACTCCCGGTGCCCGGATTAAACCTACTCCTTTCCCGCAACATTGGCCCATACTTCCAGAAAAGATACGGGACCGGTATGAACAGGATCGAAATACATCCTGCGTGAGATTCTGTCAGCCACGTAACTAACTACCCACCACCAGCGGCGGAAATGCATATGTATCGAGCAATCACGTACCTAGCAGCGTTGAAGCCCACTCCGGCTTGAGTTTGGTGTACATCTGTGCCGAAAACAGTGGAAAGGCGGCAGAGAAGACCGAGCGCATGATGGTATTCGCCGCAATGGCAGATGCCGCGTACTCGAGGTACCCTTCTGCGATGAAGCTGATAAAGTTGATGAAGATGGTTGTCATGCTCCACCCAAAGCTATGTCGCCGGGGGCGTCAGCCTGAGCGAAGTTGTGGTGGGGATCCAAGGGAAAAGAGAGAGGATGATTTACGGAATTCCGGAGAGAACAGGGACGATCCAGTGGATACGTTGGAAGCCCGACCATGCGAACCAGAATAGGCTGACTGGGACGAGGATTGAGCCGATGATCGAGAAGGGGAGACGCCCTTCGGGGAAGCGGTCAAGGCCTCGCGCCGCCTTCATTTTGATGTACACCTTGCTGGCAACGCCTGCTGTCGGGAATGAGATTAGCACGCCCAGGCCGATGCCCAAGAACGCAAGGCCGGAGGGACCAGGCTTCATGTGGTAGCGGCCTTGAAAGACTATTGGATACGCCTGTGTCGTATGTTAGTCTTAGAAAGTGGAGCCGGTCATCCAGTTGCGAGGCTTACAGCGAAGAATAGGTACCTAGATGTCCACCGTCAGCACTACAGCCAAAATCTATGATCAATGAAGTAGGAAGGAGTTGGTGCCTACAGAATCCCAAAAATGAAGCTGATATATAACGACGATAGAAGTATGATCGGATCCAAAAATAGCATCTCAAGTGGCCGCCAGACGGCCTTCTTAAAAATCGCCATGTCCGGCTTACTTGCAACAACACCACTGGCTCCAGACTCCTTGTGCTGTCGCTGAGCCTTCCGGAGTATAAGGGTTTTCTGCAACGTTTCGGGAATCCAAAGCCAGTTGAGCAAGAAAACCCCCGAAAGAATAAGTTGCACGCCGAAGCACCACCGCCATCCTTCGTCCAGTGCAAGCCCTTGCACCAAAAACCCGCCGACAATCGGACCTACGAGGCGGAGTACGGTCAGTCAGAGTACACATATCGCTTCCCTGGATGGATGTATGAACGGTCACACCAATGACAGGACCGAGGAACGCGGCCATAGTGAACAGCCCCATAGGCGGGCCCGATTTATCCGCTATTCCCGATACAACCATTAGCAGAGTCGGATGGAGGCTCTTGAAGGGTGAACTTACGTTCCCAAATATCCATCAGCACGCCGCCCGCCACCGTCAAAGCCGGAGACGCAAAGACGCCAACAAAAAACCGACATATCACCAACGTCTCGATGTTTTGGGAAAATACGCAACCGAACTGGAAGGCAATGAATAGGATCCACGCTGGTGCTTGAACTACTTTTCGGCCGTAGACCTCTGGAGTAGGTATGAGCCGTTAGCGGGGGAGCAGTGCTCGGCGGAGGACGGGTGATCGCACCACTCATCGGCGCGAAGATTATCGGGCCAAAAGCCATCCCTAGTACGTAACTTTCATGGTCTGTCAGTCTTCATCACTCTCCTACATACTAGGATAGAGAACAAACAAACTGAGGCCCAAGGTTACGATCACATTGGATTGTCCGAAGTCGCGAGCAATCAATGTAATACCCGGGGTAAAAATGGATGCACCCATCGAGGCGGCGACATTCTGGATGCTAAAGGTGATGGAGAGTAACCATTCTGTAACAAGCGGGGGGTTATTGTCAGCGTCCACTGCACGGCTTTGTGGTATGTAATCTCTTAGGAACGGTGAAATATATAGTACTCCGTTTATTGCTCCATTGGTAAGGGTCCTCGTCGCCTTCGAGGCGGCACAAGTTGCTGTTCGGTGTTGTTGTGTCATCTTCAAGGCTGCTGTCTATCGTCGCTCCAAGGCTGCCACTCTCCGGCGTGATCTTGCCGTTTTCGAGATCAAGGCCCATTCCGATTTCCTTTGGGGGCAAGTCCGAAATTTTGCTATTCGACATCGAATCGTTGACGGCGGGAGGGACGAATTACACCGTAGGAAAAGACGCAATTTTTCTCCACCTTTCATACCTCCACAGAGCTCGTTAAGCCGGACGAATGCGGTCTTGTGTTGTGCCGGTGAAGCGAGTCGCGCGCTTGCCTTAAGCGGCCATCTGGACACACGTCGCCCAACGCCCCGACTCAACGCTTCGCACTGCTGATTTATCCCGAGACGGTCAGGCCAGCATGCCGGCCGGTGGAGTATTTACATAGAATACCTAGATTGGCCCATGTAGGCGATCGCGGGAGAACCGTTTAAACAAGGCGAGTCGGTGCGAGCTCGAACTTGGCGATGATTGGCCGGGCCAGCGGCCGAGAGGGGTCGCGAGTGGTCCGGACTTCGGCTCCGGGGAGGAGGCTGGAGGGATACTCTACTCTAGCTACTCTAAAGGGAGTCTTTCCTACCACTCGGAAGACTCCAGGAGCGCTAGTATGTACTCTACTCATCAACATCCCCCGCGTCCTGAGTAGCAGCCTCTCGAGAACCGAGGCACAGCTGTTACAGATCCGTGGAGAAGATGAAATGCAGTATTGTCCTAACTACATACGAGCCCGGCGAGCCCGAGCAGGAACGGCAGATGGCCAGAGTATATTGCGACGAATGTGGATCTGGAGGATACCGAAGCGCAAGGATCAAAGCCTTGCAGACGAGACCGCAGCATCGACAGTGAGAATCTATGATCCGCATAGTGAGTAGTTAGTACGATTCAACGATAACGCCTGCTATGGGTGATACATAATATACCGGTACATGCGTGTAAACCCACACGGTGCTTTACGAACGCCGCCGTGATACAGCTACTATAGATACTTAAGAGCCTAGACATCCGAGCTGTACGGCCCATACAAGATCGCTCCATACACCTCCCCGCCTCCTGTATACACGGTTGCGGGGGTTCCCCGCCTTGTTCGCATGGAGCAGCCAGTGATAATCTGTGCATGGCTTTACGCTTAGCGACCTAACGGTGTCGCCGCGTCGCGACATCTTTTGCATTCGACACCGAGTATTAGTGCTAGTACTACATACTCTAATGGGCATAGGCTCTATGGGTTCTTGTCCCTGCTTCAGTAGGCTCGGCTCGGACCGCAGGTAGTCTGGACGGTGATCAACAACCCTGCATTCTCGCAGCTGCTGAGACCGTCACAATTTACTTCTCCCTGCACACGTTGCGCCTGGTCCGTTACATAGTGATTCGGAACGATGTATCCATATCGACACAGAGAAGACAACCACGTCAGAACAGCATTAATACTACAACCCCACTCTGTCCCTCCAACTTCAGCGACGTTATCTATCGTGCCCTCCGTCTTCTGACGCCAACGGCCGCCGTTCACATCTTCCAAAGCCCCTCAAAAGTTCTGTCATAATTACCAGTATCCTTCTCCAAGCGTAGTTTTGCCACGACCTACATACTCGCAATACGCTACACGATACCGTAAACGGCCGACTAGACCTCCGGGGACAACTCGAACTTACTCACCCATCATCACTCTTCGCTCTTCAATGCGGATAGTGGTCTATACTAGTGAAAGCACGCACGACAACCCAGCACTGCGGATTCGATGGCTTGACCGTTGAACCTATCGAGACCATTCCGGGGAGGCTACCACTCACGGATGTCGTATGATCAGTGTTCTCCATCGTCTGGTCCGGACGGGACGGACGGGCAAAATGCCGGACGGTTGCAAAATTTGTCCGTCAGGTCTGAGCCTGAGACGGACGGGTCGGTCCCGCCCGACGGTGGAGGACGACCGTCCAAGTCACGTGCATATAATTCGGCTGATTGATGGTTTCTGAGCACAGATTCCTACGCACCACCGCGTCTGTTCATCCCTCACCACTCCATAAGCTGTGAAAAGTAGCAGTATTCTGACTCGGACGCCTAAGGTGCGGCGCCCGGCTACTATCACAGCGCTCTAGGCACCATATCTCACTCGCCCACTCAAGTTCCACGCCCGAAATCAAATTTTTACCCAAGGCTTGCAGTTCGCCATAGTCTAGTAAGACTGGATGCGAAATATATTGATGTTCTTTCTCTCTCTCTCTTACTCAAGGCTTGGCGGACGGCCGTTGACGGCCGTCCTGCGTATCTAGCCTTTCTGGTCCCTTATCTCATCTGATCCGAGTGATTGCTATGAACCCTTCTATCCTTTCGTCAACCTTCCCTGCCTGTCGGTCCCAGGAAGCTGAACGTGCCATGTCGGCCTATGCAGTTCCCGATGGCTCGGCCAGGGTGACGGAGAGGGTTACAATGAAACATCCCAACCAGCAAGTTGCGAATCATCATTTGGATGAGACGTAGACTGCTACAAGCCGCAGTGCAACTGTGCAACATTCTACTGGACTGGGCTTATGCTTGAGATCTCGAGACTCGGGACTAGGGTGGAGCAAGCGGTAGCGGGAAGTGGCGATTGAATTCAACATTATACCCACCTCGCTGATAATTCGTTGGAAAGCAGGTTACTATCCTGCCAACAAAAACCTCGGATACCGAGCAATCACCGTGCCGATATGCGGCGAGTCGTGATATAGGTATGCGTGAAAGGCTCTCCAGCCCCCCGAACCGAGAAGATCGAGAAAAAAAACCTCATCGCCTCGCATTGCAGCCAGGGAGATGATGTTTTTTATGAGGAAACCGGCAGGAAAAAAACCTCGACCACGTAAGGGGCGTTATGTCAGTCCGCTGTGCTCTTGCCACTGCTATGTGCTTGCTCTTTACTCTTGCCACTGCTGTTGTGCTTTGCTCATGCCCGTGCTTGAAGAGAGAAGATGGGAGGAGAGGGGGGGCGCGGGGGTTGTATAGGTATCGCCGCCGGATGTTCTGCTAGCTAGTGGCGGTGTCTCTTGACACTTTGAAGGATAGCCCTAGTTAGGGCTCCTTCTTCTCCCGCCCAAATTCCACTTACCTTCCTTCCTTCTCTGCCTCTTCCTCTCCCTCTTCCCCTCCTCTTCCTCTTCCCCACTACCATCACCAGCAACAACACCACTCTTAGTAGGTAATCTTCTTTCTTCTACTTCCCTTCCTTCTTTCTCTTCCTCTTCCACCTCCTCTTTCTCACTACCATCACCAACACCAACACCACTACTAGGGAATATCCTTCCTACAAAGAAAGAAACCATCCGACCAGCACCAGGACGACTCCACTACCGGTGCGGAGCGAAAAGAAGTACACCAAAAATCTTCCACACGTCACATCTTAGTTCTCAATACTTTGACTGTGATAATGTGGGCATGCAAAAATGGGGACGTTTGCAGTGGGAACCTGGGGACCAACTGGACAACAAATGCGGCGGATACTAATGAATCAGCAGCAGTAATCTGGGAATTTTTGTGGGGATGGAGTGCGGATGAATGCAGGCTGCACGGAAGACAAAAAATGGGATCACGTACCCGGCGACATCACGACGGATCAACAAACCAGCAACTCGACTATCCGGCGGACATCAACCGAACTCATGAAGATCAATGGACGTATATCAAAGATTCATCCTTCCATCACACCTCAGTATTCACTACTTTGGTTGTGATGAAAGCGAGCGTATGCAGACATGCCTTCATTCGGGGGATCGTATGTAGTATGTACCGAGATGACCACAAAGTGGAGAATCATGTTCGATCACGCGGTTTTCCACAGATTCGGTATGTTGGAAAGTATGAATGAATGAATATTGTATTGAGTGAGTCTAAAGGTCTCGAGAAACGACAAAGAAGAGGGGTGGTAGGAGGCCAATGCTTCTCGCCGTCTTGCCCGAGTAACCGACTACGCAATGAACGACTGAGGAACGGACGCCTAAGTAGCGACCGCCTCGATGTTACAACACGGTATGCGAATAGAAGAACCTCGCCAAAGCATCGACTTCGACTTCGAGTAACGTCTCATAGCCTTGATTGATCACTGAAATTTAAAGCCTCGTTGCCGGCGTTCTTCGTTTCTTGGTTACTCGTGGTGATAAAAAATTGGGGTTTCAGTGTGCCGTGTGCCGGGTGATACATAGTGGTCGGAAAGTCAGCCGATTAGTCTCCTCTGTGGTTTTTGACACTGCGCAATATGGGAAGCTTGGTCTTATGTAACAGCCAGTCCTCCTAGGGCTTCGGTCGGGGGCTCGATGAGATGGGCGATCGGTACATACGTCTACCATAGTAGTGTCCGCCGCCCACCCATAGGTACTATCAACTACCGGGTGGCCGCCGGTACTTGGCCTGTCCAGGCATGGCCACTGAGTCCGTGTCGGCAAACGCGGTAAAATAAGGCTTATCGCGTCAGGAATGTGACTCCGAGGGTGGAATGCTATTTAACTAGCCGCTTGGAATGTTGGATGTGATCCCAGCTTGGAGGTTAACGGCGCACTTATGCGCGACGTCTCGCACACCTTGATTGCTCGGTTCGATCATGGTGCTTGGGCCACCTGATGTCAAAACCTTTTGCCACGGTCGGGGACGGACATCGGCTATGATTCGTAGTACAATACATAGCCTTCGAAATCCAGATCTCGCTCCTCAATGAGACAGTGCCCACAACCGCAGCCCATAATGCTCAGACGCAGCGACGCTTGACACCGACGTCTGTGAACTCTGCACGACTGATGGGAAGCAATATTCGGATATTGGAAGTCGAGCAGAGCAACGATGCAGCCCGGAGCTGTCAGAGTTACCTCTCGTAACGAGTCGGCGGTCCCCAACTCTCCCTCCAATGATTGTGATCAATGCACCTTGCAATGGACGACAGGTTGATTTCGATAGGCGAGCAGTACCGGTAGTCGTAGAAGTCTATGTAAACTAGAGGACTACTGTAGGTAGATAGGGTAGGTACCTTGGGTATATATCCTCCATGGCAGACTCGACTTCCAGCCCGATCTGGTTTACCTTTAACTACCCCCCCAATTTCGGCCCCACACCGGCGGGGACGCAAGTTGGAGGACAAATACCAGGCACCGCCGTTTATGCCTAAACGGCATTCCATAACCTAGAGCATCATAGGCTTAGGCGACAGGCTCTGTGGTGATGCTTTGGCTAAAGCCTAGTTACAACTTACAGGTGTCTCAAAAGTAGCCGAGATCATGCCCATCTCCTTTCACCGGGGCTGAGCGGATTATGTAGAGGATTGGGGAGAGGATTTCGCCTGGCATATGTACCTAGATACCTTCATGCTCGGTTTGCTTTCATGTTTGTAGTAGATCCGTACCTAACGTACTGACACCGAACGGCGGCGCCAGGGTGATACCTGGTGGGGGCGTGGCTATCTCCGCAAGGCCGCGGGCATCCCCGACCCGTTGGAATCATGCACCAATGCTAGCCTAAATCGTGGATACCTACTCTAGATACCTTTGCATAGTTGCAAGTGCATCTAATGTATGTACTAGTGATGCATAGGGGCATCGATGCGAGGCACATTCGTCACGGAGGAAGCCCTTGAAGAACGGCCCCCCGTCGTCGGTTTTCGCTCCCGATTGACGGCGACGCCGTTCGGTCAAGTTCATGCATACAAGTACATACATGTTCACATGTAACTTAGTACGTCATCCGGTGTGGAATTTGAAACATGTGTTTCTCGCGACAGGTCTCAGCCATTAAAGTAGTTATCGGTGGCGTCATCCTCAATTCACCCCATCATCACGCAGGGCCTAACCACTCTTTAACGAGATGATGTTCTCCACATTTTGTTCTGTGCGCTCAGAAGAACTAAGGCCGCACTAAGTACTCTAGCGGAGTGACGCGGCTCTGGCCAACCATGGCTCTGTAAGTTAGTCCCTGAGAAACAGCGGTCGGAACGATCTCCTGGAGAACTTGGCTCTTGGTCGTTCGCGCACATCGGAATGGCGCCGATTTTGGTGCCACGGTTCGGAAGCGTCAACTAACTAAAGGCAACCATCCCTTGACTCCCCGAATCTCCCCTGAGTGGTTTTTTTTTCTCTTTCTTTCAAATTCAGGGGCTTTGCTCTTCTGTACGTAGTAGTCATCGTGGTTCGATGACTTTATGGGAACACACATCACAGCCGCACGAGCCATCCTATCAGCTCGGCAATTCCGCAATTCCGCAGATGTCGGCGGTTCCCAGCTGACATGTGGTGCGGCCCCTCCCTCACCGGTGTAACGGCTGCTAACTCGAACGGCCAGTCACGGGCTGTCACTCCGCGCCGCAACCGCCGGCCTTCTCAGGCATCCGGTGGCAATGTTGCAGATCCTTTTTTCGTCCTCCAATAACTCCGTCGCCACTGGGATCATTCAACAACTTCCTTTTGAATTGCAATCCCAAAACGAGAGACGGCGAGACTCGCCCATTGCCCAACCATCATTCATGCATTGCGGAGCGATGGAAGGATCCCACCCTTTTAGCCGATCTCCGGCATGGGCATGGTGCCTAAGTTCATATCATCAGCTGAATTTTCCTCGCGGTTGCGGCCGTTAACGCTGATTTGCCAGGAGGGCTAAGATACCGCATACTCCACTAGTATCACACCTATCATAGTGCGAAGCCTCCTTTCTAGAATCCCGACCTACGATTCGTCACGGAGGATACCGTTCCACCGCATCCGTTTGATGAGCGTTCCACGCAGGAACCAGAACAGAATTGCGCCGCTCCGTACCCGCTCCATAAATACCAGTTTCTTTTTGCTGGTTCTGCGATGATGGTCCTCATGTGGAAATCGGTCTGTACATAAGAATTTGTTTTTTTTTGCTCCACGAGACATTGCATCAATGGTGTTGGTGCGTTCGTTTAGGCGAGACCGTCAGGCGAAAGCTCACCACTCTCTCCCTATCTCCCTCTCCCCACCCTCTCCCCTCTCCTTCCTCTCGCCCTACGCTCTTGGTTCCGAGCTATCGGGAGTCGGGACGCGCATGTGGGGTAATAGGTGGAAGATCGCACACCACCCCTGGGGAGGGGGATACCCAGGTGCCTCCCACTCTGGGTATGCACGTACATATAAGTGTGCGTGGGCAGACACATGCCAGAGAAACGGCTTCGCGGACGAAATTTATCACTCACCACTCTCTCACACCCAGACACAGACACACAGACACCCACCCACCCACCCACCCCGAACTGAAGCTTCCGACTGAAGCTGTGCCGACATACTTACCCACCTCTGGCCACTATATCCCAGACAGCCTGCGTTTCTTGCGACGACAGGTTCTTCGATCCGTTCAACCCAGCATACCCTTTCGAGTCTCCACGGCCGCAACACATAATGGACGGTTACTACGTAGCCGCGACACATTCCCTGCGCAGCGAGCGCGGCTCGAGGCGATCGCGGGAGCAGCGGCCGCTGCGGTTGCTATCCCTCGATGGCGGCGGTGTCAGAGGATTCAGTACACTTCTACTCATACAGGTAGGTGCCGTACCTAGTAGTCTCTCGTGCAGGAGCTCCGGTCTGCTGGGGGATCATGACGTCTAAAACCTCGCAACCATACAGGAATTGATGCTACACCTGTTCGTCGAACTCGAAGGGCGCGCTCCACGGCCCGAAGAGATACCGAAACCGTGCGATCACTTCGACCTGATCGGCGGCGTTGGAACTGGAGGGTATGCAGTGCCGCTTTTCTCACTCGGTTTCGCTCCGGGGTGTCGTGTCGCGGTTGTCTGACGTCCGGTGTGCTGTAGACTCATCGCGGTTCTTCTCGGCCGGCTGAGGATGGATCTCGAGACGTGCAAAGACGTCTACGTAAAGGTCTCGAAGAAGGTGTTTCAGTCGGACAAAACAATCGCAGGCCTGCCGCTGAAGAAGACACTGTTCAAAGCCTCGCGGCTGGAGGAAGCTATCAGAGACATCGTCAAGGAATTCGAATGTCCACTTCCGCCCAGCAACGATGCGTTCAGTAGCTACTCCAGCCCGCGGGCACCGGGCACCCCCGCTTCCAGCCACCACGGCAGCCAGATATTCCAAAGCGCTTGGGATGCATCCAGCACGGAAGGCTCGGTTCAGAGCGGCAGTAATAAAGAGCCGGAGACCGACAACGGGAATGCACTGCTGTTCGATTCGCGGCCGGATAGATGCAAGACGTGAGATTGGCGACACTCCTGAGCGCGATCGCGGGCGCGCGGTGAGACATCATGATCTGCGGCTGACGGTGGTGACTGCCTACTAGTTTGTTGATGGCGACCTTCAAGGGCTCGGACGAAAACACGCCTCCAGCGTTCCTGCGGACATACGAATCCGCGCAGTCGACGGCGATCAGCCCGAAATGCACCATCTGGGAGGCCGGACGGGCAACGGCCGCGCACTTTCCCGCGTTCAAGCAGATCAAAATCGGCCACGACATATTCATTGACGACGGCTCGGGGCGGTATTCGCCGGTTGTCCAGATCATCGAGGAGGCGATGGTGCACGAGTGGCCGGGAAGAGAGGTCGGAGTGTTGGTTAGCATTGGGTCCGGGAAGGTGGCTACTACTACATCGACGGCGTCGACGACGACGAACGGCGCAGCACGATCGACGATCCGCAGAGAACAGTCAACGTCGTTTCTCCGCTCAACATCGCTGGGGAAGATGGTCGATGCGAAACACAAACACATGTCGAAGATGGTGGACTGCGAAAAGATCCACCAGGAGTTGATCCGGGACCTCGAACGGAAAGGGGTAGCGCAGGATAGCTACTTCCGGTTCAATGTGGAGGTGGGGATGGGCGACTTTGGCATCAACGAGTGGAGTCGAATGGCCGAGATCTCAACCAGCACGCGGAAATATCTGTCGAAGCCGGAAGTACATGCCATGAACAGAGTGTGTGCCGAGAAAATGGCGAATATCCACCATCAGCCTGTATCGTACGGCCGCTCGTCATACGGCACGTCGCAGACAAATTCTGTGCCTTCGCGGTCGTCCAAGGGGTCCAGCTACAGAGTACGTCAGCGCATGCAGGTCTTGAGGGATGAAATCATGGTGCTAACCGGAAGACAGAACTACGTGAGCCGCGATCTTCCATCACTTCCGCACATAATCACCCAAGACGGCTGTATCTCTGAAGACGACGAAACGCAGCAGCACATCGAGGGGCTGGAAGCACTGGTGTCGAAAATTCACGCACATCACATCTGATGCAGTGAAAGCGTGGTTGGAACTTTGGTTTGGCTTGTTGCTGGCAGCTGGATAAACGGGTATTTTGTGAGAAGGTGTTTTTTTTTGGTTTTTGCGATTCTTTTCGGAGTGTTGGGAGTTCCAGGCGGTCGGATGCGTCATGTTTTGCAGTGTAGTGGGTTGATTGTTCTCGTTGAATTACCTACTCGGAGCTGGTTCTCGTGGTCATAGTAGTAGTCGGGTCATCACTCGTATTAGTAATCCTTGTCATAACAAAAACCAACCCCTCTCAAGACCCGGCATGATCAAGCACCGGGCCTTTGTCCCATTTCCGGGGGCTTTCCTTATAGGTACCGCTCTATAGCTCTACCTGGGCCGGCTGCCTAAATGTTGTAGATATGTTGAACAACCCGTCTAAATTCCAGGCCTGTAGACAGACCATCACTCGCACCGTATCTTTGGCATGGATATATTTTGGCACGCCCATAAGCGCAACGCAGACATCGCCTTCGCTGTCCTTACCCAAGCTCTTCACCTAGGTAGTAGGCGCATCTGTACATAAAGTGTCAGATTACGGCGTCCGGGGGACGTGAAGGATCACTCCTCATGTCCGCTGTAAGGTGATGAAGTTTCAAGGAGCACTGTTTTTGAAGGAGTCAAGGACTCGGCCATGCGAACTGTATCCGGAGGATGAGATGTCTGGTCTGCTTTCTGGGTTCGCCGGCGAGTCTATCTCCCAATGGCAGACATATTCTGTACATACAGTAGGGCACCGGCGCGGAGAAGAAGAAGAAGTAAGCACCAAAACAGGTCCATCTTCTTGCCAATCCACCTATCTATCTATCAACTTGGCCACCGGCTGGGTGCAGAGAATCTACTCTACTTCAAGCCGGCCAAAGGGGAGCCTATGTAGCAGTGCCATAGGACTTTCGCAGGAGGTGGGAGACGTACGGTAGACGTATGCCATTTGACCCTTCCTTCAATTTCGAAGGGTCAGTCACAAGTGCCAGTGATCTGGCCGGGATAAGACACTAGACTCCGGCCAAAAGGATTACTGAACCCCTTCCCTCCCGTCCTCTTTCATGGTACATACGATACGACACAACAAGGACCCGTCGTGTAGTGTTGTGTATTTACCCACTACCCACGGGGTTGGCTGCACCTACCCAGGTTACGTGCGTACTTCTTGGTGCTTCTTGGTACTTCGTGGTACTTCTTGGTATGTGCATATGTACCGCATATGGTAGTTTCAACTTTCAGACGTTGTCACAAACTACAATCTACAATCCTTGTGCGTGGGACGGCCATGGCTATGATATATTGGCCATGATATCTCAGAATCTTTCCTTGAAGTTACCTAGGTAAGTCCCTACAACGACGACGACGATGGCGGTCTCGTATTCATTTCGTGAGATAACCGGCGAGCATAGTATACCTAGTAGGTATATTACATAGTACAGCTTGACCTTGACCATCTCAGTCCTGAGTCCCGGCAGCATGGCCTTCCTAAGAACATGGCAAGCGGCATATAGGAGAGCAGTAAGCTTTGGGAATCAGTGACTAACGACCAAGGGACGCGGGATTTTGCCGGTGATGGGATGTGCGTAACTACATAGGTAGGTATAATTTACCTCTGTATCGATCAGAAAACGCCTCGACGGCGTACTGTACTTCCTACTGTCGACTGCGGCTTGTCATTTACGCATGCGAGGGAGGAGTGTGTGTTTATGTGTGTGTGAGTACTGGGTGGATGGGCGGATGGGCGGATGCGAGTTTTCGGTTGTTTGGATGATATCTAGTGATTCCCGTAACAGTTATTGGGAAATGACTTCGTGGAGTTGAAGATATTCTGGCGGGAAAATGAATTTCATACTGGAGTGTGTGTCTGCTTCCTCGTATGAAAGCCCGCAGAGAAGAGGGACTGGGTGGATTACGGTGTATTCTTGGTACGAATCGACGATAAAATTATGTGCATCAGTACTATAGGGCGTGAGCATCTATGAATCAATTTTTGGGTTGGATCTATTTGTCCGTTCCACGGTGAAACAAGTGTCGGGGAAGGTTGAATGGGTAAGTGCCTGGTTAGGGGGTCCTATACACCTCATGATTAGTAGGACGTGTGAGTGTTTCCCGTTATCATGTGGTGGCGGATGGACAATTCGACTCATGTCGTGCATGACTATCACTCGTTCTGCTTCCCTTACGCCGTGTTCTATCGCTTGTACATCCGTTCATCCGGAATGACCGGAGTCTTCGGGCTGGTCCCGTGGGTATCCTAGCCGGCCCAATAGGCAGCGCATTCTTCCGGCCGGCTTGCATCGGCCGTAGTATGTAACCTGTATGTACGAAATCGGTTGTTGATCGGTGATGGGAAAGCACGTTACCAGTAGAGAGAGAGAATAAAACACGATTCCATGAGCCCTTTCTCCATCGAGGCCGTGCTTGGAGAAGATGAGACCTGCCCAGCCCCCCCGCCGCCTTTTAGCCTAAGCTAACCACAGCTGTCGGCAGGGCATCGGCGAGCAGGAGGAGGAGTTCGCGTTCTTCGGGCCGTTATTGCTAGCCAAGCTGCATACATACCCGGACGTTTGATCGGCCCGTCCAGCGGAGAGTCCTTGTCTAATATAACCTTGTGGCTGGCGCCAGCCGTATGTACCCCACTGGCTCTGTATTAGCCGGAATTCGCTTCCCGCCTTTGGGCCTCGGTAGGTAATTGGCTTTCAAGAGGGCTGGCCTGCGTCCGGTTGCTCGAATCGAACTGTAACCCATGCAAATGACTTCACGATACCCGCGATAGAAAATTCGATCCTCAAATATCTGCTCTACAATCACCTCACCCTGGTGGCTAAATCGTCCGGGTGTAAAGCGAATGTGGTGAACAGGATCTACCAGATCTGCGGACCACTGCTGGCAAGCCAGAGCGAGAGTGAGGCTATTCCAGAAAAACGATCTCCATGGGCGAAGGTTTCCCAAGCGGAATTCGGGGTTCCTTGGAACCCTCTCTCCATGAGTCTCGTAGACCTCAATATTGACAGTCGAGCTGGGTGGCTAGTTGGATAGACCGCCGAGTGAGCCACTGACTGACACAGGAGAGCATCGCTAGCTGAGCTATTCAGCTTCATCAACAGAATCATAACTAACCTGACGAGCTTGCAGATTCTACTTGACCTACCTCCGGAGTCATCCACGATATTCCAAGCAACCCCGCAAACTTTCACTCGTACTAGCAGTCGTCGTGATCCCTAAATACAGCCCAGGAAAAGCGTGCGCGTGCGAATTCTGCCTAATGAGAGGAGGATCCCCAGAATTCTTGTAAGTTTCTTCGATTGGTTTTAATATCGCCTTCTACGGTTACGAAGATCCTCACATTAGAGTAGATGAGTTAGTTATCGTTGGCGAATACGACTAGTATCTACCAAGGGATCTATAGTACATGCCTCGGGCCCAAAGATGCAGGTTGCCCTCATCCGATCACTCGACCATTTTTAGCTTCGAGTTTACCCTCATCGGGGAGTCACAGTCCACTTGCAGTAACAGCGTGCTTCAGCATCTGAAGAGTGGGCATATGTAGGCTCGACTGACCTTACGGTTGTCCGCTCCCGACTGCCGTACAGCCTAACGGAAAAACCCAGGGAGGATAATCAACTTGGAGCTACACACGCCCAAATGTAACGGAGTCGAGGTACGGGCTGGATGGCAGGGTTGGAGAGGTGTAGGCAGTTATGGTAGGAGCCGATCCAGGCCGTTGGTGTCATGTTTAGTAGAGTAGTGGCGGGAGGTATAGTACCATCCGATATACTCTAGGAGCGTCTATATTGCTTACCAGTGTTTGACTAACTGCGTGGATGGAGCCGACGGACATGCTAGGATGTAGTTAAAGCGCTGGTTCCTGACATCTTTTGACAGTTACATATGCCGCGGACACGCCCCGGGATTCCTAGCGAAGGATTCATATATCCGCCCTGGAACGAATCCGAAATCTCCGGCGCATTTAGCCTGCCATATTGAATTCATCAACTTCATTTCAATCAGTTCCACGCTTTTGGGACCTGATATGCACACCCCGGATTTACTCTACTACCTACTTTGAGCTAGGACGAAGCGAACATGCGGGGTGAAGAGCTGAAGTGTGAATGTCGTATTCCGCCTCTCCGCTGGACTGAACGGATACGTCTCGATGTACGCCATTATCGACCCATTGCCGGCCGAGGAAGGCAAGATTCATGCTCAGTGAAGTGCACAGATCTTCTATCCGGCTAAACTATCGCGTGGCTATTTCCCGTACCATGTTGTAGGAAATGATGAGGAATGGCGATGGCACATGGGTGTGCGGTAAACATGGGTATACTGAGAGTGTTTATGGTTATTTCGGACGACAGGATATCCAGATATATAAACTCACGCCGCTGGCCCTCAAAACCATTTCTCATCGGCATCAGTCTCATCGACAGCATCCAGCACATTCTTTACAGCCTTTCACTACTATCTCTCACCGTCAATCATTCAAGATGAAGTACATTTTGACTCTTGCTCTCCTCGCGGCGCCTTTTGTGACTGCCCAGCAGTCCGTTTGGGGCCAATGTAAGGACTTCTGATCGCAATATCCATGTTTTTTTATTTCAACTGACATTGTATTTAGGCGGTGGTATTAGCTGGACGGGTGCCACGACTTGTGCTTCTGGCAATTCCTGCGTCGTACTCAACTCGTATTACTCTCAGTGCCAGCCTGGTGCCGCGGCGACCACTCCTGCCGCAACGACCACTGTCGCCACCACGACTCCCACCGGAAGTGCCAGCACCCTCGACGGAAAGGCCAAGGCCAAGGGCAAGTACTTCGGCACAGCCACTGATGCCGGACTTCTCTCCAGCAGCTCGAACTCGAACATCATCAAGACCGAGTTCGGCCAGGTCAGCCCCGAGAACTCCATGAAGTGGGATGCCACCGAGCCCTCGCAGAATAGCTTCAGCTTCGGCAACGCCGATACCTTGGTCAGCTTTGCGCAGACAAACGGAAAGACCGTCCGTGGTCACACTCTTGTGTGGCACAGCCAGCTGCCCAGCTGGGTCAGCGCCATCACCTCTGCTACCACTCTTACGAGCGTGATGCAGAACCACATTGCCACGCTCGCCGGACGCTTCAAGGGCAAGATCTATGCCTGGGACGTCGTCAACGAGGTCTTCGAGGAGAACGGAACCTTCAGGAACTCGGGTATGTTGTCAACTAGCCTTATCCATGGTGCTTAGGATTCATATGCTGATGGACGGAAACAGTCTTTTACAAGCTTCTCGGTGAGCAATTCATCGACATTGCGTTCAAGGCTGCCGCTGCCGCCGACCCGTCCGCAAAGCTTTGCATCAACGACTACAACCTTGACGGACCCGGCTCCAAGATCGATGCTCTGATTGCCCTCGTCGGCCGCCTGCAGAGCCGTGGAGTCCCGATTCACTGTATCGGCTCGCAGTCCCATCTCATTCTTGGACAGGTCGGAGGTGTCAAGGCCCAGCTGCAGCGTCTGGCCGACACTGGTCTCGATGTCATGATCACCGAGCTCGACATCAGAATCCCCCTGTCCGTCACCACTGCCAAGCTCGCCCAGCAGCAGACCGACTTCCAGACCGTCGTCTCTGCCTGCACGAGCATCACCAAGTGCCTTGGTGTCACCGTCTGGGGTGTCAGCGACAAGGTATTTTCCATCGATATCTCGTGATCGGAGAGCAAATACTAACCTCACTCACAGGACTCTTGGGTTGACAGCACCTTCCCCACCTACGATTCGCCTCTCCTGTGGGACGACAACTTCGCCAAGAAGCCCGCCTACACCGGTGCGTTGGCCGGTATCTAAAGCGCGGGCTCTGACGCTGTGTGATGGACGATATTCTGGCAACCGGCTATCACGGAGGTTTTGTGGGTGGTGGATGAGTTTCATGTATACCTAGGTCGTTTTGTATTTTTTTGGTGAATTTTGTACGAGTACGAGTACGAATATATCGATATATCTGGAATTGTGGCGGTGCGTGAAGTGCGCGGAGGCGCGGTGATGGTGCTCGCAAGTCGCGCAGTCCTGCCTTACCGAGAGATTAAACTAAAGAGCATACGAGTACCTTTGAAAAAAAGTAATAAATATCTCTCTTTGAAGTATTATTGCGTCCCAATATCTTACTCAGATCTTGTCCAGTGATTGCGGGGCAAACTGGAAGAGTGGTACCATTTCACGTTCAGGGATAGTTAGGAACACACACCTGCATCATCGTGCAGGGCCCCGCCAAGAACCGTTGAGCTTTATCCCCGCGTTCCTGATATTCCCAGCTCTCCCCAGCTCCCAGAGAAAGTAACCCTCGATCAACCAACATCAACCATGGATGAACGATCCCCCCCACCATACTCACCCTTCGGCGAAAATTCGTACGCTCCCGGCTCTTTCAGCCCATATCCAAATGCTCCTCCTCTACCTCCCCGCAATGGATCTGTTTTAACTGCCATGCCGTCCTCACCTCCTTCGTCTAGACCGTCGCTTTCGTCGCAGGCGCCACCCTTCTCTTCCGACACCCTTTCCCCTGGCGTCGGGCCTTCCGTCTCTTCGACGTTCCTGCGCGACCCACGGTCCTCGTCACAAGCATCTTTGCATCCGACAGCATCCGCGACCCGACACGGCGGTCGCAGAACGCTATTGCTCGTCTACATTCACGGCTTCATGGGGAACGAAACATCTTTCCAGTCCTTCCCCGCGCACTTGCACAATCTCCTGACCGTCACGCTTGGCGACGGCGAAGATGCGTACTTGGTCCACACGAAGGTATATCCAAAATTCAAGACGCGGCACGCAATCAAAGTTGCGACCCTTGAGTTTTCAAAGTGGTGTGTTGAGAATGGCTTCATCAGAGAATGGTTCGATTTTTGCTAAAATAAACTACAAGGCTGAGCGAGTTCGAGTCGGAAACGACCGATATCGTGCTCTTAGGACACTCGATGGGCGGTATTCTCGGCGCGGAATTAACCCTACTTCCGTCCTTCTACTCGCCGGGCATTCGACTGCATACCGGGATCCTCGGAATGATCGCGTTCGATACACCGTTCCTCGGCATGCACCCTGGAATCATTTCCTCTGGTCTCGCATCGCTTTTCCGGCCAGCACCCCCGCCGGCCCTCTCGCCTGAACAGCAGACTCCGGAAGAGGAACTGGATCCATTCTTCGCTCAGCGGCCACAGAGAAACTTCACGGTTGTGCCATCTCCGAAGCCTCCCAGTACATGGGTTTCGACACTACAGTTTATCTCGAAACACCACGAACATCTCACACAAGCTACCGGGAAGTATCTGATGAGCCACTTGGAATTCGGCGCTTGTCTTGCCGATCCCATGGGACTTAAGACCCGATACTCACAGATTCGCAGCTTGGAAGATGGACAGCAAACGGAAGATGGGAAAATTGATAGGGTACGGTTTGCGAATTACTACACCATCAGCTATGGGCGTGAGAAAGGAGTTGTCGTTCCACCGCCTGTGCCCGCCGACATGGCAGACGAAATAGTTGGAGGCAGCGGAGGCAGTTACGCTATTGGAAGTGCACTTGAGGCGTCGGTATCACAGCTGGCGATTGTGGGTGGAGGAGCGGCGTCCAGCGCGCATACAAGGACACCAAGTGGATCGTCAACGCATTCGAAGACTCCACAGAGCGGAATGTCAACGCCAGCAATGCAACTTCAAGATTTAGAGCCCGAACCCATGAGCCGGGGCAGCAGTGCTTCCGAACATCCGCCCTCCGGTCATCTGCCCCCCGATCATCCTCCCCCACCTCCTCCATTGGCTACGCAAATGCTCCTTCCAGAACCGGAACTCTCTCAGCCCGCTGTTGAAATAGTTCCACCGACGCCGGTATCGCCAATAACGTCGTTGGGTGACGTAGAGGCACTCTTTCCTCCCATCTCTGCTCCACCAACTGCGCCGACGCTGCAAGCGATCCTAGAATCGACGGAAAAACATCTACGAAAGGCACTAGAAAAGGAAAACAAACGCCAAGCGGTGGAGTATGAGCGGCAGATGAAAGAGTACGGCAAACTTGTGAAGGCCAGGGAAAAGGCGATCGAAAAGGTTTATCATGACCGAGAGAAGGAGAGGAAGAAGAAGGAAAAAGAGAAGGAAAAAGAGAGGGAGAAAGAAAAAGGGCGGGCGGATGAGGAGGAGAGAGACCGACAGAAGCATAAGTTGGCGGAACCCCAGAAAGCACTGCAGGAGGAAGAGATGAAAAGACTCAACCAGGAGAAGACCGATGAAATGTTGGAGCGCCAGGTCCAGTTCGAACGCGGCGAGCAGGAGCGGCAGCAACAGTTGGAACTGGAACAGAAAGAACGCCAAGAGGTAAAAGAGAAGGAGCAGGAGCGGCATCAACAGCTAGAACTGGAAAAGAAACAACGTCAGGAGCAAAAGGAGAAGGAGAAGGAGCAACAGAAGCTCGAAAAAGAGAAAGCGAAAAAGGAAAAGCCTCCAAGGAAACGTAAGTTTTGCATAATCCCGTCACAGCCCGACGAGGCATGGACGCCGGTAGAAATGAAGGGGGTGGATGAGGTCGGAGCGCATTGCGGTCTGTTCTTTGTCGGAGAGGTTTATGCGAAGCTGGTTGGTGATGTGGCAGATAGGATAGAGGGATGGGTTAACGATGAACGAACGAGGAGATTGGTGGAGCAGAGCGGCGATGATTATAATAGTTGGGAGAACCGTAGGCCTTCCACCGAGAAGAGGGCGTACTGAAGGAGTCGCGGGACGACGAACGAAGAGACGTCACATGTTTGAATGTTTTAACCCGTTTACAAGTATTGAAGGGAATGGGTGGTGGGTGGGGGCGATGGGGTTATTTTTTTTGTATCATTAAACCCCTCTGTATCAGTATTTCATGAATTTTGGAGGATGGACGGGAGACTCCTGTATTTGGTACGCATGGAGAGTTATCACATGTATCCATCGCATTCATCCGGCCGTGTTTCAACGGCCCGGACAAATCCTAGTCTCGGATCGCCGGGCCTGCATGCACACCTTATACCACACGGTTAATCTAATCGCTTCAACGGCTACGCAGAGCTGGTTAGCCTACAATTTTCAGCATCTATGACACCATACATAGAGCATATTTCGCGGAGCGGGTGATCCAGCGGGGTACGGGGAAAGCGGGAAGCAAAAACGTGGGCCGGCATGTGCCGCCAGTAGGAGTCGGATGATATAAGAACACACCTCTTCAGCTCTCTCGCATGTATGTACGATTTTGACATATCCGATCCATCCAACCGCCGGCCAAAATGATTTCACGCATGCTGTTGCTCCCCCTAGCCCTCGTGGCCCTCGTCCTCGCCGTCCCACCCAACATCGCCTACGATGCGCAGGGGAAAGTGATGCCATTGCCGGCCGGCCAGCAACGTGACTGTGCGCCCTCCCCCTCTTCCCCTCCCCCACCCCATCCCTCTTTTCCCCACCAGCTAACACCTCCTCGCACAAGCCATAAACCTCAACATCAACCTCCCATCCCTCAACATCAACACGGACGACCTACGGGACTGGTTCGACCGGTTCAAGGCGCTGGCATCGGAGTACCTCCCCGCGCAGCCGGAGGCGGATGCAGAAGCGCGGAGGAAGCGCCGTCAGTGGCTCGAGAGCATGCTCGATTGCCAGGAGGAGTGCGTCAAGTGGCATGAGACTCGCACAGACGACTGGAGAACGTGCAATATGTGCTGTCGGCAAGAGGCGTAGGTTTCCCTTCCTCCCACGGCGATGCGCGGCGGGATGCGCGGCGGGATGCACGGTGGAAAAGAGGGGTGTTGGGCTGATGATGACGACGGGATAGTGGACACCACGCGAAGGGGTATTGTGGCGCGGTCATGGGGAGGGAGTTGTAGTGCGGGGGCAGGTGGGGGGCTGGTGGAATTGGGGGCCGGTGTTTTGGCGACGCGGAGGGAGGACAATAGCGGCAGCGGGATTTATGCTTGCCTGAGTCTTAGTGGCAGGACCACTCAATCAACTGCATTGTAAATACATGTACTAAATACACCCATTCGCATCAAACGCACCGAGTGATCGCCTTTGCGACCTCTGCCTCTGCAGACACTTGAATGGCTAACCGCGGGTAAACACCTACTACATCTCGCAAAAGATGTTTGCAGAGCTATCGCTGTCGATGTGCAGTGAGGGTTGTCTGCGGTGCCAACTGCCCACTACTCGTTGAACGAGAAATCTCGTATCGGTGGTTTGAAGAAGGGATTGGGCGGCGACTTCATAGGCGTATGTAGCTCGGGAGTCGCCCAGCACTCGGGACTTGACATCACGCGAAGCAGGAGCTGAAGCTTGGAAGAATATCAGCGAAAGTTTTGGTAAGTGCAGGTGAGAGTGAATGGAACGTTGCAGAGTATTGGTGAGCGAATGTGGGAGTGAATGGGGAATTGCAGACCATTCGTGACTCGTAAGTCCATGTGTGAGTGAATGGAACGTGAGAGTGAATGGAATGTGAGAGTGGATGCAATGTGAGAGTGGATGCAATGTGAGAGTGAATGGGACATTACGGACCATTAGTAAGCAACCGTGAGAGTGAATGAAACGTTGCAGGCAGAAGTTGAGGTAGTGAATCACACAATGTCACTTGGAAATGTCGCAGGAAAAACAGTCGCACCCGCAAGCATAATAGGTCGTCCAATCCGTTACGGCCTGACGCAGTTGAACACGAAATGGAGAAACCAAAAACCTATGCAGTCTAGGTATGTAGTCGAGATGAGAATTCTGCTGGACATTTCTGCACTTTGAGGTTGGATAATATTCCACTACGTCTGTCGCGGCAATCGGCAAGCTGCCGTGCGATGCCGCGTTCCGAGTCATGCGATCACCCACGATAGACATATGTGCATACAAGCCATCCGTCCGTCGGGGATCGATCACCTGTCGTCCGCTCAACCGCACGGCACTGAGCGCTTCCGATTTGAGCTCAGCACTCCAAACCCCCTTTGAGGACGAGGTAGGGACGAAGAGTGACTGCCACCGACATACTTCGGGCTCACGCCGTTGTGGCGAAAGTGATGGAGGAGTTGTCGACGAGAGGAGGAAATGAGGGAGGACTCCTGTCGGCGGGAGAAAACGAATGTGGTTAGTATAGTGGGTATTAACTTTGATAGGAATCAACTTTGGCGACCATGGCGGGATCCTCTTCTTCTTCTTCTTCTTTCTTAATCATCCCCTACAAAATAAACAATCAACTTCCACCTCCTCTTTCTTCTGTGTGTTCCCCTCTCGACCCGCCGCCGGCCTGAGGGGTGTTAGCAAAGGAGCCGTCCGCAAAACGGTCACCGACAATGGAAATACAGGCCACCCTTCCGCCGGGGACTACTTATCGCCCCTTCAACCGCCCGGCAAGCACTTCCGATTTGAGCTCAGCACTCAGAACCCCCTCCTCGTCCTCGACAGAGGCGAATGGGGATTCCCACCGACACCTTCTGGACTCGTAGGTAAGTGGACTCGGATCCCGTATACCCACCCGTTGTCCACGACGGCGGTTCGTCCTCGGGCATCGTGGAGACAGACGTGATGGGGGATCGGAGGATTGGAGGGGCACGGACACTCGCAACGGGGGCCACCAGTTGGGGTGATTTTTGATGAACCCCCCCCCATGCACGTGCAATCGTAACGATCCGCGCAGACCGCAGTCAAAAACAACACTGTCAGGCAGTTCAGTCGAACCACGATCACCACGATCACTCGTCACGCATCGCGTGTACTTTCCACATCCGGCGCGTCAGTTTTCAGCCAGGCGGATGCACGAGTTTCCCCCGTTACGCAGCGGTTGTGCATGCACCAGCAATCAGGGTGCAACCATCGACGATACATAACTACGACTGCCCTGGTGCGAGTGGCGGTGGTAGTTACCGGCGATCGGTTGCGAAAAAGAAAACAGAAAAAGAAAAAGAGAGAAAGAGATCATCATAGAAGCGAGTGCGCGCAGCGCCGAGGCGACTGGATGCCGCGTTTCGGGACCCTTTCTGCTTGCGGCCACAGGCTCGCCGCTCTATAAAGCGAAGTTGGGTTTATCTCGCCTGCAGCATGCAAGGATCATTCTGCATTTTGGGTGCGGCGCGGGCGAGATGCGGCCTTCGAATGTTCCCCTCAGCTTGTTGATTAGCTGCGGGTCGGATCGCCAAGAACATGCGGGACGGGACGTCGAAAACGGCGGCCATGTTTGCGTGCTCGCTCCGGATAAGACAGCACTCCTTTCCTCCCCGCATAGAGGCCATCTCGGATTTTTCAGATTACACCCGATCTTGCTGCTGAAAACATACGTAGCCGTTTCTTCGGTCGAGACTCATTTCCCGGACAGCTCAAAATATCTGTCCTGCCGGTACCGGTATGTACGGACCGCTTCTTCTTGGGTGCAGTGCTCTTGTTCGCAACAGCACTTTTTCTTGGGTGCTTCCATCCACCACGACCACGCATTGACTGGGAATGTGCAAAATCCGAAGCCTGTACATAAATACGAAGATGCGGCGTCGAGGCGTCGAGGCCTATCAGACGTGAGACTGGCTTCAGTACCATTACATATGTACGTCATGGAGTACAAGTGCCAGCCACCTACGGCATCGACACCGATGTAACTAGCCGTCAAACGGAACGGTGAACGAGGAATGTCCTGCCAAAGCTTGCGAGGACGACGGAGGTTCCACCAGCGGCTGAGACTGATGTCGCCTCCTGCCTCTCGCCCCCTCATAGCCTATAGGCCGCTCGTATGTAGCATGGCAGCAATCCTCGCCGGCGTCTACGCGTACATGTGCACATTCAGCACGAGGGCATCCCCCAGGCAACAGCACTTGCCAGCGCAGCAGTGCAGCAGTGCAGGAGGCAAAATCGCTCGGCGTGGGGTGGGCCCAATCCGCGAAGCAGGCGCATCCCGGCAATAAACAGACGCAGCGAGCCACCACCATCACATGTATGTATGTATGTATGGTGTTATAGGTATGTGTCCACTGCCCACGAACCGTGCGTGGGGTGTGTGCGGGACAGACTTCTACCGAACAGGCCGGATACAGCGAGGGCCCGCGTCTATTCAGCGGTCAATCGGAGCCCGCCGTACGCCAGGTCACAGTTTCCGACGGTGGGGACTAGAGGTGCCAGCGCAGCCACTGCAGACACTGCTGCTGCTGCTGCTGCTGCGCGAGTCCGCGTGTAACTTGACTCCTCCAATATATATGATGGACTCTGCGGAACGAATCACAGACCACAAGCCGGGAGCGGAACTAGCACTAGCCGCCCACTCCTCTCCCCCGCACGCCGTCGATAGGGCCCCACCTAGGTACTATCACAATCTCGCAGTCATGATGCGTGTGTGCGCTTCCACTGCACACGTAGAGTGCTCGTCACCTAGGAATCGACCATCTCCCCCCAGCCCCCCCTGCGCATGCAAACGCACACGCGTTAACCAATCACCGAGTGCTGCCGCATGACGCCCATAGCAGTGTGGCCCCCCGCACCGGCTCCGCGGATGCGGTTATTGGAGCGTTCGGTCCCGAGCTAACCGCACCCGCGGCCGGTCGGTTGCCCCAGCAGAAACGGCTTGGGGTGGGCGAGGTGGGGAGCGCGTGTGTTTGTTTTTAATTCGCCCACACCGGTCTAGTGCGGTTCCCTACCTGATCTAGGGTAGATTTTCCATGCAACACTGCAACGCTGCAACAGGCTCAGCATCTACTGGTAGCCTTAGGCCGTTCCAGCTATTTTTAAACGAGTCGACATAGTCATAGTCTGGTAGATACCTCCACCTACTGAAACTCGGCTTGCTTCTATCGCATGAATTTCACCCGTGAAGCCACTGCTCGTAAAACAGCTTAAGAAAAAGAGAGGGGCAGAGAGAAGAAGAAAGGGAGAGAGGGGGTGGGGGAGAACTATGCTTTTAAGTTTCGGCGCACGGGGAGAGGAGCGACGAGCAGCAGACGAGCAGACGAGACGTCGCAAACCGCGATCGCGAAAAGCGCGAAAGGTGAAAGCGAAATCGTCACCCTGACCGGAAAACTTTCCGGGGTCGCACGATGTGACGAGGGATGATCAAATTGATTCCAATTTCGCTCTTCCCCTCCCCTCCCCTCCCTGAGTCCTCTCCCCCGCCTCGTATGTATAATACTCGAGGGAAGGAACCCCCATCATCCATGTAAGTTGTTGCTAAGTTGCTAAGTAACACTCCGCCTCCGCTGCTGCTGCTCGCTGCTTCCTGAATCCTGATTGCTTACCGACAGTCCACGCCCACGCCCCATCGTACGCTAGGTACTAACTGGTAGGCTGGTGAACCAAGTTCCAACAGTCAACTAGTGAACCGGAGATGTTCAGTGTCATCATAGCAACGATCAGTTGGAATTTGGAATGATCGATGCTATGTATACATACTATGTACCTATACCGGTACCGGTATGCACTGGACGATGGACAGTGGACAGTGGACGTCAGCGATGCGATGCGAGCGGTTTCGTCTATCGATAGTAACTTATCACACCTCGCACTGACTTGTTGGATTACCTATGAATTTGGATTATGGATACGGATTTTGGATAACGAACGCGATGCCGCGGAGAACTTACGTGAGTACTATGATACCGGTAGATACCTGCTACCTATACGGTCATACCTGAATGCTATACATAATACCTGCGGTATTCCGCCAGTGGCTGTGGTGGTGGCAGTGGTGATGGCGGTGGCGTTGTCGTCGCTGTCGCGGTCGCGGTCGCAGTCGCTGTTACTGTCACGAGTATTCTAGGTAAAGACCTGTGCACACGGAGATTCGAGAGCGTCGCGGCCGCCGGTCCGTCTGGCAGAGAACAGAGAACATTCAACAGAGAAACATTCACAAGCGAACCGATCGGCGAACATTCTTACAAATACTCTAGCATACATACATCCAGAGTGCAGAGTGCGAAGGTAGCATAGCATGGCATGGCACGGGGGTTTATGATACTGTTTATGCACATCTAAGGAGACGTCGTGGAGGCGAAAGTCTGCAAGACTGCAAGTGGGCGAGGTGACTAACTAAATACCAACTACTTCTAACGAACTCTCCTCACGATTATGCAGCATAAGCCTATCGATCCCTCCATGTCCTGCCTGTCTGGGAAGTCGCAGCAGCAGCAAGTCGAACGGCTGCAGAACCCCCCCTTCCCCCCCGCACACATGGCCATAGCACGTCACCGAGAAAAAAGCAGCTGTGAACTGTGAAGATGTTGGAACTATGTAACTTGGTAGGGGATAAAAATCGGTGCATACATATAATAACTGGATGATAGCACACCGGAGAGAACCAAGAATAAACATGTCGCATAACAAGACACACACACAGCCCAGCACAGAAGACAGACAGAGAAGGCGGCCCGGTGGGTACGCGGGTGTGTGTGTGTGGAGGGAAGAAGAAGAATAGAACCCGGCGCAACGGTTGCATAATCTACAGGACAGGGAGCCACCAACACCAGAGCCAGAACCAATAATATCACAAGAAGTCATCCCAGCCAAGTGCCCATGACCCAAGGCGAAACCCAAAAACAACCCCCCAAAAACCCCGTAACCCACCACCCTAATAACCCAATAACCCTTCCCAAAAGGCGATGCTCATTTGGTATCCTCCATGACGGCCAGACACATGGAAAGATGTAGTTGAATCCTCCGTGCGGTAATCGCGATGACGCTTCTTCTCTGTGACGGCTAGAGACGTGGAAAGAAGCTGTCGAATCCTCCGTGCGCTCATGGTGATGACGCGACTCCTTCGTGACGGACAGACACGTGGAAACAAGCAGTCAAATCCTCCGTGCGGTCATGGTACTAGCCGTTCCTCCTCCCAACCAGAAACCCGTCCTCCCATCCACTCCCACCATCCCTGCTCCCGTCTCGTCCACCCCTCCCGTCCTCCGGCTCCTCCCATCCTGCATCCCGTGTCCAAACACTCAAAAGAAACCGGGCCGCTTCGCGAAAATCTCGGCAATTGTCTCCTCGATCACCGGAGGTTCCGGTAACGGCTTTAGTTCCCAGTCTTCGCTTCGAGACGACGCCGCGCTCGACGACCGACTCAGGGAAATCCCGATCTCCATGCCATACGCCTCCAGCTCCTCGCTCCACTTGACCCCGTCCCGCCTCCAGCACATGTACTCGTCGTTGACGCCGACGACGCCTCTATGCCCGTGCAGTCGCTCGTACTCCCAGTTCAAGCGCAGCAGCATGTTATCCGCGACCTCCATCTTCGCATAGCAGCGGCGGATGTACCCGCGGGTCATCGGGCGGCCCCGCGAGATGTACACCAGTCTTCGCAGGACCTCGACCGCATCGTCGAAATTGGCGTCCCATGAACCCCGCGACAGCTTGTCGAGCGTCGACTTGAGCGAGAAGCAGTGGTCCAGTGCGAACAGCGTCAGACCTTCTGACGAGAACACGATGTCGTTCTGCAACAGGCTGCGGTCGATCACTTGCTGCTTGACGTCCGACGGGATCGAGTTCTCGAGCGTTGTGTTGACCCAGTCCGAGTTCAGCCCGAAGAGCTTCTGCGCTCGGCGCACCGACCGCGTCAGTGTTTCAAGCGTTTTCGGGCACACTTCTGAGATCATGATGATGCTCAAACTCGTGCTGGAGAGAAAAGGTTCATGTTAGCGAATGAAACGAGAATGAATGAAAAAGTTATACTCGAATCTCTCTTCGATGCACGTACCATGTAGCCTTGGTCTTGTAGAGGAGACAGGGCAGTGAGCTGCCGCCCACTATCAAGTGCAGGTGAAGACGTTTCCGCCGAAGGTCCCGGCTCACGTATTCCAGAGCCTGATGGATATCGGTCGCGTCCATTTCGACCTCGAAGGCAAGCACCGGTGAGGTTGTCGGAGAAGATGGCTTCTGACCCATTTTGATTTATTTTCTCGAATTTTTCGAATTTCGAATTTCGGTGGTTGAATGATCACAGTACCAAAGAGGACCGTGAGTGTCGTTCAGATGTCGAAATCCGTCCGGTGGGTTTTTCTGTCGTTCTTATCGATTTATGGCAGCGATGATGGCTTGAGGGAGTTGCAGTGGCAGCACGAAGAGCAGGATCCGATCTAGCATATGGGAGTGGCACGGAGCAACTCAGCGAAGTGTAACTCGGTATTAAACCCACGATGCGAAGGATGAGACCGAAAAGAGATGGAGGGGGGGAGCGCCGTGCACAATATACCCGCAAGCTTGGTGTGTGGGCACGCACAGCAAACCAAACCCATGGCCCAGCAGCAGGATCCGGTTGCCTATGATTTGACGGATGTGTGTGTGTGTGTGTGTGTGTGTGTTGTAGTTCTGGAAAAAGCAATAATACTCTGACAAGGCCAGCCCCCCAGGCCCATGCCAGTAGATTGGGTGGGGACCGTGGAAGTGCTGAATTCGCACCGTACAGGGGATGGCCAAATACCTAGCCAGTCTTCCCAGAGACCCACCCCTTCCTGCAAGCCGCGCTCCATTCAGGACTCTCCCCTCCTCCTTCTCTCACTCTCGCCTGCGCCTGCATTGGGTCCACCACCACTGCACCACCACCACCACTCTACCACCACCCATCGCCCTGTCCCCCGCCACAAACACGGAAGGCGACGATAATCGATCCCATCCTGCCACCCACCACAGCCTCGTCACGTTTAGCCGCAATATGCGCCGCGACTGAGGAGACTAGGCTTCGCCTCTCTCATGTAGAGTACCTACTATAAACTATAACTACTCTACATACACGCTGAGACCTGCGCCGCCTCACGCTCACTCTCCGCAGGACGAATACCTACTTCCCCGGTGTCCTACTGAGGAGTCTGAGTCTGAGTCCGATCTGAGTCTGTCGCTCTCTCGAGTCTCCACGCTCGCTCGCCGCCGTGTGGATTTATTTTGGGGTAACTACCCGATCGGTCGCTGACTCGTCGCTGGTTGTTTCGGATCAACTGGAGTCTGGGACAGTGCAATTTGCCGCAATGTACCGTATTACCCACCTCTGTGATGATGATGGCCCGTCTTGTTGCATAGGGAAGCGCGGGTACGAGTCTACTTTCCTCACTTCTAGTAGGTTGTATCTACCCTCCCCCAATGACACGGCTCTGGGACGCGAATCACAACAAGCAAATACTCTACATATCTACTCTACAGAGGCAAACGTTGTGAGGTACCTATCATAACCACTCTACTTCCTCCCGAGCTACTCACTTACTAAATGTACACTTTCAGTGCTCAGCCAAAGACACAGGTACCAAGTACTCACTAGTGCACAAGTACAGACCGGAAGTGCAGATAACGAAGATTACGCCCCTAAAGAAATACCCGACCTCGGTGGAAGAAAGGAGAAAGTCGATGAAAATCGGCCGCGTCGTGACCACATGGATACATAGAGTACTTACTCACCGTACTTACCTAGAGTGGCTATTCCCCTCCAAGCCACCACCGTGCGCATGGGTGATCGGATCTGCTGGGTGGAGCTTACACACGGACAGGAGTGGGGGAAGAAGCAATATGTGAGCTGTCACCAAACCTAGTTACTGCTGACCGACCCCACATCGCCCACTTTTACTCAAGCTGGCTGGCCGGCTTTGCAGACACATACATACAGACTACGGGGGGGGGGCACATACATACATCATACATATATTGGTCGGCAAAACGAGGAGTTCCGCGCAGAGACTTTTAGTACCGTTCCCAGGATTATTTTTTGTCTGTTATTTCCCTCTCGGGACCAAGAGCGGAAGCTGATCACAACACTTCTCCAACGGCCACTCTGGAAGGAAATTTGCCAAGGTAAGCGCAACCGCGAGTCCGCGACCCATCCACACACACACACACACACACACACGCTCAACGTCAGGTACAAAGTGTCTGCCCGAGTATGTATGAGGTATGCGCTTGCTGTCACTTTGCGCCTGACGCCTGTATCTGCAATCTGTCCCTTGGTAGGCGGTCATTGTTCGTCCGAAGGTTCGCAGAAAAAAGAAAAAAAAGAAAAGTCACGATCATGAACCCTCCATCATGCTTCTTCTTCTTTTTCTTTCTTTCTCGTGGTCCAGCCCGCTCTAACTTGGCCCTTGGCCGAAAGTGCACTTCCATTCCACCGGTGACCGGCGAGCGGCTTGCAAGCGGAAGCTGAGAAGCGCTGTGCCGCCTGATGCCGTGGCCGACGACGGAAGGAGGGTCCGTGGGCGAAAAATAGGGGTCGTCCGTGCCGTGAGGTACATGATGGTACATAGCTTCCTAGCCCCGGGCCGGGGCCTAGCTACTGGACTCCACTGCCAGTCCATACTCAAAGCTTCAGGGTCCAGCCTAGCGAGGCGCAAAGATGCGACGGGTGAGTCAAGGAAGCGCGTCGTGTGCTGGCAGCACATGCGCAAGAACATTCCATACGGTTGGCTGATAATGTTCTTTGGACAGGGTCCGGTTTCCAGCCCCATCGTTCCCACACAAGCACCGACAACCATGTCGTATGTGGGACATTGGCTACTCGGTCCTGTGTTGAAACCGAGGCTTCGGAGGTACATACGAGATTGTGCTGTACCAGTACATTTCCTAGACTTGACTACTAACGGGTATAGCTGGCATGGGAGAGCGAAAAAGAGCGACGTGTCAAGCGCAGCCGACCAGCCCGAGCATTCATGCGGCAAGGGAGAATTCTGATACGAAGGGGGATGCGAAGATTGAAACGAGAGCACTGTCGTGGCATCGCTTACGGCGGTTTCGGCGACAGTTCATCGCGTCCACAAAGAGAAGAAAGTGATCGTCTATCGGAAAACCCTATGTGGCATCGGTAATCTAGGAGGCTAATAATCGCGCAACATGGAAACATGGAAGTTGAGATGGCTGGCAGCCTACTGAGCCTTCTTTGCGAACAGGTCATTCCACACCGAAATCACCCTCGCCCGGTGTGATCTATGATTCGTCTCACTACAGCACTGATGCCCTCGCCTGGTATGTAGACCTCGCACAGCTCGCACTGCAGTCAAGCTAGCAACAACACTCTCCGTCCACACACGGCCGATGCTCACGGTGGCCTACCTACCTGCACACTCCCATAAGCCGCAGCGATCGAAATAGATGATTAGACGCAAGTGAACAATTTTCTGCGCTTCACCCACGGATTGCCGCTTGCGACGGCTGGCTGGCCAAAGTGCCGGTGGAAACGAGGGGAATTGCCGCCTGCGTCTGCGAAGGCTCTCGCGATCGACCGCGGGGCCCGGCAGAAAGTCCGCTCTCCAGCCACTTCATTACCGCGCCGCTTACGCGTATCATGTTCCTTGTGGTTTGCCTCCTCCTCCTCCCTCTCCCCCTCATCCTCCTTCCCTATATCCTCATAATTCATGTGACTTATTTGTTACCAGAGAAAATGAAGGCTCCGGAAGACGTGTGTCGGCGTTCCGACGAGCTTGCATCCTGGCAAGGCCATATAGAGTTTTTTTTTCTCCAGCGGCTATTCGCGCTAGGAGTATATTCTCGGATCGGCTAAGTAGGTGTACGGTGTTGCTGGCGGATATTTTCCTCTTGTCTGGCCTGCTGGTCAACCATCGAGGTTTTCCGGTCCAAATGGTAACTAGACCTCTGGTAGGAGGATCTTTGCCACCGTCACCCGGTGACCTCATATGTACTCTGCTAACTTTTGGTCAAATCTAGACCAATGTTTTTCTTTCCGGACCGCAGGGTAGCTGCAGCAATCTTCCAGCCAACTATACGTTTTATGTAACTTGTTTACTCCGACGGAACATTTGATTGACCACGCATTCTCGGAACCTGCCAATACGTCAACCAACCCCCCACAACATGACCAGAGCTTCCGCATTGGTCTGGCCCAGAGGCCCATACATATTTTCAGTTCCGTTTGCGATACACGACTCCCCCACCACCCCACCACCCCACCAGCCATCCAGCACCCCCGCGGTGGTGGTGGCGGTGGTGGTGACCCGCCACGTTCAGCCAGCTGTCTTGCTGGCTGATTATCGACGATCACCCCATTCCGGAATCCAACACCACCCACAGCACTGCAGCAGCTTCTCTTTCGGTCGAAAGCGGACTTCCACGACCGAAGATACCCTCGGCAGGCAGGCAGGTGAGATCCTTCCAGCCAGTCCACGGGCGGTGTTTGCCGCCTCCTCTGCTGCTGCTGCTGCTGCTGCTGCCAGCTCGGCTGCTACATAGAAGGGCGTACGTCAATCGTGCTGATTCGAATGATGTCTATACGTTTCAGAGTTCAGCCCAGCGATCTGGTTCTCACTGCAAGCCACGACGTCTAGTTCCATTGGGGTCTATGTACGGTGTACCAGCTGGCTAGCCAGCCAGCAGGACCACCGGTCCACCGTGGTCCATGGGCTCCTCATGAACGAATCAGCTTGCCGCTGCTGCCGTCCATACTACATACTACGTATCTGGTATCACATACTGCGAGCATGTGGGGGGGTAATGCCGCCGCACAAGTGTCCGGATGCTACGTGCTGGTGCTTTCACCTCTACTCCCTCACTCCAGCCGCCGCCGCGAAGGTTTGAGCAGTGAGCAGTGAGCACCAGACCACTCCGCTGGACGCTAACTGGATGACTACATTACCAAGCAGCGAGCGTGCAGGACAGGATATGACAGCACTGCAGTGAGCACTGGACTGGCCAAGAAAAACGTAAGACGCCAGGGCTCCATCCACGGATACTCCAGCCTTTAGGCTTTGGGTGTGGCCCGTAGGCGGGCGGGTGGGTGGAAGGGTGGGATAACTGGCCACGTCAGTAGTACCACACACTGGATGAGATATTTTCCTGCTAGCTGGGGCCGGTAAACGAGGTGAACGAGTTACGGGGAGACGGGGGAGGCGTAGGATGAGCAGGCGTAGGAGGGGAAGGCGAACGGGGGGAGGGGGACGGGATTCCGGCGTACCGCTGCCTATCGGTGATCACTGATGTCACATTACCAAAATGTGCGTTCATAGCCGCGGGAGGCGTTTGACTACAGATGCACGCCGTGGTGGTTTGTGTGTTTGTGAGATATGATGAGCGAGCGAGCGAGCCTGTGCAGTGGGCTCGAGGTCAGTACGAGTAGCTTGCAGGGAGCTGGAGGTGAGGGGGTGATGAGGTGGATGGGTGGATGGATGGGTGGATGGGTCAATGACCGGACCGGAAGGGATATCTACTTGGAACCATGGTCTTTCGGTGTTCAGCGTCAGGGTGTATGATGTATGGCGTATGGTGTATGGTGTATGGTGTATAGTTCCTTCAAGTTTTTCCGTCCATCGTGGAATATGCTCAGTATCGAGCATTGCCTCCCCACCCCATACCTTCATCATTGAGGATGGCTTTTTGGTACGGCGGTAGGATCAATGCATATCGACGGCGGAGGACTAGGCTGGAGGGCTGAAGTTGAGCCAGAAGGAATATTTGGAATGGCGGTATTCTGACAGTCACACACAGCCCGGTGGATGGGCTCTTCTACCGCTCATCGTTCATCGTGCAATGTGCAAAGTGCAAATGACGGGCATCAGCCACCTACCGGGCGTTTGTGGAGGATATATCTGGGTGTGGCGGGCCGCCACACCTAGACACTGGCGGTTGGCACGAGGCATATCCGTAGAGGATGTCTTTGCTCGTGCCGGTGGGCATGAGGCGTATCGACGCTGGAGGACTGACCGGAAGGAATACCTACTTAGAATAACAGTCTTCTGGCGGTCACGGTACATATTTTCTCCTCCCGTCCATCGTTAAATGTGCCAATAACATACATAGGCTCCCCTCCATCTTTCTGGAGGAAGCATCATGTCTTGGGTGGGACGGTGGACTGGGCACGAGGCGTATATACCGTATCGACTACAGAGGAGTCAAGACTGGCCGAGCCAATGCTAGGGGTTCAGAATCCAGATTCCGGTGACTAATATACACGAAATGCCTCACCTGCTGCAGTATGCTTGCTTTCTTTCTTGGAAAACTCGGATATCATCGACATGCGGGGAAACGTAAACCTGGGTCTGACGTACATACATCCTATATCCAGAGATTTACTCGGAAAACGGGGAAAAGAAACGAGCCCAGTCCTGTCGTGCTTGCTTGCTGCTGTTTATATTATCCTACATACATTCATGCAGCTTGGCCTCAGCAGGTGTCGCTTCGCCATTCAGCCCCAGCAGAACAAGGGTTAACCGTGGTTTGGTTTGGGCTAGGTATGCTGCTTCATGCTCAATCACACAGCCTCGCTCGGCGCTCGCTCGTTCGTTGATAACCCAGTATGTCGGCATCACCACATTTTTCGAGCTTCCAAGCACCGTAGCTTCCACGCACCGTACATAGCTTCCAAAGTCCATTCTGCCTTGTACTTCTTTTCTTATTCCCGCTACACCGGCTCGCCCTCCGAGTGAGCCCTCGGCACACAGCCACTTCATGCATCTGCACCAACCGCTCCCACAACCAAAAACCAGTCCCCCGGAGCTCACCCCGTCCTCCAGCCTTCCAATTCTCCAGCCATTGCTATAGGATGTATGTAGAGTAAGCAAGCATCGCTCGCTCGCTTCGCACGCTACTCGCTTGCGCTACCGCTATCCAGTTTACAACTACTATCCAACCATCTATCCATCCCACCAACCAACCATTCATCCATCCATCTATCCAGTCAGAACCTTATTCACCATATCTCTACTGCCGAGCCACAATCAATGTTCCTCCTCCTCCCTCATCCTCCGCGCGCGTGCAACTGAATGTGCAAAACCACCGGGCCGTGATTGCTCCTTCAAAACGGACCACACTGCCCTACCGTGATATCCGCAACGTTTCGAAAGTGCATCTCCCTTTCCTACCCTTCCTTCCTTCGTTCCTTCCTTCCCCGTTCCGTGATAGGTAGTATGCTACCGTGGATCCGATAGATATATTATACATGTGTAGTGCATCGCTCGCACAACGTGGGTGTTGGTTTAGTGGTCATGTAGGTAGGTCGTTACTCTAGCCGCCCGCCCAGTCTGCGACCCCACCGAAATCCTGCGGCGCCCGCCTGTTGTAACGCACGGTGGACTTCACCACCACAGTCAGCATCCTTAAACGTTATGTAGGTACACCACTCGGCTCGTGCACACTGTGTGCGTATAGGATAGGAGGTGAACATGTGGCTAAACTGTGCTCGGCGCGGGGTTAGCTAGAGTACTCTAGAGTAGGTGGCTAGGGAAACTGTAGATTTGTGCATTTGTGGCCGTGCTATTGGTGAGAGGTGGGAGTGGCTGCTGGTTGCTGCTAGTGCAAGCGCGTAGTGTTGCCGGGACAACCAGCTGACTGCGTGAGTGAGCGGTCGTGATGCCACCCATGCTAGGCTGGAACGTGTCTCAAGCTGGACCGGGCTGAAAGCGGTACTATGTATTGTACATTTTGTTGATAGCCTGCGCGTCTGTCTACCTGGTATACCTGTATGTAGTATTACCGCCGAAGCGACTGCAAGTTGCACTTGAGTGAGGGTTTATGCGACGGCACCTACTTATTCCATTATCCTCCATAACACGGGGTCTACTATCCAGTAGAGTACATCTCACAGTCCTGAGTCAATTGGAACTGCGTCGCCCATCTCCGGAGGCCATGGCATCTGTATCATAAAAAGCATAAAATCATAAAATCACTCCGCGACTCAACCCTATGTTCCCGGGCAGCGGCCTGCCTATTTCGGGAATATTCCGCACCGAAATCGCAGATAATCTCCGTACATGGGCCAGCGGGACGGGACAGCGGAACAGCGGGACGAGCCGAGCCGACCCGAGCCGAGACTCATCCCGTCCCGTCCCTTACATAGGTATGTACCAACATTGCAAACGAACGTGGAGGTTGAGGGCCCGAGAGCACGGGACGGCGGGCGGGATTAATAAACGAGAATCTCGGCAGATATCTATAGTAACTACTCGCCCCACCTGCTCTGCTGATCAGCGTCCCGGGAATGTCGAGTACGTCACTCGAGCTCAGCGATTGCTTTCTGGAGTGGGGTGTGGAAATTGCAAGTCTTCAAGACGGAGCTACTTCTTTGGTTCATCCAAGGACACATATGCACCGGTAGTTAGAGCTGAAGAGCTGAAGAGAACACTACCGGTACCAGCCTTTCGGTTCCCGGGTGACGGTAGCTAGCAGCATGTCGGCCCCTCTAGAGTATGCAGTTCGCATCACTGAAGTCTGAGGGCTGTTGGTGCGTCGAGGCTGGAATTAGCCCTAGAGCCGACTGGGACGGATCTATGTACCTAAATGGCTGAGATGATTGATGATTGATCCCCGCATGGCCGACTATGTATGATACCTAGACCACCGCCGCCACAAGACGGAGTACGTACTCTAAAGCTGGTCTGCCACAGGAAGTATCCCGACTGCCCGCGTCTCTGGGACCACAGGCCACGGCACACTGGTCCCCTCCGTAGCCTATAGGAAGGTGGGGCGGGATAAGTGCCGGTGCACCGTGCGACTGCGGTGGGTAGTAGGTGGTAGGTACTCGTCTATGTATAGATATAGATAGTAGGAGTCCATTTGGATCGCTCGGTGCACCGTTGGCGAAGTGGGTACCCGCCCTTTCAGGTGGCTTCACTATTCCCGAGTCCTGACGAAGCCTGGTGCGCCCCGGGGTGGGTTTGAGACCGGTGAGTTCAAGTTTCCGCGAACACCCGCCGCCGCTTCCGGGGAATCGGATGAGCTCTACGGCGAGGTTCTGGTCTAGGCATGTACCTATGTTCTCCGTCTCGATGAGCTCCCTCGCCGGTAGGTAGGCTACCGTCGACGGGAACTTGAGTTGTGGATGGACTGCTGGTATCCACATACTAGTACATAGCACGCACTGCTCAATAAATCGACGCCAACTACTCGAGCCCAACGAACGAACGAATGATATCCGATGCAGTTACACGGCCGGGACGGGTACCGGTTTCTTGCAGTCAGCGTGCCGAACACCGACCGAGTCACGGAGAACGCGAAGAACACGCGCAGCGTAGCAGATGCCGCAACAACGTAACACGGTAACGGGACATCGAAGCGCTTGGAACGGACGAATACCTACCCAGCCACACGATTCGCCCGGCCGGGGCCACCGTACCCTCTTGCACCCCGCCACGAGTGATAGCACTAGCCTGGACATCCCGTACGGCTGTAGCCGAGAAGAAACTACTATGTAGTAAACACTCCAGGTCGGCCCCCGCTCCCCGCCCTCCGCCCCCCGAAGGTCCGGGGTAAATGGGTCTAGTCGGACTGTCGGACGACTGCGAGTCTACGATCTCTGGAGCCCTGAAGCCCGTTCCCGGCCGGGTGATCCACCGGGGGAAGCGATCGCTACATCACGTCTTCGCGCTCTATTCACGACCGCTGACCCGGTGGCCGGTATTTCCGCGCGCTCGCCCAGGTCGGTTGAACCCCCGGCCGACTGCCCGACCGACCGCCCCTCGCACGGCGACGGCGGCGGCGCCGGATGGCCGAGGTCGCTCGGTCGATATCTCATCCATCCGCACGTGGTGATCTGGTGTGATCTGGTGTGTTCTTCCCAGCTCTTGCGACTACTCGCGTTCGTCTCAGTCCAATCAGGTCCAGTCTGGTGCTCGTTGGTGGAACGTGCAATGATTAAGCCACAGAGCTGTGCCCAACGACGAATGCCTTCGGAATCTGATGGACGGGTTGTTCTCATAGCATACCCATACCTAAAGGCTGAGGCTTGGATCATCGTTTCTGGTTGTCGAATCGCCCTCCAAATGAGCGTATCGAGTGAGATATTATGAACGACTCTGTAGCAAACCTCCAAGCACATTACCGATTAAATGCTCCGCCGACGTCCCAACACCTCCGCCTATTTCCCACCGATTCCTCCATTCCTTCGCACATGTCCTCGCTCAAATTTTTGTTACAGTTCCAAGTCGCAAGAGAGTATTTTGCCAAAATCCAGAGAACCAAATCTCACGATTTTAATTCGCAGTAGTAGCCCCTGTGGCATTCCATCCTCATCATCCTAAAAACTTCGAACCAACAAAACCACCAACCCCCCTTCACCCGAAAGAACGAATGCCCGGACCCTATGCCAGTAACCAGAAACCAGAAACCAGAAAGTAAGAAAGAAAAAAACCGCATCGACAAAACTCCCCCAAGAAAACTAACATGACGTACTCGTTTTCTGTATCTGAAAGAAAGAGAAGAAAAAAAAACACAAACATCCAAAATCTAGATAGAAAGAATGGAAACAAAAAGCCACAACCGTGAAGAATACATGAAAACAGGGTGTGAAAAAAGTGGTATCATAATCATCTGCCGCCAAAGATAAAGAAAAAGAAGAAAAGAAAAAACAATAATCATGAACGCTTTCCTCCGGGTATGTTAAAACCAAATGCAAAGAAGATGGATGTGATACAGACAGCTCGAGCCGAGGAAGAAAAAAAAAGGGACTATAGATGCCAGAAACAAAGGAAATATAACAATACAGATACAATCCCAACATTCGTACAGATACATGATTGATATGCTCCCAAAAACCCGAAAGTCCTCCCGACCCAAAAAAAATACATGACTTTTAGCTTCTCTCCGTCGAGAAACACATAATGCAAACGCCTTCCCTTGTATATAACAGAAACTTTTCTTTACCACGATTCCCCCTCTTGTTTTCCCTACCGGCCGATGAAAGAAAAAGAAAAAAGAAAAAAAATAGAACAAAATAAAAACAGAGGCCATGTTGAATGTAGGAAAGTCGTAAGAAAAAAAGATTATTAGAGATGTCGAGCAAATGCAGGATTAGAGCCTGCGAGGTGGTGCAGCCAGGGAGTGGCGGTTGAAGCGATGTCCGCTCCTCGACAATGGCCTGGCGATCTCGACACGTCGTCCCTGTCTGGAGTTGGGTCGCTCGATCTCCAATCCCTTTCGTAACAGCGCCGCCTTCTCGAAAATCGAGTTGACGTTGCGTGGCAAAATCTGCAGCGGCTTGGGAGAAGGCAAAGGCTTATCGGCAAAGCGGACTACCTTGGACTTGTTGGCAATCTCCTCGGCCTCGGCAAACCCCTCATCTTCCCAGGAGGCATCGTCATCATCCTCGCCCTCCGACTCGGAGTCCTCCTCATCGTCGTACGAATCATCGTCAGATTCAGACTCCTCGGACTCGTCGTACTCGGACTCCAGACGCGAAGGAGTGTCACCGACTTGCACCATCATGGACTCGGCCAAAGAGCGGTCAGAGTATCTGCGGGAGATGGACTTGATTGGAGTCTCGAATCGCAGCTGCTTGACAACGGGAGCCTGTTGCACAGGCTCTTGGAAAGGCATGATGGCCAGCGCATTGTGCTCGAGGTTCTCGACCGTAACCGGGGACTTCTGAGGCTGCGAGGATGTCTGACTGTTGTTCAGAGAACGACCACGGACAATCTCGACACCGAAGCGGGTAGGATGTTCGGTGGTCGCTGACGTGTTCGTCGACGACGGGATGCGCTGCTCCGGCTGGGGTTGCTGCTTTGGTTGAGGCTGAGTCTGAGCCTGAGCCTGGGGCTGGGCGATGGGAGCCTGCTGAACTAGGGGCTGGGGTTGGGCCTGAGGCAATGGGTTTCCTGCCGTAAGAGCACGTGTCGGCGGCTGCGAGGGTGCAACCATCTGGTAGACATGGCCGTTCGCGGTCTGCACGGTGTTGCGCTGTGGTTGAGTCTGTGGCTCCTGCTTGCGTTCGGCCGATCGGTTGGCGCTCCGTTGGATGGGCAGCTGCTGCTGGGGCTTGACCTGCTGAGGAGCTACCTCGGAGTTGATGACCTGATTGAGACGCTCACGTACGCTGTCGATCACTTGCTGTGGGACCGAGCGCTCCTGAGAAGGCTGTGGCTGAGGCTGAGCAGCAGCAGCAGGCGACTGCTCAGAGCGGATGGAGTGCTGAGGCCGGCCCCGGACCGGTTCGGGCAGGGGCAGCGCCGGCTCGAGTCTGATGGGCTCGTACCTGCGTCCCCTAGCATCTACCAACGGGCCGTTCTGCTCGGGAGAACGCTCGACACGGGGAGGGAGGACTGGTTCCGAGATGGTAGCGCTCCTCCTCACGGTGGGCCGAACTGGCTCCCGGTATTCCTTTCCCTCCGGGCTGTGGTTGACTCGTCGCTGGGGTGGCGGCGGGAGGTCGGGAACGAACTGTCTTTCCGGCGAGCGGTTGATACGTCGCGGCGGCGGTGCCTGCATCTCGGGAACGTATTGGGCATTCTGATGGCCATGCACGTTGGGACGAGCCTGAATCACAGGAGATGGCTCGGCTTGCCGGTGCGATAGGCCGGGACGGCCGTTCTCGGTTGCATAGTTCTTCTTCGTAGGGATGCTGCTGTTATTCGAGGAGGGAGGTGTGATGATCTGAGGCATCCTGTGAGGCTCCGACATGAAAGGGTTCGGGCTGGCTCGCTTGGATGGAGGGTTCGATGGGGGGTTGCTCCGGACCTCAGTGTTGCGTCCGCGGCTGGGAGGGATCTGGTAGTTTCCGTGCTGATGCATGTGGTCATGACCATGGGGGGCGCTCAGATAGCCAGCAGCCTGTCGGCTCAGCGCTTCGCCTTCCTGAAGGGACTTCTCGACAGAGAAGTTCAGACTCTTGACGTCGGGCTTCGATCGCTTGGGATTGGTGTTGCTGCGGCGGACGAACCCATCGCCGAGGCCGCGATCTATATGGCCGCTGTCCCTTCTCGTCGGAGACCGATTCCGCTGTTGGTGCTCGAGGTGCATGGGATCGAACCGTGGGGTATCGAGGCTTGTAGTCTTGGTGCTAGCAGAAGATTGGCTAGAAGTTGATGAGAAGCTATAAGCCGATTGCGAAGACGGGGCGAAAGACGATGTCAGCGATGACTGCGTGGATGATTGGGGATGCCCGGCATCAAATTGCTCATCGTACCTCTGAACATCGCTGGTGGAGAGCGCCGAATAGTGCATGTTTCCGAAGGTGGGTGCGCCGAACACGGGAATCTCGTGGGAGTGGTACGGGTAGTTGGAGGGAAGGTTGGGCGGCGTCGGAGGCAATGTCGCCTGGAGGTACTCCTCCAGTCGTTGGAGGAGAGGGTTGTAATCGTTCTGCGTCTCCTCCGAGTACTTTGGCCACGGATCGTGCTGGAACTGGCGCAGAGACTGCAGAAAGCATCGGTAGGACGGCGGAGGTCGCACGCATACCGACTGAATCTTAGCACCCAACTCCTGGTTGTGCAGGAGAACGCTGTTGACCATGGCGACCTGGCTCGACGTGAGACGGTGCATCGGGAAAACAACATCCTCATCCCTCCGCCGGTCGAAGCCCCTCGCGTTGGCGGGCGCGAACGCCTGCTCCACCTCGACGGGAAGCTGCCAACCCTCCTTCGTAAAGTTCATGTCGTTCCTCTTCATGTCTTTGTAGTAGCGGTGAGGGAGTTCGTGGGGCAGGCTCTCAAGCAGGGACTTGCGCAGTCCCCACCGTTTTCGCTGTCGCGCCGTGAGGTCGGGATGCATCAGGGTGGGATGGCAGAGCGCCACGACCAGCGTCGGCGAAAGGACATAAATCTGATGCCACATGAAATCCCGGGTGTAGAGGTGCTGCTCCATCTGCAACGGAGTCATGTCGATCTTCGAGTTCTTCTTCGCCCCGATCTGACCACCCTCAAAGCCACCGAACGCCGAGTCGGTGAGGATGAACTCATCGCCGGGCATCGCCTCCCAGAAAACCATGTACCTCTCAACCGCGTTTGCCTTGTAATCTGCTCGGTCCAGGTCAAAGATCGAGGTGGTGCTGGGAACCTGGTGGTGCGGAGTATCCAACATGCGATCGACATTCCGCAGCCAAACATCCCTCGCATGCTGTAGATCGTTGTTCTCAATGAATTTCCTTCGCCTGATGCGCGCATTCTCCATAAATTCGTGGTGCGCGAGCAAGTGCATGTTCCTCTCCCTATTTCCGACCGAAGTCATCAAATACAAAAACTTGCGGAACGTGTTGATGTCCTCTCGTGGGAACGGCACCTCCGATAGAGGCTGGTTTCCGTGAATCTGCCAGATGGGATCGGCCAGCTGGGTGTAAATTTCCCGATCAACTCGCTGTAGCGAGAGAAACTTGGAAACACCGGTGGATTCGAAGGCCTGGCGAGTGAGGTTCTCGAAGTAGGAGGCATAAATGTCGTTCTTGCCGAAGCAGTTTCGCCAGTGTTGCGGCTCGAATTCTTGTTGTTCGGGGTGGAAAAGGGTCAAGAGTTCGCCATCACCGATGAGGTGCCTGATTCGAGCGACAAGAACCGTCAGTATTGCTTCTTAATCTACAAAAAAAAATGTTCGCGACCGTCGCAGTCGAAACGGAAAGAGCAAACATGTGTGAAAATGAAACAAAGGAAGTCAAGCTCCTTGCGCGCGCGTACATTTGGTTCTCCTCGTAGACCACCAACATATTAGGATCGCCCGACCCGCAGAATGTTTTTAACACATATTCGGGGATGAAGTTGCGAAACTGGCGCAGCTCCTGGGTTTGGTCGTGCTTCATGAAGAACAGATCCGCCGTCTGGCGGGAGTAGTCCGTGTCGGACATGTCGGGCCGTATCGGAGGCGCTGCTCGCCGACTGAAAACGTGGGTTCGCGATGGAAATGCTGATGAGATGCCGATGCAAGCTGTCGCCACTTTAATATTAATTTGTTGTTCTTGCAAACGACGCAACGCGTCCACAAATCGGAACGACTGCTATTGAAGATGAAAGCTGCGCGTCGATATGAAAGGGAGACCCGTGGGATATGAGATAGGATGATAGTCGGGTGGTTTTTTTTTTGTATCTGGCGATGTGTGCGGGTATGTATGAGAGAAGAAGGAAAGAGAAGGAGGGAGGGGGGACGGGGGTGTGGGCTTTGGTTATGCGGGAGGGACGCGGGAGAAATGGCTAGTGAATTGCGATGAGAGGATTTGAGGGAGCAAGCGTCACAGCCTGGCCTTTCAGGGCCGGGGGGGCTGTGGGAGGGAGGGCAGGAGGGAGGGGGGGATGGCGGGAATTAATTCTTGGGAAATTCTCTGCAGCCAGCTGCCCAGACGGTGCCTGGCGGAGTTGCACGCAACCAGAGTCGAGCTGCAGAGAGGCCAGAAAAACGGAACGAAACGACGGGCTCTGAGTGGCTAGAAGCGAAGTGTGCATGATGTACACTTCCGGCTTTCCTGGGGAGAGGCGGGGATATGATTGGGGCGGAGGGGAAAGAATAGGGATATGACATGACTGCTTGCCCGGGGGAGAGAGACAAGTCAAGAAGGCTGAGGCAGTGTGGGACGATGATGATGATGCCGGTGATGATGATGATGATGATGATGATGGTGATAGTGGTTGGTTATTTAGGGGGGGGGTAGGGTGCGGAGTCATACATACGAGGGAGCGACAATGACGGGGGTGGGGGAAATAGGATCAGGCAGACAAAGGGGTGGCAGGAACGAGCAGGAGCGGACGCGACGAAGGAGGAGGAGAAGAAGAAGAAGCAATAATAGAGCATGTATCATAGAATCTTCGAGACAGGTAAGAGAGTCCACGACATACCTTTATTTGTGGCCGAGCTCTCGGTGGCTGCACAGCGCAGGTAGTATCGGTCAAGAAGGTGATCGGCTGTTGATTATCCTGAGAGCGATGAGTGTGGGGTTCTGATATATTGGCTTTTATTGTTTATTTGTTTGTTTGTTGCACTCGTTCGGGAACGGGAATAGGTGGACGGTGGTATGCGTGCACAGCAATTGCTTCACGGCGGGGCCCCCCTCTTTCAACCAGCGTCCTCCACGTCTGTTCGCCACAGGGAGAGAGAACGTCCGTGTTGCTGCAGATTTCCAGAAGATGGCGTCGAAGTTCTCGGGCTAGGTGAAACCGTAGGGAGGTGGATCGTCGAGAGCGCTAACACCCGAGGTAGGCAGGAGTAGTGGTGCTAGTAGTAGCAGTGGTAGCTCCGGCGGCAGAATGTGCGACTGTAGGAGATGATGATATCGTTCGGTAGAAGTGCTGTCGGAGCCGGGGGGGGCAAAGGATCCGAAGTCGAGTCGAGTCGTAGTAGCAGGTGGAAGGCAGTAGTAGCAGACGAGGAAACCAGGAGCGGGAACGGTGAGGGTAGTAATAGCAGTTGCCGCAGCAGTGGTAGCAGTAATGGCACTAGCAGGAGATCCGTGAAGGTTTTTGTTGTTGTTGTTGATGATGATGATGTTGTTGTTGTTGATGTTATTGTTGGTGTTGTTGTCGTTGCGTGATGACGCATAAACACAGCCCGGAAATGCCCTATAAACAAACCAGCGACAAAGCTCCCGATGCTACTGGACCGAAGGCGACGGGCGGCGTGGGCGTGCAAGCGGGGGGATGGCGAAGCGTTAAGCAGGAGCCGGCCGATGAAATGATTGACGGAGAGATTTCTGAAACCAAGGAAGGAACCCGGGACGATTCCGAGAGCCTTACTGGACGAGAGCTATGATTTCAAGGAGGGTACCGGTATGGTTGGCGGGCTATGGGGTTCAACGGGCCGAATCTCGAATCCTATGATATGTCTGGTTCTGCTTGTTCCTGGCCTTGTTCTCTTTGTGTTCTTCTTCTTCTTCCTATTGATCGTGATCTTGTTCTTGTTCGTGTACTTCTTCAGCTTCTTCTTCTTTGCCTTTCTTTCAGTCTCTGGCTCTGTCTCCTTGCGAATATACGGCGAGTTTGGTTTGGGGTGGGTAGTATGCAGTCGTATGAATGGAGAAGGGATTCCTTAAGCAAGCAAGCAAGCAAGCAGAAGGACGGAAGAAACGAGCAGAGGAGGGTTGGTGGTGGGTGGTGGTGGGAAGCCGTGCATTTTATTTTCTGCAGCCATTCTGCACGCGCACCATCCCTCGTCCTTGCCATATAGCACCCCCCTTCGCCTTTACGACGACCATTATTATTCAACCCGAAGTCTTCCTGTGGCGCCCGTTCTGTCCCTCCTCCCTCTATCCCTCCGCCCCCCCCCCCTCCCCGGAGCAACCCTTTATTTTCGCTCGTCCTATGCCACTTTGTAGATATGATTACCAGTCTGTCTGTACCGAATGTAGCCTGTAGGTATCTCCAGCAATTTAAATCCGTCCGTTTTCTTTTCTTTTTCGGGGCACCACCCCTTCTCTTTCTATCTTTCTCACGGATGATCCATGCTTTTGTCTTTTGTCTTTTCTTTTTTCTTTTTCTTTTCTTTTTTTCCCGCTATCCCTTGTCGGAGTCGACCAATGATCATGGCGGGGAAGGGGGGCTTTACTCTACGCGGTGTGGCCAGCTATGGCTCGTGGTGGTGGTGGTGGTGGTGGTGGTGGTGGTGGACAGTCGAGTGCGGTAGACACGCCCAGACAGATGTCTTGACTCTTGCCCTCCCTCCCTCCTCCCTCGAGAGAACATGACATGGTTCCTCCTGGTCTCGAGGAAACAATTAACCGCTCACGACGGAGCGACGGGGGGGAGCGACGGGGAACATGGTACGGTGATGGCGATGGTAATGGTAGTGGTGGTGCTTGCGGAAGGCCGGGCTGATACCGCTGGTACCCTACGTACCGAAACTACTAGTTACGCCAACGGGAGGGTGGTTCACTGGTTCCAGCTTCTAACACAGCCGCGAACACTCCGACGACGCCTATATACGACGACGAAGACGACGCCACTGCATACGACGCCCACTCAAGTACAGACACCCCCCATACAACACCCATACACCGACTCCCGACTCGACACGAGAATCTCGGCACGAGAGGCTTACTGACTGAACTCCTGTCCTGTGTCGGCGAGAGAGAGATTGAAGGGCCGGCTGGCTGGTTGTGTCGGAGGTTGAGCCTATCATCAGCATCAGCATCAGCATTAGCAGCATCAGCATCATTATCCACGAGTAAGGGCAAAGGGACAGAAGGCGGAAGAAGGGGCAGAAAGGCAAGGGCACTCCGAACAATAACCTGCGACGAGCATGACGGCCGGCCGGGCGTTCTGCTAGGTATCATAGATACTCCTCCTACCATGGAATGCCATGTGCATAGCAATAAGACCCGCGGCAGTGGATGCTCCTTGTATCCCACCACCAAAGATCGCTGCACAGGTACTTGCCTACATACTCTACCCACATATCCACATACATACATTCTTCCACGGGTTCTCTGCAGTCCAGTTGTGGCCTGCCTATATCATATGTACTCTAGAGTGGTTCACTCCACTCCACTCCACTCCACTCTATGTAGTAGTACCGGCACTCTACTCCATGTAGCCAGAGTGCCTACAGCTCTCTACCGTAGAGTGGGCATGATACTCTAGCTCGCTCTGGATCCTCAGGCGAGAAGGCGAGAAGGCGAGAAGTTCCCTTGCGTGTTTGATTTGATTTGATTTACAACAGGCAAAGAAGAAAGGATTTTATCTTTTCCTTTCCACTTTGAGCTCGATTCACGACATGCAAGAAGCAAGGAAAGGGCAGCCATCTTTTCTTTTCCCTTCCCCTTTGGGACTGATCCACAACGAAAAAGAAGAAAGGAAAGTGCAATGTTTTTCCTTTTCCTTTTCCTTTCCCTTCCCTTCCTCTTTGAGGTTGCCGTGAAACATCTCGAGCCCCCGAGGCCCCTTTGCGGTTAGGGTAGCAGAGGTTTCACCACTCTACTGAGTCTACTCTGCTCTACCCTCTGTCGCACACCCACGAGTCATGAACAACGAGCCGGATCGTCGACGACGAGAGCTAGTTAGGGCTAGAGCTGGTGGGGTTGGGTGGGGTGGGGGAAAGCAGGGAAACAGAAAGACGAAGGAGAAGAAGAAAAGAAACGAAAAAAAGAAAGAGAAGGAAAGAAAAAGGAGGGCATAAACGCAACCCCACGAAGCAGCCTTCGCATTGTGCCGAGCGCATACGGCACATATCACACCCCTTCTTGCGGTTGCGCCGAATGGCGAACGCTGCATATTCGAAGCGCTCTGACACCGAGCCGGCCGGGCGGCCAACCGGAGACGAGCGTAGAGATAGAGTACGGAGAGCGAGTAGAGTACTTCGACGGATAAACCGAACCGGAAAATCGTGCGGTGCGGTGCCTCCGCCTTCGCCGACGGGGTTCCACAGGTAGCCATCGACATCGACATCGCTCCCCGCCATATCATAGGTACGGTAATCAAACGCCATGCGCCCGCGTCCCCCTCTCCCCCGCAAAGCAGCTTCTCGATCTAGAGTACCTAGGATTTTGCCCAGTGCCGGTCGTAGAATAGAGTACCTACTCTAATGTAAGGTGTGTATGGTAGTCTAGAGTAACGGAGCATAAGTTCGGCGCCGTAGGTACATGTCATATGCAGCGTACATACCCATATTGACTCTTGAGTGGTCTGTCACCGCCGGCGTCGTGGGGTTATGTACATATCTTCATACATATCCACACATATCCGCACACATCTACAGCATAACTACAGCATAACCATAGCTGCTGTATGGTAACGAATGTCACTCCACCTAGGCACGACATCTGTATGTACACGGAACGACAGGCACAGGTTCTGCTGCTGCTCGCTGCTGCTGCATTCTGCAGGCTGACCTGAGGTCAGTCGGTACATATATGTATGGAGGGCGACTGCGACGCGACACTCGTTCCCGCGCGCGCGCTGCCTGCTGCCCCCCCTACCTTACCCAGTTGCCCACCGCGCCGAACTACCTTACCTTACATACATACCGCACATATCATACATACCATACATACATGTACAGAACGCCCGACATCGAGATTTCCCATCTAGATCTTGCGAAATCTCCCCACACCCATCGCTCCTGACTTCCCTTTTCCCTTTTCCCTTTTTTCCCGCCGGCCGGCCGCACGGACGTGAACACCCGACCCCCCAACTCAACACAGCACTGCAACAGATGGGAGGGTAGGGTAGGGGAGGGGAGAGGAGGGGAGGGATGGGGAGGGATGGGGAGGGGAGACCCTTTTTCTTTCTATCTTTCCGATCGAAGGGCTTACGGGGGACGGGGGGACGGGGGGATGGTTCGCGAACACCAGCCGGGCGGAACGAGGACGTGCGAGCTGAGTGTTCTGTCCCTCCACCCCCGACCCCGTTCCTCCCCCTGTCGCGAAGTGCGGGGGCGGGGTTTAAAGGCCTTTTTTTTTCTCTCGTCTCTTTCACGAGCCGGCGCGAGGGACCGTTCTCGAGCGAGAAAGGCTATGGCTTGAGTGCCGGTATCGATGGTGCCTATGCTCACGCACTTGCCTTGTTCGCCCCCCCCCCCCCCCCCCCCCCCAAAAAAAAAAAAAAAGACGGGACGAGAGGGCGGAAGGAACGAGTTACGAGTGTGGCGGAGGGCGAGGGCGAGAACGAGGGCGAGAACGAGAACGCGTACTCCATGCGAGGCGAACCGGTCCTCGTCTCAACCGTCAACTCTCTGCCTGTGCGTGTGTGTGTGATGGGAGTGTGTGGTGTGTGATTGGAATGTGTGTGTGGCCGTCGTGTGGCTCGTGAGTGAGTGAGTGAGTGTCCGGCCGGTCACTGGAATGTATTCGTGTGGGGTGTAGTTCGCTACGGTAACTATCCCCAACCCTTCCCAACCATCCCAAATTCCAATACCATCGATCGCCAAATACATGTCAATCACTCATGATCATGCAACCTCTGAGTGGCCGGGCGGCAGTGGAGGTGGTGGGGGTTGAGTATGGATCGAAGAAGAGAGCTCTCCAGAGTTCAAACTTGGGGGGAGGGGGGGGCGCCGGGGCGGACACAAACGAAAAGAAACCAACCATTCGCGACCATCACCCCCCCTCTCCCCGTTCCCTCCTCCCCAACCAAACAAAGGCTCGTGCAGGCGATGACGTCCTGCAGAGTGCAAGCATCCCGAGCCCGGTAGCTCGCTCCCCCCCCCTCCCCCAGAGATCATCTCTCGACACTCTACTCTACCGTACTCTATCGACAACCCCCCCTTCGGAGCGCACCACTCAGAGCCCGTTCCTTCAGCCGGACCGCGTTCACTATCGTCCGAGCTCTGGAAGAAATGAGATATACCATCACACGCGCTGCCGTAGGTATGTCTCATTGTCCCGATCATCGTGGAAATGATCCCGCCGTGATACATACCCATCACGAGGCTGGCCTGGATCGTGAAGAGGGAGAAGATGAAGAAAAAGAAAAGAAACTAGAGAAAAGAAAAGGAAAGGAAACAAAAAAAAGGGACTGGAATCTTCCTTTCCTCCCAAGGACCCTTCCCTTTCCCCTTCCCTTCCTTCCCCCTTTGACATTTGTTGAGTCATGCTGCCTTTCCGGCCCACAGGGCCACAGCCAATCCAAACCAATCCAAACCAAACCAACAAGGAAACGGCCAGAATTCAGAATTCAGAATTCGACTGATATGATTCATATTCCATCATCGAAACGGAATTATACCATTGGCTGCACACATTCTTGGCCTACTACTCGAGAGTACCTATACGGATCATCAGCATCACCGAGTCAGGTCGGCTGTGAACTGTGAGACTTGCATGCGAACTCAAGTGTCTACATATGCTACTCTTCCTAGCTGCTGCATAGAAAAAAGCAACCATCTGGTTACCTGGAGTATTTATCAGAATCATCACGTTCGCAGGTTCGCACTTCGCAGCCCGGTTTCTGAGTCTGAGTGACCGTGTGAGTGCCGAGGTGCATGTGAGGTACTCTACATGTGTGTGTGTGAATGACCACTACTTCCTTCCGTGACAGCTGCCGGATTATCTCTCGACAGGCTTTCGGACCCGAGCTGGGAGCCTTTCGATGGATGCTCTCCACTCTATGGCAAGTAGTTCCTGCTTTCAAGTTGCTTGCCTGCCTGCCTGCCTGCTTGCTTGCTTGCTTGCAGACGGGAAGAAGTGCGGTGCTGCTGTGTGGTGCTGCGGGCGAGCGGTGTGTGTCTCCGAGTCAAACTAACTGTGGTTCAGTAGATGATACGGTACATATCATACTTCCTACATACTACATACTACATACTACTTACGGTACTCATCACTACGGTAGATACTATCGACGGTACTCATCACTACGGTAGATACTATCGATCGAATGCATTGCTCTATCTTGCGTGTGGGGCGTGCGCCTGCATTACATACACACATACATGCCCACCGTACATACCGTACATATCATACCTCACCTCGCGACTTGCGTCACTTCCGAATCGATGGCCGGCAGATGATATATGCTCTGTGCTCTATGCTCTATGCTCTATGCTTTATGCTTTATGCTTCATGCTTCATGCTTCATGCTTCATGCTATATGCTACATGCTCTATGCTACATGCTACCGCTATGCTCTATGCTCTATGCTACCCGTAGGTACATATGCCCTCCAGCTCCATCTAATCACTATCCAGCGCGCAGTCTCCACAGAGAGCTACGGCGTCTATCCACTATCATCCACTATCTAGCGCGCAGTCTCCGCAGTCTCCACAGAAAAGCTGCGGCATCCATCTACTCTATCCACCCTATCCACCCTATCCATCCATCTCTATCCATCTCTCGGTGAGCTGTGAGCTGTGAGCTGTGGGGTAGCTGTGGCTATACTATAGGTAGACTGCTTACGGATATTGAGCGATGAAGGCTGCGTTTGGGCTGCGGTTTATGGGGTATGAGATGGATACCTACCTACACACCGAGATGAGCTCAGCCCAGCTATGTAACGGGCCGAGGCTGGTCATGGCTGTCTGGCTGGCTGGCTGTCACGGAATTTCTCGGGCTGCGGGGAGGGAGGGGGTCTGGACTCTCGGGGTGGACGAAGCGGGCACTCGGCTCTCGACAAATAACGGCAGAGCACGGTAACTAGAGTACCGTACCAACTTTCAAGTGGGTGGCGGGTGGTGGGGTGGGGTGGGGTGGGGTGGTGGGAGGGGGGGAGCACTCAGCATGCCATGTTTCGCGTGGACCTTGGTACTCCACCGTAGTTATCATACGCGACCTGGATGGATGGATGGATCGAGTTGTCGTCAGTAAAATAAAAGGAATCAATCGAATCGCGCCTTTTCTTCCGACCGACCGCATACCGCTCCCGACTTCCGCGGGCACGGAAGACATACAGACATACGAGGGTTGGGGGGAGGAGGGGCGCAGGCAGGCATCATCATCGTCTCGACTCGTCGGATTGCCGCCCGCCCGCCCACATCGAATCGAAGGTGTGCAGAGTAGGGGTTGTGGGGGTCGGGGGTCGCGGGGGCCTCGAGAGCTTTAGTTCTTTAACTATCGATCCGATTGCATCACGTCGTCGATGAGCAGCGATGATAGGTATTTGCGGCAGCCAAACCGCACCGTTCACCGCACCATACCGCGCAGCGCAGTGACGACAAAGTACATTCGAAACGCAGGGTCTTCCCTGGGCTCTCCAGGTAGCTGCTACTCGACCACTCTATGGACGATACATCTACCGCACCGCAAAATCCGCCCGAGATCCGAGTACCTCCGACGTACTCTACCTTTTCCCTTCCCCCCCTTCCCCCACCCTCGGAGAGGGAGAGGGAGAGGGAGAGGGAGACAGAGCGATGGCCCCCCGATCGTGCACATGATGTGAAACACGCAGGCAGCACGCAGCACCCACGCAGCACGCGAGGTACTTTGCGCGCGAGAACGTGATGGATGGATTGAGATTGGATTGGGATTGGGATTGGAAATGTGAAGGGGATGGGAAGGGGATGGAGCCGGCTGTCCGCCGGTTGTAGCTCGGACCTTGGTCCCGACGATGGGGCAATGATATCTATATTGGTTGCTTGCTTACCGATTGATGGTGTTGAATGATGGTGTTGATGTGTAAACCTATGTGCTTAGGTGGGACTCCCGGGTATGTACCGGTATGTAGATTGTACTGGTATATACTGGTGTGTAGATACTTGTGTACATACACCTTCCCCTCCTCCCCCTCCTCCTCCACAAGCTCCACCACCTCCAGCTCCACCACCACCAGAGCTTCCCTAGCTGCCCAAGCTTCTCAAGCTCGAACTGACAGCTACCCGACATCACCACCACCACCATTGCATCGCATCGTCCCCTCCCTCGCCCCTTCCCCACCACCCCCTCCCCACAATTATCCATAGAGAGCTTACATCAACCCACAGCTCGCATGCCCCACACATCCCATATTCCGGATATTTACATACATACAGTTTCCTCTCTCTCGAGCTATTGATTTTAGCTTTTTGCTTTTTTTCTGTTTGCAACCCAATATCCCACCCACCCTCTCCCGACGTGCGGAGCGCTGACTCGGAGGCGCTGTGTCAAGTTCACCCGGATATATATTAATCCCCACCATCTCACCTTCTGCCATCCACAATGCACATGTAGGTATGTGAAGTACTATATTTTTGTGGGTGGATGGCTTGGCTGACGGCTTGGCTGTCTGGTAGGGCTTGGCGGGCTGGTCGCGATGATGATGCTGATCGGTGTCGATATCGATGGGAGGGACGATGGGAGGGAGGATAGAATGCATTCCCAGGTTTATGCCGCCTTCATACATACCCAGGTCCTACCTAGGTCGCACCTGGGTAGCCGTGGGAGATGAAACGCTGATGCTGATGATGATGATGCTGATCTCTAGCTCTAGCTCTAGCTCTGCAAACGAAACGCAACGAAACGAACCCGAAACTGAATCCCGTGAGCACTGGTGGGTAGGGTCAGGCAATAACTATCGGTCGAGATTTTATATAGAGTGATGGTAGTGGTGGTGGTGGTGGTGGTGGTGGTGGTGGTGGTGGTGAGCGCTCGGGTGATGTGATGACACATTAACACGAGAGTTATACTTCCGCCGACCGTGCGACAGGTCAGGACAAGCCTCGTGTTCGGTGTTCTGGCCAGTGGCCACGCTTGGGCTAGAGTAGAGTACCGTAGTTACCATGCCATACCATGCTATCAGAGTAGCAGTAGCATGGAAATCCCAGTGTCGATTGCCGTTCCTTGTGAAGTGCCTACCGGTACCTGTGTATCTCCCACGGCCACGGCTCGGCTGGGATGGGCTGGACCGGGCTGGGATAGTTAGGCTGGCAGGGCAGGACAGGGCGCGGCTGGGCTGATATCGCTCGGGGTTCGACGTTTCGAAGTTTCGAATCATTCCTGAAGTACCATGCTCTACCTCAGCCCAGCCAAGTACCTGCTTGCTTACCTAACCATCCTCATCCTAACCCACACCCACACCCTCTCCCTCTCTCTCTCTCTCTCGCACATAACTCATGCACACATAGATGCACGCAGTGCGCACACACAAGGCGCGGCCCCGGGGCCTTCCAAATCACGCATGCGTGTATGTATGCTTGTATGCATGCATGCATAACTGCCTTGTGCAGTTGCATGGCGTCGAGGCCGCGCATCACGACACACTTCGCGACTATTGCTTCCCTCCATGGATGATGGGCTATGGATGATGGGCTATGGATGATGGGCTGTATGCATTCCTGGTATGGGCGGTATGGTTTGTACGGTGGGGTTTATACGGCATGGTATGTAGAGCCACGGCTATCCTTTCCATCCGCATACCAGGCTCAGGCTCCATTCGTATTCCCAGGCTTCATCCCTATCAATGTCAATCCGCACCCAGCCTCCAGCCGGACGGAGGGACAGAGGGATAGAGGGGACATCCGGACAGAGGGGACAGCCGGATAGATGGGATACGGATAGATGGGATAGATGGAACAGAGTGGACAGACGGATAGATGGAATAGATGGGACAGACGAGAACGAGGATGAGGACGAGGACGAGGATGAGGAGCAGGATGGGGATCAGGAAGGAATGGGTGTAGTGGGGTCTCAGCCCCCCAACGCATCGACGGCGAGAGTGAGTGAGTGCTCAGTGTTCGCACTTCATATGCAGCAGCAGCAGCTGTCTGTAGGGATGTGGGATGGAGGGGGATGGAGGGGGATATCCAGCACACGAGCATTCGCTCGGACTGAAGCACTCGCCGGGCTGAACGCCTCCCCACTGCCTACTCTAGTGCCCACCGCGCAACAGCCACCGGCATTCCCCAACTCCCACTCCAAATCCTCATGCGCGAGCCGGAGCCTGAACCTGAGCCTTCCTGAGCCTGAGCCTGAGCCTGAGCCTGGGCATGAGCCTGCCTGAATCTGAAAACCCGAAAACCTGAACCTAAACCCGAGCCTGCCTGAATCTGAAAACCCGAAAACCCGAACCTAAACCCGAGCCTGCCTGAGCCTGAAAACCCGAAAACCCGAACCTAAACCCGAGCCTGCCTGAGCCTGCGCCTGAATCCGAGCCTTCTGTGCCTTCTGTGCCAGCTGTGCATGTCATCACCGTCGCCGTATGTATCACTATCATCCCCGTCGCCGTCGTCGTCGCCCTGGTCGTCGCCGTGTGTCGTCGTCGCCGTATGTGCCTATGTCGCCGCCGAATGTGCCTATGTCGTCGCAGTGTGTCGTCGTCGTCGTTGGCGGCGGCGGCGGCACAGACTGCAGAGCACGACATCTTTTCTCCGAAAGTTAGTGACCGACCATGCGTTCCAGAGTCCGTGCGCTCCGGAGTCTGTGCACACTGCACTGCACACTGCAGTGGCCACTCAGCACTGACTGCACGCCGTGCACGGCGCGAGAAAGGGTCGCAAAAATAGATGCACATGCAAAAATAATGAAGACCGCCAAAAAGGGAAACTAGAATAAGTGGAGGAAAAAGCGAGCGAGCAAGAGAGCGAGAGACAGCGGCCGGCGGGGTTACTACCCGTCCGCTCGCTCGCGCGGTCTCGCTTCCCCCGGAACGCACTTGCTTAGGTACCGTCCTGGCCCGTCTCGCGGCCTATGTATGCTACGTCGACAGCGCAGTATACAGCGCAGCGTGCCTGGGTGAATCAGCATCGACCACGGCACGGTACGATACGGTACGGTACGGTATGAGGTAACTACTACTACTAGGTACTGCTAGTTAGTAGAGCACGGTACGGTACGGGCGAGCCGTGTCTTGAATCGTGGAGACTTGCAGTACCGCGGCAGTTATAATAGTCACATAGTAAGGTAGGTAAGGACACATATAGACATAGGTACCGTAGGTATCGAGATTCTAGGTATCTCGTGGTGAAGCCACATGCAACGAGCATTGGGCACTGGGCACTGGGCACTGGGCACTCAGGACAGGCGAACATTCTCCCCCTGCGCTGCCTTGGACACTCTACTAGGTAACCAGTAACTAGTAGCCGGAGAAGGATGATCTGCGTGCGCCGTGGCTACAGCTGTATCGTTACAGCTATCTATATCTCTATATCTGTCTATCATCTATCTGTCTATCTGTTTAGCTGCAGCTCACGGAGCTTTGTAAGCTTTGCTGGAGTAGAGTACTCGAGCAGTAGTACGAGCTTCTCACGCGAAAAGAACGAACGAAAAGAACGAAAGATAGAAAGAAAAGAAAAGAAAGAGAAAACCCAGGTATCATGACGGCCCCTCTCTCCGCTTCCTCCTCATGGAGGATGAAGAAAAAAAAGTGAAAGAACCCAAAGACCGGCGTAATGGCTCCAGCTCCAGCACACGGCTGCAGTTTGCACATGCAAGAAAGAAACAAAAAGAAACACCTCGTTCGCAACCCCCCTCTTGCGAGTCGCAATACCCACATGCTTATCCTCCCCGCCTTACAAAAAGAACACATATAAAAGAAAACACAGAACAAAGCGAATGTAAACTCAAAACCTGCACTGTACTGCACTGCACTGCACTGCGGCAGTCGCGGCAACAAACTACAGCACATTGGCTGTATGTCTCAGGGCTGGCTGGCTGGCTGGCTGTCTGGCTGTCTGTCTCAGGGCTGTATGTCTTGCCGTCTGTCTGGTTCGAATCTTTCCCCATACTAGTAGAGTAGGTACATAATCTCATCCCTCTTGGACCTTCTCCTTCTCCTTCACCGCTCTTTACTCTCCGCTGCCCTCCGCTCTCCACCCTCCGCCTCCGCAGATCCTCTCCGCTCTCCACCTCCGCAAACTCTACTCTACATTGATTTCTCGACTCGAGACACAAAACACATGTCTGGCCCAGCACAGTCTCGAACTCCATCTCATCTCAAGCCCACGTCTCTGATTCGGGACGTCGGCGAATCAAAAAAAAAACGAAAGAGATCCACTCTCGGCCTTACCTTACCATGCGTTAACTAGTTCATGTACTCCAGATAATTTGTACTGTGCCTACTGTACATAACTACTGTAGTTACGGGTAATCCGCGCCAATCAGAGGATACCATCGCCCACATACATACTAGAAGGTATGAGGTATGTATGCAAATTCATTACTGCCCAGTTCCGTACGAAATTCCTTAGAGTATGTAACTTAGGTAGAGTACGACAAACATGTCTATCTTTATATGAGAAGAGAATATCTACCACCATACGTTATCAACCCTTCAAACGCCCGTCCGCCGTCCGCCGTATCGTATGTATAACCATCCAGGACAGGAGACTCTATGCTGGGTTATCTATCCCTTCATCCCATCCATCCATCCCTTCCATCCCTCCCATCCCATCCCATTTCATATCTCGCAGTCGGTCCGGCCAGAGCCAGAGCCAGCGCAGGCAGCTTCGTCTAGAAATCTTTGCTGCCACCGATATCCAGCACGTCGAACACGCCAGTCTCGTCGATCCCCTTCTCCTTCAACGCGCGCCGCAACCGCTCCGGGGGTTCCATAACGGGCTCGTCAGTGAGCACCCAAGTTCCCTGTCACACACACACACCATCAGCAACCATCAGCGACCAGCTACATAAAGCGAAGTGAAGTGATAGACGTAGAGTGTCCAGAGCAGAATCGGCTGCAAGGTTACTGCGTGTTTGAGAGAGGGAGTTGAACGAAAAAGACCGAGCCAGACTGCCGCTGCTCAACGCCAGAGATGATGCAGCTTGTGAAAGAAAAAAAACCAGAAAAAAAAAACTGTTGGGCTAGAACGAGTGCAAAAGCGATGGGAGGGGAATGGTATATCCCTGCTCGGCATAAGGCTCTGCGCAGACAGTGTAGCTCGCGGAGGGGGAAGCGCGAAGCGAAAACAAGGACGGAAGAATGTGCGCAGAGGAAACGGAATGAAACGGATTTCTGGCAGCGGCCCCTTCGTGAACGGTAGTGCGGTTCGTCAGGAAGGCTATGGAAGGGCACAGTATTTTCCTCTTCCTAAGCGGGACGAGTGTTGCTTCCGCCTTCCCCACCTCGCACCGAGGAAGGAAGAAACAACCACAGAGTGCGACAGCACCCCCCCTCCTAACCAACCATGAGGATTCACACAGCCGGACCGAACCGACTACTCACGACGGACCCCACCAGGTTCGCACCCCCCAAGCCGGGATCGTCATTTCCGTCGGTGCGATGCAACCAGGGCTCTCCATAGCCCCATCCCTTCGGCCGCCACCACCACCACCTTCACCCACACCCCCTCCTGCATCCCACTCCACCACGACCAAAACCGGACCGAAGCAAAGGGTAAAGCAATAGAGAGCAGAACGCAAGCAGACTTACCCAGTGCATTGCTATCGCCTTCGTACACTTCGTATCGACAAAAATGTTGACCGCGTCCTTCGGATCGGCGTGCATAGGACTATTCGCGATCACTCCGTCAGCGCGCCGCCCATTCATCTCAGCTGTCGCCGATGTGGGGGGCAATGATGTACCTCATGATCCTGTGCGTCCGTTAGCCGTATTCTTCTCATCTTGATCGTGGTCAAGGACGCCCCGAAACAACCGGAATAAAGTGAGAAAAAATATAACGATAAAAAAAAGGAAACAAATTTATTCGACACCAGTAGTTGGTCTGAATCAAAATCTCCTCCCACACCCTTTTGAGAAGGAGGGTGTGCCCAGTCTAGTCACACGATTATTGCATGCATAGCGCCGCGCAAGCGATCGCATTTGGAACAGGCAGGACGAGCAACTGGGCAGCCAATCATCGCGCGGTGAGACGACAGCTGAAGGAGGAGATGGGATAAGGAAGGTGGGGAACATATCATCAACCTTGGTGTGATTCTTCATGAAGCAAGAAACGCGACGTGTATCAAAAGCGTAGCTTCTGCACCATCCCCCAGGAATAAGTGCCCCGAGGGGCGTGTCCGTAGCTCAAGCTGTTGTGTGGTGCCTTAGTTTCCCGTCACCGTGGAACAATGATAGGCTCGGAAAGCCGACCACACAGATTCCACAACGTGCCGACCGGCTTCGCGCCGACCGGACACTAAAGGGGGGAACGGGCGATGGAAACGGAAAGTCGAACAGCACGCAAACACCGAGAACATGAACACTCACCATCTGGGAACGTAAGCGCCGATAGGTATTAAACCCAAATCAAAGCCACCTCGTAGCTCTCCAATCTGCTTGAACGCCGGGCACACAGGGAGGTGTTTGTATTCCTCAGCGTAGTCGTCCTTTCCTGCCGATTCCTGGGGAACGGCACGGTAACCAGTATCACTATCCGCACATCTCGCATCAGTCTGACTTTCATCCAAATGCACAGGCTGGTAACAACAGGCGAACCGGTCGAGTAACCGACTCCGTCGCTCATCGCGGAAATTGTCAGCGGGACTGACGACATCCCAGAGAGTCCATCACGTTGGTGATGATTGGAGTATCGTGGCACGAGACGATAGGGCAAAGTAGCACGATCCGGTCGATCTCGACGGAAAGCCGCCTTGTCGGACACAGTAGATACAATGCGAATGCAATGTATAATTATAAAGTTCCTCCGTTTTGACGGTATGAGGTTTCTCAAAAGCAAGGGACGACCTCGAACCGCTGGCCCTCCGATCCATTGGTTGATAATCCGTGTCGGGGTGATGCCTTACGAACCTTGCATCACAGCAAATCACGCGCCGCGCTCTCCGGAAGGCTCTCCGAATCCAAGAAAAGGGATAAGATGCGCACTCTGACCTACCCAGCGAAATATACTTTCTTCCCGCCGCTCTCAATGCTCCAGCTGCCCCACAATGTCATGGATCGATCCGTAAGCCCGCGGCCACTGGTATGCTGGCATGGTAGGAACCCGACGGTGGTCTTCTGTCCTTCGTTCGACGGGTCCAACACGACTTCCCGCACATCCCACCAGTCAAGCTCGGTACAATTGTGGAAACCGGAGCGGGTGAACCTGGTGTACTGTGATCAGCATGCGGCTCCCTCCATCACTATTCGGCACTCGAGTCGCGAACCATTGCTTGTCTCCCAACGGGACAAAAAAGTGGACTTTCGGGTGAAGTTCCTGGAGTTTCACTATAGTGCCGTAGTCGGTATGGTCGTAATGGTTGTGGCTAATGCAAACGATGTCGACTACGGGAATGTCGGCGATTTCGCACGGAATCTTGGTGTATCGTTTCGGGCCCATGAACTGCACCGGACTGCAGCGATCCGAGAAAACCGGATCGAAGAGCACTCGCAGACCGCCGGGGAACTCGACATAGAAGCAAGCGTGGCCGAGCCATGTGGCACGAAACTGCGTGTCGGTGGCGGAGCGGGTGGTTGGGAAGGTTGGCTTGACAACGTTTGGCGCCGGGTCGGTCTTGGGGCCCGTCACGCCATGCGTCTTGCGGTAACTGCAACGCGTTTTCAGAGAAATGAAGCGGGCCATCCGGCAAGTCCGGGGGAGAGTGGGGTGGGGGGCGGGGGGTCTTACTGCATTATCCCCTTCAGAATGGCCACGATGCCCGCGTCGTGCCAACTACGATCATTAGCATTGTGATTTCCCCCGCGCGCGGTCGACGAGGCTCATGCAAACCTATCCCATGGATTGACGAAGCCTCCCTTTCCGCCGTTGACGTGGTGGGCCTTAGAGCCGTGGTCCTCGGGATTCGGGGGTGGATTTGTGGCGGCGTTGACGGTCGCGCTGAAGGCCTCAGCCAACATTCCCTGAGTACCGGACATTGTGTGAAGGGTGTTCGAGAAGCTGCGCCGGGATTGGTTGTTGGTGGTACGGAATATTGGGATACGGGCGCAAAGAGGTCGAGGTGCTGCGATGACGTCGGAGAATGCAACTGCTCTGAGCGCCCTCGAAGTGCTCGCGGGGGGAACCAGGCGCATATAAATAAGATGGCAACGAGATCGCGGGGAGAGGCTCGAGCGTCGCAGGGGTGATATGCGCGCAGGTGTCGCGCTGGCAGATGCAATGGGGGTGGGAGGGAGGGGTGGGGGAGGCCGCTGGTCGTTGGTGGTGGGGTTTGTTGTTGGGGGGGAGCGAGCGCGGTGTGAGCGACAAGACGTTTTTTTTTGGTGTGACGATGGCAGGCCCACTAGTTACCTAAGTACCGATGCCCTCCGCTCGACTCTCATCCGGGGCTCGGCTCCTCTCTCGACCACCAAAACCCCCTCCAAACCACGCGGTCGCCTAACACCCATACCTCCGGATGAACACACTCAGCAATCGGGCGCCGACGGACCGATTCCTATCTCCGGACCGAGTGGACAGCGCATTTCCGTCAATACCCTCTTCTTCTCAAATGTTGCCGGGATTCCGCTTCGCCTGTGCTACAATAACAAGGCGACGGTGACGACCATGATGATCGGCAAGAGAAACCATCGGAGTGCTGATTGTGTAGAGTACTCGATACCTCCTCCGCGGGGCGCAGCGGATGTTATCCTCAAAGAGCTATGCTTGAGTCACCATGGCCCTGCGGTCCAACTCACTGTGCATACGCAAACCCAAAGAAACAGCAAACTAGTGGCAACGGTCGTCCTGGAAACAAGAATGCTGATGCGGGTGCAGACAGATGGAGCATCGTAAGGCGGGCGCCCAATCGACGGCTCCCAGTGCCATCGCCTGAAACCACCCCGGCATCAAGTCATATATCACACCACCTCTATATGCTACATCGTGATATCCACTGCTTGGGCCCTCACTCGCCGCACGAAAAGAGGGGTCGTTAATACCGCCCTTGCCGCCGATACTTATTCCACGCCTCCGCCAGTCAAAATCGGCGGAAATCAGGCCCCCGGCAAACAATGGGTTTACCGGCGGGCCAGCTGCGCACCGTACACTCGCTCACAGTACATCACTCGGCTGATGAAAGCACAAAGACGCGTGTATTTGTAGCTACCCCGCGAGGCCACCGGATGGAGCCCGAGGTCACCATTGAGATCAGGTGGTGCACGGCACACAAAGGTGTCGCCGGAAACGAGAAGGCCGACGAATGGGTCAAGATAGCAGCCGATAACTCCACCGCCCGCGGAGTGGAGGGTCCCCCACTATCTGAACTAGTATGGTACCATATCACTATAGTACCGCCCCCCGTCGATCGCTTACCGGAATCTCGGAATCGCCGGGAAAGACCAGGGCGGAGGGTAGGGAAAATCACATCGGGCCGCTTCATGAAAGTCGGGTTGGACAGCGGCGTGGAAACGGAGTGTGTGTGTATATTGCCATGATCTAGCTAGGTCGCATACAATCAATAAAAAGCTACCCTCACGAGGGCCCAGCTCGGAATACTGAGTTCGTGTAAAAGAAAGTATACTGCTGTATAGCCGGGTGGAGACGAGTGAGCGAAAGAATCTTGCAGAAGTTGAAGTAGAAGTGAGCACCGATGCTGCCGCTGTTTTTTCCCGAACCTTCTTTCTATGTACCCCAACCAATCTGCCCCAGTCCCAATCCCTTCTCCCCCACACTCTCACCCTGTTATCCTTTCTCATCCTCATGGTTATGCATACCAAGCTGGCTGGGCTCTGCCACTCCCATCCACATTCTCTTCCACTTCTGGTAAATAGCCGCAGGGAGAAAGGAAGAGAGTTGAGTCCCCCCAAGTAGGCTCTGAGGGTGTACGGATTCGGTCCAAAATATCACCAGCATCAAAGTCCTTTCGGACCGCTGGTAAATTCAGGTCACGTGGTATCTCGACGGCATGTAGGTGTGTACTAGATGTTTGAACAGCGGTTCTTCCTCTCATACATACCACATACAGTAACGAAAACCTTGTCCAAGCGTCGCCCCGCCGCTTAGATCAGCCCGGTTGAGCGCCTTAAGGTATATGATATCTATGCATACCTTGTACATTATAAATAGCCAGAAATCTCCACCCAACAAGCTTTTCTTGAACTTGTTTTCCAGTCCTTGGCCAGGCAATCAGTGACCGTTCCGTTTAAGCACCTGTCTACGACCGTTATAATAACTATAATAGAGTACACATAAGCTTTTATACCCTAGCAAACTCTCGTGGCCAGGGATGAAACTTACGATACCCTATATGTATCCTGTATCTTGCCGATCGCATTCGAAACGATGCACAAATGGCCGACCACCCCCTGTGATGCGCAGCTTGAAGGCGTGGCCACTCATTACGCGTCACTCGGTAACTACCGCCGATTTTGGCCCCTTCTCTTCATGCAACAGGTACCCTCCTCCTATGCCGTCCACGGTACTAGGCCTGCCTCGTCGCGGATACCCTATTCTTTTCGTTGCGAATAACCCGCTGTCCTCGCTGTCCTTCGCTGTCTGGCAGCCCCTTCTCTTCACGCAGCAGATACCCTCCTCCCATGCCGTCCTACAGTATCATGCCTGCCTAGCTGTGAATAACCTGCTGTCCTCGCCGTGGACGTGGTGCTCTCGTTGCAGCTATACCAGAGAGTGAGAGGAGTGACGTAGTCCTGGAAGGGAGACAGCAAAAATGAATGATGATGACGAAGTTGAGGTTGTATTCAACCTCGAAAAGCCATTGTCTGCAACGTTCGATGTCACTCGATCCGGCTAGTCCGGCTGATACCGCCATTCTGCACCGCTTACAACTAAATATACCTGCCAGGGAAAAGAGATAGAGGGAGGATACTCGCCTTCCCGTCGGGCCGAGGAACCACTACCTGATACATTGTACGTGCTATCTGACCACATGCATCTAGTCCTCGAGTTGAGTTGTGAAGCCCAACCGTTAAACTTAAGCTTTGCCGCGTCCCAGCGCGAAGGGTATGACTGCCCTGCGTAGAATCCCCTGACAAAACCGTATCTGGACGTCTAGGTCTGATAGTCCGCTATTGGATTCCGTAATGGTCTGTCCTCCTAATCCTGGCCTGGGAAATGTTGGTTGCTCCGTGAGGTTTGCTGTAGATATGTAGCCATTGCGAGCCCCCGCTGTTTCCCCCCGCTGTTGCCTGCTGCTCTATGATCCTCAGGGCAACACCGGAGACCGATGAACAGCTGGACCGCCTACCTTTCCTGTCCTGTCATCTGCTGTGCACGATAATAATGAGGTAGTTATGGTATTGCTCCACCTTGATGCTCTCGCTGCCAACCACCCAATCGCCATGGGCTGGATTCTCTGATATCACAGACTCAGTGCAGTTACCCTAAACTGAAGAAATAAAGCTCACGTATACCAGATATAAACTGAGCTTGTTTCCTCCAAACGAAGACATCGTCACGAAACAGGTAGCTATTTCGGTCGATACCGAGCTGTACTTTGAGCTTATTCCGCTGAAGGAGTTCCCACGAAAGGGGTATGGCTACCATCGGGAAGGTTAGCCGCGACCCACTCTTCCAGGCCTGTTGAACCCTTGGCCCAACTTTTGGAGGTGAATCCGTGAGTACAGCTTTGATCAGAGTTCTGTGGACAGCATGATCTTGCGTATAAAAGGAAACCCGTGGCCCCCTCCTCCATCTGTCCGAATTCCTCCTCCTCACACCCACCATTCTCGGACAGACCTCCGGCAGCAGAAAGAATCTCCCCTAGGATATCCTATGTTCACCGGAGCCTACTTCACCAATATGTATAGCCTGCCCCCCTTGAAGTACTGCAAGGTCCCTGCCGATGCCGATGGAGCCCCCGGCAGGGCCCCATCCGATGCCGAGAGATTTTACGGCAGGATCCCTGCTGAGGCCGATAGGTTCAACGGTAGGGTCCCTGCCGATGGCGACGGGACTTACCCCGGAGTCCCTGCCGACGCCGATGAGACCTACTTCAGCTTCCCTACCGATGACGATCGGGTTTACGGCAGGGTCCCCACGGATGCCGATAGATTCCACGGCAGGGACCCTGCGGCCACCGCCGAACATCAGGGCCAGGCCCCTCCCACTGCCGACGAATTCCCCGACCAGGCCGCTCCCGCTGCCGCTACCGACGCCGACGAATTCCCCTCCTGCCGTTCCAGCACGTCACACTACGTGCCCACCGCGGAACTCATCGCGCGCATCGCCACGGCTCTGGGCATCCGACTCTACGACAAAGAGAACGACCACGGGCGCGAGCGGCTGGTCGACCTCGAAATGATTTCCGCCATGAACGAGGACCTGCTGCAGGTCGCGATCGAGAACATCAAGGACGCGCACTACCAGCTCGCGCAGCACTGCTACAGCCCCGCGGCCCTCCCCCCCACGCAGTACTCGCGCGAGGAGCTCTATGCCCACAATAAGAGCATCCACGACTGCCTCAAGCTGACGTATACGACCAACGAGCGGCTCCGGGCGGAGCTCAGGAAGGTCCAGCGGGACAACGGCGCGAAGGTCGAGGTGGGGGAGTTGCTTGAGAAGCTGCAGGATGCCGACGAGTGGATGGGCATCAAATACGAGGGGTTGGAGAAGGGGCTGCAGGCGGTCCAGGAGCAAAGAGACCAGTTGCTGGAGCAGACGAAAGCGCAGCGGCAAGAGCTGCAGAAGATGGACAAGCAGATGAAGTTGAAGGATTCCGCTCTCGCCGCGCTCGCAACGGACATGGTCGAGCAGCGCAAGATGCTCGATTTCATGAACCGCGAGAAGAACATCCTCTGTGCCGAGTTTGACGAGAGAATACGCCAGATCGAGGCCGAATGCGAAGCAAAGTGGGCGATTGCAATCAAGGCATGCCATGATCCCAGCGTCAAGAACGGCTGCACGGTACACGAGCTCGCGAAATCCGTCGAAAGCCTTGGATGTCCCTCGCGCCCAGGCCAGGAGCACCCTGCGCAAAGACCCGAGTCCGCCCAAGCCCGGCTCGGCGCCGGCACCGTCCCCGTGTCCGATCCGCAAGCACTAAAGTCGAGGATTAAGACGCCGGAGGAGATCGCTCCGGGAATCAGCGACAGCGAAGTACGACTGCGGGACGAAGTCCGCCTCGCCTTGGAGAGGAACGAAGGGTTGACACGGGAGGTAAGAGATGCGGGCAGGATGGCGCAGAGCTTCCGTATGGAGAATCGTTTCCTTAAGGAACACTTCAACAAGGAATACCGCATAACTGTCAAGCTCCTCAAGGAGAATGAAAAACTCAGAAAAAATAGCTCCATGTTAAGAAATGCGGTGGTGAAGTTGAAGGCGAATATCGCCGCGATCAGGCGCCGTCAGGAGTTAGACGACGAGGGTCTGGTGGAGCTTCCCGAATCCCATGAGATTTTGTGCCAGGATTGCCTGGATGACTGTGGGTGCGAGTACGACGAAGACGATGAGGACGGCGATGAGGACGATGATGATGATTATGATGATAGCGATGACGATGACGATGATGGGGATGATGAAGACGGGGGGGATGAGCTCGTTGTGTTGGAGAATCTGTGCATCCAGTGTGATTAGGGAATAAAATCGGTTGGTGTTTGTATTTTACTTACTTTGTAGCTCAACGGGTTTTGATTCAACACAAATCACTATTGATCGTCACAGGTACATTCCCGTTGGGTAGAAATTGCGAGTCACAAACTATCACCTGCCACATGCAAGTTCAGCCACTCCAGCGCAATCTGTGGCTGATGCGGAGCCGTGGCGCGGCGTCTCTGCCGCGGTCCAGCTACGGCAGAGTATGTAGGCACGTAGGCATGTATATAGTCAAAATCCTCAGAATAGGGACTCAGCCCATTCCGTGTTGCTATTGTGCTTTGAAACATCATCACGGTCCGCCGCCGTTTCCAGATTTCAAGCGAGAATTCCATTCAGTATACGCCATAGCAAGCCACAAGCCCCCCTTGGACGCTTTGGGGGGAGCCGGAGTTTTATTCCACGATCTATTGTATACGTGAACTTTCCGGCAGCCAGGCGAGCGCCGGCCCCTGGGGGGAGGTGGCTTAAATCCGTCTCATGGGTGTGGTAAAAAAAAAGCACCATGTCAATGAGAATGTGAGCTACCGGCCCCCGGGTGGAAAACAATATTTTTGGGTGCAGAAACGAGGAGGGAGGCAGGCAGTTATTGAAGTGTTGATATGTGTATGTACTGTATGATATGATACCTGCTTGAAACCGGGAATGGACTCGCCGTACACTGTGCAGTGGGGTGATAGGGCGCCGTTCGAAGTTCCGTCGCAGCCGCGAATCCGGGATGCTTTTCGTCCCATCCGGTTCGATTCGATTCGGCAGACAGAAGCGAGGTTGATATTTGAATTCCTCTTCATATAGATTAGAAACAGGCGAAATGGAGATCAGTGTTTGTGTGTACCGTGTACTCTTACAGTACTGGGTAACTGCACATTTGGAAGCTTGGGCGTTATTGGGTAACAGAGTCCACCGTCAAAATGCCACCATGCACGGGTCCGTCAAAGTGCACTTTACTCACTTCGACAACCTTTGAGCGTATGTACGGAACTTGGTAAGACAAATGACTACACCTATATGGGCCGGCACGTTGTATAATTTCGGTGGCGATTCCTCCATAGGATGTAAGTGCGGTGATGCCAGGGTGCGAACTCGGTCATTCTTGGGGAGGAACGGACGTTAGGTACCGACGAGAGAGCCTCAGCCACTCTTTATGCAAATATATAGTTGGGAAACTCCATTAACGGCTTGTCTTATCAACTGTCCTGCTGGAAACCCGGTGTCTAGCACTTCCTTGTGGAACAATGTGAGGAGAAATCCTTCAGCAGACATGTCACATGTGGGAAGCCGAGAAGCTCATGAAGATTCGGATCTTTTTGCCGCGGATATCGACATGTAAAGAGAAGAAAATAGAAGCAAAACCCGCAGCCCGATACTCAGGCCATCTAGGACGTGCTCGATCTCAGGAGTCAGTACCAACAACAATCTTGTATACGACATTGGATCCCCCGCAGTTCCCTCCTTCTGTCGCAGGCGTCGGTTTATCGCTATGTACATACCTGTGAGCCTTGAGATACATTGTTTGCCGCCCGTACCCGCGGCGGACGCCGGCTCAGCGCATAAGCTGACCGAAAAAGCTGCAACTTCTGCAGGACGCTCAAAGCCGGTTCTGGATGCTGTGGAAGATCTGCCGCCACTTGGCACAGGCAATTTCTTCATGCTCCCATCCGGTCGCCAAATGACATTCAGAGAGAATAGCTTGAAAGTATCACGGGGTTAGACGGTAATTCAATTGCATTAAGTTGGCTTCATATAAGAGCCCTCTGCTTGTATGGCGCTTACGCCAGAAGGGGACGAGTGAAGAATGAGGGGCACAGCCTGTTGCCATGAGCATTGAGGAATCATGGTGGTATTTCTGCCTTTTACCCGCGTCTTTGATGTGGCTTGCTTCTAAGAGAAGATTCCTCTCCGTTAGATTGCATCCTAAAAGAGGTGATGGATGATTCCTCCCCTGCGTAAAGACCTGGACTTTGATCAATGGATGTAGGCAAGGAGGAAGTTTGTGGCGGGTTTTGATAAATTCAGAAGGAATCAGTTCGCCAGGGCTAGACGAGAAGTGGCTTACACCCGTGGGCCAAGGCCGCAGGGTGCAGACACCGCTAGCAGCCGGCACGGCGAGTGATTCGATGTGGAAGACATGCGCTCGAAACGCACGGCGGAGCGAGATTGCGTATCAGTCGAATCGTCGGATGTGTACCCAGCAACTACCAAAATCCTAGGGATCGTCCCTAGTGAGAGAGCTCGACCTGCGCGGTTATGTATCGTATCGATAATCCTGAAATTATGCTTCCGATTGAGCCTGTGTCGGAGACGTGGTGGCCGCGGCCCATTTGACGATCGCAGTTCCGTTTGATCCCTAAACTTCTACGACGGTCAATTCATACGTAAGCATAAGTATGGGTCCACTCGCCGGCCTTGCACATACAAGCAAAGATGTGTAAGCTTCTTGCCTCGAAGGAGTGACGCCGCCTAGCGATTTCAGAGTCCTCCTGTGTGGCCTAGACTCGCTCTTGAGTCTTTCCCGATACGAGTGACTTGCCTTCGCCCCTGCATATAGGTCGCCGTGGTATAGATAAAGTCAACAGGAATCGCACGACTGCCCTGAAGTCCAGATGCAAGCGGTGCAACATTGGATAGGCGAATCGAACCGTTCGTCCCGTGGATTCCACACAAGTGCCGTTTCCCCGTGAGACACAAAAAGTAAAACCTCCGCCACACGTGTAGGGCAGGTATGTACACGTTCGCCCTCCTCCCATCTGGATGCGAACCTCGCCGCAATCCAAGGAATAGACCAGTACGGCGTGGCACCTTTTTCCTTTCGAAACGTTCTGTATTCGGGGGAACGGGTTCAACGTCAAGCCCGTGTCTCTCGATGCTGAGGAGATCTTCGCCATCGTTTGCCGGAGGTTCAGGCCTGCATAGGCATGCAGGTGCGGTGCTGCCGAAATATATATCTCTCTGCGCGCGAAGCCGTTGGTCTCTGGGTTGGCGAAGCTCAGCGCAAAGCGACCGTGCATATTCCGACTCGTCTGACCATGTACCGTTACAGCGAACAATGAAGTCTTCAGAAACCTCGAGAAACCCGGCCCGAAATGCACACCATGAAAGCCAGAATGGTTGTTTGCATGAAAAGAGACCGACGGTAGAGAGTGCAGCCGTAAGTCCCAGTGCCTGCCTATCCGTTGAAAAGCTGAGTGCTCGCAGCCAACGATCAACTGTCTGCGAGGATGGGTGCCAAAATGGGACACCAATCGGCGGGCAATTGCACTATTCGTGTGATGCGATCAAGCCAGACTCATGCTCGATTTCGACGCATGTGGTGCATGATGTGGATCAGACTCAACGGAGTGGGTTATTTCCCTGTTTCCCTATCGATCATCTTAGCACCTCTCCGCAGACATTTGATCGATGGCCATATACTCGATTTCGACGGGTGCTACGCATGATGTTGAGTATTCTATCGTGCCATTGCTGCACGCATTTAGCGCCCATCCACACAGACACTTGCCCGTCGGCAACACGCGCTAAAGTGTGTCCAATGGCACGCCTCTATTCTCCAGATAATCATGACAGCGTCTTCCGTGTGCCCCCATGCCACAGACTCCATGTTGTGCTTCTCCGGTCATGCCCTGACCCGTCAAATCCGCCCTTTCCCATCGACCGCTGCAAGGAGATAATGCAGGTATGCACGGCGACGGCGCGGCGAGTGACCATAGCTCGAAACTGCTGAGAAGCTGTGGGGATGTCGGTGCCGAGGAGTCTCTCTGAATTGAGTTCGTGGAGAGGCCGCCTTCACCGCCAGATAGTTCCACGCAGGTAAGGAGTGACGCGTGCATATGGCGCTAGTTATCACAGGCGGCAGCGTGTGGAGGGAGTCGCTGAAGAACAGAATCCGCTTCCTCGTCCCGTGAGAAACAACCCTCAGTGGCTTGCCGGCGAAGGACTGGCTAACAGAGAACTGGTGTGTATGCTGACCGGGGTTTTTAGTGGGGGTAGGGTGTGAAGAGTTGATGTTGTACGAATCGATAGCATTCCTCGCCACTGTCATCTAAACAGAATTGCATCCATTAACCAAGACCTGTGGTGATGTTCAATGCGGGTAAGCTAGCTGCGGAGCGAATGCGAGCTCGGGACACTCCAATCGAGTGAATAGATACATAGAGGGAGATGGAGACCCAAGATCTGTGCTCGAGTGCGCAGTATTGTGGATCGGTACTTGCTTCTTTAGGGTTCAGGCTTATGCACAAGCCATTCGGTGGGCCCGGCTACTTTGAGAATGACAAATGTTTGACTTCGAACCCACAACCGTGGGTCGAGAGTCGAGACATGTCGACTTTATGATTTATCTCCTTGTACGGCATAGCCAGAGACCCCAGTATACAAGACCCTCTATCACGCCCACAGCAAAGCATGCGGACGCGAGGCACGATGCGCATACCAGGCCTCTATTGCACATGATGATCCATGCGGCCCGGGCCCCTCACAAGCGACTTCAGCTCATCGACGGTGGATGCTGCGCCCATACGATCACCATACCGAAGGAATCAAAGCCGGTTTCCAGCGGACATGTACCAAATGCTTCTATAACGCTTGGCACGGCTCAATCGCTAACTGCTTGCAGATATCACAGGCCGACTCAAAAAAAAAAGAACCGTAAAAACACAAAAACGGCTAGCCCTGAACGTGGATCAGCAATTCTTGCGGACTTTAGTATGGTGGTGCTGCGTGCAACCCCTCCGAATTCTAAGGGTCGAAATAGACTTACTGAGTACTTCCGGTGGTGAGACCTGCATTCCATTCCTATGTAGGGGCGAGGGGAGTTATCGAATTTGGCGGTGGTCTGATGTGAGATGTGTGACAGCGAAAATCCTCCACTTCACGGCCACTTCATCAAGTCACGGCCACGAATCCAATAGGTCTGGTGTGTTCTGGCATTGTAGAGAGGCTGTGAGCGAAAGAAGGAATAGGAGATCCCTTGACATGTGGGCAAGTAATCAGAACTTGGGGAAACGACTGCCCCACCCGAAACTAACACGATTGTGTCTATCATAGGTATCACATGGTGGGATTCTCTGCCGCGCCACAATCTTCCCCAACATAGGTCGTGTGGTACGAAGCGAACCTAAGGGAAACGGGCTTCAAGCTCCCGCTGGAGGGATCTGCAGGTGTCCGTCAGCACTTCGAGCCAGCCTCTGGGAGCCTTGCCGCGCAGTAGCGGCAACTAACTACTGCCAGACGGCAGCGCTTCACGAAAACGGCTCTTGCCCAATGCTGGGGAGGGACGCCTTGGCAGAGCCATCCTGAGGGGTCGAAGACGACTGAAGAGTTCTTCGGTTCTTGCGTCTCGATAGCCGTGGAGTGGGACCGGGAAGGTGCTGCCGTCGACGGTGGGTCGGTAGCCTAGGGTAGTTAGGCGGATATAAGGATTCCAAGCTCGCTGAAGAAGTCAACTCGTTAGCAGAAGGAGACCTCTGGAGAAGAAGGCATCTCGGCCAACCATCCGTTTCCTATAATGATGTTTGCGTTCGAAAACAGCGCAATCGGTGCCCGAAGATTCGCAACGAGATTGACGTCCGACACCATATTCATCGATCGTTCGGGAAACTAAGCTTCCTTCTTGAGGCATTCTAGTGAACTTCTTTCGTTTTCAGGCGCGAAGCCGCTGAGACCCCAGCTTGCGTCGTTTTCCGGGGAAGCAAACCGAAAGATCGATAACTGCGGCATTGTGAGATCGGCTCTGCTTACCGGAACAGCTTACCGGAACAGCTATCTACCCGCAAAAGTACCCCCTTCACTGGGAAGCATCCATCGTGCTCCGCTCTTCTGCCTCCTTGCCTCCGCCTGATCCTGTCATCTTCGTTGCGCCTAGTGCTTTAATGAGTCTCCCGGGACCCCGTTTTCCAGCACCAAGATCACACTCACCCGTGTTGCAGGCTTGTCGACTTCGAGTTCACACCGGAAATGCAGCCCCCTGTTCCTACGGTTGAGTCTCCGCTTAGCTAAAACTTGGAATTCTTGAGGTGCATGATTTCCTTGTTACGGACCAGCGGTTTGCTTTATGACGCTGGGCAAATGTTTTTAAAAATCCCAGGAGCTTCCAGGCAGGCTTTTTGCCTGTTTCGGACCAGCGTTTCGCCGTGGGCGGTGGTGAAATGTTTTTCGAAAATTCCAGGAGCCTCCAGGTAGTCCTTTGTGACGTACCGCAATCATCAACACACGCAGCAGCACCTAATTAGAGCTGCAACTATCACCTCCATTCCACCAAAGTGATGAAACTCCTGCATACGTACAAAGCCCTCTAGACTTGGGCGGGCCTCTTCACTCAAATGCCAACTCTCAGCAGCCGCTAAACCGCAGTTATATTTCCCCTCTCCCCCCCTCCCCCGCCACCTTCCGTCCTCTCATCCTTTCATACTCTCATCCTCTCATACTCTCATATTCTCCTCCTCTCATACTCTACTCCTCTCATCCATCCCCCTCTCTCCTCCTCTTTACAGCTCCCGCCGTCAAGGCATTCAACCTCACCCTGTTCATATTCACGCCTCATCCACACACCCCGCTCTGCACATAACCACTCTTTTGATTGAGTCATCCTGAATAGCTTCTTTCTTTCTCCAAGGTCTACATACCTCTCTACATCCAGTCATACCTATACCAGGTTGATTGTTCATCACGCTTCCTGCTTGGCAAGACCTTCTCAATCGGTTTGACCGTTCAGCTCGTCACTCATTACTCCTATAGTGTAAGTTCCCGGATATGCAGCTCATTCTCGCTTTCATATACATCCTCGACATCTGCCTAACCAAAATTACAGCGATGTCTTCCAGGAACGAAAACAATCACCTACAGCCCCCACGAGGGCTGTACCATCCTCGTAGCAACCCAAACCTTGGTCCAAACGACAACCACAAGGAAGGTCTGATGGCTTTCCACTCTCATGATCGCCTTGACGGATACTCCGGTCATCCAGCCTCCTCCTCTCATGTTTCGACTGCTAGCTCAACCGCCTATCCAAAGGACTCAGGAGTCTCGGTCGTCACGCCAACTGGAGTTGTCAACACCAACAACAGCCGTGAGACCACCGGACCCCCGGACGCCAAGAGGTACTTCTCGCTTCGTCCCGCCCGTGGACCCCCGTTCATAGCACTGGAAGTTATGCAGAACAACGTCAAGCCGAGGCAGCATTTCTTGGAGAGCCTCAAGTTCAGATTTGGTGGTGTCAAAAAACCCTCACGCTCCCGTGAAACCGGTGTACTCTCGCATGAAACATCTCACCCCGCCGATGAAAAATCTTTCGAAAAGATTTGTTTCGAGCTTGCCTGTGTCGATCATTGCGAGGTCGGTTCCGAAAAAATCGCCCAGATGTTTGAGCTTCAGGAGCTCAACATCAAGATGGCTGTGCTATCCGAAGGTTTCAGGATTGTTCTTCCGCCTTACCTGGACCTTCCCGGCCTTGGCGATATTGAGGAGCAGGGAGTCGGCGGTACCTGCGATCAGTTCATCGGCTCCCTCCCGCCGTCCTGCAGGAAGGTCTCTGAAAAAGCCAGCCCTCTCGGATTGGTCCCGAAACTCCTGCCCCACGGCCTTATCTCTAAGGGAGCGAGATACGTCGGATCGTGCTTCTGGATCTGGCTTTGCATCGTCGATGGTAATTGCACTTTCGGTCGGATGGGTGTCGGCGGGTACTAACATTCCACCAGATCTGACTGAAAATCTTCTCGGAAAGGAATGGGACGATTGTGGTAACGTTCTTTCCTCACTAGTTCTTGCGTGTTCTCTTGCTGATACCGGGATACAGAGGCCGATTTGTTCCTTGCCTTCTCGAAGGATGTCGACGAGTCCCTGTTCAATGACAAGGACAACCAGGCCGTCCGTGTCTCTCTGGCTCTCCGTAACGTCATCCATTCGACCAGCATCTGCACCGGTGTGGTCGATAGTGTTAAGGAGGCTCCGTGGAGACAGGCGTTTATGGATGCTGTTTGCGAAGTCCTTACTGGTTTCAGAGAAGAACGCCCTCTCCTCGAGACGAACAGGATCGCGATGTATGAGTGGATGAGGGTTAGAGCCATCACCATCTCTGGTCAGTGCTTCATCCCTACCGAGTTTTGGGCAAGATACTCACCTTTAACTAGTCCGCCCCTTCCTTATCCTGGCCCGTGCCGATCTGGGTCTCATGCCGGTCATCTCTCATCTCGGCAACCCCCTCGACTCGGGATACCTCGACGTCGCAGCCACGATTGACAAGGCGAATATGTCTAACCTCCGCAAGGTGGAGTGCATGTTGCAGTTGATTATGGGTTTGCAGAACGATATCCTGGGTAAGTACCTTGTTACGTGCCGAATCATACCGCATGTTCAAGGCTGACCAGTTCTTGTTGAATGCAGGCTGGGAGAAAGACTACAAAACAGAGAATCCTCTGTCCGCCATCCAGATTCTCATCAAGTGCGGATCCAAGCCCAACATCGCCGTGGCCCGTGTCATCGACACGCACAACGAGCTCGTCCGTCGCTGCGTGCAGCATGCCGGCACGGTCTGTGACGATCCAAACGAGCATGTTAGGCTCCTCAACGGCGACAGCGGCACCCATCACACCTCGAAGAACTTCCGCCCCCACGTCTTTGGTGTTTTCGGCCATCCTCGTGAGGCTCACCCCAACAGGGGCACCGTCCCTAGGGAGAATGTCCGAGCTTATATCCAGCTTATTCTCGGCTTCGCGAACGGCATGGCGAAGTGGATGGCTGTCTCTAAGCGCTACACGTCCTAGACACATTGGTGCCCTCCCGGAAAAATCGAGTCCGCCCGTACTGACGAGTACAGGCCATCTCAACTGTGCATATCGTTGCTCTCTGTACAATAACACTGATGTTCTTTTGATATCTTCCTTCTCGTCTGGGCTTTTTTTTCTTTCTTCTTCTTTCGTTTCTTACCACATTTTTCCTTCTTCTGATCCAGGTATGTGCCTTGCATTTCGAAGACAGCAAAAGTTTTTCCCTTCTTCCTCGTTTCATTTTCCCCCTATAGTTTCTTTTCTTGCATACTCCATCAGGAGGTATGTCCAGGTTGTCTTTTTAACTCTCTGTGGTTCTGGGTGGTGCGGGTTGTTTTCGGGGTGTTATGGGTTGGGTTGGGGTTGGGTTGGGGTTGGGTAGGCTGGTATAGGGCTGGACTGGGGGTTGGTTTCCGGTCCGGGATATCTGCCGAAACGAAGTGTACGTAAGGCGGATGGGGGGAGGGGGGGGAGGGGAGGTGCCCGGGCAATGATTCATGAAATTCCATGAAATCCACTTCCGACGGTTTCGACTCGCGAGGAGCTTGCGTGAGATATATATTTGCAATCATCGGTGCACCAGACCAGACCGGAACGCAATGCAACGCGATTGAGGCGCCCGGCTCGGCTCCGTCTTTGGATGATTTCGGCGTCGTCGTGCTGGGCGGGAAATCACCCACTCCCTACCACTGGCACCGCTGGCACCAATCGGAGTCTTAGCGACGATGGAGCTGGCTGTTGATCATTGCGGCACAGTCTCGTGATCTGCTGTCTCCAGCGGCGCAGTTAACCGTGCCGAACCCGGCTGCTCGGCTGGGTGGGATGGGTGTCCAGGGCGTGTGTGGACGGTGTGGACACCGAGGTCGCGAGATTGCCTAGTGGCACCGCCCCGGGCGACCGGGTGTACGTATGAGGTATGTATGCCAGTCCCTAGTCGCCGGGTCTTGATGATCGGAGATGATGCTGTGGTGTGCTGTGTCTCGAGCATCCCTGGGATCCGGGATCCGGGGTGATCCGGGGTGGGTGTTCCTTTGTTCTTTTCTTTGTTCCGTGGGTATCTCGGGGGTAGGAGGTAGGAGGTACACTATGTTTCTAGGCGGCCGTCTGGATCTGACAGTACCTAGTACCTGGCACCTACCGTGGGTGCTGTAGGCGCTAGGACTGTAGGTACTGAACTTGCAGCCTTATCCTGCTTTCTACGGACGCCTAGTTGATCGCCTCGTTGGGGGAGTATCATCCCCCCCTACACACACACCCTCGACCGGGGATTTGCGTGATGCGATGGCAGGATTCGGGATTGCGGGTGAGTGAGTTTTCGTGAGGCGCTGAGGCGGTGTGGTGGTGTGGTAGTGTGGTGGTGAGGCGCTGAGGCGGTGTAGTGGCGTGGTGGCGTGGTGGTGAGTCTCGTGACTGCTTCATTGCGTTGCACTCGGTCTGCTCCGTATCCGTCGCTGGTGCTGATCCTGGATTGGTGTGCTCATGCTCTGTAGGTGATCGGATCAATTCCGTGGGATGTGATCTGGATGTGAGAGACCTGGGGTGGAAATCAAGTCCGTGATATTTAAGCGTTATCAAGTCAATTCAATAGCGATCGACAGCTAGTATCATTCTATTACCCATCGAAGAAGTAGTGTACTTTGTTTCAGCTCATTCACGATATGTCGATTTCAGCTATCAAACAAGCAAGCGCGAGAAAGAGAAACCGCATCTCCCTCTTATCGGTCTTCGCAAATCTAAACAGTCTGCGCACCGTATCCCCTGATCCCCTCCGCAAACTTCCAACTCTGTTGCTTAAGCTCAATATCCTTCCTCCACTCGATATCGACCTTCTCCTTTCCGGCCTCGTCCTTTGAACCGGTGACGACAGCCATGGTGTACCTGTTCATGCTCCGGGCGTCGCGGTAAAACAGCACCTTCATGCACTCCTCAACCACCTCGATCGCGCGCTCGCGCGTGATGCCCTCTACCGCCGCCTCGTCGGGGGCCACGCGGCGGAGCAGCGGAATGGCCAGATGCGCACCGAAGCCGGACGCCAGCGCGGGAGCCGAGAAAGTAGTTCCCAGCAGATCCGCCGAAGCCAAAAACCTATCCCCGCCTTCATTAGCCCACTGTCTCCTCCCCCTCCCCCTCCCGCTTCCCCATAGAACAACTCACGGCTTCCCCTCATCCCACCCCGCGACCAGCAGCACATTCCAGAGCGGATTAAACTTGTTCCTGCGCTGATACAGCACTCTCGAGAGGTAGCTGTAGACGTGTTTCGCGCGCAGACGGTGCCCGTCGTCGCTCTGGTACTCCTCCGAAATCGTCAGGTTCTCGAGCGTCTTCGTGAAGATGTGCTGCATGTCCGAGACGTCGCCGGACGCGCCGACCACCGTGTGCGTGCCCACCTGCCGCAGTCGCTCCATGTCCGTGAAGCGCGCGAGGGAGCCGTAGGATGCTATGGTGGTGGTGGCGGAAGTTTAGTGGGGGTGCGGGGAGATGTGCGAGGACGGGGGACGGGGAAGGGAGTGTTAGCATACCCAGGTTGTCGGCGGCGATTACGACTCCGCCGTTGAATTTCAGGGCGACGACGGAGGTACCGGTGACGATCGGGGACTGCGTGTGGGTGTTTGGCTGCGAGGCGGCAACGAAGGAGTGGTCGTAGGCTCCGTAGATGTCGTCTCTGGGCTACAGCAATTCCGTCAGTTTCACCTTTCCTCCGAATCGGTAGCTAAAAACCTACGCGACCCCAGGCTTCGGGAAGGTGGTTCATGATGGCTTGGGAAGTTTGTCGAGATGAATGGAGGCAACGGTCGTGATGGAATGGATGACAGTGGTTGTTGGCGGTTGTCGGTGGTGAGACGGCGGTAAAAACGAAGCTCTGAGCTCTCGAACTGGTTCGCGTAATTGGCTAGTCTAGGCAGAGGGCAGAGCCGCATCGAGTGAAATATTGTGATCCTTCCGTCACGAGTGGTCATCCGTCCGTCACGAGTATGACAATAAAGTCACATACATTTCTATTGAGCCCGCACTCAATGCGAGAAACAAAAAGAACACACAGTCTGGCTAAAACAATGCCAATCCCAATCCATAACACCATCATCGTCGTTGAGGTATCGGCACAATCACAGCCCAACCAAATTCCTGCGCAACTCCATTACGCCAATGTCCGAGATAGCACAGAAACAACAGTACACGTAAAAACATTTCCAGCAGCAAAAAAGCAAGTAGAAGACCCAGTCAGTAATTATCAGTCAATCAAAGAACCAGATACACGGAAACCCCAGAGAAACAACCACATATCCAACGCTACCCACGTTAGAGGGGCTGCAACTGCGCAACCCACGAACCGCAAAGTGAGCCAGGCTCGTCAATCATCTAGCTCCTCTACTTCACGTAGCAGCTCTACTTCGCGCGTACACATGCCAAAAACCCTGTTGGAGAGGGCTGTCAACAGCATCCTCACAACGTCTGTCGTTTGATGTCTCAGCGCCATGCCGTATGGAGGCTCGCCGAGCCTATCCAAGATATCGGGGCGAGCACCGGCACAAAGGAGGGTTATGATGCTATTCCTACACTGCCAGGGTGTGTCGACTGCGAGGTGCAAAGCCGTGTCTCCATCCCGATTCCGCTGATCCACACTCACACCGGCTCTGAGCAGAGCTTTGACGACAGTCACACGAGGGCACTCGTATAGATCGTAGGCAATAGACGCGCACCCGCATAGACTGGTGCGAATTGCGTGATGCAAAGGCATATCCCCAAGCTGGTTGTTTATAGGTATTCCTATATCGGTTGAAGGGTGTTCGGTGATCATTTGAATGACCTCCACATCCGACTTGGACACAGCCATGTGCAATGGGGTCTCTCCATGACAATTCAGTACATTTGGGTTGGCATCGTAATAGAGAAGTATACGCACGATGGCCTGAGAGATCAAAAATTGTCCGAAACAAGGGTGGAAGTGGGGGTTAAATTCGACTGCACAATGCAGCGGCGTGTTTCCCTCCATCTTGGTCCTCATGTTAATAGTGCTGCCCTGTCGCCACATACACAGAACCTTAAGTATATTGAAATTATCCCCAGGGACGTCATGAACATCGAACGCCAAGCACACCTGTTGGCTCGCCATATAGCGTTCGATGGCCAAATGAATAGGTGCCTTCCCCCACACATCTAAGACATCAGCCCGAAGCCCTTCCCCCAGTAGAAAGCGCAACGGCTGCTCATAACCCATTCCCGCCGCATGGTGTACCGCAGTCCGACCCTCGGAATCCCTCGCATCCCCGTTTGCGCCCTCCTTCAGGAGAAAGATAACAACACGCTCGACAAGATCTTGAATGCCTGGAAAGTTTTCCCTGCATGCGACAGTCCTCACGATGTGAATCAACGCTGTCTCGCCGTACCTGAGATCAATATCGTTGATAGAAACTCCCTTGTCGAGCAGTAAACGCAAGGTCTTCATGAGCGATTCCGAGTCGTAATCCATGGTCAAGTAGTCGGGGATGTTCCCAACCGCTTTGTGCATGTATAGCTCAGGAAATTTCCGCGGGTCGACTTCGAGCTTCTCAATCAGCTGAAGCATCAGCTGCGGCTTCCACCACTTGGTAGCCTTAACGAGGGCCGTTTGCCTGCTGGCATAGGGATATAGGTCTGGGCTTAGCAGGTCACACATATGGCGGCTGCTCCATGCCAAGGCAGCAAGGTCGATTCGGGGAAGAAATCGTCCGACATTTATGACGAGCTCTCTTGGAAGCCTGAGCAGGGGAAAGAGCACCGGGTCTTGGGGGTCAGGGATGGTCGACATAGAATCGCTCGCCGGTGTAGTTGCCATGAGAGATCCGCCGCTCGTGACGGCAGAGGAGATGCGGTTTCCGGAGGTGGGGGAGGGTAGACGGTGAGACGGTAGCTCTGTGATGAGAGGATGCGAAGGGACCGAGCGCAGGATAGGGATGTTGAAGGAGGTGAAAGGGTAAGGATGAGTAGGGGAGGTGAGAAAGAGGTAGTTGTGGTTGGTGGTGGGAGTGGGGGAGGTTACGAGCTCTATCGAAGTTGAGGTTACGACTCGTTCGTTGTACTACCATGAATTTGCCTACGAGCCAATTTGTGTCCCCGAGCAGCCTGAGCCCAGCATACCTACTGTACTTAGAATGAGACGTCACGACATAACAGGCAAAAAAAGAAAAAGCTGTATATAGATAGAAAGGAGTATTTCTGTAGTAGGTAGATGACCATTCCCGTCCGGTCTACGGGCAGGAGCGAGCAGGGGAAGCCGCATCGGACCGCTTGACGAAAGTTGAGTTGGATATCTAGTGGACGTGGAAACGGCGTTTGTATATATTGCCATGATCTAGGTAGATGGGTCCACATGCAAGATATATCCTATTCTCAGCTGCTCCCCAAATCCTTCCAAGAAATCTCATAACCAAAAACCGTTCTCCTCAAATCTCGGTCCTAAGTTATCACCACATTAGCATGTCTAGTCCGTCCCACCTCTCGTCAAGGCAGACTTACCCCCATATCCTCCTCAAACATAGGATTGTCCAGCAGCCTCTCGACCGTCTTCTCGACCACTAATCCCGCCTCCTCAGCAATCTTCAAAAACTCCAAGTCCTTCTCGAGCAACCACGGTCTATGCGGCGTAAAAAACACCAGCGCCCTCACCCGCGCCGTCTTCTTCAGCGTAAGCAGCACCGTCTTGAGCAGCTTCTGGTGCTCCGAGTGATTGAACAGCAAGTCCGACAGGATGACCAGATCGAACGCTTCCGCCGGTGGCGGCAGGTGTGCCAATATCTCCGGGAGCGGGTTCCCCCAGAGGTACGGTTCCGCGACGATGTTGCCGTTGCCGGTGCCGTCGTAGGAAGAGGGGAGCGCGGAGATGTTGATACGGAGATTGTCGATAAGAGGGGCGTCGGGGTAGTCGGTCACTACTACCTACTGGTCCCTCATTCCATCAGTCCTGTGCCGCTCCCTCCCTGCTTCTCGCAAGCAAGAACCGCCCACCTTCGCAGCACCCCGTAGAGCACAGGTAAGCGCCGGCAGGCCCGCGCCGGCACCAAGTTCGAGAACGGTCTTGCCGGCGACCAAGCGCGCGGCGTGGGTTTCGAGGTACTCGGAGGTGACGCGTCCGGCATTCCATAGGTGGTGGCCCCACAGTGGGTTGTGGCCGACTAGTCGCAGCGTCAGGGACTCGTGCGGGGCGGTGGTGAGAGAGTACGTTGTTGTGGTGGCCGACGGCGGCGGGGGGAGGAAGTCCTCCGGCTCGTCCGGAAGAAGCGGAATGGGCTCGGAATCTGAGTCGCTGTCGTCAAACATCGTTGCAGCGGCGCGCGGTGGTAGATTGAAAAATGACAGATGCGATGACACCTCCGGAATATGTATGGTGGGGTGGTGTGGTGGGGTGGTGTGGTGGGGTGGTGGGGCATTTTACAGAGCCGCTAAATTTGAGCTTATCAGGGATTAGTTACCGCACAGACCACCATCTGACCGCTGCACTACCTGCAGATCAATCCACATTTTCAACTTCACCCCACCAAGCCCCTCACCACGCAAAAACTTGCCATACCCAAAAGCACCACCACACCCCCAAAAACAACACACAATGTCGCACCGTGCACCCAAGCAAGGCAACCGCGCCTGGGCCGATAACGTCCTCGAGCACACGACTCCGCGCCCTTTGAAAACCGCACCGACCAAGAAGCGCGCACCGAAGCTCAAGCCGCGCACGCAACCGCCTACTGCCGCCTCCGTCGCCGCCGCCGCGACCCTGACCGCCAGCAACGACATCCTCACGCTCTTCCACCGCACCTTCTCGATCCCCTTCTCGCGGCCAGACCTGCACCAGGTCCTGCAGACCGTAAAAGGCCACCTCTACAACCGCGACTTCTCCGCCGCCTTCGGCACAGTCGAGCACCTCAACGCCTATGTGATCCGGTGGTCGCCCAGCCGCGCCCTCTGCTACCGCAGCGTATTCCTCAGCCTCTGTGACGAGATAACGGACGTTTTCCAGACGGCGGATGTCTCCGGCACGAGCGAGATCGTGTGCATCGGCGGCGGAGCCGGCGCCGAACTCGTGGGTGCCGCCGCCGCAACCCGCAACCTCCTCCCGCGCGGCGAAGTCGCTGCAGGCAAGGTCCACGTCACTGCTATCGACATCGCGGAGTGGAACGAGCCGTTCAGCGCGCTGACCAACGACATCTGCGAGAACTACATCCCCAACACGCAGCCGGGCGTGTTCTCGGCGGACTTCTACCGCGAGGATATCTTGGCGCCCAGCGTGCCGCTCGAGAACCTGATCCCGGCGTCGACGAGGCTGATCACGCTGCTGTTCACGACGAACGAGTTGTACACGCAGTCGAGAGCCGCGACAACAAAGCTGCTGCTGTCGTTGGCGGGCATCGTCGAGAAGGGCTGTTTGCTCCTTGTCCTCGAGAGTGCCGGGAGTTATAGTACCGTCCAGGTCGGCGAAAAGACTTTCTCGATGGGGATGCTGCTGGAACATACACTGCTGGGCCCAGATGGCGACTGGGAGAAGATTGAGGGAGATGATGCGAAGTGGTTCAGACTACCGGGGGAGGGCAAGGGATTGAGATATCCGTTGGCACTGGAGAATATGAGATACTTCGTTAGGGTTTTTAGAAGGTTGTGATGTGACGATACGAGGGGTGGATATGGGACTGGGCACTTTGGCGTTTGGGTGTGCTTGGATTGTGTTTTGGGATAGGGAAAAGTTTTGTAGTTTATCGTGTTTATTGATATTGGCCATGGAGTCGCTGCATGCATGAACTACCCCTTTCGTGCTGTGATTTTTTGCTCATGATGGATAACCTTCAGACCTCAGAAGATAGTGGGTGAGTACAGTAATGTCGAACAGAGTTGTCACGATTCAAGAGCAATGTCATGTGCAAGTCAAGCCAAATCAAACTCCAGTCACGTCAATCGAGCCATTTGAAGCAATTGAATCAATTCAGCTGAATCTACTCACTCCAACAAGGTGAATGTCACTCGAACAGGTAGACCATACAAACACTACACACCTCTGACCCGCAGTTCCCTCCTTCGCTAATCAATCTTTCTCTCCAGAAACACACCGATGCTCTTCCCCTTCCAAGTAGCGATATCATACAGACTCGTTCATCACATGAGCTAGAAGACAACAATCACATAAGCAGGAATACCAATGCTAACGCCATCATCATCCGTCTGTCGGAATTGATAACCGTCGCATCATTTTTCGAACGGACTGCCTTGCAATCGACGTCCTAAAGATTCCCTGTTGCCCACGCGCGCTTGCCTAGAAACAGTCAATATTAGTTATATTTTGAGAGACAAGAGTTAGTGGTTAAAGTGCTCACCCATATCAAGGCAGTTATCCTGGCACTTCTTGATTGCCGGGGGGTAGATGTGACAGCTGGAGAAGCCACAGCAATAGGGCATGCACTTCTTGTAGCCCGCCTTCACCGTGTCCTCGTAGCGCTGGCAGTCGGCTGGTGCCACGGGGCAGGGGCCGAGGAGATTCGGCGGGAAGTCATACATGCCTACAGACATAGGTTAGTAGAAGTATCAACGAGGGGGAGAGCAGAAGACATGACAAACCTCGACGAATCAGAGCAGGAGGGGGAGCCATTTTTCCAGTCTTGGGATTTCTCGCATTATAGTTATTGGAACCTAGAAGAGATAATTTAGAGTTGTTCCGGGAAATTGGAGAAGAAATCTGTGCTTACCCATCTGAATACAGTGATCCTGGCACTCCTTCAATCCTGCGGGGTTGGTCCAGCAGTTTTTGTTGCCACAGCACCGAGGCATGCAGCCCTTAAAGGTGTTAATCATCGAGTCTTGGTAGCGGTTCCAGTCAGCTGGAGACCAGTCGTCGGGGCAAGGTCGGAGACGGTCTTGGGGGAAATCCGTTGAGGCTTTGAAGGATAGAGTTAGCACGATCCATCAAGATGGGGAGGAAGGGGAAGGGAAGGATGACTTACCACCCCGAACGCAGGTGGTCCAGACCGAGATGGCGACCAGCAGAGCCGAAAGAACAGAAGAGAAGGAAGGCATCGGGACTGATTGATGAGAGAAGAGAGGAAAGTTCAAACGAGGACGATAGTATCAGCACTGGGCCGGCAGCGGTGATGCAAGTTGAAGTAGCGGGACTTGATTCAGAGACAAAGAGAAACGTAGGGTGCAGGACGAGAGGATGAGAGCGAATATGGCGGATGAAGGGGAAGGGGAGGGAGGGGTTTATATATGGAAGGGCGGCCAATATTGGCCGCTCGTGCAGAAGGAGGAGGAGGAGGAGGATGAGGAGGGGGGGAGGGAACCTGCTGGCGAGGGTGGACATGAGCGGGTTGTTTTGTTTACTCGGCCATGGCGAGGGGAGGTATGAGCCGGTTGTTTTGTTTACTCGGCCATGGCAAGGGCAGGCATGAGCTGGTTGTTTTGCCCACCCGGCCATGGCCTTGTTGGGCTCAGATCGTGTTCGCCTAGACATGAAGGCGGTGGATCTGTGAAGCAAACCACCATCAAGCGCCGTGGACTGTGCATTCCTGCAATGCATCGACGTTTAGAGAGACCCGCTACGTTCAAATCGTATGAAGCCGCAGCATCTGGCCGACGTCTCATGTGGCCGATTCGGCCGACGCAGCCAGGAACGCACAATCGTGTGGGCCAGCCAACAAATGGCGGATCAAAAGCTCGTCGCCCTCCGGTTTCCTCGGAACATTCATGCTTGCCTTCCAGTCCGTGAAGGAAGCACACGTGGTCTGCTTCCTTTGCACCCCAAGCCACTGCATACTCTGGTCACTGATCGTCGTTGACTGGGGAGATCCACACCGGGCAATTTCTTATTGAGTCTTTCATTCATTGATCCCGTCCATCTGCACAAAAAAGAAAAAAACATTTCGCTCACCACCCTCGCATGGTCAAACACTAAGCAGGCGCACACACCTTCTACAACCAAGCACCTGCGTACGCTCCAACCACCGCACCAGCAGCGGCGAGTAGCCCATTGACGCCCCACCCTCTAGCCCACTTCTGACTCTCAGCATTCATGCTCTCTGCATCCACCACTTCCGTCTGCAGCCCCTTGTCCTCCGCCGCAGCAACACCCTCACCCGCAGCCGCAATCCTCTTCTCAACCTGGTTCACGCCCAACATCTGCCAAGGCACCACGGCTGCCAACACTCCTGCTGCAACCGCATACACCTCCCACCCTCCGCCGACCACCACCGCCGTCAGATCAGCGTGGGGAAGGAATGAGTCGGCGTGGAACTGGACTGATGTCACCGGGATGGTGAGGGAGGGTGTTGAGTAGAGGTAGTAGGCGATGAACGCGAACGCACTCGATGAAGCGGAAGTGACGAAGAGCAGGGGCTTGGAGAGACGTTCACGGAGCGTTGACAGGGTCAATGCCAGGTCTCGTGCCGAAGACGTGGAGAGAGATGGCAGCGTGTGTGCGCTTATCGTGAGGTAAGCACCTGCATTTAATTGTCAGTCAGAATTTCGTCTCGCACGAAGGAGAGGATTCTACCGGCAGCATAAGCGGACCCGACGACACCGAGCAGCTTCGCAACGCGAACAGCCGGTGGAAGCAGAGTGTTGGCGGTAGGAGTGGTAGACATTTCGATGGATGTGGAGGTACTGGAGTGCCTGGGTATGATTGATGTGAAAGTGAAGCGTTTTTGTCTGACGAAAGTTCGATTGTCTGACGAATTCAGTGCACGGTGCGTAATGTTTATGTTTTATGGAGGAGATACCCTATGACATCATAATATCGTCACTCGCCGACAGTTCTGACAAGGTCTTGGCAGATCTGCGTTCCCGGGAATAACGGATGTAGATTATTAGGGAATCGTGACTGACATGTGGATCACCGACCAGTCGGTAACTAACCATCTTCCGTTCATCCCAGTGCAGCGCACGTGCTCGTCGTTTCGTATCACTCGGAGTTTTCTGTTTTATGTATGAGATACGACCAGTCCATTGCCGGTACCGTATAGCCTCAATCCCGACCTAGTGGTGCCAAGTACCGTATGCTGATGATCAGTTGCCACGGACAATCCTCATCAGTTCGACCCCAAGCGACATCTCCACCTCCTCTTGTGAGAATACCATGGCATCGGCACAAGCAGCGGTCCCAGCAGCAGCCGCAAACTCCTTCCGCTTGCACGCCTTCTCCAATCTCGCGATCTCCGCTTTCGCCGCGCCCATGTCGCTGCCGCGCCAAAGTCGCATCAGATTCCAGTCGACGCACTGGAGCAGGGTGATCTCCGTGAATGCCAGCACGCGCTTTCCCACGCCGAATCTACGGCTGTTAAGATCCGGCAGGTCATCTTCCTCCCATGCTATGGCCAGCGACAGCGCTGCCAGCACCATCGCGAACGCAATATTCCTCTCGGCGGAAAAAAGTGGCCACTTACGCTTCCATGCACGGATCCACGAACGCGGATATTTCCCGATCGTGGCGGGAGGCACTCGCTGCAGGATTAGCCCGGCCAGCGAGGCCGCGGCGAGTGTCAATTGTGGCAGCGAGGATAGCACACAGGCGACGTCGGCTACGTCGATGTGACATACCAGCGGCACTGGGAGCGAGGCCACGAGAAACTCCGCGCATGCTATTCGATAATCAGCAGACATACAGGAATAGAAATGGCTGGCAGCAAGACCTTTCGAATACCTAAACCCCCCCCTCTTGTCCCAGACTTGCAGGGACGTGTGAGCAAATATTGGTGCTGGCGCTGCGGTTCTCACTTCGGCTTTCCAGTCTTCGATAGACATCTGTGCGATTTGTGCGGAGAGTGTCGAAGAACCAAGACGATACATGAATGGGGAGGATGGAGGCGGTGAGGCTGGGTTTGATAAGAGTGTCGACCATGATGGTCCTGAAGTGTCCATCATAACCATTCTGGAATCTGGACCTTCGAGATGCTGCGGCGGTGTTCAAGATGATGGTATGGTATGATACTCGGGGTGCAGGAGATCATGTGCTATAACCACCAGAGACTCAACTGGATCGTCCACACTGGCGGATTTCCGTACGGGAGGAGGGGCTTTATACATCCTATGGACATACAGGAAATTTAAATATAAAGGTATTGTGGGCTTGAAGCTTTGCGTTGAATGTTCGTGGTACATACTCCGAGTCATCAGTTGAGACAAACGGTGGATCTAAAATTATACGGCAAACGTCTATGATGCCATGGTTTTTGGCACTGTAGTCTAATATGCATGCCATAGTTTGGAAGAAAAAAAAGTCTAAAATGCTATGCATAGGTTTTGTTCCACGTTTCAACCCCACCATCACCACCTAAACCAACCCAGGCCGACAGGAATGCTCTTTAACTTTCTCCTCTCGCCAGGAGCTCTTCCATTGCTCACTACAGTCGGGTTGCGTGGTGGGTGGTGTGGTGGGTTTGAGTAATGGTTGGTTTGAGTGGTGGTTGGTTTAAGTGGTGGTGGGGTTGAAACGACGAACAAAACTATGGCATGTTAGACTACAGTGTCAAAAACTATAGCGTTAACTATAGGCGTTTGCCGAACATTATGTATAACAACGGATGCGGGCGGGAGGATGTGATTTGGCGAGTGCGAGCTTGTGAAGAAGGACCTAGGTACATACCAGTGTTATGGTGCCTGCGGTCTAGAGAGAGAGAGAGAGAGAGAGATCTTCCTGTTTTATTTCGCATGCAGCCTATCTAGACTATTGCGAACCAACGAACTCCTTTTCCTGCCCGCCCTGGCCAGTGGAGGTGAAAGCCCCGGTGCCGGCCAGTCCGATGCGGCGCCCCACTTCCCCTGCTCATCCGCCTCAGGCCGACACGCAAAAAGCCTGCGGTCTAGAAAGGCACAGTAGTTTTTAGCCCTTCACCCGAAAAGTTTACATGGCAACAGCCGACCCCACCAAAAAGAACAAAAAACGATCACCTGACAACTCTCGAACATGCAACTTCACTACTCGGCGATTACTAGTATAGGTACACCCGTTCCTTTCAAATATGAGAGTCAATCACTGCAGGTGGTTGACTATACATATCCTGGGACAGGCTATCGACTGGTTGATTCTGGATGGCGGCCCGTATCTCGGACGGTAGTTGAACAGCTGAGTTCCGGGTCCGAAAAGTTCTCCGAACTTTTAAGTTCATATTCCAACCGAGTACATGTGAGTCGTGACCATTACACTTTTTAGAGTGAAAATCAGTTGCTATCACGTGGGGGTTTAGAGTAATGTACACGAGGATTATTTCCATACAAAACTCGGTGCTTCATCTTGTAAAAGAACTTCACACCAACATCGGTCCAGGAATCTAAAATGATGGGGGGAGGTACATAACCTGTGACTTTTCCAAACCATGAGTTTCATGTCTGCTGCCGGCTGCTAGCTGGCTTGAAATAGGTAGGCACCGCAAAAACATGGGCCCACAAAACCGCAGGCACCATACAAGTCTCATATAATACTTATCACTTGGTGATGCACTTCACATGGCGATGACTATTACTTAATTTATGTAGGAGTTACGAAAATTCTAGGGCTATGAGAACATTAGCCTTATTTTGACATAACTCTTACGAAAACCTGATGGGTTGCACGTGCTTATGAGTGGCTTATAGAAGGCCTAAATAATTTCCTCAGCTTATATACGGCCTACATATGAGGCTTCTGGATTTAGTACATGGCCATACCTGGTAGGTATTGCCAGTCCAAAGGTTTTCTTGCCAGAAAAGGCCTCGGCGGGCCGACCTGAATAGGAGGAGAGTGTGCTTCCAACAGACGTAGCGTGGCGGGGTAGAACTTCGGCCTTCAGGTGTCACTCGTACATGGCCGCCGTAACAACATGAGCTCCCGGAAACGTTGTCTTCTTGTTGGACAGTGGCGGGGAAACAGAGGGGCGAACGGGTAGATATTGCCATGATCTAGATAGGTCGCACGCAATCAATGAATGAACAAAAAAAAGGACGTTGTCTTCTTGTCACGGCGGAGGGCGGAGGACGGAGGGCGTAGGGCATGATGAGCCACACAGGGTCGCTTGAGGGGCCCCGTCGGGGCTCGAGTCGGGCGGTGGATGGTGGATCGGAAGCATATTCAATCCTATCCGCCTCGAGTCTCGACAAGCAGCGGCAGCCATGGCGAGGTCTGAGCCTGCGAGAGAACCTGCAGGAGAACCTGCGGGAGAAATTAATGCGGCGCGGCTCGGCGGCTGGAATCGATGGCTTAACGGTGTTTCCCTTGCCTTCAGTAGGCGGTCTGGGGCTACAAAGTCTTATCCATGAGCCGCTCAGCTTAGGGCCGACAGAACACAGAGTGAGAAGGTGTGATGCGGAAATTACACCCTCAACGTGAATAGCCAGCTAATGCTGAGTGAGAATTTTAGACTCGAGAGGATGGAATACTAAGACTCAGCTCGAAATGGTTTCTACTTACCTCGATATTCAAGTGCCACGCTTGGAATATTCAGTGAATTGGTGTGTCCACCTGTGATCTTTTCCTCTTCTTATACTCCATTCATCGGTTCCGTTATTCTTCCTCGACTACTCGCAACCATCTCTTCGATAAACCACAATATCTTTACAACATATCTTTACAACATATCTTTATAACTTACACTCGGTGGGTCATCTCCTCCACTCTTTTCTCTATCAGTCACTAACATACCATCCAGTAAATCCAACTCTATGCTTCCCACCACAAATATCGAAGCCCCTATGGACCTTTCGGACGACCGCCGAAAAGCGCAACACATCGAATTACTCGCCGACAGCGTACCCGACGGCTCTCTAACCAGCACGCAATACTGGGCGCAAGAAGAGCAAAAGCTATCATACATCCGCACAGCTCTTCACGAGATCTCGCCGTCCTTCCAGCCTGGCGTGCGCGACAACCTAGAAACGGCCAAAGCTACTACTCGCTCGCCCGCGCGCGGGCCATTCGCCCGCTACATCCTGCGCGACGGTGAGATATTTGCCGAGCCCGACGATGGCCCGCTGGTGAAGGTGCACGATCTTCGCGGATGCATCGCCGTTGTGGATAGCAACCAGTACGAGAAGCCCAGAAATAGGCTGTGGACTACAGAGCATGACAGCTGGATCACCACCGCCGATCGGAACCCCGATACCCCCCTCGCTGCGCTGGATCAATCTCAGTGGCTCGAGTCGAGACTGTTTACCCTCGACATGGACATACTGGAGGCGAAGCTGAAGATTGCAGTTAAGGAGGAAGAGCGCATGTTAACGGAGGGTGTCGATCTGTTTGGGTTCCCCAGGGTGGTTCCGGCAAGGACCGCGGAGTTAAAGCTGGGGGCGAAAGAGGATGCACCGTCGCCACCGAGCTCTGCGTTCAAGCTGAATCCCACGGCTAAGCCTTTTGTTCCGGGTGCGGTGGCCAGGTAGGTACCGACCGGATTGTGCTGCGCGCTCCTGGGTTTGGCTCTGGGCGTTTCGGCGGAGCACTTTTTGGAGTTTTGGAGGTTTGGAGTTTTATAAGTGTTTTTTTCCTTGCTGAGATCTTTTTATGTAAGTCCACTATAGCTACACGGAACGTTCTCGACGAAATAACTGACTGCGAAGGTGGATCAAAGTTACTACGCATTCAATGTCTCGGTCAATGGCCGTCTTCGGCACATCTCACTGAACCGAGATGGGTTTTGATGGCCGTTGGGATCGGATCCGCACATCCTTTCAGGCCCCGAGGCCGAAAACGGTCTATGATAATAGCAACATCGAACCGACCGACCGTCTCCTCACATCATCACGGATCCTCTTACGTACAGGAACCGCAAACCACCCACGATACCATCATATTACGTCCCGACATGTCACATCCCACACCCAAGAACGAGGCGCCGCCCGCCTCGCGCTGCATATACCGATAGGTATCATACCGTGGCTGCTACGGCGGGGCACGGCCGGATGTCCCTGTCACGAGTCATAACTCACCCCGGGTGGTTTCTAGGTATTACGTTGTGTGGTTTCTTTTAATTTCGTGGGTGTTGTGGTGGTTTTGGCGATGCCGCCGTGTTGGATCTATCATACGCATTTTTGATAACGTCTGGTTTTTATATGCTGTCCGTTACGGGCTGGAGATGGCTTCTTGCCAGGCATTGTTTTATTTTGTTTTATCATTGATTGCAACTGACCTAGCTACCTAGATCATGGTAATATACACACACTCCATTTCCGTGTCCATTGACCCGCTCAACTTTCGTCTACCAGGCTTTGCTCACGGTCACTCGGTACAATTTGATGTGAATCGAGTGATATTTCCGTGATACACTTTCGCGGACAACTCCTGGAGCAGCTCGGCGCCGGAAAGGAGGAGGACTCTACGACTCCGGCCGTCGCTCGCTGTATTGGTTATATTTTACATTGGGAAAAATTGTCTGTATTGAACCTCAAACCAGAAGATACGGTAGTACATGTAGAAAAAAAGAAAGAAAGAATAAAGAAAGAAGTCCCGAAACCCCCAAGTATCAATCACTTGAAGCAGACAAAAGGTACCGATCAAACTCCACCATATCACAAGAAAGCCCATTGAAACTGGGTAAGTCCCCTATCACAAGAAGGCTCATTTGTTCTGGGCCAACCTCCTTTTTTTACCTGCCTGCTTGTCGGCACCCGAGGCTTCGGTCTTTACGGTGTTGCGACCGGGGGCCTTGCCGTTTCCAGTCCGGGGAGTCTTCACAGCGGCCTTCTCGGCGGCCTTCTCGGCGGCCTTCTCGGCGGCCTTCTGGGCGGCCTTCTGGGCATCCTCCTTGGCCTTTGCCTCTAACCTCGCAGCAGCAGCCTCCATAGCCTCCTCCTTGTCTTGCCTCTTCTTCTCGTGAACGCCGTTAATAAGTCCGAGGGCGAAGCCGGGGTACGTCTCCATGATGCGCAAAATCGGTGAATTGATCTTGGCAATCTTGAAAGCTTCACACAGCAGGGGGTCTATACTCGAATCAGCATGCATTCGACGATGACGGATAGGTAGCTTGAATTATAGCACTTACAGTTGTCCATCCAAACCTCAATGGGCGCGGGAATCATATCGGCCCAGAAGTCCGGGATTTCCTCTAAGTCGAGACGGATCTTGGCGACAGTGTACTCACAGAGCTCCGCGATATCGGCATCGTCGAGCTTTGCCTCAAGCACATTGAGGGCACAATACGCAAACTGGGTGAGCTTGAGACGGCTAGCGAGAAGGTAAAGCTCCGTGACGGTGCCGATCGGGAGGCCCTCCAGATCTTGACTAGCGAGCTTCGCATTGTTGTAGCAGTAGCGGAGCACCATCGAGGTGGCATCAATGCTGATGGTCGGAAAGGTGATCGTGTCGTCCACGATCGGCATCTTGAATTCAAATAGGTGGTACATCGCGGTGTGGATGTAGAGTACCGGGGCGGCCTTGTCCAGAACATGAACCGATAGGGTTTCCGGGCTCGAGAGGATCGTCGGATACATGGTACCACTCGATTTCAGCTGCTCCACGGTGCGGATGAAGGTATCCGTGACATTTGAAGCCCTGCGGGCCTTGGAATCGAAGTAATCCTGCGACTGACGAGCTCCGGATGCTCCCTGCGACTGATGAGCTCCGGATGCTCCGGGGGACGGCGGCGAGGCAACTGGCTTGATAGCGGAGTCTCCCTCAGCTTCGGTGAATGGGTTGGGCTTCTCCTCTTGGGGCGAAGAAGACATGAGCGCGGGCGGGAAATCATTTGAATGGTCCGGAACGCTGCGGCGGTATTTACTATAGTCCCGCTTATCGCTGTAGCGGCGAGCGTCTGTGGAGGTGACGGGGGAGGAGCCGTCCATGATTGCTGTCGTGCGTCGGGGGGAAGATGTTTTGGTGGTAGTGGAGACGTTTGTGGCGGTGGGGACAGAGGAGAGGAGTGAAACTAACGGAGTTCGCGTCATTTACGGTTAGCACGAGTGCAATCTTGTGATTAGATTTTGACCCCGCGATCTCTACTTGCAAAATGTAAGCACTTGACTACAAACTATCTTAAGATCATACTCAGTATCGGGACACAAAAGGAATCCACTTTCATAAACTCGCGGCGAAAATGATGCATCATGAGTAAGTTTTCCCATTCTCGCATCACAATCGGATGAGATCGCATAGGGAAGTAGAACCATCCTTTCAAGCAACACCAAACCCATACCGACCAGCCTACGGGTACGTGCATCCCCCACCGTAGCACTTACTCTGACTTTTGGTAAACCCTCCTAGGCGGTTGCAAGTCCAGGTTATCCCTCCGGGATGGCCACAACCAGCGAGCCGCCACACGCCTGCACGAGTGATATCTTTCAGCACACATCCCACCACAACCCCCCAAGTCACGGCGCTGCGGCAACATACCTATCTTCCGCCTTCCTCATCAGGGGATAACAGATCCACTGCGGATGAGCGATCAAAAAGACCACATAGGCAATGATGGCGCACCACAGAAGCGGGTACAACGCAGCCAGTGTGCGCGCTGTCGGGTTGATGTTCCTAAGGTCTGCGTCGTGGAACTCCATAGCCCTCAGGAATTTATGCGCGCTAGAGGTGTATGCAAAGACATCTGTAGCACGGCGGTTAGTGGACGCGAATGCATAAGAGCTAGGGAGAACCACAGCAGAAGAGTATGTCAATCGCGCGAAAGAGGAAGAACAGGAGACACCAAGTCCAACGACCCATCGGCTGCTCCTCGGGACGGTTTGAGATGAACTCCATGCCGAATTGCGTCGTTTCTGTCGGTATCGTTGCTTTTGTTGTTGCGGTTAAACTGCGAGTGAATATTCCAGTATGGGTAGAAAGTATGTGCGTGGCGTGGCGGTCGCTCAACTTGGTAACAATGACGAAGTTCAGGACCCGGTTTTAAACAAATCATACTTGCGATCCCGAAGACTGGCAACAGTGTACTCACACTATGAAGCCGCACACGAGCACGCCTGCATTTGCCCTTTACTCACTAAAGAATCTCGATTTCTCGATTTCCCGATGTGAGTGACGAGATGTGAGGAGTGAGCAGCGTTTCTGCTGGTACGCATGCCAAGACGTTCACATGCCCAGTCTTTCCATGCCCAGTCTCCCAAGGTTCTATTCATAGAGCACGTAAGCGGGTGTGGGAGGGGCACAGAGCCGGGTAGGTTTCAACCCCGCCACCGTCTTTTCTTCCCAGTTCTCTACAACCGGTGGCAGGCCTACTTCGCTTTCCTCACACGCACAATGAATCCGAACCCAACCAACCCCGCCAACATCGTGGGCTCTTCGTGAAGTACCACACCTCGCCTTCGAGGATCTAGCTCCATAGCTGAGCTCTCAAGCTGACGCTCTCCGATCCGCACGCGCCCAGACGGTTAGTACTCCTGTTCGTTTCCCTCCAATGTCCCTACTATGCAAAGCCCCAAAGACACCTGATGATACGAGAATTATTTTATCAATGCTATGTTTTCCTACCGATGGATCTTCCAACTGAGTACAGCATTCTGGCCATCTGACGTCTCTTCTTCATTCCCTCACGGATTACTCTCTGTTGCTTCGTTGCGAGTGCAAGTGCTAACGCCAGAGTGGAAGATAGATCTTCGACGTCGGCTTTGAGGTGTTTCCGGAACGGAGGTGTGACGTGCGGATGATCCACCAGCTACGGGGTGCGCTACTTGCGGCCGCTATCTACATATGATATAATCGAATATTAATCATCCATCGATGAATTTGGAGCTGCCCCTCGTCTGCCTTGCTGTGCTCCGAGTCCTGAATTACGTGTCTACCCTACCGTACAACAAGATTTGACGATCGTGATTACTATTCCACCTGTCTGTACCGTAGTATCTATGCCTGAAATTCCGCTCCCACCACGACTCATCTGTTGCCCAGGGTTGCTGAGTAGAGCTGCCACGGCCCCATCGGGATTAAAATCTTGGTTCCTTAATTCCGTCCCTATTCGACTGCATCCTCATTCCCAGACTGTAGGCCTAGAAGTGGGACGGGGTAGATTGTGGCAAATGGGTGGCCTATGTGCGGCTATTCGAATAGAGATTATGCAGGCTTGCAAGAGAAGAGCTTTTACTATTGGGGGCCGGAGGAGTGGCAGTATGTGTGCGTGAGCCACGATCCCACATGTTGGCACTGTGAATCTCGGCGGAGCTTGATGAATCGCCGAAAAAAGGAGACGAGTGAGGATGATCCAATACAGTGAAAATGGGAGTGAAAACATGCCAGGTAGTGGTCAACTTGGTCCAATGGTCCGTGCCATACGGTATGTATGCTGACAGAGCTCCAACCAGCACTCCAGTGCATAGGTGTATCGTGTCCATGCCTTTCCCACCATTACGACGACAACGACAATGACCATGGGGGGCAACTACTATTTCCGCCGCAAGACACAACACGCCAGCTTCCTCAGTCAGCCCTCGGCTACCTGTTTACGATGGATATTCGATGCACACCGACACCACATCATACCCCTTCTAGCATGCTGGCATGGAGTTCCAGCTTCCAAAGGAGTACTTCCACTACCTACTATACACTTCTTCGCGAAGAGCATGCTCCCACGTCTCGTCCCTGGCGTCAGGCTGACAGCCAGCCAGCCAACCAGCTAGCCGTTTCATCCCGGCCTTCCATGGAAGCAAGGTTACCCCTCTCTCGACTCATCTCTCCGGAGTCCGGACGCCTGACAAGTTACAACTTTCGTCTAAACTACACCCGAGCTTCGGCTTTACAAACCTTAGGATAGTAAGGTCTTGAAGCGGATAGACTCCAGCCCAGGCCGCGGGTTCATGCTTTCTACCGCGTCATCCTCGGGCCCCCGGCTAGGTATGTTGGGCCGATGCGCAATCCCGATTTTTTTTCTTTGGTGAGCCACCTAGCGCCTGTGGACTTTCGATATCGGCCACCTACCGGTATCGTATAGGAGTAGATATGGGTTCAAGAACGGGGCCGTACTATAGGTAGGTTAGTGCAGGCCTCTTCGCATGATCATCTTCCTGTTCTACATACTACATAGTACAGCTCCCAGTCGCCTCCGGATGACGGAGTCACGGAGAAGGAGACTTCCGTGCTTCCGTACTTCAGGAGGTCCTCATGGTGAAGATTTAGACAGAAGCTTGATTCTACTCCAATTCAATTCGGCGGCTCGTTTGAGGCAATGAGCCATGGGCAATGAGCAGTGAGCAACGTGAGCAATGAGCAATGAGCATACCCGGGTTGAAAAAACGACGATGGGTTAAAAATAAAACATAGTACACTGGATGGCTACCACATATGCAGTGGATGAATAGCTAGGATGGGCAAGAACGGATGCAGGAACACGACCCACACTGCATTGCCTGGGTATGGATATAAACAGTCCACGAAGTTGAATTGCAGTACCTACTACCTGCTCTGACAGTCTCTGTCTGACTCCTCCTTTATGCGGCAATCTACCTCGTGGCGCAGTGCAGCGGCGCCCCCACACCACGTACTCACAGCCCCAACACGGAGAGAAAAAAAACAGGCGCCATATTGTATCACTTCTGGGTCCTACATGGCTGGCTGGCTGGAAGATGGGGGATGGGGGATGGCAGATGGGCATTACGGACCGGGTGGCCGGCATCTGTTAAGGTTTAAGGAGGTCTAACTGTGACAGTGTAGACGGGTAGACGAGTAGAAGAGCTTATACGGAGGAGGTTGTGTGGTTCCGAGAGAGTGCACGTCCTCTCACTGGGTGTATGTTATCGCAAGTTCTTATAAGGGAAACGAGCTTGTATAAACAACAAGATGAAGCCTCAGACAGCCGAGGATGCGAAGATAGCCGTCGCCGTCGCCGTCGCCGGGCTGGGGGCCTAAAGAGGCTTATTGTGGTGAGAAGCCAGGGACAATGCTAAGAAGCCACGAAGTCCATGAAGGCTGCATTCAATGATGAAGAAGAACAGAGAAAAGTAGCAGTGACACCAGAACAGGCGATAAGACGCCTACTATCACCACGGACTGGCCCACAGTTTTGCGAGTGATTAACCATGAACGAGTATACCCATACCCGTAACCCAGTAAAGCCTCGCCCATTTCAACAGCCCGGTCCACTACCGGTCCACCACCGGTCCGCTACCGGGGTGCGGGGGAGAGGCACGGGCAGTTTCAAGTTTCAACACCGACGGGCCAACCAGGCCAACCAGGCTATGTATCAGGCTACCAGCTCAGCCGATGGCCGATTGCGGAAGGTCCAAGTCCAAGTTCAAGGCTTCAAGCGGCCGACGATATCATAGGTATCATATCATACCGGTATGATTATGTCTACATTCCCGACTTCTGCTTGGATACTCTACTAGGCTACTAGGTACTCCATGTTGCCGCCGTCGTTGCCACATCACTGCAGCCGCAGCTACGCAGCTCCAGATTCTAGACTCCGGCCGACGGTCGCGACGGTCGCGACTCGCGAACTGCTACAGTTCGAGATTTCACGATTGTTGGGACTCCGGTGAGTGGATATGGCGTACGGGGCGCCGCAAGAGTTCTTCCCGAGGGGTTGGGAGCTGGAAGGCTGAAGGCTGAAGGCTGAAGGCCACTAGGTAGGGTATGATGTACCTATCCGTGCAAGTATTTTGCCGCTGCTGTTCTGTACACTCTATATGTAGTTCCGCTGATATATGTCGTTGGCCGCGCAATGGGCAGCCGACATCGGCCCACATCCGCACTTCCGCACATCTGCAGGCGCCCGGGGGGTGGGGGTTCTAACTTCTTCACGCTTGTGTCCACGCTTGTGTACAGGTGCGGCGATTCAGGTACGCCGTGCAAACGCGGTTGGCGCGCGCGGTGTCGAAGTTAAGGGGCTGGCTCCACTGGCCACTGTCCAGGGCACGAAGGCTGGCCGTTGGCCGAACGGCAAAAACCGAGCGGTAAAAGCATGGCCGTGGTCCATCATGCAATATATATGTAACAATCGCGGTCGCTTTTCATTGGGCCAGGAATGGCAGTTACTGGCAGTTTCTGGGTAGTAGATTCAACTAGATTTCATCCAGCCCAGCTTCCCAGAAACTAGGTGCCAACAGTAAACACCCTGGAGCCTGTCGTCGATATCTAAGGCTCCGTTCGGTGCCGTACGTTTATTTTTTACTACGCAACAAATAATAAACGGTCCACTAGTCTTGGCGCCTAGGCATCTCAGATATCTGTTCGGCAACACTACTTTCTCTGTATCTATCTCACACTCGACAACTTCTCCACGCCACACTGCACTATATAGTACTACTTCCACCCAAGGTGAAAGTTGAAACAGTTGGTAAGAGGGTGCGCACAGTACCGTTCAGGAGAACTAGTCACATGGATAGACAGACATAGGGACGCGGCGACAGAGCAACACCACCGCCTCTACTCAACTACTTTCTCCGGTCCTTCTCCTCTTCCCAAGCCTGTCCTCTCTACTGCATCGCCGCCTGGTGGGTGAAAATCTTAAGGCAGAAACAGAGATACCGTACAGGTGATGGACAGTCGGAAATGGGAGGTGGACAACGGGGCAAGATGGCAGGCAGTGGGCAGCTTGTATATAGAGTAACTATTCTACAGCCCACAGCAGTGCCCAGTCCACAGTGTGTTCGCCTACTCAATTACAGTGTAAAGTTCTATCATCGCGTCGAGAGCGTTGTCAAAGGTACGGCTGATCGTGTCGCCGCTTCATTGAAATGGTTCTTGTGCCATAGGGTTGGACGCGTTCTCGCCGACGATTTTGAGAAATATCGCAAGCTGCTCTTTCACTGACATATAGCGGGTCGGTTGGAGGTGGTCATGATTGATATTTTCTGGGGTGAGGAGACTGGGACCGGCGGACATTCTGGATGTTGTTGTTGTACGGCTTCAGGGGGATCTGGTGACGAATGCTAGCATGGTCTATTTTTTGGTGGAGGTTCAGAGAAATACGCAAGAAATACGATGTGGCTGAATTACAATGATCATATTTTCTCAAAGTCGTTGTGCCGAACGCTCAGCGCCTTTTTTATGTGACGTACACTAAAATTTGGGTGGTATAATATTTATCACGTACGGCACCGAGCGGAGCCTAAATAGATTCCTTGTTCCGCTCCTCGAACCCGAGTCCCCGTATCTGCCATTTCTACCGTGATTGGCGTCGGAAGGAACGGGGGGCTCACTGAGAATCGAAGCCCTGTTATTCTGGCTCTGGTCCCCCCCGGGCCCCAACACTTGACACCTCGCTCCCTGCTATTTACCTTCCACCATGGAATGGATCGCTTGCAGCGCTTAGGTGTGATGAGCTCGGCACCAAAAAGAAGGAAAAAGAGGCATATCTCGCCAAAGTACAACCATAATTTCGAACACAGCGCGATGCTGTTCAATCATCACTGGATCCAACGGACTCCGGAGCGCCAACTGCCAACTGAGTATTCGAAAATAGATCCCGAGCACGTGAAGCGCCGGTCTCCGATTAAGTAATACTCTACCTAGTAGGCAGTTTAGTTATGCGTTGCATGCAGCCTGTGCCATGGTGAGGCTTATAAGACCGTTCTTGTACCGTAGGAGGATATGCATTTTTCTTTTCTTTTTCAGATTCCTTACAATATTTTTCTCAGCCGTGGCTCGTGAGCCCTCCACCTACATACACCTCCTGTGTCCACCTCCATCTCCCACCCTCCCTCCCGAAAGACCATACCGTACGTGCATGCTTACTCTTGAGTCTTCACCGGAGGCGTTGCGTAACCCACCCTACCACTCGACCACACAGCCAGCATCATAGTAGGTAGCATACTTTATACAAGCATACTCGTTCTGGATATATCATATTCTCCTGGTCAGGTAACTTTAGACTACTACTTACTCTGGAGCAACTACCTGGGTAACCAGTAACCAGTAACTAACAAGTAAATAGTAGCACCTACCACCAGGCTCCAGCGCTGCGGACAACTACGCAGAGCCCTGTTATTTCTTCCCCAAGCTCCCACAGCACCACAGAAAAGTGTAAGTTGATCGAGGCTGCCTATCGTACATCATCAGGCCTACATGCCTACCTACACACCTGGCAGGCTGGCACATATACCGGTAGCGGTACGGAGTACATATGATATGTAGACAGTATCATGTAGGTATGATAGCTCTGGCACCGATCGGCTCGCGACTGCCGGTCTGCCACAGGAGCAAGTCTCAGTAAACCTCAGCAAACGAGGGGATACATTATGTTCGCGGAATCGCGGGGCGTATGTATGTATAGAAAGTACCGGTATGGGTGCAGTACAGTGCAGTGCAGTGTCTTTGAATCATTGATGAATCCTCCTTCTTTCCTTCCTTCCTTTGCCACCGGCCGGCGTAGGCCGGGAGGCATCCGGTGCTGCCGGTGCTGCCGGGGGAGAGGGGGAGCAGTCCCAGCCCCAGTTGCTGCTGCTGCTGCTGCTGCTGCTGCTGCGGACGACGACAACGACGGCGGAATATTGATGAGTGATCGTGCTCTCTCTGTCTCGGCACAATCCTGTTTCACCGAAGAGGAGGAGGAGGCTGATCGCCTACGGTACTGTTGGCGATGATCGTGCGGAAAAGTTCCCTCCGTTTCCAAACGGCACATGCACACACACGCATGTGGGTGTAGTGGTTGTAGTGGGTGTCGCTCGGCGATCTCCTACTAAGAAGTATCTACGCATAGTTGCTGTGACTCTCCTCGCTGCGCAGTAAGGGCGAGAGGTACAACTCGGCGAAGCGCCGCACTCAATCTACATACGATTAGAGTGGGATGTATGTAGAGTACGCAGAATACGGTAATAGATCATAGATGGATACAGATACAGGTTCTTGCTTTCCTACTCTACTCTGCATCGGTAACTACCTCGCGTACATAGCCCGTGCATTTCCTGCCTACCCAACAACCGGTAACTGCGGTACTATGTAGTACTCAGCCGCCGGAAGAAGTCGCTCCACCCTACCGCGCCCGTTCGCTCGCTCACAGAATATGATATGGGCGGGATTTTATAAGAAGAAGAAGAGTAATCAGCTGTCGGCACATTCGTTGGTGGCAGGTCTTGGGGGACACACGGAGGATCAACTCGACCTCTAGTTAGAGTAGAGTAGTTACGGTACTCTAGGCAACCATCCATCCATCATCATCCATCCATCCATCCACCCTCTCTGCATTAGTTAGTTGGAGTCCTTCAATTTGTACTTGCGCCATCATGAATCAGACATGTACTGAGTTGTCAACCCCCCCTCCCTCTCCCCAAATCATACCGTTCCGAGTTCCGAGGGCCATGGCCATGGCCATGGTCATGGCCAGAGAGGGATACGGTTTCACATCACGATCCGATATGATTTGCTGGGGGGCGGGAGCGAGCCAATGGGGGAAGCGGGCGGTCCGCTTTGGGGTGGGCGTGCAGGGGGCTGGTTGTGGCGGAGGACTATGCGAGTCGTTGGAAGGAGAGAGAGAGAGAACGAGAGAAAACGCCAATCCAACTGTCTACCGGTATTTTGAGAGGAATGGAATGGAACTTTGACTGTTTATGTATGGCGACCAAGCTACCTATCGGAGACAAGTAGAGTGAAGTACATAGCGGCCGCCGTCAGGTGCGAGGTCTGGTGCGAGGTCTGGTGCGAGTGAGCGCGAGTGGCGTCCGTACGATACCGGTAGTGGCTAGAACTGTTTCGATGGCCCTGCAACGACAACGCCGACCCCCGCAGTCTGGCGAGAAAAAATAGCCTTGGTTAGTCGACGGTGTCGCCTGAGCAGTCCTGTACGCTAACTAGCAGCCCTGCGGATTCGATCATTCGAGCCCGAGCTTGGGAATATATCCAGTTCGAGTTCGTGCGGCTGATAACCAACCACTTCTTACTTACTTGTATGTATGATATGTATTCCGACCGTTCGGCCAGCGGTACACACCCAAGTATCTACTTACCAAGGACCTACCGTAAATACCAAGGGGAGCAAAGGTGGCGACCTTCGAGTGGGAAAAAAACCCGAGTGCTTTCATATTCATAGTGCGTGCTTCAGGCTTCAGCTGGTGAGCATCAGGTATGCGGGGGACGCGGTCCTGCACAGAGGACTGGCCATGGCCCATTCACCGTTCCACGGCATAAGGCTTGTGCTGCCACCGCCAGCCGCAATGCCGTATCCGCCGTGGCTGTTCCTTCCCAGGAAATTCTGCCACTTCGGCGAGAACGAGCATTCTTGTCAAGGCCGCATCGATTTCGAGTCGCTGCTACCGCATGTGGTAATTGCTGGCACTTTGCAACCTGCCCGCCTTCCTGCATTGGCCGTGCGTGGTGCGGGGGACTCCCATGGCGGACAGCCCCCCCAGCTCTGCTTATTATTAACATTCCACCGAATACCAAGCAGGTGGCAGTTCGAATCACTCCCGTCTCCGACTATCATTCCCTTTACTCCCTCTCCATTCCTGTCATCCCCCCCCCTCCAACTTCCCAACCTTTCAGACACCACTCTTCAACCGCTAGTTCCTCGATCGACGAGCGCGAGATATGAGGGCCCTTATCCTCGCCGCAGCACTGCTTCCCTTCGTGGTCGCCAAGAATGGGACGAGTTGTATGTTATCGAGCGATTCCCCCCGTTTCCGTTTCGTTGTTCGTCCGTAGTGTGGTGCGCCTGAACTAACAACAAGATGTCGTGTCGCTCGTCAGGTAATGTCACGGAACCGTTCGCGATACCGTACAGCAATGTCACAGTCATCGATACCCCGTCGACGATACACGCGCCGCACAAAGCTCTCGGGTTGATTTTCGGTATGCGCATAACCATTTGCTCTTCTATCCTCCCGCGCTTCTCGAAAACAGCTTCGGAATATTGACGCTCAATTTCGTACTAGGCGGCGCACGCAAATTACTGGCGATGGGAATGGGGACCACGGCGAACTCGACATTCGTACCCGATTCCGATAAACTATGCAACCCCGACAGTCCCCAGCTGAAGGGTTGCATCTTCTGGCGCGGAGGCGTGTTCAGTCAGGCCGGAAGCAGCACCTGGGCAAAGGACCGACGGACGTCGGACTATAACGGAAGCGCTTCGAACGACGGATGGGATTATCTGAACGGGGAGAACTACAAGTGTTAGTGGCCGATCTCCGGAGGCACGGGGGTTCTGTTGAATGATTGGCTGATCTCCTGCCGGGAACAGTGATGGGAGAGGATCCCTTGACGGACTTCACTCGGGGTTGGGATAACGTGGACCTGGGTGACAAGACCCTGTCCGCGTACCCCTTCTCGATAATCGAGAACTCAACTTTTCCTTTCGGGTACGTTCGCATCACTCTATGTATAAAATTTAACGGCTTGTTTTGCTAACTTGAACGCAGAACCGGTATGGTACGTACTATAGTAACGGGGTGGTGGTGTGTGGCTCGAGTGAGAAGCGAACGCGGCTAATCTCTCTCCCATCCAGGTCGGATTGGCTTCAGATAGTGTCTTCCTACGGTCGGCTACTGCATCTCAAGTTTCACCCTCCAGGTCTTGGGGATTCCACTACGGAACGAACGGCGATAATGAAGCGCCTGGGGAGCTCGTTGTGGGAGGATACAATACCGCGAAAGCGACGTACAAGGACTTTACCAACTACACCATCTTTCCCGACAAGAGCAAGCCTTGTCCTCTGCAGGTGAACGTGCAGAGCATGAAGTGGGGAAACACGGACTTGATGGCCGGTCAAGGTACGCAACGCGCACTCGTTGCGATTTGAAAGATTCGGTTTAGTTTGGTTTGGCTGACTTGTCGGATAGGGACCTTCATGGCATGCCTGGAACCCGCGTACTGGACCATGATTCTTCCCCTAAAGGTCCAGGAGAACTGGAATAGCAGCATGATCAACGACAACAACTACGCCTTCTGGGAGCAGACGTGGGAATACTTTAAGTACAACGATACCGCAGATTCCAGCTTTCCCAACGGCGAATTGGTGATCACTCTGGACAAAGGGTTCACTGTCAATATTCCCAGAACCGAGCTATTCGAAACGGCGAAGGCCATCAACCAGACAGCTGGTGGTTGGATCAGCCAGCCAGGTAAGACACTGATCGCTTGCGTGCCTTGCGTGCCTTGCATCGCAGCTAACAGGCATCATAGATCACATCCAAACGAAAGTCGGTACGGCAGGATTTCCACCGGGTGTGGAGCCCTTGATCCCATTCTTCGGCGGGCCATTCCTTAGCCAGGTATATCTCGCCGTGGACTACGAGAACATGATTTTCTCCCTGGCGAACATGAAAGGCCAATCGACCGGAACATCTGGGTTGCGACAGCTAGGCTGTGACGACGTCCCTCCTGCTGCAGACAGCGATCCAGGGAAAAACAACACCGGCGCGATCGTGGGTGGGTCTGTCGGCGGTGTTCTGGGCTTACTCGCCATTCTGGGAGCTGTGTTCTACTTCTTCTTCTACCGTAAGCGCAAGGCCCAGCCCGCCACATATGCACCGGCAGCGGCAGTCGAAGACAAGAAGGACCACTCGGAGAACGTTCCCCGGTACACATCCCCCTACCAAGGCTCGCCATACGGTGCCTATCCTCCTCCACCGCCGACGGATCCCGGCTCCTCGCCATACCCGACCTACAGCAGTCACTACAGCGATAGGACGGCTTGGTCGACGTCCCCACCGCCACCGATGCCGGCGCAGTTCGAAGATGCGGTTATGCTCCCCGCTTCGCGACTCGACCCTGTCGAGATTGGGTCCGGAGTGCCGGAAACGCCCACGTCGCCACATAATGCGCCTTCGCCGCCGCTGCCAGCAGCAACGAGAGATGCGATCCGCCCTATGGCCCCCGCTGCGGATGCGGGGCGACCAGATCTGTTGACGTAAGCCAGCTGGAGCTAAATTTAACCGGTTCATCATAATCTAGCTTTCTCGTTTTTCCTATTTCGGTGTTTTTTTTTTGTTTCGGTGTATTTGGACGGGAATTCTTTTACTTTCGGTTGTCATCTCGATTCGCATCTACGGGAGAGAGCGAGCGAGCAAATTCTTTTGTGTGTTCTGAGTGCTTTGTTCTGTATGTGCTTTGTCGGATACCTGGTGATGCGTGGATGATTTCTCTATCTATTAATAAAAAGTAGAATCTGGAAGTATCAGTGCTTTCCGGGGCTGTTTTCGTGATGTCAGTGAATATTCATGGAACATCACCCGATGGCCCCTGCTTGACAGCTAGCGGCGACCGATCTTTGAAGTCTGGGGTAGGCCTGGAGGGCAGCGGCTAGTTGGGTCGAGGTAACTTGTTTCGCATCTAAGAGCGCCGAGATTCGAGTATTGAGCGATCGCGAAAGTTCCAAACTTCAACCCGTAGGTACGGTAGGGGTTTATCTGATGGCGGAGACAGGAGCGGTTTTGCGTATCATACTAGTTAGTAGGTACACAGAGCAGATCATGTGGACTCGTGGAGGGGAAGGTTGAGGTTGCGGTTGCGGCACAACAGGTGTTACTGTGGTGCTGTGTACTGTGTGGGACTGTGTACTGCGGGACTGTGGGATTGCGGGATTGTGAGTTTGGAATTGAGGAAATGTGAGACTGCGGGATTGCGGGATTGCGGGATTGCGGGATTGCGGTACATAAGTAGAAGACAACACCGAGGGTATCAACCTCCTCTCCGCGCACCACGTTCATCGGCACCCAACTTCCAAGTCCCCACTGCAACGTAAGAAGTTCAATACTAGCCCCGGGGCGTTCGATAGGATGTAGGTACCGAAGTTCGAACTGAAGTTCAGGCGGCCGTGGGCGAGATTATCGGGGTCTGACGCTGCGGACGACTCGACGAGATGAGATGAGGCATGGAGACATGGAGACACGGGGTGATAGCCGCTTCCCCGGGGACCCGCGTCGGAACGAGAAGGGATACCTATCGTGTTACTACCCCAGGGCAGTAGTACCATCGTTTCGTCGTTGCGGGAAAACTGGATGTTGGTACTCTGCCCAACGTTAACTTAACTTAACTCTCCCACCCAACCCCACACGGTCACACCTCCCGTCACTCGACTCCACTCACTCAACTCCACTCACTCAACTCCACTCACTCAACTCCACTCACTCAACTCCACTCACTCAACTCCACTCACTCAACTCCACTCACTCAACTCCACTCACTCAACTCCACTCACTCAACTCCACCCACTGGAATTTGTTGATAGGTATTATGCGTCTTACTGCCTGTTAGCTACGGTATCACTGATACTTCTCTCTGTCCTCTGTCGTTTTGCATCGTTGCATACAGCCTTCATTCATGGCCTTCGTGGCACTTAATACGGTAGTATTGTCCCTGGCTTCTCACCAGAGTCGGTCTCTGTAGCTAAGCCTTCGGGCCCCCAGCCCGAGTCCGGCGACGAAGACGGCTATCGTCGAATCCTCTGTCTGAGGCCCCGCTTCATCTCGTTGTTTACACGAGCTCGTTTCCATAAGCACGTCTCCTTTCGAATATTTCTCGTATCGTTGGGTACATCAATCAAGTCAAGTCAAGTTCTTCTCTCGGATTTTCAACAGAATGGGAATTCATGCGACGCATGTGGATCTGATTAAGTGTATACGGAGCGATAATTAGTGATGATGGTAGAGGCTTATATGGTGTATGATAAAATATTATACTCTACATAAACCACCCCGCATGTGGAGGCTTGCAGACTTGCAGGCCTACAGGATTAGTTAGCTCTTACAGGTACGCATCATGCGGGTATTGACTCTTGAGTATTATTTATATATGGCCGGAGCGAGCCGGTGGAGTCGGACGGCCTACGTGAGCATCGGTAGGGTATCTACACGTGAGGATAGGGCTGCTGATTCCACACATGAGCGGGGTGGGGCGGGACAGGGTGGGGCGGGGCATGTCGGCATCGTCAGCGTCTCAGAGTCAGTACTCTACAGTACCGTACTTACATCACATCAGTAGCCACGGCAGATCGATAACGAGAAGCAGGAATGTGGCTGCATCTGTAACAAAGTATTCCGTTTAGTTGTTGTCTCGCGGCAACGGCATTGTGGGCCTACATACGGCATGTAGGCATGTACTCTAGGTGTGCATAGGTAGGCGAGCTCGAATCGGGGTGGGGGGTGCTGCGGGCACTTGGGGCATGAATCGATCGGAATTGAAGTTTCTCCCCGCCGAGGGCTGGATCTTACATAACATAATCGTGCGCTCGCAGTTGGTTACGTGATCCGACTCCGCCGCGAAGATCGATCATCGTGATTTCGAGATCTGGTGAGATGGAGAGATGCGTGTGTAACCGCCGTCGTTAGGAAGGCTGACGATAACACGCTGTTGGGAGCGTTCTCTCGCCTTCTAATGCCGAGTGTCATCTCAAGGACGGGCATCGTTGCGCGTATAGTAAATACGGTAGTCTCAATAGCCACTGCCGGTTTCAAGGCCGCAAGCCGAGAATGTGTCCGAGTGATCGATGGTGAGTTGACACACTTTTCCTGCGACATGTGACTCGAGCCGTGCCACAGACACTCGGTTCTTTCGTCGCGGCTTCCACTCGTGCACTCGACTTCTTGACTTCTCGACTTGCTGCTGTCATCCGATCCTCAGCCTGAATGGCAAATAGAGTGTGACCTCGAGCCCGTACCACCGACGCCCGGTTCTTTTTTTGTGCACTCGACTTCTCGTCTTCTTTCTATCATAAGTCTGAATGGTACTTCAGCTGCCGGTGTTCGATCTTCAGCCACGCCCCCACCTCACCCCTCCACGCCGTCCCACCGCCTGGGATTCACCACACCCCGGTAATGCCGCTTACCGCTTCGGGAGAAACTCTCTCGTTTTAACTCAAGCCTTCGTACCTCACCACAACCCAACATGCTTTCGCGAACGACGGGTCTGCACCACCACCACCGAGTATCTGGAGATAGCCGCAACCGTCACCTCCTCCGGACACCGCCCGAGACACAACCCCATCGTCGCCCCGTCGCCCTGCCCGTGTCAGCAACAATAGCCTCCCGAACCCAGCCAACGAAACCCTCGCAAACAACTGCCCACCTCATGCCCCGCCGCAAACGTGCAAATCGTCGATTCACCTAACGCGTTCCTCTCCAGAACCGAAGGCCTGTCCACACGTCTGTGGCGTCGTCTCAACGCAGTGAAGATACAGCACCGAACCGTTCAGCTGTAGTAGCTTGTGCCGTCGGACGGGGAGAGCTTCTGCGGTACTGTTCTGGGGGTTATACCTCCCCACTGCACAACTCGACCCGATCTGCTTGCAGGCTGGCGGAAACGGGCGGCGGACGCTGAGCGGATATCTCATAAGCCCAGCTGCGCGGGAAGAAAGAAACCCCGAACGAGCTTACGGCGAGGGCCCTGTAAGAACTTATACCTGCCTATGCTGTACGTAGTTTACACAGAATCGAAATGTGTGGCTCTCTTCTCTGATGTGCTTTTTTCTTCAGTGCCCCCTCCATCCGTTCATCCTTCCATCCGTCCATCGCTGTAGCCAGCCCCCCGTGTCTATCTACTTCCCTCGCAACGGAAACACTTCCAGTACCAAGTATTGGATTGGGACCTACTTGCTGTCTCATCGCAATACTGGTGACCGCTGGCCCCAGCAACAGAACCGCCTCTCCAACGCCAGATTTTTCTCGCCTCCTGACCCCAATACCCGATTCATCGTCTATCGCAAGCTTCCCGAGCAGCTGGGTCGCTTCATATCCCGCTCCCGTACCATACTTTCCCATCCGCTTCCCGCAGCAGCAGCAAGCAGCTGAGCGAATTTGCGATATTTCATCTACCCCTCCCCCCTCCTCTTTCCGCCCCGCACCTTGTTCCGTGTGCGCAGGATAGACCCTTGTCTTCCGGAAAGAGAGAACGTCGAAAAAAAGAATTAGCTCTACTTGTGTGCACGCGCTCCGGATTCGTTGAAGCATCCATCCATCCACCCATCCACATCACGGGAGAGTTGCGCAGCCGAAGAGGCGGAAATATATAGCTCTTTCACTAGTCGCCAATCATGCCGTACTGGAAGGGCGAGAAATGGGCTTGGTGAGTTGCTGATCCGTGCTGGGCTTCCCCTAACTGGACCGAACTGACCTTCTCCTTCCCTCCGATAGCTACTCTTGCACCAAAGGTCACCGCAGCTCAAAATGTACCCACTACGACAGGATCCTCTACAAGGTGCGGAAGCCCGGAAGGCCTCTCAACAACTGTCCACATGTCCTGCCGGATTCCATTCCACCGGGGACCTTCGTCAATACATCGGCAGAGTCCATGGCAAATGGGAATCCCCCCATGGAGGCTTGCAACTGTGGCGGTGATCTCGTGCAGGTTGCCATACCTAAAGGCGAGCAACCCTCTCTGTCCTACTGTTGAAGCAAGGACAATCTCCCTCGGGTGGTCACATCGCTGTAAAATAAAAAGTATCGGGTACTGACATGATGCCCGTAGTGAAAAGCTGCTCCTGTCTGAAACGAGAAACTGTGGATACCATTCAGCCTCTACCGCCTCCTACACCTCTACCCACGCTACCCGAAACGAATGATGCCGCGCAAAACGGAGTCAAGAAAGGCCGAATCAGCAAGCGGCCCAACCCGCGGCGGAAGAAAAGCATAGTCTCGGAAGAGGCCGTGGAAGCTTTCAGGTCGGAGGCAGCCCGGGTGGAATCGGAGAAAACAGGTGCACCAAGGCTGGGAGAAAACAGCATAGTCACCCCGAGCAGAACGCCGTGCACCGATCCTGGATGGCATGCGTTCGATGTCCTCACTGGTCCTGTTCCTACCCAGCAAGGCATCAGCGTTGTAAAGCGACTCGTCCCTCGCGACGACCCGCCCGCAGATCCGAATCAGCCGTTTGGCCAGACGATTTCGGAAGTGAACAATGATTGGCCGCAACGGATATCAGGACCTCCACCGATGTCGTCAGCGGTCAGTGGTATCGATCATCTTTCAATGTCTCAGGCTTCAGCGCCGGGTTTCCCCGCAACGAATCCAGATTTCAATCCCGTGTTTCCACATCTAGAGGGAAATCCATCGTTTATCGACCAGTTCATGAAACCTTCGACGAACTTTTTCACCCAGGCCCCGCCTAACCTAGCGCCGATACCGCAGCAGTCCGTCGCCCTCTTCGCGCCAGCGGAGTCTTCCTACGACCGGCTGCCCAACCTAAACACCTCCTTGCATGGGGATGGATCCAGTTGCTGTGAAAAGAGGACTGCCCCTGCACCAATCCCCACGAAGCCACCACCGGGTGGCAACCTCAATGTGGGAACCGTGACGGTGGAACTTACGCAACAGGAATGGGCGGTTATACAACAGGTTCGAGCTGCAAACATCGATTTTATGGAACTGTCGAAGGTGATTAGCAGTGGTCAACTACCATTCATAACACTGCGCGGCCAAAGCACAGCCGGAACGGAGGACAGCAATCTCTCCAGCAGTGCCAACAGTCCCTGCGCAAACTCAGCCTACAGCTCCTCCTCCTCCCCCGCCAACAACGGAAACGGTGGTGGTGGTGGTGGCGGTGGTGGTGGCGGCTGCTGCAGCACCAAACCCAAATCCCCACCGCCACCACCCCCCTTCACCAGCCACGTCGGCTGCTGCTGCGGCGGAAACCAGCAGCAGCAGCAAATCCAACCGCGCGAGGAAATCCTCATGACGCCCAGCTCCCCGCGCTGCAAATGCGGCGACTCCTGCCGCTGCGTGCCGTGCGCCGACCATCCGCACAACCCGGCGATGCTCGCTCACATCCGCCAGAACATGGAGCTCATGGATGCGCCGCAGCAGGGAATGTTCGATCCCTCCCTTGGCGGCGGCGGCGGTGGAAACATGAACTCGGGCTTCAGCCCTGAGGGACCGCTCGCGTACGATGGCTACCATGACGATGGCGACGCCGACGCCCCCCAGGACTCTATGGGCGACTTCAATGACTTCGTCATCTGCGACTATAAGTACGGCACGGGGTGTGCCGAGGGCATGGGCGGGTGTAAGTGCGGCGAGGGATGCACGTGCATCGGCTGTCTTACGCATGGCGGGCACGATGGAATGCTGCTCGATATGAAGAGCGCGGATAGGGGTGGTGGTGGTGCTGGGGGTGCTGGCGATAATGGCGGCGATGGCGGCGGAGCCCGGGGTTAGGATTTCTGGGCTGGTAGGCTTTGATTCGTCACTTTTTCTGGGCGGGAGGGAGGGGGTACGGCGTTTGGGTGTATTTGAGCAAACTCTGCTATAATTTCTTGCCTGGGGGGCTTGCTTGCATTGCATTGCATGTCTTTACTTACATGTCTTTACATGTCTTTATATTACGGCTGGCTGGCGGGCACCTTACTTACACGATTGTTTACTACTTAGCTTACGTATGTGCTTTTATGTGCTTTTATGTGCTTTTATGTGCTTTTATGTGCTTGAGATGGGTTGGGTTGGGTTGGGTTGGGTTGGGTTGCATTGATACGAATATTCTTCAATTTGCATTGAGGGAAGGAAGGAGGGAGGGGTGGGGAAGTTGATGGATGGCGGTGGATCGAATAGGAAGTTGAAGGCTGGAATGGGAATGGGAATGGGACTGAGAATGGGAATGGGAATGGGAATGAGAATGGGAATGGGAATGGGAATGCGAATGGCAATGGCAATGGCAATGGCAATGGCAATGGCAATGGGAAGACGTGCCAATCTGATCGACACCACGCCACGCGTGGCTGTTGCTCGTGGCTGGGGAGCGAGTGACCGTAATGATGATGTACCTACCAAGTACCTATCCCATACATTTGTTTTGTTCCTGATCTATATATTCGACAGAATCCGGATACTAAGGCGCCAGCGGCGGCGGCAGGTCACGACGTGAACAGCTCGAGCTCGTTTCTTCCATTCACGGATCGTTCGTTACCGGAGTTGCTACACCACGAGTCCACGGCCTCATCCGGTACATAGGCAGGGCAGAGCGGGGATGTCGTACCAACTTACCTATCTCATCGATACTTCTGTATTGAATTATGATAGTAGGAAGGGCCCGATCCATGGTACCTACCAGAAGAGAGAGGAGTGAAGCTCGCGGACTGGGGGCTGCGGGCTGAGGGCTGAGGAGGATATATGCTCGCTCGCTCGCATCTGGGTTTTGAACCGTGGCGAGGGGGATGCCATTGGGAATCCTTCGCGGATCCTGTGCGGCGTGAATGTGTGCTTGAGTGCTTGGGTGTCTGCGTGAATTGGTGCTTGGAAGGCATAATGGCTACTTATCATAACTTATGAAGTATGTACCATCCACGGGTTATAGCCGGTTATACATGGCTGGTTATAGCTGGTGTCGATGCCATCTGACCTTGCCGAATACCACGGCGGAATATATGAGGGGAGGAGGCTTTCAATCAGGAAGGCGGCAAGGAAAGTCTACGTATGCGCTGGTATACGGCACTATATGTATTGGCCTGAGGAGGTAGGTAGGTGGGTTGGCATAGGACTGGACTCGTGCACTTCGAGATTCTGAAAATTCTGGAGGATGTGGGGAGTGGGGAGTGGGGAGTGGGCAGTGAGGAGTTGGGAGTCCGATGGAGCCTCTGTGGTTGTCTTTGTTACTGTCACCATTGTCGGTGGTGGGGATTTCCGATGGCCTATTGGATGCTGAGAGCTCAGGGGGCGGAGACTGGAGCCGAGGCGGGGCGGGACAGGGACTCAGGTGATGATGGTTTCTTTCTCTTCCCGACTGCCAACTGTCGAGTCCGCCGGAGACTCAGCTGGCTAACTATAGCTGCTTACTTACCATAGGTAATCGCCTACCACCGCCATTCCGCATACCTATCGTCCTAGGCCTACCTACTTACCTACCTATGTAGGTCTGTGGAGAGATCTAGGGATCTCGGATCAAACGGAAGCGCGGAATCCGAAGTTTTCCTTCGACTTCGTCGTCGATTTTGGGGGGTGGGGATTCCAGGAATTTTCATGGCTACATCATTGACTACGACCCGCATTTTCTTCTTTTTCTTTTCGCTCGGAAAGGCTTGTCGACGATTCCGGAGATTGCGCGGGGGATCTCACCCATCCTCCCGGTTGTTGGAAACCTCGAGTCCTCGACCTGTGGTTGTTGTTGTGTCGGGAAGGTGGTCCGACGGGTTGGCCGGTCCCCGGAGCTCGACAGTTGACAGTGGACAGTGGACACGCGCGGTCTTACTTTCAGTTTTTCAGTTTTTCACTTCCTTCCGAGGGTCAGCTGGTCGTGTGCATCGCATCCATCCCATAAGCCACTGCCATCTCGTCTCCTACATAGGTAGATGCCCTCACGACACCGCTCGCCCCGCACCGCCCACAATGCACATGCAGAGTGCCTGCATACCATACTATCTTCACAACCACGTGGTGTGGGAGGAAGGGGGGGTTCACATAGAGTGTATGAAAATAATTAACTTCCGAAATCCAGCCTGTCTTGCCTATCCTGCCTTCCTGTCAAGCGTGCACTGTAGGGTGTGTAGGGTATATAGACAGCTGTAGACAGGTACATAGCGTGCATTTATCCGACAGATTTATATCTCCGACCCCGACCTGCACTGCACTGACCCCCCGGGCCCCCTCCCCCGCGGAATACAGGGCCGCCGGAAAGCTTCGCGGGAATCCCTGCGCGTCATCACGAGAAAGAGCAAGCAAGAGCGAGCAAAAGGCGCCGACCCCGGATCGACAGGGCAGAGGCGCCGGTGGTACTTATGCTGTCGTGGTCACCCCCCTTCAACCCCTTCAATTTGCGGGGAGCGGCAAGAGGAGGGAGGGGAGGGTTGACGTCTGGCTAGCGAGATGTTTCCCCTTTCAGCCGTCGATGGTCGTTCAGCGTACGTAGTGGGGTTGCAGAGATATTAACTCCGGGGGGCGGGATCGTTGATGGCGGTTGTAATTGTTTCCGTCTATATTGACATGTCCATATACGAACCCATAGGTGAAGAATAGGGGATATATAAACCCCTCGAGGATTCCCCATTGGTTTTTGCAATATTTCTATATCCACAGAGATACTACCGCAGTACAGTACAGTACAGTCCTTCCTTTACAACACAAGATCCAGAATCCAGAATGAAGTCCTTCTCTATCCTGAGCGTGCTCCTGGCCGCCACCGCGGCGTCGGCACACACCATCTTCCAGCAGATTGGAATCAACGGCGTGATGCAGACTCGTATGTCTCCCCCTCGTCCTCCTCCTCCTCTGAGTTGGTGGTGGATGTTGACTGGATGAATAGGACACCAGTACATGCGTCTCCCCAGCTACGACGGTCCCATTACCGACGTGACAGCAACGGAGATGGCCTGCAACGGCGGCCCCAACCCGCTCGTCAAGATCTCGTCGGACGTAGCCTCGGTGCCCGCCGGAGCACAGATCACGCTGCAGTGGGGCCAGACGCTCGACTCGGACTTTGACACGGGGTTGATCATTGACGCTTCGCACAAGGGACCTGGTACTTCCCCCTTCCCCCACCTTCCTTTTCCCAGTCTAACAAACCCTTAGTCATGGTCTACATGTCCAAAGTCTCCTCGGCGACGGGCGCGATCCCTAACAGCGGCTGGTTCAAGATCTACGAGGACGGGTACACGAACGGGGTATGGGGCGTTGACAAGCTGATCACGAACAAGGGCAAAGTCACCGTCACGCTGCCGTCGTGTCTTCCCGCGGGCGACTACCTGCTTCGCGGCGAGCTGATCGCCCTTCACGCCGCCGGAAGCTACCCCGGCGCACAGCTGTACATGGAGTGCGCCCAGATCAGGCTCACGAGCGGTGGCAGCACGAGCCCCGCTACCTACAATATCCCAGGCATCTATGCGGGAACTGATGCTGGTATCAAGTTTAACCTCTATGCGAGCACCATTAGTTACACTATTCCAGGTAGGCGACGTGATCCCCCACCCCCAAAAGCGGTTGCTGATATTTGTGCAATAGGTCCTCGCCCGTTCACTTGCTAGAGATCGAAAAACTTTTGGGAGTTGGGGTTTGGGTTGAATGTTGGAGTTATGGTTAGGTCTTGATGACCAGATTGTACAGATGAGGAGATATAACATGTATGATGTATCTCATGTGCTGTTTGTGGACAGTAATTCAGCAGACTTCGTTCCTCACACACACACACACACAGTCGATGCGAGTATGAAACCATGACGTGCCCCACGTGACGAGAGTACGAGACGCCAAAGACCAGTCAACGTGACAGCTCGGAAGAAGTCACGAGAAAATGCTTGGTATTGCAAACAAAATCACTCGTCCGGAAGTTCCAGAACCATACGCCCCTAAGCAAACCCACGGAGCTGGTTCGCCATAGTCTAGATAGGCTGCATTCGAAATAAAACAGGAAGATCTCTCTCTCTCCCACGGAGCTGGCGGGAAAGGTCGAGGTTTGTGGTGGCCATAGTCTAGTAAAGCCGTATATATGTGACGATAGATTGATTCTCCCCCTCCCTCCCTCCCTAAGCAAACCCCCCCTCTCAACCTCAACCTCATTTATGACGAACCTGCGCCTCTCCTCACTCAACACCATTTTCACGGACCCGAACCCGGTGGTGCCCAGTGCGTCCCCTCGAACCTACAATCCGGGAATTTGGCCACGACCGTTCTAAACTGATTATCGGAGATCCACCCGGGCCTCAACAGATGGCTCATCATCCAATAATTCCTACAGACCAACGACCTAAGGGTGTCTTTGTGCATTGTGAGGAAGACGGTAGGATCCTCGAGGTGAGCGCCCTCGCGCGTCGTGGCGGCGAGCTCCAGATGCGCCAGCTTCGGGAGCCTGTAATCAATAGCCCACGGTGAGAGCGCGAAGTGCAGCGGCGTCTCGAAGAGGATGTTGCGGAACGACGGGAAGGAGGAGTCGGGGTCCGCGTAGGGCACGCGCTCAGAGTCGATAATGATCGTGAGCGATTCGACGGCAACGCAGTGGCACACGATCTCGGTACGGAGCGCGCACTGCCACCATGGGCCGCGGTATACCTGCGGGATGTTGGTGAGGGCCAGGTGCGTGATGCTGGCGACGACGTTGGCGATCTGCTGCGGCTTGGAGTCGGCGTAGGGGGTCTCCGCGGCGGGACGCTGGTAGTACGCGGACGGGAACAGGCTCGGTGGGTGCCACGCGGCGATCGTAAGCGTCGTGATTTCGTACTCGCAGTGGTTGAGCGCTTTGATCAGCCCCCAGAAGGCGCGCGTGGGGCTCGCATCGTATTGCCGGTAGGGCTCGCTGGCGAACGCGGAGATGGTGACTGTGCGCAGGTTGGAGAAGGCCGGGAGCGCGCGGGCGAGCGAGAGGATGTCGAAGTAAGTACCCAGGACGTCGGTTTGCGCAAGGTACATCTGATGGCGTGCCAAGAGATCGCGGGCCATCGCTTTGCTGTCGGCAAGGAGGGTGTCCTCGCCAAGGAGGCATATCGAGTCGATTTGGTGGATATCCGCTGGTTAGGTATATGTCAGTCCGATGATCTCTTCCGATCAATGCTGGCAGCCGTACGAGGGGAGATGTGCTCGACCACTTTGTACTCGAAGATGGTGACACAGTTCGCGATCTCGGAGCATCGCGAGAGGTTCACGATGCGCTCGAACGCTTCACGGTTGAATTCGCATAGCCGGACGCGTTTGAAGGCTAGCGGCGTGGCCGACCGCTTGAAAGCTCTACAGAGGAGCCGTAGTTCGCGGAAGTGGTTGCTGGTTAATACCGGCTCATCCGGAAAAGGGTCATGGTAGGAGAAGATTGAATCGAGGAGCTCGGTGGGGAGGTTTTGCAGCGCCATGGGTGACGATAGTAGGATACAGCTGTAACCACTTGCTATATATCGTTCAGGGATAGGTACATACGTCAGGAAAACTGCCGGCGCTTACATAGGGCGACGATCACAAGATATCACGTTTATCACCCCCATCACAAAACGAAAATGCAAACCAAAAACTTCCAATTACGCCTTCTAAATAAAGCCCAAACTTTTGCAGCAAGATTACACCCTTTCACCGCGTCCCCTACCAAACTCGACCCACAGCGCTCTAACGACAGCTCTGCCCTCGGCATTCATCCGTCCCGTGACTCTTCTCATCCCCTCACGCCCCAGAACCTCCAACATTTTATCGACGCCCACATTGATTTCCCGTCTGACGGCAGCATCAACCCGTTCCTCAAGCACCCGCTTGATAAACGTTTCCAGTACGGGCCCAACCACGTTCCCGACCATCTTCCTCTCCTTACTCCGCTCGCTGTCCGTCAGCTCGCTGTTGTGCGAGCGCACGGTGGACACTGGTGGGTCGCAGAACGCCTGCAGGACACGTGCGAAGACGCGTGCAGAGTGTAAGGTTAGTGGGGTAGCGGTGGTAGAGAGTAGCCATGGAGGGTGTAGCGCGCGCTCTGTTTTTCTGCGCGAGAGCTTGGGCGTGAAGAGGACTGTCAGGAGTGTCTGGAGGAGCGCTACAACTAGGTGATAGCGGCCGCGAATGCGGTGGCGGTGTAGAGAGAGGATCGTTGAGAGAATGGAGGTTAATGAGGCGTAAAGGGTATCTGTGTCTGTCGCGGTGAGAGATGGCCCATGCGCGGATGCGGCAATGGTGAGGGATGAGATTGTGGCGTCGACGTTGTGTTGAATGATTGCCCAAGGATGCAATCGGAGGAGGGTGTTGATGCAGTGGGCGTTGAGGATGAATGCGGATGGCGAGAGCGAGGAGGGAAGTGAAATGAGGAGTCTTGAGTGTGCAGCTGAGAAAACGTCAATGGAGGCTGAGAGCTCCTCTGGGGTTTCGGGTTCTATTGTTTATTAGCGGTATTCCAAGGATTCTAGAGTAGAGGGCAATTCACTCTTGATAGCATTAATCAGAATCTTGAATAGCTCCCAGATAAAGTCGCCGCCAATTTCATCAGAGAAGCAAGCATCCACAACTCTCCGAGAAACGTCCCGGTGAGTAGTAATATCCAGCCGATCTACCGCACACTTGTAATGCCTTAAGAGATCCGCGTCTCTCTCTCTTTTCAGCACTTGAGAAGACACCACCGAGAAGGCGGTAACATTCATCATGTCCTCCACGCTCTCGGCCACTGTAGAAACGACACCAATGGTCTCAACGACAATATCAGCATCTGGCACCTCATAGCCCCACACTTTGGTGACCCTTCCAGCAACCCGAGCAGCGATCTCAAGGGCGGCGTCTCTGTCGTCCCTCTCCAACTCCCAAACCTGTCTCCAGTATTTCAATGCGGTGGCATCAACACGTTTCTTGGAGCCGACAGTTTTTGCCAAAAGTTCCAGGAACCACTTTCTCGTTTTTTCCAGATCTCCAGAGTTGATTGCCGCCTCGCTCCTGAATTTCCAGAGCTCCGTGATAACAACCCAGCTCATCTCCAGCTCTCCCGCACTGAGGCCATCACCCTTTCTAGCACCCTTAACGAGCGAGTAGTTCATCCGGATGAGAGACGTGAGGTATTCCTTAGTCTTCTCCTGGTCGCGGTTGATGAATGCGTGACTGAGGACTCGGCGGAAGATATCCGCCGCCCCGGGGTTTGTGAACAACATCTTGATTACCTGGCAGTCGGTGGCCATGAACGATCCCGCATTGCCAACCTTCCAAAGCCGCTGCATGAGCGGCCGGACGCGCGAGAATCCAACGATATCTAGAAGCAGACATGTGTCCAGAATCCTTTCCCTCGTTGTGCGCTTGATGGCCTCTAGTGGAAACAGTTCGAGTAAGGAGACGAAAAAGCTGTATTGATCTCTATTCTTAGGGGACAATGTCGGGAGATCCGCAGCAGATTTCGCCATGTCTTCCTCAAATGGAAGTCTCGTCACGAGAGCGGACAGCATAGCCTCTGTATTCGTCAGTTTCTTGACTCCAATCGTGAGATTCGGCAAGACATATACCCTTGACGGCAGGATGCTCGTAGAATTCCGGCCTTCCGAGGAGTGCCTGGCAGAGTTGTGCAGCATCAAGAGGGCCACTGGCAGCTCCCCCATCTAACGCCGCACCCAGGAGACTATCCACAAACTCCCTTCTGTGAGTAGTATCGACCTTCTCCAGGATCGCAAGATGACCGCCGATAACAGCTGTAGCCACAACATGACCAAAGTTCGTCTTGTCCACGCTAGCAATACTTCTATCCCACGACTTGAATCGGCCCAAGCTCTTCGCGACAGCATGCAGAACGACCTGCGCGCCCTCCATGGCGGCGCCCTCCGGAGTATCTTCCGCCACCCGCATCAAGACCTCGGATGCGAAAACAGCTTCCTTCCATCTCTTGCCGGCACTGACGAGCTCCGTAGCATCTTTGATTGCCGGAACCAAAAGTTCCGGTTTGATACCACCGATCCGGACCAGCAGCCTCCAGGCCCTCCAGTCCTTGCCATCTTTCCGGGCGGTCTCCACGACCTCCTCCAAAGTGCCCGACGTGAGCAACTGTGTTTCCGTTTCCTCTCTCCGCAGTCCACGAAGAATTGCGTCCAGGACGATCCATGATTTTTCCTGTCGGAGGTTTCCAACCGCTTTTACCACTTGCTGCGAGGTAAGGGAGTCTTCGACTATGGGCGCAAAGATTCCGGCCAGCTCGTCGCTCCGCCAGATATCGCCTTCCGCACCGGACTTTAGTTGCTTGGACCAGCGCGCCACGAAACCCATCACATCGCGCGCCTTCACGAACCCGTCCACGACCAGGCGAAGTACCCGACCGGTTTGCGGCGACGACCTTGCCTTCGAGAGCGCAGAGAACAGCTGGGTGGTAAGAGTAGCAACATCGGGGTGGAGAAAGGTGTCAAAGTCAATCGCGAGAGCAGTCTCGACAAGTGACCATCTCATAAATTCCGGGTTTGAGGAGGTGAGGTTGGCGAATTTGGTAACGATGCGTGAGAGGGTAGAAGGCGACAGTGCAGTCCCGGTTTCGATCAGGATTTGCAGCAGTGAGGCAATGCTGTCTCCGCTCGATGCCGATTCGTCGAGAACTTCTGATTGGAGATCAACACCGGCGACTACACTCAACAACGCCACGAAGAGCGCTTCGACGATTGCTGCATCCGCCTTTGTGCGCTTCCTCGAATGCGCGTCGATCGCGATGCGGAACAACACCGGTAGATAGGGAATGCTGATGGCTTCCGGTGTTCCCGACATGGCCGCATCCTGCTGCTTGAGAGGCCCAAGTAGAGAAATCAGATCCTTCGTGGACGGCACCCTAGCAGCGCCCTGCTTCTGTCCGGCATTGCCCACAGGAAATAAGACCTCGGGTGAAAAAATGTATTCGGCGAGCATATTCTCCAGGACCGTCTTCAGCGAATCGTCAATCTCGGGCGCCACCAACAGCGTCGCCGAAATCTCCAAGCATTTCTCCGACCACACCGCCGACGTCTACCATACACTGTCAGCCCACCCCACCACACCACCACTACCCACCCACTGGGAAAGAGCGCAAACCTTCTTCGCGTTTGCACTACCCCAGATACTGCCCCTCCACAAATCGACCACCACATCAACCCACATCCGTTGCACCTGTTCGCCAGCACCAACCATCTGCTTACACACCCTCAAAAAGGCGCCGAGAATACCCGCGGCGACCTCAGGCGACGCCTTCAACCCGGCCGCAATCGAGCTCTCGCTGCTCGCAATCCCTCTCAGCACGGTCAACACCTCCGCGACTCTATCCAGCAGCTCTCCGGGCGCAGCGTATTCCTCGCGCGTCCGCAACTCCTCCATGACCTTCGCCACGAGCGGCACGATCCCATGTCTCTTCAGCGTTCCGGCGACGGTCGGTGGATCGGCGGCGCGCAACAGTTCCAGCAGGAAGTCCCAGCACTCGGTCGACGTGCGCGCGGCTCTTCCGGCGGCACCCTCGTCCTCCTTCAGCCGCTGGGCGAGCCATTCGAGCAGCCACTCGTTGCGCCGCGGGAAGAAGACATTCGACGCGGCGGCGGAGGAGTGGTAGAGGTCGCGTGCGGTCGGGAGGAGCGACAGGAGCGGCGCGTCGCGGGACCGGAGGGACTTGGTTATCGACGAGGTCTTGGGGAGGGAAGCAGTGTCCTGCCAGGCCGCCTTCACCGTCAGCGCGGCCCAAAAGCGGGGGCGGGGGAATGAGTGTGGGGTGCTACACGTACCGCCTGTGCGAGGTGAGGCATTCTCGATTGCGCAATGCTGCTGCTGCTGTGACTTGCCTACTTACCGAGTGAGGGTTGTGAATCTCGAACTTTCGTCGAGTGCGCGTACATACACCAGCCTAAAAAAAAAATCCACCCTGGGTGTTGAGCCGCGTTTCTGTCTATCGGTACGTTCCGAATATCAGCGCTAGCCGAAGATCTACGATTAACCACATGGGTAATTGCTTATCCAATCATCTAATCTCCGTGCACTCCCAACTTCCAAGTCACACCTCTCACGCTCTAAAAACCAAAAAACAAGCCAGACCAAATCCTCATGCATGTCTCCACAAGCAAGCTTCAAGCTTAAAGCTTGCTTGCTTGCTTGCCAACCGTCTGGCACGACGACGATCCACACTACAAGTGCCGACATACCAATCCGAGTCAGAATAAATCCTTCCAGAACTCCAGACCACCCCCCCCCCATCACCAGCATCAGCCGAACTCCGACAGCTGACTGCCGTGGGCCGAAAAGAGTAACTACACCCAGCACCCGCGAGCCTTCCAGGTTCTCACCGCGTAACGTGGAGTCTGCATGCGCGCATCCAATCCACCTAAGCACCTATGCTATGTAGGTCCTAGGAAGATGTATATGCCTATTGTATGTAAGTCTTCGGTATGGGGTACCTGTGCGAAGTAGGAAGGATAGGTATCCAGACTAAGGGCTGAGTCCACGATCCCCCTCCCCCTCCCCCTCCGCGAGGCGACGGGTCCTCCCTGGCCCTGGAACCTAACTACATACCTAGCCAGGCAGGCAGGCAAGTGTTCGATCTATGTAACTTGGGTACATATCCCTACAGATCTCGGCCATCGAACCGGCAGACCCACTCGGCACGCCGAGTGAGCTTTAATGAGGCAGCCCCATGCCCTCCCAAGCTCCCAGCATATCCCATCCCATACCATACCATCCACGTAGTACCAAACATACATAAATCGGAGCGAACCCACGCGCAGTACCTAGAGTACCAGTACCTACCGGTAGCAGGTAAGTTAGGACGCAAGCGTGTATTGGATACATAGAGGACAAACTACCGGCCCAGGTGTCCCAGGTGTCCCTCCCAATCGCCGCGTGTCGTCGTGTGGCGTGGAGTGGAGTGGCGTGGAGTGGAGTGGAGTGGAGTGGAGTGTGCTCGAGCCGATCGGTTGGTTGCACCGGGACCTTGACATATTGTATGTATATGAAACCCAGCCTTCGCTCCGTCGCTCCCTCCTCCACCACCACCGCCGCAACCACCGCAACCACCGACGCCGACGCCGCCGCCACCGCCGCACCCGCACCCGCAGACGAGTACCGTACAGTACAGTACAGTACAGTACAGTACCGCGGACGTCTACTGATGTTTCACCGCGTGACGTGTGCGGTATGTATACTCGAAGTACATACATTACATTATGTACATACCGTAACTGTGGATGGTTTCGGGGTAGCCACGCACGCACGCCACAAGCCGAAACCTATGTAAACCTAACCCTTGCCGGAGCTCCGTCGCTTGCTTGCTTCCTTCCTCGTCCGCGCGCGACCAACACACACAGCAGTGCACAAGCGAGTATGCAGATGCTGGATATCTCAAACACCCAACTTGGGGGGAGGAGGTATTTGTCAACCGGCCCACTTCCCCTCCGCCACGGGAGGGAGAGAATCGGCAGGTGCACACATCACCGTACCGGTATGAGGTATGTGGTTATGTACCGTAGTTACATACATACATGCCGCCTCTGGGAGCCGACGGTATATATCAGGTATGTAGGTACGATGCGTACACACACATACATACGGTACTTGGGTGAATGCTTCAGACATACATTAGGTGCATACATACATGCATAGTGCACTTCTGTTTGAGTAGATACGGTACTTATGATACTCACGTGTTTCCGTGGGAGCTGGATTCGGGAGGGTGGGGGGTTTCCCATTATTCAGATTCCCGCGGGCAGTACGGGCCGATTGGATATGATATTTCATCCCCAGACATCGCCCGTCAATGCGTCGACACAACCGTGACACCCTCCCCCCAAGGCCGCCGCGTCTCCTCCATCCCATGAAACGCCTGCGACAACCGATGCTCACCACGCACCACGCACCACGCACCATCACAGTAACTACGATATTTATGTAGAAACTACAGATGTAGTAATAATGTAGTAACAAGCTCGCAACACAGCACACACATATATCCATTCATACACACACACATACACACATACACACATATACACACATACACACATACACACATACACACATATACACACATACACACATACACACATACACACATACACACATACACACATACACACATACCATGGTGCATACATCCATCCATACCATACTTACCCACATCCATCCATACCATACATACCATACCCACATCCATACCCATATCCATCCACCCATCCATCCATCCATAAATACACACACACCGTACCAAGGTGCATACATATCGTCCCATCACCCATCACCCACCCACCATCCATGTGCCATGTGCCAATCCCATATGTAAGCCATCAATTCCAAATTTCCGCCCTCCGATCTGCACAACCCAGCACACGGGCTGAGAATCGGCGGCGGCCACGCCGGGGCGGCGCGTGGCGCGAAACCGGCGATTGACTCGGTCTGGTACGGTAGATATGCTGCACTGTTTTGCACTTCGGCGCACGTCTTCTGCATAGAGAGCGGTACTTACCACGAATTTTGTATGTATGTAGAGTATGTGGGTATGTAGAGTGCGAGTGTGCATATGGGTGCATAGGAGTGTGCATACATACGAGTGTAGGTAGGTGGGTAGGTAGGTAGGTGGGTAGGTGGGTAGGTGGGTAGGTGGGTAGGTAGGCAGAGATGGGTAGGGCAGGCATGCGCAGCAGCAGCAGGAGGAAGCAAGACTCCATTGGATGGGCCATGTAAGTAAACAGTCTATGTACATATGACTTCACTCTGCGGCGCACCCACGTCGAGTATCATAGAGTAGAGTAGTTGGAGTAGACGGTAGAGTAGTGGTAGTTAGTGCTCGCATAGCCTACATCTGTACCAGGCCTACGTCTTAACACATCGTACTTGTTTCTTTTCTTTTCTTTTCTTTTTCTTTCGTACGCACTTGCATACCGCATCGAATGCTATTCTACGGCCAAGTACCGAAGCCTTCAGGCGAGAGCGGAGGGGGAGGGGAAGACTGCGTGGCTCTCCTCCCCCCACCACCCCCGGGCACGCCTACCTACCAGCCAGAGCGGGCGCCGGTCATCTCTACATACTCTACAGTCCACACCACCACCCGTCATAGGTCTCAACCTACCCTACCTTAACCCCAACCCCAACCCTTACATACGTACAGGATATATAGCCTGAATGGCAGCATGAGCAGCAGCATCAGTAGCAGTAGCAGCATCAGTAGCAGTATCAGTGGTAGGCAGTGGTAGTTAGGCAGTGTCGGTCGGTAGGCAGTACCTACTACATTTAAACTCCTACCGGTACATACATCATACATACATGCATACCTACCAGTTAGTTACCTAGATCTTAGTTGCATAGCATACCAGCCCAGACACCGAACGAACCATAAAGCCCGTGATATAGCTATAGGATGACGCCTCCGCCTCAACCCCGGCGTGGTTGCGTGCGCCATACGGAAGGATCGATGACGACGATGCATTTGGTTACATACCGGTACACACATTAGGTACATACAAGGCCGATCTTGAAACCCCCAGACATATGACGGGCTGGCTTCTTCGCCTCAGGGAGTAGAGTAGAGCTGGGTAGAGGGTAGAGTAACCAGAGTAACCACGGTAGTAGGTAGTAGGTAGGTGTATTGTACGCTAGCTACGGTAGCACCTACCGTACTCTGGAGTAGATACTCTACAGTCTCTAGTTACCGATCTCACTCCCACGGGAGCTGAGGAGCTGGAGCAGCTGAAGGAACGTGAAGAACGCATACTCTACTATCCATATGCACTTCGTTGCTTCGCAGAACGGGCCAGGATGGCTGGCTACGCATGTATCATACGCATGCGAGTTCTCTCTATCTGTGTCTCTCATTCTGTGTATCTATCTCTCTTCATGCCGCTCCATACCGCGGGAGTGACCGAGACTCCGAGACTCTACTCTACATAGACTCGAGACTCCAGAGAGAGAGAGGGAGGGTTTATGCGACAATGCAACATCCACATCCAGGCATTCAAGCATTCAGGCAGATATAAATAAACAGACAGAGCAGAGCAGAGAAGGGAACTGAACTGAACCATAACAAAACAACAACAACAATTGCTTTTCATCCCGCCAGCCCAGCCCGATACAGTCCAGCCCAACCCAGTCCAGCCCGGTCCAGTGCAGCCCAGCCCAGCCCAACTCCCCAAAAACCCACTGTAGAGCACCCAGGTCTATGTAGGTATGATGGCTGAGCAGTCAAGTCAACCCCAAACCCATACGTACACACACACATACACATAAACACCCACATACATCTCCAGCCACTTTATGCACATCGTGACGATGAACAAAACCCCCCATACTGTAACCCATGAACATAAGCCATCAATTTGTTCACGCAAGTTCAACTTCAACTTCATAACGACATGAATACGTGTAAAAAAAAACACAGAAATAAGGCAAAAAGAAGAAAAATCAGCCGTGAATCATCAGTATCGTGTTCGTGTTCTCGTTTCGTAGCATACCGTCCGCGCCGTCCCGACTCCCGTCCCGTGTGTGCAAGAAACCATAGAGATGTAAGGAGAAGAAGACAGGTACTTAGGAAAAATGATGATGGAAATAATAACGATGAAGAAGATGAAGAAGAAAAAAAAAGAAGCCCAATTCTATGCACAATCATGAAATACCAAAACACCTCAGCCGACGGACAGGTTCCCCAAAAAGCAGATGATTCAAACAAAGCAGATCATAAAAAAAACACCAAAAACAAAAGGAATGTCCTTGACAGTAAAGGAAAGGATGCAAAAAAACACAAAAGAAATGGCAGAAAATGAAAGCGTAAAACAGCAAGAGCGTGAAGCGTGAATCAGAATGCCGACAACCATGATGAGAGAAAATGAAAAAAGACAAAGGAAATTAAACAACCCAACTCAAACTCCGTGATGACCCATACCATGTGTCGCAACACTGGATTCCCGCGCCCGCCGTACAAGTTCCTAGCCCTGTCCTGTCTTCGTAGCCGCTGTAAATGCTTAAACCCCACCGATTCCCAGTCGAACTTCCTTTCTACATCTCATCTATTGCTTCCCAGCTCTTTCTAACTTCTCCAGCCGAGACAGTGCGAGTTCCTTCTTCCTCTGCTCGTGTTCGATTCGTCGGTCCCTCTTCTCGATGTCCTTCTTCAGTGTCTCAATCTGCCTCCTCCGTCGGCTATCTGGCGATTCGCCCAGACCGTTGGCCTGGCCTGGTGTCGTCGACTGTGTGTGTTCGTTGTTGGTGGACTCCCTGATGGGAGGAAGCTCTAGGGAGCCATGGTCACTCGAGGAGACTGTGGAAACCGGCGATCGAGGCTCGGTCTCCTCGGAGCAAGTCCTGTCCGCTTCGGAGGCTACATTTGCGCTCGATGTCGTGGTGGTGGTGATGGTGGTGCTAGTGGTGGGTGCAGCAAAGGAATCTGCCGAGGTCGAGGAGGTAGGACCGGGAATTCCATGGACCCTCTTCCAGTTGGCAACCCAAGCATCGTCGATGACGGGACCATCTATCTTCTCCGTCGGCGGCGGCGGTAGCCGCATGTTTGAGAGCAGTTTTTGAGCTTCGAATTTGATCTCCCTGTCCACGCCCTTGGGAGAAACATCCGGATTGAGCTTGCGGAAGTTAAGATAGAATTCGTAAAGAGCAGAGTCGATGGGAGAAGCCCTGTTGTCCCGCGGCGGCGGAGTCGGGGGCAGAGACACCGCCGAAGGTGTGGGTGGAGGCAGTTGCTTGTTAATTTGGATCTTCTTCTGCAGAGGAGACCGGGGAGGTCCGTTCAGCTTCCGCTCTCGCTTTGTGGGCGTAGCTGATACTGATGCTGATGCTGCGGCATCTGGTCGGCCTTGCTCCTTGGATGAAGGTGATGCCTTGAACTTTTTAAGGTTCCGGGAGACAGTGGACTGGTTGATCGATTTGCCAAACTCTGTCCTGAACCATTCGGCCAGTTCTCTCTGTGAATGGGCATTGTGTTAACGACTACTCGAGGTAAAGATGATGGTGGCGGGGTTTACACCGGCGAAAGAGGAGGGTGGGGTGGAGAGATAACGACTACTGGGAAGCAAGCAAAAGGGGGCCGGTCACGACAAAAACGGACAGGCGGGCTGGATGGATGGATGGATGGATGAAAGGATGGAAAGATGGATTGGAGAAAAGAATGGTATACCTGCTTGAGGTGAGGATTCGAGGTATGGTATGCATTCAGAGCATGTTTCTCGTCCTCGGTTGCCTCCTCGTACTTCCGTTTCCTGGGCCCATAGACTAGACCATTAGGCGGCGAAGGAGGAGAATTGGCGCCCGAGCTCTCTCTCGGAGTGTTCGCATCGACGAACTCCTCTTTGGCCATGACCGCCGATGCCGCCGCCGCCGATGTGATCTGGGCGAAGTCCTTCTTGACGGCCGGAGTAGACACGGGCTTTTCAGTCATAGCGGGGGGATTATTTCGGCGGACTGGTGAGACTGGGCTGGATGATGTCGATGTTCTTTGTTTTTGTTTTTGTTTTTTGGAGAGGGGGGTTGGATTGCGTCTCTCCTCTCTGGTGGGCTGGTGGGAGAAGTCCTGGGTGCGGGGATGTTCGCTTTTTTTTTTTGTGGTGGTTTAGGCAAGGCTGACTGGGAGTGAACGGATGATGATGTGCTGATGATATACGGTGCGGGATGGCTGAGTTGTCAGTTGAGGGGGAGGGGGTAGTTGTGTGGTGGTAGTATGTGGTATGTAGTATGTGGTATGCGGTGGGTGGTGGTGGTGGTGGTGGTGGATGTGGTGGTGGGGGGCAGGTAAGTAAGGTAAGTTTATGTAGTCGGTGTGAGACGTAAGACGTGGTAGTAGACGGGATTGACGAGGTGGGAGAGCTGTAGATAAACAAATACTAGGCGAAATGGCAAGAATTCAGGAATGCGGTCCAGGGGTGGCTCTCGATCCGTGGCGAAGCGGGGGGGACTTATAAGTACCGGGCCAGGCTCAGGCTGCGGGATCGCCTTCTTCCCTCCCCATGTCCCATGCAGCCAGCACAAGCGCACGGATATTCTTCTCTCGATCAAATGCCTGTCAAGTCACGACACCGGTCATACCCCGTCTGGAGATCTGCCCTGGTTGTGGGTGGCTGACAGACCGACCGACAGACAGACGGACGGAGACCGGAGCTTGGAGCTTTGGGGCTTGGGGCTTGTGAGCTTGAGACGCTGTATTTCCTTTTTTGCAGCTTGCATTTCTAAATCCGCATACCGCCGCCGCAGCTGTACAGTGTACCGTCCATTTGCCTACTTTTACATTTTACATACGCTCGCTGGACGGGGAGAGGCCAGCTACACCGAGGAGAACGAGAAGCGTCCCGGCGGCGCACAGCGATGGTGGTGCAGCGTTCGCCAGTCTTTTTTTCTTTTTTCTTTTTCTTTTTCTTTTTCTTTTTCTTTTTCTTTTTCTTTTTTTTTGTTGACCCGGACAGTGGACACGCCCTCCCCCTCCCCCCCGGTCCTTTACGATCGAACGGGGCATCAACTGTGGTCCATGGATGCAGTGTGTGAGAGCAGAGTGAAACGCGAGGTGGGCAGAGAAATAGCGAATGCTCGGGGATGGGGGGGAGGGAGCAGTCAGTTAGGTACATACATCCATTACTTACTCCCTTACGAGGTGGCCGAGTGCAAGTAGGTAAGTCAGAGGTATGTACGAGAGTTGGGTAGAGTGGAATGGAATACCTTCCTAGGTAGCGTCGGGTGTGAGGGCATAAAAAAATTCAAAAAAACCATCTATTATGCATGCGGTCAGCACCAACACAGGAGCCGACTTGAAGCGGTGCGTGTCAACTGTTTCAGGATCGAATAGACGCAGATCCAAAAAAGGACCACATTAACGGGAAATAACTGGATCGTGGGAGAGGAGGCAGGCAGTCCTGGCTTCGGGAGATATTCGATGGGGCGGCGGCGACGTGACCCGGGACCAAACGGCCGGCCGGCCAAACCGACGTCGGTAGAAGGCGAGCGGAGCGGAGCAGAGTAGGGTAGCAGGAGTGGAGCGGAGTGGAGCGGAGTGGAGTATGTACATAGAGTGGAGTGGGGCGTTATGTACGGCATGGAGACAAGCCCACTGCCAGAAGCCATAACGATAGCACCCTATCGATCTCATGCTCAACTATCCCCCCCACCCCCCCTGGACCCTCGGCCGCCCTACCTACGAGCTCCTCCACCTCTCTTCCGCCGCCAACCACAACCATTCAAACCCTCCCCCCCGCCAGACAGACAACCCTTCCCCTCCCTTCCTCCCTCCCTCTCTCCAGACTATGCGGGATGATATGCATGGCGCTCCGAGCCCATCAAATTCACTATTGCTTGGCCTGTGATTCGCCGCACTCCAAGATCTTGCTGTATCATGACTTGCAGATAGAATATGTACAGGATCGACGACGCTGAATTGTCCGCGAGCACGCACTCACGCACGCACGCCGGACCCAAGCAAGTAATGAAGAAGGAAGAAAAAAAGCCAAAAACAAATATGGGCATAATAAAAAGATAAAGGAAATAAAAAAGGAATGAAGTAAAAAAAATCCAGCAAGAGAAATCATTAATTCCTCTTTCTCCTCCTTCTTCTTCTTTGTTCCCGCCCCGCCCGCCCACCAACGGCTCCTGGCGGTGTTTCGTCAACTGCCACCACCGAGTAAGTACGGTATTGCCTCCCGCATGCATTATGCGGCTTCTCACTCGAGCTACATACGTGCTTAACCCACTCTACCTAAGGCCCCAGGGCCTCAAATTATGCATGCCTGGCGCCTGGTCTGGCTAGGAAAAACTCGTTCGGTTCGATGATATAGGGACATGCCTGCAACAGTGGACACAACGAACGAGAGACTGTTAGGATAATAAAAATAAATAAAAAGTCCAGAGAAAACGGGAAAAAAGAAGAAGAAGAAGGAAAAAGAAGGAAAAAGAAAGGAAAAACATAAAGGAAGAAATAGATAATAAATGATGGAATGCGGCTGGATAGCCGCACCATCAAAATACCCATTCCCTCATGCGTCTCAGAAACATGGCCCCATCATCGTCCAGCCAGCCCAACCAGCCAGCCGAAACTGTGGCTGGAAGTGGAAGTGGATATGGGTGTGACCCAAGTGTACACGTTTGCGGACCCTACACCTTCCCCCAATAGATGATCCCTCCCCTCGCCCCACTGTCTGAGCCGCTGTGCATGTGGGTGGGGGGCGGTGGGGGCTCGCCCACAGAAGCCTGCCTCTGCCTACCTGCTATACGCATGTGGCTGGTGCGGTATCTTCTGCCGTTCCCAACTTCCTATACACCCTATAGATACGTTATTTAAACACCTGAAACTGCTACACCCCGAGTTGTGTATGTAGTAGGACCGCCGTGCTACCAGATATAGTACGCAATACCAAACATTGTCCTGTTGTGGATCGTCAACAGGGGTTGTCCAAGAGCTACCGAACCTCCTCCGTCGGGAAGAAAGGAAATAAAGGAAGGAAGAAAGAAAGGAAGAAAGGAAGGAAGGAAGAAAGGAAGGCTTGATTCCTTGCGACCTTCAATCGTTCCATCAGGCCCTTCACCAGTCCAGGTCCCGCCCCAGTCCGGTCCGGCCTCGTCCTCGTCCACGTCCGCGTCCTCCTCCTACCTCCTCCTCCTTACCCGCGGTATGAGAAGTCACTCACCCACTCATTAATAGCGAGCTTCGGTTTGAGAGTACTTACTGTGCCTGAGTAGGGTGTTTCGAATTTACCACTGCGACGATCCCCATCCCCCCCAACATAATCAACCCACGCAACCCTAGACGTCCTCCGGGCTAGGCAGTGGACAGTGGACAGTGAACAGTGTTCACCGCGTCTAATCCAGCCATCGACTCCCCGCAAAGTCGAAGACGTGCCGCCGGTTGCTAATAATAGCAGGGCAACACAAAGAATTCACCGCTAGGTCCGCTACGGGGAGTCGGGGACTTGATGAAACTAGGATGGGCTGCATAAATATCCCGTCTCTCGGCGGCTCGCGCCAGCCCTGTTGAGGTAGGCTCCAACCACCCCACAAGTGAGTGAGTGAGTCCCATACACACGCACCCAACGTTCGTCGCTTCCAACCGAGCCCCCCCCTCCAGCTGAGCGCGCCAGCGGCGAGCGGCCACACACGCCCGCCCCCCCTCTCACATGATAGCTAGATTTTATGTATGTATGTAAGCTCCGGACACGCCCAGCTATTTAAGAGGCTCTCTCTCAAACGACGCGAAGCGCTTCTCCGCAGTCTCTCTCTCTCTCTCCCTCTCTCTCTCTCTCCTAGCCGGTGGGCCCGTGAGGGAACGGGTCTCGAATGGGAGCCGCGCGTTTCGAGTGCTCGCGGCTCCCCACTTTGTCTTGCATCTATGATCTAACTATCTGGGTAGGTGGGCTATTTTAAGATAGCCCATCATAGGCTGCAATTCCATATGCACGACATCATCCTGATCGAAATCGGCATGCATACTCTACATACATACATAGATACACACATGCATAGAGTACGGTAGGTAAGGTAGGGTAGGTAGGGTATGTATGGTATGTATGGTATGTATGGTATGTATGGTATGTATGGTAGATATGTATGTGTGTGTGTACATAATGTGTGTATGTAGAGTACTCTATCTATGTATGGTGGTTTGACACGCACAGCACGCACAGCACAGTACAGTACAGTACAGTACAGTACAGTCCGAATCCCGAAGCCTGAAGCCTGAAGCCTGAAGCCTGGAGGCCGCCGCCGCCGGTCATTCCGCATAAGGTAGCTAGTTTCATTGCATCCATGATGCTTGTCGAGATGCATAGAGGGAGGAGGCGGGGGGAGGGGAGTGAGTGGGCACGCACGCCTGCCTGCCTGCCCTAACACGAATAGTGTTGTTGTTCGAGCATGCGAATTATTTTTCGTGCGACCAATCTGATGAATCGTCCTGAAGGACCGGCAGCGCCTCCGAGCGAGCCCCAAGCCCCAAGCGGTGGCTGGCTGGTTGGCAGGCCAGGAATCTAGACTACATTGCACGCATTCGACCCATTTGAAGAGGGGGAACAGCGAAATAGTTATGCGCTCACATGATGCGAAGAAACCGAACCTAGGAGACTAGGAAAACCCATGCGCATGATGCATGTCCTCCATTGTCCAGATCGTGCTTCGAGTGACTGTGCATGACTGTGCGGTGCGATGGTACGGGAATAGCTGTGACCCTGAAAGCGAAGCGATACTTCATACCGACTCGCCAGCGTATTCGGTTTACATACTACTCCACTTTCGAAAGTAAGAGGTGCATAATTCTGTGGGGGAGCCAAGTCGTGCGTACTGTCCGGTCAGCAAATATCCGAACAACACAGATCTCCCCCCCTCCTCCATCCCCCACCCCCTCTCCTCCCCGAGAGAAGCGGGGTTGCCCGTGCCTGATGCTGAGTTCCACGGCATTTGCGTGCAAACGACTTATGTGTTTCCATAGACTTATGGCTCTGAGCATGCCAACCTACCTGCCTTACTACTGCTGCAACCAGTCGATTGGAAAGGAAAAAGGGCTAGGGTTTTCCGGTGCCCAAAAAAAAAAAAAAAGGTGGTCTTTATCAGAGCATGAAGAGTATTAGCCACTCTAATGTTACAGTGCATATATGTGCATTACGCACTCTACCGGTGGCCTGCTAGGGCTGCTCCAGCCGACCCGAGAGATGTGTGACGACGTGTCGCGGGGTTGACCCTTCTTCCTTGTTCTCGATCATAAGAAGTGCACTTATGACTGTATGTTGTACCTATTCGCTAGATGTGAATTCCTTCTCGCCTCGAAGAGGGACTGTACACCCTCAAGGAGGCACGCGGGGTTAAATCAGGAAGCGGAAGCCGGCACGAGGCAGGTTGATACTGAGTGGAGCCACAGGATGGCGGTCATCAGTACATGTGCACCGATCAGCACTCGCTGAGTCTCATGGAGTCCGCATAGGTATGAAGGATATTCCTCGTACCGTGGTGCAGTACGGCCATGTAGCTATGGGAAAGGAGCCCTCTGGTTCGTTTGAATTAGGTATCTCGTTCCACAGATAGACCTACTTTGCTTGTATGATTGTCTTTGGTATGTATCCTGATTCCTTTCCCCATGTCGTGATGTAGGTCAAGAAGTAATGGGAGCCTTAACTCTAGCTTGTCACTGATCATCTCCACTTGGTTGAATACATCTGCCGGAGCATGATGTAAGTGAACGATGTGTTCTCTTGGAAGCTTCCATGGCCGTCTCTGAGCCTGAGATACCAAGATCCGAGGTCGATATACACAGGGTATACACCCCGCAAGAGGCGACACTTTTGAAACAGTTGGACCCCGCCGAGGCAATTGCATTGGCCGTTTCTGAGTATTCACTGGCGATTCACAATCGACGTCAAGTCGCGGAATAAGGGGGACCGCAAAGCATCTACCCACATGATGGTGCTTGGGTGTTGTTGTATGGTGTGACCAGGTGGGTGGAGGATATTCAAAACGGTTGCTCATCGGAGTGATACATTTCTTCTAGTCACGCCCGCGATCTGGTGGACTTATTAGCTGTCGTCCATTCAATTCTGTAACGAGCTCCATAGGCGGGGGAGAGGTGGGGGGAGATAACTTGATGGGTTTGTGGGGTACTTACTTACATACATACCAGTAAATATCTAGATCCGGGTTTGACACTTGGCCGACATATCGTCACCACAAGCTCCAGAGATAAACATCCCGCGGCCGACATGACAGCCATCCTACAATCTTCTTAGTTTCGACATCACGATGCCCACAAATCTATATCCGCATCATCAACATCATCATCGTCAGCCTGATGACCCAATATGTATCCAACCCTGGTTGAGCTCAGTGTTCGTGCTCCCACCACCCGTGGTAATATCCAGGTGCGATATCGATCCCAACCCGACGGTTCGATCCTTATTATAGAGACGAACGAAGCCCCTTTTCTCCCCTGGTGTCTGATCGCTCGCTCGGCTCGTACCATGGCTGGCAGAAAATCATCGCTTATCCGTGTCCGAATGGGACATAACAAGATCTTGCTTCCTGAGAGAGCCTGCTTTCGACCTTGTGCCTCACTCCATGTATCCCAGGCGATCCTCGTCCGCTTCCAAGGCTGTAACAAGACCCCTCAATCCTCCGTGAAGCGAACCCCCCCCCTCTCTCTGAGATTCTCTCTCTCTCCGGCAGCCGGTCTTATGTAACGCGGTAGCAGCTTCGGCAGTTGACGTACTCTACCGTGCTTCCCGGCCGCATCCAGGGTCTCCGGACCGTCTTATGCCCGAGGAGACGAGACTCGAGACTACTGTTGCCTGTGGTCGAAAGTATCCCGGACTGTTCATGATGCTATGCAATCTAGTTTTGTATGCAAGTATGGAACGTCTGGTATGTATATCATGTATGTACCTTATACGCGTCAGGAAAAGTTGTGACCGTCCAACCAAGGTGATGGAGGGCCCCACATACCGTACCGTACATACCTAAGCCGAACTATGAGACAACCTACATACGAGTCTGAGTCGTGGTGCTCGGCAGGAAGATACATACCTAGCCAACATCAAAGCCCGTACATCTGTAGACGATTCGCTGATGGATTCAGTAGATAGTTGGTCGGGATGTCCGGCAGTTAAGTCCGGTTCACATCTAGAACACGGCAGTGAGTGACGGCGGTTGTAGCGGTCTAATCTCTAGGTAGATGGATCGTATATGTATCGTCGCTATCAATTATATGTAGATGCATATGCGTTGACTAGTTGTTGACGTGCAGTGGCCAGGAAACAAAAAAGCGGACTGGACTGGCGGCGAGCGAACGGGGCAGAAACCCATGGACCGCATGCAAAGCAAGACAAGACCGATTTGAGCGGCGATCGATCATGGGTTTGCATTCAGCCTCTCACACACAGTCCAAAAACTCGGATCAGACAGAAATTCCGACTTTGTGCCGCGACAGACGCCCCCCCCCCCCTCGCAATTGCACAGAACCGATTCTTATCGTCCGTTCTCCAGGCACAGGGGGCTCTCGGTACGAGTTGAATGATCGATCTCATTTGGGGAGATCGTAAGTGATCTTTTGCACCACCTTTGTTACAATACATAGTAGCTTTGCTTTTTATCGCAACCAATTCCAGTCTAAAATTTTGCTGTACACACACGTAACGTAATTGCGCCTGCTCCTTTTTCCAACACCAGCTCGCGCCTCAAAGAGAAAGGACGACGATCATGTTTTTTTCCCGCAGCACATCTACGACCTCTGCAGCCGCTCGCCGACGGCCTTTGTAACACCGCCAGCAGCCCCCTTGAACTCCTGATCGCACTCAGCATAACTCCTACCAGCTCCGATTCCGAGACCGAACGATACGGGCCAGGCACGGCGCTTGAACAGGAGGATCGAGAAGATGATTCCGAAGCCGGCTCCGAGGGCGGACTTGACGACGAGGTTGGAGAGGCACTTGTCCCACTGTTGAGAGGCGAGTTAGTGGTAGCCCCAATCTAGCAGGCAGCAGTGGATAGGGTAGGCCGGAGCGGGTAGGGTAGGGTGGGTGGTGGATGGGCGGTAGCTACCTTCTCGCTGAGGAGATCCTCGGAGGCGGGACGCTGGGTCTTGCGCTGGATGATTTCGGATGTGGTCGCGGCCATCGTGAGGTTTGGTGTAGGTCTGCGTGTGCGTGGGACAGATTAGCGATTGACGGATACGCGGACACGGATTAGCTCACGTACCGGGAGGAGCGTGTGGTTGTGGTAGAGGCGGGTGGATTGAAAAGGTTGCGGTTTGGACGTCTTGCTTCGGCTATCTCGAGAACCGATTCTTCGCGACGATGATGCGGTGCCAAGACATCGCCCGACATAACCTGGCTTCGTGCCACGGAATATCACTCGGTCATCCCCTGTTTACGGGTTTTTTATTTTCGTTTTTTCTTTTATTTTCGATCTACGATTTTAAATGGTGAAAAGCGGGAGTTCGGCAGAGGGTGGGCGGTGCGGCTGCTATGCAAGAGATACTTTTTTCCTACATATCCTTTCATCGCCACCGCGGCAAGCTCCACTCTCCAAGCTCGACATGTGCGCAGGTATGTACGGTATGTATACGGGTGCAAGAGTAAGTGGTGCACCTCTTTAGGCACCATTTCGCGGTGGTGGTGGTGCATCACTTTCCCTCACACCCGAGTACTGTACACAACGCATATATAAGGCACCGGCCACTCAATGCAAATTCTATGCTTGTCACCGCACTTCCAACCTGCCAGATACAGAAATTGAGACGTTTGCCAGCGAACATACTCATCTAACCATACATAAAATGCTTTTCACCGGCCCACAGTCATTTCTTTCGTCACTCATCTTCCGTTCTCAGTAAAAGGCGCATAGATTCGTACATATGCACTTCCACCGCCGTCTGTGAATACTTGGGCACAATGGTGATCGCTTAAAAAAATCCCTCGGTTCTACGCCTTCAGTCGGCCCAGCCCATCTTCGGTTTTGATCGCCGCAAAGCTGTCAACCGACGATGATGTCTTCCTCGTGTGATTTCCACGAAGCCATGGTGGCGTCATGTTCCATCGCTCGCTCCGCATTTTGCACGTGCATATGTGCCGTAGGTACATAGCGACTTCTATGAAAACTCTGCGTGCGAGACCAGTGATGTCGCCGATATCTATTTTCCATCGGATCATCTCCTTAGCCCCGTAAACGGTACTCCTGCATAGCATAACAATCAGACGATCCGATATGCAGGAAATAGTAATCGGCGAAACAAGCATAGCCCTCCGTGAGTCTGCGACTACTCAAATTCAGGAAACGTCATCTCTTGATCGACATTAGTTACAAGCACTTGGAATGTTGCAACTTGGAAAGCGATTTGTTTCTTCTCCTAGCGCCATGCGACACTAGTTGTGCTTCAGCCTTCATTCAAGAGACAAGAATGAAGTGGGCCCCCGAGCGGCCGAGTGAGAAGATATGTGCAGATTCCTACACACGCACTCGAGCAGTCCATTGACTTATCAAACCCCACGGGGAGTTCCAAGTTCCAATTGAGAAAAGACCCCCAATGCTAAGCCATCCTCGTAGATCCTATTGAGCTATTCGAGCCGGTTATCTTTTCCCAGCGAGACCAAGCAATGCGACACTGAGTGATACAGCATGATCCGGACTGTCTCATGTTCCAGATCGCGGCCGTAGGGGTGGCGAGGAGTCTCACCTACGGAAATATGCTAGAAATATGTACTTACACGGCTTACTGCCTACTTTGGCAGAGGACCACTTTCATGTTCCCGCGGTTAAACACGGGGGCCCCGACCATCGTACACACACAGGTACGCATCCTCGAGCGTCATCGTGACGAGCTATAGATTTTCGGGGGAGCGGGTGGCATAAACCTGCGTGTCTCAGCTTGCCCTTTTCTTCTCATCTGATTGCCCGCGTTTCAAATCCTCCGCTGCCCGTCTTTGACGTGGCACGGGCTAGGTATTTCGGACGGCCGGGCCGAGACACACGACCTTCTTTCGTGAATCGTGACCCCGTGAGGTTCGCATCTACATACTTCGCCGTTGGCCTCTCGATGACACTGGGCATCTAGAACTTCTATTTATCTCTCGCTGGGAGAATCCAGCATTGGCAAATCTTCAACTCGAGCAATCGACCTGAGTGAGATCCCATGCACCGGTAAATTCCGCAGCGCCCGTGACGTCAGCCCTTTTTGTCTCAGGCACCGTAACCAACAGTCAACCAACAGTCAACCATCAAGCTCCATTGCTCTCGCCTTCGCATCTCCCCGTCCCCACCACCCCTCTCCCCACACACCCCCCACATCACTCGATGCGCCTCCCCGCCCGCCTCCCCGCCCGCCTCCTCACGTCCACGCGCCGGCAGCTACAGCAATTCAGCACCTCCCCCCCGACGCCTCAGCCGGTGCGCGTGTACACGCCGATCCGCAACACGGGCGACTTCCACACAGCGCTGCGGCTAAGCACGACAGCGAACGCGCCGCTGATTACGCTGTGGACCGCCAGCTACTGTCCCAGCTGCCGCACGGTCAAGCGGGAGCTCGAGAAGCTTTTTGCGGAGCGCGGGGGCTCGGCGGGCTCGATGGAGGCAAAGGATCTGCAGTATGTTGAGGTCGAGCTGGATGCGCAGGGTGGTGGCGTCGATGAGTTGGGGGTTAGGTATATGGTATGTCACGACGGTTCATGAGAGGCCCTAGGGGAGGAGGGTGGGGTGCGTGGCAGGCTGCTGAATGAATGGTGCGGAATACCTACACAGATTCGCTCGCTGCCCACACTACTCTCGTTCCGTCGTGGAGAACCGGTGCACGAGAAACGGCTGGCGGATGTGAGGCTGATGCTGGACCGCACGAGACTGGGCGAGTGGGTCGACGGCGTCGCGGAGGATGGTGCGCAGGATGGTGGAGCAGGAGGAGCTAGTGGTGCGGGCGGAGGTTTGTTTGGTCGCCTTTTTGGCGGTTGATCCAACTCTTCCTACATACCAGTGGCCACCCACGCTACCGTACAAAATATGCGAGGCATCATGTAAAAATATCATGGTACTCGTACATACATGCAATTGCTGCTTGCTTGAAAGCCAGTTGCCAGACAGCAGCAGCCACTCCCGTTGCAACGATTCGATCACGAATACATACCTAGCCTGCACCGGCACCGCACAGAGTCTAAATCCGACGATGAGTTTGAACTTTGCACTGTGCAGTTGTATGTACATACAATGCAGCGTGGGATGGTTTCGTCTTTCATCATCGGCAGTGGGTGGTGTCTGTCTGTCGCATCGTGAAGATCGGCACGCCAGAATGGCAGAATCCTATGGACACATCCAACCTGCGGGGGCAGCAGCGGCAGCGGCGAACACTGAACAGATCGGTCCCAACGAAAGAAAAATCTTTCAACGATTCCTTGGAAGTTGATCGTGAGTCCTCCGGGCGTCCGATGACGTTCGCCACTTTCACTGCTAGATATACTTATGCGTATCCGTACGAGAGCTGTAGTTAGCCAGTGGGTGGGTTACCTCTAGGCTCTAGGTAGACCGTAGATGATGTCCGTCTGGCCTCGCCGGAGGGGGGCTTTCGAAATAGAGTAGAGCACCTAGGTACGGTTGATCCCCAAATATGTACGATACCTATGGTCTACCTATCGCCATCCACAAGAAAGAAAAAAACACCGATGCTACACGTCTAACATACCCATCCGCCGTCCAACCAACCGACCAACCTGGTCACCGCAAATTCCAATCCCACACCATCGTGAACGAGTACATATGGTAGGTTGGTAGGTTGGCAACATACACAGTCACCAGTGAGGGATTGCTTCTTTGAACTTTCCGGCGTCCGCGGCGAGCATTTCTCCCCCCGCGCACCCCACCAGTTTGCATGCACGTCATCCGGACCCGAATCGCAATCACGAGACGAGGGGGAAATTATTCCGGCGAAGACCCCTCCGCATGATTCCCTCCGGGCCCCTTCCCTTCGCTCCCCCTTCCCTCCGCTTCCGTTGTGTCGCGAATTGGATGAGTGAACGAGTAGATGAAATTTTCAATTCAATTTTTCTTTCCGTGCTTCAAAGATCAAAGTTCAATCGAACGAAGAAAGCATCCATGAATCCATGAACCCTCGTGGCCCGTCGAGCATCTTACATACATGCCCAGTGTCCACCACTATATACGATACAATGCGGTGCACATGTGCCACCGCAAGCAACGCAAGCAACGCAAGCAACGCAAGCAACGCAAGCAACGCAAGCAACCAAGCAACGCAAGCACGCAAAGCAAGTAGACCAGTCAACGAGTTTCAATTCAATCCCCATTCCATTCCACAGGCTACAGACATGAGGCCACAGATCTGAGGCCGCAAGCGGACGACTTCAAAGTTCTCAGTTCTTGCAAATATGATACCGTGTGTACATTACATTACGGTAGGAAGTAATCATCCCGAGGGTGCGGAGCGAATGAAGAGATTTTCTTTGAGCTGGGCACCCTACCTGGTAGGTAGGAAGTATGTAGGAGGTAGGAGGTAGGTAGGTACGCGCGTCTCATGTCTCGTGTGTTCACTGTTCAAAGTTCAAACCAAACGGGAGGGAGAAACATCTGACGGGAGGGAAGGAAGGAGGGGGAAAGGGAAGGGGAATGAGGGATTCGTCCTCCCTTTGCAGCGTTCCTGACGATATGTACCACCTCCCTTCACTCTACCGTAGTAGGTAGAGTACATCGGGTCTAGTCCTTCCTTCCCGCCCAACTGGTACGAAGCTGGAACAGAGGCGGGAGCTCTTTCGGGAGGGAGGGAGTCGGGGACGTGGTACATACGGTACGTTGTGCGTGGTGGTCACTGATTACGTGGTACATGGTAGTTACATGGTACGTGGTATGTATGTGGTACGGACAAACTTCTTCAATGCTCACTCGATTAATCATCATCACCACCACCACCACCACCACCACCACCACCACCACCACCACCAACAACCATCTCAGCCTTACAATTGAAATTACCGAGTGTACTCCCTCCCCCTCCGGGTCTCCGAGCTCGTATGATGTACGTACGTTTCTTGCCGCGGGCCCGCGGCGGTTCCGGGCGGAATGAAACGACCGCCGCGCCCATACCAGCCTACCTATCCTGCCGATTCGTTTTCTACATACATGTGTGCCTACATACATTCGCTATGTGCTCTATTCTGAAAACGTGCTTGCTTGCTTTCGCTTCAGCACTTTTCACTGTGCTTTGGTCAGGTCAGCACTGCCTAGAGGACATAATCTGCGTTGGATTGGAATCACATTGCACTATGACGGCCGGAGTGGACAGTGGACACAACTGAGAGGTTCATATGCTATGGCAAATAACTCTACCGGCGGCCGCCGGAAGAAAGAAAGCGCGAGCGCGAGCAAGCATGAAAGAAATCTGTAAAAAGTGTGATTATGGCCGTTTGATCTAGCATGGGGTGTCTGACATGCCCGGGTGAGGCTACCTACGCCATCTACATACTCTACACACTTGCCTAGGCTGAGTGATTGAGTGGCTTCAACACATTTGCCTACATACATGTGTCTGCTTGCTAGTTTGTAGCCTGTAGGTACATAGCATACTCGACATACATAGGCAGGTTGCATCAAGCCTGCATGGGCCCATGGACCATGAGCCATGGGGGCTCGAAAATCTGCGGCCTCAACAGAGAAAGCGGCAGGCAGGCAAAAAAAAACGCACACCTCGTCACCTCGATTCAGATTCAGCACAGCACGTGCGTGGGTGGTGGAATGCGAGACCATGACCAGACCAGACCACGCCGCCAAAGCCGCTGCTTTCCGATCCATGGATGGCCATGATGATGCCGCCGCCGGCGATGTTGAGGGGGGGCTCCCTTTCCGTGGATCGCCGGAACAAGCCGCTCCTGTTTGTTCGCCGCTCCGCTCCATGCCCGCGCCCGTGTCCGTGTCCGTGTCCCCTTGCATAGAATAGATGGCCATGGCCCACCGTTCGTTCGTCCGTTGAAGTTTTCTTCCGTTCGAGTTTTCTTCCGTCGAAGTTTTTCTTCCGTCATGCACACTGCATGCTGATGCTGCTTCGTGTCTCGTCTGGCGTTCCCGCCGTTCTTGACCACCACCACCACCACCACCACCGACCACCGACCACCGCGGCCCCGCTGACCGCGCACGCCGTAGGTAACTGACTGACTGACTAGTCGCCCCAACGGTCGGGACAGCAAATCCATGTCTCCACCATCCCCCCGGTCCCGGTCCCGGTCATGTCACCACCACCACCACCACCAACTGTTTTCTTTCGCGATTTCCTCCCCCCATCCCATCCATCTATCCCAGCCATCACTCGCTGCTGTCACCGAGTGCTGTTTTCTTCCTTGCATTCCCTCCTCTCTCTCTTGTGTGTCGGCGGCATCGCCAGCTGCATACATAAAAGGAAATATATACAAACTAGAAAAAATAAAAAAAGCTCCGGCGTTCGCAGGCAACGTATGTCGCACGTCGCACGTCGCACGTCGCACGTCGCACGTCCGCCGCTGCATGTATAAACTTTGAAGTTTGCACGCCGTTTCCTCGCGGAGGAGTGACGTGGAGGTGGAGGTGGGTGGAGTCTTTAGGCCTCATCGAGATCCGCACGCATGCTTCACGTATGTGGAGGCACGTTATGCACGGGCTCGGGGTCTGGACGATGATGATGATGCTGATGATGATGATGGCGGCGGTGGTGCTGGTGGCGGAGACATCGTGTTTGCCTACCGTCTCACCGTCTCACCGTCCCACCGTTCGTGCGCGGCCAGCCAGCCCGCCCGTCCAGATCACGAAGGAAACGCACTTTCCATACATATCATAAATACATACTCGCAGTGCATACTGGTACTCTACATACCTACATGGGCTGCATCGATGACTGTCAGCATACGGTGGGTAAGTACTCATGTACATACCATCCATATGCCCTCATGTCGACGAGGCGCCTCTCCTTTCTTCGAACCACAAACAGCAGCCGCCCCTGCTTTTTTCCGCGTCCCGACGATGTAGCCGGAGCATCCACGGTCTCGTGGATCTTGATGCCTCAATCGGCGAGTTCCCGGACTGTTTGCCTCGCGCGAGTCGCGACGTGCCCCTCGCCTTCCCCCTCGCCCCTTCCCTCCCCCTCTCCCTCTGCTTCTGCCTCCCCATCTCCCTCTCAGCGATTCGTGTCGTAGGAGAACATCCTGAAAGCGCTAGGCACTCACTCACTCTAGAGCTCGGGGGGGAGTACATACGGCGTATCCGCACAAATTGAGTTCTGCCTCCCTCCCTCCTGAGTGGTGGGTGCTGTGTGGTGGGTGCTGTGTGGTGCTGTATGATCTGTATGGATATGTATGGATATGTACGTGCCATGCAACGCCAATAAAACCATCCATCGGAGCTGTATGTGTGTAGAGTATGTGTGTGTTGTCAAGCTCCAAAACCCGCGTGGGAAGAGGCGGGGGGGTAATGCTAGTACATATAGTGGTTAGGACGGTAGGAGACATGTGAGACAGGCATGGTCTGTGGATGGATGGGATCGAGAGAGCAAAGCTGCCTGCAAGTAAACCCCTAATTGATCCCGCCCGCCCCCACTCCGCCCCGACACAGACACACACATCATACACACAACTGATACATACCGTACAGACATACAAACTCGACACTCCACTCCACTCCACTCCACTCTATTAGATCTACTATCATAAAGTAAATACTTCCTCAGTTAGCAACATCTCTGCCTATCCATATGTCTGTCTCTCTGCCCTTTTGCCCTTCTGCCTGCCCGCCCGTCTTTTTGCCCGCGTGCCTGCCTACCTGCCTGCCTACCTTTCTGCCGGCGGACTGCTTCCGTCCAGAGCGAGCGAGCGGCCGAATCGTGAATGGCTACTAGTAGGAAACCCCCAATGATACCGATCTGTGTCAAAACCAATGTCGTAAAGTGAGTTGGAATTTAGAAAACGATCGAGATGCCGCGCATTCGCTCGGTCTCCGATCTTTTCTTCATGCCCGTGGGTCCCCCCCGCGCCTATCTACTCTATATCGAACGCCTACACGCCCCACCCCACTCCACTCCACTCCACTCCACGCATCCGCACAGGCATATGTCCTGTGTATCTTTGAAGCAATGCCCTGCAAAAAACGGCGGGTTTTGGATGTGTGACGTGAGGCATGGAGTCTGGAGTACCGTACCTACTACCGTAGGTACTATATGTATTACCTATGGATCATGGAGTCATGGACTTCTTTCCGCCTGCAAATAGCGAGACGAACTAGCGTGCCGGTGCGGTACTGTGGCCGCAGGCCGTGCGGTTTTGCGGCCTGCGGCCTGCGGGAGAGGAGGTTGCCGTTCGGTTTCTCGCTTGTGGATGGATGGATGGAAAATCGTGAGGATATATGTGTGTATGTAAGTGGGTATATAGGTCGGTATGTATAGCACGGACTTCGTCTGCCTGGAAGTACTTGGTTATCTTCTCCATGGGTATGAGCCTATGAGGTACCTGTGTATGTACCTATCTGGGCGCTGACCGAGTGAAGCATGGAGTAGGTACATAACTTATGTACATACCCAATGTACTCTCCATACAAGCCCTCTCATGCTTCATCCAGCCAAAGCTCTGTATCCATCGACATCTCTAGCCCGTTGAAGCCCCCAGACTCCCGGTATTCTCCCTAGAGTCGCATCCGACCACAACGGATCTCTGTATGCCTTCTTTCTTCCAGGCATTCCGATCCGTAAACTGCCCTTCGTTGGGTTACATATCTACCACTACATACGGAGTAGGTAGGTACATACTTCATACTTCATGGTGGTGGAACAAGGCAGCATTCCAGCACCACTTCCTTCCTCCTCCGTCCGGTCTCACTCGGAAAACCTCGTGCGGCTTTCCACCCCTCAATCCAAACCATCCAGACCATCCAGACCATCCTCCGCGGCGGCCAGGCCTTCCTTTAGCCAGCCCGACATCGACCAATCGACTTCGGACAATTCATACTATCATATTCCGGGAAGGATCAAAGGGCTTGCCATCTCTTCCCTGTCTTCTTTCTTCTCTGTCTCCTTCTTTTCTTCTTTGCATCCGGCTTCTCTTTCCTGCCCTTCTTCTTGCATTCGGCGGCCCCACCTGTTCATACTCGCTTTCTCCACCACTCCACTGTCTCTCCTTGCCGGCCGTTTGTCGTTGTTTGCGTGGAGGATTGAGAGAGACAGAGAGATTGTGTGTGTGTGGTAACTAGTCGACTACAGACGGTGTGTGTGTCTGTTCGACGGTACCGCCCCGCCGCCGCGTCTTACCTATACACACATCCATACATCTACACATATAGAGTGCTTGGTCCAGGATTGCCATCAGCAAAACCCGTCCAGCCACGACCTGCATGCCGCATGCAACAACCAACAACCCGTCCAATCGAAGACAAAGACAACGACACACTCGCAGCGGACGAGGGCCCCGAAAGGCCTCTGTTTCGAAGGCAACGAAGCGCCGTTGCTGTTGTTGCTGCTGTTGTGTGTGAGTGGGTGTGTGTGTGTCTGCGGGAGATCTTCGAATACGCTCTGAGGAGATCAGAAGAGGAGGCCCGGTCGAGCACCGCGCAGCAGTTGCTGGCTGGCTGGCTGATAGGGAAGACGAAACGAAAAGCAGAAAATCAGCAGCAGGAGGCGGCGCGGCGCGCGGGGGGAACGGGACTTTGTGGCCTTTAGTTCTCTTTTCCCGACTGGAATTTCTTTCCGCGAGATAGTTATCTCTTCTTCTCCTACGACGCTGCTGCTACCTCTAGTGGCTACATACTTGGATATTTTTTTCTTCTTCTTTCCCGTATACTCTACACGCCGCTTTTTCTCGCACTCACTCTCTATCACTCTCTATCACTCACTTCAATCTATCCCTCTTTCATCTGTTCCTGTTACTCTATCTATCTCTCTTTCTCTCTCTTTTTTTGTGTTCTCGCTTTTAGGGATTTATTTTCTCATTTAGAACGGTCAAAGCGGGAGACCGCCCCCCCCCCCCCCCCCCTCACACCCCCCAGAGTTAAGCCAAGAACGAGGCGCCTCCAACCAGCGGCTGGGAATCATGCCGACAACTACAGCACCACATCCACGTCCAGCTGCCCCTACACCGACAGCAGCAGCAGCAGCAGCAGCAGCAACCACAGCAACACCTGCGGGGCAGCAGCATCGTGGCTTCTTGTCGTTCAGAACTACTTTCAACTTCTTCAAATACACGAGCAGGGCTACTCCGCCTCGTCGCGACTTAATCGGCCCTTCACCATCAGCGGTAGCAGCTGTAGCAACCCAAGCTTCCGTCTACAACTACTCGGTTCCCCTGATAGCTGAAGAAGAGTACGACAAACAATCCCACGAAAACAATCAGATTGCTCTACTGCCAACATCACCCGCCAGATCCGGTGCCGAGTCCGTCCTTGACAGTCAGTCGTACCGTAGCTCGCAATACCACCAACACCACCTCCATCACCACCACCACTCGACCAACACCTTTGAGGGGTTCGGGAGACCGCGTAGAGACACATTGAGGTCCCCAACACCGAACGGAACTACATCGGAATTCAGAGATATGAATGCAGGTGCTCTCATCGTTGCGCCGGGCTCGCGGTCGGGCCTGAGCGAGCTCGAACGCCCAAAGTCCAACACCGACAAGCAGAGTTCATCCTCGGCTGGGGGTAAGAAGACGGCTGCCAAGCTGCGGATGGCTTTGAGTCTGCTGCGACGCAAGAGCAATCAGAACCTACGCAAGGCCTATGTCGAGCCCGTCGACGAGACGGCTGAAGGTTGGAACACGTTTAATAATGCTGTGGGTGCAAACTTCTAGGCGTCACTGTCGTCGCTTCCCTCTTGTTTTCCGGATCATGGAATGTTGACGGTTGCTCGTTCGCTCGCTTCAGGACTCGCTTCATGAACCCGACTTTGAACCGGGTCGTCTTGTCCCCCAACCTGCCGGACGAAGGGGCAGCACTACCAAGTCTCATGGCTTTAAGTTCATGCTTCCGGCACGAAGCAGCAGCCGTGCCATCCTCACCAAGCCCAGACGCGAAGACCAACCGAGGCGAGCCACGCTTGCAAGCATCAGCATCGTCCCTAGCAAAGATGTTCCTGGCGATAACTTGAATGGGGTTCACTCGCGACCCAGAAGCAGCCAGTCAACGCTGCCGGGCGAGAACTTGGCTGCCGACGAACCAGGCGACGACAGCATCTTCACCCGTGAGAGTGCCGCTTTCGTGGGAGGCGGAGCATCCAGCCCGACGGCCGGTGGCCTCTTCCCCCGGCCTGCGAGCCTGCAGAGGCACTGGAGCGATGGGCTGCGGAAACAAGGTGAGGGGGCTGCAGAACGGAAACCGACTCCGGCAAACGATAGTGTTGGCATCAGCCTCGGGATCACGCCGAGAATTCGCCAGGGCAGCCAGGATCCGGACCGTATCAGGCCCTTGAGCTTCGGGGGTATATCGAACGGGTACGGAAACATGAGGATCACTGAGGCTGCAGCTCTCGAGGTTCGGGTCAACGAGCTGGAATCGCAGGTGTCGGATCTCCGCACCATCATCGCCGATGCGAACTGGCCGCCCCGTACGGGGTCGATGCCATTCGACGGGAGTGTGCTTCACTCCTCGCCTTCGCATTCGTTCTCAAGACCGGACTCGGACACTGCTGTAGCTCCGGATGAGTCGATCCACCGCTACGAACATATGAGCCACAGGGGTTCGCTCGGTGCTCGCGACCGTACGCTCTCGGCACTGGAAGGCTTCATGCCCGACGGCGAGAACAAACGTAACACGCTATCCACGATCCGTGCACCCCGCCGTGCCAGCATGCGAAGCATCAGCGAGTCTCCGCACTCGGTTAGCACGACGGAGTACAACGGGGTCGTGGCAATGGTCAAGCGGGAGCAAAAGGCACGGAAACGCTTGGAGCAGCAGGTTGCAACCCTGCAGGAGCAGATGGCCGCCGTCCTCCACCGCCAACTCATCTCGGAGTCCACAAGCCGTAGCCCAACGATGCTGGATTCTCGCTTCAGCTCGCATCTGCATCGGAAGACCAGCAGCGAGGTGCCGACTCCCGACATCACGCCGCCGTCTTCCAGGAGCGCTGTGAGGCAGAGCAGACAGAGCATGAACATGTTCACCAGCTTTGACAGCCACGACGCCAGCTCGGATTGCGACGAGGATGAGGAGGAGGACGACGACGACGAGGCCCCTAACTACTATGGCCAGCACGAGTCCTGGCGGACGCCTACCGAGGAGAGGGGGAACCCCCTCGATGGCCCGCGCGGTGATGATGCGTTTGGAGACGCATTGTCCAGCTTTGCACCCGCCCAGGGAAGGACATTGAGTCTGAGCAGACTGACGAGGGCGTGATGATGGCGGACGCGCCAAACACCAACACTTAATCATGATTACTATGGACATATGCACACGGATACGACACCACTCTATGCTACGCTACGACCGACGACATTTTATGGAATATACGTGTCAGTTTTTACTTGCTTTTCTTTCTTCTTGTACAGCTGGATTCCTACTACTATTACATCCCTTTTTTTGTTTGGATACCCTTCCTTCCTTGCTTGCTTCTTACTTCTTGCTTCTTGCTTCTGGAGCCTTGGGGTTGTTTTATTTTATACGGCGCGATTTTTTCCGGGTCCCTTTTCTTGCTTGATTTTTTATCATCACTTGCATTCTGGAGTTAATGTGTGCAGGCGTGCGTGTGTTGGCTTTTTTTATGGGGTCTGTTTTTTGTGTCTGTTTCTGTCTGTTTCTTGTCCCGGGGGGTTTTTATAGCCTTTTATTTTTCCCATTTCTCCTTTTACTTCGCATTTTCTTTTCGTTCTTCGTTTTTCCTTGATTTTTTATGCTCACATGAGCAAAAGTTTGATCGGATGGGGGGTTTCCCGGTGGGTGGGTCTTTGTTTTTAATGGGGCTGGGGTGAGCCTTAGACAGCATTTATTTGCCGGTTATTTTTTTAACGGCGGCTCTGATTGATGGGGTTTATGATATTATGGATTTGATGGATTTGATGGGGGTGGATATCACAGGATATGAGGGGTGGGATCTGAGGGGCGGGAAAGGGGGGGAGGGAGGGGAGTGCGGTTATGGGCGTGATGTTGCATCATGCCAGGAGGGTAGAGTATGCTATTTGTGTTTGTGTTTGTGGGGTGAAAGGGGAAGGGAAGGAATGGAAGGAGTAGGAATAGGTAGGAATAGGAATAGGCAGGAATAAAAATCCGATCAACATAACCTGCATATGAGCACTGAGCACTGGGCATTGAGCACTGGGCAGATGTCTTGGTGGGCACTGAGAAGTTAGAATAGCTGATAAGAAAAACCTAGATACGTGTGAAACGGAATTCAAAACCACACTCCTACTATCTACCTCAGTGTTCTCGCTACTAATAGGGCAGTTTGACTGGCCAGTCCAGCCTTACCTCCATATCGGCACCCGCAGTCTCAACTCGAGACTCGAGACGGAGCCAGTTTGGGGGGGAGACGAGTACAGTACAATGCAGTATCACTTTATTGAGATAAGGCATACCTACGGCACTGTCGATCGAGCTACATGTCGATGAGCACTGCGCCGTGTGTCTCCTCAACATGGCTAGGTGGGTAGGTAGATCATAGATGGCTATGGTGTCGACGCAGGAGACCAGGAGACTAGGAGGCGGGGCCGGACTCGGCACAGCGCATCTCACCACAGAGCCGGCAGGCCGGGGGCTGTCCAGGAGGGGCGAGGCCGAGTAACTGCATCCTCCGAAGGCTCCGAAGCGATCTCGTCGGTCTGCCTACCTCGTACCTACAGCAGCAACACGATGCCACCAGTGACCGGGCGAGGGAGGGCTAGATGGTGGGTGCAACAAGCGAAACGAACACAGAGGCGATCCCCCTCCCTCCATCCCTCCATCCCTCCATCCCTCCCCTCTGAGCCTGATTCCGATCCTGAGCCCGATCCCGAGTCCTCGCCAGAGCCTTGGGCTTCACCTGAGTTTGGTGGCGGACCTGCTGTAGACCGGTAGTTATCTCTCCGCACACCTGCGCAGCATTGGACAGCCGGGCTTCCGGGCTGTCGGGCTGTCGAACTGTCGGGCTGCTGGACTGCCGGATGCCCGCGAGGCTGTGCTGTTGCGGGGCGAGCAGCGAGGCGTATAAGGCGTACATACAAAGCTCTCAACACTCAACACCTTTGCGAGGATACCGGTGAGAGAGGGAAGCGAGTTCTAGAACAGCCTTGTCCCCTGGAGGGTCGTGGTGGCTGCAGTGGGGGTGGATGTGAAACCGCGCACAAGGCGAGGCGGCGGCGGGGGGGGGGGGGGGGGGGTGGGAGGAGGGGAGGTGAGAATTGGTGATTGAGACGTGGCGGCGGTGGAGAGGGCTTTCAGGGTGGGGGGCAGTTGTTGAGGCGAGGCGTGTGGCGGTGTGCGAGAGCCCATAGCTACTGCCCAGGAATAGTAGTAAGTAGCCAGCACGCCGACGAAGATGAATAGCCAGCTCAGTTGTAGTTGTTGTAGTTGTTGTAGTTATTGTAGTTATTCGGTCTGTTCGGGGCCGTGCTTCTTCCAAGCTCATGCTTCTTCCAAGCTTCCTCTTCTTCCAGGCTCCGTTCCGGAGCACGGTTAACATCAGTGATCCAACACTCCTCGTTTGGCCATTGTATGTATCCCCCTCATCTTCCCACTCGTCCCGTCCGCCTCCGCCTTCGCTGCAGCCATGGGAGCACCTGGGTTTGTACTTCATATGGTCGTAGTGGCTTCATTCATTCTACTCTCAACAGGGCAAGATAGGGACTTCCAAGACGGTCAAGTCAGTGGGATACACTGGTTTTTCCTGGCAAGATATTGTGGAAGTGGAATCACGAAGGAGACGATGTGGAACGTGAATTGGAATTGGAGGTTCTGGCAAATGGCCCGTGGCGGCGAACCACCACCTATGATCGCGATGAGGCACGATACAGCATTTGAATTATTCCACCATCCGCATGCATATATCCGTAGCCAGTTCCTGGACCACATCATTGCCATCCTAGAAAATACGAAATAAAAAACAAAGCACACAGCAAGAACCCTTTTTCCCATACCCAACTAGCTAACTACGACTAAGATGTAACCCCATCTACCAATCCTGCACTTCCAACTCCCCACAGACACTAACAGCTTCCTAAATGCCCCCCGTCAGAAAAAATCCTTCTCCCGAGTGTGTATGCATCGGCTGCATCGTGACGCGAACAGTATATAGATGATGGTGTAGATAGTAGGTGTTAGGCAAGCGACTTAGCCAAAGGGTTGGGATCGTTCGGTTTTCCCAGCGTTGCCGTCGTATCGTATCGTATCCGGAGATTCGTCGTCTCCCCCCTCTCTCACACATGCCCTCTTCCCTCGCCTCCAATTTTTTGTTGCATAAATAGGTATGCCCATGTGGCTAAGATATACACGATATCCAGTAGCCAATACAAGATGTGGGCCATCAATGCATTTCCCTTGGTGAGTGGCGAACTCAATCGTAGCCTGTAATGCCGACTTGACTGGCGAAGGCTGTCGAGACGCTACGGACATCGTCGTCGAGGTCGCGACGGCCGAGGCCAACGCCACCCATGACTGACGAGCCGCCGAAAACGCTGCCTTCGGCGCCGGTCTTGTACCCGCCGGTCAGGTCGCGACCGCTCTCGACGTAACGCTTCAGGCGGTCGCTCTGGGAGAGACTTGTGTGCTTGCCCAGATCAGTCTGTGTAATGGAGCCGGTAGTCAAGTCGGTGGAGACAGACGCGGCGGAGGATGGGAGCATGACACCGCCATTGTCGGTGCCGGTGCGACCGGGGAGAGTGGGCCAGCTGTCCATATTGAAGCCACGGAACATGGGGGGAAACGCAGAGGTGACGGCGGCCGAGTGGATGGAGGACACGTCGTCGGGGATATAGCCGATGACCGAACCGGAATCATTGTACTCGGTGGCTGGCCTGTTGCTTGCCTTCGTAGTCGGCAGATTGGCCGGGTTCGTGGCTGGGCCAATGCCACCGGGAAGTCTGGATCCAGTGATGGTTCCGTTTGCTGGGGTCTGGTAGGCCATCTGGTAACGCTGGGGTCCACGGTAAGTCTGGCGAGGCCGAGAAAACTGGACCATAGAGACCTGCAGGTTACTTAGAGCACCCTCAACCAAGCAATTCTTCTCCTTGAAGTGCATGAGAAGATAATGCCACAGAGGATGTTTGCTGAGCACCTTCGGATTACCCAGGACGACCAACCCGAACTTGGCACGAGTGAGGGCAACGTTAAGACGGCGGGGATCGTTCAAGAAACCAATTCCCTGATGGTCATTGGATCGGACACAGGACAGAACGATGTAATCCTTCTCACGTCCCTGGAATGCATCGACCGAAGCAACCTCAATCTCTTTGTAGAGTTCCTTGCGGAGGGAGCCATTGGTTTGCATGGACGACACAATGTACGAACGTTGTCCCTCATACGGAGTGATGATACCGATTTGAGAAGGCTGGACACCGGCCTTGAAGAAACGCGTAATAATCTTCTCGCATGCGGATGCCTCGGTCCTGTTGAGATAAGAAGTACCGCTGGCGCTGATCTCTTCGTTGCCAACATTACTCCAGAACATCATAGGCGCATCGGCGACAGGCCAGGGGAAATCAACGTTTCTCCTGAGACGTTCCTGCGTAGTCACACCATTCTGAAGACTGCCTTCGTAGAACATGTTGCTCGGGAATTCCGACAAACAAGGATGCATACGATACTGGACATTCAAACGGATTGGCTGGCAACCGAGAATGACCAAACGTTCGAAGAGCGATTGGTGAAGACCGGCACGGGCGGCTTTCTTGTTCATGATGACGGGTCCGAGCTGTTGGTGATCGCCAACTAAGACAACTTGCTTGCAACCAAGCACCAAGGGGATCATGCATTCCGGCTCCGCTGCTTGTGTGCTCTCGTCAATAAGGACGGTCCGGAACTTCAGCTTCGACAGCCTCGGGTCTCCAGCTCCCACACAAGTACAGCAGATGACGTCGGCATTGTGCAAGATCTCGCGCTCGGCGTTACGGGTGAGGTGTTTGAACTTCTTCTCGTCTTGAGACGAAAGTTCACCAAGTTCGTTCTTCAGTTGTCCAAGCTTGACAAGCTCTACGTTCGTGTCGTTCAGGCGGACTTGCTCGTGCAGCGACAAGAACGATACCTGTGATTCGACATCTTCACGGGACTTGGCTGTCAAACGTACAACCTTGAGGCCGGTTCTGTGGATCTTTTCCGTCAACTGATCGACGGCGACGTTGGAGGGCGCACATACAAGCACCTGAGAACCACTGGACCTAGCAAGATGGAACACGATGGTTGCAGAGGTGACCGTTTTACCGGTTCCAGGGGGTCCTTGGATAAGCGACAGCGGCTTCTGCAGAACGCTCTTGACTGCATTGACTTGACTGACGTTCAACTCCGGCAGACCGGGAACCGAGAAGCGCCTTGGAATCGCAGTCTTCAGAGGTGCAGCAGCTACCTCATGACCCAACAAGCGATGGTAGATGTATCCACTAACACTCATCTCATCGACAGCGAAGCTCTTCATGGCCAATTGCATCCTGTCGAAACTGGTGGCCTTCCAGACGTAATCTGCGCAGAAAGCCTGGGTGCAGTCGGTGGGGACTTGTTTATCGCTGGCGTTCCTCCTGAGCTCGATAGTAACTTCGTCGCTCTGGTTGTTGGGAATCTTCATAACGTAGCCGACGCCTTCCCAGTGTCCTCTGAGCTCTCCGACATAACGCAGACGCATCTCGTCGCCAACCGCAAGCTTGACATCGCCGAGCTCAAGCTTGGGGAGAACAAAGGAAGCCAAGTGCTTGTTGTTCAACCCAATATCCCAACGCACAACGAGGTTGTCCTGGCTCTGAGCCTCTTTCAACTTGCGATCGTAGTCCGCTTCGATTTTCACAAGCGGTCCGAAGATATTCTGGTACTGGTACGCGTCGTCGTAGCGCAGCATGACATGTGCTGGTTCGTCGTCCACACCAGCGCCCTTCTCCAGATCGGCAATGGTAGCGTTCGAGTTATCCTTCCATAACTCCTCCAATTTTCCTATCATTTGAGGAGATAGATGACGAGCCCTAAGCTGTTCGGCGTCCGACGGGGTCGAAACGAGCCACGGTAGAAAAGAGCGATCCTCGATCAACGGTTGCCACCTGTGTGTATCCCAATTCATATCTTTGTTGGACGGCGCGGCTGCGCAGGGCTGACGGCAGAGCAGGACGACGACAGTGTCGGACTTTGCCGGAATAAAACCCAGGATGAAAACATTCTTGGTTCCACAGTTGTAGCATTCCAGGGTGGTCTCTCCGAGAGCGGACTGATGGTGAAGGCAAACTTCCTATAGTTGAATCAGCATCTAGACGATAGGTCGGCGGGGGTGTCAGGTCACGCCTACCTTGTGGCGAGCGCGCACAAGATGATTGATGATATGGGAGGAAGAGGTGTTGCCACGAGCGCTGCAGAACCATTTGTTGCAGATCAAGCACTTGACCACGCAAGACGGCGAGTGGATTCCACAGTATGCACAAGCATGAGCGGGAAGCTCAGTGTCGTCAACCGGGATCAAGCCATCCTCTTCGCCGTAGTTGCGGTCGCCGAGCGCGGAGCCACCGACAGGTACACTAACTAAGCTGAGGGTATCGTCTATCGTGTCTTCGTCGTCATCGTGGCGCCTTGCTTTGAGATCGTAGACTGACGATGTCTCGACAGTGGAGGCACTGTCGTCGAAGTGGTTACCTGCCGCCAAATTAGAATACAGGTACCTACCACGGTGGCAATGTAGAAGGAAGTACCGAGATGGGTAAAGGAGCCGTCCATGGTCCCAAAGAGTAGGTACGCTATGTGTCGCAGATGTGTTGTGAGGAATGGAGGAGTGGAGTTCGTAGGTCCGGAGGTGTCCAACCAACCTCAAAACCACAGGTGGGGCGGTGGGGCGGGAGGGAAATTGTGTTGCAAGAGAAGGGAGAGGACAGAGTTCCGGGATTGGGATACTTTTAGAAAATTCTGTGGAATATGTATTAAATTCACAGGCTGTAAATCGTGAACGTGAAACGCGGTGGGGTAGTAGAGTTGAGTTCGGTGAAGGTTGAAATGTTGCTCTTCGCTTGATGCTTGCTCTGCTTTGCTAAAGACCCTTTCCCCACCATCCTTGCGATTAGTTTACCCGGACGATCTATCGATACGGAATTTCCCAGCAGAAAAAAACAGAATACTTGAGCCTCTCATTCACTAACACTTCTCCCCACCACACACAGCAATAATGGTACGTCGAATCGAGTTGAAGATGCGGATTATGGTTGCCATGCTAACTGCAACTGCTTATAGATTCGCCGGAATGCACGCGAAAGGTATCAACATGTGGCGCTCCCCGCACTGAACGTCGACGGTGCTAATTATGTAGGCGCGACTTCCTCTACCGCAAGCAGCTCGAGCTTCAGAATGCGCAGGTTGCAGAAAAGCGAGCGAAATTGAAGGCAGCGCTTGCCAGTGGAAAGGTATGCCCATGTTGCGCAATTCCGCTCCTTGATATACGGACAGGCTCTGATCACTGAGTGCCAAACTTTCTAGCCATTGCAAAAAGACATTGCCGATGATGCGCAGCTTCGAAAAGACTTCAAGTACGACGAATCGCAGCTGGAAGGCGACGAGGCCTTTGTAGACGACGAGTACGATGCGCTGTCGGGAATCGTGGACCCTAAAATCATCATCACGACGTCTCGCGACCCGTCGTCCCGTCTAATGCAGTTCGCCAAAGAAATCCGTCTTCTCCTACCGAACTCTATACGCCTGAACCGTGGAAACACAGTCCTTCCCACGCTGTGCCAGTCCTGTCACTCTACATCAACATCGGACCTTGTTCTGCTGCACGAGCACAGAGGTACGCCGACGTCGATCACGATTTCGCACTTTCCTCACGGTCCGACAGCCATGTTCTCCCTCCACAACGTTGTTCTCCGCCACGACATCCCAGATAGCGCAAAAGGAACTGTCAGTGAGAGTTACCCTCATCTGATCTTCGAGGGATTCACTACGCCACTGGGAAAGAGGGTGGTTACCATGCTGAAGCATCTGTTTCCACCGAGGGAGGCTGCCAAGATGAACGAGGGAAGCAGAGTGATCACTTTCGCGTTAACGGACGGCGACTACATCAGCGTGAGACACCACGTGTACGTCAGGACCGGATACAAGAGTGTGGAACTCGCCGAGGTCGGTCCACGGATGGAGATGAAGGTAAATGCCCACCAGTCCCATAACAGCCCGATCGGGTACTAATAATTTACAGCTCTTCGAAATTCGCCTCGGTACAGTAGACAACAAGGATGCGGACTACGAGTGGCGACTGGCAAACTACACCAGGTATGTTTTTTTTCTATGATGGTTACGGGTGATACGTTGTAATGGTGCTAACCTGCATGTTTCTTAGAACTGCGAGAAAGAGGGATTTGATGTAATGCTCTATTTATACACTATGAGCATCAAAATTTGGGCATGGAGTTTGGGTGTCTTTTGTATATTTGGTTGTGTTTTGCTCATCACCGTTTCTACCTTGATAATATAGAAACCCAAAGTTAAACGGCATCCAAGTTTCCTCGGTATGGTGTCTTCATATAGTATCAATCGAAGCGTCATATTAATGTCTGAGATTGGCGAGAATCGTATTCTCCACAACATCGGAGAACGTAACTTCAGTTACATGTATCAGATGTGTATCCCAAGGCTTGTTTGTGTGTAGGTTATGCTTCCTGGTCAATCGATGAAAGATGCATATGCATAATGTGCATAGAATGGTTAGGAGCGAGCCGTCAGGCAAACCCTTTATCTAGGTTTGAAGTGTGCAACTTCATAAGAAGCATACATGTTAAGAGTAAGACACATGAGAAGTTCCATACAGTGAATAGAGCTCATAGAACAGCACTCGATCTGTAATGTTTGCATCTATCCTATCAAAACCTCACTACGCGAGACCCTGTTTAGCTCACTAAACACAAGCGGATATGTACGTAAGAGCAAACAGTACCGTTTTAAAGACCTTTAGCTGCTTCCTTCTTAACCCGCAGCCCGACTGGCACACGGTGTTCAAAAAGTTTTGGTCTCATGCGGGGGGCATGCAGCCAAAATCCATCCAAAACGAGAGTTTTCGGGCCAGTTTTTTTTCTTCAAAATTGGCTTCTGTACCGCAAAAGGCCCAGAAACTATTGAAGCGATATGACTTTTCTCGGTTTCAAGAGGTTACTCGTTCTACGGTGAGTTTTGGTGCTCTAAACGAACAATCTGCAGATCATTGTGGCCACGCAGCGTTTGTGTGGCTGATCATCGCACAAAGCCCGTGGCTGGCACTTGCACTTGCTCTTTACGTTATCCAAATTTTCGCCGCACGGCTTCTACGCTACCGAGCAACGTCAGTGTCCTTTTTTTTCGTCGACTCCCTAGCCTCATCCATCATCGCACATCTCCTCAGCAAGCATTTCATCCAGGCCAACGATTCCTCCGACACCCGAACTTGCAGTCCCAACCATCTGCCAAGTTCCTTTTCGTTATATCCGCCTTCCCCGGAGCCTTCCCACTTCCCCAGTTTTCGATCTTCTTTACTTTCTTCTCCTCATTCCCTTCTGTACCGGACGCGCATCACGTCTCTTTCCCGTCTTCCCTTGGGTTGCCATCTCCCGATCGCATCGTATCGCATCGCACCCTCTACCTGCCATCCAACAAAGAATACAGAATGGCGAAGCCACGAAGAAATGTCAAGTTTGCTCAACGGTCACAGGCCACTACTACATCGAGCGAGTTTGAGGGGAGGCGAGATGACATGTCGAGTGGGAGTGAAGACGACGAGGAGGAGGAGGACGACATGGTAGTGCCGTCGACTCCCCCGAAATCACAGTCCGGACCAACTACTCTTGCCCAGGTAGGCGCTCCTTTCGTTTGTGAAAGCCCGATGGACACGTCTTATTAACATCCACCGTTCAGGACTACGAGAAAAAAAAGCAAACGTTCATAACGCGAACAATATGGACTCTAGCAATGATAGCGATATTCTTTGGATCGATGGCTGCCGGACATCTGTATATCCTGGCTATTGTCACGGTGGTGCAAGTGATGACGTTCAAGGAAGTGATTGCGATTGCAAATGTCCCGTCACGAGAGAAGAAGCTACAGTTCACCAAAAGCCTTAACTGGTACTTTTTGGCGACGACCATGTACTTCCTGTACGGAGAGAGCGTCATCTACTACTTCAAGCACATTGTCTATGTGGATGCGTTCCTACTTCCTTTCGCTACCCATCACCGCTTCATTAGCTTCATCCTCTACATCATCGGTAAGCCCCGGAGCCACACCTGCTTGTTACCGTGATATCCGCTGATTGTTACTGCCATAGGATTTGTCTTCTTTGTTGGATCCTTGAAGAAGGGCCACTACAAATTCCAATTCACGCAATTTGCATGGAGCCACATGGCGCTGTTCCTCGTGGTTGTGCAGGCGCACTTTATCATGAACAACATCTTTGAAGGAATGATTTGGTTCTTCTTACCGGTGTCACTCGTCATTACGAATGACATTTTTGCCTATATCTGCGGAATCACCTTCGGCCGCACGCAGTTGATCAAGATCTCGCCCAAGAAGACTGTTGAGGGTTTCGTCGGTGCTTGGTGGATGACCGTGTTATTCGGCATGTTCATGACCAACATTCTGATGCGTTACCAGTACTTCATCTGCCCCGTTAAGGTTAGTTGCCGCAACTCCCAACAGCCTAGCCCCACTCCCTATGCCATCATGATGAGATTAGTGTATTTTTATAGATGTTAGACTTCTGAGCGCATCGCGCGACGAGGAGCATTCCACTTTCTGACTTGGCTTTCCTTATTCCTCATTTCTCTGCCGTCACACTCGCTTTAGGACCAAGCTGACAAAATTAAAGGACCTTGGAGCGAATGCGTGGACAGGTCTCCAGTGCACACCCAACCCGGTGTTCTTGAAGCACACCTACGATCTTCCCTTCTTCATGCACCCGCTGATCGGCCCAACCCTGAACATCGAACCCATGCAGTTCCACATTCTTGCGATGGCTACCTTTGCGTCTCTCGTTGCGCCTTTCGGTGGATTCTTCGCGAGCGGGTTGAAGCGAACGTTCAAGATCAAGGATTTCGGTGATCTGGTGCCCGGCCATGGTGGTATGACCGACCGGATGGACTGCCAGTTCACCATGGGATTCTTCGCATACTTGTACTACCAGTCTTTCATCGCCGTGAACAGCGCCGCCAGCGTTGGGAGTGTTCTGGAGACTGCTATCAACAGCTTATCGCCCCAAGAGCAGGTTGAGGTCCTGGAACGGTTAGGACGTTACCTAGTCGGCCAGGGCATCATTGTCGAGAAGGTATGTGTTTCTCTTCTGCCTCTTTTCTTCAGCAATCATGCTAATTTCAAGTTACTAGGTCGTCGAGTGCATGAATGGCGCATTATCGGCCACTCCGGCTTGATCGATCATCATGATTTTTGTTTCGGCATATGGGATTCAACTCTTCCATAATTAATCTTTCTGCTTTTCTAACCTTTCCAAGAGAATTGTTGTGGTCTTCCCTTCGAGCGTTCTGCATTTGGTTTACGGGTTTAAACGGGATGGAAGGAGTTCTTGTATGCGTTTGTGTTTTTTTTCTCCAACTCGGTAGCTTTCGAAATATGGGGCCTGAGGAGTTGTCTGTCATAATGGAGTGTGTGTTTGACTACAGTTATTTGATACGGGGAAGGATTCGCTCGTGCTGGGTTTAGAATCTTGTTTCAACATTATGATATCTTCGGGGTTTTTTTCTTCGTTCTTCTTTTGGGTTGTTCATATCAGATTTTATTTCATTGTTTCTTTGTATCTCTTCTAAATGAGTGGCGGATGGAGGTTTCTTCTTCGTTTATAACTTCTACTGAATGACTATGACTCTTGACGCTCATTCTGTCTGTTTATTGTCATGAATTGTGGTTCCGTCGTGCTGGTAGGCGTCTGTCTCAGGGGGTGAGTGATCTTCGGCGGCCGACATGTAGCATGCCTCGGCTCAGGCCTCCATACCGAAGTTCCCACCATGAACCTCAAACCCCGGCCTTCCTAACCACCACGAGCTTCCACCCTCACCCACACACCCGCAATCACCATGGTCTCAAAATCCGCAATCAAAGTCGTCTTCTTCGACATCGGCGGAGTCTGCGTACGCCTTCCCCGCCTTCGATTGCGACGAGCCCTAGCTAACACAGCCGTGCACAGGTGCACTCCCCAATGATCGCCATATCCGAGTACGAGCGCGCACTCTCGCTCCCTACGGGCTACATCAACTTCGCGATCAGTGCGGGCGCACCCACAGGAGCCTGGCAACGTCTGGAGCGCAACGAGATTCCGCTGGACATGGCGTTCTTCGCCGCGTTCGCACGTGACATCCGCTCCCCGACTGCCTGGCGGAGGTTCCACGATGCAAAGAGCCTTCCCGTAACGGCGGCAGCCCCGCCGCTGGTCGACGGCGAAGCTCTCTTCTGGCGGATGATGGCGAAGGGCCAGACGCGCGACACTGTCGTGATGAACGCGGTAAGGCGGCTAAGGAAGGCCGGCGTGAAGGTCGGCGCTTTGACGAATGATTATCGATACCCCGATGAACATCCGTATCTGGAGGGGAAGGACGAGTTGAAAAGGGAGTTTGACGTGTGGGTGAGCTCTGCGGAGTCGGGGATGAGGAAGCCGGAGGAGGGGGTCTATAGGGAGGCGATGAGACTGGCGGGCGTGGAGGACGGCGGACAAGTGGCGTTTTTGGATGACATTGGGGTTAACTTGAAGGCTGCGGCTGGGCTCGGGTGGAAGACGGTGAAGGTAAGTATTGGGAAGAGCAGGGAAGCGGTGGAGGAGTTGGAAAGGGTGGTGGGATTGAAGTTGCTTGATGAGGAGGAGGGGACAAAGAGTAGACTGTAGACATATTGATACCCATATTGATACCCATCTGAAGACACACATGCACATCACAAGCCATCACTCACAATCACCCAATGCAATCTCTCGGCAATCTTCCTTTCCACCGGTTCCCCGGATCAGCGCCGGATCCGACACCTCCGGCCGTCTGTTTACTCTAATTTCGGCCGGGCTTATTCACAACATCCAGACCAGGGGGTAGGGGGGGGGGTGCGTGCGTCATTGTAACGTTAAGTGGAACAGGCTTTAGTTATCGCCGCGCCGCTGCATGGCAATCACACACACGAATGCGTGGTTGCAGGCAAATGGAAGCTGGGCATTCTGTACTTGTAGGCTCCACGCGTCGTGTGTCTTTTTTTTCTGCAGCGGACGAAAACCGTTCGATGCTTCCAAGACCCAACACACTCCACACATGTTGGAACGTATATATCACACGCCGCTTAGATCACAAGGCACACTTTTCCCAACAGGTCGCCCGTTACGTATGCGTTGCCGGACATCCGCCCAGGGCCTTGGCAATTGCGAAGTGTGAGGCAGAAGGCAGGAATTTGAGAGGCGCAGTGCCGGCGATGTGTGGCTGCTGCGTAAGCAACAGCAGTTCTGGAGAGTGATTGAAAGTAATCGACGTTTGGCATGACGTCCGCCGAGTGGCTGAGGGCTCTTGAGTGTGGAGTGGTGGTGTTCGGGATGTTGCGAAAGACACGGAGGAAGAAGAAGGTGGGTGGTGGTTGGTGACATCATACCTTGTATGGTATCGCGGCAACGAAGAAGAAACCAAGGCCGTGTGCAAGCAAGACCATAAAGCTGCTTGTGTTCCCTCCATACCATTCCGAGACACGCCCCATTAAGATACCCCACAGAGAGCAATCCGAAGTATATATATTGGAAGTTCCGTCCAATCCCACGACTTTCGCACTACCACTACACAACACAATCGAATCGAAACTTCACCCTCGAGATACTCATCACTTACACACACGACCACCCAACCACCTAACAACCCCACATCACCGCCGTCATGCCTTTCACCGCTAGGTAAGCTTTTACTTCTCGACGCGATGCCGCTCTCCCGCTGCATGCAGCTTTGGTTTAACGTTGACTAACTTTCGTTTTATAGTGATATCTGCAAGATCGTATGTTCCTTCAGCCTTTCACGCGCTTCCACCGTTACCTTTCGTTCCCGAGCTGACCCACGTGCCCTCTAGCTCCTCGCCATCCTCCTGCCACCCGTCGGTGTGTTCCTCGAGGTTGGATGTACCGGAACATTGTTGCTGAGTGGGTTCTTTGACAATCCGATCTCCCGCGCAGTAGTGCTAACCACGCTCCCTTCCAGACATCCTGCTCACCTGCTTGGGCTACATTCCCGGTATTCTACACGCCTTGTACGTATCCACATCCGCACCGGCCCCTTCCTACGTGTACCGCACGGGTAGCTAACAGCTGTGCGACTTCAGATACATCATCTTCAAATATTAGTTGGAGATGAGATACGAAGCGTGATGACGACCGACGAGACGGGGAAAAGAGAGACTTTTTTCCTTTCCCGATGATGAATGACAAGCGGATTTTAATGACTGTTTTTTCTTTGCTTTACGGGTTCCTTTATTTCGTTTTCTCTGTTGGATGGGCGCTTTGTGGATGGAAGTTGTACTCTACTATGCTGTTTCTTGTCTTCCGTCATAGGGATGGGATTTGTTTGTATCATCTTGTCGCCTCCTAATAAGTTGGATTACAACTTCATGACTAAATCGCTATTGAACTGGTGTTGCGAATGCGGATGGAAGTTGCGGCGCCATAAGCTTCTGGATCTTCAATACGCTGGACGGCTTGCAGGCTATCCGCGGTGATCGTAAGCTACACATCATTGCACATTTTAGGTGGTTGCCGCTCGCCTGCTTAACTGCTACATACATCGTCGAAAGTAATTCTGGGATTCATAACGCCTTTTCTCTCCATCTAAGTTCGTCTGGCAGCTGGAGCCCGTCATATCACCGTCGTTCTGGTGGGAGCTGTTGATATCTGCACTGGTCTCGTTCCTCCGCTCGGACATAACCCTGCCGTCGCTAAACATCGAGCCTGCCACCCCTGTCGAGCTTCGCTACTCGAACAAAACCCACACGCACCGGAAACCAATCGACACCTCCCGCCGTCAACCGTTCTCTACCCGCGGCGAACGACGAACGACCACTCACCTCACACACCCCCCCTAGTCAATGTACCGTACCCCACGACAATAGTCGCAGCAGTAGCAGCAGAATGACTTCAACCGCGCACCTCTCCGCCGACCTCCTCAGCGGGCTGCTCACATTTACCACGCCGTTCAACGTCACGTCTTCACGCTTCCTGGCGCGGCTCAGCACCGAAGAATCCCTATTCCCTCGCGTCTGCGAACTACACAACACACTGGAACTCCTTGCGTCCTCGTCGTCGCCCATGCGGCGGCTCTATGAGCTCCGGGGGGTAAAGGGGGACGGCGAGACAAATCAGGATGCCGAGGACTTGCTCAGTTTCATGCTTAACGCCGAGTTCCTGCTGTATTCCCTCTACAAGGAATACTCGATCCTTCTCAATCCGAGTCTGGCGCACTGGGTCGGTTGCTGTCGAGAGTTTGAGAGGTATGCGAAGGGCCATGTGGGCGAGTGGGGACTACGCGATCAGGTGCTGAAGATGCGCGCGGCATTTGTGAAGGGGATTTTGAGTGAGAGGGGAGAGGATGTAAGTTTCTCCTGTGGATATGTGTGAATGCGGTGAACGAGGTGAACGAAGGCTAATGGGAGTGTAGTTGGCCAAGATAACGCCGCAGGACTTCGCGTTGCGTGGTCTCGATTTCGATGTAGAACTCGATTCGTTCCGGGAGGCACTGTTGGATCAGGGGATCTACGAGGAAGACTACTACTCGGATGGCCCAGAAGTAGGCGACTCGCCGCAAGCTTACACCGAGAGCCAGAACGACAGCCGATATTCCAAGACTCCCTCGGTGTGCACCGAAACAACGCGGACTCCCGCAACACCCTCCACTCCTTCTCACCAGCAAGATGCCCAGGCCCAAGCCCAAATCGCCAACATCCTCGTTCAAGCCATGAGCGAGGAGCTTACACCGATCCTCACCGACCGCCTCTTGACGCACATCAGCGCGAACCTATCTATTCTCACCACCATCCCGCTGGAACTGCTGTTGGCCCCCGCCTTCTCCAATCTCTTTTCCACCAACCCAACTCTCACCCGCGGCCTCGTCTCCCTCTTCCTTTCGAGTGGCAACAAATCTCAGCGGCGCGAACTCCTCGGCTCCCTCGAACTTCTCCCAATCACCCTCGGCTCCCTAGAGATGCTAAACGATCTCACCCAGACGCAGCTGCTCAGCAACGGGGAGATAGTACACCTTGTGCACGGCGTGCTGGCCAACGGTGTGCGGACTGCGGAAACGATGGGCGCAAGGCAGGCACAGAACAGGCTTGTCAAGCTGCTGTGTCTGTTCGTTCAGAGTGTATTGAGGAGTGAGGTTGTGGTAGTGACCGATGTGTACTATCACGTGCAGGATCTCGGAGTTAAGTTCATGAGTGTTAAGGAGGCGAGGGAACTTTGGAGGATGTATTGTGCTACCTAGCATGGCATTTCTTCCCCCCGCATCCTCGATTTCTAATTGGTTTCTTGCTCTCTGATTTCATTCATTATTTCTTGGGAGACCAGACGGTGGTTATAGCATTTAATAGGGGGTCTCTTGCATTCACATTACCATCCCTTTCGTTCCTTTCCTTTCCTTAATTCTCATCTTCCACCTCTTTTCTTTTTCTTTTCTTTTCTGTATTTTGGCACAGGGTACCGGTAGGATATCGATACAGGCCTAGTCAGGGGGATCGGAGAGGGAAGAGAGGGGGCTTTTCACCTGCATGTTTACTATTTTTTGCTCGGGAGCTTGGTGTTTCGGTCTGTTTCTGTTTCTGCTTTGTGTTGATGTTCGTTTTTTTTTGCGGGGGGGCAATTGGTTTGGCGTATCTATACATGTGCGTTTGTTTTTTCTTTGCATTTGCTTGGTAGGGTGGGGGATGAGGATATTTGGGGGTGTTTGCATTGGGACGGACTGGCAGGCGGGATGATGATGGGGATGGGGATAGGGGATGGATTGGATGGGATGTATTTACTTTACTCACTTGTATGTAGTTTTTTTTTCTTCTTTTCTTCTTCGTGATAGTTGAGGTAGACTTGTTATCATGGTGTTTGTGGTGGGACGGATGGGTGGATGGAGGGTGCGGAATCTGCTGTGGGTTTAGTTAGTAGAACTAGTCACTAGTTTACCGTAGGATGGCAATACGAGATATCACGCGAATCGCAGTGCCCATTACATGTTCCGGTGTCACTGCTACGTTCCACTGTCCTTTTATCGAAGATGGGGCATCCGGCTGCGATCACTTCCTGAGACAGAACAGGCGAGCAAAATACAAACCTCTGTCACCTCGATAGGTTGGAACATCAACAACACTCTCGGCTTCACGGCGAAATCGGAAGAGGTGACAAAGGCACTTTACCCTGTACGAACAGAGGAGGAAAGCATCCAGTGCACAATTGAAGAGCCAGTGCAGGCAGAAAAAACGGCAAGAGCGAACCCCCCTCAGGGAACGAAGGCCATCTACACGGACGGCTCGAAATTCAAGAGCGGCGCGTGCGGCTACTCGGCGGTATGGGAAGGCCCCTCGGGATGGATGGGCGTCAAGAGGCACATGGGAAAGGACCAGAAGGCGTATGGTTGTGAATGCGCGGCGATCGCACGAGCCATCACGGTGGCAGGCGCATGGAGGCCACAGGTGGAAAGGATTGTTGTCTACACAGACTCACAGGCGGCAGTGAAGAGAATGTCTCACGACAACCCAGGGCCGGGCCAGAAGTGGGCGAGACAGGCGGTGGAGAGTAGGAGAAAGCTGGGGAGGGAAACTATAGTCGAGGTCAGGTGGTGCCCGAGCCACAAAGGGATTCCGGGCAATGAGAAGGCGGACGAATGGGCCAAGCACGCAACAGAAAGACCCGGAAGCAGAGACATAGAATGGCCCAGAAAGACTACCTACGGCGGATCACGCAAAGGGCCGGAACCTCGATCCCTCGCCAGCCTCAAAATGGAAGCAACGGAAAAGAAGTGGGCAGACTCTCTCGAGTGGGCGAGGGGCAAAGTGAAGGGCAAGAAATACAGTGTCCCAAAGACGCAGAGCTGGGACATGACAGTTGCGGATAGCGGAAAGAGAGTCGCCGCCCGATACTATCAGCTTAAAACTGGTCACGCCCTGACAGGCCAACACCTGGCATGGACGAAAAACCGACCGACGGCAGAGTGCTGGTGGTGCGGGTACAAGACCCAGACCCGGGAACACCTGTTCAAGAACTGCACGCAGTGGAGGGAGCAACAGAAGATCCTGTGGACAGAGGTGCGAAAGAAGATTGGCCGAGGGAAGGATAGGTTTAAGATCAGGGACCTCTTTGCCAACCAAGAGTGCAGCAAGGCCGTCCTTTACTTCCTCACCACCACCACTGATGTGGGCCGCCGGGTGCCCCCCTTGGGGAAGCGCAACAAGAATTTCTGAGCCAGACTTCTGATTTGGCAGCGGCAGCGGCAGATCCCACCTACCCCATAGCAGGAGAAGTGAGAGAAGGAGCGAGAGCGGCAACGACGGAAAGAGTAGTGGCAGCAGAAGAGAGGCGACAGGCTGGGGAATTTCTCTTTCTCCCCCCCCCCCCCCAACACCATCTCGGGCCCCGGGCAGAGTGATAGACTGGGACGCGGTGAGAGCAAGAGCAGAGGAAAGAGTACGGGCTAGTCGGCCGGAGATTCCGGCATATGCAGGAAGAGATAAGGCGTTAGACAGGCTGGAAGAGTTAGCTAGGAGGCTGTGAGGCGGGTGTGAAGAAAAGACTGACATGTTTCCTTTCCGTTCCTTTTTGTCATCTCATTTGTTACTTCTTTCTGTCTTTCCCTTTGTTAGGCGCGGAGGGGCCGGGCGGAGGGTAATAGGGAACCCACATCAGGCTCGCGGCCAGCGGTCGGAGACAGTGGGGTGGAACCGGTCGTGTACACAGCCATGATCTGCAAAGGTCGAATGCTACGATGATGAAACAAAAAACAAAAACCACTGTCCTTTTACATACTGCCCTCACTTCCTTCGTGGCTGCTTAGCATTGTCCATGGCTTCTCCACAGAGTCAGCCTTCAAGACTTCAAGCCTTCCAGCCTTCAAGCCCCCAGCCTAGTCCGGCGATGGCTATCGCCGCATCCTCTGTCTGAGGCCCGGCTTCGCCGGCCTCATCTCGTTGTGCACACGAGCTCGTTTCTGTTATAAGCAGTCTCCTTTCCCATCTTTCTCGTAACACTACATCAATCGAGTCAAGTAAAGTTCATCTCTCAATTCCACATTACCAGAGCAACCACAGTCTTTTCACCATCATAAGCGACATCAACATCATCAAAAAAATCAAAATCATCCCAAAAACTCCATCTAAATGGTATCGCATCAATATCGCATCAAAATCACGCCCTCCACGCCCTCCTCCTCCTGACACTTGTCGCCGCGCCCGCCAGCACCACGGGCCTTCTCCTGGCAGCCTTTTTCTGCTTTTCCCTGAGATCCACGTTCTCCTCCTCCGCATCAACCCACTCTTCGTACCCATCGTACCATCCTTCCGGGAACCACTTCCTGGGCACAATATCCTCGCCCAGATCGAGATGGTGCCGTGTGCCGCCCTCATCGGCACGTACGCCGTAGACCATATTCTCGGACAACGTGTGCGCAATATCTTTTCCGGTCATAGCACATCCACTGGGGCCCAATCGCTCGACAATCGGCCGAAGCAGACGTGCGGTGGAGAGGTAACTATCGTCTTTGCAGAACACGGTATTCGCGTATGCGACGGTCGCACATCCGAGCAGCAGCTGGCACACCAAGATCGTGCCGAGGATGAGGAACAGGAAGTTCCATTTCACCTTTAGGAGCACGCCGGTCACGACCAGCTGGCCTTTGGCTTGCGCGGTTGATTCGCCGTAAAAGTCTTTTGCCGCGATGGCACCAATGGCGAAGCGGCTGGCGAGCCGGGCCATGTAGTCGGCGTCGGTGGAGAGAGAGGTGCCGTAGTTGCTCCAGGGCGACTCCGGGATGTAGCGGACGTATTCCCAGCTGTCGGGGCCGGTGGAGTAGCCTTCGAGAGAGATGGCACCGGCGGCTACGTGGGCGACCGAATCGGGCATTTGGTGGATGGCTTCCGTGCCGTTTTGAACGGTGGAGATGCTGACTTCGCAGTCGTAGAAAGCACCGTTGCCTGAGTCGGTGGGACCGAGGAAGGAGAGAGCGGCGACGGAGGCACAGCGAGACCCGCAGTCCCAGTCATTGTTGCGCGGAAGGTCGGAGCGCGGGTTGATCCACGTTGTGGCGGCGGGGCCATAATCCTGCGATCTTATCAGTATTGCTCATATTCTTTAGGGCGAGTGAGGGCATACCGAGATTCCACTGAGAGTATGTTCCTCTGTACCATTTAAATATACAACCGTTGACGAATTCCCATACTGGCCTTCGATAAGCGGATAATAATCACACTCAGCCGATGACTGGATCCAGCGACCCGACTTTACAGCGAGCGGTGTGTGCGTCGTGGTTACATGCGGATTTCGCTCGCGGAAGTAATATACCCACCCCTCATCGTCCGATGCTATCTCGATAGGTCGGTCATATGGAGTGTTTGGGTCCGACACTCCAGGTTTTGTTAGTTGTTGGTACTGGAAAATCACAGAAAAGAGGCCCCATTGGTGTGCGGATGCGCGTTCAGATTCCGCCGTGGGCGTGTATGAGCGTGAGACTGCGTCGTGCTCGGAGAAGGTGGCCCAGTTGGTTACGTTGACAGTTCCATGTTGGAGAAAGGCTGCGCCCGCACTATCGTAGGAATATGTCAAACCAGTCAGGGCCACTGAAAGACGGCCAACTGCATTGAACAGAATCCATGAAAAGCAAGCCATTGAGGTCATAGGCCGAGTACGGAAGATGTGAATTCCATATCGAAACACTTTGATGAGCGAACTCAGCCCGAGAAGGAAGTCAACCTTTTTCTTGCTGTTAGCATCTCGCCCACAATATCCAAAAGATTAGTACCTACCTCCTCCAATTGGTGGGCTTTTCTAGCCAGCAGCTTCCACCTCACAATAATGGCCATACCCTTCAACGACGCAGCCAAATTCAGACCTAGGGTGAGATATAACCCGGTAGTGACGGCATTGAACCAACGCTTCTTAGACTTCGACAAGATCTTGATCTTCTCGTACTGATAGAACGCCACGACCATGGCCGCGGCAAGTATAAAACTCGCCAGCCACCGTAGCAGAACTTACCAAACACAGCTGTCAGCCAACTACACACCGATACGGAGCCAGAATAGCGAGCGCATACTTTTACCCATCAGGTGAGCATATTGTTTCCGATAATCATGTCTTCTCGCGAGCTGACCCTGCGCAGTCGGTCCCATAGACTGGTAGTAGGTCTGCAATTCACCCGTCCCATCCTCCCGAAAAGTCGGAGTCCTCGTCCACGCCGGCGGGGCTTCTACTTTCTCTCAGCACTCTCGTCCTCGCCCCAATGATGTCCGAAAAGAAAACCCACCACCACCACGGCGACCATAACTCCGTTGAAAATCTTTATTGGCCGCTCGATACCCAGGATCCTCTGACTCTCTGCCCGGAGCCCCGTGGGCTCTGCCACTGTGCCGTGGACGTGATGGATTGCGGCGCAGCAGCCCACTGTCGACGCGGTCAGCGGCGGCCGGGGAAGCCTGTCGATCCCCGCGCCTCTCCCGCTCCCGCTCCCGCCGATGGTGTTTGTGGCGCCGCGACTCCGATGGTTTCTCTGGTGGCGCCATTGGGTTCAGCTCGTGCGCTTCTGCTTCCGAGTCCGTGGAGACGTCCTGTTGCGAGATGTCAGCATAATCGCGATGGCTACGGCCGGACATTTTGTAGGTATCCCAGTGAGGGTAGGCTGGAATAAGGAAGGAAGGCGATGAGGAGAAGTCGGCAGCCTGTATAGAGTCTTGACGTACGGCTGAAGTTGACCAGGGAAGAGGTGTGACAGGTAAAGTGATGCCTTGCCAACTGTTGTCGCACAAATTAGCATCAGCGATTGATTGGCCGCCCAATTGCAGGTGAGGCTGGACAGATGCTGCGGAACATACCTTTCGATTGTCTCTGTCTTCCTCGATGTGAATAGATGTCTAGATTGAGCTCCACTTGAGAGAGAAAAAGAAACAAGCAGCACCGGCGGACACGACCTCAAGATATGTAAACCCCGAAGCACCCGATGGGGGGCGGCGTTGCGGCCAACGCATCTGTACCGGACCACTACCAAGGACCAAGAACCATGAACCCGAGACAGCCAGCCCCACCAAGCAAAGCCACGCGCTGGATGCTGGAGCTGTGAGGGAAGTGCTGCGGAATCGCAAATCAAAAAATGCCTACGCTCCGTACAACGCGTAACCCAATCGTTTCCTAGTGGCCGTGATACAGTAGAACGGTTAACTAGATGTAGCTTACGCGCCTCATGTATGGGCCAATGATCTGCACGCAGGGCCGGCGTGGCGGCGGTTGCTGTTGGTGTTGGGGTTGGCACTTGTTGGTGACACGGAACGGACGGCGCTCGGGAAGTCGGCAGCGCTGCGGATCGAAGCGAATGCTTAACTGTGATCATTGATTACTACATATATCGCGATTCACCGGCCACGGATGATTACCGTCAGGGGCTTGAGCGGCTTCGCTGCTCCGCCGCTTCGGCTGCACGACTTTAAACAGTGTTCTGGGAAGGGCCCTATCACTGTGATCCTGCCGCGCGTATGTGCGCATATGAGTACACATTGCTTTCGTGCATCAGATGGGCCGGATATCTATGTACGAGGAATAAGTGAATCGCGTACGGATGACAGTTGACAATGACCTCATATGCTGCACATACAGCAACAGAGTACGCTGGAGAAAGGTAGGTCTGAGTAAGCGCATGAGCATGAGTACATAAGAGCAAAGTAATCACCCATGTGAATCGATACATCTCGAGGGGAAGTTACCCGAAAGGTCATGGAGGGTATCGAAAAGTAGCAATAATCCCCGGCTACAGATACAGCGCGTGCGTGTGTCCCTACGGGTCGACTGTCTACCGGCAGCGAGAACTACCGCGCTGGGTGGGAATGTCCTGCCGAAGAAGCTCTGGAGAAGTCGTATTCGGGAGGGAACACAACGAAGTCAGCAGCACCGGAAGGTGATGTATGGCAGTCCGTTTCGTGCTCTCCCGCAGGCGCAGCTGGCGATCGTCTCTAGGATAGAAGGGAAAGAAGAAGCAATGAAAGAGATCACACGGTTAAACGACGATCCGATCCGTCTGACATGAAGCGGATTTAGGTTGCCTAATACGTCTTTATATCTATAATACTTGAAGCATATAACAATAATCCAACCTTCCATTCCCTCTCGAAGTCATCATGCAAACAAACAAACGCCATCTAATCGCCCACAGTCCCACGTTAAAACGGCACGCTAGTATCCATATTTTTTTTTTCCAAAGCCCAGTTACAATCGGCTCTTCAGTAATGATTCATCCTCCGGTTCTTCATGACCACTGCTCCTAACATAGCCCTCTCCAGGACTGGGCCACGAGTAATCCTTCCACTCGTCACCGAACGCACCAATCACCTTCTGGTACAAAAATTCTCTCTCCGATGCAGTGATGACATCCCGCCAGATGGCTGCCAACTCGTCCATCTCATTCATGTAGCTCACACCGGCCACGGTGACACCCAGTCTCGGGCGAGCAACTTGGACTGTTCTCGGAGATGACGAGGCAGCAGGATCACCTAGGAGGGGCTTCACCGTCGTTCCAGCAACAGCACCATCTTTCATCCATCCTTCGATCGAGAACCTCAACGCCAATGTCTCCAACCGCTCTCCCTCCTGCCCATACTTTTCCACCACATCGCTAGCCTCGATACATCGATTTCTCAGCGCTTTTGGCGCCGGATGAAAATCTCCCATACCACCCACCGGCACACCCTGACGACGGAGCAGGCCCATTCCCAACGGTGAACCATTGAGAACGCAGTCGACACCAGCGTCGACGAGCTTTCCGAGAGCTTTGGAGAACAAGACGGTATTCTGCAGCGTGTAATGGGCGTAACTCATGACGGCATCCAAAGGTTCTCCAGTCAATTCCTTCACCTCCTTCGCCAGACTCGCCAGAACATCGGTAGGATACCCAGAGATACCAACATATCGAATGAGACCCTGGTCTCGGAGCTCCCGCAGCGTTCTCACTGCCGTGATGACCTCATGGGGCTTAACAAACTCAACGTCATGGCAGAAAACCACATCAAGGTACTCGGTTCCGAGCCGCTGTAGCGAATTCTGAATCGACTGCCGTATCCATTCCGGCGAGTAGTCGAATTCGTCCGCCCGGATTCTTCCGCATTTGGATTGGAGGATATAGTCTGATCTCGGAACGAAGGATTGGCTGTTCAATGCCTCGCCTAGGAGGGTCTCGGCGGGGCCGTAGTAAGGCGATGTGTCGAAGGCGCGAATTCCGTACCGAAGGGCCTTGTGGACGATCGCGGTAGTTGCGAGGGAGTGCGGGTCGGAATTGTATTGGTGATTGAAGGTAGCTGTGCCCAGCACAATAGGAGGAAGGGCTTTGGAGAGGGGCCTGCGTGACGCAGGATTCGGTAGTATGTGATCCATCTGACAACAATGTGGAACGTGAAGAAAGCGTTTGGGGGATTCCGCGGGTGTTGGACTGATCCCAGAACCCGACAACCAGGTATAGCGAAGCTCAGGTAGGACCGGATCGAGGTGTGCAGCACAGATGCGCAGATGCACAGATTTGAAGATCTTGGATACGAGGAATGAGCCTTAATATAAGGGTGAATTGGATGGGTGGGGTGGGTGATTTGGAAGTCGAAGGGACGGAACCTGAAGGCGAGCCAGCGGCAAGTTTAAGTGTCATGGCTTCTTTTCTGGTGGCGCACTCGCGAATTAGCCCCAAACCGACCGATGACGGGGTAACAACACCAGCGATGGACGAGCGTGCTTCGAAGCACGACCCGATGGCCCATATCTGGTCAAGCGAGCAAACACGCTGGGAAGGATAAGCTTGGGGGATGAGGTGTTGGTGATCGTGGTCGTGGTGGCTGCTCTGACTTCGTGGTTCGCAAAGTTGCAGTCGTGGCCACAGGAGAGATGACTAGGCTCGGCGAGGCACATCACCATCATCCGAAGATTCCTACTCAAGTAAGAGGGCATCTGTCAAGATAAAGCCGGCCCATAGGCCCGCAGCAAGGACAGTGGATACTTTGGGCGCATGTAGCGGTAAGTCGATCGTGATGGAGCAGGTAACATGTGCTCCTGAAGGATTGGTGACCCTGGGTTATTTCGCCGGAACATCGAAGGACCCGTCCTTGTCAACTGGAGTCGAGGCCCGGCGGGCCCTCCGGAGTCTCCGAGCTGCCTCCTTCCCCGCTTCTCGAAACCCCCGACATGTCTCAAAAGCCCGCACCACCCAGTGAGTCCCATGATATCGAGCCGCCCATTGTCGTTGACGATTCGCTGACCCGGGCTTCGGACATGTCTTCGACAAACGAGCAACCAAATCGACCCAATGGAAGATCAGCGTCATGACAGGTACTATATGTACTCGAGAACATCACATTATATCGACGGAAAAATACTCTGAAGTATCTGACCCATGTACGAGGCCTCTGTGTTACCACACAACGTCATCGCGCGTCCGCACGCGGCCCCCCCGCACTGAGCACTCCAGCCCCTGGAGCTCACAACAAAGTCCTCCGTGAAACCTCAATATCTCTCTTCTGACCCTGACATCAACTACGAGCCATCGCCGCTGGCCGGGTTCGGACTCATCCTTCTTGCCGCCGCCTAGACGAAGTCGACGCCCAGCAGCTTTCTTCGAACAGGTGTCCGGCCGAGAGTTGGAGGCTCGCATGTTTGTGCATGGAGAGCAGATACGCAGGAAATCAATTCAGGCGCAGCAGCGACCGGGCTCGGGAAAGCTGTCCCGAACCGAGATCTCTTTGTGGAGGTGGAGTATGAAGCGTCGACATGGCTGTGAGTAATTGCGTTCTGCACATCTGTTACCGACCAGTCGGGATGTGTCGTTTCTTTTCCCGTGTCAGGACTGACGATCCTCGTCAGAAACATCGACAACCGACCACCCATTTCAGGCAGCGTGAGGCCGGATTCATGCAGCATCCGTCTATCGGATGCTCGATCCCGCGATTAGAGCGTGCGGGAGAACAGCCCGCCGTGTTGATGCCTGGTCGCTCGTTTGCTTCACTGCGGTGTCGTGCTGTCGACTGCGAGCGTAGTGCAAGAAGTGCAAGAAGCGCAAGAAGCATGCGGGACATGATGGCCTCTCCACTAACTACCTCTTAAAGGCTGGAACAAGGGATTCTTGCTCTGTTGTGGAACACGCCGGACTTTGGGATTACTACTAATGCTCAAGACGAATGTGCACGCATGTGTATGGCCAGATTGACGGCCGAGGTATCACGACGTGGGTTGCCGCTGCGGCTTTCCGCCTGTTTCCGTTCTCGGCCCCCACAAAAACACGTCGAAAGAGAGAGAACGAGGGAGAGCGAGGGAGAGGTGGGGACTAACTAGCCGGCAGTCCATACCGGCGGATATCCGTCACGAATGCTGTGCCAAATCGAATAGATCTCCCCAAGGATTGTCTCGAATCAATGGCAGTTGAAGGACTTCCTGCACAGGATGACTGCATGGCTTGTTCGACAACTAGTCATATGATGGGAGCGAAGAAATTCTGGCCAGAAGGTCTTGGACCCCAAAACCAACAGATCATGGTCGTAAAATCTTAATCTGTTGGGACCTTCTGACGGCGCATACGGGCTAGCTGAGTGTTATGGCCAACAGACCTACAGACGCGGGATATCCGACACCTATGAACTTGCAGGAGTGGATAAGTGCTTTATGAAGTTCCTGACACGAGATGTGGAGATGCAGTACTGGATGGATCCCGAGTATCCGTAACGATGTCGGAGCTGTCGTGCTGCATTCGGAAACACTTGGCAGCTATGGAACGATGATTAAACAACATGCATTCAATTCGCGGCTTGCTCATGGATGTGCTTCACTCCTAACCATAACAGGCAGACCACACTGTGACGATCGACCGTACAGCACCGCTACTAGGAGCTGCATGTGTCGCCTGGATTCAAATCGCACAAAAACCATCCCTACGTTCAAAAGGCATTGCCTGCACATCATCTGTCCGCATAATCGGGCAGACGTTGTCCCTCTTAATGATGCAATGCGCCTCAGCCAACGGACGACAGCCACTCCATCCTGGCGCAACGACACATGTAACGCAGAGAATTCCGCCAGTTTCTAGTTATGCAGCGGAAAATGCCAGAAAGATATTGTAGAGCGAGCGGAGATCCTCCCCCTAAAGGTTCCCAAGACAGGATACACTTGCGGAATCCGGGATGCGGTGGGCAATGTGCACATTAGCCAAAAGGATATCTCTTTTACCTTGCCTTGCGCATGCTGCGTTGCAGCGGTTAACGGCCCGCCTCGAGATAATTGAGTCTGTCGGATTGGAGATCACTCACTCACATGCTAGCGTACGGACGTACCTACAACGTGGGTCACGGGTGTGAGGCACATCCAAATCGCTGGACCGAGTGCCCATTAGTGGTGCAATCTTGATGCCATACACATGACTCATCAGGAGTGCCCTGCGCTTGCGCATCATTGACACGCCACTGGCCTCATCGGTTGCCTACGGGATATGACGCGGGTCACAGTTTGTTAGGCGGATCGAAGGATAGAAGGATAACTTCCCACGGTTATGCCGAATCTACAGTGGCAAAAAAGCCCGTAAAATCGATACCGTAACAACTCTTGAAGTTGAGGAACACGTGTTTAAGTCGGCATTTGAATGAGATAATACAGCATCGATACCACATTGTAGCCGCGATAACCGTCTGCTGCCTTGAATCGGCATTCATTTTACGGCATTTTTCCCACAGTGGTTTTGGTGGAGATGAGGAATGAAGGCACTCCAACAAGCCAAGTACCACTTGACGACTCCTATACGGAGCCACTGGGTAGGACTTGAAGGAGACGGGAACTGGATGCACTGTCATGATCGAACAAGGTCAAATACAGAATGATTAATAAGAAGAAAAACCGCTATCCACAGTTCGTCCGAACCGTCGAGTGACATCGGGTGTACACGTCTTGTTATCGCTGCATACTGCAGAGGCAACAACGAACATGCAACACCAGACCAGTTATACCGAGAGACCCAACTTTTTTTTCTTGTTCAGGAAGCCAAAGCAGTGTCGACATGATCCTCCGAGTCTATTCGTGGTTGCGTTCACATCCCCCAAAAGTTTAACTTGCACGAGCATGAGGACGCATGGCTACCTGTTAACACAAACAATAGAGCACATATGTAGGAATTCTAGAGTAAAGCGTCGGATTGAAAGTCCTGGTGTGCATTGCCCTACTACATACCCACGCTACCTAGGTCGTCCACTCAACTACCAGCGGCGACCACGATTTGTGATCAGACGAACTTTCCCCACGACCCACAATGCGCATATATAGGGCTGGCGTTCTCTTGCCGATTACTACATACTTCGTGCAATCACTGCTGCCTCCAGACTATACGTGGCATGCCCACCCGACCACTCGGGCTGGTCCCAAATTCCCAAGTGACAAGTCTGAAAAAGACGAAAGTTTGAAAACCCATGCATGGAGTCCGCCATGATGCAGGGCTGGGGCTGTCGTGCAGGCGCTCGCTCGCGCGTGTGGGTTTGGTAGGCTCGTACATAGGCTCGCACATACATAGCATATGTACACATGTAGCTGGAAGCTGGGGTAAAGCCCTGCATAGATCGTTGGTGCATATCGCGGTGCGTATGGCGGTGCACATGTATTGCGGCGTTGGATGGGTCTGGTTGGCAGCGCTGGGCAGTGGACAGTGGAGGGTACACAGGTGCATAGGGTATCATGCGTGGGAATATTTATAGCCCCCCTTCCTTTTCCTTTTCTTTTTCTTTTTCTTTTGTATATGTATTGCGCAAAGCTCGACCACTAGAATAGATCTGGGTAGTACCTACGCTTTTCGTGGGCGCGTGGCTACGGTATTCTATGTCTGTACCAGTACATACATAATATCATGCCGGCGATGAGGGGCTGGAACTTGGAATGAGGCGGGAAATGGCTCGCAAATTCGCAATGGCGGTAATTCGCTGGGCCGGGCGAACAGTGGGCCAGTGGCTGCCGCCTTAAAACGGATCGCCGAGATGCGCAAGCTACCTAACTACCTATCTCTGATGGAATGAATGCCTGGTAAGCCGTTGTGATGTAGGCATAAGGCAGGTGGGGCGGCGAAGACGGCTGAATTACCGTAGAGAATGTATTGTACACACCATGTGACAGAAACAAAATCGACGGATACCTAGATGTCCCAGTAAAACGGCCGGTGGCAGCGGTAACTATTGGCGATTGATACATACGTGGGAATCTTGCGAGCCGCTTCTAGGTACGGTGGAGTACATATGTCCGCCTTCGGTTTTTTGTTTTTGTTTCATCATCGTAGCATTCGACTTTTGCAGATCATGGCTGTATACACGACCGGTTCCACCCCACTGTCTCCGACCGCTGACCGCGAGCCCGTTGTGGGTTCCCTATTGCCCTCCGCCCGGCCCATCCACGCCCAACAACGGGAAATATAGAAAAAAAAAGGAATAAATGAAATGACACAATGAAACCGAAAGGAGAAGCGTCAGTCTTTTCACACACCCGTCTCAAAGCTTTCTGGCCAACTCCTCCAGCCTATCTAATGCCTCATCCCTCCCCGCGTATGGCGGAATCTCCGGCCGACTAGCCCGTACTCTTTCCTCAGCTCTTGCTCTCACTGCGTCCCAGTCTATCACTCTGCCCGGGGCCCGAGTTGGGGTTGGGGTTGGGGTTGGGGTGTCTGGTGCTGGTGGTGCGAGGCTCGGGGGGGGGGGGGGGGGTGGGGAGGAAAATAAATTCCCCAGCCTGTCCGCCTTTGGTAACGCGGTGGGTGCCCGATCCACCTCCGCCGGATGGCCGAGATGAGTGATGGGCTGTGCCCGACTCACTAGCTGCGAGTGGGAATCAAGGCCGTAGGGCCAAATCTGAGCTTTGATCTGGCGTAAAGTACCTCCGTTGTATAGCCAACGGAAAAGACTCTGAGACACCTGGAGCCTCTATTTCTCTGTGTGCGTTCGTGTGCGTGCATGTCACATGGAAAGTGACAAATCATCCAGGGCGTCGTCAGCCAGTGGAAAGCCAATCTCCGGGGAGGGCTCGGATTCACACCAAAATGTGGGGCGGAAAGGATAATCTGTCGTGCCCGGGCGGGGAGTAGTTACCAACTTACTAGCATGTAATGTCCATCTACTCGTATGTAGAGTAGGTCTCGAAGTGCCTACATAGTCTCAGGCTACATACCATGCTTTCACATGTTCCGGAACTGTAAATACCTACCCGGACATGATGATTGATCATCGAGTCCGGAAAGTTTTGGTACCGGGTCCGGTCCTGGAAAAGTGGTTAGCGTCAAGTGTAACTTCTCACGGCGTCGGCGAGAACCACCCAAAAGGCGTTCGAACTTTGAATCAATTGGTCTCTACGACGCCTTCCCCAGTGCCCACAGCCTCAGATAATCATTGCCCCTTCCGATTACGCTGACTATGCCCGAGTATCCACGGCACAAAGATATGTACTCGGGCTGGCGAGACTCCGTGCTGTCTTCGATCAGCGACGGTCTGATTATCTAGAGCACTGAAAGTAGCGCAGAGTCGATGTTCCCGCACATCTCATTTCCGCTTTGGGTTGTTCCGTAGATGTGGGGCTTCTTTACGCTAGAGTAAGCTTTGGCCGGATCTACATACGTCTCCACCTCTCTTGTTTGGTTGGTGGCGATGATGTGGATACTTCCGTGGTTTGCAAACGTTCGTTCTTACACTGGTACCTACTCGCACCACGGCTTGCCTCGTCTATGTAGAGTACCTAGACGAGTGATTATTTGAATTGACTCGAGTCGAATCTTTTGCCTGGAGCCATCGGAAGCATGTTTACTCTGTCATGGCCGCCGTTACAGCGTTGCTCCCTGGAAGTAGAGTAGGTTGTAGCAGTCGGATCCGGCTGGTAGCTGAGCCGGACCACTTGGAGCTGCGCACGGAACACCATTTATCAGCAGTCCCTTTGCTCGTGTGCGCCGCTCTCCTTGCTTCGTCGGTGTGCTCGATATCGCTATTGCTTCGAGCTGGCGTGTCGTGGCGGTGTGTGATTATTTCCATCCAAGGGCGAGAAGATGAGGACTGCCTTTCTCTTAGCTCTGGACGGCTCTTGGGTAGGTACGGTAAACACGTCTGCCCAAATCATGGAGTAGGGTTACCCATAGAGCAGGTAACCGACTGTCCAGTACCCGCTCCATACGAAACAGCGATGTTCTCGGAGGCCGGTATGGGAAGAGATGGGATGAAAACAACGCCCGGCATCTCCGCACTCACGGGCCCACTCACGGGCCCACCCACCCATCCCCTTCTCCCACGGGCGGCAGGCCACCACCACCACCACCACCACCACCGAAGTCGGCCGCCACGTTTATTTTTATCGAAAGCTTGAGTTCCCAGATTCCATGGTCCCGCCAGTTAGCTCCGATCCGTACATGTCACTAAAAACCCAGGGTCGGTACCGAAAGCCCACATGGGCAGGGGTGGCGAGCGGAGGCAGCTCCGCGTTCCCAGAAGAACCACCACCACCACCACCACCACCACCACCACTACCACCACCCACATCCCGCCGTCCGCACTCGCATGGGGCCACAGACAACGGCTCGATTGCCACGCTGGTTTTTATCCCCATCAAGCGAGAGGGCGGGGTTATTTTGCCGCTTCTCGCTCCGGCTCCCAACCACGACACGACGACACGGCGGAGGGCGGTGAAAGGAGGTGGTGGGTATGTATAAAAAGCCACTGAGTGATGGGTGGAGTACTTTGTTACATACTGACCGATGAGAGGGGGGAGCTTCAGGATGCGGGGGCGAGATGAGTGAGAAGACCAGTGGCTTCGCTCTACCTGCCTACTCTAACCGCCTCGCCTAGAGCGGCTATCGCTACCGCGGGTGGAACTCTACCGTACCTGCGTATGAATTGTCCGACGACCTACCACGATCCGGGAACAGACGCTTACTTCTGCAAAACACTCACCGGCTTGTCTCTATGCTACATACATACCTACTATGCGTGTGTCTGTTCGCTAGTGATGGGCGGTGAGTCTTGGAACGCCGAGCGGACCGGCCGGCGAGACGCATTACCTACCGAGCGATGCCTTGCAAGCAAAGGCTTGTCCGAGGGCCGAAGGCTGCCTACCTGCCTACCTGCCTACCTATACTAAAACGACATTGGCATATGCCGGAGCGGTGGTCTCGAAGCTGGGGTGTATTCATGCAAATGCAATGATGCTCATGGCATGATGCTCATGCTCATGCTTCATGTTCATGCTTTTTGCCCGTCGCGATCGAGTCGTTACACGGCAACTCAATGGATACCTATCGTACACACCGGGCCAGGAATTTATGCTGGGCTTCTGTCATACGTATGTCGCCATGGTATGATGAAGGCAGTTTGCCAACGCGGGAGATGATAGAGAAGTCGGAGGCAAACCATAACCAAGCTCTGGGCGCAGAAAAACTTTCGTTTCCCAGTATCTTTTGCCGTGCATCTACAACCTACATACCCCCTCCCACCGCGTCTCGAGCCAACACCATAATCCCCAAATGAAGAGACGGTGGGGGTTGAGGGTTCAGCTCCCGTTGGGCGCAGTTGGCGGTGAGATTTACAGAATCCCCCGCCATCAGCATCAGCATCTGGGCGCCGAGGGAGGGGCACATCCCCGCCAATCCGGAAGGCAAACCAGTCATCGTCACTCGCAAGGTATCCCTCCCCTCCCCTCCCCCTCCCCAGGTGTACGGCGCCAGGGCCAGGGCCAACAAGAACGAACGAATGAATACGTCGTACGACGCGGCAGAAGCTTCCGATCTTATGTACGGGTCGAGTTCTTTTCTTTTCCTTTCTTTCTTTCCGACTCGCTCGTCTTATGGTATGTATGGTATGTATGGTACATACCTGCCGGGGGAAGGAAGGAAAGCTGCCATGAAATCACAATGCCTGGCGCCAAGATGCTCTAGAACACCACCGGAGTCTCTTGTCCCAGCCGTTTCCGGCCACCGCCTTTATCTGATAATCTGGGCGGATCTGGGCGCGCGTCGGGGGTCGGGGTCGGGGGGTTGGCGGGCTGGCGGGCTCATTTGGCGCGGCGTCGTCGTCGTCGACTGAGGGCGTATGTATGTAAGCCAAGGGAACCGGTCGGTCGTCGGTGATGAGGGGTGGGTGGTGGGTGGATACTCTAACCATGGCGTACATACGAGTCCTCGTGAGTCGTCCTACGGCTGACTGACTGGCTGGGCGGGATTCCTACTAAGATAGATAGTTACCTACATAGGCCCGCGCCGGTTTGTCTCCTCTTGGACAGCCGTATATACTCGTACCGCACCTTTCTTGCCCCACCCTCCCCTCCTCGCCCCTCCCCACCCTCTCCGTCAGTTCCGGCGTCCATCTGGATTCCCGCAACGTGTTTGGCTCGATCTCGTTCGCACTTCGCAGGCTGGGTACTATACTAGTTATACGTAGGACAAGTTCCCGACACGACACGAACTTTCTTTGCAACTTTGCAACTGTGAGCTTGCGGAAGTGGGAGCGGACAACGCCAATCCTACCATCAGCTATCATACATACAAGGTACGCGTATCGTATGAACTGTACATACGTGGAGTGGAGTGTGGAGTGGGGTGAAAACCGCGGGGGCGGGGAGTCGGGGACATGCCATGCCACACCGCCCCCTCCCCCCTCTCTTGCTCGGCACCCCAATTCTGGCCTGGGGCAGCCGGGGCTGGGCGAGTAAGTTGTAGCTAGAGTACCTAGCTGGTCAATGACGCTCCCGAGAGTGCCGAGTTAGCAGCCGCTATGCTATCTATGATCCTAGGGTTGGAAAGCTGCAAAAGTGCAATTCAATTCAATTCGGACGCATGCGACTAGTCTAGTCATGCCGCAAGAGCACAAGGCTAGGCGGTGAGGTGAACTTTGAAGTGAAGTAAAGTAAAGTGAACTGAAGGTCCGCCAGGTTCTTCTTCGTCAAAGGCACTTGTGTCGTGCAGCAGAGCAGAGCGGAGCGGGCTGGCTGTGTGCACTGTGAACGGTACATACGGTACTCTACGTAGGGAGATACATATGGTACACGTAATTCCCCTGCGGCTGACCAGCAAAGCAAAGTATCAAAGTCCCCGCCCAGCCGCTGCAACCTTCGTCCTCTGCAAGGCGAGAGAGAGGGACTCCGGCTTCGCGACCACTGAGCACACTGCCGGAACCAGCGGCCCAGTCCGAACCCGAGCGCAGGCGCGCACACAGCGGAGCGGGGATCTTTCAGGCTTTCCAGCGACTCAGCCAGAAGTCAAGACTCCGGACGAGGGCAAGGTACTCTACTCTACCTCGAAGAAGAAAGCTGGGCTGCTGGGCTGGAGTTTTTTTTTTTTTTTGACGACAGGTTTTCTTTTTTTTGGGTTATTCCACTGGACCACTGCACACTGGCACTGCAAGTATCCCTGCCATTATTTTCCCTGGAGGACAGGAGGAGCTTGGAGGATTTTCTGGAATAAAAAAGGAAGTGCCACGAGCCACAGAGAGTAACCAGAGTAAGTAAGCCCCCATGCACGGACCACTAATTGTCGTTTCGGGCGATTTTCTATTTCTATTTCTCGTCGCTTCCTCCGTTCCTGGCTGACCGCTGGCCGCTGGTGTTCAAAAGGAAGATGTAGATATAGTACTCTACCTACTCTATGTAGATACTCTATATAGGGCCCTCTGTCTGTGAGATTTTAGACCGTGCCTCATGTGCGACGACGACATGGAGGTAATATGGCAGCCCGGCAGCCCTAACAGGTACAGGTACTCTACATACAGGACTGCTGCCTACCAGCTGCCTACCACTGCTTGCATGTGCGTACGGTACCGGTGGAGCAAGGTGATATTTAGAGCTTTGCAAGAGGAAGAAAAAAGGAAGGAAGGAAGGAAGGAAGGAAGGAAGGAAGGAAGGAAGGGAGGGAAGGAAGGGAAGGAAGGAGGGAGGGAACGAGTGATGTTGCGGTTTTGAAGGATCTGAGAGGGTGCAACTGCAACTGCAAGAGAAAGTCTGGGGTAACTAAGATGCGCAGTCGGCAATGGGTGCAGATAGTGCAGGCGCCTTGGTGCGTGCATTCCGCACGAGAGGTCGGAGTCGTGGAGCATTCGGTTTGAGGAACGTGAGAGCTGAGACACACCATGTACTGGCTACGAGAGCATGAACACGAGCATGAGGAGGAGGGGGAGAATCGAATGACGAACGAAACGGCACTGCGAGTTATCACATCCGTGAGAGTTCCGATTGAGTGAGATAACCACCTACATACCGGTATGTATGATATGTACATATGATACTTGCGACTTGCTGCGGTAAGGAAGGGAAGGGAAGTTGGGATCTCAACCGGCCCACCGGCGATGTTTCGCTTTGCTCTCGGGTTTCTTCTGATGTGCCTTGATCCGTTCGTTCCCTCCTTGCCTGTGGTAGGTGCTGTAGGTACTTGGGTATGTACCGGTAGTACTGTGTGCCCTCACGGTGGGTGCAAGTGAACGCATCTGCTATCGATGAAACACAGGCATGGCATAGATACGCCGCTTACTGATCTGATCTGATGGTCGGTAGGTAGGGGGGCAGGTAAGTTTGTAGTAGGTACAGCTGCCTAGTCTCCGTCACTTCCACGGTGCCGAAGAGAGAGAGGTGTACGGCAACTACGGTATGATATGTATGATATGTATGATATGTATGATATGTACCTATGTCTAGCATAGAGCACTGATTAGGCGTGGGATCGAGATCGATATCATTCTGCGCAGCGCCGATTATGCAATCGATCGGGCATTGCTGCTGCTGCTGCTTGTCGCTTGTCTGGCTTGGGGAGCGCTGGGAGGTTGTTCCGGTACATACGCCTGCGTGTGTATCTAGATGATGCATCGAAACGAGTAATACCAAAGCACGCCTGCGTTCGTAGATAGACGATCCATTGAGCGAGCAATACCGAAGCACGCCCTCGTTGCCCCTCTCGTCGTGGTCGTAGCTTGGGAGTGGATGACTGAGTGAGTGAACGGATTGAGTAATCTCACCGCGTCGGTGCCTGTGCCTCAATACTGGCAGGGCTTATCGATGAAGCCGGTGTCGTGATATTACGATGGATGGATGCATGTATGTATTGGGTGACCCTTGTCGAGCTGAAGCCTGCATGTGTGTCGTATTAGTTATCTGTGTACTGCTCCTACCGTCTGGGTGGAGGCAGTGGCAGTGGCAGTGGACGCACCGGCAGCCCCTATACACACCCAAGTACTCACCTTTAGTTACTCGTGGGTTGATGAATAACCCGAACAGCTATTATTGAGGTGCGAGGTGATGTATCATACTGTTAGTTGGTTGGGGGAGGGGCAGAGTCCAGACATCAGCGTTAATGCCGTCTGGCCGACCGTACATACCATATCAGCGAAGCTGTGCTTTGAGTTGAGCTAGGGGATAATGGGGTTGGGGAATGGGCTATGGTATGGTAAGGTATGGTAATGATAATCAACAATTCTTTCCGCTTTCTGATGCTTCGGCGTAAACGACCCTCCCGTCCGTCCCCGTCGCCCAGGGAGCTGTGAGCAGAGGGAGTCAGTCCAGTCCGTATGTACCACCTATACTATGTTCGCACTGCGCAGTACCTAGAGTACCGTGGACCCCGCAGCGGTTCGTTTGCCAGAAGGTGCACTACTAGGTGAGTACTACCGTACACGACCCTGCACCTCTCACCGTCATCATCATCGTCACGCTCGCTCGCCCTCCCCTCCCTGAGTCCCCTCCCATCCCCGCCTCAAAAGCTCGCCGCTCTCGCCGTGCACCCCCCGGTGCAGGGGAAACTGTAGCCTGTAGAGCGTGCAGTATGTGCTCAGTGCGTACCATATTCCCGTGACAGCCGAGCGGGTGGCGCGCGCGGCGTCCAGCGAGTCGCCTATTGCTCGACGGTACTCTACCGTATGACAGCTACCTATGTGCGCAAAGGCAAAGCCAGAGTCAAGACGAACGAACGGAGCACCGGCGAGCAGGCTGCGGGCACGGCAACATTGGCTGGCAGGCTGGCAGGCCTCGCCACGCGAATACGCTGTACCTCATACCCTATGTACACATGCGTACCATACTTGCTTACTTATCTCGAGTACGGTCATGTCTTGTCGACACTTTTCGTCTTTTCGTCGTCTTCGTCTTTTTCTTTTCTTTTTCTCCGATTCCGGGGACCCTGAATGCCAAGGGCCGCGAGGCACACACACCTCACTTCCCTGCCCTCCCCCCCTCGTTCGTTCCCTCTTTGCTCGCTCGCTCGCTCGTGCTCGGCGGCGGGGTCGAGACGACAAACGTGGCATCCAAGACGTCGAAGGCTGGGCGCTGGGCAGCTGGGCCCATGACAGGCGCCGCGCGACGCCGCGCGCGCGTGGGGCCCAAATGTTGTTTCGTTCACTAGGCGGTTTCGTAGCACTGTGGACGGACAGTGGATGGACAGCACCAGCGGTGACGACGTCAGCCTAGAATTGCTACAGACTAGCTAGAGGATCTGAGTATGGAGGGAGGTATGTCTGAGTGCCGACGGACCGCGGAGAGAGGGGGGAAGGGGAGGGGAGGCGAGGGGAGGGGGCGCTCTCATCTCAGCCAGACATCTGCTACACATATCATATCCCATCCGTTATGTACCCAGCCCAACCAGGATAACCGTTAAGAAGGGAAGAGGGAAGAAGGACGAGAGACGAGGGAACGAAGCAGTTGGGGGCGCGGTGGGCTGTGAGTCGAGGAGATGCATGTATGTCTGTACCTATCATACCCTGACACTGGAGGATTGCGGAAGTTCGGTCAGCTCGGCAGGGCCATCAGCACAGCACAGCACAGCATCAGCACCAACAGCATCAGCATCATCATCACCATCGTGCCCAGGGCTTCCTTCCTTCCTTCCTTGAGCTCGCTTTCGCTTCTACCGATACGGTCGAAGAAGAGAATGTCCCCCGACCTGCGGCTCTCTGACGGCATGGATACCTACTCTACATACCTGCCTAGGTACGCTATGTGCTCGGCGGGGATGTATTACCTATGCTAAGACTTCTCCAGTCCAGTGCGGTGGAAGCGTCGGCATTGTTTCACTCACGCGGCGCGGAGACGGAGAAGGAGAACAGGAGGAGCAAAAGGAGGAACAGGAAAGCATGTGAGCAGTGGCCATGGCCAATCCCAGTGTCTTACCGGGTCCCACTCCACACCACTCCGCATTTCACTCAGGCCCCAAACTGCACGCCGGTCGTCTTGGAGCACTGGTATCTAGGACCGCGGAGATCAATGTCGGCATTGCCATCTCGAAGCAGCAGAGCCTCTCCGCCTCGCCTCCTTCCCCCTCGCCGCCGTCGCCGCCGCCGCGCTGGAATGATTGATGGTTGGCAGAATGCAGTTCTCGCGCGCGCGTGCTCTCTAGCACGGAAACAGCACCAGCGTAGAAGACTCTACCGGTGCTAGATTGAGCCGAATGGTTTCTTCGGTCGCCAGCCTGTGGGAAGCGGCGGATTCTCGGCTGCGTCGCTCGTTAGTGCTGCCGTGGGTGGGAATGTCGATGCCACGCCAATAATAATCTTCCTGCTGCCCCCTCACCCCCCTCCCCTCCCAAAAAGAAACCCGGCCACCACCCAAATATCGAGGTTCTGCAACCTTGGCTGCCGTACTTACTTCCCTACTTACTCAACACCCAAGTCTAGTTAATCGACAGCCTTCCACAACCGTCTTGCATCCGTTCCCGCCATCCAATAGCAGTCCGTAGCGACTTTTAACGATGATGCTCACGCAGACTCCAGCACCAGCGCAGTAATACTACCACCAGCAACCCGCCCCCCTCTCGCAAAAGCGACATCACGCAGGCCAAGCATCCAAGCACCCTGCGCTCTGCTCTGCTCTGCGCTCTGCGCTCTGCCCACTGCCCACTGCACTGCCGACCAAGACGAACCCACGCACGACCCATATCCATCCGTCCTTGCCTAAGTATTCGACTCACTTACTTCTTACCTTACCAAAAAAAAGCAAAAAAAATACACCTGCCTCACCTCACTCCATGTCTCACTTCTCAGCTTAGCACCAATAGCTTGAACGGTATGCTTTAAAGCTACCCCACGTCCCTTCAAAGCTCCTCATGTCGGATTTTGCTACGGCCTCTTCCTTCTCCTTCTCTCGTCCTCGCCCTTTGATACATCTCTCCCTGCCGGATATTCAACCGCCCGCCGCCGCCGCCGCCGCCGCCGCTGTTGTCGCCGTTGTTATACTACTACAACTATCACCACTACTACAACTACTACCACCACTACCACCACTACTGCCGCGAATCACTACTTCAATAACAACCACAACCACAACCACAACCACAACCACAACCAAACCAACACCAACATCAACACTACCCTGTGAGCGTCACCATCCCCCACACTGGAAACCCGTCGTCAGCAGCTTCTTGTTGTTGGTGGTAGTAGCAGTTGGTGGACAGGGTTGATTGGCAATTGTTGGAGGGGTTGTTGGTGGGATTGATCGATTATCGATAGGGGACGTCTCAGTCGGGAGGGAACACGCGACGGATATCACCAAAAGAGAAAGAGAGAGAGAAAGAGATAGAGAGAGAGTCTCCTCCGCCGCAAAGCAGCGCCCACACGAACAGACACATCCGACGAGCCTCAGTGACGACATACCAACACCGCGCGCTTCACCACAGAGCGGCTGAGAGGCGGAAGGTGAGCGGTAGAGAGGGAGAAAGTGCGCAGTGGGAAGCAATCGGTAGAGCTGGAAGGGACACAGAGTTCATAGACTCATATCCCGTACCTCTTGAGTGCCCCACCCCACCACCAAGCATACGATACAGCAGCCGGCCATTGGTTGAGCTCGTTCAATTCATCTCATCATATATCTCATCATCCGAGCACCCCCCAAAATTGCTGGTCTGTCCACCTTTACGTATTTCCCTGCAATCCGAAAAGAAAAGCGCTGCATTTGCATGTGCATGCACCCTTCCTCTACGCGGGAGCTCACGTCTATTCAAAAGTGAACCCTGCCCCCCACCCCGCATACAGCACACTGTACCGCCGACCTCCCTACAGCTATACCGACACCACGCATACACACCTACCCAAGCACTCGCACACGCACTAAGCACTTCCATACACACGAAAGTACCCACATAAATACCCAAATATATCCGTTCACCAGAATCCGAATTCGGGTGTGCCGGTCTCCGAGCTTAGTTTGGTATCCATGACCGACCCAACTGCATCACCCCTAATCCTGACTCCCATGGAGGTCGTCTCCACTCCCTCACCAAAAGACGGCACTTTCCTGGAGGCACGAATCGCTACGCTACAGCTAGAAACCCTCACCCCTCCACCAGAGCCATCACCACAGCTATCGCCGCAGCCATCGCCGCAGCCGTCACCACGGCCGTCACCACGACCGAGTGTGACTGCGACACAATCGACGCCGTCAATACCGCAGCTCACCTTGGGCGACTGTGAGATACCTACACTCCGGCATAAGTCGTCCCAAACATGGCACCACAGCGGACCTCAAACACGGACATCACCACGGATATCCCCCATACCTTCCCCGCGGGGATTGAGGGCTCGCCAGAATTCCTCACCAGTCCACCCAATATCACTTCCTCCCGCCAGCAGCACCACTACCAGCGACTCCCTGGTGACCGCGGCCGGCGGTTTGGTACGGAGGGTATCACAGAAGGCCGCCAATAAGCTGAGGCGGCGGACATCCTCCGCTGCGAACGATCACGAAGAACGGACCGGCCCGGTCCTCGTACGGAATCGCGGCGAAAGCCAGAGCGGAGATATCGGACGGCTGGGAATACAGCACCACGATCTGGACGACGATGAAACAGCGGTTACCGACCAGGTGGACGGGCCCAACAGCTTGCTGGCTCCAGCCGCAGACGCTGCTATCGCCGTTTCCGGGGATCCACCAAACGGTGGAATCCTCGTGCCCGAAGAACTGCAGAGGGGAACGCCAATGACCAGGATCACACGGAAAAAGAAGACGACGAGAACTTTCAAATTGGATGTCAACAAGGCCCGGGTCTCGTGGGATCCAACAAAACAATCTTCGCGGTTCTACGTGGATGACATGAAGGAAATACGCACAGGCGCCAATGCTCGGAATTACCGCGAAGAACTGCAGATCTCGTCGGATCACGAGGACCGCTGGATCACGATCACGTACGTCGACAATAAGGAGGGCGGCAAGTTGAAGCTCTTGCATGTGGTCGCTCCCACCGTGGAACTGTTCAACACCTGGACCACCACACTCGAGGCGATCAACAGATTCCGCACGGAAATGATGGCGGGCTTGGCTATGCAAGGGGAGAAGTTTGTCGACGCCCACTGGAGGAATTACATGGCCACCAAGCGGGCTTCCGACTCGCAGACGGCAGACAAATTGACCTTTGAAGATGTCGAGCGCCTCTGTCGTGATATCCACGTCAATTGTTCCAGAAGGCTCCTGAAGGAAAAATTCAAGCGCGCGGATCGTGACAATTCGGGGCACCTCAACTTCCACGAATTTGAACGGTTCGTGAAGCTCCTGAAAGAGAGGGAAGAGATCAAGGGTATCTGGGAAGGTATTGTTGCGAACCCCCTCGGAGGGATGGTCAGGCACGAGTTCCAGACGTTCTTGAGGGACGTTCAGAAGGTCGATGTTGCTGCCGATAGCGCGCAGGTGGATAAGGTGTTCCGAAAGTTTTGTCGGCAGTCTTTCAAGGCGGAGCAGGCCGATGGACAAGTTCAGTCGCAAGGCGAGGATATCGAGAATATGCGGATGGATCAGGAGGCGTTTACCTCGTTCCTTCTTTCGTCCTCGTATAACCCCCCACTCCTGGCCTCGTCCCCGAACAACATGCTGGATCGTCCGTTGAACGAGTACTATTGCTCGAGCTCCCATAACACATACCTTATGGGACGACAAGTTCGCGGCGAATCATCGGTCGAGGGCTACATCCGTGTTTTGCAACGGGGATGCCGCTGTGTTGAGATTGACTGCTGGGATGGTGACGATGGTCGGCCCGTGGTCACTCACGGACACACCGGAACGAGCGAATGCTTGTTCTCGGACGTCATTGCGGCGATCGGAAAATACGCGTTCCTCGCTTCGCCATATCCGGTGATCCTTTCGCTGGAAGTCCACTGCGGCTTGGAGCAGCAAGTCAAGATGGCCGAGCACCTCGTCAACATCCTCGGCGAGAAGCTGGTGACCGATCCCTTCATGACTAACAGCATGACCCTCCCCAGTCCGCAGGAGCTGAAGCATCGCATCTTGGTCAAGGTCAAGGGCAGCGAGCGGAAGGAGTCGGCGCTGCTCAAGAACGATTTCGACGCCATGGAAAGACGTACCGGGAGTGGTAGCATCGCCAGCAGCACGTCTCCCCCCAAGCGCTATAGCTTCCTGAGGAATAATTCTGGGAACAGCACTTCGACCAGCAATACCAGTGAGTCCGACGACGGCGGCAGTGGATCGGGAGAAGGCAAGAAGAAAGAGCCGAAGCCTACGATGAAGATTGCCCATGAGCTTGGGAAATTGGGTGTCTATTGTCGCGGACAGAAGTTCCGCAACTTCGCACTTCCAGGTGAGTCCCAATCGAAGTGATTGCGCATGATTGAGCATTACTGACGATGACCGAACAGAGAGCAAAACGTTCAACCACATCTTTTCGTTCCAGGAAAAGTCGCTGCTGAAATTCTGCAAAGACCCGGAGAAGAAAGCGCAATTGGAGAAGCACAATGTCCGCTACCTCATGCGAGTGTATCCGTCCGGCTTCCGCGTGAACTCTTCGAATTTCGATCCGTTGGGTTTCTGGAGAAGGGGTGTGCAGATGGTCGCGCTCAACTGGCAGACATACGACCTCGGCGTGCAATTGAACGAAGCCATGTTTGCGTCCGCCGACGACAAAGGCGGATATGTGCTCAAGCCCAAAGTCCTTCGCGGTTCTCGGACAACTTTCGATCCTCCTGCGGATGCGGCGGATGCCAAGCTGAAGAAGGACAAGAAGCAAGTCTCGTTCTCGATCAAGGTCATCTCTGCGCAGCAGCTTTCGCGCTCGGGCCACAAGGCCGACGACACCATCGACCCGTACGTCGAGGTCGAGGTGTTCACTGCCGACGACAAGACCAAGGGCACATCCACCAGCGAGGGCGGGATTGAGGTTGGCGACTCGAAGGGAATCAGCGGGCTGGGCGCGCCGCAGAAGAGGCGCACCAAGGTCGTGTATGACGATGGTTTCCACCCTATCTTTCAGGAGAAGATGAAATTCAGTCTGGTTACCAAGTTTGAGGATCTCGTGTTCGTCCGCTTTTCCGTCTACAACTCGGAGGGTGGCGATGACAAGAGTCTCATTGCCACGTACACGGCCAAGCTGATCTCCCTGCAGCAAGGTACGTCTCCATCCACCTCTCTCTATATATTTTTTTGGGGGGTCTTTGCTAATGCCATCCGCCAGGCTACCGTCACCTCCCCCTCTACAACATCCAGGGCGAACAGTACCTCTTTTCGCGGCTCTTTGTCAAGATCAACGTCGATCCGGTCGTGCTGATGGACACGGTGGTGTCCCAGCGCTCTTCCGCCATCGAGAGCATCAAGGACACGATAAAATCCGGCCTCGGCTCCGTCGGCTTCTCGGCTGATCGCCACTCCATCCGGAGGAAGAAGAGTGTCAAGAATACCGACAAGGACAAGGACGGGAAGGCGACATCGAAACATAGCAGAGCTGCCAGTCACCACGGAAAGGAAAGACTTCAGCCTGCGTTGCATTGACTAGATTGGACTGTACATAAGTAACATGGGGATGGGGATGGGGATGGGGATGGGGATGGGGATGGGGATGGCTGTTTTGTTTTATCTTGCGGTTTTCTTCTTCTTCTTTGGTTTCTCTTTCCGGCGGGGGTTTTTTGTGGTGTATATATTTTTTTCTTTTTTCTCTCTATGGGACGGCGTTTTCTGGTTTTGGCTTTGGCTTTGGCTTTTGGTTTTGGCTTTTGGCTTTTGGTTTTGGCTGGGGGGGCTGGTCTGCTCTCTGTTTCTCTGTCCGGTGGTTGGTTCCTGCTTCATTTGCGGGCCTTTCTTGTCTGGATGTCTGGACACTTGGTTTATTTGCTTCTTCTTTCTTCTCATTGATACTACTTATAAAGTGGACTAGGCGTTTTGTTTTTTGTTTTTATTACTGAGGGGTTGCAACATGGGAAGGCCCAAGGGGGAGAGGGGGGAGAAAGGGCGGGGGGGAAGGGATGGATGGGTTGGATCGGATGGATGTGATGGGAGCGAGAGGCGTTTCTTGAATTGTGGATTGTGGATTGTGGATTGTGGATTGTGGATTGTGGATTGTGGATTGTGGATTGTGGATGCAGATACTCAAGTGGTGATACTCTACACTATACTAGGTACATACACTGGGTACTCCAACTCGAGCAATAATGTTCCGTGAATCGTGAATTGTGAGTGATAATAGAATAGAATAGAACAGATAGAACTGAGTATTGGACCTGGTAAGGGGATTGAAGCGGTGCTGGCTCGACACTACGCACGTGTGAAGAGGAAGGGGACGGTGAAGGGAAGGGGAAGGGGAAGGGTGAAGAGGAAGGGAGGAGAAGGCGAATAGCAAGGGGAAGGCCAAGTAGCACACCTATACTGCACTGGTTCTTATAAAACCCATTCGCCCGCCAACCTGCAGAGGAGGGTGATATTACATGACGCGCTGGCTTCAACACCACGACTCAACTCAGGGTAGGGGGAGTCTTGGAGCACCCATCCAACTCACGGGGGCGAGCCGCATTCCATGCCCATGCGGGAATCGTATGAACGCTTGTAATTCCTATGTATCATACAATTCCTATGTACATATCATACAGAGAAAATGTCTTCGTTCTGGTTACTGAAGCGATACCGCCTCACCGCTCCATGCACGTGTGGTCGTAGGGAGGTGAAGGGGGAAAGGGAAAGGGAGGGCCAGGTAGCACACGCAGACCGACTCCTGCGAAACCCATCCACCCATCCGTCCATCCACCCGCCAACCCGCCGAGGAGGGTGACAATACATGATGGGCGGGCTTCGATTCTAAGCTCAAACCCAAATAGAGTGAGGTCTCGGAGCACCCATTCACGGTCCACGACTTCGGTTTCGACTTCGATTTCGACTTTGCGGAGAGTATAGTAGAGCTAGAGCGTGCCTACTGTGCCTACCTCACGGGGGTCTTGAAGCCGCGCTCTATGCCCATGCAGGAATCATATGAACGCTTGGAATTCCTATGTACGTGATATCATATGATTGTGGGCTTCGACACCAAGGCTCAAACGGGGCCCAAACCGGGGGCTCCCGGGGGGGGGGGGGGGGGGGGAGGGGGAGGAGGAGTCTAGCAGCACCCATTCACGGTCCACGACTTCGACTCACAGAGGGTGATATCACATGATAGGCGGGTTTCGACAGCAAGGCTCAAACTCAAGTAGAGTGAGGTCTCGAAGCACCAATTCACGGTCCACAACTTTTCGGAGGTACATAGAGCTAGAGCCATACCTTACGGAAATAAGCCATACTTCATGACATGCGGGAACCGTATGAACGAACGCTTGGAATTCCTATGTTTCCGGCTGGGAATCGAGTCCTTCGTGTAGCTTGTTCTCGGGGGTACACACATGCAATGAGTAGGTACACTACTTACCCCACCATCACTCGTACCCGGTCGGTGCTGGCGGTATGATACCGAATCATTGGACAGATACCGCGGATGATTCATGCACTCAGCTTCAAGACGATTGCCGTACCGTACAGTTGGTTTTAACCTCCTATGATATATAGCCGACTGCGAACCACCAGTGACCACCAGTCTATATCCAATCCACCCTAGGGTACAAGCAATGCGTCAAATACGCATTGGAGACGAATGCGTTTTTTAATGTGTTTTTCGATGCGTTCTGCAGTGCGTTTGCAATGCGTTTTGTAATCCGTTGGGTTGTAAAACACGTTTTTGTAGGTACTTTGCAGTGTTACCAAATGCGTTCTTTTAGGTAATTTGCAATGCTATCAAATGCGTTATATACATGGATCCGTGGTACTATGCGCCTTGTCCTCCTATGCCTTCCTACAGTTGCCTCGCTGCATATTACACTCTCCCCACCGCCTCGCTGCATACCGCACTCCCACCGCCGCGAATAGCACATCCTCCCCGCCGCTGATAGCAGACCCTCCCCGCCGCGGACACCACATTCCCGTGGCTGTGCTTGCCGCTGTTCTTGGTGTCCTGTGCTCGCAGTCAGCCAAGTTGGTCTTCTCACAGTGTCCTCGCCGCGAATTCCACCTTGTCCTTGCTGTCTTTGCTGTCCAGCGCCGGCTGTCAGCCTTGGTCTTCTCACTCCTCTCGCCGCGGATAGCACACTATCTTCGCCGCGAATGGCCCGCTGGCGTTGTGGTGAAGTGATGGAGGAGCTCTCTTGCAAGGAGCTGTCGTGGGAGGAGCTGTCTGTGAGACGGGCTTTCAGTGAGAGAAGAGACGAATATGGTAGTAGTGGGCATCAACTAAAAGAGAGTGTGTATTGTACAAAGGGACACGTTGTGATAACGAGTTTAACTTCTTGGTGACGAGGCCACAAACTTAGCCACGGTGGCCTACCGCCGCCGGTGCTTCACCAAAAGAGCCTCACCGGTGGTGTATGTGGTGATGGTGATGGTGATGGTGATGAGAGAGAGCGCAGAGCACGGCGGCAGTATACCTAGACAGGAATACTCCAACATCACCGTGATGCGCATCGCGAAGGCCAGCATCATCGCACTGTCGACATGAACTTCAACAGACTGTCGAGGTCGGGTTTTTATTCGAGTCTCGCGGGTTTACTCAGTCATTCCCACTCGGTGACTGGAATCATTCCTGATTATTGACTAGAGTCATTCCTTCATTGGCCAGAGTCATTTCATACCCTAACTGTGTGGGTTGATTGACTCTTCCAATGCTTCCCGGATGACACTTGTACGTAACAAAGACCAATACAACAACTTTCCTTCTCAAAGCTACTCCCCGTCTACCTTTAAAGTTTAGAGCACACTTGAGAGTAAAGCTTGGCAGAATTCACGCATTTTCCGGCAATAACGCAATTTTCACGGTGCGTATCTGTCACTAAACCTGTGCAACGCATTGCTTGTCTTGTACCCTAGGGCCACAGGTATCCATATCGAAAGTATATACACACTCAACCCGCGCAAAGACAAGGACAAGGAAATAAGTCTGAGTATTCAGCGTTCAAAGTAAATAAGTAAGTACAAGAAAACCTGACAAAACCAAACCAAGCATCATCTTCGTATCTCATCGCGCGTTTTTTATACATAAACCCCCTCTCTCCATCCTCCTCCTCCCTCCTTCCAACCCACCCCCATCCAACCCACACCCACGCCCACATCCACCACCGCCGGCACCGACGCCACGACAATCATTAACCTGTAGGCAGCATCAAGTAAAAGTAAAAAGTAAAAGTAAAAGTAAAAGTAAGAAAAGCAAGCAAGAGAAGCAAGCAAGCAAAGTAACCTTAGTAAAAGACGATGCGAAAGGGCACGGATCAACCGCTCCCTTCCTCGCCATGAAATAGAAACGGAAACCGGCGGGCGGGAAGGGGGAGGGAGAGGGCCCAAATCAAGCACAGAACAGAACCAACCCCCAAGTACTTGGATACTGAAGCCTCCGCATCCGGATATAAGCAAATAAACCGTAACTCCATCCATCCCCCAAAGAAAGCCCGGGTACATAGGCAATTATCCCGCTCCCCGCTCCGCGCTCAGGCACGCAAGTAATGTAAGCACAGCACAGCACATCCAACCGGTGGCATGCATGCTACTGCCGCAGCCGCAGCCGAGCCGAGTAGAAGCAGAAGCAGCTCTCAGGTCAGATCAGAACGAAAACTCTCGAAACAGCGACCTTCCGACGCCGAGGTGAGTAGCACCCTTGGTGCCAAATTCCGGGCCGCTCTCGAAGCCGTCCTCGCCCTCGCCGCCTTCGGCCAGTTTCGTCAGATCGCCGTAGCTCCCGCGTCTGATGCCTCCTCCTCCGCTGGACGTTTTGCCAAAGATCGGCGGAGTCGAGAGACGCTTCAGCGAGAAGTCTGCGAGGGAGTGGCGTTTTCCCTGGCTTGGGGGGACGAGGGTCGAGGCGGCTGATGATGGCTCGTTTTTGTTGTTGGTGTTGTGGATGCTGGCCGTGCTGGTGGAGGAAATCGTGGTGTGGAGTGTGTCGTTGTCGCTATCGCTGCGGTCAGAGGAGATCTGGAAGGCGCAGGCGGCAGGGGAGGTGATGTAAGCACGTGATATGCGGTCTTCGGACACCGATTCTCTGTCATCCTCTCCTCGCCGCCGGTTACGTATCTGGCCGGTGGAGACGTATTCGAGAGCACGCTGCGTGGGGGAGGGTATTCGTCGAGGTCGGTCGGAACTCATGGTTCGCGGTGCGGACGGGTGCACTATCGGCTCGCCACCACGCCCTGCCTCGAGCTCGTTCATCAACGCCTCGAACCGCGCTATCGACGAGATCGGTACGTCTCCGTCGAGTTTCGGGGACGGGCTTGCATGGCCGCTGGAGAAGAAGCGGTCGAGAATTGTTTCCCGACGGCCAGGAGCCGGCCCCTCCGCTTCTCCTGGTCGGTACTCTTTGATAGGGGTAGTGATGTCGGTGGCAGCGGAACCTTTCCGAGACGACGAGTGTCGCGAGCCCAAAGGCGGGCGCACCGACTCACTCGTCGCGGTTTGCGGCCGACGGTCGTCAATCGAACTGGGTGAGCCTATAGTATCCGACGCCAAACTGATCATACTGGATCTATCGTCCGAATCCAAACTCGAGAGATTACTAGTCTTCGAGCGGATGGACGGGCTCAACAGCGCCGTGTTGGGCTCGCCGTTAATCAAAAATAATGACGACGGCGACGGCGTTGGAGTGTCATATTCATTTTCTTGGAACCCTTCACGCAATATGCTGTCTACGGTGTTTGTGCGTACCGGTGGTGGCCCGAGTATCAATCGAGACTGTATCTCTCGTGCCCACCTCTCCAGACAATACGGTTCTTCCGCGCCGGGCCTAAATAATATCGTAGTCCCCGACCCCTCCTTCCGCGTCGGATCTTTCGGCGGCATGTCGTGGCTTCTCCGACGAAACGCGCGCGACGACGAGGACGACGAGGACGCCGAGGGAAAGTGGTTTTGCGGGTTTTCGGCGCTTCGGAGATTGACGACGAGTGTCGGCATGATGAGCGACTTCTTCTTATTCGCCGCGACGTCGCCAATATAGCACGAGGCAATCCGTTGTATCCTAATCGTCCCCCACGCAATGTCAACCACATTGGCCAACTTCCCTGTCTGCTTCTTCGTGCAATGTCGCCACTTACGGGTATCTCGCGATCGGCTCGGAATCGGTCTGCAGAAACAGAACAGTCAGGACTTTTTGCTCTCCGCGCACAACAACCACGACCACGACCGCCACCACCGCCACAGACCCCACCGCCACTACGAGATCCCACCTTTGTTTTGTAAACAGCCAGGCTCCAATTATCCTTCGCAACATCCGCAGCCAGCGCCGAAACCTGATGCGTCGAATTGCTCCGCTCCAATCCGCTCTTCGTCGCACGAACGGTGTCGACGGTTGTCGTACTGCCAGCAGTGGTGGGACGGCCAGGCGATGCCGCGGAAGTCGACGCCTTCGAGGCACTCATCCCGTTGCTGAAGCGGACATAGCGTTGCTGTAGTTTGTTCGCGAAATTGTCAGCGACGTCGATTCTATCATTTGTAAATCACGGCTACCGCGGCTCCCCGCATTTCCGGACAGACGCATACCTTCCACCCGGCGCGCCCGATCAAATTAATGTTTCGTTCGCCCGGCGGCACCTGAAGCCAGCCTTCCATCCCAGACGGTAGAGCTCTACCCTGCCGTGTAGCTCCAGAAAGAAAGGACGGTGTTGTAGCTTGCGTATTCGTGTGTGTGTGCGGGTTGGATGCGCGAGTAGTGGTGGTGGTGTTGGGGGTATTGGTGTTGGTGGTGGTGGTTGACCGGGTGGGGTGAGGGGGGGGTATAGTAGTATGGAAGGGTGAATGGAACGAGGAAGGTTTATGTGGCTATACTCTTCGTCGGGGGTGTACGGTATGTATTGCGTCGAGCGTAAATCCGACGAATAGTCGTGCAGGAGTCTCTCGCCGAAGGCCGAAGGACGAAGGACGAGCGGTGCAGTGCGGTGCGGTGGGGACAGACACTCTCTAGATATGTCTAGCGCGAAGTTGGGGTATGGCGTGAAGGCCTTGGGTGGAGCTCTCTCCCTCACACAACTGCTCTGATGTCTCCGGGCTTGTGGGTTTACTTTCTTTCTTTCTATCCGACGACGAACGACGCGTGCTTTTGGCTGCTGCGCTCACGGCCGCTAGGGAAAGTTTCGGATGGCGAGCGAGGGGTAAGGTATGTAGGTTGGTAGAGGTAGGTGGGAGGTGGGTTGGTGCTTGGTTAGCGGAACCAGGCGACGCAGCACATCCAACTATATGACGACGAGATGCCTGAGATGTCGGGGGTGGGGAGGTGGCTTCGGGCTTCGGGCTTTGGACCAACAAACGGTGTCTCGAGGCTTGAGGCTTGAGGCTTGGCTCGACTGGCCACACCACGGCACGTGCGATGGTGGATTGGATGGTGCTAAGGGTTCGGTCGGTGAATGGGGATGGGATGGGGATGGGATGGAGATGGGACGGGGATGGGATGGGATGGGGAAGGGAAGGGATGTCTAGGTACGCGGATTCACGGGAGAAGCATCGTAGAAGGAGAATGGCCGGAAGAGAGAAAGGAAGAAGAAGCCGCAGAAGAAGGACGGAGGCGAGGGACGGAGGCGAGAGACGAGGGACAAAGGACAGGGACAAGGACAAGGACGAGACAAGGAACAAGGAAGAGAAGGAGGGGGGTGGCAGGAGAGCAGGAGAGCAGGAGCGGAAGAATGAAGAGCAAAGGAAGAAGACGACGTTCTACGTTCTTCTGTTACGCTTCTTCTTCTTCTCTTCTTCTTCGTCTTCTTCTTTGTTCTCGCCGCCGCTGCAGACGGTGGCGTAGGGTGGTTCGCGATCGGCGAGCGAATGCAGGCAAGCAGCGAGCAGCGAATGCAGCAGCGTCGAGCGGGCAACGGGCAGCAGCCAGGAGACGGCAGCCAGCCAGCCAGAGTACCCACCCAACTGCGAGACATATACCGGTATGGCATGTACTCTCCATACTTTCTACTTCCTATACCCAACATATACCCAAGTACTACCTAACCAACTAGCAGAGTATGCAAAGCCGTTCTTGGGCCTCGTGTGCCTCTTGTGCCTCTTGCTGCTTCTGCTTCTCGGGCGTCCTCATGGAGGCAACCGGCATGCATGCTGTGTGATGTGTGATGTGTGATGTGTGATGTGTGGGCGTGCGTGCGTGACGATTTCCAGTGCTGGGTCGATTGCGATCTCACAATCGAGGCATAAGCATGCTCCCCTACAGGTATGATATGTATAGAGTAGATACATAAGTCAGCAAGTAGACTGTAGATACTACATGGAATAGGTAGTACTTAGGTACACATGTGGTGGAGTGGAGTGGAGTGGACGGGCAGGACGGGCAGGACGGGCAGGACGCAATGGGGAGCCACACGGGGTACGTGATCCTCCGGTCCTCTCGGATCCGATATGTACTACATACTGCCTACTACGTACTAGTATTTGCACAAACGTCACTCATCACAGCGGTAATCACTACTTGCGGATGGTTACCTGAGTGGCGAAATCGACGTCCCCGTCCCCGTCCACGTCCCGTCCACGTCCACGTTCACTTGGCCGGCTGCGGCAGCCACCGCCATTGCCATTTATCCGGAACGGGTTTTGATTCACCCTGCTAGGTGGTCTGGAGAATCGAGAATCGAGATGGAGTGGTTGTACAGTGGGTAGGTAGGCACCGGTACCACTTGCTTGGTTGGTTCCTTGGGAACACAAAAACGCCGTCAAAAGTCCGCCGCCACCACCACCACCACTACCACCACCGGCATTCCTTCCTGCTCCTTCCAGATCTTCCAGAATCCAGATCATGCCAGGCTTCTCTCCTCCGCAATCTTTCCTCCGCAAAGACGCTACCTAGTACCTACGGAATTCGCGGCCGTCAACGGTCACATGAGGTAGAACGAGCCGAAGGAGTCCACCACCGATGGAGACTGCCGGAGACCGCCGGCGTCGGTGGCGGGGGTGGTGGCGGCCAAGCGGACAGGAACAGGAACAGGAAGAAGCTTGGCCGTCAGGACCGTTGGGAAGCCATGCATCTAACTATGCATGTGCGGACATCTTGTCGGGATGAGGCCTGGAGTGGGTAGAGGGTGAGACAGATTCTCGACTACTCATCAACTATGATAGGTAAAGCACATCGAACGACGCTTCGAGGTGTGGAACTACCGGTACATACCGGTATCGCACTGGAGACTGGAGTGGACGGGTAACATGTATGTATCTGATCGGGACGTCGGTCCAGCGTACGGTATGCACACATACGAATAGTTGAGGCCCCGGAACGATGTTGCATCTTCCCAGCTCCCCGGCACAGAGGGGACGCGTAGGGTGGAGGAGGAGGCGGAGGGGCAAATTCTGGACTGACGTACCACGGCGTGTATCGCGGAAGACATTTATTTCGAGGTGGTGGTTATGCGGTACTATAGGTACATACTTGCCGAGCGAGCGAGATGCTCAGTGCTCAGTTGCCCAGTTTCCATGCACAGGGAGCATGGCGAGCATATCAGTTCGTTAAACCGCCCTCGATGCAGGTAGAGTACCTATCTACATACCCCTAGATTGTATGCGGGGGTGGGGGTTATCTGAGCGAGTGTGGGGGGCTCGTGTGAGTGTGGGGTTCAGCCTGGAGGTTGAAAGTTGAAACCTGAAGGCTCCGTAGTATGTACATATGTGGGGCATATGTATCTGCTCTGATGGAGGCCGAAACCCGTTCCTTGATGCCGCCGAGAGAAAAGACGAAAACGCCGCCGGTCCTCCGGGACACATCCGCACGAATTGCCGAGGCCTCATTCTCATCCCGGGCATCCCGGGGGGAAGGGGGGGCAGTGGCGTCGAAGTTCCAACTGTCGGGCCTTCAACAACAAAAGCAACAACAACGGCAACAGCAACGTCTTGGACTCCAGGCACTTGTGCTGACTGAAGTGCCAAGTGCCGGAAACTTGTGGGGAACCGTGGCGTGCAGGATATAGTACTTAAGAGTACTTGAGCGGCATAGGCACTTTCACCTATGTAGGGTAGGTAGAGCACCTACCGGTAGTACACAGGCATGTATGTACCATATGCAGTTGTGGAGAGAAGATGCAGGGACCGGGCCATGGAAGCGGACAGCGCTCCGAAGCGTTCCAGTTCCATTCCATTCCCCTAAGCACACCAGCGCCCAAAAAGTACGCTCGCTCGGTTCTCGGTCCTCGTGCTGCTGCTGCTGGTGGTGCTGACAACCCACCGTCTCGGTTCCGACTCTGTCAGCAGCCCGGCGGCGGACCACACCGCCGAGCAATCCATTCACCAGTGCAGTTCAGTTCAGTTGCCGGCAACCGACACTTTTTTCGCGTCGCCTCTAGTTATGTGCTCGAACTAACCGCATGCTCCTCTGGGCGCATATCATATGCGGTTGGCGGGCTTGAGACAGCGACACAAGCCGCGACAATCGTCGGTTCCCATCACTCGAACGCCACGCCACGCAGCGTGGCATACGGTAGCATACATATTGGCATAGCATAGCATGTGAGACACCGCCTCGTCTGGTCTGGTCTTTTTCTCTCGACCGCGAGCACTTACCGATAGTGGATGCTAGGCCCGTCTACGGCTGCTGCTGCTGAGTGCTCACGCCGCGGAGGCGAGGAGGAGGAGCAGAGCAGAAGGGAAGGGAAGGGAAGGGAAGGGAAGGGAAGGGAAGGGAAGGGAAGGGAAGAGAAGGGAAGGGAAGAACCAACGGAAGGGAAGGGAAGAACCAACGGAAGGAGGGCCTGATCTCCTTCCTTGCCTCCTTCCCTTCTTCTTTCCTTCCTAGCCTGCCTGGTTAATCGGTGGCGAAATGCTTCGGATTTCCCAGACGGACAACTTACATAGAAGTGAAGTGAAGGAAGTGCACGTCGGACTCGGCAGTGGAGCGCCGTATGCAATGCCTTCCTTTTTCCTTTTCCTTTTCCTTTTCCTTTTGCCTTTCCTTTTGCCTTTTTCCTGCTCCTTTTTTCCTATCAAGGTTAGTTAAAGGTAGCTTGCGAGCCTCGGCTGGTTCCTGGTTCCGATAGCTAGTCGAGGAGTCGGGATCTCCGGGCGAGAGAGAGAGGGAGAGGGAGGAGATTCATCATCCATGGCATGGCCAGACCCAGCATTCCTTCCAGCGACAGGAGGAGGAGTCAGGGCCATCGCTCGCTCGCGTGGAAACGTTCCGGAGACATGGCGCCCTACTGGTAACTATCCTGTTTTCGACACACCGTACATATGAACAGTGACTTCGAGGAAATGCATTACAGAGGTACAAACGAATGCGTCTCAGATTGAAAGGGGTGACCACTGACCTGCTAGGTATGAGGGATGGATAGATGGATGGGATGGATGGGATGCCGCCATGTGGGGAATGGTGATGTCTAATACACAGGTACTTGCTCCGGTCCAGACGGCAAACCGCTTCTATGATACTGGTACCTATGGTGGAAGAATGAGCACCCAGCAAACGTTGCTATGTAAGCTACATACCTACAACACCTACAACACCCACCCCCGTGATAAGGGAGCACGCAACCAACGAGGAATTGCTCGAGCCACGAGAGCGGTACATACCAAGTGCATGCCAGTACTCTCCCAGCCACTTCCCCAACCCTTCAAATTTTAACTCCAGATGATCCGCACTATGTCCATAGTTACCTGGTACATCCCCACCAAATGGTAAAAGGCCGTGGGGCTTTCCGGATCCACGATCACTAGGTATGAAGCACTTCGGCGGATGAGCCGAGTTGGTGATCGACCACGCGCTTATGTATGTATGTATGTATGTATGTTAGATATCTTTACCGGCACCGGGAATACTACCGGTGGGTACCGGTATGTACCGGTATGTAAGACTTGGAGAGGAGAGCAGTTCGCATTCTCCAATGTACCTGTTCCCTGCATTAACTAGCGGTACCGCGGGAGAAAAACGTCGGGTTGATATTTGTCCATGACCGAGTTGAACCGCCGCCAGGGACGAACGAACGAGAAGAAAAGAAAACAAAAAAAAGCCTTTGACTTGGTTAGAGAACGTTGAGGCGGAGAGACAAAACAGCGCCCCAGGCCCCTCGCATATGTAAGCCTTGCATGCAGCTCTTCTCTTTTCCTCCGGATCCATTAAAGGAAGGCATTCATCCTTACGTACGCTTATATGTATCCATGTCCCGGTCTCCGGTGGATAGGTAGAGTATCAAGGATTCTCGGATGGGTTGGGTATGTAGGGTTTGACTGACGGAGAAACATTGCCCATGCTCGACCCGAGACCGGGACCACCGGCAGTTGCTTTGATTTGGATGCGGGTTCCGCCGCCGCCTGCGTGCGTACATATGTGCATATGTACAGACTCATTCAGTTGTATGTATGTATGTATTGTACATACTGGCAAGAAGGCCGGTATTGGCCATGGGCAGGCAGCCTGCAACTTGACAACGGTGGGATTGGTGGAAAGTGTTGGGGGAGTCGAACATTACCACCAGCCATAGCATAGCATAGCATAGCAAACGTCAAGTCCTCGGGCAATCCTTCTTCCTGAGGGCAGACGGCACAGAGGGGCTGGTAAAACGTTAACAACCCTGTGAATGTGAGAAAGGCTGGCGAAACGTGACGGAATCATGGAATATGGATGGGTGAAGCACGTACATTGTAGACTCGCGGATAGTTACCTAATTTTAAGGCGGCCTTGTATGTACAATGTAGATCTCTAGGGTTCTGCTGATCTCCCGTTGTCAAAGTAGCCGTATCAGGATTGAAGGAAGATATCGGGACCCTCGGTAGGTATGATTCTACGTTTGAGGTCCGGTCGACGCTGGATCTAAACATCTTGAATATGTGCCTATTCAAACTAGGAAACACCGTTTAGCTGCCGTCAACCTCGGTCAACCAGGCTATTTTAAAGCCCTTTCCTGGTGGTCCAGTCATACATAGCGGCTGTGCACCTACATAGGTAGGCCCTATACATCAGCAGCCGCGGCTCCAGTCATGCACCACGAAGTTCGAAGTTCGAACATCCACAATTTGCCGGAATGTTTGCTCTGCTTTCGCCGTTCGGTCCAGATGTGTGCTGCATGCAAGCATTGACGACATCAGTAGGCCAGAAAAGGACAAGTGGTGGCCACATACCCAGTTAATCGGAACCAGCTCTCGGCCACCGATATACCGGTAGGTACTTGGCACGATTAGGTATCTTCCTCTGCTTCTGCAAAGCTTCCTTCCCTTCTGCTTCTGCAAGGCTCGGCCGCATCGGTTGCATGGTTGACCTGGTGTGTGCCACCGCGAAGAGTTTTGCACCTGCGTTTGTAAGCTGACTCCCCCCCCCCTCCCCCCACTTCCTCCTCCTCCTTCTTCCTTCTCACAGGCCCGACTGCTCCCGGTGTTTCCCCTCTTGCGCTACATAGAAGCATCGATCCAGGGAAGAAGTGTTCTTATTACCGGTGAACATTGAACATCGGAATTTTCCGTCGAGGAAGAACGAGGCGGTGCGTGAAGAGTACTACCTAGTAGTATCTGCACCTACAAAACTCCTTGCGTTCCTAACCATTGTCGTAGGAGTAGGTAGGAAGCTTGTCCGGACCACAGCCCACGTGGTTGATGGCGGAAGGAGGTATATTGCATGTATGTACATACATGGATCGAGAGTTGCCGCACCTCCCCCTCCACCCCGTTAGGTGAGGTCCCACAGCTGAATCATGAGCGATCACTTTCTCCTCGATTTCGAGTTCGCAAATATTGAGCTTTCTTCCATTGGTGCACGGCCAATTCCTCGACCCAAGCCTTTCCAATCAACGTGAAGGTCCCCCACGCCTCGGTTGCAAGATGAAATATGGTAAAAAAACCTCGAGTCATTGGTCGTTCCGCATACGCCACGGGGTTTCAACTTTCCGTGAGCGGCGGCGGCGGCAGCTGGGCCAAGGGGCCTACGTACCTACTCAGGTACGTACGTCAGTGCAGCGCAGCAGAACGCCGCTCTGCTCGAATTCTGCCTTTCAGGCGGGGCTGTCCACTGCTCAGCTGCATTCGGCTACCCATCTAGGTATCCATCCAGAACTTTCAGCTTTTAGGAGCACGCACTCACCGCCTCTCCAACCAATCAACTAACTAACCCACCAACCAGCCAACCGTTCGTCCATCCGATTCGTCTGTTCAGCCATCCGATTCTTCTAGGTATGCGGATAGGTGTCTATCCACCGCACCGGATGATGTCGATTTTTTTCCCAACCCTCAGTACCTATGGTACATATGAGCTGATCGGGCTGAACTCCGCTGGCTGGTTGGAGCTGTTGCAGCTCGCTTCTCTTCCCTTCCGTCATTCCCACGTTGTTACGCGGCTGCGCCATTAATGTGTTTCGAATTTCCTCCGCGGCCTGCTCCGGCATGTCGGGGCGGTGGTCCGGGGTGTTGAGACATTTCTTATCACTCGCTTACTCGAAAACAAACTAGTGCTTGCTGCTTCCTTTTGGGCCGGAATATGCAGTCAGTACTGTATGTAGTACTAACCCCGGCCACACACACATACACACACACACATGGCCTCCAATGATCACTCGATATCGATTGGAGGATGAATACCTACATCCCAGGTGTGCGACAGTTTCGAACCCCAAAGCCGGTGTGCACCAAAAATGCCGTGCCAAAACCAGGTCAATTGCGGACTGTAGAGTAGCCGGGCAGTGCTTGCTTTCCTTGCAACGACGGACATAGGATGCCAGGTGCCACTCCTCGGAACGGAAGAGAAGAGAGAAGAGAGAAGCAAGAGTCACTGAGAGAAACGAAAGCGCGAAGGAGGAGACCCCACCCTTCTTCCCCCCCACCCCACCTGGCCTCCTCACCCAGATATTGGAACCGGAAACATACTGGGAGAGCGTGAGAGCCGGGGCGAGAAAGAGGATATAGGGCGAGCGAGGTGACGAGCCGGAGGACATGAAAAACATGGGTGGCAGGGCCGCAGGGACGACGAACTGCAATTATTGGTCGAGCTTACAGGAGGTTGGACGGAATGGAAGCTGGACAAACGAATACTCATTCTTTCCGTCTGTCTATCTTTCCTTCTTTCTCTCTTACTTGCCGGTGGTGGGCGGGGAGGGTTGAACAAGAAAGGTTGAGCAGGGAGGGCTGAGCGGAGAGGGTTGGCCGGGGCCGGTTGAGCAGGGAGGGATGAGCGAGGGAGGTTGAGCAGGAGGGCTGGGCGGGGAGCAATAGGAAACCGGTATCGAGCTCGCGGCCAGCGGTCGATGACAGCCAGGTGGAAACGGTTATGTGATCTGCCACGATCCATTGAGGTCGAATGCAACGATGATTTAACAAAACAAAACCAGGTCAATTACAGAATGATTGAAGAGTCGAGCTCCAAGGGAGCTCTGGATATGGAAACGGGAGATGGCAGGATGATACCGAGCGAGAGTGACGTAATCCTGGAAGGAAGGCGGGAGAATGAAAGATGATGAAGAAGTTGAGGTTGTATAGGAAGTTGAGGTTGTATTCAATTTCGAAGAGCCATTCAATATAGCTCTCCTCCGCTGCCTACAACGTTCAGTGTCACTCGATCCGGCTAGTCCGGCTGACACCGCCATTCAGATCCACCGATCCGACTAGCATCTCCTCCTCCTATCTTATCAGAGCCTCCGTCTATCCTACATGTGCTCCTCTCGATGTCATGTTGGTGGCAGACGACAGAGAGATCCTCTACAGCGGTTCATGATGTCGATGCCAGATCGCAACCAACTAGAGGCTAAGTGTGGCTATTTCACTCGGCTCTAGCTACCTATTCTTCCAAGAAGATCCGGGCTGGTGAATGGATGTTCCAAAGGGCCATTCAAGCCATCACGCGATATCACTCTTCCCTAGCCATTCGCAGCGAATGCACCGGTGAATGGGTACTTACATCCTACTCCGAGTCATGCATCGAACCACGCATGGCTATCATAGAAGCCGTGCGTACCAAACACGAAAGGAGACGCGACCAAACTCGGTGCCGGCGGAAACCAGCAAAGCAGTGACCTCGCGCTTCCACCAGCTCGGAACGTGTACTCTGCCATGGTCAGAGACATTCGTTTTGGAAGGACTCGTGGAGTTGTGGTGGTGATCACTGAAACGATGGAGATGGGGGAAGTGATGTGTTCTGATCCAGGAGCTACGGCTACAAGAGAGAGAGATAGAGAGAGAGAGAGAGAAATAAAACCAAACTTCGACCCGCTACCGCACCGAATGTTCCAAGCACCCACCACCGGTCCTCCGAACGTACGGCTAGTAGACTACTTACTCACATCAACACACTCGTTCCCACAATTCGAATGCATAGTGACGAGGCAAAAACAATGGGTACTCTGAGAAGTCATTGAGCCTGTCCTGAGTGGCTGGATCTTGCCGTGCGATAACAGACTTCCCTCGGCCCCGCCCCTCCCTCCCTACTTCCTCGATTTCATCCGCTGCCTCCATAGTTACTCAACTACCATCCCGCTCAGCACTCCTGGTAACTCTAAGGCTGGGAGGAGTAACCCGGTAGTGCTGTCCTGGTCAACAAACTGACGGGCCTAGGCGAATCAACAGGAACATTTATGTTGTCTGTATGTACTCGCATTAATCTGATTATGTCGGTCGGTTCATCCGAAGTATCTAGTTACTAGCAATACGTAATGTATAGGAGTTCACGGCTGTGAATGCGAGTGATCGCTAGATTGGGCCGGAAGGCTCCCTCCGCCAAATATCGGCGGCATCGAGTGAGCCGAAAAGT